GCTTGTCTGGCTTACCTTGGTTGTCTCTTTTGCTCATCGTATATGTATCACTGACTGTATTTTGGGTGGTAATAGGGGTATATGCAAACCAGCGGGAAGAGGAAAGATGATAGAGCTGGCTTATTGCCCTTGCTCTTCCCTCTCTTTGGAAGGGAGAATATCAACGATAAGGGGGTAGCTCGTCCAAGCCTCACACACAGGCGATGCGGACGACAACCCGGTTTAGCGGCGTCGACATAAAACGGCAACTGGACAACACTGGGTGAACTGAATTTAAGCCGTCCAGAATAAATAAAATTACTAAACCAATACCTGTTGGTTAACTCTCAAGAAAATCCACCTCTCCCGCTGCAACTCGAGAAGCCAAGGTCAACAGCCGCATTACACTCCCCGGGTAGCAATGGCAAAGAAGATAAAATGTCCCTTGGAAAAGGACTAGCAATACAAATTTCGGGCTTAACGACCCCCAGACTCCCGCGAGAACCCAGCCCGCCGTTGCCAGCAGAATCAACCAAACTGGAATGGCAACGCAGACCCAGTGACTCTGTAAATTTACACGGTAAAAACCAACAAGAAGAACCCGTTCCCGTGTTCCCGGCCCGACCCCAAGAACCTACATAAACCATCCCCGGCCCCTTCACTCACTAGCTACTCCTCACTTATCTTTTCCGCTGCTTCTTCTTGCTGCTGCTCCGCTGCTGCTCCTCCTCCTCCAGCGCGCTCTCGCGGTCCCTCTTCTTGGCCTTCCGCTCGAGCTCGTCCCAGTCCTCGCCCTCCTCCTCGTCACTCATCTCGGCCTCGTCGCTCGCGTCGGCCGACGCGTTCGAGTCGTAGTCGGAGCCCTCCTCGCTCGAGTCGGACGCCTCCTCAAGCTCGCTCTCGTCGATCTCGAACGCGCTCTCCTCCTCTTCCTCCTCGGAGCCGCCCTCGTCGTCGGAGTCGTTCTGCAGGAATCCCCAGCCGCCGTCGACGAAGAACTGGTGCGGGTCGGCCGTGACCGTCTTCATGATGACCGACCAGTTGAGGTTGAGCGGACCCTCCGAGTACGAGAGGTCTGACGAGTCGAGGAACTCCTTCACGTCCTCGAGCGACTCAACGGGAATGGTGTTGACGTGGGCAGGCGGCCGGGTAAAGTCTTTGAAGACGAAGACGAGATCAAAGTTCTTGAGGCCGAACTGCACGCGTTCCAGATGGGCGACTTCAATGTCATCGAGTGTGATGACCATGAATGGCGGTTCCGTGATCTGGATGAGGCACTCGGTGGTGGGCTGGATGTAGACGTTGCTGCGGTTGGGGACACCGTGGAAGCCGAGGTCGCGGAGCGGCATGTCCACTTCAATGCCCTCGTTGCGACCGGCCTCGGCGATCTTCTCGGCGAAGCTCTTGAAGAGACGGTCGAGCTCCGCGCGGCGGCGGCGCTCCTCCTGTTCGGCCTCGAACTCATCTTCGTCACCATACCTGTACTTGCGCTTCCGGTTGCCGGTTTCGTCAAACTGGATATCCGTCGCTTCCCTGTAAAACTGGACATCTTTGGTCTTCTTCTTGCCGAATAGGATCGGATCCTTAAGGTGAAGGTGGATGATGACGATCAGCTCATTCTGGCATGGTTGGAAGAATAGATGGCGGACGTTGGAGAACAGGACGTCGACTCGTTGTGTAGTGCTGAGAGGCGACTGGTACCGGATACCGTTTTGGTGGATTTCGACTTTACCAGGTACCCGCTTGCCTTCCATGGCTGGTCGAATGAAGACATTATCCAACACAGCCGGGCGTCGATCTGGGGTACGTCAGTATCTAAGAAAGAGCTGAGTGCGGGTAGGGTATTCTTACTTCTGATCTCGACTAGCTTGTCCTGCTCCACGACATCTTCCATGTCCTTCTTCTCCTGTTCCTTCTTGACGGACTCGCGCTTCATGTTTGAAATCTGATTCGCGATGTCCGCGTATCGATCACCATCCATGGACCGGAAAGTCAGACTCCTGACGAAATGGGCTGTTGCGTCCTCGAAGGGCTGATCATCCTTGCGGCCGACACCCTGGCCCGGAGAGAGGAAGTTGATGCGCAGGAAAGACCAGTCATTCTCATCACTCTTGCTGGCGTTCTTGATGGTATTGATGTGGAACGGGACGGGCCGCCCCATGACGGGAAGGACGATGGTTGCGTTCTTCTGGTCGATAACGATGCCCATATCCCGAATCTTGGGCGGAAACTGATTGTCCCGCTTGTACGACTCGAAGCGCTTGAACTTCTTGACCTCGACACCGTTCTTGTCATCGGTGGACTCGGCGTACTTGGTCATGCCCTCCTTCTGCTTCCTGGCCGCGAGCTCTTTTTGATGCTCCCTTCGTCTCTTGTCCGCATCATCATCGGGTGCTGTATTCCGCTCGGACCGCAGCCGCGTGCTGGTGATGTTCTTAGTGGCAACAGCACCCACCCGCGAGTCCCTCTTCTCCTTTTTCGGGGTCGGTTGGGCCTCCTCCTCATCCTTGAAAAAGAAGGACGTCGCGTCCGCGTCGACAGGCGCCTCGCCGGTGAACACGACCACCTCGCCAACGGTGACACGAATTGTGTCGGTAAGAACAAGGGAGTAGACCTTGCTGTTCTTATCCTGGGGGTCCGGGTTTTGGATATCGCTGAACCCGGTGGTGATGCAGAGCGTCATACCGTCGCGCAGTGTCCTCGAGTTCTTGGCGCTGATGATCAGCGTAGGGTCCTTGTTCTCGAGCCCGATGCCGTACCCGACGTTCTTCAGGAAATGCTTCTCAAGTTCGGGCTTCTTCGACTTGATCAGGCTTTGAGCCTTGCTATAGACGTCCTTGGCGGCAACGCCGTCGCGAATCTCCTTCAGGATCAGGTTGTGAACTGCGAGTAGAAACTTGTAGTTGCTTTCTTGCGACTTGTTGGGGTCAACCATGAAGGTCCGGGCGATTTGCGAGCAGTATGATTTATACCGTAGACCCATGGCCGCGACGATGATGCCAGGGTGGAGCGGTTGGTCGTCCGAATCAGCCTGCCACTTCAGGTCGAACTTCCCCCCGCTCTGCACCATTGGCCCGAGGATCCAATCGAGCTGCTCGGGGTCGAAATCTGCGGGCATATTTTGGCGATTGGGAAGCTCCACGGTTTTCCAAAACTTGGTGTCCTCAAGCTTGTTGAAAACCTTGTCGGCTAGGACGCTGTGCTTAATCTTCTTGTCCTGATCGAGGATGTTGGACATTTCGTCGAGGAAGTAGGGAGTCAGGAGGGCGACGCAGGCCTTGGACGAGGTGCGCATAGCGCGCAGCTCTGCCTCATCCTTGATCGAGAAGGCACCCGCGGACAATGCCTGGGCGATGTCGACCTCCTCGACATCCTTGCAGCTGTCGGCAAACGTCTTCTTCCATTCGTCGATGAACGGGCCCTTGGAGGTGTCCTTGGCGAGCACGCCCACTTTCTTCTACAGCACCATTGTTGTCAGCTCGGGGAGCGCGGCAAGGGACACAATGAGTCATGACTCACGCCTGCTGCCTTGATTGCATCCGTAATCTTGACGAAGAGTTTCTCGTTCTCGGCGGCATCCTTGCCTCGTACGAGGACCTCGACAGGGAATCGGCCGCCCTTGATCTGATCGAGGTACTTCGCTGTGCGACGGATGGATTAGCATGGTGGGCGCCAAGCGGGAAAGATTCAGAGTAAGCGAACCTTTCTTCTGTGTCGTCAGGATGTAGAGGGTATCGAGCGTGAAGAGCATCAGCGTCGTCGGGAACTCGTAGCCAAGCAGCCAGAACTGTGAAGACGTGTTAGCGGTGCGCGACAGTTGCATCCGTCCTGCCTTTGTCGAGACATACATGCATGGCATTGTTCTTGTAAAATTCGGGCTCCTCGTCAACCTTGCCCATCAAAACGACGATGGAGGAGGCGCCGGCAAACAGCGCGTCGCCGGAACGCTTGTCGGCCTTCCATGCCGTGACAAAGTGCGACAAGCGCTCCTGGAAGGCCTTGCTGTCGATCTTGATGTCTGCCATTGTGGGCGATTAAAATCGCTGCGATTGACGATGGCAGAACTATCCCCGACAGCGGGTGTGATGATGAAGGGAGAAAGTGGTTGTCGCCTTTTTGGCTGAGAACGATGCGGCAACCAAGAACCGCGATGGAGCTTCCAGGTTACCTCCGGGTAGGGAGCCACAGGGCGGTGGCCAGTGCCAAAAAAACTCCAGGGTCGCGTTGCGCGCTCACGTCACGGGCCTTGTCGCGTTTTGGTGGGGCTGGTGCCTAAGTGGTTCCTGTCGGTTTCCTGGCCTGAGGCCGCAGCCGATTGACTTTCGGTGCTGAGGTTCAATAAAATATTTGGGATTGAATTTTGTGAGGAAAAATGTGATTTTACGAAATTGATAGCCGAGCATCCGATTGATTGATTTCACTGATGTGCGATGCAATTGACGAGTCTTGGAAAGTGTGTCGTTGTCGAAGAGGACAACAGGAGACGAGTTGCAACAACGGAGAGAGGTAGTGAGCTACCTCAAGGTAAGTAGGGTGGTAGGCACTTGGTACCTAACTAGGACTACAAGTTTTGCGCCTAGATAATAATAGTTATTTTACCTCTCATATGAAGGTTGGGAACGTCACGAAACCGAGAAAAGGTGGTTCCCTATCAGGCTCAGTCTCTCTGGGAATCAGTCGCTGGGAGCAAATGAGGCAAGATCAGTGACCGCTCAATTCATTACCCATATCCAGATATCCAATGCCCATTGCCTCCTCAGCAGATGGGTATCTCTACAAACAACACAATGCATAGCAACAAGCCGGTTTCATTTCGGTGGGGACATTGGACAAGAGAACAAGAACATTGATGGGGAATGAAAAAGGAGGGAGAAAAAAAGAGACACCTTATGCCGCCCGTCTTGCGCCGTGTAAATCCACATCCCAAACTATTCTCGCAAAAACAACAAAAACAAGCAGCACCCAATCATTCAGCATCCCACGTACTGCCTGCTCCCTTGCTCCGAACTGTCTTCATACTCTTATGATGCCGCCTGCCCCTGAGGCGCCGAGGGCTGGTTCCACGACAGGTACGAGGGGTCACCGAGCTTGCGGGGCTTCCACAAGAAGAATGATAAGATGAACCAGATGTCGAGGATCAAGCAAATTCCGCCCACGATGAGGAAGATGATTCCTGGCCAGATGTTGCGGGAGCCCATGGTGGAGAGGGTGGTGATGACGAAAGCCTTGCGGCCGTGGTACTCGGTCGTCTTGAAGTTGTCTTCGATGTCAACTTGATACTGGCCCTCCTTCATGGGATCGTTGTCGTTCCTCTGGTAGAGTTTGAAGAAGTTGGGCGCTGCAGCCAGCATCATCCAGTTCTGAAAAGCCTCGTCTTGCTTCAGATCTGGTGGGGGGTTCTCGGGGGTGTAGTCATTCGGGTATCGGTCACGCCAGTTCGGTGGAGGAACAATCTCGTCGAGCTTGTAACTGGTGTTGCCATAGAGATCCTTCATGCCGCCCCATGAGATCCCCTTGGTCACCATCTCGTACGTCTCGTTCGCAGCGTTCGAGCCAGGCACGGACAGAAGGAGCGGCTTTGAGAAGGTGTCGTTGAACATGGAGTTGGCAACGAGACCACAGGGGTAGATGATCTTGCCGCTTCCCCTTAGGTCATAAGCGACCGGGCCGCAGGTGGAGTCGTTGATAGTGCGGCCGTCAACGGCCTCGCCGAGGAGCTGCTTGGCATTGAACGAATTGACGTAACGGCGATGGTTCTGGTAGAAATTCTCGAGGTTGTAAAAAAAGCTGACGGTGGGCTTCAGCTCCTCGGGGATGTTGTACTTGATGCGGCAGAAGGTGCGATTGCTAACAAAGCCCTTGCCCTCTACTGACACCCTTTCCGTCATCCATTCTGCCTCGTAGGGATCATAATTGCTGTCGGTTTTCGAGAAGTGCGCCGTGATGTACTTTGGATCCATCGGCCGAAACTCATTCGTCGCTTCGTCTCTGCAGTTTGTGTAGTCGATACGGATGTCCCGGACCTAGAGGTAGAAACGATGGTTAGTACTCGCTACGCGGAGGAACGAATGAGCGGGCCGCAGCCGGGCGTACCGTATATGCCAGGTATGTCAGGTAGGCGCCAAAGCCGAGGTAGATGGCGGCCAAGATGGAGAAGATGGTGACGATAAGTTTGGGCGTCAGCACACACTGCCAGGCGCGCATGCGCTGCTGGCGGAAGGCAGTGTTGGGAGGGCGGTTCTTGGGCGCATCCGGCTCTGAACCGGCATCGTCGCCGGCATCATTGGCGGCGCCACGGCGACGGCGGGGCGCCATGGTGGGCGAGTTCTGGTCGTCGTTATCGTGATCGGTCCCAGGGTCCCGGGATGCCAAAGAGGAGTTGTAAAAGAAAAGGAGCGTTTCGAGACACGGAGCCTTCGGTCTGGGCGTCGTAAGGTGGTCCGTGTTGTTCTTGGCAAAGAGGCTGAGGCATTGAGGTGCCAACCGGTTTTGAGATGCGAAACAGTCACGGGGCTATGCACGTGGCTCACATCCAGGAGCGATTCGGTCTTTACGCAGTACAGATTACACTATACGAGTCTGACTGATGAACTTACTCTACCGTTCTCGTAGTCGCACAGAAACGGTTCATTGCTCTGCACTGCATAATGTTTCCACGCGCAGGGTATGTACATACAAGAACGAGAATGGGCCGTCCGTTGGCCCGCGAAAAGAACGAAGAGCAAGGCTCCCTTGCTGGAGCAGCGCCCTCTGGCCAAAAAAAACGCCCGACTCCAAGAAATGAAGCAAAAAGAAATCAACTAGAAAAAAGAAGCAACGCAAATAGCAAAAGAACTTGATCGACTAAAATGAAAATTAGTCGAGTATGTCTATTTTCTTTGGGCATCCAAATCGCATACGTTTCGTTCCTGCAGTCGAGGTTTCGTCGACATCTCGACTTCACAAAGTACACAGTTAGGAGCCCGGCTTTTTTTTACGCACGAGGCGAGCAGCCAATTGACAACATTCTAATAACCAGGTAACGAACCCGTTACCAGGTTCTGCGGCTTCGCTTGTCCCCAAGTCAAGGTGTATGATAGCCAACCGCTGTTGTGTCAAATTTGACTCCGGCATGCCCGGGTGTCGGAAACGGGCATGCAGCAGAACACAGCGCGAGCTCTGCCTGTCCTCCCATCCTGAGATTCTGCCATCGCCGCCTCCCAGAGGAGAAGGCGGCAGATCTGCAAGAGAAGCCTCCAGGAAGGTCGGTGAAGCTGGCGGCAGCACGTCAGCGAGCAAGGGGAAACCAACCAGAATACCCCCACCATTGGTTTTGGGCTGGATTGGGCGGTGTGCAGGTCACGAGTCCGGATAGAGTAAGGGGGGGTCGGCCCACTCCCGAGTCTGTGCGTCTTCTAGAAACATTCGACGCAAATGAGCGGCGATGCCGAGCGACAGAATGTGGAGAAGGCATGGGCCAGGGCCTGGTCGCGGAGGGGGATGAAGGAGGGGAAGCTGGAGCTCGCCCACAGTGCGGGTGTCCGAACATGAAAGCTTTCAAAGCCCTGACACCGAGACCCGACTTCCATGCCTCTGCTGGCTTCGATGCACAGCGTACCGGGGCAACAAATCGAGAGAGAGATAAAAGAGAGACGGCACGGCACGCAATTATTTTACACCAAAAAACACAAACAATGCAAGCTAATTTACGCAAGATAAATCACGGTATTGATGTTGTCCCCGCGGTAGAGAACGCGGTCCTTGATCGGCTGCGTGTTACAGTGATGATGCATTCAAGGAACGTGCGCAGGGTAGAGATACCTCCCGCATACTGTAGGGCGGGCGGAAAGCAAGGCACCCCACTCATGAACTCACTGGAACCTCCCTCGAGCTTCATGCTTCCATCCTCCCATCTTCCCGCCTCCTCGCCTTCTTCGTCGCAAGACCCCATCCTCATCATCCCGCCGTCCATCTCCCCGGGTCTCTTCCCGTCGTCATACACAGTACCGCCTTTGTTGATCGTCGCAGGTGCCTTATTTCCCTGCCTTCTCGCCCTTTGCCGATCTCCTCTTTGCGCCCTCCAGCAAAACGGGAAGAAGAGTGCAGTGTCGGCCTAATCTCGCATCTCATCTCGTTGCGCCGGACACGTCCGAACCAGCCTTTATTCATTGTCCACACCGCTTTCCCTGCGAATCAGCCGTTCCGACCTCATTTCCGTGGTTCGGGCCACTGCTCGTCTTTATCATCTCCGAATTGTCGCTGCAGCCTTTCGACGGGTCCTCCCTTTCTTACAGCTATCTCGACACACACCTTGCTGAGACCACGTCCGAAACGAGTGGAAGCAGGCTCTCCCCAACCAACCCATACGCCTTTGTCTGCCTACGCAGCCCTGCCGGGCGGCAACACAGAAAGTAAGCCTCTCGTCATTTTTGACAAGCTCGTCCGGCCTGATCTGTTTCAAATCCCGTCCATGGGTGGCATGGTCCCTCTTTGACGGGACATCTATTCGTGGCCGGGAGCTATGATAGAACTGTTTTTGGGTCATGGCAAGACCCAACTGATCGCTATCGAAACCCGATTGCAGATCACTGGGTTGCGCGTGATTACTTTTCGTGCCTATCCCATTGCTTCAGCCCCCTAGCGAGTTGTCCCCCAGCTTGGAATGTGCAGTCTGTGTCGAACTGTATTCTAACTTGTCTCACCTCCAGAGTTTTAAGAAACACGCCGCGAAGCAACTATTGATCGTGTGGTTCCGGCCACGACACACACGCTCGCAAGCATAACATTGCTTTGTTCACATCTTGTTCAGACGGGACCAAATATAAGAGTCGCCGGACTTTGGCGATCCGAGCTAGTAAAGGCACATATTTCTTGGAAGCTTCCTCCGAGATGTCAGGCCCGGGCTTCACCAGCCCCTTTGGGGCGAATTCGAACCCGTTTGGCTCTTCCAGACTCGACACGGGCGCCATGCAAAGGGTGGCCGAAGAGGACGAGAACGACACCGTCACCTCGCCCACAACACCGAGCTTTGTTCAGGTGGCGGGCGGCAACATGTTTAGGGGACCCTTTGGAGGCGACTCCGCTTCGGAACCCCAACATTCGGGCTTGAGAAGCCCGCCAGTTTCAGAGGGCTATCCTGCCCAGTACAACTTTGGCCGTCGTACGTCGGTGTCGGCGGAGTCTCTTAAACCAGTTGGCGATAGCTACGACAACTGGACGCCTCCCGTACATCCCAAGACGCCCGGACAGCTGGGCCGGCTGAAAAAGGCCATCAGCGGTAACTTCCTGTTCAGCCACCTCGACGACGAGCAGAGCGCTCAGGTTTTGGGGGCTCTGGTAGAAAAGCCGATTCCCACCAAGGGAATCAAGGTGAGCGAGCCAGCGCATATCCCTTCAAGCAAGTGCCACCATCTAACCCCTAGCAGGTCATCACACAAGGCGACGCCGGAGATTTCTTCTATGTAGTCGAGAAGGGTTCTTTCGATGTTCATGTTAACAGCAGGGGCTCACTGCAACCAGGACCCGACGGGATGGGACAAAAGGTCAGCACAATCGATGCCGGCGGTTCGTTTGGCGAGCTCGCCCTGATGTACAACGCACCGCGGGCCGCGACGGTCATCTCGGCCGAGCCGCAATGCACGCTGTGGGCACTGGACCGTGTGACCTTCCGCCGGATCCTGATGGAGTCGACCTTCGCCCGTCGTCGCATGTACGAAGGCTTTTTGGAGGAGGTGCCCCTGCTGTCGAGCCTGACCCCCTACGAGCGGTCCAAGATTGCCGACGCCCTCGAGAGCCAGAAGTTCCCCGCGGGCCACACCATTATCCGCGAGGGCGACCCCGGCCACTCGTTCTACCTGCTGGAGGCCGGCGAGGCCGTTGCGTATAGGAGCGGCAACGACACGCCGGTCAAGCACTACAAGAAGGGCGACTTCTTTGGCGAGCTTGCGCTGCTCAACGATGCGCCGCGCGCCGCCAGCGTGGTCAGCCAGACCGAAGTCAAGGTCGCCCGGCTCGGCAAGTCGGCCTTCCAGCGGCTGCTGGGGCCGGTCGAGGGCATCATGAGGCGGACCAAGTACGTGGGCGTCAAGACGGGCGTGGAGGAGATGGATCCGCTGCAGGTGTCTTAGAAGGAAGCAGTAGGTTGGGTCTGCATGGAAACGGCGCGGTTGGTGGTCATGTTCATCCAAGAGAACGAGAGCAGGGCTGGAGAGTCATACGAGGGTCGGGACGGCGTTTAGGGATTCCCAAAGCTCCTTTCTGCGAAAACTTGCCCCGGACTGCCATCAGATAGCGGAAGATGTACAGTAAAAGTACAATCTATATGTCCTCATTTATGATTTGGTCGACGGTCATCTCCGAGCGAATGTACTCAGCGAGATGCAGGTAGGTACCGCGTCTGTCCTACGGCAGGTATATTATGCCCTGGTATTTCAACCACTTCCTCCCCTCCCTCTCTCCACCGCCATCAGAACAAAAAGACCCCCCCCCCCCTTTTCTCCAAATAACCACTTACACCCCCTCCGCCAACAACCTCCTCAACCCCAGCCCCTCCCTCCTCAACCCCTCCACCGCCGCCTCCGTCTCCAGCACCCTCCCCACCCCCCTCTTCCACGCCTCCTCCAGCGATGCCATCTCCCCCGCCACCGCGTCCTGCGCCTGCCGCCGCCGCAGCGTCGTCGCGTCCACCTCGCGCCGCGCCGCCGACAGCTCGGCCTCGGCGGCTCGCACCTCCGCCTCCAACCCGGCGTTGCCCACCAGCCACGCGTTCTTGCCGTACGCTTCCAGCAGCGCGAGGTGCGCGCGCCGCGAGGCGACGTAGCCGTGCGATGCGTACGCGCGGGACAGGAGGTCTTGGAGCTGGGCGCGGGCTTCCGAGGGGGGCAGGGCGGAGAGGGTGGTGGGGGAGGGCGGGTCGGGCGCTTCGTAGCGGGCGAGGTCGAGGGCGGCGAGCTTGGCCTTGGAGGGGGTGCCTTCGGGGTTGGTGCTGGCGATGCGGGTGAGTTCGGCGGTGAGGAGCGGGGTGAGGAAGGCGGTGGGGGTGGGTGCTGGCGGGAGGTGGATGTGGTGCGGGTCGTCGGGCTCGAGGGTGCGCTCGTGCGCGATGAGGGCTTCCGCCGCGGCGCGCTCGGCCGCGGTGGGCTCGGGGTCCACGTCTGTTTGGGGGTTGTTAGCTGCCTGGTGGGGATTGTGACTGTGTGACGCGGTTGGTGGGAGGAGGGTGAGGGAGGGGGCCCTTACATGGGAGCGACTCGTGGACTATGGTGATGGGCATGGTGGGTGGGTGGGATCGAGGCGCTGGTGTTTATTTGGCGAGTGTTTTGTGTCGTAGTTGTCAATTGGGTTTCGGCTGGTGGGTAGGTTCGATTATGTGATTTGAGATTCTCGAACACGGGTGGTTGTCATGAATCGGGCGGTTCTGCAGGTACATGAGCATGCACCGTAATGGCCAGAGCAGAAACGCTCCAAGGGACGCGATCGAAAAGCTGGTCTCCACTCCTGTGAGAAAATGCTTGGCAGCGGGGCCCGAACCATTGATCGAATCGGGGATTTTCCACTGCCGGGAACGGCTGCCAAGCACACCAAGCACCTTGCCGTGTTGGCAACCTGGAAAGCCGCCGCGAGGTCAAGGGAACACAAAGGTACCTCGTGCTGCCGTTTCAACCGCATCCCTCCAAATACCATCGCAGTGGGGCTATGTCATCCGTAACAGCAATGACAGGATAAAACTATCGCATCATCATATTCATTCACCGTGATCACCGCCCGCGATTCTCATCATGGCGGCCCAAGCAGAGTTGGCAGAGCCTTTACTTGCTCCGACGGAAGCCGAGAAGGGCGATGCAGCACTCGAGACTCACACAGGCCAAGAGTCGGGGCGGAAACATCGGAAAGAATGGGCATCTCATCGGGATGGTAGAAGGATACACCGCCGGCGATTATTTCTATCTTGTGCGGCCATCCTGACTTTGGTCCTTTTCATCCCTTTCATATGTAGGGCGTTGCCATTCGGAAACTCTTCAGGATGGGCTACCCACTGGCTGGATACCGCCGAGCAACCCAACCGGGCACCGCCTTCCGGAGACCTCTATCTCCTTGGCGTTGGCAAGGCTGATATCACTGGACCCGTGGTCGAGATCAACCTGATGGGTTACGCGGACCCAAAGCAACTCGGTACCGGTCTACGACAGCGACTATACTCACGAGCCTTCATTGTCGGGAGCGTTGATAAGCCCGAGGAGAGGTTCGTCTACCTGGTGTTGGACACCCAGTCGGGCGACACCGCCATCCGATACGGCATCATAGACGGGCTCAAAGCGCTCGGGCCGTCTTACGCTGTCTACAGTCACCATAACGTTGCCGTAACGGGCACTCACTCACATTCCGGTCCTGGTGGGTGGTTGAATTACTTGCTTCCTCAGATTACCAGCAAAGGCTTCGACCACCAGGGCCACCGTGCTATTGTTGACGGTGCCCTGCTCTCGATTCGTAAGGCACACGAAAGTCTCCAGCCTGGGTACTTGAGCGTTGGCACCACCAAGGTGCAGGGCGCCAACATAAACCGCAGCTTGTTCGCGTATCTTGCCAACCCGGAGCAAGAGCGTGCCAAATACAACGTCAGCGCGGAGGACGACGGGTCCGTGGAGAAAGACTTGACCTTGCTCAAGTTCCAGCGGGCCTCGGACAAGAAGAACATTGGCGTCCTTACCTGGTTCCCCACCCACGGGACCTCGCTACTCGGCAACAACACTCTGATCGCAGGCGACAATAAAGGAGTGGCCGCCTATCTATTCGAGAGTAGCGCCTGCAAAGACCCTACGGCAGCCGAGAACTTCGTGGCCGGGTTCTCTCAAGCCAACGTCGGCGATACCAGCCCCAACGTCCTCGGTGCGTGGTGTGAGGATGGCTCGGGGGAGATGTGTAGCTTCGAAAACAGCACGTGCAGTGACGGCCGATCTCAGGCATGCCACGCCCGCGGACCGTTCTTCCGGGTCCAAGACAACGGGGCGAGCTCATGCTTCGAGGTAGGAAAACGGCAGTTCGAGCCTGCTCAGGCACTCTACCACGAGCTTCAGCGAAACCCGGTTCCCGTTCGAGGCGGGCCGGTCAAGTCATTTCACACCTTTCACAACATGTCTGGCTTCTCATTCCTTCTCCCGAACGGCTCACAGGCACGCACATGCCCAGCCGCACTCGGGTATTCGTTCGCCGCCGGAACATCGGACGGCCCCGGCGCGTTCGATTTTACGCAGCACGACGGCAACGAAAACACCACATCGCCTGTCTGGCAGGTTGTCTCTCGCCTTCTCAAGGATGCAACGCCCGAGCAGCGAGCGTGCCACGATCCCAAGCCGATCCTTCTAGATGTCGGTGAAGTACACACCCCCTACGATTGGACGCCCAACATTGTCGACGTGCAGGCGTTCCGCGTCGGCCAGCTATTCATCATTGTCAGCCCCGGCGAAGCGACCACCATGTCCGGCCGGCGGTGGAAGAATGCCGTGGCGGACGCCTCAGCAACCCTATTCGACGACGAACGCCGCAACCAAGAACCGGCACCGGCTAGCCCCGCCCCCGTCGTCGTCCTGGGCGGCCCGGCGAACAGCTACACGCACTACATCACGACCGAGGAGGAGTATGGCATCCAGCGCTACGAGGGCGCCTCGACGCTGTACGGCCCGCACACGCTGGCGGCGTACATCAACGTGACGCTGTCGTTCCTGTCGTACCTCGGTGCCGGCGCCCCGCCGCCGCCGCCCCATGACGACTTGGGGCTGTTCCCGCCCGATAACACGAACCGGTCGCTGTCGTTCATCTCGCCGGTCGTGTTCGACGGCACGCCGCTGTTCAAAGGGTTCGGCGACGTGGTCACCGATGTGAATCGGGTCTATCGCCGGGGCCAGCAGCCGCCGGTGAGCGTGGTGTTTGTCGGGGCGAATCCGAGGAATAACCTGCGTCTCGAGGGCACGTTTGCGGCGGTGGAGCAGCTGGGTCTGTTTGGCAAGGGGGAACAGTCCGTGTGGAAGAGGGTGAGGGATGATGGGGACTGGGCGTTGGCGTTCAACTGGCGGAGGACGAACGAGATCATGGGCACGAGCGAGGTCGAGATTGTGTGGGAGCCGGAGGACTGGGCGGAGTCGGGCGTGTATCGGATCCGGTATTACGGGGATTCGAAGAGTCTGGGCGGGAATATCGGGGCTTTTGAGGGTGTGAGTTCGCCGTTTACTTTGGTGTAAGGCACTTTCTGTGGGATCGGGGTGGACTGGACTGGGTAATGGTTTGACGGGATTGAGGGGGCATCATGGAATATCCCGGTCGGCGTTTTGGTTTTTCTTATTCGAGGTATTCGAGGTATTCAAGTAGCCCTAGCCCTGTTCAATTACACACCGAGCGGAACTACCTTATCCTTGTTATGTTGGTAACCGGACCGTAATCCGCCCCCATCACTTACGCTGGACATGCATTCTGCCAACAAAGCCACTCGTGCCACTGCATGCATGCACACGAGCGGTTGTGAGCTGCTTGCTCAGCTTGGGAAGCTACCCCACTCATGACGCAACGCACTGCAGTGAAAACCCCGGAACTTACCCCGGCTGCCCTGCCTCGACACAGCCCGCTCACATAACGACTGCATACATAGGTCAGGCAGTTACCAGGGGATTCGAGCTGACCTTTGTCGACTCCCGGTCTGGCAATTGTTTGTTTTTTTTCACCCGACAACATTCGGCTTGTGGAGGGCCAGCACCGACTCAAACATTCGGAAACACTCAAGAGAGTTGCAACTACCCCTCCACTCTCTAGTCTCGGTCGAAGAACCATCACACATGATCATAGTGCAAAAATTAAATTGAACCACAACTCAAAAAAAATTATATATAAAACTCGAAACGACTTCATAATGGAGTCATTCAATCTCCTCAGGCGCCGCACCACCGAGTTGTTCAACTCCATGCCCGCCGTCCCGGCGATGCCGTCGATGCCCTCGTTGGGCAACCGTAAAGGCGGCGGCATGAAAGGAACCTGGGAAAAGCTCGAGATCCCGCCGCTTCCGCGGTCGTCTCATTCGGCCGACATCGTGGCCGGGACCGTCTACATTTTCGGCGGCGAGGTCGAGCCCCGCCGTCCCGTCGACAACGACATGCACGCCATCACGCTGCCGTCGAGCGGCGCCCAGGCCGACTACTACGCTATCAAGGCCAAGTCGGCCAATCCCTCAGCCCGCGCCGGGAACCTCGCCGTCCCTACCGTGAAGGAGCCCGAGCCCTCCGACTCCGGCTCCGACGAAGAGGAAGACGACGAGGAAGACGACGACGAAGAAGACGACGAAGACGACTCCGAAGAAGACTCGGACGAAGAGTCCGACGAAGAAGAAGAAGACGACGACGACAAGGAGCTATCCGAGGTCCCGCTTACCACGCCCTCCGCGGCCGCCGCCACCAAGGAGGCCAAGGGCAAATCCATCGCCCCCGCCCCCGCGCACCCGGCGGCCCTCCCGGACGTGCCCGCCCCGCGCGTCGGGCACGCCACCGCGGTAATCGGCCACCGGATCTTCCTCTTCGGCGGGCGCGGCGGGCCCGACATGCGGCCCCTCGACGAAGGCGGCCGGGTGTGGGTCTTCGACACGCGCACGCACCTGTGGTCCTTCCTGGACCCATCCCCCGCCGCCGCCGGCCTACCCGACGGCACCCCGCGCCCCGCCCCGCGCAGCTACCACGCCGCGGTGGCCACCGCCAAGCCGGACACCTTCGCACAACCCACGCGCCCGCGCGCGCAGAGCACCAAGGCCGAGGCCTGGCGCGACTGGGCGCTGGGCACGTCGGCCGACGCCGAGCACACCCACGGCACGCCGCAGCGGCCCGTGGTGGGGGTGCTGGCGGAGCGCGCGACGGATGCCGATGCCGACGGCTATGGCACGCTGATTATTCATGGCGGCTGCCTGGCGGAGAGCGAGGGCCGCGCTGCTGATGTGTGGGCGTTCGATGTGCGCTCGCGCGTGTGGCAGCGCCTGCCGGATGCGCCCGGGGCCGGGCGGGGTGGGGCCGCGCTGGCGCTGGGTGGCGGTGGTGGTGGGCGGTTGTATAGGTTTGGCGGGTTTGATGGGGAGTCGCAGGCCGGTGGCCAGCTGGATTTTCTCGAGCTGGGCGTGGATGCCTTTGACGACCAGGTCAGTCGCGGCGAGGCGGTGCTGTGCGCGCGCGGCCGCGGCGGGTGGAAGAGCCTGCTGTTTTATGGGAACGAGGATGTTGGTTACAAGGAGGTCGACGCCGCGCTGCGGCCGCTGCAGTCCCAGCACGGCGGCGAGGGCGCCTGGCCGGGCAACCGCAGCGTGGCGGCCATGGAGGCGGTGACGGTCGGCGGCGGGCGCGAGTATCTCGTGCTGATGTTTGGCGAGCGCGAGGCGTCGGGCGCGGGCCACGAGGCGGCGGGCAGGTTCTGGGACGACGTGTGGGCCTTCCAGGTGCCGTCCGAGGGCATGTCGCTGGCGAGCGTGGCGGATACCGCCTTTTCCGTCGTGGGGAGGAAGAACGGGGAGGGGTCGTGGACCAAGGTTGAGACGGGCCCGCATGACGACGAGGACGATGCCTCGGCCGAGGGGCCCGGGCCGCGGGGGTGGGTTGCCAGTGCGACCATGGGTGAGCTTGAGAACGGCATCGTTGTGTTTGGAGGCCTGAATGAGGGGAACCGGCGGCTTGGGGATGGCTGGATCCTGAGACTGGGTTGATTTCTTGGCCAAGCCTAGGGCCGACGGCTTGTTATGACTGACGATGCGTGTTTGGTGGAAGAAGTGTGTTGGTTAATATGGATACGCGGCGTTGGCGGCCGAGGGGTTTTTTGATTTGTTGTTTGAGATGAACCTGATGACGAAATTTAGAAAAAGCGACCTTTAGGGGGTAGCAACCAGCTTGCAGTTACCTAACAGTTAGTCTAAGAGCAGCAGTTGAATTCGGTCCGTTGTCACAGATCTGCTGTCACTGCATTCTCAACTAGCGACCCCCTTGCAAAATACAGTCAAGACTTTCGTTTTGTACACCCGTCTATCAAACCCCGGATGCCGTTGGTTAGTCTACAAATCGTCCCGCGTCTTCTCGACCCCCCACGGCTCGCTCGTCAGATTTGTCAGGCCGGCGCTGTTCTCGCACGTGTCCCGCCCGCTCAGCGGCCCGGGCTTGGGCACCTTATCGGCCTTGCCCACCTCCGTCACACTCTCCTTGAGCGCCGTCAGCAGCGACTTGATGGACTCGGGTGTCAGGTCCTCGTAGTAGTCGTCGTTAATTTGGATCATGGGCGCGTTGACGCAAGCGCCAAGACATTCAACCTCGATGAAGGTGAAGAGCCCGTCCGCCGTCGTCTCGCCCTGCTTGATGCCCAAGTGCTCCTTGATGGCCTTCACGATGGCGTCGCTGCCGCACCCGCCGAGCTGGCAGGGTGTCTGTGTGTAAAACAACAATAAGCCTCTGCCCGAGAAGCTAAGGAGAAGAAGAGCTGAAGGACGTACCGTTGTGCAGGCCTGGACGTGGAACTTGCCCACGGGTGTCCGGTTGTACATGGTATAGAAGGAAGCCACTTCGTAAACGCGCATCGGCGGCATCTCGAGGATGCGGGCCACCTCGTTCATGACACTGATGCTGGTAAATCCATGCTGCCGTTGGCCCAAGTCGAGCAGCGGCATCACGGCGGCCTTCTTGTACTGGGGCGGGTAACGCTTGAGGACCTCGGTGATGATGGCCTCATTCTGCTCGGTGAACTTGAAGGGAAGGTCCGGGTTGTTGTCGGGGGTGTTGCGATGCTATCCTCGTTGAAGTCCTTGTCAATTCCCCGCTCTCGACATCCCAATTCCACCAAATGCCTCCACGGCGGGCACCAACTCACCACCATGAGGCTATCGCTCTGTTTCCTCGCCGAGAGGGAGAATGCCCGGGTCGCTGGTGCGATTGGCCGCGCTGCCCGGCTCGCCGACCGAACGACCGTCCGCATGAGGAAGGGTGCTAGCTTACTCGCCATGGCTGCGGCTTTGTCGGCAATGGCAGCGTCAATCGGTTTCGGCGTCGCAATTGCTGGCCCCGACTGAGCGTCGTCGAGTTCCAGAGCTTCACTGATTGAAGAGGGCACAGACCACCTGCTCTGACAAATGATGCTGACTGATTGGCTGGCAGAAGGTGCTTTCTGTGGGGTGTGCGGCTTATTCGCTTAACCGGTTCTTGCATCTACCAAGTATCCTGCAGACTGCCTCGGTCTCCCGACTCCACTCCCATCATCGTCTGGACCAAAGCACTCCTTCCCTTGCCTTCCCTTCCTCACACCTTCGATTTCCAAGGCCAGCATGGATCTCTCGAGCTAATGTGACGGGTGCATCATCAACCAGATATTATTTCGAGTGGTCCTGCTTCACCATCTTAATCCCACTACCATGGTTCGGCGCGCTCCATCTCGTCGTGCCCTTGCTCGCGTTCCACTCCGGCCTCCGGGCCGTGATCTTGGATCCCCGGGCAGCCTTGTCCTTGAACGATGTTGCTTTGACATGGTCTCCGGCTTCAAAATTCGACCCTGACAGGAAATTGATTCCCATTAGAGTTTGAATCACGGCGTCTCAGTTCCGGGTTTTCGACGTCTCTTTCGCTTATCTTCCGTCCATCGTGGCGGCCCAAACCTGTCTGGTTGGTCTCAGATTCCGTCTTCTCCACGTTCGGCGATGCCCCACGCGGTTGCTTGGGATTTCGACGTCAGATCGACACCATATCCCACCACTATGGGAAGGTTGGAGGCCGTTCGTCGGCCGGCTGAATTAGGAAAGCTTCCGCCTTGTTCTGTTTTTGGCTTCAGTTTACCCGCCCCTGGCTGGGGGGGGGGGGGGGCATTATACTGCCTAATGTAACGAGACTGGGCGCTGGCGGCATTGATGCGCGCGGGTGACAGTGCTTCGCTGTTGCCCAACCCATCCCTCCCATACCCCAGACGCAATATAGAACCCAGTTTATCTGAATATATTGCCCCCCTTCTCAAAACCTGGGGCCCCGCCCTGCCTCACTACCGGACCGCAAGCCACGGGTCGGCACCTCAAGCCCCCTATCCCCCATTTGTCACCAATGGCTCACAAGATCAGGGATGCCGTCATGCCCACTATGCGTGCAGGTCTTGACATGCCCGGGATTCAGAACTCGGTGCCTTCTCGGCCAACATCCGGATCCAAGGGTTCGTTGCCGGGCGCCGCAACCCCCCCCCCCCTTTTCCCCACCCCTTACCCATCCCGCTGGGCTCTATAAGTACGGGGCGAGTGCCGGTGATAGTTTGGTTCGCAGCAGGCAACTCAAGTCTCCCACACCGCAGTCGACTCTTCCCTGACACCAAGCCACCATGAAGCTCTCCGTGGTATCTCTCCTGGCTGCTGCCCTCTCCGTTGAGGGACACTGCATCTTCCAGAAGGTCTCTGTCAACGGAGCCGACCAGGGTTCCCTCACTGGCCTTCGCGCCCCCAACAACAACAACCCCGTGCAGGATGTCAGCAGCCAGGACATGATCTGCGGACAGTCCGGCTCCACGTCGCAGACCGTCATCGAGGTCAAGGCCGGCGACAGGATCGGTGCCTGGTACCAGCATGTCATCGGCGGCGCTCAGTTCCCCAACGACCCGGACAACCCGATCGCGCCGTCCCACAAGGGCCCCATCATGGCCTACCTTGCCAAGGTCGACAACGCCGCTTCCGCCAGCCTGAGCGGCCTGAAGTGGTACGTGTTTCTTCCTCCCGAGCGCCGCCGCGATCCGAGACTAACGGGCTTGATAGGTTCAAGATCTGGGAGGATTCCTTCGACACCGGCAGCCGGGTTTGGGGTGTCGACAACATGATCAAGGAGAACGGCTGGGTGTACTTCAACCTCCCGCAGTGCGTCGCCTCCGGCCAGTACCTCCTCCGCGTCGAGATCCTCGCCCTGCACTCTGCTAGCAAGCCGGGGCAGGCGCAGTTCTACCAGTCCTGCGCCCAGATCAACGTCTCCGGCTCCGGCTCCCTCTCGCCGTCCGAGACCGTCAGCTTCCCGGGTGCCTACAGCGCCAGCGACCCCGGCATCCTCGCCAGCATCTACGGCAGCACCGGCCAGCCCGACAACGACGGCAAGCCCTACACTGCCCCTGGCCCCAAGCCCGTCTCGTGCTAAGCATGGGAATCCTTGTTGGAGGGAGTGTTTTGATGTCGGAGAAGAAGTGGGAGGATGTCCGGCCGCTGCGCGCATTGCGGCGCCGTGGCAGGGGGTTGGGCGGAGTCTGCTGTCTGAGTGCAATACGTACTTAGGTGGCTCGTCATGGTATTAGCATAGTACTAGACCGAATTTGATATACTGCTACATTACAGTAGTACATACGCTGCAACTTTGCTTCTTCGTCGACTTTGACGTGCTCAGAGTGTGGTGTGCTGGGAGGGGGAGAACTCGGATGAGCAACGTTCGTTCCCATGAGCAATAACACATCCGATCTGTATCTCATGACAACCTGGGCTTCGTTTTACCAAGCATACATTGAAGTTAACTGGGACATACCCTATCTTGAACCCCAAGCCTGCAGGGGTCGACTTACACTCCTGTGTAAGGTATGTCCGAAGTGCAGACAAGCCTCCAGCCCTGTGACGCCTCGGCGCCTCGCCCCAGCTCTCAGCGGTTGGCTCCACTCCCGTCATCACGAACATGGATGGACAATCGGCCCTGTCGGAAGCACGGCATGGTTCACGAAGGAGGCGGGTGAGTGGGGTGCCGGAAATAAAGCTTCACGAAAACATGGAGCAGTCGTTTCCCGCAATCACCCACTGAAAATTTCCATGCCATCAGACGGGATTCGTTCCTGAGATTTGCTGTCCCCCGTCTCATCGCCGAAATACGTCCAGCTTTCATGAGGGACTCGGCTTTAAGTTGTGGGGGGCCGGTGACACAAACCAACCTGCATGACATCCGCATTGTTTCCATGAACCGGGTATATGGGCATTGCCTGGTGGTTTATATGGTGTGCGCCACCCGTGGCAACAGGCGCGGCGAGCAACCAAGCGCGAAACGCGAGGGGTGATGGTGTTCTTGAATTCTCCTTACACGGGAGTGAGGTTGCGAGCTTTCATTTGAGCGGGAGGTCCACTGATCAGTGTTCGCTCGTCTCACGGCGAAACTTTGACGGCTCCACAAAGGTGGCTCCCAACCGAACAGTGACAGGGTCACCCGCACTTTTCTTCCCTGTCGCTTTTGGCCTCACACCAGGATCACCGATCTCAACCCCAGAGCCGGCTGCCGACGCCGACCACCGCAGCGTCAGGTTCTCCAGAGTTGAGGAGCGAGCCACGTCCGTCATTTCCACAGTCTTGCCTCGCCACGGCGATACCCGTTCTGTAGTCATGTTCTCGTGAGCGTAGAATCACCTCTCGAAGCTCGGTACCCGCGCTGTGAGTTGGAGTGACATGCATGTTACAATCGCGAAAAAGCTCGAGTCATGTCCACTTGTTCGTGGAGACATCTTGCTGAACCCCAACCGAGCCGAGCACCCCCACCTTGATTGCCCGGCGGCTTTGGGCGGTCTGTGATTCGAAATTCGCGCAGTGAGAAAGCCGCCTTGCCATTGCCTGTTCTCCGTGCCTCCGGTGGCCAAGCTTTCTTGTTTCTGCCGATTGACCCACAGGAGTTATTTTGTTTTCCTTCTTCCCATCCGCCGTTTCCATCTCTGGTTCCCTTCCCTCTCCAACCTCACTTGACACTTCCGCTCGACAGGAGACTGCCACGCCCGGTTCCCCCAATTGGCCCGTCGTCCTCCCAACCTCTCAACGTCCTGTGTTGTTCATCCGCCCTTCGACTCCCAGACTCGATCTGCCGCATTCGTGACTTTAAACCGGTCCTCGAAGCTCCACCCAATCCGCGTCTCTTCGTCTGCACTTAATACGCAAAACCCAATTGTAAGCAATCACTATCATCTTCCGCTAATTGGCCAATTGGTCAATTGGTCAATTGGTCAATTTCGAGCAGCATCTCGCAAACCTCTTTGCTCCCAACCCCATTCCATTCCCTGGGCAGCTGCTAGGCAGTTCTTGAACGACACGCCCGAGCTTCGGCAGCATGACGGATGCCAAGCGCCAAGAGTGCCACAGCCGATCGTGATGATGGTGTTGTCCCCCAAGCTCCTCATCCCAACCCCCCAGAAACAAATCACGCCGGTGCGGGAGTTTATCGCCGAAGCCACTTTCAACTGCGAAACCGAGACCAACCAACCACTCAATTGCACGCATGCTGCTCAATTAGAGCTTCAATCGCTAATCCCGCTTCACCTTTAGCACTCCCAAAATCTCAAAATGGCCGCCATCAGCCTCCCCATCGTCGCTCGCGACAGCTTCGCCCAGCTCGCCAAGCGGACCAGCTGGCCCGCCGAGAATCCCGGTGTCATGGTTGTGTTCTGCGTCGTCTTCGTCGTCGCCGTCGGTCTCCTCGCCCTCTTCATCTACAAGAAGATGCTGGCCCGCAGGGAGAAGAGCCAATCGACCGTCTAAACGGACAGGCAGACACCTCCCCCATCAACCTTTGGTTCACGCTGAGTCGGGAAGACGTATGGAGGACGGTCCGGCCAGTCCGGGATGGGCAATGAAGTAATGATTTGCTGCGGATGAGGGGCGTTTGAGAGGGAGAGATGCTTGGAGGGTTCCCTGGCCTGCTCGGCAGGAGGGTTCCCGAGGAAGGTGGTTGGCGACCAAGAGGGACGCGGTGTTGATCAGGATCGACCGGCTGATTTGCGACGATACCCCACGACTCAATCCAGCGACATACGGCAACAGCACCTCCATGGCTCTTCTCGCCTTTACCGGTATTCAACTTCCCGGGTGCCTTGGAAAGGCTGCTTGTTTGGAGAACCTTGGAAAAGGCTGGGACGGGAAATCGGATGAGTTGCTCTGTCGCGGCGATGTTGTGTCTGTCCACCGGATCTCTAACCTCAATCCTGATGACGGGCAATTTTCACACGGCGCGCCGGATCTCGCCATCTGGGGGACTGGCAGCTCATTTTACTATACTTTTTTCTCTTCTAATACTATTTGATACCTTCACTGACCAGAAATTTGCGACCAATTTTTGTCGTCGCGTAAAATCGTACTTTGCCCTTAAACCGGCTCCGCTCAGAACAGACCAGCCGGAGATGAATCGGGATATGAGAAGCCGGCAGCCGGCCTGTGCCGCGGAGGTGTGGGATTGCTCGCCCCCACGACGCCATAAATGCCGCACTGACTGCACCCCCAGCGCCCAGTGATTCCGGTTGGTTTCCTGACCCTTGCCAACCCTTGCCAATGCTCGGCCATCACCGCCAAGGTGGCTGGTGAAGTCTGGGGTGCATTGGCGTTGGTGATCGTGACCAAAGCTCACCATTCGAATCGCCTGGACCCTATATCCGGGTAAGGATTGACTCTCGCCTGATTGAATTCAATTCTTGTTACTGTCGCTGGCCTTGACCGCCGTTTGTTGAGAACAAATGGCGAGCGATACCTGAAATTGCCGCAGCCGCTCTCATTCACACCGAGAACATCGGCGAAGGATTCAATTCTCCGCCCACCCGTTATTTAGCGCTTGCAGTGTTTACATTGACTTTTACTGCTTCGAGGAGTCCGAGGCAAAAGAAGCCGAACCCCTCTTCTCCGACGCTCGCTACCTATTGCTTAATCCCGCTTTGCGTACTATTCCAACCTCTCGAGGTGAATCAAACCATTTGCAGGCTAAACGTCCTCACGTCGTCAGTAAAACACAACCAGAACCGTCTCCCATCTAGGTAAGGAAGCACGAGACACGAAACGGGTGCAAAACTCACCGGAACGAACTGCCTCAACTTCACCCCAGCCTCCCTAAACACCGCAGCCGTATCCCCATCCATGCTATACCCGTGATTGTACACCACCTCCCCCACCCCGACCTGCACAATCTTGATACTGCACGTCAGGCACGGGCACGTATCACAATACAGCACGGCACCATCACGCAGACGCTCCCGCCCGGCCTCGAGCAGGGCGTTCTCCTCCGCATGAATACACAGACAAGTCGCCAGGCCATGGCCGGACCCGTCCCCGGCATTACAGCGAGCACAGCCCCCCTCGCCACAGTTGGGCAGGCCGCGCGGGGTGCCGTTGTAGCCCGTGGAGATGACGCGCTTGTCGCGCACGACGACGCAGCCCACGCGCCGCTTCATGCAGTTGCTGCGCTGCGCCGCCAGCGACGCCAGCGCCATGAAGTAGGCGTCCCACGACGGCCGCAGCCGCTCCCGCGCCAGCAGGTCCACCCCGCCCAGCGCCGCGTGCAGGTGCGCGAGGGAGTCGGACGTGTTGAGCAGGCGGACGGATGCTCGTGAGAGCAGCGGGTGGGCGCCCCGCGCGGGGTCGTAGAGGTGCCCGTCGGAGAGGGCCACGAAGCTCTCGAATGTTTTTTGTTTGGTTGCTGCTGCGCCGGCGGCCGTGGTGGTGGTGAGGAGCTGCTGCTGGCGGGCCTGGTAGCGCCGCCAGCGCACGGTGAGCGGCGCGTCGACGCTGAGGAGGAGGAAGAAGGGGCGCCGCGCGTATAGGTCGAGGATGGCTTCGGAGTGGATGTCGGTGGTCACCCAACGCTCGCGCCAGTGCTTGGTGACGAAGTCCAGGAGGTCGCCCGGGGCGGAGAAGATGTGTTGGGGGTTTGGTGGGCTGTCGGAGCCGTATGGGCTGCCGTTGCTGTTGCTTGGGAAAACGACCCCGTCGGTGCCATCGTTCACTCCGTCGCTAGCTCGGATATCCAAAAAGAGCTGGGTAAAGCCATGGTGGTCAACTAGGTAACGCGCAATGGTGCGCTTCCCCGCGCAAATACCTGGCACTCGTTGTCAAAAATGGGGTTGGGTAAACAATCTGAGGTAAGAAAGGGGGATTTACTGCCGCAGACGCCAATAAACATTGTTACGTCAGTTCGCCCTGCTTGCCCCTGTTCAACAAACGACCTGGTAACCACACAAGAGAAGACTCGATCTCGGTCTTCTCTCGAAGTTCCCCTCGCCCACAAATTCCTTCGCATCGAATGGAAGACCCGAAACTGTCCAGTGCGGCCCGACGCGTCCCTGCAGCCAATTTACGCGTGCAAGCCGGTTCGCCAAGGCTTGGCATGTGGAAACAGGGTTAAGCTTGAGGGGCATTCTGCCGGTCGAGCGGTCCCAGCAGGAAACAAGTGAGGGGCAGCAGAGCGAGAGCTGGAGCAAGCTTGGAGGCTGGATCTCCCCCACCATCACCCGGAGGCGGCGCAGCTGCCTTGCTTACAACACCAACAATGAATTACTGTCGAATGGATCCTATGACACATCTCCACCATCCACCGGACCCAACAGAAAACAGCTGACCGGCACAGAAAGAACCACGAGACTACCACCCTTCTCTCTCTATCCTCGGCGGATGCTTCTGTAATCTTCAACAACGACCAGACTCAACTTCGAGCCAGCCCTTACGCACCTGAACAAGGCAACACGTACCTAGTTATATCTCAAAATAATTTTGTCTGCAGATTCATTCACGAATTTGTGAACAACCCATCTTAGGAACTTACATTTGCATCACCCTTTCATCATCCTCATTGTTCGCCTCTGGAGTGTTTTCCGCTTCTCACCACAATCACCGGGACCCCCAGATAGCTCTCATTCTCGAGAACCAGTTTCCATTTAAACACACAAACAATCAACCGATTTTACATCACGTCAATCACGATACGATACTTGTCCGACTGGCCGGTTAACTACGATGGCCGCCCTCAAGTTTGTGCCTTTCTCGTCAGAGGTCGAACTACCGTTTTATTATGCCCTGTTTGCCTCAAAGCTCGACACCGACAAGCTCGATGATTCGGCACGCCCGGTAACAGGCTTATATGAGCCCCGTTGGAAAGCCGATGAAGCATCGGGCACAAGAATGCAAATCTTCGGGAACGCACTCACAAACAGAGAGTAAGTTTATATATATGCCCTTGGGCTCTTAACCAGTCCAGTCTAGAACTAACCATAATGTAGTGCGCCTGCCGGCATGACCCGTGCCAAAGGGTACATTAAAAACGTGAACACGATCGAGGACTTCAAAAACACCGACAAGAGTGCTATGATCACAGATGCTGGACGTCAGGTATGTAGTCCCGTCTAACTTCTTTGCAATAACTGCTAACATGTCGGCAGATATGGGAGGCGATCCAGGATGGCACCATCTACTCGGTGCCTTCACTCCTTTCTTCCTTCACCGTTCTCTCGTTTGCCGACCTGAAGAAGTACAAGTTCACCTATTGGTTTGCTTTCCCCGCGCTCCATTCGGATCCTGCCTGGAAGCAAACTGGGCCGGTCGGGCGCATGAATGCACAGGAGAGCACGGCGCTCGTTGACTGTGTAGGGACCTGGCGGTACGCTGCGAGCAACGAAGGGGAGCATGGCTTCTTCCTCGCCAAAAAGGTGCGGGGCGGGGATGATGACCCTTCAAGGCCAAGGCCCGACGACACTACTCCAGATATCGGCTATCGATGGCAAATCGGCTCCCTGCGGGATTTTGAGACCGGATTCTTCAACGATGTCAATGAGGAGGACCGATATGTTGCCTTTGTGGACCCATCCAACTACTCCGAGTCGCCATCATGGCCGCTTCGGAACCTCCTCGTCTTGATCAAGCAGAGGTACCGCTTGAACAAGGTCCAGATTCTGTGTTACCGCGATACACAGGCGAGGAGGCACGAAGCCCGGAGTATCATTCTCCCATTGTCTACCGACCCAGCCGAGGATACACAGGCCGCTAAGATGCCTAGTGTCACAGGCTGGGAGAGAGATGGTGGCGGCAAGCTGAGGGCGCGCATGGTCAATCTATCGGACTATATGGATCCTACCCGGCTAGCCGACCAGGCGGTGGACCTGAATCTGAAGCTGATGAAGTGGCGGCTGGCTCCGGAGCTCGACCTTGACACCATCAAGAACACAAAGTGTTTGCTACTCGGTGCAGGAACACTTGGAAGCTATGTCTCAAGGAATCTGATGGGATGGGGCGTGCGAAAGATCACATTCGTCGACTACGGCGCTGTATCCTTCTCAAACCCAGTGCGGCAGCCCCTGTTCCGGTTTGACGACTGCATTGATGGAGGAAAGCCAAAAGCGCCTCGCGCTGCCGAGTCCCTCAAGGAGATTTACCCGGGTGTCGAGTCCGAGGGGCATGTCTTGTGTGTGCCGATGCTCGGCCACGCCCTTTTGGAAGAGGAGAAGGTGAAGGCAGATTTCGAAAAGTTACAGAAACTTGTCGATGAGCATGACGCCATCTTCCTCCTCATGGATTCGCGCGAATCGAGGTGGCTACCCACCCTGATGGGCAAGGCCTCCAACAAGATCGTCATGAATGCGGCGCTTGGGTTCGACACATATGTGGTAATGCGACATGGTGCGGCGCCAGAGGACGGCAGCGAGGAGACGTTGGGTTGCTATTTCTGCAATGATGTTGTAGTTGCGGCGGATGTAAGTGCCCCTATTCGGGAATATAAGAAACTAAGCAGTACTAACCATCAGCACAGTCTATGAAAGACCAGACGCTAGATCAGCAATGCACAGTGACCCGACCGGGTGTAGCAGCTATCGCCTCGGCCCTGTTGGTCGAGCTGCTGACCAGCGTGCTCCAGCACCCAAAGAAACAATATGCGCCGGCCCCAGTATCCACAAAGGGACCGACAGGATCCAACTACGAACGTGACCCGGTCGACCACCCGCTGGGTCTCGTACCACACCAGATCCGAGGATTCCTGTCTAACTTCCAGAACATGATCATCCACGGCCGGTCTTACCCTCAGTGCAGCGCATGCAGCCAGTCGATTGTATCGGCATACAAATCCGAGGGCTGGGGGTTTGTCAAGAAAGCGCTTTCCGACCGGAACTATGTTGCTGAGCTTAGTGGTTTGGCCGAGGTGCAGAGACAGGCTGAGGCCGCGGCCGCAGAAGTGGAATGGAGTGAGGACGAGGACCTGGCTGAGGAGGAGGGTGAGGGTGTTATTCTCTAGCTGGAGCGGACTACAGAGGTATTCCCTCGCTAACGGCGCAGGGGTTTCGGAACTTGGAGTTTGGTTGAGTTGAAATTCGTGAGGACACAACTCAGTTTTCTAGACCCTTGGTATTTGATTTTTGAGTGAGCCTATCATTGGGGTCTTATGAGACGTAGGCATATGAATACATGAATACATGGCCTTTTGATATGTTAACTCGGTACTTCTCAGTGCTGCTCGACTCGAGGTGAAATGGATGAGCTGTCTGTCAAAAAGCGGTAAGCGGTAGGAAGCGGCATAATTATTTCCCCAAGACCCCGGACTTATTTTCTGCCAACAACCCACTTTCCGAACTTTCCCAATCGACATCAGCCAGGCAATTGTTCAACAAAAATGGCCCAGGGCGCGGCAAAAAAGACACCAAAGCCCAACCCGGGCGGGAAGGGCGGCAAGGCAGGCGGCAAACAGCAGGCGAAAAAGAGCGGCGTCACCAAGTCGAAAAAGGCAAAGACCACGGCCGACAAGATCCAGAAGAAGTACTCAGCAGGCTTGGTGGCGAGGACAGAGCAGATGCTCGGCGAGCGGGCGGGGCATCTTGAGCTGATCGGCAAGGGGAGGAAAAAGGGCACGGAGAAGGAGTTTAAGGGAGGGAGTCGCAAGTTTGGTTAGGTGGAAGCCGGAAGGAGTGCGGTCGTGTGTGGAGGGGAGGAGGGGGAGGGATTGAGACACGCACGGCGTCATCACCACTGCGTTATTTGGGATATTCAAGGGCGGCTAGGACCCACGAGGCATTTCAGCGGATTCTTTCATTCGCCTAGTCCTGCGGTTGGGTCGGCACTCAAATGCTCAAGTACCCGCCCATATTACTCCCGACCCTCGGCAATACCAGTCAATACCTCCTTGATAACCGCCGTATCCCTCTCGACGTCGACACGCCAGCTCCCGACGGCAATGCGAACAGCCTTTTTTCCATCCCACTTGGTCCCGCTGACAAACATCTTGCCCGTCGTGTTGATCCGGTCAACTAGCACCTCGTTCAAGGCGGCGTTCTTGGCTCGGAACAGCACGATGATGAATGTACTCTCCAACGACGCATCCTCGCTCGGTAGCCACTCGTAGTGGTCCGAATCCCGCACGAATGCAGCAATCTCCCGCGCGAGGAGGACCATTCGGCTCAGCATAGCTGCCATCCCCTCCCTACCCTCGCTCAACAGGACAGCGTACACCGGCAGAGCACGGAAACGGCGCGAGTTTTCAAGGCCGATATTTAGCGGGCTCAAAATGGAATCGGGGCCACCGGTGGATGCGAGGTACGCGGCGTTGGGGTTACTGCAGACCTGTGTGAGGACGGGGGCGTTCCGGCAGAGAAAGATGCCGTTATCATAGGGCTAGGCACCGTTAGGGCAGAAACCAAAAGTCCATACTCTGGCAATAATAACATACCACATTCAAAAGCTTATGTCCGTCGGCCGCGATGCTGTCAGCCAGTTCCAGACCAGCAACATTCGCATGCAGACCAAGATACTCGTCCGTCTTGGGTAGGGCGCGCGCAAAAATGCCAAATGCTAAATTCATCAATATCAATCCAACAACTCCCGATACACCAGAAGAGTAGAGTGAGTGCATACCGCCATCAACATGGATCCACGCCCCATACCGATCCGCCAAGCTCCTCAGCTTCGGCATATCCAACACATTAGTAGCAAACCGCCCCGTGTTCACCTCCCCGGCACTCACCACAACAATACTCACCACCCCGTCCGCCTCCCTCCGCAACTCCCTTTCCACCGCATCCAAATCCAACCGCCACGGCTCGGCCACACTCACCCCCAACTCCTTGACACACCCCCGACCAAGCCCGACGACGCTCGCCGCCTTGCTCAGCGACGAGTGACCCATGCTAGTCAGCATCTGCACCTCGCGCACGCCGCCCGCCAGGCACGCGCCCAGCAGGCCCGCCTCCGCGACCGTCGCCCCCTTGCCCTTGCCGGCCGCGCGCGCGTTGACCACCGCCTCCCGCCCGCACGCCAGCCCCAGGATGTTGCCCGCCGTCGCCCCCGTCGTGAACGTCCGCCCCGGCCAGCCCGCCGCCTTGCTGCCATCACCACCACCACCCCCCCAGCTCCAGCAACGCAACCACCATCCCCAGCGCCGCGTCCTCCACGGCCGTGCAGGCCGAGTGCACCCATTCCTCCCCCTCCCCCTCCCCCCCCCCCTCCCCTTTCTCCTTCTGAGGAGGAGGAGGGGGAAAATGCACCTGCACGTTCTGGTCCAGCGCCGAGACCAGGTTGTCGGCGGCCTCGGCGATGGGCAGGACGCCGCCGGTCACGAAGCCGAAGTAGCGCGGCGAGAGCGACTGGCGGTTGAGAGCCGGGAGGAGGTGGGCGAGCAGGTGCGCGTGCGTCTGGGCGGCGCCGAGCGGTTGGAGGTAGCGAGGGGAGGAGGGGGAGGGGAGGGAGGTCAGGGCGGTGGTGAGGGTTTGCGGGGTGGGGAGGATTGGGGGGGATGATGATGATGACGTGGTGGTGGTGGTGGTGGCGATGGCGTGGCGGAGGCGGGTGTAGCTTTGGAGGAGGAAGTCGGTTTCGGGATCGGGTTTGGAGCCCGTGGTGGTGGTGGTGGTGGTGGTGGTGATGGTGGGCCCGGGGTTGGGATTGGAGGGTGCGTGCGTCATGGCTGCGGTTTGGGGTGTTGTGTTTACCACGGGTGAGGTTGGCACGAATAATTGGGTGGTGTCGGTGTTGTTCCAAGTTTGATGATACCTCTGAGAGCTGAGCGCCGAAAAGGTACCGAATCCCAACTCGGCACTTTACCGAGAGGATCCGACCATCAGCCAACTCCTGTCCATCAGCCGCAGTTTCTCATCGGGCAAAGACTCCGGCCCCGAAACGGGCCCGTTTCCTGCACACTGGACAAAAGAGGAAGGTGGTCATGTTAATTACTGGGGAGTCTGCTATGCCGGCAAGTTCCAGGCGAAGACGTGGGAATCACCGCGAAGCGAACAGGGCCAGGAATGGATGATTGGCGAGAGTCGTCCGTGCTTCCGAAGTCGTTGAGTCCTTGAGACTCATACTGTCAGTGTACCACAGCGTAGACGAACTGCCCGGTAACTATGGGCCTCAAAAAAGCAGTGTGGGTGGTGATAGTGGCTGCAGTGCGCCCCTCACCGACGAGCAGGCGATACACCGACCCATGCCACCCATCACAGGCATGTTTTGGCGTGCTTGAACTCGCTCATCCGTTCATGCCGTGATGCAGTGCAACCCTGCCCCGAGCTGTCCAGCGCCGACGAACCTATCGGACCGCTACGACAATAACCGATGCCGGTAAATATTAATTCCATCTCGGGCGGTTTTTGAAAATTTCGAGATTGATTCCATTGGACCTCATTTCAAGGTGAGATAACTACCTAATGGCAAGCAAGAGCGATCTTGGGTCGCCCTTCCCCGTGCTCGGTTGAAGTTGCGCAAGCGGGCGCAAGGATTCCTCCCTCGGGGAAGGCGTTCGGTGGATCTGGCAGGAACAGGTACCAGATTGCTTGTTTTGGGTGGAGTCTGGCACCCGTTACGGAACCACGCCCACGGAACCGACAGAACGGATTGGGCTGCCCCGCGCAAACCTGGACTCCCGAGTCTCCCGAGTTTCCTGTTATCTCCTGCAACTCCTGTAATAAAGTACGGACATAACATAACTCCAACGCTGACGAGCGAGGCCAACAACAGCCGAGATTGCACACACCCGGCCTGGAACGGAACCGACCATGGGATCTGCCCGTCGGGTCCAGGTTGCGCCATGTGGGGATGCCGCCCTTGTCCCGGTTTTTTGTTTCGTTTTTCCATTTCGACGACAGGATTGACCAACCTCCACCTCCCGGGCTCCTCTCCGGGGAACGCACACAAGACTTGCAGCTGGGGTAAAGGGGGCCATCGAAAGCTTCCTAAGCTCTTTGTGACCGCCTCTTCAGTTAGCGAGCAAGATGCAACCACTCAGCGTCTCCCGCTTCCCTTGGCATCCAGACGCGGGACACACTTGCTGAAGATCCGAGTCGCCGGGAACGCCCATTCTGTGAGCGTCGCAAACGGACATTTTGCCGGGAGATCCACCCTTGCATCAGTCCAGTTCGAACCATGGTTGACCAGGTGCTGTGGGTTGCGGGTGTGCAACCCCCCCTTGTTCTGCCCTTCTGGGCGCACGCCCACACGCCCGCCGCCTTCGGCATCCACCCAAGCCGCTGGGTCTGCCACTCCCCCCTACCCGTGCCCCCGGGTCGTCTCAGAAGTTCCCGGCAGAACCCCCAAGACCCGGGCACAAAGACGGCAAGGGTGCCTCTGACCCAGACTGCCGGGTTCTGTGCTCCCACCGCATTGTCTCGTCTGTCTCTGTAGGGGATGGGGATTGCGCCGCGCAGCCTGCCACCTGGTCATCTTGTCATCTCGGGCCGATCATTTCTCTTCCACTCATAGGCAGAGAGAGCTCTGCTTCCCCTTCCCCTTCCGGTTCCGACTCTTTTATGCAAGGGCCGGGGAACGGGTGTGCTGTTTCTCTCGGCCGCTCGATCTGGACCCGAACACCTCCCCTTTCTGGGTTCCCTCCTCTAGTTATCTTGCATTGCCTTCCTCTCCACAACAACACGCCGTGCTGCGTTCGGGGCAGCCCGCCTGGCAGAATGGCGCCGCCAGCGTCTCTCAACATGTCCTTCCGCTCCGCTGACCGGCAGCTTGACAGCTATCAGTTCACATTCGAGTCTTATCTGGAGGACTCGGCGCGAATTGAGCCGGATGTATGTGCTGTACTACCCACCCTCAGCGGCAATCCCTCCTGAATGATGTCAGACACGGGCTAACCACGGCACTTGCCAGTCAAATGGTCACGATGTGTAGTATGCTGCTGCCTCTGGTCTCACATTCGGCCGCTCCGAGCCCGATAGAGGGTTATACGTACCACCAGCTAACAGCCACGAGTGATACAAAGTCCCTGTCGGACAGCATAGCCAGATCCCGAGAAGAGTTTGGGAGGACCTATCATTCATACCGCGCCGGATGTATGTTTTGTCACCAGCCTTCCCCGACTTCTCGCTGACAACATCAAGCCTACCCATTCCCCAATGACAACCCAGAAAATGATCGCATGGAGGAACAGTATGAGATCATCAAGATGGTCATGGACGGGCGGCTACACCTCGCCCCTTTCTCCCGCGACCGCCCTCCACGGCACGTTCTAGATGTTGCAACCGGCACAGGCATTTGGGCCGTCGAGATGGGCGACAAGTACCCCGAAGCCGAGATCGTCGGGACCGACCTGTCACCTATCCAACCCGCCTTTGTGCCCCCAAACGTGCACTTCTTTATCGAAGACTCGTAGGTAAACGCCCTCGCAGTCCGTATTTCTCAAGCTAATTCGGTGCCGCACAGGAGTGAAGACTGGTATGCCAACCTCCCCGTGCATCTTCTTTTTGACCGGCTGCATTCTACACGTGCCCAGTTCTAACCCCCTTCAAGAAGAAAATAAGCTGACATAGTCCAGGTACTATCCTACCAAATTTGACTTTATCCATACGCGGATAACCATCGGCTGCTGGTCAGACATGAAGAACGAAATCATACAGCGCGCGTTCGACCACCTCGAACCCGGGGGCTGGCTCGAGTGCCAAGAAATCCCCGCCTTGATCTACTGCGACGACGGCACCATGCCAGACGACTACGGGTGGCTGCGCTGGGTCCGAGACTTTCAGGCTGGCGGTCGGGTTTCCAATCGACAGCTGGACCTCGGCCCTCAATTGAAGGAGTGGATGCACGAGGTCGGCTTCGTCGACATCCACGAGATGATCTTCAAGATTCCTCTCAACGGCTGGCCCAAGGAGGTGCGGCTGAAACATGTCGGCATGATGTGGCAGCGGAACCTGCTAGAAGGCCTGAGCGGGTTCAGCCTAGACATGTTCAACCGACTGGGAAAGTCAATCGAGGAAATAGAGGTGAGTGATGTGGCTGCTAGGAAATGCTCCATCCCGCTAACATCAGTGGCAGCTCTCCCTAGTGGAGGTACGGAACAGCCTGTTCGACCGCAGTGTCCATGCCTACCATAAAGTACACGTAGTTTGGGGCCGAAAGCCGGACGCCTAGTACCTCACCACAAGCCCAGTGGACTTAGTGCCGGCCGTCATCAACCTCGAGTTACCCCGGGGAACTCCCTAGCTCTCCCGACCCATCAAGTTCTCCCGCTTTAGCTGTCCAAAATCCTATAGTCAAAGAACGGAGTCCGCGGCGTCGCCGTCTTGAACACCAACATCCCCTTCCATACTCGCCCTACTTTCATCATCCTCACTGCGGCCGGGCAACAGAACGGTGCCGCTACACCCGCGCTCCCTACTCACCCCCTCAACAACCCGCCTTTACGCCACGCCATAACACGGAACCTCACTACACAATTTTCGGTCATCATCCCATATCACCACCACCCTGTCTGGCCTCAAGCTCGAACGCAGACCAGTCACAGTAGCTCTGCTGCTGCCCCCGCCGAAAGGAGAAGAAAAACTAAAATCGAACCAAAAAAGAAGCGGGATGAATAACAACTACCGACCGGTCCTCCCCCCGGTCTCAGTGGGAATATTCCGCCGGCGAGTGGGTATCGGACGGCGACGTACCTAGTTTTTTTTTTGGCAGAGGGGGAGGATGGAGTAATGTACCTAATAATGGGGTTGAGTAGTGGGGGTTGGGCATTAATGGCTGGGATATACCTAAGGAATACCGGTCTCGGACGAGGTGTATGGAGGAGGAACAGCTGAACATTCTTGTATGTACATATGGCAGTTTATACATAGTAATAGGTCTCGAACTCCGACTAGTCGTGAGTTGTGAGGACCTGTTGGTGGTCATGTCACCCCACTCTGGCATGTCTACGGTATGCACAGTATTCCTAGATGCTTACAGTAAGTAGTATGGGTTTAAGAGACAGCCGTTGGTTCCGTGGGAACTCGTGATATACATCCAGTGACGTCCTATGCACATACGGTTGTTGGTCATCCTGTCCTTAGCTCTTTCGTATACTATCTCGCCTTTTGCCCCTTTCTTTCGTATACTTTCGGAGGACAACTCCGGAGTTTAGTCACCTAGGCTATTTCTAGTACTGTGCTGCCTGCATGGAGAATTGTTGATGTTGCCTGTGAGTGGAATGGGAACTCTTCGAGAAACACCCCGGTGCTCCACCCGCCCCAGAGACCTTGGCGTGCGGGCCAGGCCCGGCGAGACCCCTGAAATTGACGGCCGTGGTGTGTCTCCTTAGCGCTCCTGAGCCCAGCCTCGCGTGCCCAAATTTGCCGGGTTCGATCCGCGTCTCGCAGGTGGACGGACGTGAGACGTCGTGACTTCTGATGTTGGTCTTGAAGGGTGCTTAGGTCTTGCGGAATCTGGGGGAAATAAAGATGGATCTCGAAAGCGTCATACTCGAGTCCCACCGGCGCCATGTTTGTTCGGTGATGATACCTATGCCTCCATCATCTGGTCGGGGGGTTCCAGGTTGTTCAGACGCATGGACCTCACCACCTCCCTCGGTACCCAGCAGTTGGTGTTTGTCTGTTCCCCACTGCAGCACCACTTCATGCGCTAACTGCGCCGCTGGGCTGCTGCAGGTCTTCAGGAGAAAAGAAAGAGAGAGGAAAAAAAGAAAGGAGCGGGCAGCGGGTGGTTGGGTTGCAATTGCTCGCTTTTCCAAAATTGCGAGTGCGACTCGACAGAATTGAAAGCAGCCTCTTTTGCCGTTTCTTACCCGGAAAACTGTCAAAGAGCGGCAGCTTCTCGAGCGGCAGGCTTGTCGGCAGGCGCCGTTGATTGATGAATTGGCGGCCCCTCCACCCCCGACCCAACCCCCTGAACCCTGGTCCTGTGGTGGGACAAGTCGCGTGGGTCCCGGTCGAGTGGCCCGCCCCAAACCTCCTACCATCACACAAAGCAACTTTGAACTTGAAACTTTGCGCCGTCTTTCGACTTTTGGTATCGGAGGACAAGCAAAATCTCCGTTGTACGCATCATGTCCGCACTAAGCAAGCGCCAGCAGGCGCGCAACGAAAAGGGCTTACAAGACCTCCTCCATAACGTTGCCGGCAACAACTTTTGCGCCGACTGTCAAGGAAGGAATCCTGGTAAGGAGCCCGCCCTCTCCTGAGCTCTCGCAGCCTCAACGCCTCACATCTCAACTTTTTCTTCTTCTTTCTTCGCGAACAACCTTGGGACTAACTGAGCCCCATCGTCAGGTTGGGCATCATGGAGCGTATGCCTTCCATCCCCTCTTCGCCCTCCCGTCCAAAAGTCTCGAGCTGCGAACCCGATGTTCCTGCATGCGCCCGCCCGCGAACAATGCGTTGTGCTGACTTAACGCTAACATGGTGGTTTGCAGTTGGGCATCTTCCTGTGCATGCGATGCGCCACCATCCACCGCAAGTTGGGCACCCACGTGTCCAAGGTGAAGTCGCTGAGTATGGATAGCTGGACCAACGAGCAGGTCGACGTATGTGGACACGGCGGCTTCCTAGTGGCCCTGCGCCCGAGCTAACACATACCCGTCTAGAACATGCGGAAAGTCGGCAACGTCGTGTCTAACAAACTGTACAACCCCGACAACAAGAACCCGCCCGTGCCGATCGATGCCGACGAAGCTGACGGCGCAATGGAGCGATTCATCCGGCAAAAGTACATCGCCCGCACCCTGTCGGTCGGCAAGCGGCGGCCCGGAGGGGACTCGGACGACACCCCACCCCCGCTTCCTCCGAAGACGCCGAGCCGGTTCGGCCTCCGCTCCGCTTCCTCCATATTTCCCCTCGGGTCCAAGGCCAAAAAGGCGGCCGGGCACGAACCAACCAGCCCGCAAGGCTCGCAAGGCTCGCAAATCCAGCCGCCGCCTCGGAGCAGCTCGTCGGGGTTATTCGGTGTGAGCGTCGAGCGCGACCGGGCAGAGGGAGATGAAACAGAGCAGAAACTCGCCAAACTCCGCGACATGGGTTTTATGGACGACCAGAAGAACTCGATGGTGCTAAAGGGGGTGGGCGGGAGCCTGGAGAAGGCAATCGAGGCGTTGGTGCGGCTGGGGGAAGGGGGTGGGAGGGCGGCGGCACACTTGACGCCTGCGAGGGCCGCGACGATGCCGGTAACCCGAAGCCTCACATCCGGGGCAAACACGGAAGCCGCCCGTACTCGTCCAATAAGCCCGGCCAGCACAAATCCGTTCGACATGCTCGACACCCCGCCTCCACCACAGCCGCTCTCTTCGCAGTCGACGGGCACCTTGCAGACCAAGAACCCTTACCTCTCGACGAACCCGTTCGGCGCGCCGCAGCAAGCTCCTTCGGCACTCGATCTGGCCTTCCAGAACATGTCATTGGCGCCACCGTCGCACCAGCCTCTGTTTCCTCACCACACGGGCGGTTTAGCACAGCAACAAAACACGCAGCAACACAACGCGCAGGTGCTCTACCAGCAGCAGATGAATGGTCCGCTGACAGCCCCGCTGCCGACGGCGCCACAGGGTTACTCCGGCATGACCATGAACGGCAGCCAGACGTATCCCCAACCGATGCAGCCAGCCACGACCGGGTACAATCCCTTCTTCCCCGCCCAGCCACAGCAACAGCCGCTGTCGGTCAACACGGCCCAGTTTGGTGGTAACATGAGCGGCAATCCCTTCACCCGGTCACCCACGAGGATCCAGTCGCCAACCCTCTCACAAATCCCCGAGCAAACACAACAAAACTTCTATGCACAACCGGCGCAATCGGCGCAACCTATGCAACCGCAGGTGTCCAATCCCTTTTTCAGCCAGATGACACCACCCGCGCAGCAGTATCCGGGCCAGATGCAGCAGATGCAAATGCCCCAGCATCAGCAGCAGCAGCAGCAGCAGCAGCAGATGCCCCAGTACATGGGGATGGCTCCACAAATGACCGGCTACATGCAGCAGCAGCAGCCACCGCGGCCCGATAAAGCATCAATCATGGCGCTGTACAACCACGCCCAACCAGCACCCGCCCAGACCCCGTTCCAGACCCAGGGCGCCGGACAAACCACCACACCGGCACAGACCCCCAACTCCCTATTCCCGTCCCAGACCTTTCCCCAGCAGCCACAGCAACAGCAACAGCAGCAGCAGCCGCAGCAACTAGTCCCGCAACCACAGCAGCAGCAGCAGGTACCGCACCCAACCCCTGTGAGCCCGGGGACGATGAGCAAGAACCCGTTCATGACGGCGGGAGCGGCAGCGGCGCCGAAGCATAATGTGAGCCGGGACAGCATGATGGCGGTGGGTTTGGAGTGGTCGAATGGGCGGCATAGCCCGGATGCGTTTGCTAGCTTGAGCGCGAGGGATACGCGCTGATTTGGCTGGGGGGTATCAAGGGATGGGGTGATGGGGTGGGATGGGATGTCGGGATGGTATGGGATGTCGGGATGGGATGCTCGGGATGGGATGCCGGGATGGAATGGGATGAAATGCCCAGGATGGGATGGGACGAAAGCACGGCTTGGAGTTCTGATACATTGCATATGTGTTTGAATTGTGGTAATATTCTGGGTACGGATCCTTTGTATATAGATAGCAGGTGTGGGGGATGTGTGTATCATAATGAGTTGACATGCTGTGGATTGAAGAAGGGGGCCGCTGAGGTATAATACGGAGTAACCCCTCCCGGATGCCGCATCCCACCAGCCGGTTTCCTGTTCTTCAACCCTCCGTTACAGCTCCCCCAGTATGACATTATCCAGACACCAGCAGGGCCCCATGAGGTGAGTCAGTTTTGGATTTGTGGTATGCAGCACGCACATAGTCTGCCTCACCAACTCCGCTGCGGCATCCGCGTGACGATGCACCGAGTCTGTCCCATGGAGGTTAAGGCGCCCTCCCACCACTCCCTCATCGCCCCTCATGCACAATGCAATTGTTGCACCAACCCAACATGGCATGCCACCCCACCAATCTGCACCTCCCAGCCCTGCCAGCCGGCCTGCTGCCTGACTGCAGAGAACAGGAGAGTGGGGATCGGTATGCAGCCGGTCGCATGGTAGCCAATGATGTGATCGCTGTGGCCGCTGTGGGCTGAGAGCGAAGCTGACGGCGGAAAGCGGAAAGTGGGAGAGTGACGGAGTAACTTTTGTGTGAAATACCTAGGTAGGTAGTGGAAGATAAATAACCGTGTTAGCCCCAATTGTGAGCTCGGATGAGGCTGGCGCCTTTTTGGTTTTGTGTTCTCTCATCGACTATCGACCATTGACCACACCCCAGAGCGCACTAACTCGGTACCTACCTAGAACGGAAGAGGTAGTAGTGACTGAAAGATCAGAGGGTTTGAGTGATCGTGAGAGACCCAACGTGTGAAAACAACAAGATAAAAGACGAGAGAGTAGTTGTTTGGTTCAGGACTCCCAAGACCAAGATCATGTCCGACTCCGACGATGGCCGTGGCGGCGGGAGGGCCGTGACGGGCAACACGCTCATGCAGACCCTCCTCGAGCAGACCCAAATCCCGCCGCCGCAGAGGAAGGTGGACGAGTTCTGGAGAAAATTCACCACCAAAGCCCCAGGGAAGGGTAAGTAACCAGCCCTCAAAAGCAAGCTCCAGAAGAACCAAAACCAAGCATGAATTCTAACCCCGCCCCAGCAACAACAATCCTCCCCACCACCACCACCCTCACCACCCACTCAACCCCAACCACCGCCCCACCCCAGTTTAAACCGACCACCTACGACGAAGCCGCCGCCCAATGCCGCGCCAAGGTCGCACAGATCGTCGCCGAGTGCCGCCGCGTCAACACCCGGTACCGCGACCCGCACTTCGACCTCGACTACGACCTGCGCTCCGGCAGCCGGGACTGTCTCGAGTCGCTGAGCAACGAGTGCTGTGATTACGGGAGTAGTGATGATGAAGAGTATGTGGGGAATTGGGATAGGGATAGGGAGGGGGGGAGTGGAAGGGAGGGGAGGGAGAGGAGGGAGAGGGGTATGGATGGGTATGGGGGGAGGGAGAGGAGTCCGGAGAGGAGGAGGCGGAGTGCAGTGCAGGGTGGTGGTGGTGGTGTTCGGGGGGAGGGTGCTGGTGGTGGTGGTGGAGAGGATGGGGGTGGGGGTCGGGATTGGGATGAGCGCCGGGATGGGGATGCTGCGGTGGTGAGCTCGGGGATGAGAAAGGCGGAGGCGAGGCGGCGGCACAGGGCGCGCGGGCGGTGGCCCGGGTGCAATTTCCGGCCCAAGTCGGTGAAGCGGGTCGGGGAGATCTTTGACGATCCCAAGTTCTTCATCGACGGGCCCGCCGCCAACGACGTGCGCCAGGGCCGCGACGGCGACTGCTGGCTCATGGCCGCCCTGTGCACCCTGAGCAACAAGCCCGGACTGATCGAGCGCGTGTGCGTTGCGCGGAACGAGGACGTTGGCGTGTATGGGTTCGTGTTCCACCGCGATGGGGACTGGTTCAGTGAGATTATTGATGACCATGTGAGTGGGCGTGTCTCTCTCTCTCTTCGCCGTTTTGCTCAACTTGGCCGGACTAACAACCGCAGCTCTATCTCCTCAAACCCGACTACGACGACGCCCGCATAGGCAGGCGGTTCAACATCGAGCGCGCCCTGTGGGAGGACATCGAACGGGCCGACTCGGAGGAAAAGTACCGGAAAATCTACCAGTCTAACAGCGAGGCCCTCTATTTTGCTCAGTGCGAGGACAAGAACGAGACCTGGCTCCCGCTGCTGGAGAAGGCCTACGCCAAGGCCCACGGCGACTATGCCGCCATCGAGGGCGGCTTCAACGGCGAGGGCATCGAGGACCTCACCGGTGGCGTCACCACGGAACTGTTCACCAAGGATATTCTTGATAAAGTGGGCTACCGCGATGCCATCCGAGGGAGCAGACTGCTAACTATGTATGATCTAGGAACATTTCTGGCAAGAGCTCAAGAAGGTCAACGCGGAGTTTTTATTTGGCTGTTCAACTGGTCATTGGTAAGTTTTCGTTCCTCGGGCTTGACACCGTCGTAGATGCCAACCCCAGTCAGGGATCTTGGTTTCGGAGAACGCAAGGGCATTCAGGAAGGGCACTCGTACTCGGTCATGCGAGCAGTCGAAGTTGATGGCGAGCGGCTCCTCCTGCTCAAGAACCCGTGGGGAAGGGGTGAATGGACCGGGGCATGGAGTATGTCTCTCGCCCCCCTCTATACTTCACCCAGCGTTCACTGACCGTTATAGGCGATGGTTCCAAGGAATGGACACCAGAGTGGCTGCAGAAGCTTAACCACCGGTTTGGCGACGACGGTGCGTTCTGGATTTCGTACAAGGACCTGCTGCGCAAGTACCAGTCCTTCGACCGCACTAGACTCTTCGGCCCGGAGTGGAATATTGCCTCTGTGTGGACGACGCTCAACGTTTCGTGGGCCTTGGAATACCACGACACTAAGTTCTCCTTCACTCTCGCCAAACCCGGGCCCGTCGTCATCGTCCTCTCCCAGCTCGACGACCGATACTTCCGCGGCCTTGAGGGCGAGTACATCTTTGGCTTGGGATTCCGAGTCCACAAAGCCGGCGAGGATGACTATCTGGTCCGCAACCATACTACCTACAGCATGACCCGTTCCTGCAACGTCGAGCTCGAATTGGAGGCCGGCGAGTACACCGTCTTGGTCAGGATCGACGCCGACCGCCTTGAGGATATCCTGCCCCCCGAGGACGTAGTGCGGCGCAACGCGAGGAAGCGGCGCGAGAAGCTCCTGCGCATTGGCCTCGCCTACGACTTAGCCCACAGCAAAGCTAGGGTTATCGAGACGGCCGAGGAGAAGGCGGCACGGGAGGCCTATGCTAAGTGGGCGAAGGATAAGCGCCGCAACCAACTCCGCGAGACCATCACCGGGAGATTGCAGCGGAGGCTTTACTTCGATCGCAAGAAGTGGGCGAATGACCGAAAAGACATGGCGTGGCAGAAAGAAGTGAAGCGGCAACGAGCCGAGAGACACAAGGCGAAACGAGAGGCGAAGCAGAGGGCGGCCGAGGAGGAAGCAATACAGAAGGAAGCTGAAGAGGAAGCCAGACGTCAGCTAGATACGGCGCTTGAGCAAGAATCTAAAGCCGCAGAAGAGAACATGGAAGCGGGGTCAGGAGGAGGAATTCCGGCTGGGACCAAGGAGGACGGTGAAGAGGCCGAGCCCTCTCGACCGGAGCCTCCTAGCTCTGCAGAGGACACGCCGCCTGCTCCCGATTCAGAGACCAAGCCTGACACTGATGACACCAGGGGCTACGAGAAGGAGATTACCCCGGCGGGCGCCGTACTTACTCAAACAGAGGCAGGTGCAGTCGGGCCAGCAGATACCTCAGCCGCGCTTGTCCAGCGGCCCAAGGCAGCCATGGTGGAGGGTACAGCCGGAGTGGCACGAGGACCCGCGGTGCCTGATTCGCGCCCTGGACCCGAGGGGGGCGAGAGCGGCCCTAGCGTCGAGGTCAACGAAATGCTCAGGACCACACTCGAGGTCGTATCGAGCTTCAAGAAGGAGCTTGAAGGGTTGCTCGGCAAGAGCGCGGATGGTCATCTCCCAGAGGGTGCCGGCCACGACTCCCGGGACATGCGCCCGTATCCTCGCCATCCACCTGCTCCCCCACAGTTCTACGGCCCGCCGCCGCAGCTGCTGCAGCGGCTGCCGCCAAGATCAGAAGGCTACGACAGCGAAGAAGAAGAAGAAGACTACCCGGGTCCCTACGACTACGTACCCCCTTTGCCCCCCCTCAACCCCCATCTTCAACGAGCCGGAACGCATCCCCAAGGGCCTCCTCAAGGGCACCATCCCCGAGACTTCCGCCCCCCAGGGCCACACCCCCCTGGGCCGCGTGCCCAAGGACCCTATCCACGGGGGCCGCCTCCCCCCGGACCGCCCCCTCCAGGGCCGCATGCCCGAGGACCACATCCCCCAGGACCATATCCCCCAGGACCCCATCCACAAGGACCGCCTCCCCAAAGACCACACCCCCAACGCCCCCACCCCCAACGACACCCCAACGAATCGCCCTACAACTCCGACCCCGACTCCGACTCCGACGCCGACACCGACATCTGCAGCATCCGCTCCATCTCCACCCTCTCCGACACCGGCCTCGACTACGAGCTGCAGGCCATCGACGAGGAGGAGGCCGAGCAGCGCCGCGCCAACCCGTCACCACCACCACCACAACAGGGACAACAACAGCGACAGCAGCAGGGACAGCGGCCTGTGTCCGGTGGCCGGCGGCTAAGGCGGGGTGGGGTTGGGAGTGAGCCGTGGAATGCGGTGGCGGTGGTGGGGTTGAGGGTTTATCATCGTGTTGGGGAGGGGGAAACAGAGGAGGGTGGGGAAGGGGGGTTGGTGCAGGTGAGGGTGGTGAGGCCGAATCGGTGGGAGATTGGGGAGGATGGGGAGGGTGGTGGTTGTGGTGGAGAGGGAAAAGGCGAGGAGGGGGAGGGGGGTGAGAGTAAGGTGCTGGATGTGGATGATAGTGCGAAGGATGCTGCTGTGAAGGTGGTGAGAGAGGGGTCTGGCTTAATGAGAGAGGGGTCTAGCCTAGTGAGAGAGGGGTCTGGCCTGGAAGGTCGGGGATGGGCGTGATGGGATTGGATATGGGGTTGGAATGAGGTGTTGGATACTTGCTCCGCTCGATCAATTTGGTTGAAAATGAGGATGGGAGAGCACCATAGAGCTACCGGTTAGCCTCCCCTTTATCTGGGCTTGAATATGAGCATGATTTACACCGTTTCCCTGTGTAATCGGGTATCACTATTAAAGACGCCTCCGCCATACGTGAACCGCCCGCGCCTTGTCCGCGGCTTTCCCCAGCCGTTAACACCTTACGCCTACAAAACAGTCCCCCGAGTTCCCAAATAAGCCCTAAAACCTGTCCAACAGCGACCCAACCTTCCTTTGCTCGTCCATCTCCATCTCCACACCCTCCATCCCCTCCCCATCCGAGAACAGACTCCCCACGCTCGACTCTCTTGCTTGCGGCCGCTGCTCCTTCAGCTGCCCGACCCTTCCTCCCACTCTCGCGAGCAGCATCCTCATGCGTTGCAGCTCGGTCTCGACCTCCCCATTGCGCGTGACCAGGTTCTCCTGCACCCCATCCAGCCGCCCACCATCGCCGTTACCGTCACCATCACCGTCGGGATTGGCGGCGAACGGCTGCAGCAACGCGCGCATCCGTCGCAGCCGTGCCACCCGCGCAGCCGCCTGCTGCTGCTTCTCCGCAAGAGCGTGCAACTCGCCCGCCAACTCGGCATAGCGCTTCGTCTCAAGCGTCCGTGACGACGAGTCCGCGTCCTCCCACTCTAGCGGGAGCGTCGCGATCACAGCCGGATCCGCTATCCCAACGGGTTAGCCCGGTTCCAGTTCGGCCATGCCCGTCCAACCGCAATCCAATCCAATCCAATCCAACCCAATCCGCCCCCCAGCCCAACACAAAACAATAAAACAAAATGGAAAAAGGGGGGATACATACCCAAATCAGCACCAACCCTCAACGCCCGATCCCCCTCCCCATCCCCCACCCCTTCACCCTCACCACCCTCACCACCCCCACCCCCACCATCACCACCCTCATAACCATCACCACCACCACCACCCAGCTCCTCCCCCCGCAGCGCAGCCGCCTCGGCAGCATTCCAGTACAGCTGCTCGATCTGCTCGGCGACGTGGCGCGTGGCCTGGGGCGCGTAGGCGCGGCGCGCGTGCTGCTGCAGCCGGTGGTTGAGCTTGAAGAGCGCGTCGTCGACGGCCTTGGGGGGGAGGGCTGCGACTTCTTCGTCGTCGTTGGTGTTGGTGGTGTTGTTGGTGTTGGTGGTGTTGTTGGTGTTGGTGTTGTTGGTGTTGGTGTTGTTGGTGTCGTGCCAGGCGCGGGTTGGGGTTAGCGGTTGGGAGAGGAGGCGGGTTTGGGCGGTGAGGAAGGATTGCTTGAGGGAGAGGACTGTTGGGTGGGTTGGGGCCATTTTTCGGGGGAGTTGATGTGGGATGTGAGGTTTGTATGTATATGTGAGGGTCGGGTGTTGTGTTGAAACTTGAGTGGGAGATGGTTCAAGGTTGTGTGAGTGAGGGACTGAGGTGAGAGGAGAGACAGTTACGGAAGCAGGGTTGGGGTTAGGGTATGCTTGTGAGTGCGATGGAAACCGCTGCACCAGCTCCATTGAGGGGCCTGCTCACCCACCACCGCCCCACAGCAGCTCCCGGCAGCAAATTGAGGTCATCCGTCTGCTCCTCAAAAGCCGGGTTGAAAGTTGACGTCGCCGCATCAAGACCGTCGCTTCAACTGTGCCATTGCACCGCAATTGGACGTCTCCCAACATGCGCAGGTACGGCGAATTACAGAGCACAATGGACAGGCATTCCCGTAATTTATAACCGGCTAACGATATGACAATATCAGGACTTGCCCGGCATAGACTCTATATCCCACCATGCGGTCGCATTTGACGCGCAATGTGTACCTCCGACTGCTGGCCAGCCATGGCTTGCTACGCCAGTGCCCCTCCGCCCTCCCAGGCCGCTGTTTTGCCGTCTCATCCCGCGCCGCCCCCTCTCCGCTGCTAGCCCGCCGCCAGCCCCGCAGGACCTTCTTCGGCATCTTCCAGAAGCCACCGCGGATGCTGAAGGAACCCGAGCTAGAACCCGGTTACGATGTGCTACTACACTACAGGAGTTTGGAGTCGGAGAATGCACGTCCACCGGCACGGGAGGACCTACTGAAGGGCTGGAGACAGTTCATCCAATACAAGAGGAAGAGCCATCTCAGATCGCTGAACCCAACACAGGCCTTCCTCGCCCTACGGCTACTTCACCATCTGGTGACGACGAGCCCCGAGACGGAGGGCCAGGGCGAGGATCTCAGCTTCACAGACCTCCGGGCTGCCTTGTGGGTCACGGCAACGAAGCCGCCAAAAGGCACCACCGAGCACCACCTCGAACTCGCGACGCTGCTATATGGGGAAATCGAGCGGAGGATACAGAACATGCGGGAGCTTGGCATTGACGAGGAGGTGATCAAGGAGGCAGTCGGAGGAAAGGACGGTGGCGACTTTGAACTATTCCTCATGGCACTCACACAATACGGCGGCGCGCTGGAGGCCGTGGGACACTTGGCCGAGTTTAGGACCAGGCTGGCGGCGAAGGGAGACAAGTCGGTCGCCCGGGTGCGAGTCCTGTGGACCCTTGTGTTGCGCGGTCTCGCCAAGGAGGGTCGGGAGGCCGAGCTGCTGGCCGAATGGGGGAAGGCTGAGGAGGCCAAGGTCGAATACATGCCGCCAGTCCACGAGATTATGACGACCTTCTACGCGACGCGGGACAGGGTTGCCGAGACAAAACAGTGGTTTGAGAAGCCCGTCCACGCCAACTGGCTACGGAGTCCAAAAGTATATATGGAGGTGGTGCGGTTTGCGCTCCGAAACGGAGAGCAGGAATGGCTGCAGCCCATCTTTGAAGAGTTGATAAACTGCAACCCCCAGAAGGAATGGTGGGACGTCATCTTCCAGTGGGCCGTGCTGGTCATGGACAAGGGCGCCGAGGACATCAAGCAGATGATGCAGGTCATGATGGCACAGGCCGGGGGCAAGGAGGGAACGGAGGGCGTAAGACCGGACGCGGCCACGATCGATGCCCTCATCACGGCAGCCATTGAAAAACAAAATCCGTACCTCGCCGAGCGGTTCCTCTCCCTCGGTTCCGAGCTCAAGATCCGCCCCCGAGCATCCACCTACATCCTCCAGATGGACTACCGGCTCGACGCCAAAGACTTCAGCGGCGTACAAGTCATCTACGACAAGCTCCTCAAGGGCGAAGTCACCGTCCGCCAGGACGAAGACCTCCCCGTCCTCAACAAATACCTCCGCGCCCTCTGCGCCATGCCCGAACCCGACCTCGGCCGCATCCTCGACATCACGGCGGACCTCGAACAGCGCCACGCAACGCTGGAACCCGAAACGGTCGTCTCCCTCTGCATGATCTTTTTGCACAACGACAACCAGTACGACGTGATCGACACCCTCTCCCTGCACACCATCTCCTACAGCCTCGAAGAGCGCGCCCAAGTCCGCCGCGCCTTCGTCGAGTACTGCCTCGACCGGCGCGTCAGCACGGCGCGCGTGTGGGACTGCTACTCGCTCCTGCGGCAATTCTTCCCCGAAACCGAGCCCGACGAGCGCGTCCGCCTCATGGACGCCTTCTTCGCGCGCAACCGGCCCGACATGGCCTGCTACATCTTCGGCCACATGCGGTCGCAGGACAGCCTAGCCCAACGCCCCACGGCCGACATGTACGTGCGCTGCCTGGAAGGTCTCGGCCGGCACCCGGAGCCGGGGCCCGGCGGCGACGGCGAGGGCGAGTCCCTGCGCATGGTCCACAACATGCTCAAAATGGACACCACGGTGCAGATGGACACGCGCCTGTACAACGCCCTCATGATCGCCTACGCCGCCTGCGGCGAGCCCGACGTCGCCGTCGAGTTCTGGCGCGACATCACCGACTCGGCCGAGGGTCCCTCGTACGCCAGCCTGGCTATCATGTTTTGGGCGTGTGAGTTGCTGCCCTTTGGCGACCGCACCGCGAGGGGCGTCTGGCAGAAGATTCAGCGCATGGATCTCGAGGTGCCGCCGGATGTGTTTTGGGCTTATTGTGGTGCTATTGCGGGGAGTGGGCACCTCGAGGAGGTGATTCGGTTGATAAGGGGGATGGATGCCAGTGTGGGGTATGGGCCGGGGATGATGACGTGAGTTCTTTTTTCTTTTTTCTTTGACACCCTCCCCTCTTTTTATCCCCCCCACCTCTCGGCCTAGGGTGCTTCGGCCGTGAGACCAGAATGCTAACGCCTACAGACTCGGCGTTACGTATAATGCCCTGCCAGGCTCGGACAGAAAGGAGCAGTTCGAAGCCTGGGCGACGGCTGAGTACCCGGAAATTTGGGCGCAGCTGGAAAAGAAGGGGCGAACCGAGACGCTCAGGGGCACCAAGTTCAACATTGTCAGGGATATGAAAGCATAAGCAGTCTGTCTGTACTGTGTAAGTCGGTGGTGGTGTGCCAGTGGCGTTGGTGGTGGGTCGATGTTCAGTATCGATCCGGCTGTAAAATTTGTACAATGTATAAGAACGTCTATACATAAAATGGCGCCGTGCCGTGCCATGGATGGGCTCTGGCCATGCCCACAGTTTGGTTACGTCCATGGTATCGTACAAATACAGGTCTTCTGGTGGGTTTTGGCATGGCACCTTCCTACACCCCAGCTCCTCGCCGCTCCCTACGGCCTAGTCTGTCTTGCTAGCCTATCCCTCTACACCCCGCTCATAGTCTGTTCTGCGACGGGTCTGCCGGCGTCGGGATGGCGGCGGTCGGCATGCCGTGGCGGCGCAGGCGCAGGATCTCGGGGTGCCTGTGCACACTCGGGTGCAGGCCCATGCCGATGGCCCGCCGCACGGCCTTGGCGATCTTGCGCTGGTTGACGGGCCGCAACCCGGTGTCGGTCGAGTGCCTGATGCGGCCCATCGGGGTCATGAACTCGGAGATGAGGGAGAAGTTCTGCTAGCTATTAGTCTTTTGCGTCTAGCGTCTAGTGTTGATCGCCCGCCCTCCGGGGGTGGGGGTGGTGGAGGAGGGAGGGGCATGGGCAACGCACCCGGTAGTTGTCCAGCGGACTGAAGCCCAGGATGTCGACCATATCTTTGTTGGGCGGCCGCCCCTGGCGCCACTTGCTCATCTCGGCGGGCTTCATGTCGCGCGGGGAGTAGACCTCGCCGGTCCGCCAGCGGCGCGGCATCTGGCGCACGTAGCTCTCGGTGGTGAGGTTCTGGCGCATGTCCTTGATGTGGGCCTGCGTCCCGTGCTGCTCCATCACCCGGCGCTGCTCCTCCATCGACAGCGGGCCGCCCCGTTCCATGCCGGCGGTGAGCAGCCCGTGGAGGGCCTCGTTCGGGTTCGAGTCCGAGCTCGACCGGAGGCCCTTTGGCCGCATGACCGGCTTCGACGGGCCATCACTGAAGATGTCGCGGACTGTGAGAGATAGGGCGTGTTAGAAATGAATATGAGGGACGGAGGGGACGGAGGGGAGGGAGGGAGAGTAACGGACCGGCTACCACGGGCGTCGTCGAGAAGGCTCGTGGTTGTTGATGTTGCGCCAGGCTGGATTGGCATTGGCGCACGGCCGAGGAGAGCCATTGCCTGCACGACATGGTTGCTGTGATTTCTCTGGATATGTGTCTCCTCCACCTCTTCTCGCGATGTCGAACTGCTTCGTGATCCTTGCGGTTGATGGTCTGGGCGCTTTTTGGCGGAATATTCTTTTGGCACGCCCGCATTGGCTGGCAGCGGCAAGTGGGATGCCTGTCTTGGCGTCCAGTTTGCTGTGGGGCTGCTTCGTTTGAGTTAAGTGCCAAGCGGCGAACTCAATGTGGGGCAGGGATTCTTGTTCAGCAAAAATTCGAGATTGTCGCTATCAACAGTCAAGACAACAACCAATTCAACCGAGTGCAATCATCGATCCTCCGTGAAATATCACGATCTTGACACCTCCTGAGATTGGCAAATTCCTCATAAAGTCGCTACGATGCCGCGGAAACTCAAGTTTCATGAGCAGAAGCTCCTTAAGAAGTGCGTGGGTTGAGATGCCAACGGGCTCTTTAATACATGATCAAAATATCATCAGAATAATTCATCGAAAAGCTAACGATGAAATGCGGTCAGGCACGACTTCATCAACTACAAACAAGACAACAACCACCGAGACCATGATGTTGCCAGGTGAGAATTACGCCCTTCCATGCTCTCTCTCGTTACCATGGCTAACCCAAACCAGACGGTATATGATACAGAAGCCAGAAGACTATGTACGTTCGGCTTCATCGCCCACAAAGTGTCCGACTACTTCGTCACGAAGAAAAGGCCTTTTTTCGAGCTCACGATTGCTGACCCCAAATAGCACAAGTACAACAGGATGTGTGGTGTAAGTGACCCTGTCGAGTTTTGCCAGACCCACCCACTGACCTCTCGATTAGTCCCTCCGGCAACTAGCACATCGTCTCAGTGTATGTTTGTTGCGTATCTCGTCAGACAGGAGGACCGCCTCGTTCTAACTCGTCGCCAGCTCCTTCCCCCAGACAGCGAGGTCAGGAGGAAACACGAAACATTGCTCCTAGACAAGCTCTACGACATGGGCATCCTTTCCGTATGTGTCTAGCATGCAAGTTCCCGCCGGCATTTTCCTAACATGTTACCGTAGTCCAAGTCAAAGCTCTCTCAGGTCGAGCACAACGTCACAGTGTCTGCCTTTGCGCGGCGGCGTTTACCCGTGGTCATGACACGGTATTATTATCCAGTACCGTCGCACCAGTTCAAACCGCTAACTAGAGAACAGCCTGCGCATGGCAGAAACCGTCCAGGCCGCCACAAAGCTCATTGAGCAGGGGCATGTCCGAGTCGGCGTGGAAGAAGTCCGGGACTCCGCCTTCCTTGTGACGCGGAGCATGGAGGACTTCGTCACCTGGACCGTCGGCAGCAAGATCAAGCAGAACATCATGAAGTACCGCGACAAGGTGGACGACTTTGAGCTTCTCTGATAGGTCCTATCTTGACCCGAAGCTCGAGCGGTTGCTTTTAGCGAAACCGCGACAAACCTCGCCGGGATTGTGCTATGGGCCTGGTCCATAACCTCGGAAAAGAGGGCAGCGACCCCTCCGCGCGATACCTAACGACGTACGGTTGAAGGATTATACTATAATCGATGTAGCACACGGTCCCGCCGAGGTTAAGGTGCAAGGAAGGGTGGATCCCACACGCCGTTGGCATCTTTAACCCGGATTTCCGAAGGCTGGCATCAGGGGCCACGGATTCCCCGGGTAGCCATTATGGAACGCTGGAGGGACTAGCCGTGGGCGCCCAGCGAGGCATCGATCGACCTTAGCCACAGTACAGGATACGTATGGTCGTGTGGAGTTAATGTGTGGCCGGGCTTATTCTGGGAGGATTCTGGGAGGTAGTCAAGTTGAGAGCATTGCAGCTTTGCAGTAACGTTGATACAACACAATTTGGCTTTACAATCATGATAGGCCTTTGGGGGGTCGAATTTCTAAAACTCTAGCCAACAAAGACGCTCAGTTCTGCACCATGAGGTTGCTCCTGATCTTAGCGACCTCCTCCTCTGAGAACCCCAGCGTGCCCGTGACATAGCCCTCAAACCCGCCGTACTCGGCATCGACAGCCTTGGCAAAGGCCTTCCAGCAGCTAGCCTTGAGGTTAGCCAAGTTCCGGAAGCCAGGCGCGGCCATGTCGACGTTCATCTGCCCCTTGCCGAGAGACGCCAGCAGCTTCTCGCGCGCCGGCTCGATCCCGACACGCGACAGGATGTAGTCGAAGGCGATCAGCTCCTCGCTCGCGCCCGCGAGCGTCAGCAACAGCCCCGCCACGACACCGGTCCGGTCACGCCCAGCTACCACCACCAGTCAGTCAGTCAGTCGCTCAGTCAGTCAGTCAGTCACTCACTCACTCCCTCCCTCACTCATTCCACACCCCAATCCCCCCTCACACACAGAGAGAGAGGGGAAAAGAGAGAGACAGAAACAAACTCACCATTACAATGAAACAACACCGCCTCCTCCCCCCTCCCATCCCTCACCTGCTCCAACACCCCCCTAATCCCCGCCTCATACAGCCTCAACACATCCACATACGCCCTCGCAATCCCCCTCTCCCCCTCCCCCTCCTCATACAACTCCATATCCACAACCCCCCCCTCCCCCGGCGCCAACCAAACCATCTCCACCCCTTCCACCGCCGGATCCGGCCTCCGCTCGTGCTCGGCCGCCGAGCGCAGGTCAAAGACCTTCCTGATGCGCAGGGGCGGCCCCGCGAGCGCGGCGGCGCCCGCGGGGGAGATGCCGGCGAGGAAACCGCCCGTGCGGTAGATTAACCCGGGGCGGATGGGCGAGCCGGGGAGCAGGCCGAGGTCGCGGGTGTTGAAGGTGTCGGGGATGGGGACGAAAGGGGGGGTGGTGTAGATGCCGGCTAGGGAGGCCGGGGGGAGGGGGGTGAAGGCGTCTGTTTGGGCGAGGGTGAGGAGGTGGTGGGGGAGGGTGGGGGTGGTGGACATGGTGGTGGTTGGTTTGGGTTGGTTTGGGTTGGTGGGCTTGAGGCGGTTTGGGGGGTTGGAGGTGCAGTCGCGGGATAGGGGTGAATAGGCCGGTTCTTTCGTTTTCTCTCTATATATATTCAGAAGCTGCACCGCCTGCTGGTTGACGCGTCAGGCTCGGCTGGAACTCGGGAATAACCTCGGACGGTCGGTGGAAGCGGTAAAGGAGCAAGTAATCCCCTGTCTAAGCCTAGACTCTATGTTAGATACGATATACGGCTGCGCGGTAGCAGCATTAGAAATCCTTCCCCGCAGCGCCCCAACCCCGCGTTCCCTTTCGTGTTGATTCTAGGCCTACCATGCAAGGGCAAGGCACAAAACGGGTATGCCGAGTTGCCGTCCGAAGCTTAATTGTGCAGACCACAAACGCAGGCACACGTGTAACATTTCCCATTTTGGATGCCTTCCTGACATGTTTCGGGTCAGGATACTCCCCGGCGGGCACCCGGAGGAACTCTCTTCGACCTCACGAGTTGCAGAGCCTCAAATAACTTGCACATGAGGGACGGTGTAGATTCGGCATGACTGTTACTCCGTTTAGGCCACCGGAGCGTCCGAAGAACTGTCGGCAACCCGTGGCTGCTCGTTCATTCTGGACGAGGCGTGCCATCGGAACCACCTGCTCCTGCGGGCTTCTCGGTCCTCTTGCCTGGGACAAACGGAGGCATCTGCAGTAGCGGGTCGCATATCGTCGTCTGTGTGGGGGGCAGTGTGGAAAGGGTGAATGTCGAGGGCAGGGCGGACTTAGTTGACGGTGTTGTGGCCATGGTGTTGGTGGGCGGAAACACCCACGAACCCAGCATCAACACCACCATCCGCCCGTCTATGATATCTCGGCCCTATTCCCAACCGCTATCCTGCAGATACCGCATTAGGCGGTCTCGGTTTAGCCGTATCAGCGGTGGTCGGCCGGTCCAGTGGAAGGTTGTCGAGAGAAGGGCGATGCGTCACCGACAGTTGCTTCAACGCTCGCAGGTACGGGTCCTCCGTGGTACCGTCGTACGAGGCACTTTCCTAGGTTGCCATCTTGTCGATGTCGTTCCAATCCGTGCACACGGTGGAAGAGCAGCGTTTGGGCACAGGGGCTGCTGCGCTGATCCCGGGCTTCTGGAAGAGGACTTGGGACTTGTCCTTCTGCTTCCGGGCGTGGATTGGTAGGAAAACGGCTCCTCCTAAGAGTTTGACGTGGGCGGTACTGGGCGAGGGGATGGAGCCCACACACTATGAGAGAGAGGAAAACACACCTAGGACAATAGGGCGCGAGCCTAGGGAAGTATATTTATCAGATCAGGTTAAGTTCAGGGAAACCTAGGGTTTTACTAATAATAACGATCAGATTAAGTATTAGTTTGCTACCTAGGATGACTGCGGGATATCAGAGTACTACCTAGGTAATGCAGACATTGGAACCCGAATCTACTGGAACCCACCTAGGCGAGGAAGTACCACTTAGCACCCATACGTTTTCGAGAGGGAAGGAGTGAGGTTTGCAAAGCCGTTCAAGTCAGAAGCCGGGCAGGTGGAGCCATGGAAAAGAGCATCATGGAAAGAGCAATCCGATACCACCCATGGAGGTTTCCAGGTTGAGTTCAGCTACCTATCATCAGTCCCCAGCCCAGTCCTCAACCCTCAGCCACCTGTTCATCGACCCGCTCATATCCCACATCTGACGGACGCCTAGAAAGCCTAAGTAAGTAGTTGGCAAATGTGAAGGATGAAGTGTCACTAGCAAATCGGTACCTCAACGGCCACCAATGCTTGTGACGTCATATTTTCTCGGTCGTCCTCAGCGGTTGCTCATTGGTGCGCGGGCGACGTATCGCCAAGTTGGGTAGGGTTACATTTGAAGTTGCAACACCATCACTGCCAGTCTTTTGAGTGTGATGTCATGGTTGACGTTGCCAAAATAGAATATCAAGATCCCGATGAATTTATCAAAGATGTAAGGTGTATATAAGTTGAGGTTTAATTCCAATTTCTACCTTTTCTAGTCATCATACAATTCAAACACAAACCAACTCACAATTCACACCCTGACTTGTATTTCCAAGTCGACTTACAACAACCACTTATACCGACGACAACCAATCACAACACCAACCACCAAAATGCATCACTTCTCCCGCCGCGGCCCCGTCACCACAACCACCACCCGGCCCCACCATAGTATCGGAGGCGGTCTCTTCTCGCGCCGCCACGCCGGCCACCACACGACCACCGTCCCAGCCACCACCACCCGCACCCATCGCCGGGGAGGCCGCGGTATGGGCATGAGCATGGGAGGAAGCCGCATAAAGGCCGGAGGTCTCTTCTCCAGCGGCCGTCGCCGCCAGCACCACCACCACACCACCGCCGCGCCCATGACAACCACACACCATCACCACCAAAAGAGGCACGCCTCCATTGGCGACAAGATCAGTGGTGCGCTGCTGCGGCTTAAGGGGAGTCTGACTGGGCGCCCGGGGCAGAAGGTACGTTTCTTGGACGGGTTAAACGGGCGAGGTGGGAGCGGAGGCTAACATTATTGATGATAGGGTGCTGGCACAAGAAGGATGCATGGGACCGACGGCCGCGGGGTGCGTCGTCGGCGCTTTTTTTAAGCGGCCACCTGGGGGGGGATGGGCAACCAAGCTGGCATTGCCCGCCAACTTGTTAATGTATAATGAGTTGTAATATTATGGTCACGATAGGGAAGAGGGATGGTGTTTGCCCTTGTCACTGTACATCACATTACACACGAGATACCCCTGGAGTAGTAAGAATGCAGACTTGTCCATATATATTGAGCCAGCAAAGAGCGGAAGTGAAGAGGGCCCATCGGGCTGTATTAAACATTAACGTAGAAGAAAAACAGGCATCCTGTCGTAAGTCATACCGCATCTCATCGTAGCGCCCTATGCGCATCGTATCGTCGTCTTCCAAGTATAAACCCACAGTAAAAACAAATAAACAACCCGCATCCCAGCCCACCGTAAACATGCAACCAGGGTATCACTTAGCCGGCATCTGCCTTACACAAGGAAAAAGAAAGGAAACAACAACAAAGGAGGAAATATAAACTTGACCTTTCCAGGACGCAGACTTCCCCACGGAGAAAAAGAGAGAGAAAATCACCCCCCACCTCCGCAAACCTCGTCCCCTCCCCATTCGGATCCTCTTGCCCCGTCGCCAGGGCAAAAAGAGAAAGAAAACACCGAACCCGAAAGAAAAGAAGAAAAAAGAAGGGGTTTCCCCCACCACAACTCCCACCCGCCGCCCCCAAAACAAGCCGCCGGCGGCTACAGCGCCCCGAACATCATCGCCTTCCCCTCCTAGCCACCCTTCTCGCCCTCGGAGGCCGGCCGACTCCAGACGAGCGGGTCCAACCCGGCCTCCGAGGCACCGCCCTCCGCCGTGGCACCGGCACCCTCCTCGCCAACACCAACACTCGCCGAGGCGGAACCGCCAAACGTCCCCCTTCCGAGCGAGAACGGGCCGGCCGCAACCAAGCCCGCGCCGGCCGCGTCGGGGGCAGACACCTCCCCCGCATCCGCCTCCGCGGTGCCCATACACGGGAACCGGTCCCGCAGCTGCCGCTCCAGCGCGGCGAGGTCGTCCGGCCCGGGCGTTGGGTGGCGCTTCTAGCGCCCACCGGCACCGACACCGGCGGCGTGCCCGCCGCCAAACCCAAACCCCAGCATCCCGCCGCGTCGCTCCCACGCCCGCCGCTCCCTCTCCCCTTCGTCATCGTCGCCCTCCTCCTCCTCCTCCCACCACCCCTCCGCCGCTCTTCCAGTCCCCCTCTGCACCTCCTCCTCTTCCTCTTCCACCTCCTCTTCCTCCCACCACTCCTTCGTCTCCCCCTCCCGCCTCGGCCCCTGCTCCTCCCACCACACCCCCTCCTTCTCCTCCTCTGGCCAAACCCACGCACGCGGGTGCAGACGAGGCGCCAGCGCAAACCGCGGGACCGCAGCCACGACCCCGGTCCCGGTAACAGCGGCAGTGGTGTTGGCGTTGGCGGTGGAGGCGGTGGTGGTGGGTGTGGTGGTGAGGGCGGTGTGCCCCCCCGCGTCTTCGTCCGGGCCCGCGTCGGCACAAGGGCGGGGCTGTCTTTGGTCGGGACGGCCGCCAGACGCCATGTCCGGGTGGGAAGAGCTGCGCGACTGTCTGGATGCGCGCGTGCTGCCGGGTGTAGCAGCAATAGGGGGGGTAGTGGGTGCCGGTGCGGGTGTGGTGGCGATGGTTGGGTTGGTGGGGGTGGTGGGTGGCTGTGTCGGGTTTTCTTGGACACTGACGACGCCGCGAGGGGAAAAAGGGATGCCAGGGTTGCGCAGCGGCGTGGACGAGTCTGACGGGGGGTCCGGCAGGAGTGAGTCATGGTTGCTGGCCATGATCCGGTCGGTTTTGAACGGGTCGGGCATGGCGGCCCGGGAGAGGAGAGTGCCCTCGGACTTGGTGGCGCGGAGGCGGGTCTCAAACGCTGTGGGCGTTCGAGTCGCCTCGCGCGGTGACTCCGAGAAGGGGTCCTCGGCGGACGACGGCAGCGGCGGGGCGGAGGCGGAATGGCCGCTGAACCGGGGGATGTCCCCGAGCACCCACAGCGCCTTCTCCCGCTTCTGTAGGTTGACTCGTTCGTTCTGGCGGAGGCGAGGGCTTGGGACACGTGTGATGCGTCCAGGGGGAGGCAGCGGGTCCAGGCTCACGATGTGCCGGATCTGGTGCGTCTTGGGGGCTTCCCGCGGCTTGCTCTTGGAGAACAAGTGGACGGGAAAACTGGGAGACCTGAGCTTTTTGAAGAAGCCCTTCTTCCGCAACCACGCGAACTTGGACCCCCCGCCTGGGGCTGCCTCGGTCTCTGGCTTCAGCGCTTTGCTGGCAGCCAGCATCTTCTCGACCTTTGCCATGACTTCTCTCCCTTGTGGGGTATACGGGTTGCCATCGTAGCGCAAAGCCAGGGGGCCACCGTGGTTGGCCGTTGCGGCCGGCATTGTCGACGAGCTTGTGAGGCCCGTCGGATGCATTCGGAGAGGGTCGACCGCCACATGGAATGCGTCCGCCGGTCCCGTCAGCGATAGGGGGATGTTTCTGGGACCGAATGCTATGCGAGCTTGGGAAGAACTGCGCCGATGGGGACCGGTGCGCTGGTTGGTCGGCCGCGGGGATCGTGGGACCTCGAGAAAGTTGCCACTGGAGAGGAGAAGAGAGGGAGGTCTCCGGGCCAGACGACGGGAAGCTGGGGGAATCTCATCGTCATCCTGGTTGCTAGCTGGCCGAACAACAATCTGCGGGACTGCGGCCTCGGTTTCAGGACTGCCTGAGTTATGGCTTGACGTGCCTGTGGTTGATCGGATGCTCGCGTCGGCCGTCTCATTGCCGGTCTGCTGGCTTTTGGAGTCGGACATGGTTCCTTGAATACGGAGATCGGGGGGAACGAGTCGGATCATCGGCTCCAATTGTTGAGAATCGCGCCGAAACCCGGACGAGTGTCACTTGGATCTCGCTGAGATCGGAGATTTCGCCGACTTCTGATGAGATCTCGCTGGTCTCGAGATATTGTGCGGATGCGGAGGAAGACTTTGCTCCTGTTGGTAGGCTCAACTGATGTGCAAAGAATTCGCTGATGTGTGAACTTTTCGCTGATGTTGTGGGAAAGTGGGTGAATGTTAGGGAAAGAGGTCCAGGGTAAGAAGAAAGAGGTTATTACCAGCGCATAAACAGCCTCGAATGATTGATTCATCACGCGAGGAATAAGTGATCGCGGTTCAGAAATAAGAAAGAGTACCAGTTCCAGCAAGTTGGACTCGTGAGGGTACTGAGTGCTTGATATGGTGGTTTACTGAAGGAGAAGAGTGCGATTTGGTTTTGGTGGTACTGGCAGCGATTGTGGAAGGCATGGTGGTGGTTGACCTCTGAGTGGTCTAGCCTGTGGGCGATTCGGATGGAATTGCTGACCTCGGCGGCCACGAGCGGAAGCCAAAAAGCTCGGAGGCCGGCAGAGGTTGAGGGAGACCCGCTTTCCCGGAGCGATGACCGGTTGACAGCATCGGTCTGGCCGGCACCTCAGGTGGGCTGGGCTTTTGGGACTTCCAGGCTAGGTAGGTTCACAGCACTGGAACCAGACATCGCTCACTACAGCCTGTGAACTTTCCCACATCAGCTAAGCACGACTCTTATAGCCTCCTGGAAGATAGTTGGACTGCGAATTGACTGATAACACTTCCTTTTCCCATTTGTGATCCCGCCTCAAGACTCAACCCTTCAACCATGTTTAGGCACCTAGTGAAGTGGGATCTGCAACCGAGAGGCGAAATGCACACAAGAACTATTATGCGAGTGACTAATGCCAAACACAACCACCTCCTGGAAGCCTGTGTGATGGGCCCGGGGGTGTAAGTGAGAGAGTCGGGCAGCTTTGATGGAGAAACTCACGAGATTGAAAAGCTGGCATCATTCCAGGCTGGTTTGTGGGATTGGGCAATTTTGATTGGTGATTAACACAACACAATGAGATGGTTGCGGAAGGAGGCTCTGATCCGTGCTTTCTTTCATGAATGAATATTGACCTGTGAAGCGTGAGGTTGTGGTTGCTCTCAGGCAAGAACCACCTGCTGGGCTTGAGAGCACAACATCAATATCCATTACTAGCATTGCGCTTTGTCCTGAGATGTTTATGATAAACTATGTTAACTTTAAGGCTATAAAATCTATCCTTATAAGTTGAGATTGACCCTACCGGTGTTTGCAGGCTCGGGGTGAACCAGACTGAATTGGCATGAACCAGCCCCTGAAGATGCATGTTAGTAAACAATCTTTCTACACCAGGGCAACGAACTTACTCTGGGCTGGACTTAACACATCACCTTTAGTTTCATAGTCACAATTGTAAAAAGGATAAATTGTATGTATCCGTGTAACTTCAAAAATTTGAAGCATTACAATCGCATATCAATTTTCCCATGCAAAGCATTCCATCGAGATAAATTTCACAATGTCGTCGATGTCTGGGGCAAAAGGGTGTGCCTGCCAAGGAGGCTTGGTGTTGCCCACACCCCTGACTGATCACATCAGCAGCGGTGTCGATGGCCCTTTGAAATGTCAGGGTCCTGATTGGCGAATGCGAGTGCGTATTCGTAAAACCGAAAGTTGTCAAAGTGGGTCACCCCGCAAACTGCCGAGGCCGGCTGGGGACAATTGTCACCTTTTTCGGCTTCGCTCTTCGCGTTGAACGGGTTGCTCGAAAGTTAATTCAAAGAGGCGAACTTCTAACAATTCCAAAGATTTCTAGTCAATAATTCGTTCCTTTACTCCGGATGATATAGGCACCAATTGTGCCACCGTTGGAGTAGTCCTTTGCTAAAAGCAACCTCTTCGAAGAGTGCCTCATTGCGCAATCCCACAGCCAAGTACATCACGGACGGTCATCCGCCGGCATCTGCGAGATTTCTCCGGCTCCGTCTTCCCTCAAATTCGACCGGTTTACGAACACGTTGTCGGCCGACTCTCTCTCGGCACCTACCTTTCCACGCCCTTCCGAAATCCCCTCGCACTTCAAACAACATGTCGTTCTCTAGCCTCGTCCAAGACATGTCGCTGCGCGACTCGGGCGCACCAAGAAGGCGCGGCGAGGCCTCGGTGTCGACGGTCGACGACCGCGCGTCCCGCATCTCGACGGCAAAGTCATACACGAGCACGGCCGCTACGAGCGTGAGCATCTCGGGGGACATCAGCAGCCAGCTCCACGCCGGCTATAGCCACCCGCTCGCGAGGTCATGGCAAGCCGAGCGGCAACTCACCAAGGTGGGCAGTACCGGCCACATCGTTTCAGTTATTGCGCTAACGTGGCCTGCAGTCAATGCTCATCTACCCTCTGTTCGTCTCGGACCAGGATGACGAGGAGGTTCTTATTCCTTCCCTACCGGGCCAATGCCGCCGCGGAATCGACAGGTTGATACCCTTCCTCGAGCCGCTCGTGCACAAGGGACTGCGGTCCGTCATCCTCTTCGGCGTACCGGTGGCGCCGGGGGTGAAGGACGCCTTGGGAACGGCGGCCGACGACCCGGAGGGCCCGGTAATCCGTAGCATCCGGCTCCTGCGACAGCGGTTCCCGCACCTGTACATCGTCTGCGACGTCTGCCTCTGCGAGTACACATCCCACGGGCACTGCGGCATTCTCCGCGACGACGGGAGCCTCAACAACCAACTCTCGGTCGACCGCATCTCGGACGTCGCCATCGCGTACGCGCGCGCCGGCGCGCACTGCGTCGCGCCGTCCGACATGAACGACGGCCGGATCCGCGCCATCAAGCTCAAGCTGATCGAGGAAGGGATCGCACACAACACCACACTCATGTCCTACGCGGCCAAGTTCTCGGGGTGCCTGTACGGACCGTTCCGCGACGCGGCGGGCTCGGTGCCGTCGTTCGGCGACCGCAAGTGCTACCAGCTCCCCCCCGGCGGCCGTGGTTTGGCGCGCCGCGCCATCGTGCGCGACATCAACGAGGGCGCCGACATCATCATGGTCAAGCCCGCGGGCCAGTACCTCGACATCATCGCCGACGCCAAGGAGCTCGGCAAGGACCTGCCCATCGCCGCGTACCAGGTCAGCGGCGAGTTCGCCATGATCCACGCCGCTGCCAAGGCCGGCGTGTTTGACCTCAAGGCGATGGCGTTTGAGAGCACCGAGGGTATTCTCAGGGCGGGTGCGACTATCATCGTCAGCTACTTTGTGCCGGAGTTTTTGGACTGGCTGTCCGACTGATGGGTTTGGGTTGATGGCGGGCGTGGTGTTTGGGCGTTTTGGGGTCGGATGCAAGGCTGTGTATATGGTTTCCCCGTATATGTGTTATAGAAATGACTCTCCGCTAGACCACACTGGCCAGATGGGCCGGCCGGTTGTGCATACATTTTATTTATATTTGTATCTCCTATTCGTCCCTCTCTGGCCCTCATTGGGGACTGCGGCGCACCGCGTGGTGATGAAACCCCCAAGATGTGGCCGCGAAAAGGCGGCCGTTTCTCCTCTCGGTCGTTTTTGAACATTAGATGAGCCAGCAGCGGCGACTGTAGCTGTAGTACACAGCCCTGATTTCCATCGATTTCCTTGCTCCCAAGCAGATCCTGAAACGGTAATCGTCTAGAAGGCTTTTAAGCAGCCGGGAGCAACCCGAGCCGCAAATGCTTTGGAACGCGATCATGGGAAACCGAGCAGGGGTAAGTGGGCCATCTCATTGAAGCCAAGGCCAAGTGGGCCCAATTCCTGCTTGGTCCAACACACAACTCCCCGTCTTGAGAACAGCGTCAACCACGGCGGCCTTTGGCTCGACCTTAAACGCCTCCTGCGCCGCTGCGGATAAGCCGGGGCCGGGAATGCACCGATATCGTTACGGGGCACAGCTGGGCTGGGATGAGCGTGAGGGTACCCAGTGTACCATGTGTGCACCAGGGAATGCAAAAAAAGGAAACAAGTCACGTTAGAGCCATCCTCGAAGTGTCTGAAGGTGCCTCTTGATATGGCAACGATTGCCATCGCACTTTGGCTATGGCCTACCTCCGGGCTTCCCTCTTTTCATTTTGATTGATATTCGGCCGCCATGGAACTGGACCACCCCTGGCCGGGCCGGAGAGACGGCCGACATCTGTGGCACCGCGCTTCAGATTGCCCCGGAATTCCGCAGGCCGTCTCGGAGACCTCGGACGGTCATGCAAAGCGGAGGTGCCATTCCAGGGGGTTCTTTTTGGTGAGAGGTGTGCCGTTGGGGCATAGCCAGTTGGACCATTTGTTGGCAATTCGTTTAGTTTTCTGTTCTGTCTTTGCTAACCTGAACCCTTTTCAACCTTCCCGAGAACAGACTGTCAGGCTAAAGCATTCCGAGTGCCTCGGGTTTGTTCTTGTGTGGTCCGTATCAAGTTCTAGGTCGTGTAAACACAACAACACGACGATCTAACCCACATGGCCCTGGGTTGGCCGCCTCCCCAGACCATCTCTCTTCGTCTCTTCCCTTCTCTCTGTTGCGGGGAGGTCTAGTTGCGGACCACCAATTCCCTCAACTTTATTTCCTCCAGTATCCCCCGTTTCCTTTTTTGGGTCCCTTTCCGAGATCTGAATGACCAAATTAAACCTTCATTCCTTATTTTCATATCGCCCCTCGAAGCTATGAACGAACATGGCGCCTCCATCTGCGGTCTCGCCTATGGGGAGGAGAAATCGACCCTCCTCAATGACAAACCCCTACTCGACATCGAAGACGATGCCAGATACGCAGACCTGACCTCCCGCTTTTCAGCCACCACCTACCACCCCCGACAATGGACGACGACAACACTCCCCTCTCGCGCCGCCCACCGGGCAGTAACCCACCTACCCGGCCTCCTCCGCCGCACTCTCTTTTTCCTCCTCCCCAGCTTTATCCAACCACTCCTCTCCCACCGTCACCACCACCACCACAACCCGCCTCTCCCCCCTCGCCCGGCCCCGAAACAACCCAGCCCAACAGCCTACCTCGACGGCATGCGCGGCCTCGCCGCCCTGATAGTCTTCTTCTGCCACCTCCTCTACACTAGCTTCGCCATCGCCCCCGGCTACGGCGCCACCCCTATTAACAACCCCAACCCCAACTCCCCCGCCGAAAACCAAGCCCAAAACCACCACCACAACCACATCCCCCTCCTCCCCTTCCTCCGCCTGCTCTTCTCCGGCCCCCCCATGGTCTGCACCTTCTTCGTCATCTCGGGCTACGCACTCAGCCTGCGGCCCCTCACGCGCGCGGGTGCCCACGACCCATCCGCCGCCACCGCCGTCGTGTCCTCCCTCGTCTTCCGCCGCGCCGTGCGCCTGTTCGCGCCGGCCGCCGCGTCGACGGGGCTAGTGGTGGTGTTGGTGGCGACCGGGGTGTATGATGCGACGAGGGGGGTGGCGGGGGATGCGGGGCTGTTGAGGAATTTGAGGGAGCCGCATTTTGGGTGGGAGGGGGGGAGCTTGGGGGGGTTGGTGGCCGAGTGGGGGAGGCACATGTTTCGGTTTGTGCACGTGTGGGATTGGACGCTGTTTGGGGGGAGTACGGGGTTGGATGTGCATCTGTGGACGATCCCGGTCGAGTTTCGGTGCTCGATGGTGTTGTTTCTGACGTTGGTTGGGACGGTGAGGCTGAAGAGGGGGTGGCGGCTGGGTGTGGTTGGGGGGTTGGTCGTGTTTGTGTACTTGAGTAAGAGGTGGGAGATGGTGTTGTTCTATGCGGGGATGGTGCTGGCCGACTTGGATGTTGCTCGGGGAGCGCATGGGAGCGCGGGGCCGGCCCTGCCTGCGCCGGGACTGATGTCGGGCTCGAGCAGCCGGGCTAGCTCGCCGTCGCCGTCGTCGCCGAAACGGCGGACGGCTAGGCGTGCGATATGGACGGCTCTCAGCGTTGTCGGGCTGTTCCTTATGTCTCAGCCCGATGAGCGTGGAGCTGACACCCCCGGCTGGGTGTTTCTCACGAGCTTGATACCCAAGTGGTGGACGGACGAGCACCGGTACTGGCAGAGCGCTGGCGCTATCTTGTTTGTGCTCGCGGTGGGGAGGTTAAAGGGGTGGCAGCGTTTCTTCAACCTGCCTGTGGTGCAGTACTTTGGCAAGATTAGCTATGCCATCTACTTGATGCATGGCCCGGTGATACACACGGCGGGGTACGCCATCGAAGCATGGGCGTGGGGGCTGACGGGGACTGAAGGAAGGCAGTATGAAGCTGGCTTTGCGCTGGCGTCGCTATTCGTGGTGCCGCTGGTCATCTGGGTGTCGGATGTGTTTTGGCGGGCTGTCGATGCCCCTATTGTGAAGTTCGCGAAGTGGTTGGAAGCAACGTGCTCGATATCTGATTAGATTTTGTTAATGGGAGGGTTTCTCAGTCAATGAGACTTAGCAGAGACCGCTATTGGATTTAAAATGATGCTCCACCTACTGTGACCAGACCATATCTTGTCGCTCTTACCGCCGTCTCGAAGCATAAGACTGGTTGGTGTATTGTGCTGACCTCCCGTCTGATCCTCCACATTGTCTGTCCCCTGGTATTCTGCATCACCCCCATGGGTCTAGTCAACGCTATATGCAACGATGCGTTGCCACTTTGATTATTTTAATTATACACTCTCAACGAGCCTGGCTATCCCCTCCTCAATTGCGAGTTGTTTTTCTTCTCCGCCGGGGAATACCTCTCCTTCAAGACCTCGTCCACACTCCTTTTCAGCTGCTCCTCCCGCCGAGCGCTGTCATACCTCTCCGCGAGCGCCTTCTCAATGTCCGACATGTGCAGCAACTTCGCGTCTACCTTTGCCTCAGCCCTCTCTTCCGCCAGATGAGCAGCCGCCTTCGTCCTCTCCACCATATCATGCGCCTTTTCCACCCCCCTCCCAACCGCCCCCCTAGCCTCATGCACCCCCGTCGCCACGACCTCCCTGGCCTCAGCCACGACTTCCTTCGCCTCATCCCGCATCGCCTTCGCAACCACAACCGAGGTATCCCCCGCCCGATGCAGCGCGTCACTCACCTTGTGCTGCCCCACCCCCTCATGCTGCTGCAGCAGATTTTGCTGCTGCTGCACCCCACCCCCAACCCCAGTTTCCCCAAACCTAGCGCCCCCAACCTGCTGCTGCCCCTCCCGCGGCGCAGGCGCGGTCGGAGCCGGTGACGGCACAAACACGACCTCCTCGACCTGCACGGGCTCGCGCGAGAGGCGCACGCCAAACAGTCCCGCGACGCCGTCCTCGGCGCGCTCCCTCGCGCGCGCCCAGTCCTTGCCCTGCGCCCAGTGCACGGCGGCCAGCACCTCGCTGTTCCACCTGGTCTTGGCGGCGTCGACGAACGACGCGCCGGGGCCGATGCCGGTGTGGTGTTGTTGGTGTTGGTGCTGTTGCTCGAGGGTGGCGCGCGGCCGGTAGGTGCCGTCGGGCAGGGCGGCGGATGCGTTGCGTCGCCGTGCTGCGCGCGGGAGGGTCGTGTCGACGTCGGGCGGGATGAGGATGTCGAGGGTCGAGGCTTGGGATCGGAGCACGGCGGATTGGGCTTGGCGGTTGTGGGAGTGGGTGAGGAGGGCGAGGTAGGTGAGGGAGAGGGTTAGCGTTACGCCGCCTGCCTGTTGGAGAGGTTAGTTAGTAAGTTTAGCGGGGTGGGTGTTGAGGCTTGGATGGAGGGAAAGGTCGACAGGTGGGAGGGTTGCATACGAAGCCGGCGGCGAAACCCATGGTTTCTTCCCTATTTTCTTGGTGGGGGTTTGAGCTAATTGATCGTGGTGATTTTGGCGCTTGAAATACGGATGGGTGAGGCCAATCGGCCCAGTGTGTGTTACGGCCCTTTCCTTAGTCCTGGCCAAAGCCCCAATGGCTTTGCCGTGATGTTGCGCCTGGAAATGGGCGGACCGTCGTTGGTGACGTCGGCAGGTCCGTTTTGGAAGCTGAAATCGAAAACGGATCACAGCCCGGGTGCCCGGCGGGTGTTCCTGGCACGCACCATCCCCGATTTGGTGGGGCCGGCGATCTGGACTTGCAGTGGCCCGTGCTGCCGGTACGCTGCCGTGACAGGGACCAAAAAATTCAAGGTGCTTCTGAGCCCAGCAATCGCGGGACAACCCGACTCGACTCGACGACAGCTTCACTCAAGCCAACCCCCCCTCGCTCCACACCGTTCTTCGACCGAACCTGGACCCGACCGAACTCTAATTACAACAACCCCCCTCCTCAATAGCCCACCATGGCGGGTGGTCACATGAAATACCGACAACTGTCGCGCGACTCAGCACATCGCCAAGCCCTCCTCCGCAACTTGGTCACATCACTGATCAAGAACGAGGCTATCCATACAACATGGCCTAAGGCGAAGGAGGCCCAGAGGCTAGCAGAGAAGCTCATCACACACGCCAAGAAGAACGACGAGGTCGCACGGAGGAAAGCACAGGCAATTCTCTACGTTCGTCTCCCCCCACCTCTTCCACACCCCCCACTACAACGCACTACCACCACCACCCCAACCTCTCCCCTTACTAACATCCCAAAACACAGACCCCCCACGAACTCCTCCCCAAGCTCTTCGGCGAGATCCGCGAGCGGTACGCGGAGCGGCCCGGCGGGTACACGCGGGTGCTGCGGACGGAGCCCAAGGACCGGTACGACCAGGCGCCCTCGGCGATCCTGGAGCTGGTGGACGGGCCCAAGGACATGCGGTTCGCCATGACGGCGGCGGCGGTGGCGCGGGACCGCGCCCTCGGCAAGCGCCACTCCGACCTGACCCAGAAGAACATCGCCAAGGTGACGCGGTACCGCCGCGAGGGCCGCGACGCCTTCGAGGACATGGTGGGGAGGGTGGAGGGGATGGGGTTGCAGGAGAAAGAGCAAGAGCAACAGGGGGGAAATGGGAATGGGAATTAGGAGAGGGGAGGGGGATGGGGAGGGGAATAGGGAGGGAGGGAAAGGGGTAGTTGGGAAGAGGTGTGTTGTGGTACTGGGTAGGATCGGAGGGTACCCCTCACACATATAAGAGCTGTACGTCATGAATTGATGTAAGATATGGGAGCATGGTACTTTTGCTGTATTACTCGGCATGCGTTGGTTGGTAAACGCGACATCAAAACAAACTATGGAACATAAATCGGCCCTCTACACAAAATCAAAGGTATCCCCCTGGTCGTGGATCATCTTGCCGACCCTCGACGTCCCGACAATCCGCTCCAGCTTCATCACATCATACTTGGAAAACATCACCCTCACCACCCCCTGTCCGTGCTCCACCAGTAGCGACTGTTCGCTCTTCTGCAGATACCCGCCCGCGATCTCCTGGTAAAAGAGCGGATTGTCCGGCAGCGCGTACATGACCACGCGCTTGACCCCCTTAATCTGGTAGCGCCTGAAGTGGTGCGCGCGCTCCGTGTACAGCAGCACCTTGTGGCGACCATTGAGGAAGTGGGAGCGCGCGCGCGACGCCTCGGGCACGTCGGCGTACTCGGAGATGGTGCCGAACGAGACGTTCTCGACGGCCGGGCTGTTGGCGAAGTAGTTGCGCACGCGCACAAAGTCGAGGTACGACGGGATGAAGACGAGCGTGCCCGCCGCGTCCCGCCCCCGGTGCCGCGCCAGCATCGGCACGATCGCCTTGGTGAAGTAGGCGAACCGCGCGTCCGGGTCCGCCGCGATCGACGCCGCGTCGAACCGGCTGAACGTCTGCCGCGCCTTGACAGGTAGGTACTGGATCGTGCCCGTCGACTCCTGCTGTAGGCGGGCTTTTCCCGCCCAGTTGTGGCAGTGCGTCCGCAGCAGCTCGGCCAGCTCGGGCGTGTTGAAGGCGCTGAAGATGGCCGTCTGCCGGAAGTGCTTGGCCTGGTCGTCCAGGTACCAGCTGCGGACGCGGCTGAAATCGCAGCCGTGCGCGTCCTTGGGTTGGATGTTGAGATGCTCGAAGATGAACTCTACGTGCTCCCAGTTTTGCATGAGCAGGGCGTCGGCTTGATCGACGATGACAAGCTCGATGGAGCTGAGGAAGTCGAAGTCCAGTTTCTTCTCCTCTTCGGAACCGATGGCCATGCGGAGACCGAGCGGGCTGGCGAAGATGATGTCTGAGTTGTAGAACTGTGAAAAGTACTTGATTGTCTTGCGCGTAAACTTCATGCCTAGCCGGAACATGTCGTCGTCGCTACCCGAAAAGAGGTCCTTGAAGTCGTCGGGCTTGTCATTGGAGAATTTGGATTGCTTGTCGATGTAGCCGTCTTCGAACCGCTTTCGGTTTTCCTGCTGGTCTGGCTCGCAGATGGAGACGATCATGTCGACCATCTTGACGCACGATTGCCTCGTCGGAAGGAGCATCAGCACCTTGGGTCGTGTGAAGCCTTGGTCTCTCAGCTCCAGATCCTCGTTGCCGTCCGCCCTGGAAAGCCTGGCGTTATTCTTGACGATTCGGTCACGGGTCCTACTAAGGGTTAGCGAAAAGCTATGTCAATGTTGTTAGGCCACCCACTTGAAGACGTGGTTAAGGGCATGCAGTGAGGCCATCCGCCTGATTCCCTGTGACCCCGCGACCGTCCGGTTGCAGTAGAGCATATCCTGGTAGTTAAAGAGCAGCGGCGCTATTGTCTGCTCAGCCTGGTCAAACTTGGGATGTTTGGGAGCCATGGCCTCTTGTAGTCTCTTCTTGAGTTTGAGGTCCGAAATGCCCGATACTGGTGCTGGAAGTGGTTTTGTTGCCGTATCCCCAGCGTCGGGAGCGTTGAAGAAGATCCTCGTCGATTTGGCTGCTATCCGTTCCATGCGCCACTTGTTCCCCTGGATGGCTTCCAGTCGTGGCCGCAGTTCGTCTTCTTTGGGGTCCGCAAAGTGCACCTCGAACGGGTCGGAGATGTCCAGGTCGTCGTCCTCGTCGAATAGATCCTCTGGTGCCACGTTTGTCGGGTCCTCTTCTGGCTCCTCAACAAAGTCAACATCCCGCTCCTCTCCATCCTCCTCGTCGTCGGCGGCTTCTAATGCCGCTTCCGGTTTTGCGTCTGGGTCCTCTGCTGAAGCGTGATCCAGTTTCCGCCGCTTCGCCTTCGGGGCGCTCTCCACGAGACTTCGCATGAGACTCAGGTAAGGTTGAGCGGACTGAGCCTCCTCCTCATCCTCCTCGTCAGAGTCCACCTCCATGACATCTGATTCATCCTCGGAAGGGCTCTCGCTCTCCTCCTCACTCTCGGATTCACTGTTTGGTCAGCGCCAGGAGCACAGCGACGGGCATCTCACGGAGGCCATACATACTCCTTTTCTTCTAGCCGTTTATCATCGAATCGGGCACTCCGAGGTTGTTGCGCCACTGTCCTTCCCCTTCCTCGTCCTCCTCTCCCTCGAGATGACCCCCTTCCCCTGCTCCCTCCGCGACTGGGTCCTCCTCGGCTGGAGCCCCCGCGAAATCCAGCACGGCCACCTGGTGCCATCTTAGAACCGATATTAAAATTGCCGCAATATCGCAAGCGATTTGTGCTCCTGATGGTTGACGTAGTGAGCGCAAGCCTCTTGAAAAAAAGTTGTATGAAATTGAAACATTTCAGCCTTGTCAGTCCGACAACCACTCAAAATCAGTTGCCAAGAATCGTATCCTTGTCCCCTGGTCTAATCTGACCGCAGCCTTGCACGCCACTTTGTATGGCGGGGCTTATCTTAGCGCGCACAACCAGGTCCCCCACCCGCTACAAAACCAAAAAATTCGAGGTGCAACGCCCGGATCGAGCTTGAAGAAAAGAAAGGCTCCGGTTTGCCTGCGACGACTTTCCCCGATCCTCCGCGACCCGCCCAACTCCCTTGTTCCTACCCCATCAGCTTCCTCCAATTTTCTACGACCGGGGAACCACACCACACCCACCTCGCAGCACTTCAGGAACAGGACAGGAAGGAAATCCGACAATATGGCTGTTGAACAAGAGCACTTCGTCCACCTCGCCAGGCCCCTAGCGCCTACGTCCATGGGTTTTACCGGTAGTGCCCCGCTTACCGTCAACGTCCAGCCCCAAGTATGCCCGCCCACCCCTCTTCATCCACCCGCAACCCATATCCGACATCTCCCTTCCTATATAAGAGGAATCTTGTTGTATGAATTCGGTACTTGGAATCAAGACATTGACAATGTTCTCCCTCGCTAGGCCGTATTCTCCGTCATCGACCACGCCGTCCGCCGCGACACCCGCGACACACAGTCGACACGAGTGATCGGCGCCCTCGTCGGCACCCGCAGCGAAGATGGCAGCGAGGTGGAGGTGCGGAGCACCTTTGCGATCCCGCACACGGAGAACGAGGACCAGGTCGAGGTCGACGTGGAGTACCAAAAGAACATGCTGGCGCTGACGCTCAAGGCGTCGCCGCGCGAGACCCTTCTCGGGTGGTACACGACCTCGCACGAGCTCAACAGCTTCTCGGCCCTCATCCAGAACTTCTTCGCCTCGCCCGAGACGGGCACCTTCCCGCACCCGGCCGTGCACCTGACCATCTCGACGGAGCCCGGCGCGCCCATCGCCACCAAGACGTACATCTCGGCGCCCGTGGCCGTGTCGCCCGACCGCGCCGCCGAGTCGTGCCTCTTCATCGAGGTGCCGCACAAGCTGCTCTTCAGCGACGCGGAGCGCGCCGCGCTGGGCACGGCGTCGGCGGCGGCCGAGACGGAGGCGCGCTCGGCGCCCGTCATCTCCGACATCGAGACGCTCGCCCAGTCGCTCGAGTCCGTGTCGGACCTGCTCGAGCGCGTCTCGGGCTTCGTCGGCGAGGTGCTCGACGAGGAGCGCGACGGCAGCCACGCGCTGGGCCAGTACCTGATGAACGCCCTCTCGCTGGCGCCCAAGGTCTCGAGCACCCAGATCGAGGCCGACTTCAACAACCACGTCCAGGACGTGCTCATGGTCAGCTACCTGGCCAACACCATCCGCACCCAGATCGACCTGGCCCAGCGCCTGGCCACCGCGAACCTGGTGGGCGGCGACAAGGAGGGCGGCGAGAAGGGCAAGGAGGGCGAGGAAGGTGGCGGCCGCCCCGGGAGGGGAGGCAAGCGGGGCGGCCGGGGCGGTGGTGGACAGCGCGGGGAACCGAGGGAGCCGAGGGAGCCGAGGGAGCCTAACGAGTAGAAAGGGGGAGAAGATGAATACTACGAATGAAGAAAAGAGTAAGCGGGTTTCTTCAGGGCGGAAATTCTCTTGTTATTCACAACATATCCCATCATCTTCGTCTGTCTCACTCGATCCGCCTGTTGGGTTTGGTTTCGTGCAAACAGGAAGGGTCTTGGGGCTGGGGATCAGAATAGGGAGGACATTCCGCTCGAAATGACAGCGTGGGCAGCTAGACGGCGGTATTGAGTATATGTTGTAGGGGAGGGAGCACACCATTCCGAGATAAACCGTCTCTAGGTGGCGTTAAGTCTCTGGAGATACTGGCTGGCTCTACACGCTAAACAAAAAATGGGATGCCATGGCGTTGGGCGGCAGGCAGTCGTAGCATAGAAACGGCTAAGGACAATATGAGATTCGATCACGGAACAAAGCAGATGACATTTCCTCTTTGATTTTATTCTGCACATCTATAAAGTCTGGTTAGTGGTGATGCCGTCGTGGCCAGAAATTTTATGTCGCCTCATTAATCTTTGTGGTGTCACATTTCGTCGACCCCAACCCCATGCAATTGTCCCAAACCACCACACAAAACAGCCACCACCTAGTTCGTTCTTTTTCGTCGTTACGTATCCGCCCTCTAGAGACAAGCAGAGAGGGCCTCTGTCGCTCCATCGCAATGTTAAGGTTGTTCTTCTCCAACAACAACAGCACCAAGCATCGCCTCCTTATTCCCAAAACGCCCCGATGCATGCTCCCCCACCGACCATGTTACGCCTCACGAACCATGTATCCATTTGACTCCTGACACCGCTCTCGATGCTCAAACTCCTCTCCTATGTGGAAGGCTTCTGCGGCAATGTGGCGGGGTTACCGTAGTTGGGAAGATGACTGAATGCCTGACCCGGGCCCGGAGGAGGCCCTACCGGCTTGTTGGGCATGTGCATGGGGCCGCCCGGAGGCATATGCGGTGGTCCGTGGGGCAGCGGCGGTTGCACATGGGGAGGTTGCTGCACAGCATGGTACGGTGGCATAGAGTTGTTGGAACCCTGCCTCGTCATACCATACGGCCCGGGCGGAGGAGGCCCAAAGCCTGGCTGTGGTAGTGGCTGCTGGTACCCGGCGTAGCTCATGTGCGGCGAGTGGAACTGCGGGCTACCATGCCGCGGGCTTGATCCTCCATAGGGACCAGACACGTGCGGTGGCGGTGGCGGCTGCAGGGGAAGCCCGTTGCCCGGGACAAACGACTGCGTTTTCGGATTGAACGCTTGCCGGTTATAACTGCCCGGGATGGGATGCTGGCTCTTGGGATCGCTTGGGTTGACGTGTGCCGGGAGCTGGCCGTAAGCATAGGGAACCCCTGGAGGGGGAACGGGGCTAGACCGCGGGGGGTACACGCTCTGACTAAAGCCTTGCTGGGGCCACGCTGGCTGTGAGATACTCGGCACGGGACTGCCATACGGGCCGCCGATCGGATTTGGTGCGCGGTAACCCTGTTGTTGTTGTTGCTGCTGCTGCTGCTGCTGCTGCTGCTGCTGTTGTTGTGGCGGCGGTGGTGGCGGCACAGCTTGGGGCACAGCTTGGGGCACGGGCTGAGGGACAACTTGTGGGACAGTCTGTGGGACAGCCGGCGGCATAGGTGGCGTCGGGTACTGCAGCCGGGTTAGATCGCGGGAGAAGGTAAAATGGAAAGAGACATGGGCGGCTTACAGTTGGCATTCCTGTGTATTGGGAAGTAAACCCGTTGTTGGGTACCATTTGCGGTGTATATGGCTGGCCGGGTGGGTACATGGGTTGCGCAGCGTTCGGGTATGGCTGCTGCGGCTGCTGGAATTGACCGTTGAACGGGGCTGCGTTCACCGGGAAATACTGGGGAGCAGAGGGACCCCAGGTGGGATGCTGAGGTCCACACCAGGCAACATATTGAGACCGCGACTCGAAGCTCTCCGAGTCATCCCGGCGCTTCGTTTTCCTCTTGCCGCTGTTGGGCTTGTCTTTTGCCGACACCGAGCTAGCCCGGGAGACGCCAGTGCTATCTTCACCGTCTATGGCCTCACGATTAGCCGGAGGAACCCCAAAATATTTTGTGCCTAGCCTACCTTGGTTCGAGTTTTCGCTCTTCTCAACGCTTCCGAATATCCGCTGCCGGGCTTTGTTGTATGCCTCTTCACGCTCCTCTCTCGTAAGTCTAAAATGGCGGTTAGCATGAGCAGTAATCGCTGATGCGCTGGGGATTATTACTTCTCCTTGGACGGGCCGTTCTTGTCCTTGGAGTCGCTGCCTGCCTCTGACGTTGGTTTTGAAGGACCGGCGCTCGCAGGACCCAGCTCCCCGTCCTCGCCGCGGCGCATGATTTTCCGTGGCAAAACAACTGGCGCGGGCGAACTGCTGCCGGGCGTGCTCGCCGTCGCGATACTCGATAGAGAGGGGGGGATCCTGCAAAAGGGTGTCCGAAAGATGCGCACTGCTCCCGCGGCTGCCTCATAAGAGTGTGTCATATGGTAATAATCAGCAAGCCTGTGAGTCAACATTCTGCAAAACGAGTTGCTCGGGGGCAGGTCCATGTAAGGCTCCCTAAAAAGTCGTGTTAGTGGCTGGCATGGAGTAACAAGGACTATGGGAACAGGAACATACTTTGAGTCCTGGACAAAGTCGATGACTTGCTGCTCGAGTCTCAGCAAGAATATACGGTCCTTGGGCGACTGCATTGCCTCGAGAAGTTTATCATCGGGGTTCTGGCTATAGAAAGCGTTTGGTGCCAGGGCATCAGGAGTCGCCGTTCCACCGACCAGGGCCACTTTCGGGTCCGGTACCACCTGCTTGTCCGAGTTGCCGCTCTGTGGTGTGCTGACACCTTGGATCTTGGTTCCAGCCAAGAGTTGATGGGCAGGAAGACCCCGCGGTGGCATATCTCCGATCTGGATACGCTGGATACGAGCCGCAACGTCCGAGCCTAAGCGGGAACTGGCCATGTAGGAACCGCGGATCGAAAAAGCATCGTCATCCTCGGCGGCGGCCTTGACACTGGCGCTGTCGTCGGGACGTAGTGATTCCTTCTCGTCCAACGCGAATGTGGTGCCTGAGGTAATACTCTTGCCGTCCAAACTGGGAGGCTTGGTTCCTAGCTCCGAGCTGGAGTCGGCTCGTTGCGATGTGTCGTCTGACGGTGTCTGGCTGTTGCCGACTTTGCTCGGCCTTTCCGGCATACCTCCCAGAGACCCGTCAACGACAAGATTGAGCGGCGCCTTTGCTTCCAATTTGAGGTCCTTCAGTCCGCTGACGAGCTTAGAATCGGCGGGGTCCTCATTACCGGCCATGTGGTGCACATTGGGCGATGCGGCGATGTTGTTGGGAGTGGTAGAAACAATGGCGGGTGCGGCCATAGACATGGCAGCGTCTCTTCTATCCTTGACAGGTGCCGAGTCGAGCACTCTGGCGGCGGTAGCGGTAGGCTTGGAGCCCTTGGGCGTCGATGCTGCGGCGACCTAAGCGCAGGGTAATGTCAGCCGAATGTGTTGAGATGGCAGGCCGCCAATGGAGGTGGGATATCGATGACCACGTACCCTTGCAAACGACATCTTTTTCCCTACGTCGTTCACCATAGTGGGAACCGCGGCCATGGGTACGGCTCAAAATATCCCCGGAAACACACGGGGTGGTACACGATCCCCAGAGACAGCGATATCGAGGCACGGGGGCACGGGATGGTCGGTCCCAGGATGAGCGAGCGAGTGTGCGGGGAGGATACGCCGGCTTCACTGTGAGGCCGGGCCGGGGCAGAACCGGGACGACGGATCCGAGGAGAAATCAAGAAATGAAACGGAGCAGGGCTGTCCAGACCGAAGGAAGAGCGCAGGTAATCATCGTGCGGGGGGTTATAAGCGGAATCAGGCAAGGTTGACGATTTTCCCCGAAACAGCAACGGTGCAGCAAAAGGCAGCGAGTCGTGAGATACTGCTGCGATGGATGCAGAGTTGCAGAGTTGCAGAGTTGAAAGTTGATTTCGTCGTCAACCGAGCCAAATATGGCCGCAGTCGTTTGAGCGTCGCAGTTCCAGACGTCCGTGCTCTGTCTGGAAAGCAGGCCGCCACAATTGGGCGGTTGAAGAATGGAAGATCTGAGCCAAGGAGGGGGGTGCGATGTCCTGAACAGAGGTGGTTGCACAATGGATGGAACCTGGAAGGAATTCTGGCGAGGAGGCTGCCCTGCCTGTGCGGTCCCCCTCCACTGTGGTGCCGAAGGAGGCCTAAGGCGGCCCCGGCTTTAAGAACCTAGAGGCCCCACACTGCCTCTTCCCCAACCCGGTGCCTCAAACCCAACCGACCACAGGATGAATGAGGCATTGAGAAGCAACAACGAACGAAAACTATGCAAATAGGGAGGTAATAATAAAATCAATCCAAAGGGATACTACTATGCTAATACCACAGTGGGTGGATAGTTTTACAACCAAAGGTTTGATAATCCGTTTGGGCGGAATTTCCCAGGACTTCCATGCCCAAATTCCGATAATACAGCTGCATGCTCCATGGGTAACTTGGACGCAAGCAACGCATTTGCCAGTTCTTGTATGTATGTACACGCCAGGCGGTCATGCTTTGGAATCTTTTCCGGACTACTCGGTTCTGGTAGTTGCAGCTTTCGAGACCTTGGATGTTCGCTGGCAAGGCCAAGTTGCACACACAAAGCATCGGCTTGGCTGCACGTGCCGACAAGCCTCGGTGCATGACGAGCAATCAGAACAACCTCTGGCCCAGGGATCCTGAATTATTACTCGATTCTTGCATATGCATAAAGGATCAACAACAACATGGTCTCCGAGGACGAAGAAACGTCCAGTGACACACGACGTGTGCTGGAAGACCGAAAGTGGACGAAGAGAATGTCTGTGCGTAGCGATATGGATGCGGAGATGCAAGGGTGGCTCAGATTCTGCCACGGGCAGGAAAAAAAGGAAAAAAAGGCGGTGACCAGTGTGTCCCGAGTTTGTGTATACATTACGGTAATGATAATTTGTAATCTGTACTGCGTACAAAACGGGAGATCAACTTCGCATCAATCACAAACCAAGGTCAACGCGCAAACCAAGGATCTCTCAACTTTTTGGTTTCAACACTGGTCGCTTCTCTATTGCACTTTCTATCATATAGTATCAGTCGGTAAACCAGCGAACCCAGCGCTGAGTGACTGCAAGTTGTAACATTCCGGCGCCTCATCAATCTTGCAGCACGCAGCACGCATCAATCACCCTTTGACGGCTATCAACTGGCTGGTCTTATTTACCATCGTTCACTACCCTCCCGCTTTGACTTTTGTGGTTGAACTATAAGCGTCGGGGTGCAGACTTATCTGGCCACCAACAGAACGGAGCAATTCCTTCATACTAAAGCCGAGATGCATTCCTTCCGAGGCCGTAGCGGGCCATCGAAGGCTACCCCGTCAAATGTGCAGTGCCAAAAGTGCCTGAAGAGAGATAAGTGACCGCCGCATCCAGAACTCGCGTTCGTTATTGACAATCTTAGAACGCCACTACTCGTACGAATGCAAATCGGTACCGCAAGAACGCCCCTATATTGCCCGGCCTTCCCGCACACAGCAGCTATTCAACCCTAAGCTGCTTCCCAAACTCGCAAGTGACACACCGAATGCTTTACAGGAGAAGTACGCTACAACTCGCAGTGACACATTATCGTGAGATGCTAACATAGCTACAGGAAAGGGGTAGCTGATGAAGAGCTGGCTAAGCGGGAGGCAGAAAGGGCCCGGAAACGGGAGCGGGAGTTGGACGAGGACGCCGCGTTGAGGGACTCGCCACCACCCAGGCGGCAAAGGTCGCCGTCATATGATTCAGTCTCCAGTATCTCTACCCGATCCCCGTCTCCAGCCCCGAGACGGAGCCCCAGTCCCGAGCGTCGGGAGAGGCGGCGGGATTCCCGGAGTCCTTCCCCTCGGGGTCCCCAGGGCCGCAAGTCGTCCTACGACTCGGGCGGCCGCTACTCCCGCGGCCCCTCAGAAAGCCCAGCACGCGGCTACCAGGCCAGAGGCTCACGGGCGCCACTTTCTCCTTCGCCTCAACGCTCTCCCCCACCGAGACACGAACGCGCTGGTCGCGATGCGAGACGGCATGGCTCTCCTGGGCCCGAGACTCGTGGAAGGGACTCGTATGCGAGGCGCACATATTCGAGTTCCAGATCTAGATCCCCAGTGAGACGGGAGGATAGGGGGGACGGACATGGTGCTGGCCGTTATAGGGATAGGGAGGATCGCGGCCACCGGGGAAGGAGCCCATCGCTCCCGCCACCCCCGCCGGCCCGGCAGCCCTCCCCTCCGCGGGAAAGAAGCCTTAGCCCCTTCAGCAAACGGTTAGCTCTGACGCAGGCCATGGGCAGGGGTAGATGAGGATAGGAATTCCGGGTATCATACTATGCCATACTTTTTGTAGGATCCATGTAGCTCACCGGCAGCCCCAAATAAAACAACACCAATCCGCAAAAACAGTCCCATATCCGTACAGGGCGCCCAATTATGCAATGCCCATATCTTAAACCCAGACGATGCCAGTGACCAATGTACCTTTCAAGCCATCCCAAACTCAGCCGCCTCCGCCTCCCTCTCCCTCCGATTCTCCTCCTCCTCCTCCCTCTCCCGCAACCTCATCCCCTCCACAAGCGCCGCCCCATCCAACATACCCTCCGCCTCCGCATCCCCCTCATCCCCCCCTTGTTTCCCACCCCGCCCAGCAGCAGCAGCACCAGCAGCAGATCCAGGCGCCGCCGCCGCGTCCGCAGCAGCCTTCTTCTCGGCGAGGCGCTCGCGCACCAGACGAGCAATCGCGTTCTCGGTGCGCACGCCGAGCGCCTCGCTGCGCAGGTTCAGCTCGCGCTTGAGGTCCCAGTTGGGCTTCTTGGGCTGCAGCTTGAACAGGTCGATGCCGCGGTCGCTCTGCGCGTCCACGGCCTCCTGCCGCCGCGACTCCTCCTCCAGGTCCTGCGCCTGCTGCTCGAGCGTCGCCTGCCCCTGGGATAAGGTCGGGGGTGCTTCGAAGCCGAGTTTCGGCCCCTTGGTCTCGAAGTCGTAGTTGCGGCCGGAGAGGTGCATGCGGGCTACGTCTTGGGTGGGGGGGGCGAGGGAGGGGTCTTGGTTGTTGTAGTCGTCGTTGTTGCTGTTGCTGTTGTGGTTGGTGGTGGTGGGAATGAGGTCATCTTGTGGTGCGGTTTCGGTTTCGTCTGCTTCTGCTTCGATCGGCTGCTTGCGCTTGAGAGATTTGAGCTTGGCGAGACGCGCTTTACGATCGTCTGAGGCTGCGCTTAGTGTTGCGTGGGAGGACATTGTGAAATTGGTCGGCGGGTTCCTTTGGCGGGTTGTCTAGGTTTCCGTGGGCGTCGAGAGTGCTCTTCTTTTATGGGTGGTTGTTGCGATGCAAAGGTGCTGCTGGTGCTGCAGGGGAGAGCCGGGAACACAAGCGACGCTAAAATCTTGCCTGCCGCGTCTGTTGTATGTAATTACACGCTAGCTGTACTGTAACCACTGGACAGACGCCACCAGTTACCAAGAAATTATTTACGGACCACACTCAACTTCTACTTCCAGGTTGAATACCTACCATGTTCTCCGGATCCGTGAATTGTGCATCCGAGACACTCGACGATACTCCATAACCCCCTCAGTTTGACCAGCCGCCACCTCGGCGAGCTGTGTCCCGTCGCAATGATACGCCAGGCCGGGCAGGTCCCCCGAGCGTGTGCCGCATCGATAAAACTTATACCATGGCCCCTCAACGCACGACGACTCGCCCTGCACTCGCGACACTCGAGACCTCTTCACACCTCCCCCGATGATCCTCCCACAGCCGGTCCGGCCGATTCGGATCCCGCGTCCAACAACACCCCGCCCACCTCTTCCCCTCAGCAGGAAAATCACAATGGCTCAGGGCCCGGCCAGCCGCAGCAAAACCAACCAGCCGTCAACCATGCGCAGGAAGGTCCGAAAACCTCTAGAGCTCGACCCGACCGGGATCACCTCGGCCGCGTTGTACGGTCCAAGAAGTGGGCGTATCCCGATGACCGGGTCCGCTCTTTTCGGCGGGTGCTCAATAAGATGATGAGCAAAAAGAAACTCGACTCTCGTGTGGCGCAATTCGAAAGATGGGACAAAAATATGAGAATCGTCTTTAATCGCCTAAATGGCGTCAAGACAACCCCCTCCACCGAGGACGAAACTGAGGGTATGGAAACCCTTGAGAGGCTCTTGACTTCCGATACGGTCGAGGACATGAGGTCATCCTGGCTCGCAATACCACCGCAAGACCGCGATACCGACAAATGGCTTGATATGATGATGGCTGCGGTGGACTCTCGAATTGAACGCACAGCCATGGTGCTAGAGGCCACTGCCGAAAAAGGCCTCACGCCCTCCTGGGCCGTGGCAGACGTCTTTGCTGCCCTCGCCGTTTGGTATGCAAAGCTCCCGGAGGGTAGTCAAAAGGACCAGCAAACCCAGCTTCCCCGGTTACTTGTTCACCTCCTCCGCAATAGCCGTCGGGGCTACTACCGGTTCCACCAATACGCCATCGGACTAACGCTGTCCGGCTGTGAACCCGATGCGGTGGCCGAGATATACTCGGCAATACAAGCGCTCGACCACCCTCTCCACTGGAACACCAAGCTCAAGATTGCAAAGAGTCTCACCCAAAAAACAAAGCACAAGCTGGCTGCTCTCAGGGTGTTTGAGAGCCTTTTTGACGACCCCAAGGCCGATGTCCACGGCCGTCGCTGCGCGGCATTGGCTACGGAACTTTTCGCATTGCCCGAGGACTGGGACTACCGCCGGTCGCCGGTAGAGGTGCAATTGCTCGCTGAAGCCTTCGAGCGTGTCGTGGGCCGCGGCCTCTCCCCAAACATCGTAACATATACGGCCATGATTCGGGCCTTGTGTTTAACCAACCAACTAGACGCTGCTTGGAAAATCTACGAGGTCATGCGCAATTCAGGGACCACGCCAGACCCTCACGTCTTCTCCATCCTCCTAAACGGGGCCAAGCGCGCTCTGAGGCTTGACTCGGTCATCCGAATCATGGAGGAAGCAACACCCGACGCCTTGCAAACACCCTACATCTGGAACGACTTGGTTCACACCATCCTTTTGGCTGCGGACGAGGAACTCCCCGCGGCCTCAATCGGCAAGGACACGATCCCTCTACCAGCCTTTTCCACTATGCTCCAAGTTTATTCCAAGTTCTTCGATCTGAAACCCCTACAAAAGCTCATACCTGCTGGCTCGCCGGAGCCGGCGGATAACGCTACGGGCTGGGCTTGGAAGGAAAAGCTGGCCCCCCTCATCGAACAACTGCCCGTCTCCTCGCCTGATAAGCTCGTCGAGCCTGGTCTCGAGACCCTAGGCATCATGTTGGTAGGCTACATCAGAAACCTCCCTACCACACAACACGTCATGGAGTTCTACTCGCACTTCCGGAAACTACTACACGACCGAGACCCGCTCGCCATCAAACTCGTGATGCACAATACACTCCCCTACGACGTCGTTCTCGACTTCATATCAACCCGCCCCGGTATGCTAAACGTAGCCCTCGACATCGTCCAGGGCATGCTCAGAGACGCCTTCAGCTCCACAATGGCTCTCAGGCAAAGCCTGGCGGAATCCGACCCGGAGGAACCCGGCCAGAGCGAGAGCCCAGAGCCCGGCACCCCGGCCGCCTACCGCCACCCGGCGCCGAGCGTCCACACCTGGACCATCCTCATCCGAACCTTCTGCTGGCAGGCGCACCCGGAGACGGCGATCCGCATGATCCGCATCATGCGCCGCCACGGCGTCGAGCCCAACCACGTCACCTGGCACGGCCTGCTCAACAGCTACGCCAAGCGCCAGGCCGTCGCCCCCGTCATGGCCGTGCTCGACCAGCTCGACAAGGCCGGCTACCAGCCCAACCAGCACACCATCCGCGCCATCGCCAAGCTGCGCGGCCACGAGGCCATCCTCACCCGCCTCGACGAGCGCGCGGGGCTCCGCGACCAGCAGCTCTGGGCCGAGGTCGAGGCCGCCGCCGCCGCCCCGCCCCCCTGGTCCGTCGCCATGTCGTCCAAGAGCCGCGGGTTCCGGCGCATGCGGGCGCTGCGCCTGCGGCGGCAGAAGGAGTGGGAGAGCCAGGCGTCGGAGCGTGGGGAGGCTGTGGAGGGGCTTCGGCAGAGTGAGTTCCGAAAGACGGTGTCCCGGGAGACGGGGTCCCAGGAGAGGGGGGAGAGGGGCAAGGAATCTCGTGGGGGGAAATCTCTGGATGAGGACCCTCTGGAGGAGGAATTCCTGGAGGAGGAGTCTCTGGAGGAGGAGTCCGAGGGTGGATTGGACGCTATTGGGGAGGTGGAGGCTGCTGAGCAGGCGGCGTCGGACGAAAAGCTGGATGAGTACCTGCGGATGTACGACGAGCTGGTGTTTATGCGGATGGGCGAAGAGAAGGACGTCTTCAGCCAGCGCTTCATCGAGGGGGGCCGGACGGACTACAACCTGGGGCCGGGGGGCTTCTATAAACCGGGGCGGAGAACGGGACCCAACACACCGCATTTGGGAAGCCCCCCCTTGAGTGGTCTGGGCCTACATATGGGCCCGACAAAAGCTGCGGCGACAACTGATGCGGCGGATATGCCCAAGGGGTCGGGGTAAGGACACCAAATCTGTGTACTATTTTCTCCTCCTGTACTATACTGTTTTACCTCATCCTCTTCCTGGATACCCCGTCGATGAACGCCACGCGCATGGCACAGCTTGACTATCACTTCTTTCCGTGAATGATCCTACTACCACCGCCGCTATCAACCGTCGTAACGCCTCAATCCAAACACAAAAACCGCCCGCCGAGGCCACAAGTGGAATGCCGCCCCGTCAGATCCACCCCTCCCTATCCTTATCCTCCCGCTCCGGCGACAGAAACGCGTCGATCTCGGAGAGCTTCTCCTCGGTTGTCAGCCGTCGCCGAGGCTGGGGTGGGCGGCAGCTTGACGACAAGTCTGTGCCCGAGTCGGCACGGGTCGAGCGCGTTGCGATCGAACTAGTCGAGGTCGCCGGCGTCCGCCTGCTGTGGATGCTCCTCCCGCTGCTGTTGGTGACGGCGGCGCTGTTGGTGGAGACTGAGGTAAACGTGGAAGCGGATGGCTCGGACGAGTGAGGCGGATGGCGATGTCTACTATGGTTTGCGCGGCTGTGGTGGCGGCAACTTGTTGGTGTTGGGATCGGTACTGGCAGAGGGGGTACCGGCGGCGGTGAAGACGACTCCAGTGAGGACGGGGAGCGCCACATCGGCGGGCGGGTCCAGGGGCCGCTGCCGCCGCTACTGGGATAACGCGAATGGCTGGGTTGTGTTGGTGGGATGGGCAGCGGCCGGGCAGGCTCTGTCAAACTGGGCGGCTCAGGCTCAATTTGCATGTCGAATAAGAGGTCTGCAATGTCTGGGCATCCTGGCGCGGACATGCTTAGTCTCACGGATGATGTTGGCCGCGGCTTGCCCCAGGCAAGATAATCGCTTTCCGGGTCGGGGAAGGGCTCCAGAGAATGTGCCATTGAGTGTTGGTCCCATTGCGAGGAAATAGCTGAGCGAGACCGCCCTCGAACAGCCGCCGGTATGGGAGGCGGAGGTCGAGTGGGTGGAGGTGGAGGTGAGTGTTCTGTCTCTGGGTTTGCGAAACACGAGGTAGGAAATTGTGCGGCCGATCCCGACGACATCAAAGTGCCATCGTCGATACCTAGTTGTGCTGTTGACATCGGCCTCTCTCTGTTGTATATTTCTCCTTCGTCGACCCATAGCTGGGTCCGCACCTCGCTCCAAAAGCCTTTGACTTCTGGCGAACCCCGTCTCTCCAGCTTGAGCGCTTCAGGCTCAGGTACGTCCTTCCAGATAAGCAGGTCACTCATCAAGTTGTCGAGCTGCTGAAGAGGCGAGGACGTGTTTCTTTGGTTTGGCAAGGTGGCCCCGTTTCCCTTCCTCTCCCGGCCATCTCTAACTCTCTGTGTCTCCCCATTCTCCTTGTCTTGTTTCTTGCCCCCTTCTTTCTTGCCTTTGACCCGCTGGTCTTCATTTTTCAGGTCCTTGCCAGCGATGTCATCCAAACACCGCGCCAGCGGTCTGTTGTTGAAGTAGGATTTGTGCCTGAGCAGGGTCAATGAGTAGTCCTCGACTTGGTAGCCGACCCGAACTGACGGGAACATTGAGTATGTGACGCTGAGCGATTGATTTTCTTGTTGTCGCGGGTTTTCTGGGCGCTTGGTCGGGGTATTGCTGCATTGGTTACTCGTGTGGGTGACCCGGCGGCCTTCCTTTCCATCCCTCGCCCCAACTCTATCGCTCGCGCCCGATACCAGCACCAGTCTGTTGGATACTGGACTCTCTGGAGCACCTACCGACTCCTCGAAGAGACGAACTATGGAGCGCACTGACCGATCAGATGCCTTCCTTCCCGAAAGTGGTCCTCTTTTGGCGAGATTCGATGCGAAACCTTCGTGAAGCGCAAGCCTCTCGATTTTCCTGTCAAGAATTCGTTCCGGGCTCAAAGGTGATCCGCATTCTCGGCGTTCGTTATAAAGCAGGTCGCTTTCTTCCATGTTGGGAATTTAATTGCGGAGCTGATGAGTGTGGGTGGTGTTGTAAATGTGAATATCAAAGGAAAGGGCATGTTGCTGGGCTGGGCTGGAGCTCTTGCCCTCCACGGCATTACTCCGTCTGATCATATGAGTGGGAAAGAGCGACCAAGAATGTCCCTACCACTACATTCAGATTTAGATTAAAATAATCCGAGTTTCTTTCTGCATCTTGTTCCTCTGTTCGTGTTATCTCAGAATCGACTTCAGCTGCTCGTCCGATGCCAACATCACCACAGTAAACAACGTATCTCGCACATTCCAACACTGCCCGAAGTATATATCCGAGCTTTTAGGTATGCCCTTTGACAACATTTTATTGCCTCAGGCTTGCCCGTTCTCGTGAGTTTGGCCAGCCATTGAAAGCAAGGGGTGGCTTCCGATACAGGGAACGACTACATTAAAGGGCGAGACCACTGCACTAACTGGAAAGGGACCACCACGATAGGTTTATAGTTTTAATATGGGCACTGTTATTTGGCCCACGATGTCTATGAGAAGGCTAACTCTCATGCACGTGGTTGTGATAACCTCGAAGGACAGCTTCAGAACAGAGTGACCATCAACAAACCAATGCGCGGGGCTACTATCAGGTACAGCAACAACCACAGCCGTTGCAATGGAAAAGCAAGTACGAGAACCAAGAAAGACTTATCAAGAACACTAAAAGTAAGTTGGACTAGTACTGCTTCGAAGATTGAACCCCCTCATCAAGTTTAGCATATGTTCAATTCACCTACCCAGTACCTCCACCATCCTTGGAACACGTGGATCACGAACGTCCACTATCTCCGTACCACAAAGGGAGAATTTTGTCCTCATGGAGCAGCCATCGAAGTTTCAGACCGGAACTTGGAATCTTCCTACGCAATACAACAACCTTCATCACCCAGGGGTTGAGCAAGAAAGGGGGGTAAGCAACCCCTGTAGTTTGTTTACAATCCGCCCTCCTTGTCTCCCTTAGATAGACTATGATGAATCGCCTTTTAGGGGTTGTCGTCAAGACCAGGCAAACCCGCGCGGAGAGGAAGGACCAAATCTTTGTCGGCGGCCCCTTGATCGAGCGTTCGGTTTTCCTCGTGAGGTCCCTCCATCATCCTGAAGCCAGAACTCGGGCTCAGCCGCAGCTTCCATGGAAACCCAACGGCATCCAACAAAGCATGTCGGCTCGCCAGGCCAGTCAGCTCCCAATAACCATCCGAAAAGAGGTGAATTGGCTTGGGCCGGGAACATCTCAGCTCGCCATGGGCCTGAACACTGCGTCAACCGTGGCATCTGCGGGTTTGACGAAGAGGGTACAACAACCGAAGGAGCCAAGTCGCCAACATGCAGGGACCGGGTCGATGACCGAATATCTCGCCCTTGTCGGCAACCATCTCGCCTTGGATTTTGGTTGAGTCTGACGGCGATGTGCCTCTGACATCGCCGAGAGGTCCGGTTATCACAACGGAGCAACAGCCGCAGTTGGGTGTGGCTGCAGCAGCACAACCAGGGGTGCCAATAGTTGACGTTACTGTGTCCTCCGTACTGTACTTGGAGGTTTCCCGCCGCTTGGGGAAACAAACACCGTCCCGCTCGCAGGTTCCTCCGTCTCAGACTCGAAGTCAGCCCGACAATAACAACAATGCTGAAGGGATCGACACTAAAACGGAACTCCACCGCCAGCCAAACCCCCGCCAGCTCGTCGGGGGCTTCGGTGTATTGCCCGTCTCGTCCCCCTCGTCCTTCTCGCTGTTGACTCGAACCCCGTCGACAACCCCTCGGTGGCGAGATGGCTGATGAAGAGTGAAGAGGGCAGGGGTAGGCGAAGGGGCACTAAACCCGAAGCGACGCCGCGTTTCCTTATCGGGTCGCCGCGTTCCCGCGTGTGGAGTGCAGCCGCTCTCCTTGCAGCTCAGCCACAATAACGACACACCTTGGGCTGGGCCGGGGCGGCGGCCGCCTTGTCTCTTTTCCTCCCATGACATACCCGCATTTGGCCTGGCTTTTCGCGATCCAAGTCTCGCGCAACGGGGTGGAACTGACGCAGACTGAGACTGGTGCGCGTCCCCGAGGACTCGAATGGGTTCCCGCTAAGAGGACAAGACCTTCGAGACTCTCTGATCGACGCTTTTGTGTGACGCGAAGAAAGCCGGTCAGTCTTCAACATGGACAAAAGAGAGTCTTTTTCTGGAAGCGCATCCGAGGAGGATGACGAGCGATTGGTGTTTTCAGATTCTGCACGCCCGATCTGCCGCCACGGTAACATTGAGCGACTGACGCCGGCCAGGCACCCACGCACCCTGCATGCCGTCTCGTAGTGTAGGTCGGCGACGTTGTCCGGGTCGGCATCGATTTTCACCACTCCCTCAGGAAGGTCCCGGGCAAAAGGTCCACGGAGATCTTGGACCAGACTCTGGGTCTCGATGGACGCGGTGACGGAAAGGGTCTCTCCCCAAGGGTGAATCCGCCTTGGCTTCCCTCGGCATGTCAAACTGACATCCTGCACGCCGTCAGGCGCCGGCCGACTCGAGGCGCAGCATCCAGACTCCCCGGTGGTGGAGGAACGGTTCGCTCGCCCCCCCATTCGATAAAACCGGGTCGGGTTGTTGAAGAACCACCCCCGCCAACTGAGATTCGCACTCAAAAAGTCATGACTGGACCAATGATCCAACGCCCGGGACGAGGAAGATAACCGGCCAGTCCCAAAATCCAGTTACCATCTTCGGTAAGCTTTCCAGGACTTCATAGGACTGTGTCACCCGCCGTCACAGGACAGCTGTGCCTGGCGGTACACCGCATTGAGGTCTTCACCCGAGACAACGAGACAGGGCAGAATCGTCAGACCTGGGAGATCTGCAGAGACAGCAGGCAGTATTGATTGGGCCTGGTGGCATGAAATGTTAGGTGACACCCTTGCTGCACAGAGTTTTTCTTTTGCCTTCATTGTTGATTTGCCGTGTCAGAAAGAGGCAGACAATTGCCTTGTGATGCGGCCGCGGCCTCCAAGCATGTAAGACGAAAGCGGCAAGTAGAGAATCGAATCGTTCCAACCACTTCTATTAGAGAATATTTTGTGTGGAAAACACCAACGTGGTAAACTATCTACCTAGTCATGCCAATGCAAGCCAATGAATGTATCATTACAAACAAATAAGAGCCAAGTGATGATGCCATGTCCTGTGTAAACCCCCCTCAACCCCAAAAGAAATCAACAAATAGGTATCGACAAGGAAAGAAATCGTAGCTAGGTATCTCTGGTCATGACTCGTAGCCCATAGCCCTCTCCCGTAAACGTAGTAAAACCAAAAGTAAAAGTAAACGAATTATTTCCAAACCCACCAGGCCCATTGAAAGAAACGAACACCACCACCACCACCACTACCACCATCAATCAATCATCCTCCTCCCCCTCCGCATCCTCCTCCTCCCCCCCATCCGCAACCACAATCTCCCCCTCCACCCTCCCCTCCTCCCCACCCCCCCCAACCACCGGCGCAGTAACAACCACATTCCCCCCGGGCCCCCGCCGCAGCGGCGCCTTCAGCACCCACCCCTTCCCATCCCCGCGCGGGATAATAATCGCCACCTGGCTGCTCGCCGCCCACTCCACCAGCGAGGCGTCCCCCTCCCCGCCAAACACCACCCTCCCCCCCGCCTCTCCCCCACTAGTAGTAGTAGTAGTACTGGTGCCGTTGCCGTTCCCACCGCGAGCGGCGCGGTCCATGTGCTTGGCGACGTGCTCCATGCGCTCGTTCCACGCGCCGTCGCCGCGGAAGGGCCCCGCGCCGCAGCCCGCCACGGGGCAGCGCATGAGCTGCGGGAGCTGGCAGCGCGGGCGGATCGCTGTGTCTTGCAGGTGCTTGAGGCGGGTGTTCCATTGCGCGAGGGCGTTGGCTGTGGCGGAGGTGGGTTGTTTGGTTGTGTTGGAGGAGGAGGTGGTGGTGGTGCGTTTGGCGGGGAGGTCTTTTACCTCCTTGGGCGCGTGCATGCGCTTGAGGTGCTGGGTGAAGAGGTCTTTGCGGTTGAAGATGGCGCCGGTGGGTTGGGTGGTGGTGGTAGTGGTGGAGTCGGGGGTGGTTGGGATGATCGGGGAGAGGGCGTGAGCGCCGGTTTGGTTGTTGTTGTTGGCGTGGGCGTGGGCGCAGGCGCCTTCGGTGCAGACCCAGTAGTGGAGGAGGAGGTGCTGGGTGGAGACGTGGCGCTTCCATTCGTTCTTGTTGGCGAAGGTCGAGTTGCAGCCGGCGAAGTCGAAGACGCAGTTGAAGGGGCGGCGGTGTTCTTTGTTGAGGTGGGCTTCGAGGTCGGACTGGGAGGTGAAGGTGGTCTTTTTGCAGTCGGGGCAGCTGAGCCGGGCTCTGTTGTTGCCCGAAGAGAGATGGGTTACACGAGGGGCCGCGGTAGGATTGGCGGCCCGGTTGCGCGTTCGCCGGGAGGAGGGCGAGACGGGAGCGGCGATGGCTATCTTGTCTGCGCGCCGCGCTGATGTCCTGGCGCTCGTCCTCTGCTTCTTGATCGGCTGGTAATCCTCGTCGTCATCGTCGTTCCGGCGCTTGCCTAGGGGCTCGCCTTCTGAGCTCGCGTCCTCTTCCAGTGGCGGGTACTCGCTCGGAGCCTCGATTTCCCCTTTGGCGATCGATTGCATGGGTTCAAGCGCAGCCTGGCTGACAGAGAAATCAAGGGTAGCGGCGGTGCCCTGTGGCGGCTCCAGATCGTGGCCGACGTGACTGTCGAAGTAGTTTGGTTGGACAGGAGTAGTAAAGTCAAAGTCGGCGATGCCGTTATCGCTCTCGCTATACTCAAGTTGCTGGGTGGAGTTGACCTCGAAGGGATTCACGTAGTCGGGTCCCATGCTCATGAACTGAACGGCGTGGGCGGTCGGTTCCAACGGCAAGAATCCCTGGAAGGGCGAGAGCAAGTTCGTGTCAGGTGGTGTTCTCGGGTAGCCGTCGTGGTACGACTCGGTGTCTGGGCCAGGGCTGAGTCCACCACCGGGCGGTGACGGTTCGATTGACGAGAGGGGACTCGGGCAGCGGGGATAGGACGACGACGTCGGGGGGAGAGCTATCGCGGGGCGGAGAGGTGCGTGGCTCGATACCCGCCTTGAAAGGTCGGAACCAAGGTACGTGGAGTGGTTCTCTTTGTGGGACTGGGGAACAGGAGCGGCCCAGAGGTTGCCATAGGAAGTCGGCGAGGGAGTCTGAAGGTCGGGGTCGATGAACGTTATTCTGTTCGAGGCTCCGAAGCCATCTTCATACTCATTGTAAGGCTGACTCATGAAGGGTAGGTCTTCGTCGGGGAAGGAAGCTCCCCCAAGAACGTAGGGGTTAACCATGGCGAGAGCGGAACGGCTTTTCAACCTTGTGCCTGGAACGGTAAGGGACGGGATGGGTTTCCTCTGGAGGGTAACGTTTGTTTGAAGGTCTGAGGAGTAATGGTGGGAGACAAGTGCTTGGGAATTGATGATGCTAAGGCACTTTCCAGTTTGAGAGCAACAGGGGACGAGATTGCGGCGGTGGGAGGATATATGTATGGTCGAGGTACGGGGGGTCCTGAGGTGGCTTGCCCTCGACTCGACGGAAAGCGAAGCGGGTCTGCCACATGGAAGGCGGGAAGACACAGTTTTGAGAGGAAAGATGGCATTTGGGCATAGCTAGTCCACGGGAAATGTACCGTGTACGTGTACGTACGTACATACGGACGAGATGGAGGGGCCATGGGTGCGGACCTCGCTCCAGGGGTGAGGGGAGGGGGGGGGGGGGGGGGGGGGGGCGTCATCTTTCCCGACGGACCTGGGGGTCCTGGTCACCCTGGTCTCCGTGGCATGTCTCCCCGCCCATTGCTGCGGAGGGGAGTGTGCTGGGGAGAGCAGAGCCGCATCGCTCTTTGTCCATCTGTATGTATCTTCCCCGCAGTCCAACGGCGACAAGTGACAAGGTACGTACATAAGGTGGGCAAGCGCAGCATGCCCACTGGGGCTGAGCAAGGCCGTCTGAGCTTTCGCGCGGGTTGGCTTGCAGCTGCACGCACTTCCGTCTTCTGCACCCCTGAAAGCCAGTGTTGGCATCGACGTGTGGATGGTCCATATGGCTGTGCCGCACGAGTGCAGCCAAGGGCAGCCAACAGCTGATCAGAAGGGACACGACGGGAATCCGTGGGCCGTCCTGAAGACCCACCATCTGTTTTCTCATCTTTTACAGGTTAGGTTACCCTCGGGACGGAAGGGCATGTCGTTCGCGGCCCACGGTCAGGTATTCGACGCCGGAGACGGTACCAAGTCAGCCACACTCCGGGTGGGGAAGGGGACGACCTGGCATTTCGATGATAGGCCGAAACAGACCGGAACATCAATAACTTTGCGGCTCTTCGATGCACCTCAGGTCAGGTAGCAGCAGGTAGGGAGGCGCGGTAAGGTACCTAGGGAGGTTGTTTGCTGGCAGTCTGGTAGTAAGGCAACTCAAGCGGCGGTGGAACCTCAGCTCAGCTCAGCAGTCACTCTCATCCTCATTAACTCGACATTAGAAATCACACACAAACCAAGGTTGAAGAAAGAATTCGAATGTGGGTTTTGTCAAAACAGCCCCCAACCTTATTTTCTCTCAGCCACCACCATCGCGTGAACAAGGGTCAAAACCGCCCCTCGGAGTTTTCACGTTGATAATTGCAGACGCGCTGCATCGACTCGTGACGGCGTCCATATTCTCACAATTTCTTGGCTCAGGGGATGAGCATGGAAGCGAGCGAGGATGCTGGAATCAGAAAAAAAGAAAAGAAAAAGATAAAACAAAAAGATAACGGACAAGTCTCGCCCGGCCACCCACCGTTTCTTTGTGGGTCGCGACGCGCGCTAGTTAGCGGCACCCAACGTGAAGGCGTCCGGAGAGTGGACCTCATGGGATGGAGGCATTCAGACATTCTTGGCAAGGCGCCAAGTTGCCTGAAAAAGATTGACCCCTGCCCCACAACAACCACCGAACCCCCCCGGCACCCTTGCTTGCCGCGACCTTGCGGGGCTTTCCGTTCTGAGGACCGCTGCACCACTGCTGCTGGGCTGCTTGGAGAGGGCCGCATTTCGAGGGCCGCATTTCGAGGGCCGCATTTCGAGGGCCGCATTTTGAGGCCCACAGCCCTGTGAAAGATGGAATCGGTGCTGATCCCGGAGATGACAACCCGGGTCCGTTGCATTGTGTGAGACCGAAGCGGGAGAAGGCGGGACCGATTGGGGGTCGAGGTGTAGTCGTCCCGTCGGCAGATCTCTCGACCGCAACTTTGACATCTGAATTGCTTGCATTGTGGTCTGCAGCTGGCGTTGCAATCGAATTCATCTCTCCTCGGTCGCCGTGCATGGTTCGGTCACGCAAATAACCGTTCGACCATTTTCCATGTCGCGAACCGTGCCGTGGCACGTCACCAGGTGTGAGGCGGGCGGGGGGTGCTGTTGCCCAGTTAAGGTGTGTCTGTCTATCATCCATGCACATCTAAACGAACGAACTGCGCGGTTAGGCATGGCAATCTCGAAACACCCGAGCAACCTAGTCTTAGTCGGGGGCCGTTATCGGGCACCCGGCAAAGCGCCATTACAGCCGCCAGTTTCCCAGCGCACTGGCTCGAGGTACCCGGGCTGGGTCCTCCAGTGTACTTCGGCTCCTTCTTGCCCAATGCGGAACCCTGCCGCCACTGTACGACCTCTGGTCCATCACCGGATGGTGCCTTCCCCCGCCGCCGCCGCCAACACCTACCTTGGAAGGAAGGAACCTTCCAGTTGGCAGTTGGAAGGGAAAACTGGAGGACAACACAGAGGAGGAGGCTCTAATTTCTCATGCAGCTTCCCATCTCCCTCAGATTCTATCGCCTCATTCTCATCTGACAAGACTGATTCGTGAGAAAGTCACTACCAGTCTCCCCCCCCGATCCGTTCCCATCTCCCTGCCGCGCATCGCCTCAAAGCTGCATTACCACGACGCCCTCGTCTCGTTTATTTGCATCGGCGATCGGCTGGCGTGTGGCGTTGTTAAAGCCCGATTGACCCAAAGAACCAATTCACTTCGCAGGTTGAAGCCCGAATCAGCAACCTTGGAACGATCCTTCCCGTGGCTGTTGTAGCCGCCAGACAGCGGTACGGCAAGCAAGCCTGCCGTTTCCCAGGACCACGGTAGAGATGGCTCGCGACAGGGCCTAAAGCTGAGCCCAAGAGGCGCAACAAGACGCCACAATTGCTGAATCTGCTCAGGCATTCTATCGTGTAACCCTTGTGTCACCGCAGCTCTTGGCCAAGGACCACGACAGCTCCCCGTGTGATTGGAACCGGCCCAAGCATCGTGTCATCACCGCTACCACCTCGACTCCGGCCATCCCGTTATCTGGAAATTTCCTCATCTCGGCCACGGTGGACTGTGTAAGAATATGCTCCATGCAGCCCCCACACAAGCAGGGAACCATGCATTGAGAGGCCGAAACAAGCAACCACCCAGCCCACGCGCCCGGCATCATCTAGATTCGACGAAGGCTCGCCATGAACGGGCCCGGGTGGCCGCCGGCCACGCCGACTCGCGTATGTACCGTATGCCGGCACCATACCAGCATTATCTCCTGAAACACTGCGCCGCTTTGGGGGCATTTAACTACACTAGCAACGTTGCCCCCCCTTGGCGAGCAAAACAATAGCCAGAACAACAGCCATCCGCCCACCCACACACACACGCACATGATCTCGTGCCTGAAGCAGTTCAGTCCGAGACACGAATCCTCGCCCCAAGCCACGCGGCTACCCAGCCAATCCCCCATGCCCGGTCGATGCGCCAGGGGTAAAAGAAAACAAACCACCTCCCGACACACATCGCAGAAGAAAGATTAGAACATTCCATCCTCCCTCCACGAGAGACTAGTGTGAACCGGCCCATTCCCCCGACCAGAGACCCCTGACCAGAGACCCCCGACCAGAGACACGCGCACGAAGCAGGCAGCAAACGCCTTGAGACATGTCTCACGAAACCATTGGTCCCCGCCCTCTTCCGCCCTCCACATGGCCATACTCCTATCCTGCATCGCACATCGCACGCCCCTGACGCTTTTATATGCACATAGAAGGGGTCCCGACCTCCGCCGTCCGTATGTCTCACTGTGATATGGAACAGACACGGGAAAGAACGGCGCTCTGGGCTGAACGGTGTCAACCACGGGTTGGCATGCGCGGGACTTTCGGGACTTGGCTGGACTAACTCGCTGATCAACCTAGCCGACGTGGAGTGCATTGCGGAATGTTCCGTGGGCTTCTCATCCTCCCCCGACGTACGCGCCCTTTGTTCGTATCTGCAAAAGAGGCTTAACTATGTCCGTCTTATTGCAGCATGTCAAGAGGAAGAAGATGGGCTTTCCAGCTGAACGTTGTTAAGCGCGGGCTAGTATGCAGGTAATTCCCCGCACGCTCCTTAGGGTTGCTATTTCGAGCCGAGGAGATGAGCTAGCCGGTGAAGAGGATGCTATCATTGTTGCTCCTCTCACGTTCCTTGCGGTTGAGGAGGACGTAGTCATGCATGCCCGGGATGGCCTTGGCGGCGTCTTGAACCGCCGACGGGGACTCCGAGGCATGTTAATTAAACTAGTGACGAGATCATCCATTCGTAGCTGCGGCTGAGGGCGGACAGTGCCGACGGACGTCTCACCTACCTGGCCAACACGTGGAATGGTTGTCCGCTGGCGCTGGTGGCTGGTGGCTGGTGGTTTCCAGAGCCTCGGCCCACCAATCCCAAATTCTTTGATGGAATGGCCTTCGCTGAAGATGGTCGGTCCCGTGCCAAAGCCTGGTGTTGGGTGGGAGTGTGCTCATCAAGACCCTAGTCTTCCTCTCCCAGGGAATGCCTTGGTTATCGTGCCTATTAGCAATGGGCCTTCGTACAGTCTGTAACCTTCGTAGTGTGACTAAAGACGCTGCCCACTAGCATGGAACTTGCTCCAAGGAGAGGGGGGTTGGGTTCCGGTGAAAGCCACTCACACTCTGGAGAAATCATGCCCTGCTTTCTGTCACCTTATAGCAGCTGAACAATATTACCCAGGGGAATTTCTTTCAGCTTAGGTATGTGACTGTTACCTCCCTTTGTTACGGTGCCACTGCTACCGTGATGTTCTGTTCATTTTCCTTCCGTCGTAAAGGGGCCAATAGGCAGCTACAGGCAGTCCCAGCTCAGCTCTTCCACGGCTTTAGACAGACAATACCACTCAGACAACTGCTGTCCTAACCTGGGATAGAGAGCAATCCTTGGGGTGGACAGCACGCCCTGGGACGGACAGCGGGAGCTTAAGACGGACAGGATACTAGCCGTCCCGAGTGATGTTGTCCGTCCAACAAGCTGTGTAAGAGCTGGTATGTACTGCTGTCCGTCTGGGCCAGCTGGCTGGGGATCAAGATGTCACTGACTAGCGGGCAATCCAATCCATAGAAACGGCGGGAAGAGAGCCAGTAATAGCCTTAAGAGTACCCAGACTGGTATTCGGTCTCATACTCCATGGCACTCTCCCACATATGCTACCAAAGCAAAACCCAAGAAAGAGAAACATTACAAATTCACTACTAAAGCCGTTGCCCAACCGCTGCCCAAAAACCGTCTAAACCAGTGTAGCATGCTATCCAAAATATCCACAAACTCCAAGGGTATCTCATCATGTCATCAAGTGTTCATAGGGAGTGGTCATCAAGTCATCAACCCATCCTGCCCTGCGCCCCGAACTGCGATCGGAACATCCCGCTCGTTCGTGTCCTCGTTCGCATCAAACACTTCGCAATTGTCGCAAAACTCATGGGTGCACTCGCTCATGCATGCGGGGGTCGTTCCCAATTTCCAGTAATTACGGCACGAACACTGATATCGGCAGGTTGGGTTAGCAACTAGGTATCTTCCAATTTATTTTGGGGGTGGGGGCGGCGAGTGGAGGGAAACGTACGCAGATCCAAAACCACATCTTGCCATTGCCATCCTTAAACCGCTTCGCTCTGGGCAGCTCGTCGTCGCCGCCGCCATGAACCCGCTTGCGGGACTTGCCCGCCCGAGAAGCCGAACCGCCAGCGCGTTTGCTCTTGCCCGGCGGGGTATCGGGCGTGTCGACGGGATCGGTATCGATATGCTTCCAGTTCTCGATACCCTCCTTGGAGAAGCCGCCCTTGCCGTTGAAGTGGTCGTCGATGTGGTCGAACCGCTCGCTGTGCGCGGGGCCCCCCTTGCCGGTCGGTTCGATGGTTTTCTGGCAGAAGCCGCACCAGAAGCGCGACTCGAAGTTGCGGCCCAGGCGGCAGTCGCCAAGCTTCTTGTCGAGCGTGGCTTGGTCGTAAATGCCGTGGTCCTTTTCGAGGTGGGACTTGAGGGACTCTGGGCGGTGGCAGACCTTGCCGCATTCTTGCTGGTCCGGGCGGTCGGTCGCTTTCTCGGCGCAGCGCCAGATCTCGAGCTGGAAGTGCTGGCTGTTTTCGTGCCGTTTCCAGTCGTTCTTGCTGCCGAATTTCTTGGAGCACTTGGCGAAGGTGCAGGCGTAGGGCTTTGCGTGGCGCTTCATATGTTTTCTGATAGAACATGGCAGAACAGTGGTTAGTTCGCGGCCCGAGATAAGGGAGATCATGGAGGGGCATACTTGAGTTCACAGAGCCGAATAAAGGTTTTGGTACATTCTTGGCACTTATGGACGCGGCCAGTTTCGCTCGTCGTCGAAGAGGCGACAGGCGGCTTTTGATCCTTGGTATCTGTCTCCTCTGACACCGAGTATCCGAGTTTCTTCAGCATCTCGCTGAGCTTGCCCTTCTGGATTAATGACTGGATGACGGCGCTCGCCCGGATCTCGTCGTCGTCAAGGTCGATAGGCCGGGGTGTGTCTGCGCCTAACTGTACCTGGGACGGCGACAGCTTGATTTGTACTTCATCTTCCTCATTGTAATGGGCGCCAGCGTTTCGGAGAACGTTAGGTTCAACATCCGTTGCGTCGTATGGCGGCTCGTCCTCCTCCGCGTCGGTGTCATGTTGGCCATCTTCCGAGGCGGAATCCTGCGCGGGGTTGTCCACATCCATTTCATCCGGCGCAGTGTATCCGATTCCGCCTGCCTCCGACTGAACGTCTTCACGCGAAACGTCCAATGTGTTGTCCGCCTCGGGTCGAACTGCCTCCATGGGCTGCCGCGTCTGAGCATCATACAACCCGAAAAACCGGCCATCGTTCAGGACGTTGGGAGTAAGGTAAGTTGGCTGATTAGGCTCCGAGAATGGCCCCGAAGATGAAGCGCTCGCTTCTTGCGGGGATGGCTGCGATACGTTAAGTCCGGACAGCACCGACTCCGTGTTAAGCCGAAGCTGGAGGCTCCCAATGGAGTTCCGACTTAAGTACTGAGGCGCTACGGCGCTTGGGGAAGCGTTGTCTCTTTCCTGCATAGAAAGGGACCCCGAGTATGCGGTCATGTTACCCGCTGGGGCCAACCCGGGGTGTCCGTTGATGAGGCTAGCAGGTGCGACGTGGCCCTGATCCATCCCAGCCCACGACGACCGTGAGGTTGAATCCGAGCTCGGGACCACGGGTGCTTCCGAAAGTGTGGTATCCGGTGCCCCAACGCTCGCAGAATTTGATGACGGAATTCTGTAGAACACCTGCGTCAGTATCGGTGTGGTGTCCGGGATGGGCTGCTTGACATACCGATACATAAAGTTTTTCAGATCGACCTTATCCAAGCCGTGCTTTCTCCTCAGGTGCTGCCGGAAATTATCTGGCCTAGGCCAGTCCTTAGGTTTATCTTTACAGTGGTCCAGATGACAGCGATAAACTGGCTCGTTTGTGACGACTTTGTGAACGGATTTTAAATGTCGATCAAGGTCGTTCTTGGTAGCGAATCCCTCATCCACCTTGGTACATCCTGAAAAGCGACACTTGAAAGGCCGAGTGTGTCTGGCTTGGTGTTTTCTGATCACTCCGAGTAAGCATAGACCGTGAATCGGCGAGTCGTTGGAACTTACTTCAACTCCGAGGGCGTTTTCACCGGCTCATCGCAAACCGCGCAGACGATGCTCTTAGCGTTTGGCATTCCCAGCGCTGGCCTTTGAGCCCGAACTTCCCGTTTCCGAGCCTCCCCATTCAATGAAACATCGTCCTGGCCGATGGCTTGGAAGCGGGCGATGACGTTCGGATCCAATTCACCATATACAGACGGGTTGCCCACGCTCTGTCTGGCATTGCTCCCGTATCCAGAGTCGGTCAGAATCCCTCCAATGCTCTGGCTAACAGTATCGGCCTCGGAAGGGGGGACGCTTCGGTGCCCGGCAAAACTATGGAGTCCCTGGCCGAACTGTAGGCCAACGGGTTGACTCGGCGCGGTCAGTTGGATAGGATTCCAAGGCCCTCGGTCGTGCATGAACTGGTTCATGGGATGCAACCCCTGGTTTTGCGCGAAGCCGTGTTGGCCATGGCCGCTAGCTAGAGCTTGCAGATTCCCCATAAGCTCCCGAGAATCGTGGCCCTGGGTAGGCATGGATGGGTATTGGGCGAAGGGGAGTATGTTGGCGTCTGCCGGCTGCCTAGGGCTGGGCATCGTGATCGAATCGGGAGATGCAGGGAAAAGGTCACCGACGTTGAACGACTGAGTAAAGAGAAGGGGTCAGATCATGAACTCTCACGATGGGGTTACATGGGTATCATACCGAGCCCCGGTCCTGCTGGGAAAACTGCGAATGATGCTGCGCCATGATGGATGTCGTCGGGCGGGCGCGTTGTGAGATGGATGAGTGAGAGTCGAGCTTTGTCCCTGCGTCCGCGTCCGAGCCCGCGTAGGGATTGAGGCTGCAAGATCGGACGGGTCTTGGCAGGTAGCGGCGGACTCGAGCCCGAGTATGGGGGTGAAGGACGTAATAAGTGGTGTTTCAATATTCGAGACGGAAGTAGAGCGAGATAAGCGTCACAGGCAACGGAAAGAAAAGGGCCTCCGATGCGCTTCACAGAAATTGCGGTGGAGGGACAAACGGACGCCTTGCCACGAGTCGACTGGACATGTCCGGCGAAATGCGGGAATGGTGCGCGGACGACTTCTAACTGTGTAGATCTTTTGTCGTATGTATTAAATAAATAGGTAGCTAACAACTGTGAAGCGCTCGCAAAATCTGCAAAACAGCAAGACTCTCGGTGATCTAAACGATGACGACAAGATGAAACTGGCAAATTTTGTCGATTCGTGGAGTGGATGACGGAGGGGAAAGAGGCAGCCATGAAAGGAACCGAAGAGGCGCAACATCAGACAGGTTCCTTCCTCCTGGGCTCCAGACGCCTTGGCCAAGAAAGCACGTCCACGCAAACGTCCCCAAGTCTCGGTGGACGGAAGCGATGCGACTTCCCCGTCATTTCTTCCACAATATACTTAAATCCATGGCAACTGAACTGCTAGGTAGTTAATATTCGGTTATTCGGCGTTAATATGCGCTTACAGTCAACAAATTCGAGTGCGATGTACCCGGGTTCTTTGTTGGGTGATTTTTGGTTGTCCTTATTTTTCGGGCCTCGAGATCTTCTCGTCGCCCGGTCCCTCTAGCACTGTACTTGTAGTGGGGGACCAAAACCTCGACCAAGTGAGGTGCCTTACCGAGCCTCGCGAGCCTCCTTACCAGGTACTTTTGTAAAAGTGGGGGACCAAAAGACCCCTACAGATTAGCTAATAGGTGAACGACAATTGCCGAATGACAAATTAGTATGTCACGTGAAGCCCCGACCATCGTTCAAATCATCAAATACCGAGCCTCCCCCTCAACTTCAAACATGATCATTAAATACTGAACTGATGTCTTCAACGTCGGATTATCGCTTTTCTGTTTTTCCCTTTCTGAAAAAAGGCATCGTAATCGTGTGGCGTTTGTCAAGTTTTGGTCCTGTTACAAGGCAATCTCGGGAACCCGCAGTTTAGAAAATGTTCGACTCAGCTGTTGCACATGGTCCAGATTACACACGCGGGTAGGTATTTCGGCCTGGCGTCGCCTTGGGCAGCGAGGCGTGGGAACCGCAAGCACAATAACCTGAGCTCAGCCACGATGTAATTATGTCACCAAGACGGCCATTCGCTTGTCTCGTCCAAGTCCAACCAATCTACTCCTTTCCATTCATCGAGCACGCAGGGCCGAATCGCATCTTGCTCCCAAATATTCGTACATCTTCCGTTTCCTCCTTTGGATTTAAACTTTTTCTAATTTCTGCTCCCTCATCACTGTCCCCGCGGCTTGTGATTGGGCCTTTCCTGTCAGAAACATGGCTGCCGTCTTCTTATCAGGGACCCCGTATCAAGAACAACGTGGTCGTGGGGATCCTACTATGTAATGGAAGCGAAAGCACGGCGCAGACATGTTCTGCGCGGAATTACGCGACTGTTCCGGTTCGGCCCCCTCGCGGAAGTTCCCCGGCCTGCAAAACCACCGTCCGCCGGAGCAACCTGCCATCAGCCGCAGTAGGGTCTTGTGTCCGAAATTCAGCCTGCATTTCTGTGGTTGTTGAACCCCAGGATTGGGCCAGACGCCATGCAATCGCTCCGGTTCAACCAGCAACCAGCCCAAGAACTGCATGTTTGCTCAAGCCACAACCCATCGTGCAGGAAGCGGGCCATATATCAGATGCAGACCATATTCTAGAAGGTGATGCTGCAAGTTAGCTTGCAGACCCAGATCGGCCCGTGCCACGACCACGGCACACAAACCACCTCCCTTTTAGCCACCCTCCGCCGTACCAGGCTCTGGGCGTCCCCGGCTCGCTTGCAGATCACCCGCGGAAACGGGCCGAGGGAGGAACTTGAGCTTTTTGTTCCCTCCCGCTTACATGGCGAGACATTGAGTCTATCTGGCAGCCTCATCCTTAAGTCATGGATCGGATAGCTTCCCTTTGCATTGGATAACCCTCGTGAAGTCTTTTTACCATACTCTAACCACACTCTGTATTTCGGTGTTTCGAGGACCTGAATCGAACTTGGACTTGATAGCCACACATTTCCTGTATCTCGGTCCACAGTAGCGTTTGTGGACAACCAATCTCCCGGTGTTCAGGGCCAGAGCCCACATGTTCCGGCACACCCTCCGTGCAGCTTGCCTTGAGCTGCAGGATTATGCACTATGTCTGGATTGGTTTGGGGTCAGCTCTGCAGACAGCTGGCCGTCGTCATTGACGCCATACATGGACCTGATTCGAGACAAGGGCGAATAATGTTCACCCCATCCTGTAACCGCGAGTGATCTATCACCTCCGGCGTGGTGACAAGTCTCTGTAACGCCCCGTTATCACAGCATTCGGCTTCTCATTGTAGACCGTCTCACATGAGGCGCTTTCCGACCCCACCCACGCCCGCCACGGTCTTTCGGCGCCGGTCATGCAAGACTCGGCAGTAGGGTGTGATGCTCCTCCATGAGCGAGAAACAAAAGCAATGCCCATGGCTTTGAGCATGAGATGGTCGATGCCTCGCAGTGCTAACAGGGGAACTCCCAAGCATATATAGGGGCACCCATCTAGAAGGTCCGAGACTTCCACCACACACGGCATCCACAATTCCAATATCACCCGCAGTCACCGTGTTAGCAACCATCGAGGCCGGCTCATACCCAAATCCAACTACACGCCGCAAGCGAAGCAAGGAGCGGCCCAGCAAGCCCCTCTCAACGCCAGCGCTTTGCCCCCGAGCGAAAAAGACAAACCAAAACACCAACCAACGCACATCCCCTCCTTGGTCACCGTCCAACAAGGCAGGCACCATGTGCGAGTTCGAGGAGTTCTACTTCACCTGCGGCCACTCGGTATGCCGCCTCAAGTCCTACTGCCACTCCGCCCGGAACCAGGTCGACCACCTCTGCAACCAGCCGCAGATCCTCCGGGAGCGCTGGCACCAGGGCCGCGATTGCGACCCCTGCGTCGAGAGAGCCCGCCAGGCGTGGGCGGCATACTACCAGAGCTTGGAGGAGGCGGGCCAGGGCCAGGGTCAGAATCAGGGCCAAGGTCAGGGGCAAGATCAAGGCCAAGGTCAGGGCCAGGGCCAGGGCCAGGGTCAGTAGTCATGGCAGTTTTGGCCATCGGCTTTGTTGTGGGCTGGAGCCGATGTTTCTCACGGGCGGGGGCGGTGCGCAATGAGTGGATGGAGAAGATCGTCCGTTGACGGATGATCTGATCCTCGCGGCGGGCGGGCGAGGTATCGAGACTCTCGCTTTGGGTCAATATGGCGTCAAGAACTGGGCGTAGTTCTCATCAGCAGGTCTGGCGATGGCTTGGGTTCAGCAGAATCTGGGCACGGTTCTTCTTTTTTTGCTTTCACGGAGTTGGGGGATGGCGTGGATAAGTGGGAGGCCGTCGTAGTATGAGAATACAGAGCAGGAATCGTATCCCATTCTAAATTTTACACTTCTCATCCATTTGTTCCCCATTATGTTTGCTTGTAAGCCCTGTGGGTTGGTCTCAAGTTTATCCGCCAGAGTAACAATATCGAATAACTTCGTCGACATTTCTTTGGGCGAGTTGATTTCCGAATTCCTAACGTGTAGTTCGTTACTCCCCGGCTACTGATCCTGATATCGCCAACATCGCCACACACAACCTAGGCACATTACAGGCAGAACCAAGTTATTTTCATATGCCGATAATCTACTTGTTGATCTCGATCACATTCTCAACACTCGTTTTCTTGGCAGGCGGTTTTGTAGCAGTCCTTCTGGGTCGTGTCGCACGTACAGGGTGGTCTGTGTCGTCCCGGACACGTTGCTACAAGCCATCCCGTGTAACTCACGGGTACCTTACATGGAAGTGACAGATCCGATGGGGATGTAGCCCAGATAATACCGGGTAGCCTTGGGCTTGACGTTCTCCATGGAAGAAATGCGTCGAGAGAATCCCTACCTTTGGGGGCTGCGGCGTAAACACAAATGCTGTACCACATCGGGCTGGGAGATTGCTTTCGGGTGGGGTTACTCGCCCCAGTTTCTCGTCTTTTAGGCTCGCCTGATGACGGGATTTGACAGTCGGTGAGCTACACAGTGAAGGGGCGCTGTGTTACGGGTTATGTTAACCGGGGTGGCAACTACCGGGCTCGACTCCGCCCACGTTCCCTCTAATATCTGCTGTGAACCACCAGAAGCGTAAGGCGGATGTCACATTTCAACGGCCATGAAGCGGCCGTCGCGCCGTCGGAGGCCCCGACACCGGTCAAGGGGCGCTTGCCAAATCCGTGCTCGGCCAGAAATTCGAAAGTCACAACCGTCGCAAATACAAGGGGCAAGAGTCGCAACTCAGCTCAACCCCTTAACAACACCACCATGATTCAGGTGAGCAAACCGGGCTCTCATTCCACTAGCTCCCAACCCCCCAAAGCATCCTTAAACCAAAACCACCTGCTCCCTCCCAACCCCCCTTACTCAAAGTTCGTCGCCCCTTCCACCTTGCCAACCACGTTGTACCGCTTCGAGAAGAAGGTGACCCAGTCGTTCAGCGTGCCCTTCTCCTTGTCGGGCAGGTCCTGCCACTCGGAGCTGACGTCCTCGGCCTTGGTCGACGTCTTGCCGAGGGCGCGCGAGGCGTCCTTGCCGGCGAATACTGCGGCGCGCAAAAGAATCACGGGTTAGTCGGGGGTGCCGGTGGACTTGCTTGTCGGGTTGAGGGGCGGGAAATTGTGGGGTGAAATGTGCTAGGGGAATGGAGGAGGGAAGGGTAGATGGGTAGATGGCTGGCTGGGCTTAGTACCGTGGTATGCGCCGCCTGGCTGGTAGGCCTTGTTGCCTGTTACGTCGTAGACGATGCCCTGTTTTAGGGGGTTAGCACCGTATATGGGGGAGGTTGGAGAAGGGGAGGGGGGGGGGGGTACCTTGATGGCGACGTAGCACTTCTGCCCTTCCTCGCCTAGAAGCAAGGTTAGTTTGTCATGTTTGACCACATGTTATGCACCTCGTGCGGAATGGGTAGCCATACCGCTCGCCTTGGCCAAGTCCTCGAGAGAAATGAGGTCGTCCTTGGGAGGGTCTAGCTGGACAGGAACCTTGGGTTCGAACTTGCCGGCCATGGCGCTTGCTGTGGGACTGAAAACAAGAGGGGAGGGGGATCTGGAGATGTGTGAGCCTTGGAAGTTGGTCAATGTTCTGTCCCCAGGAGAGAGGAGGAGAGAGGAGGGAGAGATCAGAGAAGTTGGGAGCCGAGAGATACTACTTACTTTTCCAAGCTTATCCTTTAAATTTGAGAGAGAGAAAATATGAGGTGGAAGGGAGGGAGAAAAGTACACAACCCTCTTGAAGTCTCTACAATTCACACTATTTTGACTCGAGAGAGATATCTCATGTGTTGGGAGCTTGAATGAATTGGTGGAGCTGCGACGAACCTCGGGCCGGGATGGAGGGGCTGTTTGGCGGGGATGTTTGGAGGGGTCGACAGGGATGTGCTTGGGCTTCGGATGACGTGCAGAGGGGGCTCGCTGCCTGAGGAACAAACAATCCAGGGGAGCTCAAGCTTGGGCCTCCCATCCAAGTTTCCGTAATTGGACATTTTCAAACCTTGAAACTTTTTTGGAGTTTGAGGAATTGAACTCACGCGCAACTCTTCGAGAACCCAATTGACGGGCTCAATCGAGCATAAGCCTCCAATTCCGCCACAATGCCGATATCAAGGGCCGCCGGCCTGCGGACAACCGGCGTACTTCGCCTCTCCCAACGATGCACCTCCCCCCTCCCCCTCCGATCGCAACCGAATCGATGCCGGCATCAAATACCGTCGGCACCCGTCAAACTCCCGATTAGTTACCAATTCCGCTCGAAGTCAACGGCACCACCGCAAGATGACCCAGAAGACTCGCCCAAACAAGCGGGTCAACCCCCGAAGCCGCACCCCTCTCTTAAGAGCATGTTTTGGCAAAGCATCAAGTCCGACACGGCCAGGGCTTGGTACGTTATCAAGAATACCAGCTTCAGTGAGGTCATGCGGCAAAACCCAGGGGAGGCATTGGGTGCTATCGTGGCGTAGGAATTCCAAGCAAGCCCGAAACAACCGTGATGGCCGGTCCTGACAACCGCAACAGAATACTAGGCGCCATTGGTGTCCTCGTCTACTGCGTCTACGCATACTACACCTACTTCTACAGCCGCCAGTTCACGCGATACCCCGAACCCGTGGCACAAGCCCTCCGTAAAGCGCTCTACTTCAGCAACCACGACCCTAACCCGCAGCGCGCACTCCAGTACTACAAGCAGGCCCTCGAGCTCTGCGACCAGGAGGGGCTCGACCACTTCTCGGACGACGTCATGGGCATCAAGATCCAGGTGGCTGCGTGGCTTGAGAAGATCGAGAGCTACCAGAACGCCATCAGCGTGCTGGAGAATTTGCTGGGCGACTGCAAGCGCTGGGTGGAGGTCATGGAAAAGAGCGCCGAGGAGGGGGCGCTGCCCAAGCTGGAGCCGGCACCGGCTTCAAAGGAGGGAGAGTCCAGTGTCCCCGAGCAGCCGCTTGAAACCTTCTGGGCCAAGCGTACGAGGCTACTGGCCAAGGCCGTCAGTGTCAGCGTCAAGCTGGCCAATCTCTACTCGGATGAGCACGTTCTCGAGCGGGAGACTGCACATGAGCGGCTTGTTTGGGCGGTGGAGACGACCCTAAGGGAGATGCAGAGGCGCGCCAAGGAGGGTCTCAAGGAGGGGGAGGGGCCGTGGATGAGCCCCGAAGAGGTTGGCGGGAGCCTGGAGGGTGAGTAATTTCGTTGTCCCGTCCTCGTCTGCTTGTACGAACCGCATACTGACGGCGGATTTGCAGCACTCGCACAGAGCTATCAGGAGAAGAGCCAGTATCACCTCGCTGTTCCGCTCTTCTTCCAGGCCTTGAGGCTATGCGAAGACCCTTGCCATATCGCCATCTTGAGTAAGTCTCGCCGTTATTCGCTCTCATCCAGTATCTTGAGGCTAACACCGTCAGTGAACAACATCGCGACTAGCTTCGCAGAGCACCCGCTCATCCCGCGTGGCGACGCGCCCGTGCACGCCATGATGGAGGAATCCAAGACCTGGGTTTCGGCAGCCGAGCAGCGTGCGTCCTACCTCGCCGCCGCCCAGCGGTGGGCACAAAACGCCATCGACCACGCATCGGAGACGCAGGGCGAAAAGCGGACACCGGAATGTGATGAAGCCTGCGCCGTCGCGTTGTCCAACCTGGGTTCCGTGCTGGCGATGCTGGGCAAGAACGCGGAGGCACGTAAGAAATTCGAGCAAGCGGTCGCGCTGAGCAAGAAGTTCGGATTTGAAGACTACGCCGCCGCGGCGGATGCCAGACTGCAGGACCTTCCCAAGGCATGAGGTCACTCGACCTCGTGTCACCTCGCCGGCCCCCGTCGTCGAAGATATTGCGCCGCTCTATCCGGCCTACGATAACTCCGCCGACACCCCCGAGCGAGCGAGTACCCACCCCGAAAACGAATACCGAATGTGCCCCGATCTCGCTGCATACGTTTCTGACTGCCTCCCACGGCGTCGCCGACGTGTGGTTCACTCCCTCCCAGGCAGACAGCTGATCTGTGGCCGCAACGCAGATCTGAATCAGCTGGGGCGGGAAACGAACCAAGGACCCGGGATCGCCCTTCAGAATTTCGCAACCCCGAAAGAGACCATACGAAAGCCACGGTTGAGCCCGTACCCGGCAGATGCAACCCCGAGGCACAGCCACCGGCAGCAACCTTTTCCCGGGACTTGGGGGGGGGGGGGGGTGGGGGAGCCCGGGGTTCCGGGAGACGAGGGGAGAAAAAAAAGCGAACAAGAATAAGAAATGACGTGATCCGACTTATCCAAAGTCCCGGTTGAGGCGGGCGCCCGCGGAATTGCGAACCAAGGCCGAGACCCGCCGACGGCCGACTCGCGCCGAACGGCAGCCGCGCGCGGCGGACCAAACGGAAACGGGCAACGCCGACCCGTCTCTTGTTGTTGTGTTCGGCTTCTTGGGGGAGGTCACAGGGCAGCAGAGACGTCCACACGACAGGGGAGAGTCCAGGAAAAATTGTTAGCCACACCGCCGCTTCGTCATTCGTGCAATCGCAAGATCCTTGTCGGCACACGTGTTTTGAGGGGACCTTGGAGACTTTGGGCTTCGACGGAGGGATGGGTGTGGTGGTGGTGATGCGGGTGCTGCATCGTGCATGTCACTGGCACGCCGCGAATGGATGGCCTTGTCCGTTTTGCTCGTCTTTGTGGCTGGGCAAATTAGCTCGGCGATCGCTTCGCTTGTTGCTGCTGCCCCCCCCAAGGCGCTTCGGCCGCGCGGGAGAATCCTCCAATCATTGTAACTTTACTGTGTACATAGCTCGACATACCAAGTACAGAGACTTCTCTCTTGAAAAGGCCGGGAACGTCGGGACGATTCCGCTCGCCTTCTGGCAGATCCCTTTCTTCGGTCGAACTTTGGCCCTGGAGATCTTCGTATGGAGACAGAGACATGGGGCACGGACATGGTCGTGAACGTGGACCACAACCCCGCCGCCCTTGACGATGGCATTTCATGATCAGAGCAGGGATTGGGATTGGGGGGAGTGGATGGATGGATGGATGGATGGATGGATGGATGGATGGATGGATGGATGGATGGATGGATGGATGATGGGTCCCCGTTTCCCATCCGTGCCATGCCATGCGTCGGGCTTCGAGAAAAATAGCCGTGCAGTAGCGGGTCCCACAAAAAGGTAAAAACGAGAGTGAAAAAAGGGCAAAAAAACGAGACGAACCACTAGGGAGACCGGGCGGAATGCTGGTGCCTGTGGTTGATGCCGCTGGCTGCGACGGTTGCTGCATGCAACCGGGGCGCGCAGCTGCGGCTCGGGGAACGCACTGGGGAGGGGGTGGGAGGAGGAAGGTTCCATGTTGTTCGGCCTGGGGAGGACAGGAACATTTCCATACTTGGTACTCTTGCTACTTCGTATGCTTCACTGGCCGACAGGACTTGTTTCTTTTGACATGCAGCGCGGCACACGTGTCGGGGACTTGACTCCTTTTGGTCCGTTGATCGTGGGCTAATCAGCTCTCTTCTCTGGTCATGTTGTCGGTTGCAGTTTTGGGGTTTGCGATGTGTCGAGGGTTTCTGACCATCTTTATCCGTTTATAGATATCTCGGCGGCCTCTCCTTGCCTCATCAACTAACCTGGGTTTGTCTGGGGGAGGTAGTCATGGCTGGTGCGATGGCGGCATGATTTGACAGTTCGTTCCGCTTGCGAGATCTGGAACTTTGATGTTGAGTGTTTCCACCAGAACTCCACTGTTCCACACCACGTTTCATGGGCGCCGTTACTTTGGCAGGGAAGGGGTTTCGGTCGTAAGTCGGGCGATCCGCTGTGTAACGATCGGGTGTAAGCCGGCTTTAGAAATGTGGATTGCCGGGTTCTGGGTTGCGGCTCCCGGTGCAGGGCGACGGTTAGGATGCAGGCGTCGATCATCTTTACGGTTTGGAGAGGCGAGTTTGGACATTGCGCGGTATGTTACATATTGTTGAGATACGGACAAAGTTGCGCGGCCGGTTTTGCAAAATTTCGATGGCTGTATCCGCAACGTCTGGAGCACCGTTTGGCAACAACTCGGATCTCCGGATTGGGTGGGCCGGTTGGGCGGGATGCAGAGGTGATGTACACTGCAGTCCAGTCGTTCCGGAAGCTTTGAGATGCTCGCTTAAGTTACATGGTCGGCGGGTGAGAGAGATAAGGTACAGATTACATAAGGACCATACTTGCTGTTGGCGTGCAGCTTTACTGCTCCTCCTGGTTCAGAAGTCGGAGCTCCAGCAAAGTTGGGGGTTGAACAGAGTCTCTAATTGGTTAAGGGACCCCAAATGTCGGGTCTTGGCAGGGACGTTTAAGCTTAAATCGAGCCAACTACGGTGGTCAACGTTGTCGGCTCCATGTCGGGGCGTCCCGTTGACCAAGCAGGCAGACGCGGAATGCACCGAGGAGTGCCAGTGGGTTAACCGGCGAGAACACTTCTGTTTTAACCGCTGCACGCGGTCGGTGGCGAAGGGTTTCGCTCTCACTGTGGTAGGATACGGTTGTCCCGTTGCGCACATGGCGACATCAATGGCTTCCGGAGAAGGGAGGGCGGGTTCCGTCCGATGGTGAACAAGGGTTGTGACGTGGAAGGATTAACAATCCTTTGACAAACTTGCACCTGGACGCAATATTGCATGATGTCTTTCGTATCGGAGGCTCGTTCCTGGGGTGTCGGTAGTCGAGGCTGGCGGCGCCTGGTTTTGCGGGTTTCATGTTTCTCTGATTGGGATGCGACGCTGTGCCGGGGTTCGACGCGGGCCGGTTGTCCGCTGCCATCGGCTCCGGTCCGGCGGGGCAAACATTTCACCGGAACCTTTCGCCAAGAACACCGACTCTTGCTCGTCAGGTATGTACATACAGAGGTCTGTGGATTGCCGGTTAGCGCCGGGATCAATTCTGCTCAAGATTATTCCGCAAGAGCCGGGGCAGGTATGTTGCCAACCTAACGGCGGCTTCTGTCCGGCGTAGGTACTCGAGTCTTTGAGAGTGTCCTTACGGGTATGTATACCGCGAGGTACACCGAACACCGAGCTGAGCAAATAGCACCGTGCAGGCTTGCGGCTCATAGTCTCTTTGTCGGTCGCCGTAAAGGAGTGCCTGATCCAGACCTCGAGTTGTCGGCTTCCCCAACCGGTGCCATCTCACCCAACGCCGGGAACACGGCACCCACCTGCCTCTCAAGGAACGGTGTTGCGGCCTGTGATTGTGATGCGCTGTAACATTTGAGACAAGCCGATGTTGAAGATCTGGTTCCCTCTGCAATACCACCGGGGTGCTGGGCGGCTGGGCGCCGATTTCCCCGAATACGGTTGGACCCCGGACTCGGGGTCCACTCAAGACAAGACACCTGCCGAAACGGCGGCGCGGTGGTATTGACCGAGTCGATGGCCCGATGGGAGAAGCTCTTTGGCGCGACGCCGAGACCCAGGTGCCAGGCACCGACATTTCTTGGTGGTGCGCTAGCGGCCGTGGAGGTCAGTTGTCAGCACTGACAGATACAGAGACATGTGTGTATTCGTAGACCTGGCTAGTCGATACACAAGCGTCCATGCTTGACAGGACCGATTTGGAACTTCTCATGGGCCCTCGGGAGACCCGCTGACACATCCGCATTCCTTCTTCTGGGGCCGTTGACCCCCGCGTCCACCCCATCCAAAAATTCCCTGCAGTCCAGATCACGATTCGGAGAAAATCTTGTGTTACCGTTGCACCTTTTCCCAAGCGATGTCTCCAGGAGGACTCCATACCCAGTTAGTGAAGGGCCCCGTTTTCGATGCCAAGTTCAGGTCTACCTCCTCCTTTGCGACTGTGCAATGTAGGACAAGGGTGCACCGTCCGGGAGAGGCGATAGGAGGGGATGGCCATTGCCAGGTGGTGATAGGTGGTTGTCGGCGGCACTGGTTTGACGTCGATGCCCTCCGCCGCTCTGCTGCTTCATGTATGTACCCGCTCACTCGGGTACACTCCCTCGGCACACCGAGCCACTACTGCATGGCTGGGCATACGGCGATCGGGCCCAAAAAGAATACAGAGCTGGCGAGCGAATGAGCTATCGTTTTATTGGGATGCCTTGGAGATGGCGTTTTCTTTGAATGCGGGGGGTCATCCACACTCAAGCTTTATGCCCCACCCTCCCGTAAACGGACGGCACACCCGAATTTTAGGACGACCTGAGAGGCACACAGACACTAGCAGATCGTGCTTGCCGCAAGAACGCGAGATGTGTCAGGTTTCTGTCAGGCAGCCAACTTTCACCGTCACAGTGGACTAGGGAGGCCAAATGCAGAATGCACAGGCAGTTTCCGACCAACTCGAGCACCATTCGCACCGGACAAACCTCCGACCTTGCCAAACCCAATCAACATCACCTCGTCCCGCTTCTTCCAATTTGGGCATGATGCAGCGCCGGCTTGGCGCGGAGAGCCAACAATGAGATCTCGCGCCAAGAGGACTAATTAACTTTGTTGTCAACGATATTTTACCCTCCTTCGAACGACGGACTCACTCGGTTCGAAACATCAATCGCCGCGAACGAGTTCTCCCCCTCGTCCGCTCTTGGTGGCTGGGTCACCATTTTAGGGATAAATGATCCACACAAGAGTACCAGGGACCTTCGCAACGAGAAATGAGCAACCGAGAGCTCGAAAGGCGGTTGGGCCGCTCGTATAGCGGATATATTAGCAGTTTGACTGGGTGCTGCATCCACCCCACCATCGCCGGCCGCTGCGGCGCACGTTTTGTCAGCTTGGGGAAGCTGAAGCTTGAGGCATCGATTAAACCATACACCCAGGGGGCACCGCAAAGACACGGCGAGACATCGCCCTGGGGTTGCCAGGCCCATGCCCGGTAGGGCTTCGCCTGCGCCGTTCAGCCGCGTGGCAAATGGCTTTTTCTGGGACACATTTTTGATGTCGGTATCCTATTGATGGTCTTCTCGCTTTGTTTACTCATCCATACCCCCAAATGATGGATGGGCATGCTTGGTGAGACGACGTCCAATTTGACGTCACTGCCTAGAAGGATCAAGAGGTTTCGCGTGCCTTTCTTGTCATCCAAACTGTCGAGAAGGGCATTTCCGTCCGTCCGTCCGCTCTCGGATGCAACCCGACTTGGGTAGACGGTCGAGTCTGGCAGCAGCGCATTATCTGATCATACCAACCAAGACGTTACCGCCGTTCCGAGAATACACCGCGCCAGGGGGGTCAGAGCCGCGCCGACCACCGGCGCCATGTCTCGCCTCGAACGCTGATCCCGTGGCCGCACGCAACAATCTGCAAACTTGCTCGGCAAGGGGGCACGGGAGTCGGCGCAGAAGGGCGGTAGAGGAACGTATTCTTCATGTTACCTCCATGCTGCCATGTCCATGCAGGTCGAGATACGTACCTTTTTCTCTCCCCCTCCACCCTCCACCCTCCACCCCTCCGCTTCACCCCTGCACGCCACCTCTCCCTTCTGAACCCTGGAAGCATGCAATGCCAAGGCCATACCCGTCGAGCGAGTTGCAACTTTGTTGGGTATCTCCGATCTTGTGGGTGTGCACCGAGCCCCTGGCTTCCGTGTGTGGTGGAGCCTCGCCTCGCCTTACAGCCTTCTTGACGAGAATGACAATGTGGGCGGAAGGGCCCCTGATCGACATATATAAGAGCTGGCTCCCATGCTAGGTGTTCAGCCATGCCCTCGCTCTCACCTTCTCGCTTTTCGACTATCCACGCCAGACAACGCCCTCAGTACGCCTCATCAACAGCTCATCGCTCCCACAAGGCTACCCACCTCCCCACGATTTAACACCCCAACAGCCTTCCGGTACCCAGTGCCATGGAAGATCTCGGGAATTTCGCCGACTTCCCGTCGCCACCGAACTCGATGTACTACGTTTACGGGGATCATGAGCCATATATGTCTGAATCACAAAGCCCAAACAACTCATCCGTGAGTATTCTGCGCCCAATTGAGCAGCGGAGCCAAAGTTCTAACGGCTTGCTCTAGTATGACCCTACCTCCACGGGCGACAGTCGGTACCCGAGCCCTGGACACGAGGAAGGAGAGTCCGCGGATCCGTCAGAGCAGCAAAAACCAGCAGCCAAGCGGAAACGAGAGAACCGCTACAAAAACGCCCCGCCAGCCGTGTTGTCGGTATGTAGCGCCCCCCCAACCGCCCAGTCCCAAAGCCGCAAGCTAACCGCCGCCCTTTTCAGCGACGGAGAGCACAGAACCGCGCCTCGCAGCGGGCATACCGCGAGCGCAAGGACCAAAGGATAAAGGACTTGGAGGGGATGCTCACCGACGCCAAGCAGCGCAACGACGTGCTCAGCCAAGCCTACGCCACGCTCCACGCCGAATACGTCTCCCTCAAGTCCTCCCAGATCGGCGACACAAGTTACCCGCAGCAGTTCAACAGCATGCCATACGGCGGGCCCGGCAGCAGCGCGCCCGGCAGCCTGGGCCTGAACGCCACCGCCAACGTCGACGGGCTTGAGCCCATCGATATGTATGTCTACGGCGACTTGAACACCGCAGGGTACACGCTCTGAGGTGCACGGCAGTTGACAAATCTGTTTTCTGGTGGCCTCCGCGCTCTACGACCATTAAGGACGGCGGAGGCGTCCAAAATAGGGCAGCGCCACATTTCTCATTTTTGCTCCGATCCAGGACGTCAGAACGGCCTGTTCAAGGAGGAGGCGGTTTAACCGCCCCCCCGCCGGATCTTAGCAAAAGACACGACAGCGCCGCGGAGCGTATCGGACGCGGAAAAAAGACATGGAGACTGGCTTACACATCCCTTCGCGGGGTGTGGCCAACGAAGCGAACGGAATGACGAAGAAAAAGAAGAAACTCACCCAGCCCTCGCTTTCGGCCGCCGGTGCGGGATGGGCGAGCGGGCGAGCCAGCGAGCTAGCGAGCCAACCAGCCTCGGTTCGACTAAAACTGGGAGGCTTGCTTCCGTTCCAGGAAAACGGAATGCACGGATGGTTGGACGGAGGGACGGATAATGGAGGGTGCTTACTTACTCACCTCAACTTGGGATCGGGACTGGGGCCTCGTGGTTCATCGGGGCGTGGCGTTTTGGGTAGGAGTCTTCATCATCTTGAGATGGTGGGTGGCGGCTGGGCGCCTGGCGCTTTGGTGCTCGGTGCTTTGGTACTTGGTGTCTTTACCTTGGCTTGGGGTTCTGGGTCTCGGGTTTTTACTAGTTATAATGGACGGGACCAATACCCACCCGGCGGATGGCGGGATGGATGGATGGATGGATGCATTTGGGACATACAATGACGTTAGTTGACTTAATGACATGATGATCATCATCACAACACAGGTGTATATGAAGGCCCAGAATGGGGTGTCTGCTGGTGATGATGGTTTCGAGTGCTGGTGTTATACTAGGACCAGCAAGTTGTAGTAGCAGTCTATGAACCGGAATTAAGACTGGAACGGTGGAGGGACTAGTGCTTGAGTTGGGGTAGTTGGCTGTGCTCGTTGTTGTTGGTGGGATGTGGGTGCTTACTGATCCCCCAATGTGGTGGACAGGGGTGCGGAGTCCCGACCACGTCTCTACTTTCCGTTGGTAGGACAAGCGCTAGAAGTGTGCCGAGATTATAGGTTCTAGTATTGGGTGCTCGCAACTATGTCGAAGGGCTCCCGGATGTTGTCTTCGTTCAGGTTGTCTCCCAGGAGCTGAACACCGTAATGCTCTTGTTCTCTTGCAGTCTCACGAGGCGATCCCTGAGCTACTCTACTTCATGGTACTTACCCTGCTAGATATAACTTATGGAAAAGGTAATCTACCTATGTTCTTATTCACGAGGCTTACATGATACCCCAAATCTCGCTGTTGTTTGGCAGCCGAGACAACAGTGAGCAGCATTGGCACAACGAGGTTCGGTGCTTGTTGCAAGACCTTCTTCAGCTACGAGTCATTCTATGATCTATCATGTGATTTCTTAGTATGCTGCAGACTATGCAATGAGCGGAACATCGTACTGCCCCAGTGTCCTGCACTACACTATGGGAGCTACCTTAGCATCGAGTTTCTTCACATCCGTGGGTCTTCGACCCCACGCTGTAATATTATTCCCGGGTTCTGGGATGAGAGATATATCTTTTGATTACCGCCAGAGACGCACTTAAGTGTGCCATTGGTGCCCCCCTGCCCTATATTGAGTCTTGTTTAAAAGATACTGCCGCCACCCGTTGTGACGATCAGTACCCCTATTCGTAAACAGTAGGTACAGTACCTTCCTTACCTACCTAGGTATTCACCCAACCCAGTCCGCTCGACGCCGATGACAAGTGAGTTTGGTTCCTTACATAAATATTTCCTCAACAGGAGTCGGGTTAAATGGACAGAGAAGCGGGTGGTAAATAGTAAATAGATGGTGGCATATCTTCCGTCTAAAGCACTCCGAGATGAGACCTCCGCCCAAGTTGCCGGCTGAAATGAAAGAACTGATTATAAAGGCCGTATCGACTTGCTGGTTGCTATCCATTTTCATGGTGTTTGCATGCGCCAGCTTCTTTTGAGCTGTTTTCGGCCCTGCAAGTGGGCAACGGGAATGAATACCCATGACCGCACCTTGTCCAGGAACCGCGAAAAAGAAATTAAATTACTAAAAGTAACATCCTACGAATACAGCTTTTCTAACCGATGTTTGTCATAAAACCCTTTCTAACATACCTTACGTTCGGTGGAGGATTCGGGTTGACCCGTGAATGTCGAATCTGTATCATAGACACAACCGATAAATAAGACTAGTAACTTTCGAGACGCTAGACTGTTTGAGATCGTCGCCTTCATTGTCCATATAATCCTCTCTTGTAAATTGCCGCCTGTTGGGGTGACTGGGGTTCGTTGTTGTCCCTACCTTGAACTCCAAACAACCCCGTGGTTGGGGACAGGGCAGCGTCCTTCTTGCCGCCAGCAGCTGTTTCTGTTTGGCGTGAGAAATATGGTATGTACGACGGGTTCTACGCCATCGAGTACCGAGGCAGGAGGGGTTTCACACCGATGCCTCATCGTGGTTGAACTGTCCTTTTTGGCAACACCGCGTGAAACGGTTACGAAGCGACGGTCACGCCGTACGAGGAGGCGAGGAGCTGTCGCCCTTGAAGACCCCAAGATAACGAGAGAAGCATGAGGAAGCTACACAATGCCAGGAAGCACAGCGAAGTCACTGTCGTTCAAGTTGAGCAACAAGGTATCCCTCCAAAGAGTAGATTTGAGAAGCGCAGTAGAATACATAATTTCATTTTGTTCGTTATCGTAAATTCATTCCCATATCCTTGATCCGGTCCGAACATTCTCGAGGACCTCTGCCTACCTACCATAGGCATATCCCTAGTTCTCCAACCCTAAGAGCCAACACGAGCAGGGGGCAGGCACAGTCCGCATAGGTATTTTAGGCGGCGGCCATTGTAAATAAGAAGAACCCCAAAGGAGTATGGGTGGGGAAGCATGCCCGAGATGTGAAGGAGACATGTGAAGTTGCCCTGAAAGAGATAAGAAGGCTTGGGTCGATATGCCAAGCCCCTGATGGTAATGTGCTTTGATGCCGGTGATCGGGCACCGGTGGTTCGTGGGTGATGATTAGGGGTACGGTCAGTGACTGAGTTTTGTACCCAGTCGGCCCCGTACCATGCCGGTACTTTCGGGGATGATTGCCACCCCCGTATCGCTGTATAGAAGAGGCGGATTTAAGCTCCGAACCTCTTCGAGTCTCGATCTAATAATAGTCAATATGAGGAACCTCGTTCGGGTGGACATGATGCGTTAGAGCCGGGTACTAACAAGAGACTACCATTGCGAGTCCATCCAACACAGTTACGAGCTCGGCGCATCGGCAGCCGGCGTCAACCTCGAGGTCGGAAGCGGCCATTCCACAAAAGGGGTCTCCCGAGCATCAGACTTCCTCCGGCAGACGACCCGGTGGTGGGTCTGGATGACCTCGGTTCCTCGCTTTCCGTACCACCTCATCCCGGAGGGAACTCGGCTTGTCGAGCGGATGGTGGCTGAAGGGAGCATGGTCTGAATTTGGGTGCCTGGACGACACTGAGATGGGTGGGTGGGAGTTCGGTGATAGGGCTGCAGCGAGTTGCCGTAAGGGTGAGGGTGTCAACCCCTTTTTTAAGCAGGAGCCCTGCACCCGCGGGACGGGATGGGATCGTCGCTGTCGATACGATGCCTGCTCGATGACAGCGTGGTGTTGGGGGCGCTGGTTGCTGAATCAGCCGTCTCACTCATCTCTCCACTCGAGGGCGCGAGTCTTGTTCGAAGACTGGAAAGCGGACCATGCGAGAGTCAGATGTGTGACTCTCTCTGTATGCAGTTGCATCGTTTAGGTCAGGAGACCCTCACATGAGAGGCTGATCCAGAGAAGCTGCTGCGAAGTCATCCTGAAGGTGGCTTGGCACCGCTGATGTGAGGGAGACTTATTGGACGTTGGGACCTGGCTGCCTTATGGTCTGCTGCGTGTCAGCAAGATGCCGTCATCAATTCGACTCGGTGAGGAGAAGACTTAAAAGGCGCGCGGGCTCTTTCTTTCATCCATGTATGTACATAACTCACCGGCCCCGCAACGCACCGCCGTGTCCGCGTACATACACAGTAGATACCCGGGGTGGTCGTCATCTGGTTCTCCACAGCCGGATCAACTGGCACCCAGCCCTTGCAAGGCCGACACCATGCCTCCGGAACCGCGTCCGCACCCATCGCCGGCCGTCAGAGGCCGATCCTCCGGGTTTTAATCCGTTGCCGAAACTTCTCAAAAGACGGATCCCACTGCGAGGTTCCGAGGACGAAAAAGGCAACTGGATAAATGGGCCCATTTACCCTGATAACCCCATCCCTCCAGGCCGCCATTTTTAATATGAGAGCGGGTTTCCCTTTGGGCGGAACAATCGGTGGATGGCTTTCGGCACTGAGTCGGCCTCCACCTTCCACGTGGTAGTTCAGGATACTGGCAAAACCCAGATCGTTTTCCCCGTCTTACGAGGACAAGAGCCAGGTGTCATCGCAAACCACCGGACCGGAGTTGCCATTCTCCTTCTTCTTTCTTTTTGCGTGCGCCAACTGAACATGTTGATGGTCGATTGGCAGGTCTAGACCGCCGCTTTTTGAATGAGACCCGAATCGACAACTTGTTACAGTTAGTGCAACCATTCCGACTTTGTGCATCTTGTACCCACTTCGTCAGGGGAAACACGCGGGGCCTCCGAGAGCGACTTGGTCCCCCGCCGCCTGGGCGACAACATGCGCCGTCCCCCGGCATGCCGGTGAACCTCAAGCCAGCTACGAACATGACAATGGGATTTGGGAGGAGTATGCTTAGCCATGTGTTGGCTGTTCTGGTTCTCTTGGTCGCCCAGTCCATCGCAGGCTTCACCAACGCGTTTGACAGCATCACCAGCGGATCGAGCGTAGCGCTGACATGGGACGCCGTGGAACCGCAACACTACCCGCTGCGCATCACGGCGCAGGTGATTGATAAGAATGGCGACGGTTTCAGCGCGAATGCGTACCGGGTGAATATCACAAGTACGCCGCCCCTTCTCACATGGCTCACATGGCTTTCTTTTGCGGAACCGGACAGGACTCCTGCATGTCGTGGTTCTGAGATTCTCTCACACAGGGGAACTTCCCCGATAGAAGGCGGCATTCACTGACGATGAAATAGCTGGCGCCAGTGGGACTTCGTACTTGTGGGCAGGCGCCCCATACCCGCTCCGCTGGGTTCCCAACGGACTGTACCAGATCGAACTGTGGCCAATGAGTTGGACTGGAGATGATGTGCCGTTGCTGGCCAAGTCACCGTTTTTCAGCATCGATTCAGGGAATGCGGTGCAGACGGATGACCCAGCAGACGAGGTAAGTAATATCATCTCGATAGCCTCGGAACCTGTCGAAGCTGACACGCCTGGCTTTGCTAGCCAACGCCAGAAGAACCCCCGAGTGATGACGGGCCAGTCATCAGCAAGGCGGCAGCTATTGGGCTCGGTGTGGCCGTTGGGTTGCCTGCAGTTGTGGGAGCGCTGGTTGTGGGCTGGTGTGTCTGGAAGCGGCAGCAAAAAGCGGCCACAGAAAAGAGGCGGCTTAAGAGACACGATTTTGTTATTAGCTGAGGGAAATGAACGCAAACTCATTTGAACGCAATCAATAAATCTGCAGCCCCATGTGTACAAACACAGGGAGGGAAATATGTCGCGTCTTTTGGTCAACGGGATCCCGTGCCGCAAGTGACGTGTTGCTGCGCCAGCCTCAGAGAAATTGGCCTCAGACCGGTGCATTGTGGGATGGATGCTGGTGCACCATTTCTGTGGCACCGCGTCCTGGATGAGGTTGGGCAGAGACGGGAGAATGCCACCGAGAAGGGAGAGAGAACTGGAAGCGAGAGGGGAGAAGGCCCTCGCAGTTTTCAGGGGAAGGAGCTCCTGAGCCCATCAACCCAACCGTGACGGGAAGCTGTCCGAATCTGGGTTACCCCATTTCCCCGGAGCCACTTCGGCTTGTCAATGAAAAGAAATCATGGAAGGAGACAACTGCCCGGGTTTTCTGGGAACACTTCGTATCCCAACCGGAAATCACGTACCTCAATTCCGGGTTCGTGGCTTGATGATCGACGGGCCAGACTGCAAAAAGATGTATTTTAAGTTCTCCCACGTTTTTTCAGCCCTGGCTTGCGCCAGAAGAGGAGACGATCGACTTCCACGACAACGGTCTCCAGGTTCGGTTCAGGTTCATCTTCCCGGGAAAAATCAAGAAAGGAGACCCTGAATTCCAACATCTCTCCCATCTCATTACATCCAATGGATTTATCCCAACCTGAAAAGGACGGCGAGGCCCGCGAGGCACAGGAGGGGGGGCGGACGAATCGAGCACCACTCGCTTTGACTGGACCCCACAATCCAAGAGTGGCGCTGCTGCTTTGTTCCTGCATCTGGACTGCCAACGGGTCCACATCCCGTTTCGAGAGTCTCGGCTCGCGCGGATGGACCCTTTCGTTTAGTTAGTGTTTCTTTCGCTCCACTGACAAGTCTCCGATATCCAACGGTCCGCTCCCCACACGAAAGATCCCCGTGAACCTATCGCAACGAGGAGAGGACCGCCCTCTCAGGCTGGGCGGCGGCAAATGTTTGCTAACTAACGCCGGATCTCCCACATCTCCATATTGGCCGCGTTGGCTCGAGGACTTCTGGAGGGGAGGGGGAGGGGGAGGAGGAGGGCGCGAATCCCGAGACTGGTCGGGTTGGACAATGAGGGAGTTGTGTGAACCGTTGGTGTTCAAGTTGGCGAGGCCGACTTGGAATGGTGGGTCAATATTGGGCATGCTGATGGAGCCCGGAAGCGAACACCACTCCTGGGCACACGTCCCATGCTTTTTTATGCAACCATTCCTGCATTTCAGAACCAATGAGAAAAGGTTGGTCCCTGATCCTCCTTTTCAAGCGCCCCCCAAGCGCATCCAAGCGCCAAGAATCGATACGAATCTGGGCCTTGGGAGGCGCCAACACGCCCAAACCCTGAACGTGGGCACGATCATTGGCACCCGAATCGGGAATACGGCTCCCTTCTGGTGATGGACTCGTCCGCCCTGACAACCCGAGCCATGAGGTTACAGTTGTGGTGGGTAACCATAGGCACAGAGACGCCCCCTTCGCCCCCCACCATCCTCAGGCTCGGCTGCTCCCTACCTGTAAAACCCCCCCGATGCCACCGCCAACATGCCGGTGCTTCTCTCTCTTGAGCCTGATGCTTCTCCAGCCAAGTCGCCCAAGCTGCCTCCCGAGCGAGACTAGAGCATCCTTTTTGCTCGTCCTCTGACGTATCGTACGTCGACTACTCACTCGTTCGAACTATCTATCAGACCACTGTCATTCTTTCGTGTTATTCACGTAAACCTTCCTGATGGCTCCCTCCATCATCCGGCTGGGCGCCACTGCCCTGGCTTGTGCCTCGAGCACACTCGCCCTCGAGGCCTACCAACTCAAGGAGTCCTACAACCCCTCCAACTTCTTTGACAAGTTCGACTTCTTCAGCGGACGCGATCCCAACCAGGGCTTCGTCAAGTACAGGAACAAGGAAGATGCCACCAGCCTCGGCCTTATCAAGAGCACCGAGGACGAGGTGACCATCAAGGTTGATTCCAAGGCGACCGACCAGGACGGCCGGAGCAGTGTCAGGCTTGAGAGTCGCAACACGTACAACTCGGGCCTGTTCGTTGCCGATTTCAGCCACTTCCCCAAGCAAGCCTGTGGTGCCTGGCCCGCCTTCTGGATGGTCGGCCCCGAGTGGCCCCAGGACGGCGAGGTTGACATCTATGAAGGCTGGAACCTGAACGAGCGTAACAAGGTCGTGCTCCACACCGACGACCCTCTGTCGGTCGGCTCGTGCACCATCCAACAGGGTGACTTCACGGCCAGCATGATCTACGAGAACTGCTGGAACAAGGCTCCGGGCCAGCCGGGCAACACGGGCTGTTCGGTCGAGGAGGCCGACGGCACCTTCGGCAACGCAAATGGCGGCGTCTGTGAGTAGCCCTTGGCGAGGATTGAGTTTGTATCTCGAGTCACTGACATGTCTTTCTCTAGACGCCACCGAGTGGACGGACGATGGCATCAGGGTCTGGTCTTGGCCCTCCGGGGGCGCCCCGGCGGACGCGACGGGTGACAGCCCCGACCCGAGCAAGTGGGGCAAGCCCAAGTTCATGGCCGGAGGCAACAAGTGCGACGTCAACAAGGCCTTTAACAACATGCGCATGGTGTTGAACATCAACCTCTGCGGTGATGCTGCGGGCGGCCTCTGGGGCGAGACCTGCAAGCAAAAGACGGAATTCGATGAGTGCTACGAGTACGTGCAGTGGAATCCGTCGGCGTTCGAGAAGACGTACTGGCAGGTCCGCGGCATCAACGTCTACCAGCTCGAGACGGTGAAGCCGGCCCCGAGCTCGACCTCGACCACTAGCACCTCCACCAGCACCAGCACTTCCACCAGCACTTCGACCACAGAGGCCCCGGCTCCCGAGACCTCGACCGTCGAGCCGACGTCGAGCACCTCGGCCGCTGAGACCAGCACTGTGCCTGAGGAGGAGCCGACCACCACCACCGCCTCGGAGACTGCCTCGGAGACTGTGACGTCGACTTCGTCGAGCGAGACCGCCGGCGAGACTGCCACCGAGACGGAGAGTGAGTGCTCGGATGACGTTGCCACCTCTACCACCGAGGCTCCCGAGGTGAGCAGCACGGCGGCGACGGCTACCGAGACGGAAACCGAGAGCGAGTGCTCCGACGACATCGCCACCGGCACCACGGATCTGCCCGAGGTGACCGGCACGGCGACGGCCACGGAGACGGAGAGCGAGTGCACCGACGACGCCACCGAGTCGGCGACGGCGGAGCCCACCAACTCGGTCCCCGACGTGACGGGCACCGCGTCGGAGAGCTTCACCACCTCGACAATCTACACGACCTCCACCTACACCATCACCTCCTGCGAGCCCACCGTGACCAAGTGCCCCGCCCGCACCGTCACCGAGACCATCCCCGTCTCCACCACCGTCTGCCCCGTGACCGACATCGACACCGACACCGACGAGCCCACCGACAAGCCCACCGGGCCCAACCCCACCGGCTCCAACCCCACCGCCAGCGAGCCCGTCACCACCCTCCGCACGTCCACCACCATCTCCAAGACCACCACCGTCGTCGTGCCCCGCCCGACCGACGACGGCAGCAATGACAATGATGACAACGACGACGAGGAGGGTGACGACGAAGAGGAGGGCGAGGACACCCCCGGCCCCAGCCCCAGCGTCACCGACTCGGACGAGGTCGAGCCCACGGGCGGCGTGGTGCCGCCGCCCATCGAGATCGTCACCACCACGCCGCCCAACGCCACCCACACCACGGGCCGGCCGCCGCCCGTTGAGACGGCTGGCGCGGGCCGGGTTGTGGGCGGCGGGTTGTTGATGGTCGTGGTGGGTGCCGTTGCGGTGATGGTGTTGTAAGTGTGTTGTGAGTGTGTGTGGGTGGGTGGGGGGGTGTTTTGTGTTTTTTTTTTTTTGAAGAAGAAGAAGAAGTTGTAGCGGGGGAGATGGGTTACTCTTCGATGGGGGAGATGTTTAACTAGATGATTAATGTGTTGCTTGAGGGGGGCGGCTGTGTGTATTAGACTACTACCTAGCTTTGGATAACGAGTGGGTATGTGTTGATGATGGAATTATCTGTCCTCCGGGACGTTACTTTCTTGGCTTTGACGGCTTGCTGGTTGAATGTGAAGGTGACATGATGGTGCCTTGGCCAATATGTGATTTGATTTGTTTTGTTTGTGGCCGACATCTATGGTCTTTCGGAAGCGGGAGGCAGTTTGTTGTTCCTCGGCTCGGATTCAGGGTTAGGGTGTGCTTGAACTGGCTCTCGTGTTCACTCAACAAGCTGTATGATTTATTGTACGATTTCTTAAGAAAGATGTAGTTTTTAGAAAATAAATTTTCCCCAAGGACTCGACTCCTGGACTTTCAATGTCGTTGCAACAAAGTTAGCCACCTTCGGGTGGTCTGTCGATCGTGATTTCGGAGCTTGGGGCAGCTGCAAGGGCCCGATCTGATCTGTCGGGTGGGTGCTTGACATCAGCCTCCGAGACGAAGCTCCACCACTTCGACTTCAACTTCAACTTCAATACTTTTTGACATCCAAGCAATACTTCGCCGCACAACGCTGCAGATGCGCCGCGATCGACGGCCATCTGCCGGCTAGGATTTCCCTTATTTTTAGACATATACGTGCTGCGATCACATACGCCCCAGCCATGTTAAAACTCCTCCGCCCGCGGACCTTCCTCGCGCAGGGGTCGTCGGTGTTGCGACGAATGCGGCCACCACCAGTCCGACCGATCGAGAGTCCCTTGCGAGCTACCGTCCGGAGCCTACGCCTCAGCAGAACATACTCAAGCCAAACACAATCTCAACCTCGCACCATCGAGCCCTTCCGTCCCCGAACCCGACCGGTCCCGACCCGGTGGCCCGCCCGTCAGAACGACCGACTCCCTCCCAACTCCACCACCCCTCCAACACCACAAACTCCCCACCCCAACAACAACAACTCCGCGCCTACAACTACCACCCAAGCGGCAACCGGAGCCCACCACCCCGCTCACCAGCAGCGTACACCGACCCGGCGCACCGCGACGCGCAACTCCGCGCCGCCAAGCCCCTGATCCACTGGCGCGGCTTCCGCGCCCTCAACACCCCCTCCACCTACACCATCATCCTGGTCGCCGGCGGCGGCGCCCTGGCCTTCTACTTCTCCAACCTCGAGACGGTGCCCGTGTCGGGCCGCACGCGCTTCAACGCCTACGGCGCCGACTCGGTGCGCAAGGCCGGCGAGATGGAGCACCGCCGCCTGCTGTGGCAGCTGGAGCAGCAGGGGGTGGGCCTGCTGTCCGAGTGGGATTTCCGGACGATGAGGGTGAGGAGGGTGATGGAGCGGCTGTTGCCGTTTAGTGGCATGGAGGGCGAGGAGTGGGAGGTGAGTGTGGTGGATGCCCCGCGCACGGCGAATGCCTTTGTGCTGCCGGGCGGGAAGGTGTTTGTGTTTAGTGGGATTTTGGGGGTGGCGAGGAGTGATAGTGCGTTGGCGACCGTGTTGGGGCATGAGATTGCGCATAATCTGGCCGATCATCATGGGGAGAGGCTCAGTCAGGATATTGGGGCGAGTATAATGCTGTGGAGCATGGTCGTTCTGGGTGGAGCGTTTGGGTTGGGCCCGTTGATTATGCATTTCTTCGGGTCGCGGTTCCTGGACGTCGCCTTTGGGTTCCCCATGAGCAGGCTGCAGGAGAGCGAGGCGGATTATATCGGCCTGATGATGATGTCCGAGGCGTGCTACGACCCCCGGGAGGCGGTGAGCTTCTGGGCGCGGATGGAGAAGGCCTCGGGGGAGGAAGTGCCGGAGTGGATGAGCACGCATCCGGCTGTAAGTTGACTGCGGTGGTTGTTATTGTTGGGGTCGGATTCGCTAACGGCTGGCAGAACCTAAACAGGATCAAAAAGATCGAGGAGTGGCTGCCCGAGGCCATGGAGAAGCGCGCGCAGAGCGACTGCAGCTCGACGGCGTCCTTTGCCGGTTTGTTTAAGCAGGCTCTACTGACTGGTCAAGGGGTCTTCTGATGAGTTGGCCAAGTGGCCTTGTATTTGAGCGCGGAGTTTTTGGGTAGATCCGGGATGGAGTTGACGGAGTATGTTGAGTGAGTAGTGGCTTAACATTTTGAATGCATCAAGAGGAAGATACCCCTATCCATCTATTCAGAGTCAAATCACGCAAGGTTGTGAAGGGCAACCGTCGCTTCGAACCTTATAAGTCACGCCCTCTCATCATCCTCGAGATCACCACCCCCCTTCACCTTCACCTTGCCCCCTCCACGACCTCCCGTCTCCCAAACAGCGTCCTCCACAGCGCCCTCCACCTCCTCCTCCCCTCCCCACCCGCCGTCTGCACCGACCCAACAGCCGACATCAACCTCTCCCGTTCGGCCACCTCCCTGCGCTCCCGCACCGCCCGCCGCACCCTCAGCACCTCGCGCCCGACCACCTCAAACACCTCCACCACCCCCTCCCCCGTCTTGGCCGACACCTCCAAAAACGGCACATCCGCCACCCCACACCCGGCCACCCCCATCCCCCTCGCCGCCCTCAACCCCACCGCCCGACTCACCACCACCTTCTCCTCACCCCCACCACCACCATCACCACCAGCATCTTCCACCTCACTCTTATTCCCCACCAAAACAATCGGATACGCCCTCCCGCGATCAACCCCCCCAACCCCACCAGACCGCACACTAGTTGGCGAGGCGGGCGCGAAGTGCTCGCGCATGAACTCGGCTAGCCCCTGGGCGAGTTGTAGCGAGGCGGCGTCGCGCGCCGAGTAGACGAGCACGGCGGCCTCGGTGATGGAGAGGGCTTGGGCGAGGAGCGGGTTGCTGAGGAGTTGGTTGGAGGGCATTTCGAGGGCGTCGATTAGGTAGGTTTGGGTTTGGGTTTGGGTTTGTTGCTTGGGGGTGGGGTTTTGGGGGGTGGGTTGGTGGTGGTGGTGGTTGTAATGGTTGTTGTGGTTGTGGTTGTGGTTGTGGTGGTTGTTGTGGTGATGTTTGAGGGGGGGTGAGGAGGGTTGTTTGCTGCTGCTGAGGTGGGGGACAGAATAGGATTTGGTCGTGGTGCCTTTGGGGGTCGGGATTGTGGTTGTGGGTGAGCTGGTGGTGAGGGCGTGAGCTGTGGCCGAGGTCGGGAGGGCAGATGTCGGGGTGACCTCGAGAGTGATCGGATGGCGGCAGCCTCGCTCGTAGAAGGGGTCGGGAGGCTCGGTTTCGCCGTGAAAGGTCCCTTGGCCGAACTGGAGGGGTGTCAAGTTAGGATCACATCACGGTATAGCTGCTGTGCCTCGGGGTGAAAGGGAGCGCTCACTCTCGTCAGGATAGCCGTCTTGCCTGTGCCCCGGCCACCGATCACAAGTACCCGGAACTCGCCCGCTGGCTTCTCTTCTTGCTGTCGCCTCCGCTCGTCCTCTTCGGCTTGCTGGCGCTTCCGTTCCTCGTCCAGAGAGGGTTCTGTTTCTTGCCAGCGAAATATCGCCTTGAGGTACTTGGCCTCCTCGGGCGACCACACTAATGAGTTGACCATTCTAGATCGGTTTCTCATTGCACTTTGTTGGCGGGTTGTGGATTCTCGCGAATTTTCGTGGTCGGCCGGGAACCGGGTTGGCCTTGGGGTTTCCATACTTCTTCCGGAATTCTAGCAAAAATGATGGAATTCTTTGTTTCTGATGTGCGGGCAGTTTGAGTCATTCTACAAATCATTCGATAATTCACGCACAATAATCACCAAGCTGGAAGATGGGACGGAACAAAGACAGCACCAGTACCAGTAGCATGAGCACAAGTAACCACCATAACTCAACTCGATAAACTGGGTTGGGGGACTGCATTCTGGCAAATACCAATCTCTAACATGAGGCAAGATCAGCATCATCCGGCATCTGAAATCTACCCCGTGGAATCACATTCAGATGCCTCTGGGCGAGGGCAGCCAGCAGGCAAAAAGGAAAGGGGGTCCCGCTCTCTTTATGATCTTCAGGGACTCGTCTAACAAAGGAAGGCCGAGTAGGCTAATATCGATTCCGTGTGCTGAGGGGGGGTGCATGACTGGCATAAATGAAGGGCATATACTTTCCAAGTCACAAAGCATAATGGATGGGTTTGGCTCCGTGCCCAGCTACCATCTGCATCTGCAGTTTTGGAAGTTACCTATGGGTGGGTTGGGATCCGTGTCGAGCATCGAAAGTGGAAGGGGCGCGGTGGGAAATAATAAACCTGGGGTTAAGAAATCGAGTCACACATTCCCTCCACTTTTACTTTCTACAAATTCGTGTAACCGAGAGTTGGGCCGGCCGAGTTACAACATATAAAGCCATGCTAATTTACAGAAAATGGAAGAATGGCAAGTGGAAGTTAAAAAGAGAAGTTTCCTTAACTGTCATTTACTTGAGCATTTATTTTTAGGTGACCTCGGCCGGAGTGATAGGGCGGAATTTGCCGTAACTCGACTTCTCGATCACCTCGTTCTTCGTTAAAACTGACAATATGACTGGCTGACTTGCTGTCTCGTGTCGCAAATCCCGGTCATGCACATCACACGCCGCCGTGAGATTCAAGATCGGGGAAACCAAGAGTCTCACCATTCATCCTCCCGCGGGAGGCAGGGGTGCGGCGGGGAGATAGTCTGGACTTATTCCGCACTCGATCCCCCTCCTCAGAACACCTCGCCAAGGCTGGGTTGCGGTCCCCATCTTTTTGTCTGCCGATTACCTCAGGGGCATTCGCCAAATATATACAGAAATGCATTTGGTTAATTTAGGTAGTGCTTGGGTTGCGTTGCACAACGGTGAGGTGGTGCAGACCTGGGAATACAAACGCGGGGGCGGGAAGGATGCCGCTTTGATGGATGGAGGTGCTGAGCGGTCCATCACCTGCCCTGGCGTTCCTGGGCAGGTCAGGTCCATCCCAGAACCTGATCTGTACCTGACTGCCCGCAGTGGGGAGGCCGCTATGATCGGTGCCGAAGCGCCGGAGTGGAGCCTCTAGTGAACGACCTCCGGCTATTAATAGGCGCGAACCCTCTTCTCGCACTGGAGTTTTTATTCGGTGAAGTCACCAGTTCCACGCTTACTGCTTTGCCGCACTGAACCCTAGTTGCCCAGCTGCCCCATGGAAATGGCGCCGTTTCAACCATGGTTCATTTCCCGATTGATTTGTTATCAAAAGAGGGACGATTATTCGAGGTGATTCAGGTGGTAGATGAGGACCCCAAGTCACGACCCCAACGGTGGCTCGGCTCTGCGCGTTGCCGGGACTGGGTGTGCCCGAATCGCTAACTATCCTTGCCGTCCCTGTCGGTCCTCGCGAGCCGCGTCGGTCTGCTGGTCAGCACGGAATACTGTAACCCCGCTTGTCTTGGCTTCGGTGGGCTGGCCTATTGTGGACAGGTTGTGTGCACCTGAACCCGCCTGAAGTCGGCGAATGATGGCAAGGGCCATGGGGAGTGACATCCTGGACTTCTCGAAGCTCGAGAGATGAGATGGCCGGGCAACTCGAGGCCGGCAGGTTTGCTCTCCGATGATGCGGCCTGTGGGCAGAGCTGAACCAGAGACCCAATCTATCAGCCCTACGGCGGCTATTCGACAAATGCCTCGAGAGAGTTGACGCGTCTTCCGACTCCACACGCCAACACACGCCGTCTCGAGTTGCGGTCTCAGCCGCACGCATGCAGAACGCCGGTGGTGGCCGGAAACCAGTCGCTGAGCTAAGGACCCTGGCGAGCCTGGGACCTGCAGGGGTTGGGTTGCGGCCCCCCATGTACATAGCTGGGATACCTTTCTGGGATCGTTTCACACCAGACAGCTGGGTCGGCTTCTCATCTTTGCTCATTTTTCCCTTTTCTCCCAGCTGTCGCTCATTTAGGCCATCCGTCGCTTGAGTCTGCGTCTAATACCCGCGCGTGATCATCTAAGACGAACTCGGCGAGACCATGTCATAGAGACTCGAGATGGACAACTACCCACCACGGCCACGGCCGCGCCCGCCGCTACGCTCCGAGACCTCGTCCAGCGCCTTTAGCAGGATATCAACCGTATCTGACTTCACGGACCTTGGTAGTTTCCAAGGTCACGGAACCTACCCTCCCCTGCAAAACCGACCTTCTCTCTCTTCACTTCAGACGTCCAATCCCGACCTTGGCCCCGGGATAGGAAATGAGGGTTATACCTATGCCAGCCCGACCTCCGGCTGGACCACTTTGACAACTTCACCCCACAATATCGGCTACTCGCCGGTGGCTTTAACAGACACGCCGCCGCAATCCGGCAAGCAAGACCGCAACCACGCTCACACGCACCATGAAGCAATTCCCGAGGAGGACGGCGCCGACCTCGGGTTGGTCAACTCGGTTGCCTCCGTAGACGACGGGGAGATGGAGAAGCCAAGCATACGCGTTACCTCGGTCCCGATGTTTGACCTGACAAATACCCTGGGTCCGACAACCAAAGCCGACGAGGATTTCGTCAAGGCCCTGCAGCAGCAGGAAGCGCACGGGAAGCTGACCGGCGGCCTGGGGCTCGGTATCAAGACGGATATGACCGTGACCGAATCCGCCCTGCTTGCCGCGAGCCCGGTGGCTGAACGACCGCTTAGTCGATCCTTCTCCAGAGTTGGCAGACCCGTGAGCCGGGTTGAGACCCTAAAACGACTGGGACAGAGCGAGGCCAACAAGCGAGGCGAAGTGATTGAAGTCGTCATGGAGGACGCCCCGCCACAGTCCAAGGTCGATATCAGTTTGGTGTCGGGACACAACACCGAAGACCCGGTCCCGTTTGTCATGAACCAAACGACGTTTCCGACCAGGAAGGCAACGGCCACCGTCTTCTATCCACAGCCGAACTGGAAGCCGTTCTCGCTAAGGTGGCCGTACCTCGCCTTGCTGGTCGTCTTATCGCTCGTCCTCGCAGGTTCCGTCGAGGCGTTATATCAGTCCTCCACCCGCGACCCGTTGATCTCGTTCCGGGCCCCTTCGGATATTCCCGCGTCCGAGTATTTTGCCGTTAAGTTTCTGCCCATGATCGTTGCCGTTTCGTACGGTGTGCTCTGGCAGATCACCAACTTTGATGTGATGCGTCTCGAGCCTTTCTATCAGTTGTCCAAGGAAGGAGGCGCCTTGGCAGCAGAGTCGATCAACGTCGACTACCTGGCCCAGTTCAACCTCTTTCGCCCATTTCGTGCCCTCCACTACAGACACTATACCGTCGCTGTCTGCTCCATCGCCAGCTTGCTGGCCAACACCTTGGTGCCCACTCTCGGGGCTGCATCCATTATCCTCACCCCAGACCGCCACCGCCGCCATGCATTTCCCAATGAGGAGAAGCACATCCTCGTGCACCATGTCTGGTCCCGTCTGCTGACCGCCACTTTTGTCGTCATCGCCGCCCTGAGTTGCATTCTCTTCTACCAGCTGCAGACCCGCCGCACCGGCCTGCTCGCCGACGTCAAGGGCATCGCCGGTCTGGCGTCCATGGCCACCGTCTCCCACATCCTCATGGACTTCAAGGACATGGATGTCGCGACCCATCAGGACATTCACCACAAGCTCAAATCCCACCGCTACGTCCTCCGCAACTCCTCACTCGCCCCGGACGACTCTTTCTCTGCCACTCAAACCCCCAACGGAGCGCCCGTCCCAGAACCCGACCGCTACACGAACCACCACCTCTCGCCCAACCCGCAGCCCCTGATGCTCCGGCCCCAGGGCGCCCTGCCCTTCCTCGCCTTCATCCTCCTCTTCACCGCGCTCCTCCCCATCATCCTCTTCACCCCGGCCACCGTGCTCACCGACCACGCCCCCTGGCTCGTAACAGCGCTCGCCGTCGTGATCAAGCTGTCCTGGGGCGCGCTCGAGACCGACGTGCGCGTCATGGAGCCCTACTACATCCTCTCGCGCCGCCACGCCCCGCCCAAGACCCTCTGCCTCGACTACACCGCCATGCCCTTCGGCTGGGTCGCCGTCCAGGGCTTGCTCAACGGCCACTGGGTCGTCTTCGCCGTCGGCCTGGGCACCGTCGTCGCCGAGGTGCTCACCGTGCTCGTCACCAGCCTCGCCACCGTCGAGGGCCGCGTCTTCCTCGACATCGTGGAGAAGGGCGGGAAAGAAGCCGCCGCCGCCGCCGCCGCCGCCGCGCTCGCTGCCGGTGACGACGGCGGCCCCGGCGGCAGACGAGGGGGCGACATCAACGCCGGTCAGGAAACCGTGCCCAGCTTCTGGCTATCGCTGGCGCTGGCCGTGCTCATCCTGGTGTACATGGGCGCGGTGGCGGGCGTGGTGTTTGTGCGGCGCGGGCGGGTCTTTCTCCCGCGCCAGCCCAACACCATCGCCAGCGTGCTGGCGTACATCCACCAGAGCAAGATGCTGTACGGCTTCGTCGGCACCGCCAAGCTGTCCAACGCCGACATGCTCAAGCGGCTAGAGCAGCTCGGCAAGGCGTACGGGCTCGGCTGGTTCCAAGGGCGCGATGGCCAGAGTCATTGCGGCGTGGACGAGGAGGAGCTGTTGAGCGGGTATAAGGTCGGGTATGATTATTCGAGGGCGACGAAGCCGTGGGAGGAGACCGAGGTTAATTGGTTGTGAGGTTGGGGATGGGTTTTTTTTTTGGGGGGGGGGGGGGGGTAGCCTACTAGGTTGAGTCACTTTGTTTATGCATGGCATGTGAGGGTTTGGTTTGTTTGGCTGGTGCATTACATACTGGCGTAGGGGGTCTCGTGTGGAAGGGGATGATACCTTGGATGCTGAATTCACAAACCATAATTTAAGTTTACTTATTATTTGTTTTATCGCTGGAAGACTTGAAGGTACGGCATGTTCTTGTTTGTGTGTACCCTCGGTGAAGAGTTGCAAGTGTACCTATTTAGAGTTGGAGTATCCCTTGGTCGTTCCCTGCATCCTTCCTTTCCAACCATCCTCCCGGACCGCTGTCTTGGACCGAGTTACACAGAACGGGACAGCGGCTTTGTGGCACCATAGCAATGTCCGCGTATAGGGTCCGCTCGGCGGTCGCAAAAGGATCATTAAGATGCGGGTGAGATGGTCACCGTTGTGGCTGGGCCTCTCGTATTACCTTCGAACAATATGCGGGTTGGGACGGGTGCGAGATTACTTCCACATCGGCCCAAACAAAGGAGAGACACTTGATCATGCCTGTCAACTGAGGTTGCTGGGCTGAATTCCTTGTTTACTCGTAATGTCATGTGCAGTCCGTATGGCTGGAATGCAGATCGCGCGGGCCGAAGCTGCATGTGTCAGATCACAACTGGCTGATGAGAGATGCTAGACTGATCGTCAATAACTAGTGCTTGAAGTGATCAAGCGTCGGCTGGAGGTTAGCGTGCTCTTATAACTCCCTTCTTTGCAGTTAGCAAGTGGCTTCCATGTTTGAAACGCATAGGCCCATCGAGGCTGCGACAAACGGAAACGCAACCCCCCGGAAACGATGTTTCGCATGTGCGACTCCAGAACCACTGAATGAGTCGTGGCGACTTGGGACCGACGCAGATCAGCGCGGATGTGAGAATCTGCTGCAAACCCACCGTTTCCACAGCAAAGACAGCAGCAACACATTGAACAAGTTTTGATGTCGTTGAAGAGGCGAATAGGCTGGCCGCATCGTCGATCGCCGGCTGCATCTGCTGGCATCACCATGGCCACGGCGGGGCGGGTGCAGCGTCACGCAGCGCCCGTAGGAGGGGTAAAGTGGTGATTGGGCAATGCAATGCAGAGAGACGCACGCGCGCAGCGTTGCCCGGTGCGAATCGACGACAAGCTGACAGGCACCAGACTCGACAGCAAAATAAACAGCAACTTGCTGTTGATCTCGAGCTCTTTCTCCAGACTCCAAACCGGCTGCAACAGCGCCGACGAGTCGTCGTTTTCCAGATCGTCAAAAGGTTGTGGAACCTTGAACCAAAGGCCCAGACCCGCTCTCCTCGGCGAGGGCGGGGGACAGGCGTGACAGGGTCTCATCGCAACAAGGGGAAGGAGGCTGTGCAGTTTTGATTTCTTGTCGCGTATCTCGCGGGCTGCCGCAGAATGAGCTGGAGACGCAATTAAAAGACTGCGCCTAGGTGGATTCGTCATGGCCGGAACGAGTGAGTTTCGGGCTTGGAATACTATTTGATACGATGGAATTGATGAAGGCTTTGAGTTTACGAGGAGCGACCTCTGGAAGCGGAATGCAAACCTCCATCCAAGGTCTGGACCGAGCCCTCAAAGGCGGGGCGAGGGAGGTCTGCAGGTGAAGTGCCGCACGCATAGGCGCCGCCCCTGAGTTTTCCAGGGGAAGGAGCCACACATCCACGGGAGAAAGCGCGGAAGATGCGGAGGGAGCAACTTCCATGCAACGCAACTTCCCCTGCTTGGCGACGCTGTTTCTCACGGCCAAGATGCCCGATTCTCGAGCCAAGGGCTTGGGATTTCTTGCCATGAAGCATTAGAAAATAGTGAGAGTTCGAGGGAGGATGATTTCATTAACTAGTTCCTCCGCTTGATCGGGTTCCGAAACTTGGTGGAGAGGTAAAGATGTTGGCGGACCCATTGACCGCACAGACCATCTGTTAGGACTGTACCTTGCTTCCACATGGTTCGCAGCGTGTCGCAGTGTATCACAGCGTAACCGTATGCAGTCTTCCACTATCCCGCCGATCTAATCTCCCACCCGGCATTAACTGTCGATACTTGGCAGTAACCCCTTGCAAGCCCTCTGGGCCTCTTCACTGTCCCCAACCCCGTGTGTCCCTGTTTTTGTCTCTCATTACGCAGCGCTTCCCCGTCACCCGACACCAAACACACCTGAGGCGACCCGCCGTCCATTCTTTCACTCTTTTGACTTGATTACCTTTCTCAACCACCAAATTAGCACTTTGTTCGCGCTCGACGAGTTATTCTCACCATCGCTGATACGCCTCGGCCAGGGATTTCGACTCCGGATTGAACGCGCTTTCCTTGTCGGCAGACTTCACTCGCTTCATCCCCCTGCCGAAACTCGAACCGCCTTCCCTCCCGAGGACATTTCCGTATTTTGCCATTCGAGATTGTTCAGTGACCACGCGATTTCACTTCTTTAGCACATCTCACCAGCGCTTCGTTTGCTGGCTTCCACCACACCCCGATTCCGAGTCTAGAATAACGGCGACCCAGCTGGCGGACATCGAGAAATCGATCCATCTGGCTATTTAGCCGCCGACTTCATTCTTCGGACAGCGACAACTTTACGACTCGTCGATTCTGCATATACCTATACACCTTTGGATACCCACAAAATGCGGTGGTCATTATCAAGGCCGCTTGCGGCCCTGGCGTCACTCGCCGCCCTCGCCTCTCCCGTGCTCTCGGAGCAGATCCTCCAGTCCAACTCCCTGAACTCCTGCCAGGAAAATTCGGGCTTTCAGGCTAGCTTGTTCAAGGTCGTTTTCACGCCAAACAACCACACGGCGAACGTCGACATTGTCGCCGTCTCGTCCGTTGAGGGCAACGTCATGTTCGATGTCTCCATCTCGGCCTACGGATATGAAATCATCAAGAGGGTGGTCGACCCCTGCGACGCTGGCCTGGCCGGTCTCTGCCCCATGACCGCCGGCAAGATCCCGCTCAACTTCAACCTTGACGTCGGCAAGGACGCCCTCGGCCAGATCCCCTCAATTGCCTACAATTTCCCTGACCTTGACGCCACGGTGAAGGTCTTCATCAACAGGACGGGCGACGGGGCCGAGGCGGGCACGAGTGTCGCTTGTGTCGAGGCCGACATCTCCAACGGCAAAACTGTCGATTTGCTCGGCGTCAAGTGGGCTACCGCTATCGTTGCCGGCCTGGCTCTGGTTTCCTCGGCCATCGTGTCGGGCCTCGGCCACCAGAATGCCGCCGCCCACGTCGCTGCCAACGCCCTCTCCCTCTTTGGATACTTCCAAGCCCAGGCCATGCTTGGCCTTACCGGAGTGCCTCTGCCGCCCGTCGTCATGTCGTGGACTCAGGATTTCCAGTGGAGTATGGGCATTATTCACGTCTCCTTCATGCAGGACATCTTCACCTGGTACCAGCGCGCGACCGGCGGCGCGCCATCCACCATCTTTGACTCTCTGACGACAGTCTCGGTCCAAGTGGAGAAGCGTGCGGTAGAGTTCGGCATGGGCCTGGCGAAGCGCTCACTCGCCATGATGCCCCGGACCATTTCCGAACCCATGTCGGCCGTCATGAAGCGCGAGCTGATCAAGCGGGGCAACATCCAAACCAGCTCTGGCAGCTACATTGTCTACGGCATCCAGCGTGCCGCGTTCCGTGCCGGCATTGAGACGACCAACCTGTTCATGACTGGTCTCATCTTCTTCTGCCTCTTGGTCATCATCACCTGCGCCTCCGTGGCGGCCTTCAAGGGCATGCTCGAGCTGGGCGCGAAGAAGAAGTGGATTCCCGGCGACAAGTTCCTCGAGTTCCGCAACGGCTGGCTCACCGTCCTCAAGGGAATTCTGTTCCGCTTGACCCTGATCGGCTTCCCTCAGATGACCATCCTCTGCCTCTGGGAGTTCACTCAAAAAGACTCTGCCGCCGAGGTTGTGCTGGCCGTCTTCTTCTTGCTTGGTATGGCCATCACTCTCGGATGGGCCGCGTCCAAGGTCATCATGATCGCCCGCCGCTCCGTCATGATGCACCATAACCCCGCCTACATCCTGTACTCGGATCCCCAGGCGCTCAACAAGTGGGGCTTCCTGTACGTGCAGTTCCGCGCCTCCGCCTATTACTTCATTGTTCCGGTTCTGGGCTACGCCTTGGTCAAGGCCATGTTCGTTGCGTTCGCGCAGGGCAACGCCACCGTCCAGGCCGTCGGCTTCATCATCATCGAAGCCGCCGCTCTGATCGCCGCCAGCGTGCTGCGCCCGTGGATGGACAAGAAGACGAACTCGTTCAACATCGCCATCTGCGCCATGAACTTTGTCAACTCCATCTTCCTCCTGATCTTCACCGAGGTCTTCAACCAGCCGCCCCTCGTCACGGGTGTCGTCGGCCTCGTGCTCTGGATCGCCAACGCCGTCTTCGCCCTGATCCTGCTGCTCATGCTCATCGTGAGCACCATCTTCGTCTTCTTCCGCGAGAACCCCGACGGCCGGTACCAGATCATGGCCGACGACAGGACCTCGTTCATGAAGTCGCAGACGCACCTCACGCAGACCACCGAGCTGGACGCCCTTGCCGCCACCGCGCGCGGCGACAAGTCCGGCTTCAAGGGCGGCCTGGATCTCGACGATGATGCCGAGTCGATCACGTCGGACTCGATGCGTCACAAGACCGAGCACTTGGGCGTGCCCTCGGGGAACAACTCGGTGGCGGGCTTCAACCGGTCGGCCAGTCCTTCTTCCCCGGCGATGCCCCTGTTCCCTGCCGAGACGCCTCGGAGCCCCCCGCGGTACAACGATCGGCCGGCCAGCCCATTCAGTGCGCAGAACCGCCCGGCAAGTCCGTTTGGCCAAAACCGGCCCGCTAGCCCATTCGGCGCGTCAAACAACTCGCCGGCTTTCCGGGCCCAGAATAACTCGAGGTGAGCAAACCAATCTTCTAGCGTAAGGACTTCGCTAACTGTCTCAGCCCTTGGCAACGCGGTGCTGGTTACGACTAATGGATGTCGCCAAAGCGGCCATACCCGGCCTCGTGGTTGCATCTGACTATAATGATAAACGGGACACGGAGTTTTGCCTTTTTCGAGTTTGATATATACGGCCGCACGTTTCCGCATCCGGCTTAGGGAGCCTTGGGATATCAACGGCTTCTGTAGGGGACGTCCTCCCGAAGCAGATACCCGTGGCGTATTTGGCCCACAGCGCCGGTCCGTGTTGGATACACGACGGTCCTCAATCGACATCATCCCTTATATTCTTTCCCTTTTGTCGACTGATTAGCTGGGGGCATGAAAAGGCGTCGGGGTCGGGACCTGGGGTGGAATGGTCACTTTGTTTCCTTTTTTTGGGTATTGTCTTCTACACAGACATGCTGCGGGAAGAGGCGTGTATTGCTTGGGCGAGAGCTCGAGTCTTGATTTGCTTTCTTGACTTATCATACCATATCTACTTGAGCTGTATATATACGCACGGGTTAGCCCGAGGGGCCCTGTACAGCTGGGCTGGAAGACGGGCGTTGCGCTTGGGGTTGTTGGGTTTGAGATGGGGGTTTGTTTTTTGTGCTGGCCGGGACAGGATGGGATGCGTTGGTTGTAGTTAATTCAACCGAATTGGACATCTGCTGGCTTACTACGTGTTTAATTTGCTGTTACCGTGCTTGTTTGCGATGTTGGCCAGCCACCGACTCATACGGTCGAGTATTTACTCCTAGGAGGGATTTGTTCGCCCTTGAGAAGGCAGACCATCCTCGTTTTCTTATGTTCTCATTGCCCTCCTCTTCGCCCTTGAAGCGAGGGCGTATTAAGTTGTCTCATGTTTGCTCAAGCTCAGTGCGATATGGTAACATCAAAGTAATATTGAGTAGCACAGCTATTAAAACAAGCTAACTAGATTAGAGTGTGAAAGGAGCGTGGTCGATCAGGAAGCAAAGGCAATTCCCACAACTCCCCGTGGCGCTCCATACCTCGACTGGAATCCAGCTCCAACTCGGTCCCTTCATCTGGCGTTCATCGTCTCTCATACACCATTACACTTCAGCCGACGTCGACAAACTGTTAGCAGACGGTGGATATAGCGAATACGACCGGACAAAACGACTCGGTCCCGTCCTTGGAAGTGGGAAGGTCTGCACTCCATGTTGAACAAAAGCACCCAAGTAAACCGACACCGAAAGAAACAGAGATGAAATAGAAGCGAACAGAACAGAGAGAAGCGAACAGAGAAGCGAACATGAAAATCCAACCGTGACAAGCGACACAACCAAACTAAACCCCAACACCAACCCCCTCCCCGGCATCCTCCATCTTGACCGCCCGCCGCCCCCTCCTCCCCATCTTCCTCCCCATACCCATGCCCCTCCTCTCACCCTCACCTTCCCCTTCATACCCATCCCCTCTCACCCCAACCATATCCCCCCCATGCACACCACCCCCATCCCCACCCATCTCAACATCCCCCTCCATACCCACACCCCCCACACCCATAGAACTCACACCCCCCACCCCATTAACACCACCCACGCCCATGCCGCCACCCATCCCCAACTTGGACACGTCCCCCCCCGCGGCTTGCACCATCCGCGCCAGCCGCGCCTGGAACTCCCGCTGCCGCTCCGCCTCCTCGCGCTCTCTGCGTGCTTTGGTCTTGGAGCTGCCCGAGGGCGCCACGCCCGTCATGAGCAGGGTGCGGTCTTGCGGGGTGTAGTTTACGAAACCGCCGTCTGTGTTTTGCGGAGTGGAGGAGGGGGTTTTGGTGGTGGTGGTGGTGGTGGTGGTTGCTGGGGGGGGGCTGCCGGGGGTGTGGTTGTGGGTGGGATAAGGGTGTGGTTGGGGGTGGATGGGGTTATGGGGGTGGGGATGAGGATGGGGATGGTTGTGAGGGTGAGGGTGCGCGTGGGGATGGGACGCGGGGAAGGAGGTGGAGGTGAGGGAGACGGGCCTTGACGAGGGCGAGGTGTTGTTGTTATTGCCACTAGTACGGCGACGCGCGGGCGAGGCAGATGGATCAGCGGCGGCCGCCACGGCCAGGGTATGGTACTGGTGGTGCAGCGAGGACGACGACGACGACGTGCGCCGCCCCGTCCAGCTCTTGCGCTTGCGGATCGCCGTGCTCGGGTCGCCGCCGGCCGCCTGGCCTAGAGTCTGCATGGACGCGCTGCGCCGGTGCAGGCGGCCGTTGCCGTTGGGTCCCGGCGCGGGCCCGGCTGCCGCTGCGGGGATCTTGGGTGATGGCGACACCGACGCAATGCGGCTTGTGCTGGTGCTCCCGTTGCCGCCGCCGCCGCTGACTGTGCGCCCCTTGCGCGGGGACATGCCCGGGCCGTACTGGTGGTGACGGGCACCCGACGACGGGGCACGAGGCTTGGGCCGGCGGTGGTGGTCGGCCCGGGTAGGGCGGTGGTTGTCGCTGTGCGGGACTGTCGACGGGATGCCCCGCGGCTGGGGCATGTGCAGCATCAGGCCGTTGGGGTTGAAAGTGGCCGTGGTGGTGTCTTCGGTGCCCGGCGGGGCGGGGTACTCGAAGCTCTGCTGGTGCTGCAGCTGGATGGCGAGATTGAGGGAGGTATTACGAGCATTGGCGGCGGCGGCGTGGTATGACAGGGGGAGCGGGTCGGTGTCCATTGCGTCCGGCGACGGATCCCACCAGGTGTTGGCGTCTCCATTGCCAAAGTACGTGGCCGGCGCCGTCCAAAGCGTCTTGCCGTCTGTGGTCGTCATGGGTAGCTGCCAGCCATTCATGAGCGGCGTCGACATGGGCGTTTGGGGCATGGTGGTGCCGTTGAGCTGGAGCGGGGGTATGAACTGGCCGTTGAGCAAATCGTGGTTGAAGGGATCATCAAGAAAGCCGTTGACAAAACTGGCCTCCCTGCCGGCGACAGACCGTTGCGCCTCGTTGGGCATGCCGCTGGTGAGTGGCGGCGACGGCAGTTGGGACTTGGAAACTTGCAAGTTCTCTGGCCGCTGCCAACCAGACGACTTCGCCGGTTCCAACTGCGCAGTCGACATGACCGGGACCGAGGGCGAGGTCAACGGTTCCGGTTCCGACTTGACCTCCACCTTCTTGCCCTGTAGCGTCGCCGCCTTGTTGCGAATCTTGGTGCACAAGTTCCCCAGACGGCTAGCTTTGCGGGGGCTGGTCGCCTTGGAAGGGGGCGACGCGGGCTCGGACGCAGAAAACTGGGGGATTTGGATGCGCGGTGACCCCATCCTCAAGCCCTCGAGCTTCAGAAGCTCCGAGTCCGAGATGGAACCGCCCCCGGGGGCCTCGCCGAAGCTGCCGTAGGACATCCCGTCGGCTTCGGTCTCTGGGTTGCTAAAGGCCGTCATGTTTGTTGAGGCTCGATAGAGAGGGTGCAACTGCGGCCGTGGCCGGTAGATTCTCGCTGCTGAGCTCGAGCTAGCCGCGTTGTTGCTGTTGCTGTTGCTGCTGCTGCTGCCGTGGTTGATATTGACTGCCGACACATGTCCCTGAGTCCCAGGTCCCTGATGTCCTCCACCGGTGGGTGGGAGCATCTGGCCAAATGACAGGTGTGGCGAGTCGGAGAGACCAGAAACGCCGAACTGGCCGAAGCCGCCACCCCCTCCAGAGGCAGATTCCGCGTCGGAGTCGCCGAGCTCGACGTACTGATCAAAGAAATCCGTCGACCCCGCCTCGGCCGCGTCCTGCCAGCAGAAGCCGCCCTTCTCTTTGTTCGCCGAGGAGGGCAGCCCGCTCGTCGTAAAAGCCATACCCCGGACGCCAGCCATTGTTGGTGGACCACAAGCCGTTGTGATGGTGCGCTGCGGTGTTAGATTGTGTTGTTGGTGACAGCTCTTTTGAATTGCCGGGTATGTATGTGTGTGTTTTGTTGTTCCAAGCGGTCATGGCAGTCAAAGGGGGTACCGCGGGGGGTAGGTGAAGGGGTCGACGGGAAAGTCAACAATCCACTCAGCTTACCACAGCAACAGAAGATATGGGGAGAAAGGGGGGGAGGGGGGTATCCAAGACATTTGTAGACAGAGTCTCGTCGACGCAGGTACCCTGGCCCTGCCGAAGGAATGGAGGGTTGCCTCGAGACGATCTCGCATTCCAGACTCATCACGATCCTGATCCTGCAAGTCTAGCCAAACCTAACGTCTCCCAGCGGCCGGATCATCACAGGCCGAGTGCCGTGGTGACGTGGTGGGGACTTGGTTTGAGCTCACTAAGCCGACAAAGAAGCGCCCACATGCTTTGTTGGGTTTGATTCCCAGCGGGGGTGGCCGAGCGAAGTCCGTTGCAGGGGACAAAGATGGGTCGAGCACTGGAATGATGGGAGTCAGAAGGGTTGTCTCCCCTTAGCCCGGCTTTCTCCGGCACTTCTCCCCCGTTACTTGTCTCCCTGTGTTGGCGGGGATATGGACAAACATTGTGGAAAACAAGCACTCCCTAGTCGCGTGAGCTAATCCTGTAACAATCAGGTGATGGGGACAAGGTAGAGATGAAACTGACCGAGAGATGGGGGTTGAGGCGGAGCACCCTTCAATGCTCAATAAATAGAGGTGGGCTTGCCGTCGTGTTGTCCCAGTTATCCCTTGAAGAACCCCTGGCAAGCAAGCAAACACAGTTATATTCAGGGCAAGGCGGGGCGGCGGCGCGCGGGTCAGAGCAAAAAAAGAGCGGCGGGGAGCTGAGCCCTGCCGCCATGAATGAATGGCATGGATATCTTGAGCATCTGCTTTGTACATTGTCGCAGAGCCTCCTGACGATCTCTGACGTTGAAGATGAAAGGTACGTGGGTATGTACAGGTACAGAAATAAATGGCTTTGTGAAAATGACACCAGTTTGGTTCGCGATGGCCTGCGAAGCCCCCGCCAGTCTATGAGCGTCTCTCCCCGTGTATTCCCCGTGGTATCCAAAATTGCAAACGCCCCAAGACATGCAGTAGATATGCAATCCCGCACCACCGGCAGAGCAAAGGGCCGGTTCCCTGTGCGAACTTCTTTTTAAAACTTCCAAAATGGTTCCTCGAACCAGCTCGAAACTGCAAAGCTCGGGAGACGAAGAGGGGTATATAACATGTCGTTTCACACACAAAATAAAACAAAACAAAACAAAAATAAGATGACGTGTCCAACGTCAGCGCGGAAATTCGATGGGCGGTAGGGGTGGTGATTGCGCCAGCGACATGGCGGGCGAGGTAACGGCCGAAGTGTCGGCGCTCCCGCGAGTCTTGGCCCGCTTGCGCATTCTCGGGCGGCTGCGGATCACGTTGGCACAGCGCATGGCGACGTCGGCCGAGAGGCGGTATCGCAGGGCTACGCCGCCGACCGTGTACTTCCTGACGCCACCGGGACCGCTGGCGTACCGCAGCGGGATGGTGCTACCCTCGGCCACGGCGAGCAACTCGTCCCGAAAAGCGGACATGTCGCCCGTGTCGGTCTCGTCAATCTCTATGCTTGTGCCCTCAATGGCGCATTCGGGGTCGGCTTCAATGAATCCTGGGTCGGCTTCGATGGATCCCGGGTTGGCTAATTGCAACCCTAATCCCGGTAGAGATGGGGCCGGCACTGGCGTTGGTGTCGGTGTCGGCCGGGGCTCGCTGCGAACGTTGCACTGTGTCCCATCCGCAATCATGCCCTCCAAGCGCTGGTCGACCGGGCGGGTGGTGGGTCGGAGTTGGCCGCTTGCTTGCCGCCGCGGTCGCCTCACATCCAACAGCCGCCTGTCCTCCGGCTTCTCCGGCTTCTCCGGCTCCGCCGGCTCGGCATAGGCCTCGTCAACCTCGATGGGCTCGCCCATATCCAGCGTGGGAATGGCAAGCCATGATGGAATGGTGCGGTCCTCCGAAGGGGGCGGTGGGTGGAGCTGCGACTGGCGGTTGGCATCGTGAGCCGCCCAGGCCTGAAACCTACGCGACTCGGGGCTATCCACGCTTGCCGTCGCTGTGGGCAACAGACGAGTTGGCTGCTTCGTCTGCGGTTGGCGGCGCCTAGGGCGGCTTCGGTGCCGTTGCTGCAGGTCTTGCTTGCTTAGCTTGCGCGCCAGTCTCTCGACGGTGCGTCCCGGAGAGAGAATCCCATCTACGTCAGTTGGTGGTAGTGGAGAAAGGTTGGATATTTGTGGTGCATGTGGTACATGTGGTGTTTGAGAGTGGTGGTAACGGGAATAGCTACTGGGCCGGTATTCGCCTTGCTGTTGTTGGAGACCCCCGAGTTGCAGGTCCGGTGTGAGTGTTGGTGTTGGTGTTGGCTGTGCTTCTTCGTCTTTTGCGTTTTCTTCTGGAGGCACCTGCACCTGCATCTGCAGCCCGTCGATGCTCCCCTCCCATGTTGCAACGCCCGCCCGGGACCCATCGGCAGAGGGCGCGTCCATGGTGATGGATCGAAGGCGAGCCAGACCGACTGCGGCCGGTGACGCAGAGAGGCGGCGGATTGTGCGATGCCGCCGTAGTCGAAGGAGGTGAGTGGGAATGGGGAAACACAGTGATTAAGAAGGCATCGGTGCTCTGCTTCATGTGCTCTGCGCCTTGGCGGCCACGACAGGGCTCACTCGGCGCCGCCTCGAATGATGGTGTTTCGAGGACGCTGATTGTGATTTCGATCCTGATCTTAATGCTGTGAGTGTGTCCATGTAGGAAGTGGTAACTGTGCGCTGATGTGTCCTGGTTGTCCTGGCGTCGGGTGCCCTGGCGTGTCCTGTGTGTGTTGTCTGGTCGAGAGCCAATGCAATGCAAGGCACGCAAAGTCGAGGTCGGGTGAACCGTGGCAGCGGGTGCGGGAGATGGCAGGCATACCACACAAGACGGGGCGAGACGGGGAAAGTGGGAAGCGAATGGTGGGAACGTTGACGCTAATTCATCAATATCAGCCGCTAAAGTGCCGAAGAAGGGTCACAATCGGAGCCGACAACGGCAACTGGGCCGAGCGACCTGGGACAAGACGTGTCTGCAACAGAATGGATGGATGAATGGATCGAGAACTATCAAAAATTGTCGAAAATGGTAAAACCTTCAAAAATGGTTGCAAAAGAAAGGAGCTGCCCGTTGCCGCCTGCCTGCCTCGTGGAATTGATGAATCTGGAAGCAGAGCGTGACTGCCGAGCCTCCGAGCGTGCAGCATGCGAGCACAGCAGGAGACGCCCAGCTCGCACAAAAAGGAAGGAAGGAACCCCAGGGGGGGAAAGTGTGCCCAAATGCCAAACGGCCCTAGTCTCGGTCTAGCAAAGTGTTGTCTTGGTAAGCTCCGTGGCTCCCCGTCTGTGACCCGTCGTTCCCAGGCTCCTTCAGTTTTCTCTCCCTGTGCCCCCCGCCCAGGCGAGCTTGGCCACTGAACTGGGCGCCCGAGGTGTCTTTGGGAAGGATGTCGCCGGGCTCTGCGGTCAAACGAACCGGGAAGAACGTCCTCTGGGGTCTCTTGATTGGCTGCCAGCCCGGGGGGAGCGACTTTTTGGGTTACTCACACTGTGGGGCGTGTGGAACTCGTTTTGAGAGCTGCCTGTGGGCGACCCAAGCCATCGGAGAGTGAGGTGCGTGCACGCACAGGAACCCAGGGCGGAAAATGCCAAGGCGTGGTCGGCGGGTCAATTCCGCCCCAGTTGGCGCCTCCTGTGCCCTGATTGAGCAGGAGGTTCCACGTCTGGTGCCAGTGTCAGACAGCTCAACCTGGAAGCCGGGAAAGATGAAGAAAAAGGCCTTGAGGACTGACTGCCCAAATGGAGAAACGATCTCAGTCAGTCTCTCCGAGATCGAGAGACAGTGCCCGCTGAGCCTTATCACAACAACCCCTAGTTAGTCCGCGCCCCAGCTTTGGCTTTGTTTGGCGTTGCCCGCATTTGTCGATGCCCAGATTCGCCAGAACAGTGCCAGGTCCCAAGCGAACCCGGTGCCGACGCTTTGGGAATGGGGGGGGCCACTGGCGGGTGCAGAGGAAGATCCAGTGGGGTTACACGGTGTTGTGGGGCTGTGACCGTGGCTTGGAGCTCGACCAATGGAAGGTCGGCCCGAGATTGGGCGCATGACAGTGCCTGCTCACTTGTTCGAGTCCCGGGGCCGTGGTTCCCATCTTTCATCAACGGATCTTCTTCTTCCCAATCTCTCGGCAGGCAATCCGACGGCTCAAATCAAAAGCGGGCACCAACCCCAGCGACTCGCCAGTGCCCGCCCAAAAGTTTAGCGCCACTGGGCAGTCCCAACCGTGCCAACTCGACCCCGACATGGCGGAGATTGCACCCGGGGCCCCTTTTTTCTTTGTTCAGATCAGAAGATCTGGTGAGTTTGTTGTGAGTCTGGGCCGATCATTCGTAACGGTTCCACATTACCACATCCGGGCAACGTATCCAGCGCCATCTGCAGCGCCATCTCTCCTCCCCTCGCCCCCACAAATTCATCAAATAACTTCCGCACCTCCAAGTTGAGTTAACCAGTTAACGATTTGATTCCGGGCTACGGAATATTCGTACATTGTTACCACCAGACCGCCCGACCAAGCCGCCCTGCGCCATTATTTCTGCACAAACACTGCATCGAATCGTGGCCATGCGCCGTTGGCTTGTCGCAATGGGGGCTTTGCCTGCATACTGTGTAGTGTATGGAGTGTAGTCTATGTTACATACACACACCAGACTGCCGGGCCTTTTGTTTCATGCCCAAAAATAAGACCAAGAATAAGACCGGCCAAGGTGCCGACCGTTGCCTTATCAAGTATCCGCCGAGAGTACAACCTTGGGCCGTCTCTCGGAAGCGCTGAATGCTACCAAAGCCGACGAAGAACCCGGGCTGCTGAACGAAGCTGAAACGCACCGTGCCGTAGTTATCACGCAAAACCCCGGGCAGTGCCGTTGCTGGGGCCGAGATCCGGGCCGCAAAGGTCCCGCTTCCGGCCCCAATGGGGGCCCCTCTCGCCCGCCGTGTGATTCGTGTAACAACAGCCCATCGGAGTTAAGAGGGCGGCCGTTATTATCCATGCCCTCCTGCGCGGCCGTGGCGGTCCCGCGCAGAGTTACTCTGTGTGGGTGTGGGTGTGCATATCGGGAATGCGCTCTTCGTGGCGTTCGGCCCGAGGTTGCTGCCGATGACGGGGCCTATCGAGAGAGGTGGTGTTGAACAGCTTTTGAGTCACCTCCCTTCCCCTCCATCAGCGCGCATGCGAAAGTCGTCGGGATGCTACGATGTTGGAGAGTCGAGAACCAGTTAAATCTTGCTCATCATCACGAATCTGACATACCAGACACCCCCTCTGCGCGATCATTGATGGCCGATTAGCTAAGGGTGGGTGGCATCTACGAAGCCGACAGACTCAATCAAAAGAGCGCAAGGGTGAATACCATATAACTAGAGATACTGTTAATCATACACCAGTCCAGAGGAGTCAGCATAAACAATAGACAGTATCCACGACCACGGCAGATACAAAAGACAGCGGCCCGTCTCGCGGCTAGGGCTGTCTGTACCTACACCGTAGTGAAAGCATCACCCTCCCGCGATTCCCGCCCCCATGGCGGCGGACACGCGGCCGGCGGTCACACTTCCCGGCCGGCGTCAAGGCGGTGTGCCCAGGACCTCGCCGGGACGCTTAAACACCTATCGTCTTGTATCCCATCCAGACAACATATCCGGAACTTGCCGTGAGGGTGGCGGGTGTCTCGGGCGCATTCGACACAGTACGCGAAAAAAGCAGCCCTGAAGGATGTGCCGGCCGCGGGTTCGGTATTTGGGGCGAACCTTGACGCCTCACGCGGGGAAATGGCGGTGGACTGGTCTGGACCGTGGGTTACCTGCCAGCCGGCCCCCGTGATGGGGAGAGCATCTGGTACGTGGTCGCAGTCACCCGGTGGGAGGGTTGACTACCTAGAGACGTGACTGAGCAGAAGAGGGTGGTCAGGAGTGGGTTATTCGCATAACACGCTATCCTCTAGCAATAGCAATAGCAATAGCAATAGCCCCCCAGCCCAGAACCATCCCCCCTTTTCCTTTCCCTCCAACATTCGTCCGTCGCCCTCGTCCTACAGCTGGCAAGCGTACGACTCGCAGCCCTTCTCCCACACGGTCGCCGTCTCGGTCGCGATCGTGATTTCCACCGTCGTGAACGTCGTCGGCCGGGTGACGGTGGTGGCGTAGTGCGTCGACCCGGCCTTGGTGTCGGTGTGCGTGACGGTGGCGAAGTGCACGTTGGTGACGGTGCTCACGTGCCCGACCTCGCTCGTCCACGTCGTGTCGTAGCTAGTGTGGGTGGGTTGTGAAGGTTAGTACCTCGCTTTCTTTTTCTTTTTTTATACGGGTAGTGCTTTGTGTACGGCCTTGGTGGCCCGTTCTGGAGTTCAGAAGAAGGAAAGGGGGGGTCTAATACGTACAAGAGAGGCATGGTATTGGTGACGTGCGTCGTGCTGGGGATGGTGTGCGTCACCGTCGTCACCTGGCAGACCGACGTCGGCGCATAGCCGGGGGACGTGAGCGTCTCGGTGACGGTGTACCACGTAGCCGTGAGAGTCTCGTAGGCTACCGTGGGGGTCAAGGTGATGGCTGTGGGCAGGATATTAGCGACTTCGGACAAGGACGGCGCTTGTGGAACACGGGAAGGGAGTAGGGCGCGGGGTGTAGCTCACCCGGGAGTGTCGTGACCGCCGGAGAGAAGACGGTGGTCCTGGTGTTGATGGTGCGAGTCTCCTCCTCAGTCTTGGTGGAAGTGACGGAGCCGAGAGATGACACGCCGTTCGTCACGGTGGTCGTGGCAAGCCATGTCGTCGAGTAAGACCACGAGAGCCAGCGAGAGGTCGTCGGGCACGCGGCTCGTGGGGCAAGGGCGGCGGGTACTTCAATGGCGGGTGCGGCCACGACCGTCACGGCCAGCAGAGCCGGGATGGCGAGGAGGGAGGAAAGCTTGGGCAGCATTTTGAATATCACGACGTGGTGCGGCGAGGGAGGGAGACGAGACGTGGAGACGGCAGCATCAAGGCTGTCCGGTGACAACGGGCGAGCGTTGCACTTTTATAGCTTAAGATTACCTGGGCAACGGTGAATTGTTGAGTGTAGGCATGGGATGGAATCAAGCAAGCCCGAGTCTTCTTGAGAGTCTAGGCTCATTGCTCCCGCTGACCAATGTTCTATGTATGTATTTCTCTATTCCATCACGCGGGGTAGTGTATGTATGGTCGGCGGGGGTTGACTGCCGCTGGTGGTGGTGACTGTGCCGCAACCGTTTACATCTTACCGCGGTAGGATGGACGGGGTAATCTCCACCGAACATTCGGGACCGAGATGGAGCGGATGAGGATGCTGAGGCAGGAATTTATCAGCTAGTAGGTGACATTTCACGATCCCGGTGGAACTTAGGGTGGTAGAAGGATCGGGATTTTAATGCAGGGAAGTGAGTCCGGTCGAGCTTATTATGGCAAGTTTGGGGGACAAAGTGCGAAAGTGCGTACAGGCAGCGAGCAAGAATGCCAAAATACCACTTGCAGCCCGCGTCCCAAAAGGGGATTCGGACCCCGACTGCCTCCGCCTCCGTCTTCGCTCCGAATACCAACATCCGTGGACTCCGAGTCCAAGTCCAATTGTACTGATGAATCTCGAATTCGGCTTGGTCTCACATCGCTCATCGGGTTTCTTGAATACATTTTACGTACCTACACTACTCAACAGTCACCGATTCTCCTCCCTTACTTATCCCTTTTCGACAAAGTAAACACACCAGCATGGGACGCCTTGCATTTATTCAGGAAGTCGAGTCTGCAAACCATTTGTGCTCCAGTAGCCTGGCAGCCGTCGGTCTGTCTCTGTGATCTAATTTCATCAAGTCCCAGATGAAATCGTGATCTTGGTTTCTGATCTCTGTGGACGATGCACGTTTAAAGAGGCCCCGGTCCTTACCCTCCACGGTGATATTCGTGAGTGCTTCGAGCCGCACGTCGTCGATACCAGGAAGTGTCAAGTACGAAGGCGGGAACGGTCCGAAGTACTTGTGGAAATTTCTAACGATCCCGTCCACGTACATTTCATCATCCGGTTTACAGGCCGGCGAGAAGATGCTGAAGTTGTAGCCGTAGATGAGCGAGATCAGCTACGGGTACGATGGGGACGGTCAGTGATTATACCCCGTACAAGCTGATGACATGAGACGATAATGGGAACCTACCGTTGCCCCAAACGACCAGATATCATGCGCTGTGGTAAAGGGCATCATCAAGGTCGCCTCTGGACTACGGAACACAGGAGTGCCACGGGGGTAGCCACTAGTCGCTTCGACACTGTCGGTCGGGATGGCATCCCCTAGATCCGCGAGACAAACATCCTTGAAGCGCATATCGCCGTCCTGACACAAATTGACGAGGATATTTGCTGGCTTCACATCTGGTCAGAGGTCTCGGCGTTAGTCACAGTTCCCGGGCGGTTAGTAAATGAAGTAGGAAGACATGCCTGTACATATGTATCCAGTCTCATGCATCACGCGCAAGGCCTGCAGGACACGGGAACCGACGCACCTGGCCTCTCGCGGCGAGAGGCCCTTCTCCTTTGCGATCTCTCCAACATGGCAATCGTAGTGTTTCAGAACGATTGCGGCGCACTCATCGGGTCTCGGTTCTTGGATCTCATCAATCATGGGTCGGAGGGAAGAGTTCTCCTGGAAACGGCGCAGGAGCGTTCGTTCCGTATCGACGCGTTTTGGAACATCCCGTTTTATAACGACAACTTGACTCGTCGCGTCGCTGAAATTGCGGTGAAACAGACTTCGTGAGAACATGGATGACTACCGGACTACATGAGCTTACGTTGCCAGCCATGTCGTCGGATATAATCGTTCCGTGATAGTGTAAATGCCCAACCTGCCTTTTAGGCACTGGCCGATGTTAAAGGCCGAGGATGCCATGGCGAGCGATGCTTAGTGGTGAAGTCACCGTGTAGAGGCTGTGGTGTTGACCTTTCGTGAGTCCAAAAATGGGGGCGGAAAACGGAAGTTCCCATGTTCGGCAGTTAAGGAAACGCCGAGACGGTAACTTTGTGATGAAGTTTGCTCGACCGGGGGGACCTAACGCTCGGACAACAGAGGTGCAGTGCAGTGCAGTGCAGTGCAGCGCAGCAGACCATTCCATACCTCAAGGACCAGGGAACTTTCATACCAGGTTGAGGTGCAGTGCCTGAGAGTGCTTCTCAAAAACAGCCTGCAGTTGCTGCTGGCTGCCCGCTGTTGGCTGTTCAGGGGGAAGAAATTCCATGCAGGGCCCCACACGTCGTTGCTTGGCAAATGGAATCATCAAAGCTTAAACTCTTGCAGTTTTGACGACACTTCCATGTGGATCGCCAGCTCGTTACCTACACAGTAGGTTGTTAATGAAGCAACAATACCCAAAGCGGAAACTCGACGATGTCTCTCCAAAGAGCAGGGCCCGTAGCGGCCAATCTGCGTACCATACTCGTCAAGGTGTCACCATCGCCAGCAACCCTTTCCGAGCGGCGTGCTGTTCTCGGGGCACTGAAGAGGTACGCCGAAGTCGAGGTCTTCAAGAAGCTCCAGGTACGTCACGCTCCCAATCCACCCTTTCTAAACTCTCCAATGCAAAACTAACCCTATCTCTCTATCTCCACAGGACTCATCCCACTTCATCTCCATCGTCGCCCAGCCCCAGATGGCCCACAGCCTAATCGCCAAATCCCCCCTCCAATTCGACGTCGCCGCCCCCCAAAACCACCACACCACACCCATCACCACCACTCCCACATCAACCCCACCCTCCCCCCAAACCAAAACCTTCCTCGTCAAAATCGCCTCCAAGCCCGACCACAACCACAAAACCCACATCCGCGAGGCCCTCACCTACGGGCGGTGGCCCGAGCAGGGCCAGGCCCACGCGCAAGCGCTCTTCCTCTCCGACTCGCTGCCGCGCGCCGCGCTGGCCGACACGGTCCCCGCCGGGCTGGCGCGCGCGGGGCTGGCGGACTGGGAGAGCGCGGGCCAGCTCGCGGCCGGGGGTGGGGATGGGGAGGACGGCGGGGTCGCGACGTGGTTGGTGGGGGGCGCGGATTTTGTGGCGGCGAGGCGGGCGCGGCGGGAGAGGGTTAGGTCGGGGTTTGTGAGTTTGGTTGGGTTGTTTGAGGGGAGGGGAGGTGGGGGGGGATTAGGAGAGAGGGTGGGGGGGGGGGATAAGAGAGAAGGTAAGAGAGGGGATAAGAGAGAGGGGGGGTGTCGTTGAGAGATGGGGTGATGCGCCGCGGCATAGTCATGCTCGGTTCGGTGCGACTGGGTATTGACTAAACGCCTCTGCTCTGCGGTTGGGACTGGCAGCGGGAGTTGGAATCGACTGGGAGTCTCCCCGATATCGCCGAGGCATACACGCAGCCTGCGCCACGGCAGATCTTCACGCGTCGACTCCTCGAGGCCTTGCCGCGCCCGCTGCGGTCGTCGGTAACTATGGTGGTTTACGCAAACAACCCGCTGCTTACCCAACGACAGTCAGTCTACTCGTGCCCGCGTGGGCATTCAATTGCCACGCTGCCGCCCTATTGGATGGACTCTGGGCGAGCACCGTGGCTGTGCTTGAGTCTGCAGAGATGTGCCCTATCTCAGCCGCGGGACGCGTGGCAGCCACAACTCTTTGCTCTCGGTCTACGGTCTGTGGTCGCAACTCCCATAACGCCCCGAGGTCACCCATCTGATGGGGTTGTTATGGTCTCAGGAACTATGATTACCCGAAGGCGGGTTGTCGCAATGTGTGTGAGGCCGCCAGCATGGGACAACGGAATTGTCTCAGATGCATCGGGTCCCGACTCTGGACTTAATCCACATTCACGCAGCTAATGCACGTGTTTGAAGCTGAAGATCAACCTCTGACCAGGGGACAGCTATCCGGACGATGGTCATGCTCGAATCACGACTTCCCTGGACCTGAGATTACCCAACGAGCGAGACCTTTACACCAGAACTTTACTACAAAAAGGTAGAACTAGCGACCGATCTCGCCAATCGCTCTGACAGTCCGAGACTTGGCTGAAGGAGGCGGTGACGGCGCTGCGACAACGTGATGCGGTGGCCGAACAGCCGAAAATCACACGCGAGAAACAGGGCACGGCTGAGCCCGAGAGAACTCCTCGGACCCCTGCTTCGGCATGCCAAGCCCCTGATGCGACCTGGGATAGCTGGAGAGCCACCAATACGTCATAGCCACCAATCACTCGACCAGCCGAAAAAAGAAAACAAGCTCCCGAAGCCTCACTGTGGTTGGTCCACCTGTCCACGCAGCATGGGTTTCTTTGGTGCAGTGCCACTTGAAGTGCCATCACAAGCGTGAAGCTTGAGTGCGAGAGTGCCCAGCAGCCCTGGTGGATCGGCATCGTACCACCCACTAACACCCTAAGCTCGGAGAAAGTCCCGATGACGTTGCTCGCTCTTGTTGCTGCGACGCCATTACGACAGAAAGCTGGGCAAGCAACCCTGGGTATTGGATCATGGACCTGTTTGTGTGTTCGTCCCATCTGAAACGTAGAACCTCTTATATGTCGTCGTCTGTCCCTCCTCTCCGGTCTGCTGTCCCACAAGCCACGTTTCTGTGCTCTCAACTCCCAACGCTCATCATCCTCGAACTCGTGCTTCCCGCCCTCGAACTATCCCGTCCTGCCACTTAAGACATCCTCGCATCCACCTTGGTTGGCATCCCAACCAGAACACCGCAACCATGGCAAGATCAACGGGCTTCTTCCACCACATCGGCACCTTTCTCCTCTTCGCCGCCACCATCCTACTCATCGTAACATGCATCTCGGCCCCCGTGGTCCACAACCTGTCCCTACTCAGGGTCGACCTAGGCGGTGACAATGGCCGCGGCGAGTCCATCACTTTGGGCACTTTTGGCTATTGCCTGAACCGCCCTGAAGCAGAGTGAGTTAACATTCCCCCGCCACCCAAGTCTGTTACCACCACCCGACAGCGACTGACTCCGGTTATAGGGATTCCTGCTCCCAGTCCAGCGTCGGCTACTCCCCCGCCGCGGTCATGGCCTCGGAGGACGGCACCGAGTTCTCCGACTACGCGGAGCGCACGACGCGGGCGCTGACCAGGGCCATGATCCTGCACCCGATCGCGTGCGGCCTCAACTTCATCGCCTTCCTGCTCGCCCTGGGCGCCGGCATGATCGGCTCCTTCCTGGCCTCCATGGTCGCCCTGCTGGCCTTCCTGACCACCGCCGTCGCCTGCATCATCGACTTTGTCATGTTCAGCATCGTCAGGACCAACATCAACGACCGCGGCGCGGCTACCGGTACCGGGGCGTACTATGGCGCCGCCGCCTGGACTATTCTTGTTTCCGCTATCTGCTCCCTGATCGGCGCTGTTGTCGTCTTCTTCACCTGCTGCTCCGCCCGCCTGCACCGCCGCCGGGGGACTACCCACAAGACCGAGTACGCGTCGCCCCCGAGGAGGGGGCGCTTTTGGTAGATGCTTGACTAGACATCTGTCTTTTTGAGCGTGGACTGGTGGGTGACGATATTGGGATTGGAGGGGGGTAATGTTTGGTGATGTGTGTTGAGCGATGATACCACTGTTGTTATACTATGAGAGTAGGTTCCGGGGAACCAGGGAGTTGGTCAGCTTTGGTGGGAGGAGAGGTTTCATGTGTTTACAGATACCACGACGTTATTGTGTTTTTCCGTTTTGTATACAAGTACCTGCTACGACGACTGTCATTATGAATACCAACAATCATAACCAATTTCCGTGTTATTAATAATTAGCGCTTGCTGTTTCTGGTGAGATGAACTGATTGGGAGGCTGGTTTCATCCTCCACTTTTCCTCCTCAACCTTGAACTCAACCTCGACTTTGCATCTCCGGTCATCACTCACCAAAATCATCCTTCGCAACAAAACCATCATCTTATTTTATGCACAGTGATTCAGATGCGAAAAGAAATTAAATAAAATGCAGTATGCCTTCATTTCGGAGCTGGCCCGGCGCAACCGGTACAACCTCCGCACGCTCCGGGAGTCACCCGCCGCCGAGATCTCGGGCGCTCTCGGCGATCTCGGCACTCTGCTCCCGCTCATGATTGCTCTCGCCCTGCAAGGCTCTATCAACCTCCCGGCGACCTTAGTCTTTTCGGGATTGTTTAATATTTTCACCGGCGCCATCTTCGGTATTCCGCTCCCGGTACAGCCTATGAAGGTACCCTCCCTCCCTCTCTCCTCCCTGACTCACCCCATCCCGCATCACTCATAGCTCACCACATCGTGTCCTATCCACAGGCAATAGCCGCTTCCGCACTCTCCACGCCCCTCCCCCTCCGAACAACAACCGCAGCGGGCGCACTCGTTTCCCTAGCCGTCTTCATCCTTAGCACAACCGGCGCTCTCCGCCTACTCACCCGCCACCTCCCCGTCCCCATCATCAAAGGAATCCAGCTCGGCGCGGGCCTCCGCCTAGTGACATCCGGCGCGGGCCTGATCCTCCCACTCTCCTGGCTGACCCCAGCACTCGACAGCCGGCTCTCCACAGCCGTCTTCTTCCTCGCGCTCTTCCTCACCCAGCGCGCCCCCCGCTTCCCCTACGCCCTGCTGCTCTTCCTCCTCGGCCTGCTCACCACCCTCCTTCTCCTCCCCACAACCTTCCCAAACACCAACCACTACTCCTCCCCCCTACTACCCATAATAACACCCCCCGATTTCACCGCCCCCTCCGCCTGGAGCGCCGCCCTCGCCCAGCTCCCGCTCACCACCCTCAACTCCATCATCGCCGTCTCCGCCCTGGCCGCCTCCCTCTTCCCACCCAACCTCCCCACCCCCATTCCCACCCCCCTCACCTCCACCTCCGCCACCCCCTTAGTTCCCCCCTTAGTTCCCCCCTCCCCACCCAGCACCACATCCCTCAGCATCTCCATCACAACAATGAACCTAGCATCCTGCTATTTCGGCGCCATGCCCGTCTGCCACGGCGCCGGCGGCCTCGCCGCCCAAGCCCGCTTCGGCGCGCGCAGCGGCGCCAGCGTCGTGGTACTCGGCCTGGCCAAGGTGCTGGTGGGCGTGCTGGCCGTGTCGGGGGGCCGGGCGGGGGTGATGCGGGTGCTGGGGGGGTTTCCGCGCGGGGTGTTGGGGGTGATGGTTGTGGCGGCCGGGTTGGAGTTGGGGAAGGTTGGTGGGGGGGTTGATGATCATGTTGAATTGTTGGAGGGGGGGAAGGTGGGGAGGGAGGAGAGGTGGATGGTCATGATGGTTACGGCGGCGGGGACGTTGGCGTTTAGGAATGATGGGGTGGGGTTTTTGGCGGGGTGTTGTTGCCATGGGGCGTATGTGCTCGCGGATTGGGTTGAGAGGAGGAGGGGGGGAGGTTGGGGGTTGGGGGAGAGGAGGCCGTTGTTGAGGTGATAGATACGACGAGAGAGGTGGTTGAGAGGTGGGGGTTGAAAGGAATAATAATGGTATGGTGAATAGAAGTGCTACCTAGATCTGACCTGAACCGTATCCCCGATATGCCAAAGTACCTAAAAAAACTACCTCCGTCTCAAACTGCAAACTAATAATGATCTGTGGGGTATCTCCCTCCTCTCACCCCCTAAACAACACTCCCCGGTACATAAGGTTTCTTTGTACGTGCCCTGCTCCAGCTCCCCCAAAAGCCACCCTTCTTTTTCTTCTCTTTCCTCCCTTTCCTCTCCTTTCGCTCCATCTTCTCCCTCTTCCTCCGTGCCCTTTTCTCTGCCCTCGTCTCCTTCTCATTCCCGCCCGTCACTGCCTCCTCGTGGTCGCTCCGCATGCGCTGCAACAGCCAGTAGTTGTACACAAAGAACAAGATGATGCCCATGGCCAGGATGATAGCCTCAACGACCGCCGTGGTGACAGCCTGCGGGCCCCACTCTCCCGCCTGCTGCGTATACACACTCGTGATGGTGGCGATCAGACCAGCGAGGGCGTTCAGGATGAGGGGCAGGTACAGCTTGTTGAGCAGCCAGACGTAGTTGCGGCGCCAGCGCAGGGCCAGCCAGGCGGACCCGAAGGCGCCCGCGATGATGCACACGAAGCCGATGACCAGGGCGGCCGTGTTGGCGGGGGTGAGGGAGAGCTTGGCGCCGGCGTTGGCGCCCGTGCCGGTGCCGGTGCCGCCCGGAGCCGCCACGGGCAGCTGCACCGTCTCGCCCTCCTGCTTGCGCTGGCTGCTGGTGAAGGAGCCCGGGATGATGACGAAGCCCGCGAGCAGGATCCACACGAAGAAGGACACGAGGATGTTGTGCATGCGCGGGATCCGGTCCAGCGACAGGAGCATGTTCATGTACGGTGACTCGGCCTGGCCGGACTCGTTGCCGCTGCCGTAATACCCACCGCCGCCGGGCGCGCCCTTTTCCCGCGGGTCCGACGTCTGGCGACCCGTCTTGGAAAAGGCCGTGTTTTGCCGCTGCGTGGGGTTCAGTGGCCGCGTGCTGGTGGCCGTGGACGAGCTGGCCACCGAGTCGTTGGAGACGTTGGAGTCCAAAGAGTTGGAGTGGCCATGGCTGGGCCCTGCGTACGGGGCGCCTGGCCGAGAGCCCGAGAACCCGGGCGGGCTGGTCACCCGAGGGGGAGGGCCCGATGGCGGCGCCTGTTTGGTCTTGCTAGAAGCCGGTAGAGGCGCAAGGTTGGATGTAGCCTGTGTCCGTGGTGGGGGGCTCCTCACGCTGGGTCTGTAGATGGATGGGTTGGCCTTTGAGGACTGGTTCCCCGGCAGCGGCGGCAAGTTCAGAGGCGGCGAACGCATGTGGCTCGTCGAGGCCTCGCGACGCGGCTGAAGTGGGGGGTTCGGAGGTGATGATCCGAGAGGATTCATCGACGTCGTGTTCGCTGCCTGGGGCTGAGGACTCGGGCGGAACGGCCTGAAGGGGTTGGCGGATGTTTTGTCCTTCGGTTGCGGAGACGTTTTCGGCACCAGCAGGTTTGTGATCGGATCGAACTGCGGCGCGTTTGTCTGTGACGGCCGCGGAGGCGACCCCAACGGCTTCCGAGCAATCGCGTCGGCGGGTCCGGTCCGGGAAGGGATAGTTGTGAGTGCCGGGCCTGGACGAAGCTGGTCTGGAACTCCTGCTTTCGATGGATCAACGGGAGCGAGTGGCGCAACCTTCCCACTCTCTTTTGGGTTGTGGTATTTCGATGAATCGAGATGAGCGAGCGGTGCGCCTTTCCCACTCAGACTTGGCTCTTTTGGATTGTATTTCGATGAATTGAGAGGAGCGGGCGGTACGTCTTTCCTATTCACACCCGACTCCTTTGGGTTCTGCTTTGATGGATCCAAAGGAGTGGGTGGCACCCCTTTCCCATTCGCACTCGTCTCTGTTGGGTTCTGTCTTGATGGATCAAAAGGAGTGAATGGCGGTCCTTTCCCATTCGTGCTCTGCTCTTTTGGTTTGTGTTTCGATGGATCAAAAGGAGTGAATGGCCCGCGTTTCCCACTCGTACTTGGCTCTTTTGTATCGAGTTTCAATGGCTCCAGTGTGGATGGCGCCCCTTTCCCATTTGCACCCGGCTCTTTTGGGTTCTGTGTCGGTATTGCTGGCGCGGCGGACGCCGGAGTCGCATTCTTGGACTTGGAAGTTAGGTTGTCGACGCGCAGGGGCGGCAGCGGCCCTTTCCCATTCGCATTCGGATCTTTGGGGTTATGTACAGGTGCTGCCGGTATGGTAGACGCTGCATTCGCATTCTGCTCTGGTTTGGGAACCTGATTTCCCACACGCAGGGGCGGCGGTGCGTCTTCCCCTTTCGTGTTGCTAACTCCGGCGTTCTTGCGCGGTGATTTCGACGGAATAGGCACGGGACCAGAAGGGGCCGGGCCGGGTTGTTCAGGGAGCGGGCTTGGTTTCTGCCCCAGGCGAGCTGCCCCAGGACGTAACCCATCCGGGACAGGCTGTTCAGGGCGGGATGAAGAGGTGGCGGAGGGACCAGAGCGAGTCGTGTCTGGAACGGGCGGCACCGTCCCTTTCGGTCCCGGGCGTAGTGACTCGGGAATGGGTGGTTGTCGGGAAGCGGCAGGGCCTGTTTGGGCAAGGGGAGCGGGCACGGGTACGGGGCCCGATGGACCAGTCCGCAGCGGCTTTGGGGCTTGCGGCTCCGGGAGATGCGGCGCGTCCTTCTTGTCTTTGGGGCCCGCCGACCTTGGAAAGGAAAAGCTGGGCATGGCTTGTTCTGGTTGGGTTTTGGTGAAGAGTGGCGGTGGCGCTTTGGCGGTATTCTTCGCATGTGGTGCAATGATGGGAATTTCCCCGCCCATGCTCTCTGGGATAGGGACTGGGCCACTGGGGCCTGCTGATCTTGGAAGAGAAAAGCTGGGAGCGGCTTTTCCTGGCTGCGTCTTGGTGTTTAGGGGCGGTGGCGCTTTATCGGTACTTTTCCCCTGGCGAGTGTTCAGATCTTGGGGCAGGAGGATGTGTATCTCTTCTTCTAGGCTCTCCGGGCCAGGGGCAGGGCCTTTGGAGTGGGCGTTTAGCTTCTTCTCGGAAGGCAAACCCCTTAGAGGCGGTGGTTGTGCGTGGGACGTATCTAGACGAGCGCCACCCTTTGGTGGTTGGGTCGCCCCAGATAAGGGAGGCACCTCTGCTTCCGGTAGGCGCTGCTTCTTCCCGGACGGCGGTGCTGTGTCAGTAGGAGCATTGGGCTTTCGTGGTAAAGGCCATGTTGAGTCTGCGGGTGGTTGACCCTTTGCTGGCGCCGGTCCAGTGCCTCCAGTGGCCCCAGGCGCACCACGCTTGGGCAGTCCCCCAGGGGGTATCGCCGAAGAGCTCATAGCGGATAGACTCGCTGCTCGTTGGGGTTCAAGAGGACACCACGGTTCAAGAATTTGGGGCTCACGAGCAAGCGTGAGTAGGTTATATTAATCTCGACCAGTCGATCCGGCGAGATAATGGAAGAGGTTATGGTGGGTTGGACAAAACAAAGTGGCCAAGCGAAGAGAGGGCTCAGAGCCTCAGCCTCGGAAAAGGCGCGCTTGGCTGGATATATTCCAACTGGACAAAATTAGAAGATACATTTTCGTCGAAACAAACGGCGGCCCAGGATGCGGGCATTCCGCTGTTTTACAAAGTTGTGGCCACAGCCCGGCCGGAAACAAGCCCTTCCAAGGCAGTCAAGGGGGCAGCAGACAAAAGATTGAGCCACTCAGCTTCAACACCGAGGGGTTGGAACCGTAAAGGCTCGAGGGAACAAGCATTTTGGCACGGCATTGGCAATGGCTCATGGCGTAAGTAGGTTCCGGGAGGTGGCCGGTGTGCAGTTGTTGGCCGGCTCCGAAACATGCAGAAGAGTGCGCTCGAGGGCGGCACGGAGGGCAACAGTCAGCCCTGAGGCCGGTTTCTTGGACCAGCCGGGTCGGGGCCCGGCCAGCGCAGCCCGGCTCTGAAACTCGGACTGCCAAGGATGGTAACACACCCGTTTCCGTTGGAGAATAAGATCAAGAGTCCGCCAGTAAGTAGTCCGGTTACAAATGACTGCAGTCGGTGTTGTGCTCGTATCGATGATTCAAACTGAATGAGGTCCGAAAATAATGGAGTCGATTTCTTTTGTATCCCAGGCTGCTGCAGTTGTCATCATACCTATTCGTATTGCATTCGCCTTATGGATTGGATTGTAAGAGTGTAAGACTCAGCAAATTGATTATTGGTGTGTAACACCGATAATTTTTGTGGTGGTTGGTTTGTGCTGTGCCAGTGCTGAGGTTGTTGGAAACTGCTCCTCATCAGTTCCTTATCCCGCCATGGAAGGAACGAAGCCGGAGCAGTGCAGCTTGGCCGGCACATGCGAACTGGCTGCCAGTCGCGAAGGAAGGAGCCATGAACCGACGACTCAAACCTGTGAATCCACAGCAAAAGCAGCCAGCCAACAGGAGCTGGGAACACTGGGGAAGCGGGGCTCACGGAGCTTTACAGCCAATTGCCGACCAGATATCCAGACGTCGGTCAAAATTTGGTTACTGCGCGACCAATAGGTTTGCCAGGCGAAGAAGGCCAGGCGCATTCCGGCACCCGATTCGATTTGAGCGAGACTCTCTGCCGTGAGCTTTTGGCTTTGGGAAGTTTAGAAACCGACAAGCCCGGGCTGCTTTTCCTTTACCGCAACCGCACCGCATTCGCGAGGCCCTGCACTGGCTGCCGCAGTTTGACGAAGGAGCTTGTCTTAAATCACAAGCGATGACTTCGTCAGTTCTGGACGGCGCCGGCTGTGAATCGCCGGCGCCTCCTGCCTTTTCGCCACTCACAGACCCTGCCGATCCAGGCAATCGCGAACCTTCAGTGGGTGTACCCATCACCACTGAAGCCGCACTTGACGATGCAGGTTCCTCACAGCGTCATGATAATGGCATCACTGCCACTGCCAATGGGCCCGACTCGCATCTCCCCTCCACAACCCGCCTCGCTCAGAATTCGCACTCCCACTCCCACTCCCACTCGCGCCCGCAAGCAGAACCAGCGACACCGACAACCCCAGCGACCCCGGCGCCGCGGCCGCACCTCGACACCACCATGATGAACAGCACGATGGATCTCGATATGCCCATGAATTCCGCCATGGATTACACCGCCAGTCCTGCCCTCGACATCTACTCGCCGTACGCCCCCCAACAATCTTCTCAGCTCCTCATGGCCCTCGCCCGCCTGTCGGCTGCATCTCTATCGGCTGTATCTCAATCGCAGATGACGGCACTCCCCCCATCGACTGTTCGCCCTTCGCAGGTCTCACTTCCTCCGCATCCCATTCTCGACACTTCGGACAACCTAGTGCCCGCAACCCCCCACGCCCCCAATGCCGTTCCGCACGCCGATACCCCACTCGAGTCGTTCGCCAGAATCGAGTTCGCCGACAGCGTGTTCCAGATGACCACCTATGCTGTCGTCATTGGCCGTGATCAACGTGCACTAGACCAAGCAAGACGAGATGAGCGACGATTCGATGATTACCAGCGCAAAGTACGCGACCACCAGGAGCGCGGCCTGCCTGCTCCCCTGCCGCCGACCCAGGACCGCGGCAAATTCAGCAAGTCGTACGTCAGTGAGGAGGGCGGCATGCTTGGCCCAGAATCTGATGGCGATGACAATCCCCGCCCTGCCAAGAGGAGGAAAACCAGTGGGGGTGTAGGATCTGCGTCGGGCGATTCACAACGGGTCGAGCCCGCGGCCGGCGAGCTGGCCAGCTTGGAGGACAAGAACCCGATCAACAGGCAGTACGTGTCGCACACGCCAGGTGCAGCCGCTGTCAATCTCAGTGCCCTCCGGCCCTCGCCTCACTATGTGCCATTCATCGGAATTCACTCGCCCGGGCCGAACATCGCCAGCAGAACCAAGGCCATTTCGAGGGAGCATCTGAAGATCGAGTTTAACCAGACGGATGGCGTATTTGAAGCCATCCCGCTCCACAAGAACGGCTTCTTTTGCGAAGATGTCCATTACAAGGACGAAAAGGTCGTACTGCGGAGTGGTGATCGCCTGCAAATCAAAGATGTCGATTTCGTCTTCATCGTCAACGGCGTCCCTCGCGGCAAAACGGGCGCCGAAGACGGTCTGGAGGAGGACGGCGTGTCCAGCAGGCGGTATTCTGAAGGGGGCAAGGAGATGAGCTTCGACTTTGAGAGCTCGCATGACCCAGCAAGACGTAGCACCAGCCCCGAAGAAGTCCCGGCCGTGGTAGTCCCGAGGGAGGACAGCGACAGCGAGCTCTCGGAGCCGGAGGAGGACGTCCTGGAGCCCGAGCCAGAAGAGGCAACAGAGCAGGAGGTCATGGAGACCATCGAGAAGGACCTGGATGTTTCAGCCGCTGTCAAACCGGAGATGTCGCTTGAAATGCTTGCCGGCCTGGACCCCTTGGTGCCCAAGAAGAAACGCGGCCCTGGCCGCCCGCCAAAGAACGGCGTCATGTCCAAGCGAGAGGAGAGGCTTCGGAAGAAAGCGGCCATGGAATTTGCCAAGAAAAACATGCCGCAACCGCCGCCGGGCGAGCCGCCCATCAAGAGGAAGGTTGGCCGGCCTCGTAAGCACCCGCTCCCAGAAAACGCCCCGGACAGGCCCGAGAAGCGCAAGTACAAACCTCGGAAATCCAAGAACGGCGAAGAGGGCGAGGGCGAGGGCTCCGACATGGAAAAAACTATCAAGGAGAGAAGGCGGGAGAAACCCAAGACGCCACCCCTCGAGTTGGACAGGACCGACTACACCGAGGAACAACTGCAGAAGCCGCCCAAGAACTACGGCATGCTCATCGACGAGGTCTTGACGGCCGCGCCCGACGGTCTGACCTTGAAACAGATCTACAAGCGGATCCAGATAAAGTACCCGTTCTACTATTTCACCGTCGACACCAAAGGGTGGGAGAGCAGCGTCCGCCACAACCTCATTGGCAACGACGCCTTCAAAAAGAACGAGGAGACTCACCTCTGGAGCCGGGTACCGGGGATCGATATCGACGCAGGCAAGAAGCGAACCAAGGCGACTTCGCCAGATCATTCCACTTCGATGCACACCTTTGGCCAGCACTACTCGACTTCCGCCACTCCGACGCCGCAGATGTTTCACGCCGAAACCGGGCTGCAACAAGGCTACCGTTCCGCATCCGTGTCCCAACGTCCCGGATACGCGCCTGGCCAAGTGGCCCTCGGTCAACATCCGCAACCGCAACTCGGCGCGCAGGCCGTCGGGGCCGCCGCCCAACAAGCTCCACGGCAGCCGTATTCAATCCCTGGGCAGGTGCAAGGCGCGACTCCCACGGCCGCTTATGGGAATCCAACCGGGGGACATCCGCCTCAAGGAAGCGCACAGGCCACGGCTTATTCTTCACCGTACACGTCGAGACCGCCGCCAGCAGCTACTGCTCAGTCTGGTGGCCCTAGCCAGGGCGTCGCAAGGCAAGGCCTGCCCCCCAATCACTTGGCGACCCCCGCGAATGGTTTGCCTCGCGCCGGCCCGCCGTCTGCGCAGACAGCGCCACCGGCCGGCGCGCGTCCGGCGCAGCCCGCTGTCAACGGCAGCTCGCTCCCTGTTAAACCAGCTGTTGCGCCGGAGCTGGTTAGACACGTAACCAACTTCAAGACGACAGTCACAGAGCAGTTGAAGAAGCGAACGTCTGCCGCTGAGGCCGTCGCCATGTCCGTCATCAATCGCGGCCTGGGACTGGCTGCAGAAAGCACGGTTCCGGAAGAAGAGGGTCTAGAGAAGATCGTTCTCGGAGTGTTCGAGTCGAGTCGGAAGAACTTGGGCGCCAACCAATCCCTCAACCCTGGTTTGGTGCAGTCCCTGGGCAATTTCAAAAACAACATGATCAAAACGCTGGAGCCCAAGATGGGCAAGCTAAACGCCGAGCGCCTGATCTTGTCGGCTGTGGACCGCGTGTTGGGTTTTGCCGACCGGAGCACAATGCCGGGCCCCGACCCGGACCGAAAGCAGTACGATGATGCCGAGAACGTGCTCATTTCGGCCATCCAGCGGGTGGTTGCGGACCATCAACGGACCCTAGCTTCCGCTGCGTCTGTTTCGGCGCCGCCCCGCCCGCCTGCGCCAGCGCCATCCTCGGCCCCGTCAACGGCGCCCGGATCTACCCAGATATCAAGAAATGGTCATGCACCCGCTTCCAGTCATGCACCAACAGGAGCGTACCCGCCGACGGCTCCCCTGTACCAAGGAGCGAAGCCAGCAACACCGCTGCCTACTTCCTCGGCGCCTGGGCCCGCACGTCCTTCCGCCCCAGGACAATCTGCTCCAGGGGCACAGCCAGCCACGGCCGCGAGTGCGCAGCAGGTTCCCCGTCTAGCTACTGTCTCAGCACAGGCAGCCCAGACTTCAGCCGTTCCTACAACTCAGACGCGGCCTCATGCCCCGGTTTCGGGTCCAGCGCAGGGTTCAGCTCAGGCCCCGGGCCAGCACTCGGCACCTGCAACAGCGACTTCGGCCCGGAACCCGGCCGTCACCGGAGCTGTTCAAGCATCCGCCGTAGGCTCCGTCCAACCGCAGTCCCCGGCTCATGCCTTGGCCCAAGCTCAAGCCCAGGCCGCCGCCCAGAACGCGCAAGCCCAGAAACCAGCGCAGCCGGGGCCCGCTTCGAGTCAGGCTACCGCCATACATCGAACTGTCGGTCAACCTGTTTCGTTGGCTACCTCTGCCGCCCCCGGCGTTACCAAGGCGCCAGCTTTGACGTCTGCCCCAACTGTATCCCAGCCGCAGAACCAGCAGGCGCTGCCAGCCAAGCCGCAAGGACCCGTCCCGAGTGCCGCGCCGGCCCAGCAACGGCTTACCCACGGCGCTTCTGCCCCTACTATGGAACGTCCGGCCGCGGTACCGACCCAGACTACGACCACTGCTGCGGCTCCTGCCCCACCCCAATCACAGGCGCAGACTCTGCCCGCTGCGCCCGCCCAAAGGCCCGCTCAAGCTGCCCCCGTGGCCGCAACCGCCGCAGCTGTATCCCAAGGAAAGGCCTCGCCTGCTCTAAGTCCTTCACTGCCGGCGCCGATTCAGCGGCCCGCGCAACCTGTGACTGCGACCTCCGCCTCACCGGCTGCAGCTCAAGGCGGGATCGCATCCTCTTCGCCCGGGACATCCCATACAATGAGCCAGTCGCCCACTCCACCGGTGGCTTCGAAGCCGCCGAACCCGACTCAGCCCGCCTCCCAAGGCGCACAGACAGCTGCACCTGTGCCGCCTGCATCTCAATCTTTCCTGACTCAAGCGTCGGGCCCTCCGGCGCCGATGGCTAACATGGTCACGGCGACCTCACCCACCGCACCGGCCACCGCTCCGCCGCCGACCCCGTCCGCGGCAACCGTCACAGCTGCTCGGTAGATTAACGGTGATACATGGCGTTGATTGTGAGTTTTCCGAGAAACACGGGATAAAGGCGTTATGGTTTTTAGTTTCTGTGTTACATGCAAGGCAGGACTGGTACGGAATTCACATGGCCTACGGGCCTACTACGGACATGAATATATCAGGTCTCGGCTCAAGCGGCGCTACGGCGCGCAGGCCGGTGAGGAGTTTGTTTGTGGAGGCGATATGTTATCCTACAGTTAAAATTAGAAATAAAGGTCTTGTTATGTACGTGCACGTGGTTGGTTTGATGTGATTATGATCAGGTCGAGACATGCGGTTTTGTTTGTTACCCGGGTAGGTAGCCAAGCCACATCAACGACGAGAGGTTGGATTAAGCATCGTGCAGGCCAGCGGGAGCGGACGGCAGGACTTGGCTGGTTCCGAAACTGGCAAGCCGCTGATGCGAGCCGAGGCTACGGAAGGGCGTCATTGACAGGCTGCGTGGTATATATCGCGCTCGAGTTTCTGTTGGAGTAACTATTCATTTTTCGGCTACTACAGGTCTCTCACTTATTTACTTGACTTTGAAGGTAGGTGAACAGAGTTTGGGTGTATCGGCGCCAACCCGACTTACACCGGAAACCCACCCAGTAACAGTATAAGCAACACTGTCACCATGCCCTCTCTCGCCCACCATCCCCCTATCATTCTCTACCACTACCCCTACTCCCCTTACGCCCGTCGCGTCGTGTGGTACCTCCGGCTGCGTGGTATATCCTACTCGGAGTGTGTAAGCCAAATCATCCTTCCATCTAACCCTCCCCACCTCTCTTAACCTCCACTCACCCCTAGTTAACCCCTTTTTCTCTCTCTCACAGATCCAACCCCCCACCCTCCCCCGCCCCGATCTTTCAACCCACCTCCGCCTCGCCCACCGCCGCATCCCCCTCCTCGCCATCGGCCGCGACCTGTACCTCGACAGCCGTCTGATCCTGCGCAAGCTAGACAGCCTGCTGCTGCTACCACCGCCCCCTCCCGCCACCGCCGCAACTATCACAACTCCCATCTCAACCACAACTCCCATCTCAACCACAACTCCCATCTCAACCACAACTGCCACCATCACCACCACAACCCCCACCCTCACCACCACCGCTACCGCCACTACCGATAACAACAACAACAACAACAACAACAACAACAACAACAACAACAACAACAACAACAACAACAACAACAACAACAACAACAACAACAACATCACCAATGGCAAACCCACTACGCCCTCCGCACCGCTGGGCATGCCCCGCACCGGCGCCCCCGACAAGCTCGCCACACAGCGCTTGCTCAGCGTGCTGACGACGTCAACAGATCTGTTCTTTCGGGCGGCCGTGTTGCTGCCGAGGACACTACCGCTTTTGGGGGAGGGGGGGTTCAGGAGGGATAGGGTTGATTTCTTTTTTGGTGATACTCCTGTTGGTGCTGGTGGCGGGAATGGGAGTGGTGGTGGTGGTGGTGGTGGTAATGGGAGTGTGGGTGGTGGTGGGGGGGTTGGTAACGGGGGTGGCGACAGTGGTAGTGGTGTAGGGGGGGGTGTAGGGGAGAGTGGCGGTGCTGGGGCGGTTGGGGTGATGCCGCTTGGGGTGGGAGACGGGGAAGGGGGGGAGGAGAGGTTGGAGAGGGAGGCGTTGAGGGCGGAAGCGCTTCGTGAGATGAGACGGGCTATGGCTCTGCTGGAGGACACCCTCCTTTCGGACGGACGGGAGTGGGTTCTAGGTGGCGGCGGGAAAGCGCCGACGCTGGCTGATATCGAGGCGGTGTGGGTGTTTCACTGGATGATTGGCATCCCCGGGGCGCTGTTCGACGCCGGGTATGTGAGCGCGGAGAAGTTCCCGCTAGTGTATGCGTGGGTAGCGCGGTTTCAGGCGGCGGTTGGGCGGCGAAGGCGGGAGTGGTTGTGAAAGGGGTGAGTGGGGAGGAGGCGGCGGCGGTGCTGAAGGGGGAGAGGGAAGGAGTGGGATATTTCGAGGAGGAGGAGGAGGTGGATGCCGCGGACCCGATCGTCAAGGTGTACGGCCTGGAGAAGGGGTGGAGAGTCGAGGTGTGGCCGACAGACTCGGGAGCTGCGCATCGGGACCAGGGCCGGCTGATGAGCCTCAACGCGGAGGAGGTAGTCTGGGAGACGGACGCCGGGGTGCGGGTGCACGCGCCTCGGCATGGGTTCCGGGTGCGGCTGGTCAGACCGGGAGGAGGTTCGGGCCTAACGGAATAAGTTATTGTCTATGGTTTCTCTATCATTTGTGTTTTAGTTTCGGCCGTGAGAACTAGCAATGCTATGATGACTGGTATCGATACCTTACTGCCATGCCCAACTCGAAACATTGCTCTCAACTTCAAAGCCAGGCCTTGGATATCTGGGTCACTGTATCTGCCTTGGGCCTGTCAAACCCCAGCCCTCGTCGCCTCAAGTGGCAGACACTAGACAAACCATTTTCTTTTTTTTCTTTTTTCTTTTTTTTTAAAAAAAAAAGAAAAAAAAAAACATGCAACCGTTAACGAACTAAGTGCGTGTGATTAAATTATCAAAATAATTATAGTGAGGATCGAGGCTATCGACGACTAAATGCGTGTGTACATACGGGGGTCTACTCCGCATCATCACCGGAGGACTCATCCATACCGGTTACCGGGATTGCGGCACCGGCCGTGGGTGGGAAGGGAAGTAAGACCTGGTTAGAGGTGGCTCGGGGAGATAATGTCAGGGTAGATAGAGTTAGAGGTACGGTGATATCTAGGGATAAACCCTTTGGGTGTTGAAACGGTAGTTTTTGTGCCCAATGACGAGGTACTACGTAACTCCCGAGCACAGCACCGATCGCCAACCCATCACTACTATGCGGTGCGACGGACCGAAGCCTCTTTCCATGTACGTATCCGCATGTCGTTCAAAAGCTTACTGTGTATTACGTCGGCGGCTCTGTGTCGGGGAACACGGGCGTTGGGACTGGGTTGGGATCGGGTAGATCTCCCCATGTTTTATTTGTGTGGAAGCGGGGACGCCCGCCTTCCGAAGCAGAACTGGTTCCTTTTTATGGAATTGGTCAAAACTCTAAGAAACGAGTCGTGTCTCGGGTACAATACACAGAAACTATCGAAAGGCGGGGAAAAGAAAGGGATCGACTGTTTGTTGATACACGTGTAAACGTGTGAGTTAACGTTCAAGTCGCTAGTTAACTAGTTCGGTGTCTGTGTTCTGCATGCACCGAGCACTTCCCAAGTTCGGTCGTCTCAAAAACATTGGAAGCGTGGGAGCCGGGATAGGCGCGCTGCAGAAGTGTGTGCGCCCCAGCGGCCGTTGTGCCGTTTCAATGGTTCGGGGAACCGGTCAGAGTTCCACACTTTGCTCCCCATACGAGAACGGCAGCTCGCCAATGGTCGTTGACGCGATTCTTCCGAAAGCGGTTGGCTTCAAGCTTTGCAGACTGCGGGTGGCCGGCTGAAGCCGGGGGCAGGGGGTGGCAGCCGGCGCCAAGCAAGCCTTCCAATCGGTTGGGCATTGGTTTGGCACAGAGAGGTGGCACGAGAACTTCGTAAAATGAGAGGTAAATATCTTTCTTTCTTCTCCTTTTTTCTATCTCTTTTTTTCCTGGGCTGTGGCCTCTCAAACCGTTTGAAAGCCGGGGGTTTCAACCTGGAAAACCGAATTCCGGTTCTGACAGCTGCAGGGGGGGATGCCGTGTCTGGTGGAGATTGTGCCTTCTTCCTGCCTCTGCACCACGAGCCAAGTGGCGCCTCGTGTGCGTCCGGCGCGGCCAATTTTCATGCATCCTCCAAGTGCGTCATAGGGTTGGGGAGGAGGCGAAAACATTGCACATTGTTGGTGTATTTTAACAAGAAGCCATCTCTCCTTGATGTTGCCCAAATGATAACTCACTCGAGGCTCTCGCGTTTATCACCCTTGTGGCCCTCGTGCCCCCACAGTACGAAAACCGTTAGGTTACATGGCGCTTGAGACAACATTCCACCACCACCATCTTCCCAGTTACGTCATCGCTGCGAAAAGACCGACGGAGAACCTGGCGCCATCCTGCACGCTTCTTCTATCCCAGCTCCAGGAAGGGCAAGAATTGCAGAGATCCGGTCTGAAAGCTGGGTATGATGGCGATCAACAAGAAGCTCTGCATTGCGGGAACGGCGGCGGTTTGTTGTTGTTCCCGTCCCTGCATCTTGGAGAGATGCATCGATGGAAGCCGGAGAACGCGTGTGGCAGTCGAAAAGCGTCACGAGCAGGGATGATGCCAGCGGGGAACAGACTGAGTTCCGCTGCCAGTGGAAGCACAGTCCGGCACGGAAAGGGCTGATTGCCAGATTGCACAGTGCCTGACGCAATTCTTCCTCTCCCAAGCCGGCAACCAGGAGCGGCGGGGCAGACGCGACTTGCGCGCCCTGATTCGACCGCCGAAATCGATTTGCCACAGGCGCCCCACACACTTCACTGTGTTCTTCCTCCTTCGGCGGTTCCATTTCCCCCCAGCGGTGAGACGACGGCTTGTTCAGGACTTCTTTCTTTTGTTCTGGGCCTGCTGAGGCGGCCGAAGGTGCAGCACACCACTCCAGCCTGATTGATTTTGGGAGGTGAGAGGAGAGACGCTGTTGGTTCAGTCGAGCCCAGAACGCCCAAGGATCGAGACAGCGGGAGGGCCAGATCAACATTTCTTGGGGAAAAAACTCCTCGGGACTGCTGATAAATGCCGGAGCCGGAGAACAGCACCGGTCTTGTCGTCTCGACGCCAATGGGCCTGAGGTGAGGCCGAAGGATTGTCCTTCTACTCAAGGCTGCAAATACGGATGCGGGACCAAAGCACTTTCGGATTTTGGCTTCGACGGCCCGGCCTCCACACCGGCGGTATGCATCTGATGATTCCGGCCGATGCTTCGAAGGAAGACCTTGAAGGGTTGGTGTCTGTTGTTGAGGGTAGGACATGCAGGGGTTGCCGCTTGTGTCCCCTTTTCGCTTGCAGCCGTGGGGGGGGGGATGCTTCGGGGCAATCTCACACAGTGTGTATCACTGTACATAATGACCCACAGGACCTTTTTGGTGGCCATACTCGTGCGCGGAGCCCGAGTCAACCTCTTAGCAAGTGGTGAGCGATGGATCGGGCCAGAACTTCGATGGTAGCGCATTGATGCCGGTAGAGGGCCTGGAGCTTTCTTCACCTTTACACTTCGCGCAGCAAAACTAATTTTGCAGATGCGAATAAGGGCTGGGTTGGATCGGACTTGGGGCTCGTTTCCCGTCTCCTCTAGCGTGCCTTGCACTCTTCGACACTCGCAGGGTTGTAGAGGCTTGGAGTCGAGGTCAACCGAGAAATGTGTTTTGGTCTTGCTTGGTAATTCACTCCTGTCCGTGTACATAGTACATGCAGCTTGAGGCGTCTCCAGAGGCGTGCCCCATGGGCCTATCGAATCTTCACTGCCAGTGCAAAGAAAGAAAATGCCCGGCTGCTGGTCGTTCCTGCCATCTGGCTAGATTTGGTGCTTCCATGGGCGATTGGTTGGGTCCCGCAGCGCGGTCGATTTCTTCCCCGTCTCTTTGGCTGGCACTGTGGGCTCACGGACGTGGGCCCCACAGGGCTACCCCAGTATTTTTTTATTTGACTTGCGCCATTCCTTTTCCCAACGTCATACCTGACGTCGCTCCCCCATTCTCGGTCTTGTCTCTTCTCTCTCCCGCACACAGCACAAACCAGCTACGTCAAGTATTTACGAAGCCACACGAGGTCAGACCGCTCTCCCAGCACGCTGCATATCAGCGTAACGACACCCCCTTTTATGGGCAACTTAGTTTTGTGACCTCATAGCTATTCGCCATCGATTCCGGAATTCCTTGTCGCACTAGAGAGGCGCCGCAAGTTTTTTGATTGACATCATGGGGCCGCCCACTGGAGCGACTGGCCGAGGTGCATCCAAGTCACCCAAACAGTCCAGCAAGCCAAAGCCATCTCCACCCCGACAAGGTGAGTGCATCCCCACGATCTCCTAGCGTTTGGGCTACCTACGTATGCATCCCGTGGCATTGTGGCATATGCCGTTGCCGCCGTGGTTGTTTACATTGGCATCATCACAACTGTCCTTGTGGTTGTTGTTGTTGTGGTTCTTCTTGTCGTCGTCATCGTCGTCTCATCTTCATTCCTCATCGCCGCTATTGAACGTCGCCACCAACATATTTTTCTTCCTCTTCTAGATACACCATCCGACGCCAAACGCGACGTCCCTCTGAAACCCGACGAGTCAACGACTGCCGAACCTACCAAACCACTTGCCCCTCCGCCGCGCCCAAACCAACAGCAGCAGGGTTCGAACAGCCCCGACTACTTCGGGAACGTGAATGCTGCGTCGCTGAGCCTAGAACCAAACCCGTTCGAACAGTCTTTTGGCGGTGCACCCCCCGAGACGCCTGGCGGCACCAAGTTGCCGTCCGTCGCCGCCCTCACATCGCCGTCTTCACTCCTTCCCGGCAACACGCCGTTTCCCTGGGGAAGTGGCTCCCTGAGGACCGGCCCCCTGAGTCCGGCCATGCTTTCCGGCCCGACCAATGACTACTTTAGCGACACCCACCACATCCGCGGCGGTTTCCCGACCCCGAACGAGTCATCGCTGCGGAGCGGCCTAACCCCCGGGGGCAGTGGGTCTATGTTCCCCGTCCCCAGTCCAAACTCCCAAGCCATATTCGCCCAGCTCGCCGGGGGGCCCAGTGCGACGCCGGGCACTATCGACTTTCACCGTACTGCAGTCAGCGCTGCCGCTGCGAAACGCGAGCAATCCCAAGCGCAACAACAACCCCCACCTGCCGCCCCTACATCGCAGCCACAGGAGGCAGGGAACGGAACTCAAGCTCCCAAGGCGGAGACCAAGGCCCCGACTGGCCCCTTCGACCCGCACGACAACGATGCAGCGAACGGTCTCTTCCTGCTCGCACAGGGGCGGAACACCACCCAACCACCCGCTATTCAGCAGTACGCTGCGGTGCCGCCCGCGCAGGTGCAAACCCACGCTACCATCACGGCCGCGCCCGTCCCGGGGGTAACTGCTGCGAACACATCTCCCCAGATGAATGGCGCGCCTTCCCTAACCGGGAGCTCGGCACGTGGGGTAAGCGAGGCCAGCGCAAGATCGGATGAGAGCGAGGTCGCCCGCCCCAATACCCGTGCCAGAGGAAAGCGGAACTCGGGTGGCGCGGCCGCCGGCTCGCGACGCAAGGCCGAGGACACCCAGGCCAAGGCTAACAACCATGCGAGCAAGAAACAAAAGACGAATACCGGGGGCGCATCGGTAAGCAGCCACGACCACGACATGGATCACTCGGATGACGATGATCACGACAAGAGCGACAAAGAAGATGGCAACGGGTCCAAGTCAAAGATGACCGACGAGGAGAAGCGGAAGAACTTCCTCGAGCGCAACAGGTACGATTCACCAACATATCAACAGCTTGTGCAACACTGATGATGCTAACATGCCTCGCAGGGTCGCTGCACTAAAGTGCCGCCAACGTAAAAAGCAATGGCTGGCTAACCTACAGAACAAGGTGGAGGCGTACGCTACTGAGAACGACACGCTCACCAACCAAATTAGCCGGCTTCGTGAGGAAGTGGTCAATTTGAAGACTTTGCTCCTCGCGCATAAGGACTGCCCCGTTTCGCAGCAACAGGGCCTACACACCACGTTCATGCCGCCAACTATGGAGGCCTTCAACCCTTCGATGAACCCTTACGGCATGGCACCGCCCATGGGCGCGCAGCCCGTCATGGCGGGCCAGGGCATTGACCGGCGGTTCTCATAGGCTGGAAATCCGCAGGCATGGAGCTCCTCGTTAACGACGGGCGAGTACCAGGCTCCCAAAAATACCCGCGGTACCACGGTGAACTGTCAGACCTGGCAACCCTAGGTACCGACACACGTACAAGGAATGCTCAACTTGCGACGTTTTCTACTTTCTTACTCATCTATTTATATATCCACCCCAAGCATGACCACCGCTGGAAAACGGAGGGTAAACGACATCAACCCAATCCGGGTCGTCTAGGTTTGGGGCACGCGGGAGGGTTAGGCTGTATAAGTAACAGGACAAGCAAAGCAATCAGCTTGTCTTTGGCTTCTCATCGGCGTCCAAAGGCCGGGGCTCGGCCGGGGGGTTTGGCGAGGTTGTACTGTCGAGCAAAGGGCTCGTTCTGTCGACACGGGCAGCAATATCCTTCGTCGCCCTGCGTGTAGTATTCGACAACAAGGGGGCGCATACATTAAAAGCGGCGTAACGGGGCTCGGACTTTTGCTTTTTTTATATCTTTATTTCTCGACCCTTTTCTGGTTTGCACTTCTTTTTTTTAACGGGAGGTGGAGTGTGGCTTTGGGGAGTGAGGGTGGAAAGGAGTTGGACGGGTTTTTCCTGGCTTGTGGCGGCGGGTTGATTGAATGGCCGGTCGGTGGGAGAGCGAGGAATAGGGTCTGGCGATTTCGTCTTCTGTTGACGATGAGGTCGCTGGACCGCCCAGTCTTTCTGCTGTTGCTGGCTCCTCTCTCTCTCTCTGTTTTTGGTTGTTTGCCTGGTTGGCTGGGATGAGGGATGAATGATTCGTGTATGCTAGTCCCGCACGAGGTAACAATGGGCTACGATAGCTACTAGTAAAGTACAGCTTTGCCAACGCGTGGATTACGGTCGGGTGTTATGCCGGGGCAGACTGGAGTCTCTAACGGGGTTCGACTAGCAAAACATCTACATACTGTGTAGTGTATAGCAATCACACATCATTCATCATCATCTTTCATATCGCAGTCGGAGGATAAACTCGGGCGAGATAAGCTTGATTCAACGACCTTGATCTGGGCTGAGGTCATTTCAGGCAGGGATGCAGATGTAGCGTAGCGGGGTGCCTGACCGTTGCAGAATCAAAGCTGGAAGAGTTCCCGACCCAGGATTTAAATGCATGTTGTTCCCACTTCCATCAATAATTGAAATGTGAATATCGACCTCCTCTAGTTCCCCTCCCAACTCAAAATGCCAGAGCAGACAGGTGCAGCGTAAAACGACTACAGTCAAACAGTAACGCAATGGAGAGAGAAAGAGTAGTTGCAGCAACACAGTCTTCCGTAAATTGTAGCCTCCAAAAGGTGGGACGGAGATTTGGTAGATGGCCCGTGCACACCAGCAGCCACATTCTGCAACCGCGAATAAACAAACCGGGGCGCAACTTCCCGCCGTTCGCGATCCCGCCAGCCCACTTTACAGAGTTTCGAAGGGCCAGGATCATTCTCGCCGCCAACAAAAACACGACAACATCTATTAGGCGCATTTCCAGTCACGCAATTTGGTAGTGGGACTCCAAGGGGTAAAAATAACGCGAAACTACTCGGTTGCCGACCTCGGATTGACGCGTCGAGCACCGCCCCCTGTCCGCTACAAAAGAGGAGTTCTTGTCACCGAAAACACTTCGAATTGAAATTGCCGCGACGCGCCGTAGCCGTCATTCCGTCTTTTCTTTACCACCCGTCGCAAAACCCGAGCACCGTCCGATTGACCGCGCACGCGATTCGAACCCGCCCCCCGGACCCGCCGACCGCATTCATGCGCCGACCGCCCCGCCGTCATCCATGACTACTCTCGTACGGACTCGCCAGCCGCTACAAGTCTTGAGCATGAGCAACCAGCCGGAGCGACGGCAAAGCAGACGCCTCGCCAGCACCGCACTGCCCCTCCTGCCATCGCGCCCGCTGCCGAGCAGCCAGGAAGAGACGACGACAACGACGACGACGACAAAGACTAGGGGTAGGAAGCGGAAGGATGCCGATGTGCCCTCCTCTTCCTCCGCAGCTCCGGGAGTTTACGACGAGCAAGACGGCGATTTCCTGTTCACGCGAGGGTCGAAGCGGGCCAAGACGGCGCCCGTGCCAGAGGAGGACGAGCTAGGAGAGGAGCCCGCGCCAGCGCCAGTACCGGTGAAAAAGAGCGTGGGGAGACCGCCGAAAGGAGGGGCGAGACGACGAGCTTCACCACCGGCCCCGGCCCCTGCCCCGGCCCCTGCCCCGACACCACAACCTGCGCCAACGAGGTCAAGGGCCGCAGCAGCGACAGCAGCAGCCTCAACGACGAGGAGGGGATCAAAACGGAAATCGAGCCCAGATACCGCGCCACCGCCAGAGGAGGATTTGGTGGTTCCAAAGTCGAAAACACGGCGGAAATCGCGTGAATCGACGGCCGGGAGGAAACCGCAGCCCAAGGGGACGAGAGCTTCAAAGGTGAATGGGACATCGCGGAGGATAGAACATGAAGAAGCAGCAGAAGACTACGAAGACGAGCGGCCGCGCCCTGCCGGGCGCAAGGAAGCAACACCCAGCTCCGCCGGGCCGCAACCACAATCCCAGATGATTGCCCTCCCCTTCAGCGACACGCCCATCATCAACCGCAACAAGGAGTTCCGTAAGAAGGGCGGTGCGAGCGGTGGCCGGCGCAGCAGCCTGGGGATGCGCGGGCGGCGGGCCAGCTCGCTGATCGAAAACGGGCACACCGCGCTGCCGCACCGCGAGGTCGACCCGGCCGAGTTCTACAAGTACATCTCGGCCGAGGGGCTGAGCGAGCCGCGGCGGATGAAGCAGCTGCTGGTCTGGTGCGGAGAGAGGGCATTGAGCGAGAAGCCGCCACATGGGAGGCCAGGGTCGAGTGCTATTCTAGGGGGTGAGTGAACCAGGTGTACCCTTTGAGTTTGGGAAATGCTAACAGGCTGGCCTAGCACGTGCGATACAAGATCAGCTCCTCAAAGACTTCGGGGCGCGATCCGAGTTCTCCGACTGGTTTGCGCGGGAAGACGCGCCCAAACCACCCATCCCCGTCGTCCTGCAACCCAACCCGCGAAACGTCGACTACGACGCCAAAATCGCCGACCTCGAGGCCAAAATCGAACGGTACTTACTCCCTCTTCCTTGCACATTCCACACAGACAGTCACTAACAACCCCCCAGCCTAAAAGCCCAAAAATCCGCCTGGCAATCCATCGCCACGCCCCTCCCAACCATCGGGCCCCTCTACCCAGACCCGGACCCGCGCAAGGCGCCCCTGCCCGACGCCAACCTGCTCGAACCGTCCGAGGCCGCCATCCTCGCCTCCCTCACCAGCCCGGAGACCGCCTTCGGCTCCTTCAAGCGGCAGGCGCGGTCGCGGCTGCAGAACGCGCAGGCCGCGCTCGAGTTCCGCGTCGACCGCCTCGCCGACGGCGTCCACAAGCTCGACATGCGCGTCGCCACCGCGGGGCGCGAGGCTGACGCCGTGCTGGCGCTGAGTGCGGCGCGGTTGCGGGAGCGGGAGGAGAGGGAGAGAAAGGCGGTTGGGGCGGCGGGGGTGAGTGTGATGGAGGTGTTGAGGAGTTTGGGGAGGATTTTGCCCGAGGGGGGGTAGCTTTTTCTCTCTCCCTTTGAGTGTGTGTGGGGGTGTGTGGGAATGGGAATGGGAGGTTTGCAATGATGAGATAATGATATTTTGGGTGTTCTGGCTGTTTTTCTTGTTGCCGAGGTCGCTTTTCTCTCTTTTTCTTTTGCTGTGTTTGTTTGCTTCGGTGGCGGGCGGCATAGCGGTGTTTGCTACGGCGTTTTTGCACGGCAGGGGAGGGAGGGTGATGGGACCGAGCATCTAGTTCCTGGACGGTTACAGGAAAGGGGGAGGAAGATGGGGAGGCGTCAACTTGAACCTGGTATACCCCGAGTAAGGAACCGAGAATGAACAGGAATCATGCGTCTGTCTGTCTGATTCCCTCTTTTGGTGTGTCCGTTTTCCCTGTCGCTGCCATCCATCTGGCTACTCTAGACAGACAACCATATTGTACACCGTACATACACCCACTCATACAACCATGTCACATCTCCGCCACAACCATTCCACCCATACCATTCCACCCATAACCATCCTACCCACACCTAACCCCCCCTCCCAAACAGCCCTACATCTTATACTCCTCCAGCGGCGGCATGAACCCCATCCCCCCTTTGCCCGCGCCCCGCCGGCTCTCGACGTGCTCCCGCAGCAGCCGCAGCACCTCGCTCTCCCTCCACCGCGCCGGCACCGGCCGGTACGTCGGCTTGAACGTCCCCACCGTCTGCGCCCACTCCCCCGGGCGGGGGGACGCTTGCGGCGGGGCGTCACTCTTACTCGCGCTCGCACTCGCACTCCTCCCCCCAGTAGGTGCACCAGCCTGTGCATCAACCCCGCCTTGCGCATCACTACTCGTAGAAGTCCCCTCCGGCTGTGTCGCCCAGTAGTAGATGTCCCAGTCGTTCTCGTCCAGGAACCGGTCGTACTCGGCCAGCTGGGCGGGCGTCATGGTCGCTAGGCGGGTCGACGCGAAGGTGGAGAGGAGCAGGTCGGATTCGAGCGTGCCGCGCTTGCGGGACTGGTCTGTGTGGGGGGTTAGTCAACATGTTAGGCCGGGGGGTATGGGTATGGGTATGTGTGTGTGTGTGTGTGTTGGGTTTGGCGGGGTAGGGGAGAGGCGGGGAGGGGGGGTTGGTTTGTTCGCCGGAGGTTATCTAGTGGGACGTACAGAGGAGGCGGGCGCGCATGGTGGAGGGGTCTTCGCCGACGCGGCGCAGCGGCTCGACTTTGAAGGTGGCGCCTTGGAGCTCGCCGACTTCGAGATCGCGGGCGGACGGTTGTTGTGACGAGGAGGAGTTGAAGCGTAGTAGGCGCATGGCGGGTGCTGTGAGGGAGGAGGGCCGCGCGCGGGCGACTGCGCGGGTTACTGGGCGGAGGGCGGCCATGCTGTGCTGTTTTGTGTGTGATTCCCCTTTTTCCTGTTTACCTGGAGAAAATCGCGGGATTTAGAGGACGGTCGAGGTTGAGTTGCAGATGCAATTCGAAAGAAACAAGCATGGATTTGTCAACGGCGCCGGCCGGATCTCGCTTGGCTGGAGCTTGGCTGGACCGAGGCCGAAATCTGTGGAGACCGAGACCCCGGGTCTTGCCGTACCGGCCCAACGGCGTTTACACAGCACTCTCGGCGGCAAATATATCCCCCACAGACTTGGGCACATGTCAACTAGATCGCGTTTGCATTATCAAAACAGCATATGAGCTACCCGACCACGTCCTTGGAGCATTCCTGCAAACACCCAAACAGCCCGTTTTCCACCCAGCGTACAATACATCATAATCCCATGCTCGCCTGCGTAACAGTTCATGTAAAACTCCTGTCCCGTAAAGCCACAGTCTAGAACCAGCCGTCCCAGCCCAGCCCAGCCCAGCCCTTCATCAAATCAGATGCTTCGACCTGAAGTAGGCCCGCAGGTACATAATCTGCCAGGCCCAGAGGCCGATCAGGAGGAAGGTGGTGCCGAAACCGAACCACTTGACGCGCGTGTTGGTGCTCTCGTTGGTGTCGCGCAGCGTCTGCTCGCGCGAGCGCAGGTAGTCCATCTCGCCGACCACCTCGGCCACCATCTCCTCGATGCGCCGCAGCTCCGTCTCGACCGGCTTCAGCTTCTCGGTCGCCTGGATGGCCGACCAGTCCTTGGCGTCGGCGCCGATGTCGATGTCCAGCTCGATGTGCCTGTACGGGTGCTCGACGTAGCGGGCTGTCTGTGTTAGCAGGAGCCACACTCAAAACGGCGGCTGGGGTGACCCACAGCCAGTCAGGATGTTCTCAAAGCACACGTCGAAGGGGGCGTCGGCGTGCGATGTGAAGACGGTGCGCTGCTCGCCGGCAATGTCCTTGGGCTTGCCGTACTCGTTCCCTGTCGCGTCCGAGATCTAGAAGCCGGGTCTGTTAGCGGCCATCTCGCATCCCCTGAATGCCCCGGATCCTATCTTTCCCTAGCACTCACATGCATGTTGAGCTGCATGCCATCACCCTTGTGTCCGTCGACAATGGCCGTCACGACGACCAGCATGTCCTTGGCCACAAAGTTGCGGATGCATCGTCGCGAAGTCTTGTCGTGGCCGTTGCCCGCCTGGATGTCCAATTTAAGCGCATTCGACCCGACGGCCAGTAGCAGCAGTACGCTGCAGACTTGCTGCAGCAGCGATCGTAGACGTGCCATGGTCGCTGTGTCGCGTGTGAAGGCGGTTGTGTGATGGCAGCAGTACACAGGAGACGCTGAAATGCGAAGCTCAGGCCCAAGTTTCGGTAAAGGGCCAGCTGTCGCTTGCCCCTGGCGCAGCTGTGGGGCGTGCTTTTTCAACCTCCCTACCAATCAGGCAGTGATTGGACAGCCAAAGCTTCGACGCCTTGCAGCCCCACTGATCGCGTCGCCAAACCTTCTCAGCCTCGCGAGCTTGGCTTGGCCTTCTTTTGTTTCGAGCCACCATCGCAATCCAAGCTTCAACCTGCATCCGCAACTCAAAGTTCCCAATTCTACTCTTTCTCAACAACCACCACATCTCGGCGCGCCGCGAACACTCGCGACATCCCACCGCCAAGATGCCCAAATGTAAGCCACCCCCCCTCCCAAAACAATCATCTCAAAAAGCACACACCTCTCTAACCGTCCAAAACACCCCCAGTCTTCTGCGACTACTGCGATGTCTACCTCACGCACGACTCCATGAGCGTGCGCAAGGCCCACAACAGCGGCCGCAACCACCTGCGCAACGTCGTCGACTACTACCAACGTACGTCACCCTCCAAGAACAACAACAAAGGCCCGCTCCGCCGGCCCCCAACCCACCACCCAAAACTAACCCACCCCTTCTTCTTCCCCCCCCCTCCAGAAATCGGCCACGAAAAAGCCCAATCCGTCATCGACTCCATCACGTCCTCGTACGCCGCCGAGGGCCAAGCCCACGCCAACCCCATGCTGCCGCACAACCAGCCCGGCGGCGGCGGCTTCGGCCTCGGCCCCGGCGCGGGGCCCATGGGAGGAGGTCCACCAGGAGGTCCAGGAGGAGGAGGACCAGGCGGGCCAGGAGGCATGGGCATGCCGCCCCCGCTGCCGGGGATGCCGCCCATCCCGGGCATGATGCCGCCCTTTGGGGCCGGCATGCCGCCGCCGCCGTTTCCCATCCCCGGCATGCCTGGCCTGCCGCCGGGTATGCCGCCGCCGCCGTTTGGGGCGGGGCCGCCCGGTGCGGGTGGTGGTGGTGGTGGTGGTGGTGGTGCAGGTGGTGGTGCGGGTGGTGCGGGTGCGCCGCCGTTTCCGTTCCCGCCGCCGTTTCCGCCTGGTGGTGGTGCGCCGGCTGGGTCGGGGGCGCCGCCGTTTCCCATGCCGGGGGCGGGTGGTGCGCCGCCGCCGTTTCCGCCGCCCGGGTTCCCGCCGCCGGGTGCTGGGGGCTTGCCGTTCCCACCGCCTCCGGGCGCGGGTGGGGGGTTTCCTGCGTTTCCGCCGCCGGGGGGGTTTCCGGGGGAGAAGCGGTGATTTTGGGACGGAGAGGTTTGGTGATGATGCCTGTTTAAGGAAGGAGATGGTAGAGGGGTGGTGAGGTAATGAGTCGAGTGTGCCTGGGTTGTTGTCATCATTGGTCCTGTAACTTTTGCTGTTTTGACATTCCATGGGAAGGGACACTGCAACGGCGTATAGGCGTTTTCGCGGCAAGGGAAGAAAAGGCAGGAAATTGTTAAAATACTGTAGAACAAAATGTAATGTTCTGTCCACTTCTGGTTTCGAGATAGCTGTGCTCCCCTGCCCGAACCGAACTGCCACCCATCCCAGCCAGCAGAGATGAGAACAAGGTTGCAGAAAGCAAATGAGCAAATGACACAGGGAGAGACTGAGCGAAATAAAACATCCTTCTTGGTTGTTGCATGGTATCATCATCCGCAAGAAATACAAGACTCGTTCTATTCGGTACACTTTCCCATCATCAAAGTTTGGTTAGCACGGCATGACCCCAACCTCCCATCATAACCACCCACCCATTCCCGATCATCACTCGTCATACCCATCCGACAGACAGAAAAAAACAGACGATGAATGCCTCCTTGAGAACATGAAAGCCACACATCATAAGTCATGTCCCTTCTCATATCCCGCTCTTGGCTGCTTGCCGCATTTCCCAGAAACGCCCCCGCCCAAATCATCATGACAACAGGCTCCTGAGCCCGTTGACAAAAGAAACCTGACATGGCCCTGCATGATCTTTATAGACAAAAATAGAAAAGGATATAAAAGACTGCAAAGAAAAGGAAAAAAGGACTCATCACTTCATAAACCCCATCCACGCGTCGCCAGCCAAACCAACCACGCTCCCACCCAAGAGACAGGATGGGTAGATATATAGATCCCCCCTCACCCGAGCCTGCGACGAGACCGCTCACTCAAGCCAACCCACCGCCCCTCCACCTCCCCATTCAACCCCCACGCTCCCGCGCCAACCTCCTCTCGCGCTGCTGCTCCAGCACATACAGCGCGTCGCGATCCTTCCACGAATTCCGCCTAATCACGTCACCCACGCCGTCCCTGACCTCCCTCGGGCCCGAGATCTTCCCGCGCAGCTCCTGCGTGCGCCGCTCCCGGCGCCGCTCGCTCAGCCGCCCGCTCAGCCGCCGCGGGAAGTTGATGCGCTCGCCCAGCGCGGGCAGGAACCCGACCGTGCCCCCGTTTGAGTTTGAGGTGGCGGTAGCCTCCTCCCGGCCGCTGTTGGCGTTGCCGTTGCCGTTGCTCTCGCGCTCCCGCTGGGAGGAGGAGGGCCGGCGGCGGAGGGAGGTTCGCGCCTTCTGGCTCAGGGACCGCCACAGGCGCGTGTATCGGCGCTCCACCAGACGGCCCCGCTGCCGCTGGCTGGCCGGGGGGTAGTACGACGGGCGGCCGTCGGCGGCTGCGGGGGGGGTGCCCCGCGTCAGGGATTCCATGCTGCGCCGGAACTTCATGACGCGCAGGTTGCCGCTCGGCGTGCGGCGGATGGTCCTGCGGTCGGGCGCGTCGTGCGCCGTGGCCGAGTAATACCCGTCGTGGCCGTCGCCTTGACTGTCGTACCCGTCCCAATCGTCACGGTCGTCCCGCCGCGGGAGGATGGCAAACGTCCGCTTGAGGCGCTCGCTCAGTCTGCGGCGGGGGGCCGGGAACGATGGGGAGGGCCGGTTGTCGATGGGCGGGTAGCGGTAGGTTCGGTCTTCTTCGTCGCGGCTATCGTGGTCTTGGTCATCGTCCTCGTCGTAGTCGTCTTCGGAGGAGGAGGAGGAGGAGCAGCAGCCGCAATCGCATGGTTCGTCTTCGGCGTAGGCGGGCCGCCAGTGCGGGTGGAGTCTGGTCTCGTCTTGGGGGCCCGAGTCCCCGGTTGAGCGGCGTTTGAGGCGGGGCCGCTCCTCCAGGCGCCTGATGTTTCGAGAGAGGGAGAACGTCCGGGTAAGGAGGCCGACGGGGCGAGCTGGGGACGGTCCGTAGTCGCTCGTTGTTCGGCGGGTTAGGGCTCGTTTGAGGAGGGACAAGCTGCGCTTCGGCTTCTCTGCCGTCATTTCGTAGTAGTTACCGAGTTGCTTTTGCTTCTCAGTTGTTGGCGTTAAACCCGATGGTGTGGCCGGGATAAAGTTGATGACTGGAGGTTGAGGAGGTGCTCGTGGGTTCCTCAGCGGCGAGTCGACGTCGTCCACAAACAACTGCTGAGGGGGCGTAGCAGGGATACCGCCGTTCGCATCCGTCATCTTAACCACCGGGATATCGGGACCAGTGCCCTTGTACTGCTCCAAAGAGGAGCTCTCCGATGGCTTGGCGGAATGGTCAACGAGCACGACAGATTTGCTCTGGTGCGGGTAGATATTGACGGCCATAGCCTCGGAAAGCTCGGCATGAGAGGTTGCGGCTGTATCCGCCGAAGCGACCGAGAGCGGCGTGTTTTGTACCGATAGCCTCGTTCCAAAGAAGGGGTCTCCATCCCGGTCGATGCCACTCTCTCGCTGGGTGCCGTGCGAATCTCGGTGCGTCTGAGCGGGGCTCCCGCCCGACTCGACCTGTCTCTCCCGCGGAGAGCGCTCAGCAGACACGGTAGGCTGCTTGCGCTCACTCTTACCGCTCGCGGGCCGTAACTCCGCGCCTCTCCCCTTCCGTAGCCCATCGCCGTCCGTCGGTGGCGGCTGATTTTTCAGGTTCTCAAGTTCCCGACTCGCTTTCTGCAGAGCTTGATGCGCTTGCTGCGCCTGGAAGACGTTATGGGTTTTCAAACTCTCTGCTGTCAGCGAACCCGTCCTCGACGCATTTCGGCTGGTGGGCGCTGAGAGCGAAGAGGACCGAGCAGGGATGGCGGGGGGGAAGTCCATCGTCCGCTCATCCCCTGCCCTGGACCCATCGGACTCGGAGAGTGCCCTGCTTCGACGATGAGGCCTTTCGAAAATAGGAACGTTTTCCCTGCTCTTGGACGGCTGCGAGGTGGGAACAGAGCTGAGACTACGGGATCTCCGGCTGCTCGTTGACCGCAAGGACGGCGATTTGCTATTATTGGATTTGACCGATGAGCGGCGGTCGGGAATCACAACGACTGGTACGCCGCCACTGTTCCACACCGAACGACGCGCTTTTCGGCTCGAAATGGAGTTGTTAGTAGCCGTCGAGGCGTAGCTCTCGCGAATGCCTTCGCCCGCCTTGGGAGGTGCTGGTTCCTGACGTTGACGTCGGCCGTCGGCGGCTGATGAGACAGATGTCGGCGCAGAACTTGCTGGGGATACTTCGGAGCCCGAGTCCCGTAAGGCGCTCTGCTTCCTCACGTGTCGCAGTGTCTGCCGTCGCTGGGGTGCCGTCTCCACGAGCCTAGCCTCCACCACGGTCGATGCATTCGATTTCGTCGACAGAACCGAGGAGCGCTTGATATCGATGCTACTAGAAGACTCGGAATCCACCGGAGCAGCTCGAGTTGGGTATCGATCCGAAGCAACTCTGCGCGAAGGGTACACAATCGGGCTTTCTTCCAGGGACATAGCACGGATCGCCCGGGTAGCGTTGGTCGGCGTCACCACCCTATCGTCAACGATTTCTTGGTTGCGAGTCTCCCTTGGGCGGGTTGGCCGTCGTTTTCTTATGGTTACATTCCTCATAAGATCAGAGTCCCACTCCCTCCCGGCCTCGTTGGACCCTGCTTCCCTGGCTGTCCACTCGCCATCAAACTTGTTGAACTCCGGCATCGTTCTCGGTGTCGAGGCATCCATGGGATTCGATCCGAGGGCCAGGCCGAGACCGAGAGGCTGAGATACGCTCCTAGTCTCCCTACTAGCTTGCCGAACGGTGCTCTGTGAAGTTTTGGCCGAAGCTAATGCCGTGCGCAGTGTCGACCTCCCATCGTCGTCATCGGACGATGAAGGGTTCTCCCGCGCGGTTGTAAACGACTCGGCTCGTGAACCCGTCGTGATTTTCGACGAGTTCCGCTCGGTTATCGGGGGCCGCGGCCGAATTTGACTCGCGGCAGGGCCCGGAGGAGTCCGATCGGGGGTCAGGTTTGGGGTTGGCAGGGTTTGTTGGTTGGTGGGAGTGGCTGGGGGACGCGACTCGACATCGTCAGCGCTGCTCAAGGGATCACCAGCGAATTTAGCAGTCGAGGGATCGGCGGGATGGCTGGCCGAAGAGGTCCGGGAATGTGCCGGCGGTGTGGGCGGTGGTTCCGGTCCTCTCCCTGACCGGCTCGCGCGCAGTCGAATGCTGGGGCTCGGGGCCGGCGACGCGCCGTTTTGGGACAAAGCCACCTCGCTCCCCCGTCCATACCTCGACGATTCCGAGCGCTGCAGCTCATCCTTCCGGGGATGCGGGAGGATCTTGTGTTTCTTGAACATGCGCGGATGGCTCTCAGGATCCAAGCCGAGAGCGAAGTCTGCATGGGTTGTGCCCATGTTGGGGAGCGAAGCCCGGAAGTCGCTGCCCACGGTCATGGTGACGGACCGACCTGGGCGGGCCCGGGGGTATCACCCTAGATGTCTGCGCTCTTCTAGAGTGGGGAACGAAGATGCCGCAGGATTGCGCGCATATTGCTGGCAGCGATAGATTGGTCGTTAGCAGCAAGGGCTCGGTGCGGCGACAGGAGCTGATGCTCGTCGGGTCGATTGTGCCAAGGTACGATTGTTGGAAACACCCCGCAGAGTTGGGACGCGCAGGGGAACGGAAGCGAAGGACACGCTCCACGGACTCGTTGGCGCTGGACCACGTTCGAAGCAGAATCCCAGGAGACCTGAGACATCGACAAGTGGCAAGCAAGCGCTGAGTGGTTTGTTGGCCAGATTGTGCTGCCGTTCGAGCAGAGCTGGCACAAGCGGGTGGCAGGGAACCTCGGGTGTCGTGTCCGATCTGGCGCGGGACGAACCCTCTTTGCTTCTCGAGTGGCTCCAACTGAGTTAACGAGGTACCGTGGCTAATCATCAATCACGCCCTCGCCAGGCAGGGGCCCAAATCACTGGCTGGATAAGGTATGGAGGTGACTCGTCCTCTAAATGCCCATATTCCGAAACATGGTCGATAAGTGTGGGTGGCTCTTGTGTGCAGTCGCGGGGCATCTGATCAGAAGATGAGAGGTCAAGTCAAGGGGGGTTGCAACGTGCTGCAGAGATGGCGCACGCCTGGAACAATGCGATGTTCTCGATCGAAGAAGATGAAAGCGCAAAGGAGGGAAAGCTGCCCACTTGGCGCAGCACGAGGGCAGCCAATGGAACGCTGTGAGTGTCCAGACTGACGCACTGCGGAATCCCCCCACCAGCTGACATTCACGATTGGCCAGGCCCTGACGCGCTATAAAATAGGCAGGCTGGGAAGGAGCTTCCGGTCGCCCACCTTGGAAGGCCGAACCCAATGATGGTATTCCCTCCCGTGGTTCGCTGCATTTATTCCTTCGAGACCCCCCATCGACACTCTCGAAATTTTCAAGGACGAGAGGTTGGTATTGCGGAACCTTCCTTGCCAGCCTTCCAAATCGAGTCCGGACTCGCCAGGATATCCGGTCTTATTTTTATCGTCGACTGATTGTCACTATTATTCTCCCGCGTCTTCATGCGAGAGCCAGACTCGGCGACCTCTGCTGTCCACTCGTTGTCTACCTTGACCGTGCACAGCAGCCAGTTTTCGGCGCCGACCGCGAGTGCAGAGCAGCAATATGGACACAACCTGAGACCGAAAAGCAGGCACCGGTCGTGATATGGCCCCTTGAGCTCGAGGGTTCGCTGCAGGCAGCCACCGAATCAACTTCGAGGACGGCTCTGACTTGCCTCGACACCCACAGAGCCCAATACGGCTCGAACGAATCAACGGCCATTTTCTTGACCTTGGTGACCGATCTCGCTCGCCAGACAAGGTGCTGTGTTTTTTTACCGAGGTCTTCTTCTCGGTCGCTCCGGAGGCCGGCCGGAAATCGGTCCCTGCTGCGCTTCGCTCGTTGCTTTGAATCGTCACTTGCAGTGCAGTGTCACACAAGCACCTGCTTTCCCCTCCTTCTGTCAGTCCCTCTTATTTTCCAGGAGCTGTCTCTCTTGGGGTTCTCCGATCCCTGTGCCGGCATATTCGTCTCCTTTGGCCTCTGTCTCAGAGCCACGTGTTCGGGCCCAAGTCCCGCTGTCATCCTGAACAAGCCCAAGCCCGGCCCCCGATCCCGGGACCAGCCCCGGAGGATGTGGGTCTTGATTAACACCACCTCATCCCCCGGCGCGCGGTCTTTGGGTTTTCCTCCCGAGTCTGGTTCTGGCTGCTGAAACCCGATAGCTTGTCCGCGGGAGATCTATGTGTCCTGCCTTCATTGACTTTCGCTGAAAATGATATTGAATATCCCCTCTCTCTCCATCTTACTGTCTTCCTCCCGGTCCTATAAAGACTGATGACAACCAAGGCTGCATCTCTCCTCTCATCCCTCCCTCAGTTCTACACCCTAGACGCCAGCGGCGTCGGTAAACTCGATCCGAGACTAGTTCAGCATCCCTTTTCCAGACTCGTCGTCTATGGCCAAGATTGTCGGGACTGGTTCATTTGGCAACTAGACCTGGTAGACAACTCACCGCAGCAGACAAGGGGGTGGAGTCGGATAGGTATGTCTTTCGACTTTAAAGCGCCAACGGTCGCAGCTGGTAAAAACCAGCAGGCGCTCCCTTCAAGCCGATTTCGATCTACTTTCACGCTACCTACGGAACTGCTTTCTCAAGTGATTCTGGCTGTCAATGTTCCCAAGATCCACCGCGTTGGGATTCAAGGGCCGCTGGTCTAGTGGTATGATTCTCGCTTAGGGTTACAACCCGAGCATTCCTGCGAGAGGTCCCGGGTTCAATCCCCGGGTGGCCCCCTGAACGCTTGTTTACTTTTTCGCCGTGTGCACTTTTTTACTCGGTACCATCGTATATCGACACTATACGTAGATGGCAATTCTCATTCAAGTCTCTTTTTGTTAGTTATTTATTTGTTTGTTGATGGTTAGTTAACCTGTTCGTGGCTGGGAGAGAGAGCAAGCAGCAGCCCCAGCAAGCAATTCCAAAGCTCCCTCTACTTAGGTAGTATCCAAACACACTCCTGATCTCAATTTGCTCAGCTCGAATAACATAAGTCCAGACGATCAAAACCAAGGTTTCACACCCCTGAAACCCTAAAAACCTTGAATCCGTGCCCCTTGTTTTGAGTCGTGAATATATGGACTGCTGACCCAAGCAGACGCTACTCAGTTATTCCCTTGATTGGGACCTGTTGTTGAATGAACCATAGGTGGGAATTATTCCAGGGAATCACCTGATGGAAATCGAGATGTGTATCCGCAACACGGACATCATTCTATGCCAAGTACTAGCGCTGGTGCTTCCACTGCTGATCCATTTAAAACCTATACAACATGGAGCTACTTCGTAGTTATTTTTGTCATAAGAAGCTCCGTGAGATGTTTTTGGCTGAATTACCCCTTTGGGATCCACACCCATACATCTGGGGGCGGTAATAAGTAATCAATGGGAGACCCGGGGCAAATACGAACCACGAACACTCACTGGTTCCAGCCACTCGCTCGTGGTTGAGCGCCGCAACACGAAAGTGCCGCTAACTTGATATGCTACCATCGGCCGACCAAGTTGGGAAAACGAGGTGTACCAGCCATGAGACCCGGCATGTTAGAAAGTCTCCCCATTGGCCTCTCCGCCCTGTCTTGCCCCGATTGCTCTCACCACTGTCTTGCCGGGTCCCGCGTGCGCTTAACCGTGTCTTTGGTCTCATAACGGAAGCAAAAATAGCGTGGGCCACCTGTCCAACACGAGATATTCCCCGGACTGTGGTGTTCGTTCCACGGCTTGTTGGGTTACCTCCTTGACAACGCTAGCCGGGAATGCCACCTTAGCCGTGACATTACTCAGGGACAATGCAGGTCCAAGCAGCCAACCGAGACAAGTCCCGAATATAAAGTGATCTCTTCCCAATGCCCTGGCCAGTTGGTGTTGGTTCTATTACGCCACTGCTACCAGGTTTTGTTTGAAGTCACTCGTTCCCATCTCACTCGTTCGCTCCAGTCATCAAACCAACCATGAAGACCACCTCTGTCCTCATCCTGGCCTCGGCCGCCCTCGCCAGCGCCCAAGTCAAGTTCGAAGACGGCAAATACATCTGCGAGAAGGCCGACGCCGCCTTCTGCGCCGGCGACTCCATGGGCACCGACATCATCATCCGCTGCAACGGCGACAAGATCGGCGTGGCTGGCCGCTGCTCGAACGTGAGTCCCTCTCTCAGTCACAACCACCCCCTTGGCAACGAAGCTCACTAACACCCCATCCCCAACCGCAGAACCTCGCCGGCCAGCCCCCCATCGGCAACCACCCAGCCCTCTGCCACCAAAGCTCGCCCACGGCCGGCGACGCCGCCTGCGAGAAGAACTGCGTCGTGTACCCGGGCTCGGGCGAGCCGTTCACGCTGCCGGCGTCAGAATGCACCGTCGACGGCGGCGCCGAGCCCACCACCACCATCACCTACATCAACCCGGGGCCGACCACAGAAACCGCCGAGCCGACTACCACCATCACCTTCATCGACCCGGCGCCGACGACCGAGACGGCCGAGCCCACCACCACGATTACCTTCATCAACCCGGGACCGAGCACCGAGGCTGGCGAGTCGGGTGCCTCCACTTTTACTACTGCCATGGTCAACCCCGGCAGCAACGGCACCGCCACTGGCACCCGTACCGGCGGCCCCGGGCTGCCTGTCTCGACTGCTGGCGCCGTGGCTAACCAGGTGGCTGGCACGCTGGCTGTGTTGGGCGGTATCGCGGCTATGCTGCTGTAGGTGGGAGAGGGGGCCGTGTGAGCTGGTTGGGGGTGGTTGGGTACGGGGTTGGGTGTTAGGGGGTAGGGGTGAGAGTGTAGCTGAAGAAGGTTGGGGGGGTCAGGGATGTTTTATTTTTACTTTTCACTCGTAATGGTTGATGTCAATGACGGATTTTAATGCTTATTATTAATGGCTAGTTGAATTCGCTTCAAACGTAGAGTTTTGTGTGAAATTCGGGGCGTTGAAGACCCTCCCCAATGGACCGTGTATATATACCGGCCGTGCCAGCAGTTAAACACCGAATCAACCCAACCCAACCTCTCACCCACGACATACCAACCCCAACACCCAACACCACAACCCCCCTCCCTCCCTTCACCACTCTCCCTTCACCACTCCCCCCCAAAACTACACCTACACCCCCACCTCCCCCGCCTCCTCCACCCACCACGCCCTAAAAACCGCCAACCTCTCCCCCCTGACCCTCGCCAACCCCCTCCCGACCTCCGTCTTCATCATCCCCTCCAGCCGCACCAACTTCTCATCCAAATGCGCCATCGAATCCGCCATCGCCCTCGCCGTGCGCGCCCCGCCGTACGTAAACAGCCTGCCCAGCCCGACGGCACCCATGGCGTCCAGCCTATCCGCGTCCTGCACCACGGCCAGCTCCGGGTGGGCGGCCACCAGCGCGGCGCACGCCGCCGGGTCGGCCTTCTCGCCGCTGTAGCTCACGCCCGTGCAGATGGTTTGGATGAGGGTGGCGAGTTGGGGCGGGCAGGTGAGGGTGGTGAGGAGGGTGGCGATTTGGCTGTGGGGGGTCTCGCCGGGTTGGAGGTATCTTTTAGGGGGGGGTTAGTGGGTGGGTGTGTGAGTGAGTGGGGGTTGAGAAGGGGGAAACTGACTTGCGGTCGCCGACGTCGTGGAGGAGGGCGGCGAGGTGGATGATGCGCAGGTCGACGGTTGCTTGGAAGGCGGCGTCGGAGTGGTTGTAGATGTGATGGGCTAGTGACACGACGCGCTCGATGTGGTCCCAGGAGTGAGAGGCGTCGTAGGCTTGCATGTACTCTTTTACGTGGGCCGTCACGGCTTGGACGAGGGGGTCGTCTGGGAAGGCTTCCATGGCGGGCGAGATTGAGGCAGACATATTTGCTGTGAGAGATCTCAATGTCTCGAGGTGTGGTTGTGAGGGAAAGGGAGGGAGCGGTGTAGAGCAGGAACTCAGTTCATAAAAGGTGAGTTTGAGAGCTGAGACCCACACAGTCGAGGTGGGTCTATTGTCTCAAGCAGCAGTACTTCGTATAAGATATCCCCCCAAAAGAAAGCCTCAACAAACTAAGTCGTTCCCTGAGTGGTTGATACGATGTGACTCAAGTATGTTGACGATTTGCCCTTTTTAGCCACTGTCTAAATACACGCCTATCGCGGACGCCATGCACCCTTGCACCCGTCTACCTCGACGAACAGACATTCTAACCTTGCATGTGCTTCCCTCGAGTGCACTTTAAATGTTGGGAATTTCGAGGCTGATTCACATTTTTGCTTTTCCCTCACCTACACAGTAAGGTACTTACCCTGCCCTTCCGGCTTGCCACAACATGCACTTCCTCGTTACCTTCCAGGCACTTTCCGTCTCCCCAGCATCCGATCCAAGTGTCAGCCTCACCATATCCCACGCAACTCCGTTGCCCGGCTCTAGCACATCTCCGGGTCTGCTGAACAGCCATGTGCCCTCAAATCTCGTAGACATACACAGAATAATTGTTATTGCACTACTTTCTCAGCTCGCAACCCGCATAGTGCACACTTCCCACAGCATCCGATACAATTCCTTCCTAGGAGTAAATAGTACAATGCCCTCAGACCAATAGTTCACCAACTCGCTAGTAGGTAGGTGGTACCTCTTGCTAACTACATGGGCTAAACCAGTGCCAACATTCCCAGCCAAACCAGACCCTCAGCCGTAACTACATAACCACCCCTTACTTCTCGTGTTGCTCGAACACTCTTGCACTTGCTTCTCCTTTGGCCATCAGAAGCAGCGTCATGGATAAGGCGTCATGGATAAGAGGTCACGCCGCGTAAAGATCACGAGGAATGACTACCGCCAAGTCCTCTCCAAGCGTCCTCGTTAATCCAGCGTCGGCGGCTCCGTGGACGATTGATGCAAGGAGCGTATCTGCCCCCCAACCCTAGATGGGGACCTCACAACTCGTCACATCAATCGCCCACCAAGCCGCCGGCGCAGGATTGGCGTGGACACTTAAGGAGACCTCGACGCTGATCATCCATACCTTTACGCCGCGTAACCTCTTGCCCATGACGCTGCCTCTGATGGTTAAAGAAGAAGCAAGCGGGAGGGTGCCCCGAGTAGCGTAGGTGGCAGGAAGTGCTATGACAACAGAGGGAAACGAGAGACCATAGACGTTTGTGTTGATGGATGTTAAAACAGGTGGAAAAAGGCGAGATGGGCTGTTCGGTCTAAGTAGGCCTTTTAAAGTGTGGGCGGCAGTACTTCGTATCTGAGCGGTCTGGAAGGTGCCACCGCGTGTACGGCTTGCAACAGGTGCTCAGCTACTACTGTGTATAAACTGCGTCGGGTGGCTACCTTATGTGTCTGGGTAGGTAGCCGTGCAGTGAGCAGACTGTCATGGTGTGGGGCAAGGGCTTGTTGGGGGAAGACATCAGGGCAAGAGAGCGTTCGCGATGAGAAGCAACCCTCGCGGTTGATGTCGCGGCAAATAACTCCGCTTACTGTGTCCTTTCAATGCCATGGCCATGATCGGAGCGATAATAAGCGTGCGGATGGAGACTCCGACCGCGGCTGTGTTGGTTCGGCGGACCTTTCCTGCGGAGTAAACGCGGGTGGTGGGAATCACGGCGGCTATCTGGGCACAGACTATGGGTCTTGGGGGGGAGCTGCCCAGTGAGGTGCGAGATCGTTGCTTGGGAGAGATCCCGCGGGTGCATTGGGAGCAACGGCCAAGTTGCTTCCAGCGTGATGATCCTGTCTCCTCACATACCCGCCGAGGCTACTGTGGAAGTTGATTGCTTGCATGCAGTAGGCCGACTTGGTGAAATCTTGCCATAACCTGATTGAACAACGGGGCTGGTCGTCAGCCATCATCGAGCCAAGCTGAGGCGGGGCTTGCAAAGACGAGCGCAACCACGGAATGCAAGACGACGATCGACGACTACTTCGTATGTCCGGACTCGACGAAGAAGCCGTCAACAGTCCAAATGACCCCCTGCTGAATGACCAAATGACCACTCACTGATCGACCGACGCCGCGAATGTTTCTCGGTGATGCCACGTTCCCCCTCCCGTTTCCGTGGCGTTCTGGCCGCTGGTGCACCGTTGCGGCGTTGTTTTCGCCATGAGGGCCTCGAAGTTGGTCGCCCCAAAAGCACCACGGAGCCTCAACGACGATGGATTGGATCCTTCATCGACATGGTTTCCATGGCGGGAAGGCATTTGAAGCCGCTCACTGGGTGCCGTTCACGGAAGCTGACCACTTGACCAATTTACCCGCAGCGACCGACGGAGAAGAGAGGCCGGAGATGCTGCGCTATCGATCATCGACCCAATACGCGGCCATAATCCCCACATGGTCGAGGCGAGCCTGCAGCAGAGTATGGATGGAGGGTAGCATGCTGATGCTGCAGGTCGGCTTGCCCATGATTCCATCACAATTCTTGGAACTCTGAATTGGGACGGGAGAGCAGGGTTCTGGAGGGAGAAGCGGGAGAAGTGCCCGGGCGTGCCTGCCTGGTGCCAGCCAGGTACGTCCGCAAAATGGCGCGGGGATTATTCATGCCATTGACCTGTCAAATATGACCTCGCTGGTTTTCGAGTGCCAGTGCCTGGGTTGTTGCTCGGGTCCCAAGTTCTTTCTGTCTGGGTCAGGACCAGGATTGAAAAAGCCTCTTGGTGTGAGGGTCAGAATGGCACACAGCAGCTCGGAGGGAGCACAACAGTTGATTATTGGCGGAGCTGCATGCAGTCCGTGTGATGAGGCCGATGGCCTGCGCTCGAGGAAAGGACGACGTTGGTGCCCGCCTTCCCTCATTGGCCAATGTATACAGGGATTTAGACGCCCAACTAGTCCTAAATTGGCGTAGCGTATGTGATCACCGTGCCCGTGCCGGCACATCTGCGGAGGCCAGCCTCCCCACAAAATGGAATGCTTCCAGGTTCGCCCGATTTTCGAGTCTCCATCTGATCTTTCACTTGGCTCTCTCGCTTGTTAGCCGCCCATCGTGCAGTAGTGCTGCATGGCTGCACGGCTCACCTCGAGGGGAACAGGGGGGATGCTGCTTGAGGCCATCTCGCACACACACACACACACGCACACACTCTCTCTCTCTCGGCCGGCAACCCGCATGCTCCCTGGCCCCTTCTGCGAGGCCTGCTCGTTGTGTGCTCCTCCAGCCGATTCGTCGAATCGGGCTAGTCAGTAATGGGGGCAACCCACCCCCGCTGCCCGGTCTTTCCCCTCCTCCCGGACATGGCTTCGTGATGATATAAGGGCCGTCCCCCTCGGCCTCATTCCCTCTCCCTTCTCTTTCCTTCTGCAGCAAGCACTCAACCATACCTTGTGTTGTTCTCTTTTCCCCCCTTCTTTTTTTTCTCACCTTTCCACGGAGCTGTGCTCTGTTAATCCAATTAATCCAAAAAAGCAAATTTCGGTAGCTTGCTGGTCTTGCTATCACCAACTTAATCCACTTCAACCCAAACAACACCGGGTTACTTGCTCCACACGCTCTTCAGCGCAAAGATCATTCTTTTCAAGACAATTCAATTTTTCAGCACTCGATTTTAATTAATAACGAAGTTTCAAAATGTCCGCCATCCAGCTCTCATTCTCCCTCCGCGTCTCCTCCGGCGTCAAGACCGTCCACCTCCTCGGCTCCTGGGACAACTACAGCGGCCAGCTCCCGCTCTCCAAGGACAAGAGCTCCTCCAAGGGCACCTGGAAGGGTACCTTCCGCTTCCAGCAGGCGACCCTCCAGCCCGGCCAGCGCTACTGGTACTACTACATCATCGATGGGTACCACGTCTCGCACAACCCCAGCGAGGACTCCACCGTCGAGCCCACCACCGGCCGCGCCCTGAACATCCTTGACGTTCCCAAGGCCAAGTCTTCCTCTTCTTCTTCTTCCAAGTCGTCGTCCCGCAAGTCGACCTCCTCGTCCAAGAGCCGCTCGTCCACCAGCGGCGACGTCGCCAAGGGCCGCCCCCTGTCCGTCTCCCAGATCAAGGCCCCCAAGCCCGTGTCGCCCAACGCCACCCGCCACATCCTCGACAGCGACTTTGACGAGGACGAGCTCAGCAGCCGCTTTGCCGCCACCGGCATCTACGAGGACGAGTACTACAACGAGGACGTCATCACCGACTTCGGTGCCCCCGGCTCCCCCGTCTCGTCCGTCGGCTCCTCGCTCTCGTACCGCTCCGACAGCTCCGGCTCGTCCGGCTACAGCACCCCGGCGTCGGACTGCTCCAGCTGCACCTGCGAGCGCTACGGCATCACCCGCAAGGGCGAGCGCGTCCTCCTCGACTGCGGCGGCTCCCGCTGCTCGTACGACGACTCGTGCTCCTCCGAGGACGAGGCCGAGTACGTCGAGCGCAGCTCCCGCCGCAACGGCATCGTCGTCCGCGACTAAGCGTCCTGCGGCAATGCCTCGGGTGAGGAAAAGAAGAAGATGAACTTTTTTGTTTTGGCAGTCTGTCGAAAAAAAGACTTGGTTTAATGAGAGGACCCAGCAGAGGGCGCGGATTTTCCCACCTCGCAGCCTGAGTCCTCGGTGCTTGCCCCCTCTTGGGGCATCCACCGCCAGTCGACGTCGACGCCGTCCAGGGCCGATATCCACGCGGAAAGAGCCAATTCCCAATGGCCGTTCCACTCACTCAACCCACACTTCGTTGTTTGAAACACAGCAGCGGTGAGCCGGGCTGAACCGGACCCCCCCCCCTACCCATCCCGGGTACTTATTTTTTCAAGCCGCACGTGTGAAGCGGAGGTTGTGTGGCGGGCCTCGACTGGTTTCGAGTCCCGCCCGCGCCCCGCATCGCCGTGCCGTGCCCGGGAATGGGATGGGGGACGGGGTTTCCCGGTTAGTCTCCGAGGCTCCCGCTTTAATCTGTGACCCCCTCCTCCCGTTCTGGTGACGGGGGAGGGGGTTCGATGGCTGCATGCCTGTCTTGAGATGCAATACTCTCTTGCGTTCCCTCCTTTTTTTTTTTTTATTACCACCGACAATCAATTTCGCCCGAGTACTGGTTCCCCCTGGCGGGGAGCTGGTCCAGCTCGCGGCGGCATGAAACAAACAGTACTTCGTTTGTGGGGAGGTTTTTTTTGGACAAGTTTTTACCCCTCTCGGGTTCGCTTCTAGGGGATGTTTCGAAGTTGAGCCTGCCTGTGAGGGGAAGATGATAAGTTTGTGGTCTTGGGCCTGGGCTTGGTCTGAGCTAGCCACTTTGTGTTTTGGTGATGTGTGGAGGAGGGTTGGCAGCGGCGATTCTCGGGAGTGGGAGTTGGCCAAATGATGTCATGTAGTTAATCTTTGCTCTGGCTGCTACTGAGTCGGTATAAATAACTACTACTGCCATAACTGTCTACTTGATTGAGTCCCTGGTCTGTGAATGTATGTGAAATGGTGATGCTCAATTTTCGGGGGTTGACATGAACGGTAAGATGGTGTGACCCGACTACCCACCCAGTTCAGTCAACTGCGCATATTGTGTGAACTTTTATTATTATTCAACTTTTGTAAATCCCGGGCTCTCACTTGTTATCATAAAATAACGGGCCCGAGTGAATAACCGCTTGTGCGAGATCTATGGACAAATATCAGAATCGCTTCTATGCCGAATGCCGTCCGCTCTAAAAGACTAACCAACCGACCTACCCCAGCCATGGTATCAATCCATCGGCAACATATCCTGACCCGGCCGGGTGTGCACATAACCCAAGCCCAAAGAAATACACATGTGTGGCCCAGTACGTAAACATGGTTAGTTTCGTACTCCCCTCCCCTCCCGCACAACCCTCCTCCCAATCTTCAGATCCCGCTTAGACGTGCAGCAGCAGCCCATGCCGGAGTGAACAGCAAAGGCCCAGATGCTGAAGCCGGTGGCCAGCCACATAAAGACAAACATGCGGACGCCGACCTCGGCGTGGATGTTGAGCTCCTTCTGGGCCTCGGCGGCGTACTTGAAGGCGATGCTGATGACGCTGCCGACGATGCTGGCGGCGAGGATGAGCATCATCTCGAGGAAGGAGACGACGGCGAGCGGCAGGCTCCACCAGCGCGACGAGACGGCCAGCGGGGAGAGCAGGACCATCAAAAAGGCCAGCACGGCCGCCGTCAGGAAGAAGCCGAACATGATCTGCGACGTGATGCGCAGCACGTCCAGGATGGTGATGACGTCGGTCGGCAGCGCGATGGTCGCCCCCGACAGCAGCTCGTTCATCAGGATCTCCACCGGGTTGAACCAGTACAGCGTCGTCGGCTCCGAGCAGAAGGTGATGCCCGTGTTGATGTAGCCCTCGCAGAAGTTCCATAGCCCGACCTGGTAGAAGTCGTGCAGCCCGATCGACTGCGCGATGCTGTTGATCAGGCTGGCGTTGGGGACCGACGTCGGGATGATGTCGGCCAGGTCGAGCTTGAAGAAGTAGATGCCCGAGAGCACCGCCCGCGGGTGCGTGTTGCCAATGAGGACCTTTGCTTGGTGGTTAGACTCACCCGGGCTATTGTGGGGGAAATTGGGGGGGGTGGTGGCTTACAAGCACCAAGAATATCCAGGACAAGAGGTAGGCGAAGGAGGCGCTCAGGGCAAAGTATCGACGCAGTCGCGTTGCTCGCTTGAAGGAGGCATTGTCGTTTTCGACAGCCTGTTCTTTCGCAGAGGGACTTGACGGTGATGAGGGGTCATTTTTCTCGCTGTTGGGCTTGATGCGGGACCGGAGGGCGGCGGGTAGTCCCATCTTGGCTGTGGATTTTGATGTCGAGGGCGGAAAGGAAGCGGCGTAAACAAGCTCAAGCAGCCCTGCTGCGAAGGACGAGCTAGCTTTAGAAGATCTATTGTATTGCAACAATAACACCCCAGTACGAGGTGGACGCCACAAGACCTTGGAGATCTGGGGAAGAAACAAAAAAAATAAAAATAAAATAAAAAGAATTCCAAAACGACTGACTGAATCAGGTGCGAAACAAACAGGATCTCGGGGTGGAGCAGTGTCAAAACTCAAAAATGGGGAGCGACAAGCAAGAAATGAGTGCTCGGATGAGATCTTCCACTCTTCCCAGCCAAAGGGGTTCTCCTCTGCATCGATGATGTCGTGTCGTCGCGGTGCAGGGGCTTCTGCCAAGTGCTGGGCTGTGCAGATGCGCTACAGGGGTTCATCCGGGTCGTCCGCCGATGTTTTGGAAAGCGTCAACTTTGAGGGAAGGTGGGGGATCAACTGGCTACGAGGGCTCCTGAAATTTAGCGGTCAGCGCTTCCCCTCTCCCCGCTCGCTACCAACAGGCGCTTGTGGTGTGATTTCACATTTTGAATGTCGAAAAGGAAAATCAACTGCCCGTACCGGGTTCCCAATGCGAATTCCCTGCACTTTTTTCAAGGAAATGGAGTTTCTTCAATGCCGATTGACAGAGCTGACAGGCGATGCAGCTGGCCACGCTCCAATGCAATATCGGATCGACTGCCGATGATTCTTGGCGCAGACGTCATCTCGTTGATCGGAAGCACCGGCAAGAGAGACACGGCGGGTTATTACTTGCCAAGTAACTATGGTGATGCAGATGTATGCCCCAGATAGGTCGATAATACACAGCAGTCAGCATTGGCAATTGTTGGCGTGGCTGCATCGGAGAGAGAAATCAATCGGATGGATTGGATGAACGGATAATGATGGTGACGACTGGCCAAGAGATGCGCCCTCATCTTGTGTGGGTGTCACGGTGTCTGGTCTCGAACAACCGCTGGCGGCTGCAAGGTTGCAGAGCGCGAAAAAGAACCCCACCGCTGCGGCAGTGCTGGCAGGGGAAGAAATGCAAACGAATGCAAACCCATGTCCATGCCCTGTTTTAAGGTTTCTTGTCCTGCGGGTACGAAAGTCTCCCCCTCGAGATCTGGCCCGCGAAGAATTCCACAATTGGGGCAGTAAGTTAACTCGGAACCCGCTCCCCATCTCTCGCTCTTTTTTCCCACTTTGGATCCTTTTTTATTTTCGATGCCTTGTCGGAGGCTTGAAACACACAATCATCGTCACCATCATCTGGAATGATGGCGTCCTTTAAGCGTATCGCCGGCGTGCTGTGCCTGCTGTCGCTCAGCATTGGCCCGGTTTACTGCCAAAATGATGCCGAGAATGTCGCGAGTGTCGATAATGTCGAGAATGTCGAGAGTGTCAACCCCGACGACCCGGGCATCACCATGTTGACCGGCACAAGAAGCGACGCAACCAAATCGACCGGCATACCGACCGGCGTCTACCAAGACCCTTCATCGCGCGTCACCATCGCGACAACGACCCTGCCCACCGACCTCGGGATACTCACACAAAGCTACACCGAAGCCGCCGCCTCCCCCAACACCGTTACCTACCTCACCGGCTCGATGGCCTCTTCGGAGTCCACCGACACCGCCAACGCGACCTCCACCTCCACCTCGACCACCCCGCCGCGGCCCACCAACACCCGCCCCTGCAACAACTACCCCGAGCTCTGCGCGCGCAAGTACAGCAACATCACCCACGTCGGCTGCCACAACAGCCCCTTCACGCGCGCCGGCAGCGCCGCGGCGAACCAGGAGTTTCCCGTCATCGACCAGCTCAACGACGGCATCCGCTTCCTGCAGGGCCAGATCCAGTGGCCCGAGAACGGCACGGTGCCGCACTTCTGCCACACGACGTGCGACCTGCTCGACGCGGGGCCCATCACGGACTGGCTGCGGCAGGTCAAGGACTGGGTGGCGCGGCACCCGTACGACGTGGTGACGATCCTGCTGGGCAACGGCAACTACTCGACGCCGGACAAGTACGCCGGGGCGATCGAGGCGTCGGGCATCAAGCAGTTCGTCTACACGCCGAGCGTGATCCCCATGCGGGTCGACGACTGGCCGACGCTGGGCCAGATGATCCTGTCGGGCCAGCGCGTCGTCATGTTCCTCGACTACATGGCCAACCAGACCGCCTACCCCTGGCTGCAGGACCAGTTCAGCCAGATGTGGGAGACCCCCTTCGACCCCCTCGACACCGCCTTCCCCTGCACCGTGCAGCGGCCCCCCGACCTGAAGCCCGACGCCGCCCGCCGCCGCCTGTACATGATGAACCACAACCTCAACGCCGAGGTCTCGCTGCTGGGCCAGTCCATCCTCGTCCCCGCCGTCAGCCAGCTCAACGTCACCAACGCCGCCGAGGGCCCTGGCAGCCTGGGCATGGCCGCCAACAACTGCCGCTCCGACTGGGGGCGGGCGCCCAACGTGCTGAACGTGGATTACTACAACTACGGGAATTACCCGGGCAGCGTGTTTGAGGTGGCCGCCGCCATGAACAACGTGACGTTCGTCAAGAGGCCGTGCTGCGGGCCGGGCTCCAACGCCGCCGGGAGGGTGGAGGTGGTGAGGGGCGCCCTGTGGATTGGCATGGCTCTGGGGGTGTGGTTGCTAGTTTAAGTTTGTGTCTGCAGCGGGTGGTTTGGTTTCTAGTTTGGCTGGTCCTATTTGGCATTGCATGGCGTTACGGTATCTAGAATCTAGACGGGTTGCGCGGCAACAGATTGTGGTTTGGAATATCCCTAAAATTCATGGGGGAAGGGGAAGATGGCAGGAAACAATGAGAGTCAACGACATATTACCTAGCTACCTAGGTACTCATGTATTAATTTCTCAAAAAAATACACACGAGACTGCCCCTCAACCAATGACACTTTTTACTCGTTCCCTTCCCCAGCCCAGTTCCTTTTGTTATTACCCCTGATTCTTTTATCAGAACATTCTCAGGTACCGTAATCAGGGGATCCGGGGTGACGTCTGCGGGGAGGACCCTCCAACCCCTGGTCCAGACTCTTGGCGCTTCGGTTAAGCCGAGGTTCAGGGCAACTGCGGAGCCGAGCCGACGGCCGTCTTCTTCGCCGACCACTCGGCGCTCGACAATTAACAATCGCACTCACCTTCACTTTCACTCTTGCGACCTTGGCTTCACCCCTTCCGTGAACATCGAATATCATCGAGTATCAATCTTTGAAAATCCAAAAACCCAATCTCACACACCGCCACCATGTCTCAACAATACACCAAGGCCGAAGTCGCCCAGCACAAGGACGAGAAGTCCATGTTTATCATTGTCGACGACGGTGTCTACGATATTGCCGGTATGTTGTTTATATTTTACTACCTCCAAAATGATTGCCGGCCCCCAACAACCCGTTTACTATCCCACGATTTGTCCGTCTGAAAAACAGGCGGCACGCGAGCGGTGAATAGGTAAACTCGGTGGTGACGCACGCGCTAACCGAGGCAACCCGCAGGCTTCCTCGACGACCACCCGGGCGGCGCAAAGATCCTTAAGCGCATGGCCGGGAAGGACGCCACCAAGCAGTTCTGGAAGTACCACGGCAAGAGCGTGCTCGAGAAGTACGGGCCCAAGCTCAAGGTCGGCACGCTCAAGGAGGAGGCCAAGCTTTAAGCGTATCCTTCCGCTTGGTTGTTGGGGTCGGTGGGGGAGCAGTTGTGAGTGGGTGTACATACGAGGCATGATCTACTTGTTGGGCATACTGCGGCGGCGTGGCATGGCATTGATACCACCAATACAGCGATGCTGATTTGACTTAACCCATACGTTCCCATTCTTACTTGCTCCGTTCGGAGTCCCTAGGCAAACTGCTGCTGTGGTATCAGGCCCCCACCCCTAACGCGGAAACCCCCACCCCAACTGCGACGTGGGACAGACACTCAGGTCAGACAACCCCCCTCAGCCGACAATGTGGTGACAAGGCAGCCACCCCCATCCTATCGTGGTGACACCGCATGGTGCCGACCTGAACTGTCCATTCGGGTTCGCTTCCATGCGAACGGCGACTCACTTCCGATCTCACCCGGAGAATAAGGACCGCTTACATAGTGGTGACCTGCCCGAACATGCGACCGGACACCAGCCTTATGTACTTACCTTGATGGTCGCGATCCGCGAAACCCGGTCGGAGGACGGTCTTGAAGATGTGACCCCCACATACATGCAGCAACCAGGCACTGAGGCACCCTTACAGCCAAAACCGAGTAAATGCTGCCTCGCTTCCCAACGTCCCAAACCAGTAAGAGCAAGGGAGCCAACACTCACTCTATGCTGAGCCTTGAACGGCTACCAGAGCGATGCTGTAAGTAAGACGGGGGAAGTCGAGGCGAACACGCTGCGGCGGAGGTGGGATCGTATCCCGTGTGTCTCAGCCCCAGCTGCCGTGTATCCGTTGATGGTTGCCCATCCGGAATAATAACTACCATTTTATTCTCCGATCATGGAAGGCCAGCGTATAATCCAGCCCCTCGAGAACAAGGTGATCGCCGAGTCTCGGGTAGATAGGAAGGATCACGGTTCGGGTTAAGGCATCGGTCCTAAACGAGCAACTGCGAGACTCGGCAGCGGATGTCAAGCCCTCTCGTCTACCATTACCAGCTCCGTAACGCCCCTCCGGCGAACAGCAAACCTGCAATCGAATGAGTGGCTGAACTACCCTGGATATCTTCAAAGCCCGAACCCCAATAGCCGATCACCAAGACATCACCCCCAATCATCTCCTCGCCAACACGAGATCACACCGTGATACAGCCTCCAACCGGAACCGGCCTCTCCAACCAACCAACCAAACCCGACACAAAATCCCAAACCGACAACCACCCCGCAAAAGGCCAAAGACACAAATAAAAGAATGCTCACCTCGTCACCAACCCGATGAGACCGGAACCGAACCCCGTCCCCCTCAACCCACCAGTCACAACCGCCAAATCACCGATCCCCATCCCCAGCTTCCCCATCCCCCAATGCCCAACGCCCAAAAGACGGAGACGGCTGGCATGCTGTCTCACCACCCCACATTCCCGCCGCCCACTCACCTCCCCGCCAAGTCGCCCGTTACCTATGTAGGGAGGTACCTACCGAAGAACGGAGGGCATTCACAATCACGCGCCGCCGCTGGCGTGCGGCGGCAAAAGGGGGGGGGTTATCACGTAAACAGACGGCCCCGGCACGCCATATCCATACCATATCACAGACAGGACGGCAAGAGCAGGTTGTTTTGTTTGTGTGCTCCGACTGCGGGTTAGGAGTTGGGGGTATGGGGGTACCAACAGGGCAGGTCAACAATCAAGATATCAGAAACACAGGCGCAGATAGATGGTGGTGGTAGTAGTAACACAATTAACCAGCTACCTAGATAGCTCTCCCTAAGCAAACAAAAACTCAACCTCCAAAATGCTGTGCCCCCCTCGAATCAGATACCGCTGCAAGCAGTCGGTCGGCCCAAGTACCCCCCTCCCCCCGGGGGAAAAGAGAAAAAAAGAAAACACGTCAAAAAAATACACTTTTGTGTACGCCCGCATATCCCGCTTGCCCATATCTGCCTGCTGTACCGGGAACGACAATCCCAAAAAACAAAACAAACTCCCAGACCCATCCCATGGAAAACAAAGGAAATTGCTGCTCGGATTATGTGGTGGTGGTTGGCGGCGATGACGGGGAAGCCGACCAAACCAAACCGGACCGAACCGAGCCGAGCCAAACTCCATGAATGATACGAAAGTAGACTGTTTCGCTTCCACCCTGCCGGGCCGGGCAGGCCGTGGGCCGGTTACGGCGGAGGGCGGAAGGATGTAATAATAATGGTGGGTATGTGATTTAATGCCGGGGTTGGTCAGTCGATCGGCCGGGTTGGCTGGGTTGGCGGGGTTGGTTGATGATACAAGGGTGAGTGCGGGTTGTGTGTGTTGTTGTTGTTGACGGAGAAGGGGAAGCCCAAGGTTGAAGGCGTGATCCCGTGGGATGAAAAACGATCAGATCGGGCCATTCGCCGATGGCTCCATGAACGCCCGTAAAATGTAGTAATATCAAAACATGAAAAAAGAGATGGCTCGCTAGCCGGAGAGAGAGGTAGGCGGCAGCCCACTCAGCGGCGCATCGACGCGGGCCAGTGGTCCCGGAAGCTGACGGGGCTCGGCGGAGGCGGGGCCGGTACCGAGTAGTCGCTCTCCCGGATGTGGTGGATGGGCGTGACAAGCTCGTCCATCTTGGACGCCAAGGTTGCGTTGAGGCTGGCAAACAGCTCCTGGGTAGTGATCAGGCCCAGATTCCGGCGCGGGGCCGGGATCGGGATGGGCGCGGCGATCGGAGTGGCGACGTGGGAAGGCATTGTGGTGGATATGATGGGTGGAGTGATGGTCGAAGGACTGGGCTGGGTCAACACCGGTGGGCGAGGACAAGGTGAGCAACGAGGCGGGCTACCTTTGGCAGAGGCAGGTGATTGATGGCTGGGATTTGGTCGAAAAGGCGGCGAGCGGGTTGCAGGCTGTGTGTGAAGCTAGGCGATGGGCAAGAGGGCGACCGAGGTTGATACGTATTAATACCCGGCTATGTATGCTTGCTTCGGTTTCACGGGCTGGTGTTGGTTCACGGCTGCTGTCCCTAACGGATAGATCTGCGGTCGGCCACACGGAAAGGTCGGTCAAGAGGCGGTCGGGTAAGAAAAGAAACGGGAAGCAGAAGGAAACTTTTCCGAGACCAACTGTGTCTTTATGTGGAAGCAGGCCCGGCCAGGGAGAGGGGAGACCAGACCAGACCAGACCGGCCGTTTGACAGGGAGTAGGGGGACGGGGGGGCGGGGAGGGGGGTGAGACTGGGAATTCTGGGTACGGCCCAGTGGAATTCTGGGAAGACGGATGGCTGAGTACCTTGTACCATGGCCTCAGATTCCTTATTCACTCCTCCCTGGTTGTTTTGACGCGGAATCCCGAGTTTGTCACACGATTTGTTGGTGTCCGCAAGGGGTATAAGTGACTTGTCGTTTTGGTGGCGGGCGGTACCCCAGCGTGGGAGCAAACAGAGTAAAGATGAATCCGGTCTCGTACAAGACTGTCTAGAAGCCCAAAAAAATGCTGGTTTCTGACGGTGAGATTAGACCCAGAAAATACCTACCTGCGGTGATGTGGCATCGCGAGGCGGACGGGGTGCCCTCAAACGACCTGGGGAGGCACTGCTCGGCCCCCATTTCTGGCGGTGGAACGAGGTTGCTGGAGTGCGGACAGCGTACCCAACAGCTCGACAGGGCTGCGGTCTCCAGGCCAGAACCTTGTTTGAGAGTGCAAAAACTTATCCGCTCTGCCGCTGTGCCTGGCACTTTGACCAAGAAGCTCGCAAACACGGCTGGATAAATCGGATGACAAAACCAGGAAGGCACCAGTTGGTTGTCCCCCGGCGTAAAATCGTACACAGGGACCGTGTCTGCGCGGCCTGGCCAGCTCGCCAGGTATCATTCCAACCGGTGAAAGAGGAATCCTGCCAAGGTAAAGGTCCTCTCCGTACGGATCTGACGGGGTTTTTGAAATGGTGGGCCATCTCCGGGGCCAAACCGCCCGATCGATGCCCTGCTCACTTTTTTTTTTTTTTCAAAATTTCAGGCTGTTCCCACGGCCAAGTGCATCGGTCTGACGGGTCGACCAGGGCGCCATTGGGTGTTGCAAGCTCCTTCCCTCCCGCTCTCAAGAGGCGGTAAGGAAAGGGGAGTTACGTCCGAGGTGCCCAGACCGGGGAGGCACTGGGCAGGCGAAGAAGGCAGGCACGGTAGGGCAGCCGCGGTCGACATCAACATCCGGGACCTCTGGTGTGCCCGAAGAAAATTCTCCCCGTGGGGCAGACCCGGGGCTTGTCCAGATTCGGGTCGAGCAACCAAAGATCCACAGAACGCCCGTCTGGGGTCTGTGGGGTAAAACGCGATTGGTGCGGATTGTCAGCTCCACTTGACTCAGCTCCAGCCCCACCGGCCACTTTCGAGCGTCGAGCCACTGCGCGGCTGCGTTGCACAAACGCTCACCCAAAAAAGTTTTGGACGTCGCTGCCTGTTGCGCGGCGCTGTTGTTCGGGTTTCGTCCTTTTGGTAACACGTCTTCATCAATGAAGGACCGAGCCAGCTCGGTACGACGGCTCAAACGGGGCACTTCTGATCCCTTCCCCACCAGTGCAGCGCTTGACTGGCAAACATTCTTCCCACCAGCCACGCCTCACTTTCCTCCCGTTCCGGCACTGGCTGGATATTGCGATATTCCAGCCAGCCAGAAACTCGGATCGCCTTGATTCACGTCACACCAAGCACTTGGGCACACGGCACATTTTGCCCATCGGCGTCGATGGAAATGGTAGGAGGGCACTGACTAACTATTCTGTCCATCCCTAACAAGGGGGCGGCGCATGAATCCGGCCCTATCAAGCCGGCCATTTTGCCCTGCTGGCTCTCCTCAGGCTGACGGTGTTGTGTCCACCGACCACGTTCTCTGAGGGCGGCAAAGCATGCCAGCCACGGCCTGTTCCGTCCGCGACTCTATGTTCCAATTTCGGTGCAAAATCGCTTCCGCTCGCATCGCAGACCAGCCAGCCATGGGGAATGGGCTGACTGACGGGCTCTCACAAACCTCCGCCGGGAACTCCGGATATTCCGCCCTCTTCGGCCAGCCTATCGATGGGTTTTCCTCGCCAAACGACGAAAGATGACGTGGATAACCCAAACAAATGCAGGACGCCGTTCGTCTGATCTCCGCAAGCCGCCCGTCAGTCCCTGCTGAACCCCGTTTCTCGGCCGTTTCAAGCAGTTTTCTGGAACCTTCAACGAGCAAACAGGGCTCCCCGGAGGAATCCAACCCCTGCCCTGCATGAACTGCCACTGCACCCCCTTTTCATCCAGGGCACCCAACCTTGAGCCAACGCAACGCAATCGTGTTGATGCATTATTCTCCATAACTACACTAATAAGCGGAATAGCCAAGGAGCCGGACATCGGCGCCGTTTTCCGGCTAGCGAAATGCGGTCGGCGGCTTTTTTCCCCCCTGCGGAATGCATTTCTGGTTTTGACCGCTTGCAGCTGCTTTCCCCAGACTTTCCGTGCTGCCGGGAGCAGCGCCAAGCCGCGGATCGAGTTCCCGTCGTGCATTCCCTCGCCCCTATTTTCGTGCCATGTGGTTGCGCTGCGTTGTCAACCCGGCGATTGACTGATTAAAAATTAATTGATTATTTGCTTGGCCTGGAGCCGCTTCGGCTGTGGTTTCCACCGCAGTGCGGACTCGTCATCTGGTGTGGCCCGTCTAAATTTTCGGTTGCTCGTCTCGTTGCTGAGCCATTCTGTCAAGTGGATGTACATAGTATGTCCATACACACAGACACCAGGATGGCGTTGTGTCATGTCCTCATCCCTGGTAATTATCCCTCGGCTTTGTTCGCATGCTTGCCTCCCTCGGCGAGAGCCGGTCCGGCCAACGAAGATGGGAGATTATCATCTGTCCGCCCTTCCTTCGACGAGCTGACCAGGGAACTTCACCACAGCCCCCGTGACCAGTTGCCAATCACGGCGGATGGACGAGTGTTCGTTCCCGCTGGTTCCGTCTCATCATGCCCAATAATACACAGCAGCGACGCGCGGAAATGCAAGCACCGAGGCATGCGTGTGGCACGTTCAGGAAGAGGAATCCTCGTCACACCCCCAGCGTTGCAGCCTGACCGAACCGCAAAGTCGCAATCGGGGACTTGGGGAGGTGAAACCCGCGGTGAAAATCAGGTGAAGGAGCGGGATCGCCGATTCGTTCCCGAGCCGGCCGTTGAAACGGGCTGGCATTCTTCCGCCAACGATGTCACCAACGACCGGGGGGGGAGAAGCCATGGTTAGATGGTGTCGAACATTGTCGACGTTCCTGCCCGGGTAAATCAGCCGCGCTTCATGCCAGGGGGTTGCTGCGATGTGCTGAGGTGACGAGCGTCATGCCAAGCCTGCGGTCCGTGATATTCTCCCTTCCCGGGCCGCATGTGGTTGGCCCACTCCGGGGCCGGGACCGGGACCCGGAGGCGGCGCATGGGTTCGATTTTCCTGTTATTCTCTGTATAACTAACACGCTGCACCGGCTGTGTGGCATGGCCGGCCGGCCAGCGGGTTGGTTTTGCTTTGTTTCAAGAACATAATTGTTTCGAGGCCAGAATCATGGCCCGGCCGGCTGGTGGGTTGCCCGCGGTCCTGTTGGCTCGTTGTCATCGAAGAGCAATCCCGAGTGCGTTACTTTGCCACGAATACCGCCTGCGGATATCTGTTTCAGGCTTAGACATAATTATTGCGTGTTTGGAGGCGACGAGCCGATTTAATTTTATCCTCGATTATTTCCACACTTGTTTGTTTTCAACGGTTTGTGAGGTTGAGGTCATCGCCACATTCCAAACCGTTTGTTGTTTGTGAGATCACGTAAAATGCAGCGCGGCATTGCGAAGGCTACGGAGCAACGGGGTGACGTGTCACTGGGGGTCGATCATTGATATAGAAGTTCTGCATTGCCCAATATCACCGACCGTCCCCAGATGGCCGAGTGGTCAGAGGGGGTGGTCAGGGCCCCGAGGCGAGAACTCCTGATGCTCTCTCTCTCCGAGGGGTCGCCGGTTCGAGTCGCCCCGGGGCAGGTTAAAAACAGGAAGGGGGTCCGCCCCCTTCCTTCAAACGGGTTGACCACCTGAACTGTAAACCCTAAGGGGTTTCGTAGCCGGCTACTAACCCCCGGGGTTAGCCGGCGAGCTTTTGCTACTCACTCTTCCCACCTACACTATTTTTAATTTCTTTTTACCGTATTGTTGTCAAACTTGATGAAGTGAATGATGCATTGCAGAGATAGGATCAATCTTGCCAGGAAACGTGGTCCTTAACCGACACAGTGGTAGCCACGAAATGCTAGGAACCAAGCAGCTCTCATGTAATTCTAGCCCTCAAGCTTGTAAGCCTCCTTGGCCGTCCCGGCCCAGAGCATTGCCTGGTCTTCTTCGCCCAAGCCGGCCAGATCGCACACCATGTCAACTACCTTGTGCCATTTCTTCCACGAATCCTCGCCTACACCCACCACGCAGATGGGCCAGTCGCTGCCAAACATGATCCGGCTCGGGCCGAACGCCGCGACCACAACCGCCAGCCACGGGATGATGGCCGCGAAGATGTCCTCGGCAGGCCGCTCCTTCAGCTTGTCCGGCAGCTCGGCGAAGCAACCGCTTAGCTTCATGTATGTCTTGTGGCACTTGCTGAGGGTGAACATAGCAGTGCGCCTAGGTGATATCGTCAGGTCAGTCGATGCTGGTCCCTCAAGAAGTGAGTTCGTTTAGCCTGTACATACCATGCAATGAATGACGGGTCCGTCTGGTTGAGAATCGTCAAGTCGGGCTTGCACAGGTGATCTACCAAAGGTCATTAGCACGCACGCACACCCCATCCCACCACAACTCAACAACTCACCCAAGATAAACACCACCTTCTCCTCCTCCTCGACCCCCTCATGTGCCCGGTCGATCAACTCCACAACCTCCTCCAACTGCACCCTCCCGCGCCGGTGCTGGTCAATACCCACATCAAACACAAACCCCTTCCGCCCCAGCACCTTCAACCCCTCAATAAACCCCTCACCCAGCGCCGTCCCATTCTCCTTATCCTGCAACAAATACCGAAACCCCTTCACCCGGCCCCAAGCCTCCGGCCCGGCCTCCGCCTCCGCCCTCTCCAAATACCGACCCAACTCATCGGGCCCGAGCACGAGCGGCGCCCAGGGCACCAAACCCAGACATAGCGGGGCATCGTCGGGCGTGTGGCCCTCGGCGGCGCCCGCCGTGCCCGTCGCGACCCGCCGCATCCACGCGACCTCCTGCAGCGCCGCGTCCCAGTCCCGCGGGCTGCTGTTGCGCCGGTCCGCCTCCACGAGCACGAACCCCGCAAGGTTGGCGCCGGCGACGGCGGGAGCCGTCGCCGCGCGGAACTCGGCCGTCGACTGCTGCGCGGGCAGGGGGTGCGTGGGCGTCCACCAGGCTAGGGAGGGGGCTTCCGAGGCGGGGTAGAGGTGGATGTGGGAGTCGATGATGGGGGGTGCCATTTTTGGGGGGAGGGGAGGGGTTGGTTGGGGAGGTGAGGTAGGTATGTTTATTTTTGGGAGGGACGGCGGGGGGGGGGGAGCCTTAGGCAGGTGGGTGATGAGAATGAAAGGGGGGCGGGGGCGTGAGGGAGTTGTCGAGTTCGATATTGAGAATTTGGTTTCGGGATTTGGGCTTGGTTCCACGTTATCTTGGGACCGGAGGGGAGCACCCTTTTTTATTTCAAGAATGACCACGTTCACCACAGATTTGGGGGCATGTAAAATGGGAGATGATGTCAAATGCAGAGAGAGATGCTATGTTGTTGAACACCCCTCACCGACATAGCGGGGAGACAAATGCTCCACCAATGGCCTTGGAAGCTCGAGGTGCAGGTTGGTCGATCATTCTGGAGCAGTTGCGAGGATACTGTGTAAGCGATCCATAGAGAGTCCGTCCAGATCACATTTCAAGCCTTCTTCTTAGCCACTGTTAACGAGGCATGAGCGGAGAACATGTTGGTCTCTGAGCTTTCTGGAGCGTTGGGGACAGCGGTTCTTGACTGGCTTTGGCTGGCCTTGACTCGCATCGAAATATTGGAAGAAAAACAAGAGATACTAGCGAAAAGACAATTCAAATAATAAAAAATAGGGGTGAAAGAGAGACAAAAAGAGCTGTCTTGATTTCCTGTTTTTCTCTCTCTTCCATTTTAATGGAATTCATGTCAACCGTTGGTGAAGAATGATGGGGTCGAGGCGGACTGTGCATGTAGAGTAAAGTGGCACTCAAAATACACTGTGCGTGCCTAGGCTCCCCATTAAACTTGCTGCCCCTCGACGCGTTCTGCGCGCCTGCCCAACGCGACCCCTCCGAGCCTTGCATCGACCGCCACTCCCGCAAACCGACTTTTGTTGTCTGCGTCAACGCCGGGTTCGCTCAGCACACGCCATACACGCTATTAATCAATCAAGCATCAACACAAAATGGCGGAACAACAGATCTCTCAGGGCGCGATAGAGTAAGTCGGCACGCCCGTTTCTGGATGCTCGTGGGAATGCCATCTAACCCCGATCCAGGGCCATCTTCTTCGATCCCGACCGCGCAGCCGTGCAATACCCGGTCCCGGTGATGCAATGTCTTCATATCAAGACCCTCGAGAGCAAGGGCCCGGGGGCCGCCGCGCCCGAGAGGTACCGCATCGTCCTTAGCGACATCCGCAACTACGTACAGTGCATGCTGGCCACCCAGGCGAACCATGTGATGCACGACGGTCAGCTACAGCGCGGATCTGTCGTGCGCGTCAAGCAATACCAGGCCCAGTCCCTCAAGGGCAAAAAGTGCGTCGTTTTTCCTTCCGTTTCATGCCTGTACCGGTGCTCACGCACAGCCTGCCTAGCGTTATGATCATCTTGGACCTCGAAGTCATGACCGAGCTCGGCACGCCGGACAAGATTGGCGACCCCAAGAGCATGGAAGTCACAACGGGCGAGCGCCAAAATACCACAAGCGGGGGGGGGGCTAGTTTCTACGGCGCCAGGAGCGAGCCGGCTGCGGCGACAGCACCGCAAGCTCAGCGGCAGCTGACCTCGCGCCCAGGAGGGGGCAGCGGGAGCGGTGGGCTCCCTGCGGCCACAATATACCCCATCGAGGCTATCAGCCCGTACGGGAACAAGTGGACCATCAAGGTCCGCGTCACGAGCAAATCAGATATCAAGACATGGAAGAAGGCCACCGGCGAAGGCAAGCTCTTCAGCGTGAATTTCCTGGATGAGAGCGGCGAGATCAGGGCGACCGGCTTCAACAACGAGGTCGATCAGTTCTACGACTTGCTGCAGGAAGGCTCCGTCTACTACGTCTCGACACCCTGCAAGGTGCAGCTGGCCAAGAAGCAGTTCAGCAACCTCTCCAACGACTACGAGTTGACGTTTGACCGCGAGACAGTCATCGAGAAGGCCGAAGACCAGAGTTCCGTGCCTCAAGTCCGTTTCAACTTCTGCACCATCCAGGAGCTGCAGGAAGTTGAGAAAGACGCGACCGTCGACGTCATTGGCGTCTTGAAGGACGTGGGCAAGGCGGACCAGATCACATCCAAGACGACGCAGAAGCCCTATGACAAGCGCGAGCTAACCCTGGTCGACGACACGGGCTACTCCGTCCGGGTGACCATCTGGGGCAAGACGGCCACCGAGTTCGATACCAGCGAAGAGTCCGTCGTTGCCTTCAAGGGCATGCGGGTCAGCGACTTTGGCGGGCGCAGCCTGTCGCTCTTGTCATCGGGCACGATGGCCGTCGACCCGGACATCCCCGAGGCGCACAAGCTGAAGGGCTGGTACGAATCACAGGGCAAGAGGGACACGTTCGCCACGCATGAAAACCTGTCGTCGCTCGGCGCTGCCGCTGGCCAGAAGGATGCGCTCAAGCTGATCGCGCAGATCAAATCCGAGAACCTCGGGGTGGATGACACCGTCGTGTACTTCACGACCAAGGCGACCATTGTGCACCTCAGACAGGAGAACTTTGCCTACGCGGCCTGCGTGTCCGATAACTGTTCCAAGAAGGTGGTCGATGCGGGGGAAAATAGGTGGCGGTGCGAGAGGTGCGACATAGTTCACGATCGGGTGCAGTACCGCTTCATCATGGGCGTCGACATCAGCGATCACACGGGTCACACCTGGGTTAGCTGCTTCGACGACTCGGCTCGCATTATCCTAGGCAAGTCGGCCGACGAGCTGATGGAGATGAGAGAGAGGGGGGATGGAAGCTTCGAGGAGGCGTTTAACGCAGCTAACTGCAGGAAGATGGTGTTCCGATGCCGCGCTAAGACGGATACGTACGGTGACCAACCGAGGTATGCTTTCTTCCCTCTTTACTGCTTTCTCGAGAACGCCCGCTAACAGAGGGATTTAGGGTCCGGCTCCAGGTGATGAGTGTTGCAGCGCTGGACTACGCGTCGGAAGCCAACAAGCTGGCGGAACTGATCAAGGAGATGAGCGTGTAGGTGTGGGCTGGCAATGTACAGCAAAAAGGTGGGGGGGGGGGGGGGGGGGGGGGGCGGTTGCTGTATTGAACTGAAATTCCGGCCTTGTGTCTTGGGGTTACTCGTAATGAATTCAAATCATTTTCGATGATTATAATCTTGATGGTTTTGATCTCTCTAGGGCGGCTTCTTCCAAGTCGAGAGTTGAACACATCCGGGTGTCAACAAACGCAAAAGGGTCGCCAAGCACCAGGGCGGGGTGGAGGAGCTGAGTGGTGCTTGAGCAGCAGCCTTACAGGTGGGGCTTTCCAGGCTCTCCAAATCGCGGGGTGGGGAGCTTCCAGGTTGACCCAACCTACTTCCGACAATAAATCATAAATCCATCCGCCCGCGTGCAGCTCTCTTAAACGACGGATACACCCCATTTAATTCTATATCGGGGTCAGTCTTTTAAAGTCGACCTAAAAACGGGACACGCGTCACAAGGATCGACCCCAAACGCATGGTAGCTGCCGTGTCCGGTACCACGACCGACGCCACGACTTGTCTTTCCTCCGCACGCGGTCGACAAAACACTAAACCAAGCTTCCCGAGTTCGCCGTTCTATCACCGCCGACGAGTCGCAGATGGATCAGATCGCCTCGGTACTTCTCAACTTCCCGCCAGCCGGCGGGATTGCCGACGATGATTTGTACAACTCAGCTGCCAAGTCACACAGCCAAAGCGTGGACAAGTTGGCCGTGACACCAAACTTTAAAGATACCGCCGCCCAGCTCTTAGATGTGCGTGGATCGTGTCTTCCAGGCTGAGCTTTCCAGTCGCTGATTGCTGATTGCTCGCAGCACGTCGATCCAGCCATCAATTCCATCTCGCACCTGAGCTTGCTCATCGCCGCCCGGGCCGCCGACAGTCTACCCCAGCCCGAACTCCTGGCCAAGATCTCCATTTTCCTCGTCTCGTTCGACGCACGCCAGATACGCTACGCAGGGAAAGCCTTTGCGTCGGTTCTCGACTGGGTCACCAGCGGGAATCTGTTTCCGGTAGGTGACAGCTCCATTGTGGCGGCTTTGCCGGTTGCTAACCAAGACTGCCTAGGCTTCTGTCGCAGTAGACCTCGTCACGGCAGCCCTACTGAGGATCGATCCGACCGGCTCGGTGCTCACTACCCACCATGTCGCCCTGGCCAAGCTCGCGTACACGACCGACAACGTAGGACCCGCGCTGCCCCTCCTCGAGAAGAATATCGTCTTCTATCCGGGCGTGAAGGGTTTGCAGGAGCCGCGGCCCCTCGGCAGTCCGGATCTACCGCCGGCATCATACGTAACCGTGGAGTCGGGGTTGACGAAGCAGTTGAGCAGCAGCGACGTGCTGCAGTACGATCTTTTCCGCGGGCTCTGCTTCATCCAGCGACGGTCATGGAGCCAGGCGCTCGACGCGCTGGAGCGGGTCATCACATACCCCGCCCGGGACACCCACTCGTGTAGCAAGATCATGGTGGAGGCACACAACAAGTGGGTTCTCATCGGGCTGCTGCTGAATGGCAAGGCGCCCACGCTGCCGACTATCACGGCCCCCGGGGCGCAGAAAGCCTTCTCTGCGCTGGGCAAACCCTACCAATCAATCGGCAACGCATTTGGGGAGAGCACGGGCCGGTTGCTCAAGACCGAATATGAGGGCCTGGGCCCGCAGTTCTTCAGCGAGGAGAACAACCTCAGCCTGGTGCGGTTGGTGATACAACATTACCAGAGGTGGCAGATCCTGAAGCTCCGGCAGGTCTACACCAAGATCTCGCTCGAGAAGATCAGAACTCGTACGCAGAGCGCTGAAACGGGGGCGCCGCTCGCGACCGAGGCCGAGGTCGCACAGCTCATACAGGAGATGATCGACGAGGGGATGCTGAGCGGCGTAATCGAGCGCCCTGCAGACGGGCCGGCCTACCTTAGCTTCCACGTCCCCGACGAAGTGCTCTCGGAGGCCGAGTTTGGACAGAGGATGCTGCAAACCGCGCAGCGGTTGAAGGAGCTAGAACCGATCGTCAAGGCGACGAACGAGCGCCTGGGCACGCACCGCGATTACGTCCGGTTCTTGTCGGGCCAGCAGAAGAAGGATAAGGACTGGCAGAGGGACTACGGCGTCGGGTTTATGAATCAGGTCGAGGACGAGGATCTGATGACGGACGCGGTGGCGGGCTTCTAGGCGGGGCAATCATCCGTGGGCGGGCGAGCCCAGCCTAGCTGTGTTTCCGTGAGTAGGGTTGCATGCGGCTGCTAGATTACGAAAGGCATTGACTTATGAAATGGAGCCCGGGGTATCAAGGAAGGTTATGGGACGGGACGCGGCGAGATGGCGGCCGCCAGGCGTTGGAGACGGTGCATGGGAACAGCCATAGCAGTGTACAGAGATACTTTTGCTAGAGGGATTTTGGCCGACAGCCCATGAATCCCGTTCTTGCCTATTGGCTTTAGCCAGTCTTGAGTGCTTCCCGGGTTGAACTTTGAACATCCCTCTGCGCAGACGCTGCTCCTCCTGCTTTTTGATTCTGTTTACTTACCTGGGGTTAGGGTTGACTGTTCGTAACGGGTTCCGATGGCTTCCTCCTCCGTCTTGCTTGACACAATCAAATTATCTCCACATTACTTCTTACTCGACGACTCGACGACAACCAGCCAAACAGCCTCAAGATGAAACCACCATCGGCCATGTTTCTGCGCTGAGCATCAGCAAATTTTCCACATTGTAGGAGAGTACACCACATTCCCGATACCGTCAAAATATCCACCACAACCACCAAATCACTGGATTCATCACCACCGAGGTATCTCATCCGCTCTTCGTCCAGTGCCTCCTCTCTAAAAGCCCGGGCACTCGCCGGGGTATCTTGCCAGCATCTGTAGCTGGCCATGCGCCGTGCGCCGTGCGCCGTGCATACCGCTCTGCCGCTCCTCCCGACGCCGGCCCGTAATGGTAATACGGGTTGGGGCTGTGAGGTCGCCAGCGCGCCCGATGGCTATGCTCGCGACCACGACCAGGGACCAGCGCTGCCGCCGCGGTGAGCGCCCCGCCCGCCATGCGTATCCGGAAGTTTGCTGGCCCCAGGCGGATGGATAGGCTTCGGGGTGGAGGTTGTTGGTACGTTTCGTTGCCCCTCGACACTTGGATCGGCTTTACACGGCATGTACCTGTGCTGCACGTCCCAGCACGGGGGCTGTTCTTTGTGGTCCTGATCCTGGGAGCTGGGTCTGGATCCTGGATGCACGGTGGCAGCCTGCAGACATTTGGATGTGTGCAAAGGGTCGACTTGGAGGCAAGCTCGATACCCGGTTTCTGCTTACTCGGGTGGCGAGACGCCGGGTATTTTCTGGGAGACTGACAGGTAAGTAGGTGACCGCCTAACGAGTTGATACAGTTGTGGGCGCGAGACATCTCAGACACCACCACAACCTCTTCAGCCCCTCTCCGACGTTTGTCCCTCCCGCTTCCGGGGTGTGGAGGTCCGACACTTTGACATTTCTCATGCTGAGGTTGGGGACTGCGCAGACGCGGAGGTTGACAATGATGGTGGGTTGTCTTCGCTTTGATGGTCTCCGTGGTGTGGCTTTCTCTTTGTATCTGCGTGTGCCTCCCCGTGGGCTTTGTTACAAACCTAGGGGTGCCATGGGGTACCAGAACCCCCTGCGGGTTTTGCTTTGTCACTTGCTATGTATACCTTGCGTTTTTCAGCCCAAACTCCCTTCGTCTCCCCCATCGCCGACGGCATCGAACCTGTCTAAACCCGATCCCAACTGCTCTTTAGATTCCCTGACCGCCACGCGTCCTTGCCGACAAACCTAACCTTTCCGCCGCATCGACGTCACAGTGTTACCATGGAGGGAACATCCGAGCAGCCATTGCAGACAGAACAAGTGGTACCGACGGTCCCGGTTGGCAGCCAGACAACGAACCCGGGGCAACCACAGGTTCCCTCCTCCTGGCGGGCTGAAGTGTACGAGGGATTCAGTTTGTTTTGCGGCATCTGCATGGCGGTTTTCAACGCGGTGCGTCAGCGTTATCGACCCGGCACAGCGACGACCTGGGCCCCATGGCTCGCGGTCGGCTTTTGCCTCTGGATCAGTTTATCGCTCCGGTGTCCCGAGCCGTCGAGGATTTGCCCCGCCACGCCTACGCCCACGCCGACGTCCACGCCCACGCCCATCCTCCCCTTGTCGACGACAATGACAGCGTTCGCAGGGCGTCTGTCAACCGAGATTGCTTCGCTGGAATCTGCTTCGAAGTCTGTACCAGGTATCGCACTGATCGTGAACAAGGCCTTCCCGGGACTGGGAGACGAGGGCCTGGGTGTGCAGATGGCTGTGTGGAAGGACTGGCCGGCCATCGCGCTCAACGCGAGCGAGCAGAGCGGCCGCATCATCAGCCGGCTTTACGGAGACCTCAAACGCGAGGACCGTATCCTTACCCTCGTTTTCAAAGTTTCCGGAGCTGTTACCGACAAGGGTAGCGGGGAGGCGCATGGGTCCAGCGTCCCGTTCGTCCTCCGAGGCTCCGGGCTGAGGCAGCGCCGAAGCAACTGTCAATTCCTGTTGAATTCCCTCTCTACGCGCATTGAGCAGGCCCAACGGGCACGCGATGAGTCTCGCAAAAGAGCCGAGATCTTTTATATGGACCAGCTGAAACGCCTCGACAACATGGCAAAGTTAAGACACAATAGCGGCACTGAGGACGTGAGACGCATCCAAGCCACCAGCACCGCGGGCGAATTTTTCCAATCGGCCGTCGAGCGTCTGAACGAGGAGTGGTTAGATTCTAAACTCGGCGCGTCTTGGGAGTGGGCGCCCGCTGGCTCGGATCGCGGCGAGGCCTCGTTTATCCGCAGCCTCCACGCGGCAGCGCGTGCAGCGACCATGGTCGACGGCGCGTTCTTTGGCGCTATGGGGAGGATCGAGAAGATGTCGGACATGATCGACACGGAAATGGCGTGGATCGAGGAGAACTTGAAGAAGTGGCTGGGTCCTTTGGCGTCGCCCCAGCCCGGGTGCCCCAGGACCGCGGCCGAACTCCAAATCGTGGTGGAGCAGATGGTGTTCTGGACCGAGGAGTGGCGCAGGAAAGTCCAGACTCTCTATTATCATTGATCATCGTTATTACCTTTGTTATGTTCCTTCACTCACATTTCAGGATTTGGTGTGCTTGGTGACGGCGAGTTTGCCACACAACTGGTTACCGGATCCGGTCTGTTTGTCTTTCTTTCTCTGCCGCATCCGCCCTTGATCGGGACTTGACTGTGTACGTGTACGTCCAAGGGACCTGTCCATCAGAAAATATGGATACCTTCCATGTGGTTTTCCCTCTGCTAAGCCCCCTTTGCAACAACGTCCTGCCGTCAACCGGTCGACCTGTCAACCCCCAGTGGCTTGCTAAACTTCGTTTCCGTCCAATTTGGGAGGCCGGCCGTTCCGCTTCATCGAACACCCATCTACCTACCTGAGTGGTAAAAGCAGTAATCATCGTCCATGTCTCCCCCCACCGAGTTGGAACGGCCTTTCCGCCGCCGCAGTAGCCGCCGCCGTGCTTCCGGTGGTGACGGTAGCAGTGGCAACAGCAACCGTGAGGGCCACGACGACGGCTACCCGGACGGTTACCACGGCAGCAACGAGGAAGCCAGTATTGACAATACCCCCAGCTCTCGCAGGCCCAGCCGTCGCGATCGACGCCCCGGCATGTCCCGGGGCACGGCACAACCGCGCGTAGGCAATCAAGGCACTCTTCTCGGATGTCTTGCCGCCATTGTCATGGCGGTCGCCTTTTGGGCCTGGCGTGGTCGGGGGTGGGCCGGGGACCCCCGTGTCAACATCCGGGTCTCGAAACTCCAACCCCGAGACATGGACATAGTCGCTTCTCCCTCCCCGCTTAACGACTTTATAACCGTTGCCGAAACGGCCATGAATGCATCCCTCCACCTCTTCCTACCCCACCGCACCTCCAACATCACCTTCGCACTTGACGCGCCTGGCCTACGTCGGGTCGATGTGGCATCCTGGCTCCCTAGTGCGCAGGTCCACGTCTGGGTAAAGCCTCCGGAGCGACTCGGACACCACGAATTGGGGCGGCCACTAAAGGCCGAGCACGCGCCGCTTGTCGTTAGCCTAGCAAACGCCACTCTTACTTTGGAGTTGATGGAGAAGCTTTGGCCGGTACTCCTCTACGCCGCCAAAGACCTGCTGGTATCCAGCCTGCCACCCGAGCATTCAGATTACCACAGCCTGAATGAATCCCTGGCCGAGCCCTGGAAGCCGGAGCTCATCTCCCTCGTCCGCGCAGATCAAATATGGCGGGACTTGTACAACATGGGGCGCTCGTGGCCCTTAGACAGCCGTAACTTCCTCCTCGGCCTCGGATACGACATCAAATTGGGGGTTAAAGAACGGACCCAAACGACAAAAGGGCGTAACGGCCGCAGTAGCAGCGCTGGCGCTCCGAAGATCGGATCCGCTGAACTTCCCGACCCCCATGAACTACTGCAAAAGGCCCGTCGGTATGCTGTCCCTGGCTATACTCTTCCCAGATATCTCGCCAGCCTACGGCCGCCCTCCAACGCGTCGATCCAGCTTGACATGATGCTCATGTCCCTAACACGACGACCTACCGCGGACCTGGGATATCCCAGCGACGCCCCGCGCAAGGACGGGGGCCTATGGATGGGGTTCCGGGGGCCGTGTCACGCCGGGGAGCCGCTGAGAGAGACTGCCGAGGGCCGGTGCCGTGGCCCGGGGCGAGGATACGTGCCCTATATGCCCTACCATTCGACGGTGGATACGGAATGTCTGGGCTCTGACTGTATACCGGCCCTTAGGGATGCCCTTTGCGACGCCGAGGAGTTCCTATCCGCTATGGCGGCAGCCGCCGGGCGGGTCAAGGCGGCCGTGGCCGAGGAGCGCGGCACTAAGTCGCGGCTTGGGCGTCTCTTTGGCCACTTCCACGAAGACGAGACCGAAAAACGGATTCAGACCCTCGATCGTGCCCTCGCCGCCTTCCACGCGCTCTATCCGGCCTTGCAGATGCAGCGCCGCCTCCTGGCCGGCGTAGCCGCCAGGTTGCAGCATGCCTGTATCCTCCAGGATGCCCTTCGGGACCGCGTCCGCTCGGCCTTGTCGGACAAATCCTGGTGGTGGGACCTCGAGTGGGACGCCGACAGAAGGAAGGTGGTGCTGGCATATGCGATGCTCCCTGAGATACAGGAGACACTCGCGCTACTGAAGAACGTGAGCGATCGGATCGAGGCGGAAGACACGGCTATTTGGGAGCTACAGGACCCGATCAAGCAAGCTGCTAGGCTTCTCAAAACTGAAGTATCCGCGGGGTGGATCGAGAGGATTGGCTTGGGGAACTTGCAGATGGCAAAGAGGCCGGTGCTTGTGAAACCGAGACGCTACCCACACTTTTAGATGGATGACATACCAAGGGAGGTCGTGTGACCCTGAAGGTGAAAGACGATTAGCAGTAGCGTTATATCAGATACCATCGCATCCAGTACTCTGCGTAATGAACTGATACTTGCAGTGCGACGGCTCTCTACGATGTTCTAAGATAGCTACCTTCATACACACGGCCTTGGAGCTTCTTCCGCTCTGACTTGGCGCGAGGTCACCCAGTCCGTATATTTACGCAAATTCTACTGCACAAGGTTGCGGGTAATATACAACCGGTTGCAGGTGACACTGTCAACCGCGCGCCTCGCACCCCTATTTTGTATATCACAAACTGTCTCCATCTATATCCATACCTCCCGTAGTATTTGTTTATCCCTTCCCACCAGCCTCTTCCCCCCAGTCAAAAGCACGAGCCCGAGAGGAAGGGACAAACAAACGGGGCCAACCCCCGCCCCCCCCCTTTAGGCCCCCTATGTGAAGCAGTGTCTGATCCAACCCCAAAACCGCAAGGGACACTGATTAACAGACTCACTTGCCCACTCAATCCCAGTCCTCAGCCGATCAAGCGCCCGTGGGTAGCCCGCCGAGCAGATCCCCCTCTCCATCTCCGTCCCCGTCTCCGCCGCCGCCACCACCAGCAGCAGCACCCGTGTCAGCACCCATGTCAGTCCCAGCTCCAGCTCCAGCCCCAGCTCCATTCCCGGGCCCCGGCCCCGGCCCGGGACCGGCCTTGGCTCCGCTAGACAGCGCGGCGTAGGGGTTGGGAATCTCACGCGCGGGGCGGGTACCGGTGCCGCTGCCGCTGGTGTTGGTGTTGTTGGTGGAGGTGGTGGTGGTGGTGCTCGAACGCGGGTTGCGCGGGGGCGGCGCGATCGGCCCGTAGGGGGATGCGGATGATGTGGGTGTTGTGTGGTGGAAGGCTGGTGGGGGTGGGTTAGCTTTTGGTTTCTGTTTGGTTCTTTCTTTTGTAGGGATGGGTTTGACACACTTCCCCCTTTTTCTTGTCTGGTAGGGGTTGCCGGGTGGGGGGGAGAGGGGATGCCAATGGGGATGGGGATAGGGAAGCTTACTGAAGGGGCAGGCGGCAGGACCTCCGCTGCCGGGTTGGCCGGCTTGTGGTTGGTATGGCTGGGCCTGGGGCTGCTGCTGTGACTGCGACTGGAGGGTGCGGCGGGCGTAGTGTTGTTCCTCCCAGGGCCAGGAGCGGGCGCCGTGGGCTGCGGTTGGGGTTGGGGTGGGGGTAGAGGTGTGGGTGTTGTTGGTGGCAGTGATATACTGTCTGATGCCACGCCCGGGTTCCGGTGCGATATGACGGGGTCGTCCTAGTTCGTGTCTGTTGATGGGGCTGGCGTCGATGTCGTCGTAGTTCTGCAGCCGTAGATTAGGGTACCGCCGGGAGGCTTCGACAGATGCCGGAGTCCGCCAGGACGGTGGGAGGAGCCTGTCCCCGGCAAACCCATGTTCGATTCTGTCGCCGTTGTTGCCGCTGGGGCTATTGAGGCCGCCGCCCCAGCGCGAGGCAGCCAGACCCCCGTTGGCGGTAACACCCCGACGTGAGACCTGCTCGGACAGCGGCCCGCTCGGACTCACCACCCCCATCTCCCCTTCCTCACCCCCGTCACCGACACAACCAGCCCCGTTTCTACCCCCAAACCTGTTCCCAAAACCAGCCCTCCCCCTCGGAGCAGGAAGCAGCCTCACCGCCCTCCCCCCCGAGCCCATCCCCAAAGAAGAAGAAGGCGAAGAAGAAGAACAAGAAGAAGAAGAAGCAGACGACCGCTCACCCACCGCCGCACCGGAACCCACCGCCGCACCGGAAACCGACCCCCCCGAACCCAACCCCCCCGAACCCAACCCCCCCGAACCCAACGCACCCGCCCCCAACCCCGAAGCACCACCACCACCACCACCACCAACCGGCGGCCCCGCCACCTGGGCGCGCGCCAGCTCCCCCTGCCGGCGCTTCCACCACACGGGGTAGCCGAGGAACAGGCCGAGCTGGTGCTGCGTGGCCTTGTCGGCCGGCATCTCGTGCTTGTACTTGCAGCCCTGCTGGGTGAAGGCGCAGACGCCCTCGTGCACCCACTTATCGCAGTAGATCTTGATCTTTTTGTTGTTGTTGTTGTTGTTGTTGTTGTTGTTGTTGTTGTTGCTGGTCGTGGGGGTGGTGGTGATGGCGGTGGCGGTGTTGTGGTTGTGGTGGCTGTGGTAGTTGATGTTCGTGTCCTGCGAGGTGGGTGTTAGAAGAGCTGCTCTTTGGGTTTGGGTTTGGCCTTGGGCTGGGTTGGAGGTGAAGCTCGGGTGGGTGCGTTGGGCGTTGTCGTGCTGGTGGTGGTGGTGGTAGGCGGGGGACGGGGGTTGGGATTCGGAGGGGGCGGCGAGGATGCGGTCGATGTGGGACTGTTTGGGAGAGTGTGTTGGTGTTTGCGTTTGTGAATGGGTGTTCGTATGGGGAGGGATGTGGTGGGATAGGTAGTGAATAAGTGGAAGGGAAAGGGAGGGGGACGGGGGTCGATGTGTTAAGGGGGTGAAGCAGCAAGGGGGAAGAAAGGGACATACCTGAATAGCATCACCACCACCATTTCTGCCCGGAGAAGTCTAAGATATACCGTCAGTACCCTCACCACAGGCCCCAAAATGCGAACCAGTGACTTACACCCGCCCTCAAGACCTCATTGTTGGTCGACCGCCCGTCACCCTCAACCCCCGCCGGCACAGGCAGCACAACTAGCCGCTCGTTCCCGGTCTCCTGCGCTGGAAGCCCCCACAGCTGGTACGGCAGCATGTCGACGGGCACCAGGCGGGTGCGGGTGCCGTTTGGGCGGATAAAGCAGTAGCCGAGCGTGTCGGGGGAGATGGTCACTGGAATGGTGGCCGTGCCTTGGCCGTGACAGCTGCTGTAGCTGCCGGCGGTATTCATCTGGGCGAATCCGTTGTTAACATGGCTGTTGCTCAGTGGGTTGTTACCATTGCGCAGGCTTAGGCTGTTCATCTGAGTGGCAATGGGGAAGGCGGAGGCGGATGCGGGAGCCATGTTGGCGTTTCCGCCCCCAGGAGTCGGGGAGAAACCGTTCGATGTACCGAAACTGCCGCCGGAGGAGTGATGAGAATGACCATAGCCGATGCTGCGTCCCGGGAATGCCATCGAGATTGGGGTTGACAATGAGACTGGAGTCGGTGGGGGCTTTGGACTCGAGTTCGTCTGGACAAAGCCTGCGATGTTGGAGTTGACGGGAGGAAGTAGGGGGCTGCGGGTTGGTGTGTAGAGGTGTGAATGGCTCGAAGTGACGGGTGAGGGTGAATTAGCCATGTTGCTCCCGATGTTGCTCGTCATGAGAGAGGACAGACGGGGCCTAGTACCAGACTCGGCAGCGCCCTTGGCCCTCCAGTTGTCCGAGACGATGGGACGCGATGCCTGGTCGAAGCGGGAAAAATGTCTGAAGACCCCCAGCTGCCCGTGTCGGTAGCGTTGACGATCATCAGCGGTGCCGCCGTTTTCGTTGCTCCCAACCATGTGTTCGGGATCAGGAGTTGGCTCATCGTGGTGGGTGGCGGGGTGGGCGTTCGAAGACCCGTTCGAGTTCATAATGTTGTCGGTGTTGCTGGTGTTTTCATCGAGCCCACCGCCGTCCATCAAGATCCTCAACTCGGCGTAGTAGTCGCTCAGTCTCTGGACCCGTCCGCCGTGGTTGGACACAACCGGCCAAGACGGGGCGGCCGAGGTGAACGGCTCACTGGAAGAGTGCGACGGAGTCAAGGGTAGCGAAGCTATGGTGATGCCGGCAGGAGGGGATTCGAACGGAGAAGAGGGGGTCATCTCGATCGTGGAGGAGATTGTGTCAGGGGTGAGTTTGTAATTCTCGGCCGAGGGCAAAGAAGAAGAAGTGGCCTCGGGGCTCTGATGCTGGGACTCGGAAGCCTCTTCAGAAGAGGTAGAAGGTGTGGCTGAGCGTCGAGAAGATGACTCGGAGATCCCGTGGTGCTGCTTTTCTAGGGGTGCGGCTGAGTGTAGTTCCCGCGGGGCGTCCATAGTAATGAGTAGTAGTATGGGCTTTGAGAGCAACAGGAGAGGTGATAAGCTAAGTCCAGGAACGGAGCCAAGACAAGGCCGCGAGCAACAATATGTAACTTGGCCGGCAAAGGCAACCAGCAGGAGGCGGAGAAGCAGATGGAAAAGAGCAGAGAGTGCGAGGCGGCAAAAGCGGGCCTGGCCAGGAGTGCAAACGGACGGATAGGGCGAGACAGCACTGGGCACCGGGCGCCTGCTGCCTTTCCTTACCGCCTGTTTTGTGACGGCCGGGGTCGTGTTCGGTCCGTTGTCACTCGGGTCTGCCGAAGGCAGTCAAGCAGGAGAGAAGAGTGGTGTATACGCCGGGGCAAGTGTTGCGAAACGGTTGACGACACTTGACTGGAGTAGCCGGCGGTAAGGCGTAACACGGGTGTCACGACAGCAGTGAAGCAGCGCCTACGTCTGTCTGCCTTTGGTGTCGAGAAACAGGGCTGAGCTTGGTGTACCGTGGGGCGGTAGCCTCAACAGTGAGGATGGAGGTGTGCGTTTTAGTGATGGCATTCCTAGGGATAAACATCCAAAGTGTTCACTCCTCCCGTCCAGGCTGGATACCCCCTTCATCAACAACACACATACAGCATATATCTATTACAAGACGTTTTGTTTTCCCGCCACTCGTTTCTCTCCTGTCCGGCCCGCTTGGGCTCCTCCTGACAACCAGGCCCCCCAATCCCCAACCGGCAAACGACGATTGCAAACGCCCTCCAGAGCCCAAATAAGGTTCCCTGCATTCTAACCCGGATACCTGCATCCACAACACTGAGCTTGCCTCTGGCCCCCGCCACGTGACAAACAGCAGCTGGGCAATAGATTGAACGGGTATGTACAACGCGGGAGGTGAGGGCAGGGGGCATAAAGAGAAACAAGTAGCAGGAGGCAGACACACAACAAGGGCGGGGATCGGGAGCAGTTCCGGCATACATAAAGCTTGTTAGGAGTATTCAAACCAGTCCCGTGAGTGAGTGTTTCCCCTAATTAAGATGTGGCGTAGACTAAGAAAGCGGAGCAGAAGCAAAACGGATCGGCATACACACTCATACCTGCAGGCAAGCTGTGCATTTCCACTCTTTGCTGCGAGCCATGGCCACGGCAACACCATGCAAGCCTCTCATGCCAGGCCGATGTCATGCCATGCAAGCCACATCGGCAGCACGGGCCCGTGGCTTTCCCGTTTGTCCGGCCAGTCACTATCGGGCCAAGGTTAACTCAGCGATGAAAACACTTGTAGACTGTAGAATGTAAGGGAGGATTTGGCGTTTGGCCGTGTGGCATATATGCTATCCACCAGACCAGCAACTCCCCCTGCATACAAGCTCGTACCCATACCACCATTCAAAGCGGAATCCGATGTTGAAGTTGTGTGTAGCCGTGGCATCAATTGTTCCCCGATTTGTTGACACCCCTGAGCCCGACCGGCAGAGCTTGCCACCCAACGCAAACGCAAACGCCCACCCGCTTTCTTCTAGAAACAGACGAGCCGACGGCTGAGGGTATCACAAACAAGGAACCCAACGCAAAGCGGCAAGACTAGACGTCGAAAGGGAAAAGAATCTGACAAAATCAGAATGCGACCGTCGTAATTGGTGAGAGAAAATGCTACCCCTGATGCAATGTCTATCCGCCGCCGTCCCTGAAAGCAACCAAACCCGGCGCTATGCTCCCCAGCGAATGCGATGCCTCCCATAAGTCAATGTCTTATCCACGAAAAGCAGTGCGACCTTCCAGTGCGGTTTTATCCTCGAAAGCAGCGACCCTAGTAAGGCCCGCCCGCCATATCCCTCCACCAAACGACCCGCGCATCCCATCCCAACCAATACAAATCACCCCCCCTCCTGTAAACCAGAGTAGAATAGAATAGACTAAAACAGAAACCAAACAACATCATCCCTCCTCACCCCCAAAACCTTACCCCCCCTCCATACCCCTATCCCCCCCCCCCTTTATTCTCATCCCCATCCCCCCCCTCCCCATTCCGCCTAACCCCCCTCAACTTCCCCATCAAAAACGCCCACCTCTTCGCCAGCACCGCGCCCCCAGCACCCCCCACCGCGCCCCCCGCCCTCGCCCGCGCCTGCTTCAGCCGGTCCATCGCCAGCCGCAGCTGCACTTCCGACCGCATCTCGGGACACTCCCATGTCTCTGGGTGCATGAAGTGGCAGACGAAGCACGGCTGGCGCGGGAGCTGGACTTCGATTTTGGTTGTTGGTTGTGTTGTTGGTGGTGGTGCTGCTGCTGCTGGTGGTGGGGGGGAGGAGGGGGATGGGGATGCGGGTGATGGGGATGGGAGTGGGTGTGGGTGTGATGAGGGCGCGGTAGGGCGGAAGGTGGGTTGGGTGGTGCCGTTGGTTGTTGTTGCTGTTGTTGCTGTTGGCCAACAGGCCATGGTGGGGAGGGTTGTGGTGGTGGTAGTGGTGGTAGGGCGGTGGGAAGGAATCTTGGGTACGGGGATGGGGGTGGTGCTGTGGATTGGGATGGCGGCTAGGCGGTCGTTGGTGGTCAGGCCGAGCCCGCCGGCGCCGCGGGGGGGGTCTCGTTGACCGGGGTTTGCTCCGCGGGGGAGGCCGGCTGCTGCGGCTGCGGCTCCAGTTCGAGTGGCCGCAGTGGTAGCTTGGTGGCGGCCCGGCGGCTTTGCGTCTTTGCGCGACCGGCCGTGGCCGGACTTTTGGGCGCTTTGGGCTGCCTGGGCGACTTCGTTGGGGTCTTGGGCTGGCGGGGGCCGGAGGACTGCGGCTGTGGTGGATTTTTGGCCCTTGGCTGCTTTGGCGTCGACGGTGTCGAGGAGATGCCGGACCGCGGTTTCGCCGTCGTCTGGCTCGGACTCTGCTTCCCCTTGCGTGAGCTATTTGTTTTGGGTGCCGCTTGCTTGCCGGCTTTGGCTTTGGGTGTGACTGGAGTGCGACTGGCACTCCGCGCCGCGGCCTTGGACGGAGACTTTGCTTTCGTACCTTGATTTCCTTTGCCCTGTCCCTTGCGCAAGTTAGTCCCGTTCGGCGTAGACTCACCCGTCCGCCCGGTTTCCTCGTCGCTAGACTCGGGCTCGCTCTTCTCGCTGCCGACGAAATCGCCGTCGACGTCGGCCTCGCTGTCTGCGGGAGCGGCCTCCTGGTTTTCGTCGAACTCGAACCGGGGCCCGGTGTAATTGGCGGCCTACACTGGTTAGCGAAAGAACATCGAACATGCGTATGTGACCTACTCCACGGCGACGACCTCCGCGGCCGAGCGTCTCCATGGTGCGCTCTGCCTCCCGCCGAGCCGCCTCCGCGCGTTGCTGCAGGATCTGGTCCCAGACGCTCAGGTTGATAGTCTGCTCGGTCTCCTCCAGATCCTCCGTGAGCGCACCCTCGTCGTTGGCCCAGATACGAGCAAAAGAAAACGCAGATTCCGCCGACTTATCCTCGTCCGTCTTGGTCTCCTCTACCATGGACCGATCCAACAGCTTGTCGACTGCGGTCGAGTCGTAAGTAATCGCATCCTTCTTTTTACCTTCGCCGAACAGAGCGGCGGCGCCGTGCTTGAGCACAGACTCGACGTCGTTGGGCGCTTCCTCCTCGTTATCCATCGTCTCGATCAGCAGATGATCCAAGGCCAGCTTTTTGCGACCGATTTGGAGGATCTTCTCCTCGGCCGAGTCCACCGTCATAAGTTGAAAGCACAGCACCTTCTTGCGCTGGCCAATACGATGAGCACGCGACAAAGCCTGGATATCCTGGTGAGGGTTCCAGTCGGGGTCGAGAATGATGACGGTGTCCGCGGTGGCCAAATTGATCCCCACGCCGCCGGCTCTCGTGGACAGCAGCATAATGAAGATGTCAGAGTCGGGAGCATTGAATGCGTCGATCTTCCTCTGCTTCTCCATGCTCGACTGGCTGCCGTCGAGACGCTCGTGCTTCAGCCCCAAGCCGGCTAGGAAGTCCTCCAGGACTGTGAGCTGATCCAAGAACTGGCTGAACATCAACACGCGGTGGCCGCGCTCCTTAAGCTTGGGCAGCATAATCTCCAGCAGCATGAGCTTCGATGAAGCCTCCACCAGGTTGCGCCGCGTGAGCTCCGCCGACGTAGTCCGGTCCTCAATGGCTTGGCTGTAAATGAAAGGGTGACACAGGCACTTGCGTAGCTGCATCAGGATATTGCTCAGGCTGCCCCTCTCATGGGCCTTCAATTTGCCCTGCACGAAGACGGAGCGGATGAGCTCGGGGTTCCGCTCCAGGATGGATTTGCACAGTCTCTCCTGCAGGACGCTCATGCTGACGGGCAGAATGATCTGGGCCATGGGCGGCAGGAATGTAAGAACCTCGGCTTTCGTCCGGCGAAGAAAGTAGGGGCGGATCAACCGGTGCAACTCGGGCAAGTTCTCCGACGTAATCTGAGCAAACTGCTCATCAAGGCGCTCCGCCCTGACGGTCGGGTTGATGAACTGGAGGAGGTTGAACAGCTCGCGCTTGTTGTTCTGCAAGGGCGTTCCGGTAAGCAGCAGCTTGAACTGGATGCGCAAGGCGCTGAGGGCCCGGTAAAGCGTATTCTCGTCGTTTTTGAGGGCCTGCGCCTCGTCGACGACTAAGCCGGCCCACTTGGTGTTGGCAAACCGGAGGCGCGTCTCATTGTCTTTGGCCGAGTCGTACGACATGATGACCACGTGTGCCTTCATATTCTTGGTCCCGTTGGGGAAGAGCTCGTACTGTAGGGCTAGGGATTGCGAGACCCTTCCGCCGTAGTATGCCACAACGCGGAGATCGGGAGCCCACTTCTTGATCTCGCGGCGCCAGTTGGGACATGTCGCATTGGGCACGACGATCAGAAACGGCCAGACCTTTGGGTTGTCCTGGATGAAGCTCGAAAGCAGGGCGACGACCTGGACGGTCTTGCCGAGACCCATCTCATCGGCGAGAATGACGCTACGCTCCTCACGGAAGTTGTAGAGCATCCAGTTGAGGCCGTCGAGTTGGTATTGCATTAGCTTCCCCCGCTGTAATCCCTTTGGCTGCTGCTTGACTTCGATATCGGTGCGGAAGTCGCGCTGGCGGAAATCCTCGATCCGGTCCCTCATATTGACCCAGGGCTCAGACTGGAAGTGCTTGCCGTTGAGAAACTCGCGATATGCTTCGCAGAAGGCGTCGTAGATGGGACCCGCATCAGGAGCCGGAGGGGTGTCCCAGACGGCGTCGTCGTAGCCCAGGCCCTCAAACTTGACGTAGATCTTGATGACATGGTAGATGCGGCTCAAATCATCTTCGAACTTGTCCTTGACGGACTTGGCCCTGTACTTCCTGTCGTCTTCGCGCGACCTCGGGGCGTAGTGAACGTCGAGGATAATGTCGGGCGTGACCCAAACGTCGTGGATCGCCTCCTTTTCTGTCCACCGGAGAAGCGAGTCGGTATTCTGGCGCTCGCCATCGATGGCCTCGTCAGAGGCCTCTCCGAAAGTGCGCTTGATGAAAGCCTGTCGCATCGCTGCCTTGACGACCCCGTGGCACCAGGCACCCGGCATCCACACACAATGGTTATAGGACTTGTTTTCCCACTTGAGGAGATACTCGAGGTTGTCTTCGCCAAAGTCGGTGATCGACTGGCCCTTTTGGTAGGTCTTGGAGTCCAGCGGGCGCCAGGCCACGACTCTGTCCACCTTTTCCTCCTCGGTATCCTGGCAGCCCTTGCAGGTCCAGGTGATCTGGTATTCTTCGCGACGATGCTTGCGTAAGTTGAGCGGGTCATCAATGGCCGGGTCGCGCGACCCGTTGGGGTGGGGGAGGTGCTCGTAGTGCCAGGCACAATGGCAGCGGCCGCAGCGGAACAGAACGTTGTTTGGGTTATTGACCAGCTTTGGGTCGACGGGGGTAATGGGGTCCACGCCGCCGTTCTCGTTACGCAGGGTCTCCTCCTGCTTCGGCGTCTTCCTCTCTGAGAAAGGCACGCATGACTGGCCTTTTGTGTGGCAGCCCTGGCAGACGTCGTGGCTGGGAGCGCGGGCATCCTTCTTCTGGTGGATGCAAATGCAGAACTTGCATTGCATCACAAAGGAATCGGCTGCGACCTTGGTGACGCGGTGGTCCCGAACGCTACGGATCCCGATGCAAGCCTTGTGGTACGAGTTTGAACAACCCTGGCAGTTTATCATGGGCCCCTTGTTATGGTCGTCGCCGTAACCGCAAGAGTCACAGACGGGCCGATGAGCTTCCTTAAACTCATAGGACGCCGCCTTGAAAACCTCTCGCACGCCGGCGACCTTGGGTACCACCGGAGTCCTCTCCTCCTCAATGTAGTAGATGTCGTCATCGTCGTCGACATAGGTATCTGTCATGACTCGAGTAGACTTGTTGGGGCGCGATGAACGACGTCGAGACTCGAACTCGATATCGGAGTCGTCGCCCATCGACCGGTTGCGGGTCAACAGTGACTTCGTTTGTGCAGTGCCCCTCTTAAGCCGCTTCCTCCTCTTCCCTTTGACAATATCAGACTGAACGAAGGCGAAAGTCGGGTCATTGGCATCTCCGTCTGAGGCCTGGAGCTCATCTCTATCGTCGTATTGGGAGCCGAGATTGAGAGCGACGCTGGCTCTGGGCCGCAGATGCCGCCCCCGCCTTGTCTCTGTTCCGCGTTCGCCTTCGCTAGAGACGAGGTGGGAACTGGCGCGTGTGCTCCCGCGTGTGCTCGCGCGTGTGCTGCGTCGGCGGTTGCTGGCCTCCAGAAAATCATCTATCGGTCCTACCCTCTGACGAGGACCGCGTCCGATTTCCACGTCATCCTCGGCCGAGTCTAATTCGTCGTAGCTAGCGTAATCTTCATCGGCGGCCCGTCTCCTCTTTCGGGTGCCAAACTGCTCCGCATAATCGAATTCGCCGTCCTACCGAGTAAGTCAGCACCCAGAGCAAGATACAATATCGCGATCCGAACGAGGTATGATAATCAATCCAAGGCTGAGAGAAGAATGACAGTGGGCTGCTAGGCCGGCAGGTTAAAACGCCGACCGCAAGAAGCCGGCGACTGCTTAAATGAACTAGGCCGTCTTGTGAGGCTCTTACCATGGTGGCGATCGGTTGCGGGGGGCTCTTAGCGGTAGAACGGGCGATGACCACTCGGTCGCCGCCTTTGGCGCGACAAAAGAATCGAGAATGGGGAAGTGAGGGCAATAAATACTGTCGTTGAAACAACGAAAGTAATGGACAATGGCCCCAGCCAGCAGCAGTAGAGACTGATCGCGTGTGTCCCCACGATCAGTTCTAGTGTTGTAGGTTGAAGACGGATGGATGGTTGGTGGTGGAGAGTGAATAAAATTGGGAAAAGAAACCGAGAAGTGTTGTGGGAAGGGGGATAATATTTGTAAAGTGGCGGGTTGAAAACTCGTTAAACGAGAAGGGAGAGAAAGGAGACGGAAGAACGGAGTGGTGAAACTGAGGGTTTGGGGCCGGGAAGGCAAGTGACGAGGCACACGGGCTGTTCGTTGTCGTCTGGCTGAAGAAACCGTTGCCGGTAATTTCTCGAGATCGCACTCCCATCAACTCATCGGAGTTTTGAGTCGTGTGAATGCCGAGAAACGGTCCCAGGTTCCATGCCGCAAAAACCCCTGACATGGGAAGTAGGGGCTCCTCGGAACCCGCCGAGTGTGGCTCGGGGAGCAGCATGAAAAGGACTACTCCCGCCGGCCGTCGACTTCTGTACCCCGAGAGTCTTTCCCATGCCTCACAGCCCAAGGTTACCAGCGCCAGTACTCCAAACAGCTCGAGTGCCCCTTGCACCTCCCCTCCCCTCCCCCGGACCCCCTCTCCCCCACCAAGGGCTAACATCCAAAGCCGCATGGCCAAGGGGCAAAACACAGCAGGCAACCAAATTCATATGTCGACATAACTCACCCTATGCCGTGTCCTCCTCGTTCTCAGGTAGTCGTGTTCTTCGGCCCGGTAGTCTTCCACCTTGAGTTTCAGGTACCTCGCCCGTTGCACCGGCGGTATCCACGGTAACCGCACTTCAATGTTGACATGCCGTGGCCCTTTCTGAGACTCGTCGGCGGAAGTATCAATAGTCCCATCATTTTGTCCCTCGTCTGTGGCCGGCGGAGGTTCCTTTTCGTCTGTCGAGGGCGATCTAAAGCCATCGAGGGCTGCGAGGGACACTTTGGCTATTTCGTCCAGAGTCAAGGGATCGGGCGCATCGTCGTCGTCGCTGAGGTAGGATTGAAAGGTAAATGGCGGCGGCTCTTCGGTACCCCCATTAACAAACAATTCCTCGTCGTCGCTCAGGAAGCCGTTGGTAGTCGTAGTCTCCATCTCTGCAATCGCGCGAATCCGGTCACGCTCGGAGGAGACGGCGGGGACAGCCTAGGTTGCTTTTAAAGGAGAAAATAATAGGTTAGATATCTCATAGTCCAAAGGTTCGAGTCGTATACATACCGAGCGCTGCCGAGCAAAAAAGTGCGCATGTGCAAGGGTGGTCGGCGCATCGGTGCAGCAAATGTCGTCGAAGTCGCCGAGACGCGATGGCATTGTTAAAGAGCACGCGTTTGGGAGTTACATTATACGCACTGTGCTGGTGAACAAGGGAGTGAAGTGAGTGGTGACAGGGTGGGTTGGCCCCCGATTGGATGCCGGGATCTGTTAAGTGGGGGGATCGCGAAGTTTGTCTGGGCCCGTTTGCTGCTGGCTTGGCTCCCGAAACTTTTTTGGTGACAGGGGTCAAAATATGTACAGAGTGAGTGAGCGAAGCCTCTTCTTCTCGGGCTCTCTTTCAGGTCAAACAAACAAGGTCAACAAACCAACAAAAATACTCGTTCTGGAACTTTGCATGCTGGCAGCCGTCTTCAATTCTTGTGTTATTATTTTTAATTCTATCGTGATTACTCAATATACGATATCCAAGCAGGGTCAACAATACAACAAGACTCACATACACAAGACGGTATTTTAGATCTGCCATTCACCTCTCGGAAATTTACAGACGCCTGTTCTGGTCGAACGGGCGGACGACATGAGCCTGTCCCTGGTCTACCGAGCGGCAAGGTCTTCGCTGTTGGCCAATTCAACATCACGAGTCTCACTCAGTCCTCTCTCAACAACAAGACATGCATCTCTCTCCGCCATCAACAGGGGTCTGGTACGGTCTGAACAGACGAGGCCACAGGGTGCCCGACCCAATAGGTTCAATGATCTCGCAGAAGGAGGGAAGCGGCTGAACTACGCCGAGAGGCGAAAGGCCAGGGAGCAGCTGGCCAAGGAGCGACCGACTTTCAAGATCCGCAAGGGCAAGAAGGACATCACCGAGCACCCGGAAAAGGCCAGGCCGAAATCACGCCAGGCCCGCTTCTATGACCCAAACTCATCGTTTGGCAAGAAGAGCCTAGTTTACAAGATGCAAGCGGTAAATCTAGGCGAGGACCTAAACGCCCGACGGCAGAAAGCCAGCGGGTCCGCAGACTCACCGTTTGAACGCACCGGGCCGCGGCCAGACTTGCCCCTGCCTCGCCGGACTGTCAAAAATACGACACGGGGCCGGGATAGCAAACGCGATAGAGATACGGGTGATGTTGCCGACTTTGTGGCCGAACTCTCGCGGCCCGCTGGTTCCAGCACGGATGCCCCCCGCAGAGATGCCGCTCCTCGTCAACACCGAGACTCCCCTCCCCGGGCTAGAGATAGCTTTAGAGGTAGGGACGCATTTCCTCGGGATAGAGGCGGTTTCGGGGACAGGGACGGTCCTCCCCGGGCTAGAGACAGCTTCCGAGGCAGAGATGCATTCCCTCGGGATAGAGGCTCCTTTGGGGACAGAGCAGCCCCTCGCAGAGACAGGGACGCCCCTCGTGGGGACAGAGACACCCCCCGCGGAGATGGCTTCAGAGACAGAGACACCCGCAGTGGAGACAGGGACACATCATTCAGGACCAGGGACTCTCCTCGCGGAGACAGAGATACGGATGGCGGGTTCGGAGACGTGCCCCGCCCGGAGCGAGACACCAGCTTCACACCCAGACGGGACCGCGAACCGCTCACCGTCACCTACACAACGGCGGCCTCCCAATTCCTCTACGGCAAGTCGGTCGTCGAGGCCGCCCTGCGCTCCTCCCGGCGCCAGTTCTACCACCTCTACATCTACGGCGGCGCCAACCGGCAAAAGCCCACCAACGACGCCCTGATCCAAGCGCTCGCCAAGCGCAAAAACATCCCCATCACCATCCTCGGCGAAGACGGCATGCGGCTCCTCGACAAGATGGCCAGCTCGCGCCCGCACAACGGCTTCGTCCTCGAAGCCTCGCCCCTCCCGCAACCCCCGCTCACCGCCCTGGCCCCGCTCCCAGACGACTACACCACCAACCCGCGCTGCGCCGTCACCCTGGCCCACCAATCCGCCGAAGAAGCCGCCATCAACGGCGCCCCCGCCACCGTCCCCACCCCGTCCCCCTCGCACAAACCCCTCATCCTCGTCCTCGACCAGATCCTCGACCCGGGCAACCTCGGCGCCATCCTGCGCACGGCCAGCTTCCTCGGCGCCACCGCCGTCGGCATCACGCGCAAGGGCTCCGCGACCCTGACCCCCGTCGCCCTGAAGGCCTCCTCGGGCGCGGCCGAATCCCTCACCTTATTCTCGGTCGGCGCCCTGCCCGAGTTCCTCAACGAGTCGCGCGCCAACGGCTGGGCGGTCTACGCGGCTGTTGCCGACGGGCCCTCGGGCGCGAAACAGCGCCGCCATGTGGATGTGCGCGATGTGAGCGAGACGGATCCGCTGAAGCGGGAGCCTTGTGTGCTGTTGGTGGGGAACGAGGGGGAGGGGTTGGCGAGGTTGGTGGTGAAGAAGGCGGATTATGAGGTGAACATTCCGAATCTGGCGGTGCCGGGGAGTGGGGTGGATAGCTTGAATGTGAGTGTGGCGGTGGGGTTGTTGTGTTCGGCGTTCTTGAGTGGGGTGAATAGGGAGAAGGGGGCGTTTGGGGTGTTGACGGGGGGGGAGGTGAAGGAGACTTTGTGGTAGAGGGGTGGGATGGGTTGGGGAGGTGGTGGTGTATGATGCTGGTGCTGTATGATGCTGGTGCTGTATGATATGGGTGGCGTGTATGATACGATACCCCTCATGGAAGTCTGTACGAGATGGGATAGAAGTCGGCATTGGGGGCGGGCGTTTGAGTGCCAGCTTGTACTACATACATACCACTTAGATACCTAGACGGCGATCACGAGGAGTAAATATATCCTCTCAGACTCCACTGCTAGACTGGTTTGAACAAGACTCGACTTTGGGAGGCGCACGTGAGAACACGCAGAACCGGGCAATATATGGATGTCCACACCCAACTCCGTGAAATGGAACCCTCCTTATCGAGATCCTGTTATGCAGGGACCTCTCAGGGGGGACGGCACGAGCATTGTCAACCAACCACTCAAGCAGGGGGTGGGCGGCCCGCCGTGCTTGGCGATAACTTTTATCCAACCATCGTCGTCTGTGCAACCGGATGTCAACAATCCCACACCAGCTCAACTCGGACATTTTGAACTCGACAACTGGCACCCGACAACAACAATCACATAACTAAAGTCCGACTGATCAACATTATCCGATAACCGACGACGCCTCAACACCAAAAAGCCCCAATTGCGCCGATCCTACCTCCGACCGACGACGAATTGCGCCCAAATCGGGCAGACACTCGACAAACCGAAAATCGAGAACAAGATGCGCCCACTACCGGTCTCGTTATGGCTTCTCCTGGCGGCGCAGATCGAGGCCCGCGAGCAGGCGCAAGTTGACCCACAGCAACCCGCACCCACGGCTGTCCGCAAAATGCCCGCCGACCAAGGCGCCAAGTTCCACCACGAATACTGCGCCTTCGGAGACCACCAGGCCTTCGCCCCAGCATCACACAAACCACACGCCGCAATAGCAGCCCGTGGCGCCCAGGATGAAGACGATGCTCGCAGGATATGGGCCAATGCCTCGGCAGAACTACTTCCCCGTCCACCGTTCGCCCTGCTCTCCGACTCGGAGTCTCGAGACGAGAACACACCAGCAGCAGGGGGGCTCTTCCGTCGGGCGGCATTAGCCCTCGCCTTCCTTGAGAAGCGTCAATGGCAATGCCCAGATGGGACAAACAGCTGCTCCTCGATCGGGTTCCCCAACAGCTGCTGTGGGGAGGGCGAAAAATGCATGGAGGTGCCCGACACGGGACTCGGGCCGGTGGGCTGCTGCCCGGCCGGCGCGACATGCGGCGGCGGGATAGCCGAGTGCGCAGACGGCAGCACCCCCTGCGCGAGCGATATTGGCGGCGGCTGCTGTATCCCGGGCTTTGTATGCCGGGGCGTAGGCTGTAAGTCACCCTCAAAACTCCCAACTTCTCTTTTGACACTACCTATATTGCAAGTATGTACTAACCAACACCCCAACCAACAGGCATCCGCTCCTCCTCGAACCCACCACCACCGCCCGCTCCCACCACCCTCACAACAACCCAAACCAGCATCATCCCCGGCCCAGACCCCTCCACCACCGTCGTCACAGTAGTAATCACCATCACCCCATCCACCTCGGCGCCCGCCGTAACCTCCACCGTAACCCAAACCTCCACCGCCAGACCCCCATCCTCGTCCCAAACCACCACTACCACCACCAACAACGGCGCCGGCGCTCCCTTCCGCCCAACCTCCTCCCCAGGCCCCACCAACACCAACACCTACTGCCCAACCGGCTTCTACGCCTGCCTGGCGCGCGCCGGAGGCGGCTGCTGCCAGACGGGCCGCGACTGCGCGACCGCCTCGTGCCCGCCGCCCGCGGGCGGGCTGACCACCGTCGTGAATGATCACGGTATTACTGTCGTTGTGCCTGCGGCGGGAGCGCCGCCCGAGGCTACTGGTACTGGTGCTCCTGAGTGTGCGAGTGGGTGGTTTCTTTGTGGGCGTGAGGCCGGGCCGGTGGCCGGGTGTTGTCCGCGGGGGTATGAGTGTGGCACGGCGAGTTGCGTGGCGGAGGTTACGGGGGGTGAGGCGAGGGTGGCGAAGGGGTTGCCGGGGAATGGGGGTGGTAAGATGGAAGCAAGGTTGGGGTGGGTTGTGGGTTTGGGGATGGGGGTGGTTGTGATGTTGGGGGGGTTGGTTTGATTGGGTATGGGGTTGGTTGAGTAAGGGGTTGGTCTGAGGAAGGGGTTGGTTTGATTGAGCAAGGGGTTGGTTTGATTGAGCAAGGGGTTGGTTTGATTGAGCAAGGGGTTGGAGGATGCGGCATTGCATTTACATGGCGTTCGGGTTGTTGCATACTGGGAGCTTGATTCATCGCCTAGACATACACAGAGACGTCTTTAGAAGCCGAAAAGGACTAATCTACACGTTCGCCTCGACACCGCGCTCCTCGCAGAACTTGCGCACCTCCTTGCGCAGCATCTCCCTCTGCCGGCCCACCAGATCCATGATCTCGTCCACCTCGGGCCCCAAGTTCCCGCCCACCGCCTCATGCAGGTTCACCATCTCATCCATCACCGCCGACAGCTGGTTCGGCAGCCACGTCACGATCGGACTCCCACCCGTAGCGGTGGGATGGCTCGTCCGCTTGAGGATATACTCCCTCGCAAAGCACCAATGCCGCCACCTAAACTCGCGCACCTGATCCAGCACCATAATCCACAACGCCCTGCTCTCCCTCGTCATCTCATCCCCGGCGGCCTCCCTTCCCTCCACATCCAACAACCACCCCTTCAACCCGACCTCCTCCCCCACCGTCTTCACCCACTCCAAGAACCCGCGATGGTCCCCCGGCCGGTAGCTCCTGAAATCCCGCAGGATCTCCGTCAGCGGCGTCTGCGGCATCGGCACGGCCAACAAGTTATCCACCAGCGGCACCATCGAGTCGTTCGCCCCGCTCTCCCCGCGGAACGACACGGGTTTCCCGCCCAGCTCCTCCACGCCCTCGTACACCACCCCCTCGGGAAACATGGACTGCGCCGTGATGCCGAAAATAAACGTCCGGAACGACGTGTACTGCGTCGGGCGCGAGCGCGCCCACATGGTCTCCATGGTGGCGTTGACCTTGCGCATGGCGGTCAGGACCTGGGTGAGGCCGGCGTTGGCGGCGCTGCGCGAGCGGTGCGGGGTGGGGTTGCTGGCGGCGGTGATGCAGGCGGCTGCGCCGCCGACGAGCGGGCCCGAGTGCTTCACCATGTCGATGTGCACGAGTACGAAGCCTGCTTCGGAGGAGGTGGGGTCCAGGCCGTGCTCGAAGGCGCGGATGAGGCGGATGTTGGAGGAGGCCAGCCCCTGGGTGGGGTCGACTAGGCGGTAGTTGAAGAGTGCGTAGGAGCCGGCGTATTCCATGAAGGGTTTGAAGCCGCAGCTAGGAAGGGGGGTGTTGGTTAGGGTTGAGTTGTTTGGGTAGGGATAGGGGTTAAAAGGGGGGTAAGGGGGATGGGGGTCGGAAAGGGGGGGGGGGGGGGGTGAAAGGAGGATAGGGGGTATGAAGAAAGAGAGAGAAAACATACAGGGCAGCACACTTGGCGATGGGCCGGGCGATGTTGGCCGGCAGCACGTCACGCCCCAGGCCGTACTCCTCGCCCCTGACGAAGCGCTCGTGGCAGGGCTCGAGCAGGTATGCGGACGCGAGGAAGGAGTAGTCCCGGTACAGGGCGTTCATGAGCGGCAGGTTGGCCTTGTACTTGTCGACGGCGTCGGTGAGGTCGGGCAGCTCCTTGGTGACTGTCTCCCCCAGCTTGCTCTCGGCCAGCAGGCCCGGCTCCCCTGACAAGGTCTTGACGGGCATGCGCTGCAGGATGGACTCGAGCACGTCGAACTCGGCCGGCAGCGTCACGATGGGGTCCATCCGGGGCAGGAAGCCGCGGGTGGTCGACACCATGAAGGCCGGGAGGGACGTGTCGTCCGGACGGGTGTCGTCCAGGACGGTGTAGGCGGGCGTGGCGTGTCCGAGGGAGCCCATGGTGACGAATAATATTTTCAAAAAATCAACAATGGGTGAAAAAAGGAGCTACGTTGAGCTGTGTTGGTCTCGGTGTTGGTCTGTTGGGTTCTGAGCAGACCTGAACTCGGGCGGTCGAGTTGTGCGCCTATATAGACCGTGGCCGGAATCGATTCCGGCCTCTGGGCGTGCCATTTTTGAGGCCCCGGCCAGTCGATTGCCAACCAGTTTTTCGTGTCGGTGCGACGCATTTCTCTTTGTCATGACATGGGCGAGAGAGGCCACATGATCGGGTGCGAGCCCTCATCCGAAGGTCGTGTCCCGGCATGGCAGGGAGTTGGTGATAGTTGGGTGTCAACATGAATCTGTCTTTTATTAGTGGGTAGGACATTTGTCGACATCGACGATAAACACTAACATAACAGCAATGTATCAGATAAGTATTTCGATTATCTATCGAGCATGTAAGTGAAAAAACATAAAGTGAGAGCCTGGTCAACATAGGCCATCTCATACAAGACCTTGTCGTCGACAGCCCATCCCTTCAAAAAATGACACTTTTCCGCCTTCACTTCATCCCGGCCCTCGCCCGCCTCGCTGGCATGGCACCATGGTCATGGCGGAGTGGCTGACTCGAGTATGTAATGGGAATCAGGGAGCCCCGCTCTTCTCCGGCCTTAACCGGCCTCAACCGGCCTCAGCCGGCCCACTATGGAGTCCAAGCGGAGCCAAAACGGCCGGACCAATTCCGGCCATTACGTCGGGGGTCCGGAGCGCAAAACGGTCGCCGTTCCGTGACGGCGTTATCTTTTGCTTGCTCCTCGACCCCTCTCGAGGCCTTCAGAACCCAACCCAATCGGGTAAACGCACTTACACGACCTGAAGTCCGAGCTCTTAACCACTCCCCCCTCCCTCCGAACTTCCCTCCTAATCCCGGCTCAAACCCGACTGTTGGACCTTTGTGAGTCCTCGCTTCCCTCTCTTTTTAGGTTGATTTTTGTTGAATATATTTCTCACGTATCTATCGTATACGCAAACCCGTCAACTTGGCGCTGTCACTCACGCCCTTAACTTGTCACCTTGTGACTCTTCGGTGTGAAAAGGGGAATCCATTGCCACCTTCCGTTATCGGCCAGTCTCCTCCTCTGGGCGTCAGAAAGTAGACTATTGAGATAATTGAGATACCCACAAAGGAGTGGGTATAAATGTGGATGTTGGCCGTTTCCCCTTGGTTTTGTACTTGATGACCCCCCAGTTGCATTCTCACCCATCTCTGTGCAACCTGACACCTTGACACCTGACACGTGCTGAACCACCCCCCCCCTGCTTCACCGTTACCGGCCCCTACCCCACACGGCACTTCCAACCCCCGAGCCAACCCGTCCGATCCCGCTCCGGTCCGTTCCCGCCCGAGCCTCCGAACCCGGCCCCCTCCGTAACCACCGTCTCCGTAACCGCCGCCGACAACACCCACCCACCATGGCCGACCTGTCCACGACCCTCCCGCTCACCCGCGCCTCGGTACAGGCCGCCCATGAGCTGATCAAGCCGTACATCCACCAGACGCCGGTGCTGACCAACTCGACCATCGACCGGTTTGCCTCGACACCCCGGACCGAGGCCGAGCTGGCCGGCACCGAGTGGGCCGGCCGCACCCCCGCCAAGCCGGTCCTGCGCTTGTGGTTCAAGTGTGAGAACCTACAGAAGATTGGCGCTTTCAAGGCCAGAGGTGCCTTCCATGCTATTGAGCGGCTGAAGCTGGAGCCGGGGTGGATCGAGGGTGGTGGTCTGGAGAAGGGCGTGGCGACGCACAGTTCTGGTGGGTTCTCACTTACTTCCGCTCACTTACACCGTCCATCACATTGCCAGTGCTGTGTTGAATACCCGGTCTGGGTTTACACCACTATCTCCCAACACCAGAACAGAGAGCACCATCCCCACTCCCGCCTACCCATCCTCACCCCCCCTTTCCCTCAAGACCCCAATCTAACCCCCCCCCAGGCAACCACGCGCAAGCCGTCTCCCTCGCGGCCTCGATCTCCAAGATCCCAGCCCACATCGTGATGCCGTCGACGGCGGCGCCCCCCAAGATCGCGGCAACCCGCTCCTACGGCGCCAACATCACCTTCTCGGGCCCCAACGCGCCCGACCGCGAGGCGACCGTGGCCGAGGTGATCGCCAAGACGGGCGCGCGCATGGTGCCGCCGTATAACCACCCGGATATCATCCTAGGCCGTGAGTCACTCCCCCGTTTTCCACTCCCCCCTTTCCACTCTCCCCCTTTCACTCCCCCTTTTCCACTCCCCTTTTTCCATCCCCCTCCCCCCCCCCCTTTCTTTTTTGTTTTAACCCTCCCACATCCCCACCCCCCCATCCCGCACCCCATCCAACAAACTAACCCCCCCTCCCAAAAAACAGAAGGAACCGCCGCCCTCGAACTCCAATCCCAACTCCCCCCCGCCACCACCCTAACCGCCATCATAACCCCCTGCTCCGGCGGCGGCCTCCTCTCCGGCACGGCGCTCGCCTGCGAAGGCACCGGCATCCACGTCTTCGGCGCCGAGCCCTCTCTCGAGGGAGCCGACGACCTGCGCCGCTCACTCCTCAGCGGCACGCGCATCGACAGCGTGACGACGACGACCATCGCCGACGGCCTGCGCACGCCGGTGGGTCCCATCCCGTGGAGCGTGATCCATGGGAAGGGGCTGGTGCGTGCGGGGTATAGCGTCAGTGAGGATGAGATTCGGCGGGCGATGAGGATGGTGTATGAGCGGATGAAGGTGGTGGTGGAGCCGAGTGCGGTGGTGGGGTTGGCGGTGGCGTTGTTTAATGAGGATTTTAGGGGGTTGGTGGAGAGGGAGGGCGGGGAGAAGGGGTGGGATTTGGGGGTGGTGTTCTCGGGGGGGAATGTGAGTTTGGAGAAGTTGGGGGAGTTGATTGCGTGAGACGGGGGTAGAGAAGAAGGTACAGAAGACGGAGGGTGGGGATGAAGAGAGAGTACGGGAAGAAGATAGAAGATGAGAGACAAAAGAAAGATGGAACACCAAAAGACGCAGCAGGTTGCAAGAGATCGCTCAGCCAAATCAAATACCGCCATCAGCTAGAGTATATGTACAAGTGACAGCTGAACCCCCGTTAACCCGAAATTGCAGCGCGAAGCAAGCCTTTTTGATGCCCCGCCCCAAGGTATCCCATCCTCGGCAAGCGACAGCCCAACCGTCCCATAAGCCAGAGTATCAAATTGTTCGAGAGAAAAACACCATCCCAACGCCGACCGCTTACTTCTGGTTCTCGGGACGCAGAGAGCTACAGAGGGGTTAGCACAAGGTTGATTCAAGTAAGTTGGGAATTAAGTAGAGAAAACGTACCGAACCGACTTGCCCGCGCGCCAGATCTCCAGGTTGCGGATCTCCTCCATCTCGGTCTCGTACCGCTGGCGGTAGTCGGGTTGCGAGTTGTACTCGAGCGAGCGCTTGGTCTCCTCACCGGTCTTGACAGAGTCGTAGAGCTGGTTGAAGACGGGCTTGAGGGCGTCCTTGAAGCGCGGGGTCCAGTCGATGGCGCCGCGGCGGGCCGTGGTCGAGCAGGCCTCGAACATCCAGTCCATGCCGTTGGCGCCGATCAGGGGGTACAGCGACTGGGTCGCCTCCTCGACGGTCTCGTTGAAAGCCTCGCTGGGGCTGTGGCCGTTCTCGCGGAGCACTTCGTACTGGGCGAGGAACATGCCGTGGATGCCGCCCATCAGGCAGCCGCGCTCGCCGTACAGGTCAGAGTAGACCTCCTTCTCGAACGTCGTCTCGTACAGGTAGCCCGAGCCGATGGCGACGCCCATGGCGATGGCCTTCTCCTTGGCCTTGCCGGTCACGTCCTGGAAGACGGCGAACGACGAGTTGATGCCGCGGCCCTCGCGGAAGAGCGAGCGCACGGTGCGGCCGGAGCCCTTGGGCGCGCAGAGGATGACGTCAACGTCGGTGGGGACCTCGACCTTGGTGAGGTCCTTGAACACGGGCGAGAAGCCGTGGGAGAAGTAGAGGGTCTGACATTAGTTGTTAGCACCGTCCATCTCTCCTTCACCCCCTCCTTGGACAGGGATTGTCCCCATTGTATGTCATGCACGTACCTTGCCCTTGGTGATCTGGGGCTTGATGGCGGGCCACGTCTCGCTCTGGGCGGCGTCGCTGAGCAGGTTCATGACGATGGTACCGCGGGTGATGGCCTCGTCGACCTCGAAGAGGTTCTTGCCGGGGACCCAGCCGTCCTCGATGGCATCCTGCCACGACTTGCCGTTCTTGCGCACACCGATGATGACGTTGAGGCCGTTGTCACGGAGGTTGAGGCCCTGGCCGTGGCCCTGCGAGCCGTAGCCGATGAGGGCGAGGGTGTCGTTCTTGAAGTACTCCTGCAGGATGATTATTAACAAAGTGTCCTCTCGAGGTTATCTCACAACCCAAACATGAACATGAGGGGTGACTCACCAGGAGCTTCTCTTGGGGCCAGTCGGCACGCTCTGGAAGAGGGGTCATCAGATCAGCAACCAATTCTCTCATTGTCACAACCCAAATGCAAACCAAAGCTAGAGCTCTACTCACCATAAACATCCTCCTTGGAGCCGGCAAAGTCCATGGTCTTCACACCACGCACCTGCTGTTGTTGGGCAGGAACGGCAGCGGCAACACGAGCAGCGACGGCCGAGGCACGCACAGCACCGGCGGCAGCGATGAAAGTGCGCTGCTGCACGGCGGGGGTGGCCAATTGGCGCGCCAACGGGCGCAGAGCCTTGGAGAAGCTGCGGGAGGCCATTGTGATGGGAATTGGAGGAGTGGGGATGGGGGTTTGGGAGGGAATGGGGAGGGTTTGGGAAGGTGATGTGGGCTCTTCGGGGGTCAAAATAGCTTTATGAGGTGCTTCGCCGTCTCCGTTCCGCTGCTGGTATCGGAGCTTTCGAGTCAGATTTTTTTGATTTCTGGCCTGGTTGCCAGGCGAGCCAGTCCAGCTTTCGCCGGCTTCGGGGCTTCTCGCTGCTGGCCTGTGGGTCTTTATGGTGGAGCCATGCTCACTCTACCTGGTCTCTCATTGGGCGCGTCGATCCGGGGCAGGAGGATACAAACAACAGCACTCCAAACCTCTGCGGGGCAGCCGCCTCTTGGCACACTGCTGGAGCTTCAGAGGAGGCGGCTCCGGAGCGCACAGAGTGGACCGGACCGACGATTCCACCCAGCCAGGGAGCCAGACCACCGGCACGGAGTTACCCATCCAGTTGCCGATGAGATGGCCGAGCTGACTCACTCAAAGGCCACATGCAATGCCACGTTCCCCTGCACAGGTAGGAGGGACTGTGGAAGTGTGGAAGAAGATAACTTTGAGAACATCCAGCTAGAGTTAGGTTGTTGGCTCCGGGTTTGGCTTCCTTCTATCTCCGGCGCGACCAAGGTGAACGTTCATGGGCCGAGGTAAACATGAGTAAGAGATGATGAAGCAGAACGGTTGGGTTGGCATGGTCCCGGCGTCGTAGGCAGAAGGAGAAGGTGACGCTGCTCTGATGGCACGAACGGCTCAGACTGACTGACACCCAAACCCTCATTAATCAATTCGTTTCGTACCCCATAATCGTCGACGCCGGAAGACGCTCTATCTAACCGCCGCCATGCTGCCATGCTGCCGCCCTCCAGCCTCCCCCGCAGGCACAGGTATCATTCACTCTCCAACTCCCCAACAGCCGGTTATCGGGGCTTCCTCCTGCCTCATGCTAGCCTAGGCGTCGATGGCGGTTTGCGCCCGGTCGGAAGGGCGGCGTGCTTGTGTGCGATGCCAGCCTCCTCCGGCGCGTCCCTGCGGCTCTCGATGCGCCGGCCCACTACCACCGCCCAAACCGGTGATCCCTCCCCGCCACGTTAATAAACATACCATCTGGCCCGTGACTAGAGCAGCACCCGCTGGTATGTCTCCCCACGCACGCTCCCGCCCGCCATGGCCTGCTTCACATTCCGCTTGAACCCGTCCCGGTTGTTCCTCAGGTCCTCGGCCGCCTCCTTGTTGAGCGGGTCGCTGGCGTTGGGCTCCAGGAAGAGGAACTGCAGCCCCACGATCACGGCGTTCAGGTTCAGCACCGGCTTCCAGTCCTCGCGCAGGATGTTCAGGCACACCTTGCCCTCGAGGTCGATGTTCGGGTGGTAGATCTTCTCGCGGCAGAGCACCTTTGGCGGCTCGTGCGGGAACGATGGCGTGATGTTGAACGTGAAGCTGAACCGGCCGCCTTTGTACATGCCCTCGTCCGGCTCGATGTAGAGTATGAAGGAGAGGATGTCGTCTGGGTCGGGGAAGTCTGTCGACATCGTGCTGCCGAGGGAGAGCTCGGAGAGATCTGAGAGGGAGCCGTGGTTAGCCGTGTGCTTGACTGATAGAGACCACAAGACGACACTCACCCTTTTGCACCCGTAATTGCGCCGCTGTCACCTTCTTTTTCTTCGCTGCTGTCGATCCGCCCCCCTCGGCGGCATTCTCAGCCTTTTGCTGCTCCTTCTTCTGTTCGGGGCGTCAGCGACCTCTATCCCGCTATGGTGTGATCTGGCCCGATGATAGCCTACCATGGACCATATCTTCAACATCTTGTCGGTTGTTCGACCTCGGTCGTTTGAACTGTTCGTTTCGTCTCCGTCCGCAGGTGTTGACGAGTATTATGTCGCAAAATAACCACGTCAGGTCAAAGTCGCGGAGGTGGCACTTGGGCTGCCTCGCAAAGCAAGGTGGGATGTGGGGTAAATCGGCGGTGGAGGTAGGTGGTCCTAGGGCACTGCGGGCTCGGACTGGTATTTATTGAAGTATAGGATGAGGTGGCGGGGATTGGATTTTGTTGCCCGAGGAGATGAACTTTATGGGAGAAAAGGTAAATTAGGTAGGTGTTCACCCGGGCGTGAAATCTTCGATTTGAGATGGAGACTCCAGAACCCAACTGAAGTCCTTGGCAGTGGCCGACGATGACAGCAGCAGTCCAGGCAGGCGAGCCCCACATTGTCCCGCGCCTCCGGTGGTCATCGATCCATAAACTTCAGGCTTTCAGGCTAAGGGCGCCGTCCCAACCTGGAATGTGCGAGTTCAATCACGCAACCTGGTGCAGCCAACCACATATGAAGGGTAAAACTTACACCTCGATAAATAGGTAAGTTCTAAACGGCAATGCTGTCAAGGTGTGACAGGTAGGTAGTCTCTACGGATATATACACTTCTAACAGCCCCATGGTTTCCCCCACCGTTCCATCTATCACTCGTGAGTCTAGCAGCGTTGAGTTGACACACCGATCCCGCGCATGCAATGAGCTTCGGACAACTCAGGAGGTACACACATAACCCCAAACAGCCAACCTAAAAATCGGCATCCCCATCTTCACCTCACCCACAACCCCTCCCCCTACGCCGCCTCGGCCTTTCTCAAAGAATTATAATGCTCCCCCAACCCATACCCATGCCGATAATACGCCAACCACAACGTCTTCGCCTCTCCCTCCCCCTTCGCAGCACCCTCCCCCTCCCCCTTTCCGTCCCCAACACCAACACCAACAACATCCGGCTTGACCACCTCGACCCTCCCCTCCCCCTGCACAACGCGAATCTCCACCCCATACGCATTCGCCAGCGCGCTCAGTTCCAACTCCCCCCCCCACTCCGCCGTATCCCTAACCTTCCCAACATACCCCTCCACCCCCTCCTCCAAGAACCCCGCATACGCCTCCCCATGCCCGGCAATCCAATCCGCCGCCGCCCCCCTCACCACCCTATACTCCGGCACGGGCACCACCCCCCCAACCTTCGGCACCACCCCCACCACCACCTTCGGCTCCAACCCCAACCCCCCCACCACCTCCCCCCCCTTCCCTTCCCCTTTCACCAACTCAACCCCATTAACCCTCAACTGATCCGCCACCGCCGAGAACAGACAGTGCCCATCCGGCGCGATCTCGTGCTCGCGCAGCGCGTGGGCCTCAAACGCACGCTGCATGGCGCGCCGCTCTAGCTCGCGCCGGTCGGGCATCGCGGCGGCCTCGGCGGCGGCCTGGGCCGCGGCGGCTTCTTGCTCGGCGGCGCGGCGGGCGAGACGCTCTTTTTGGCGGTTGCGTTTTGGTTGTTGTTGGGGGGGTTGTTGTTGGTTCTGGGGTTGGGATTGGGGTTTTGAGGGGGGTTGTTGGGAGAGGGTTGTGGTGGCGAGGGTGTGGGCGAGGTCGTCGGTGGTTGTTGTTGTTGTTGTGGTGGTGGTGATGGGGGGTGGTTGTGATGGCTCGTTGTCTTCGTTGTTGTCTTCATCGTCGTCGTCGTCGGCTTCGCCCGAGAGTTTGCGCAGTTCCTCCCCCTGCCGCTCCTTGAGCTGGCGCTCGAGCTCGGCGCACTCGTCGTTGACAAACTTGCGCGTCTTCTTGGTCGCGTTCTTCTTTTTGCTGGTGACGCGCGATTGGAGATCGCGTTGCTCCTTTCTGTGCCGCGCCTGCATCTGCTCGAGGGACTCCTCCATGGCGGCGGCTTCTGGTGAGGACATTGTGCTAGTTGTGGTGGTATGTTGGGTGCAGGTTGTTCGAGACAAGCTTTCGAGTGAAAGATATGGTGGGGCATGGCGGGGTTGGGGGTTGCTGTGATAAGGGTTAGGGACACCCTCCTGCCACCACTTACACAGTCGGAAGCTGGAGGATGAAGATGGTCAACGCATTGTAACCGAAGCAACCGTCAGCAGATATCCCGTTTCTCTCTATCTCCCGCACACGCAGAGTCCAAGTAACTAGATGTGCAGCAAGTCAATATCCTGAGAGCCACTCCTTGAAGCAAGAAAGCAAAAAGGAGGACCACAGAACCGAATGTGTTTGTTCTCTATCAACATACACAACATAACCAGTAAATCCAACCGGTTGATGAATGCCGTCGCCAACTCTGTCGCTCACGTCGCCTACGGCTCTCTAGCTAGGCACTGAAAGGAAACCAGAACGTAATAAATATACAATAGGAGTGAGTCTCAGCAGCTCCACTGACAAGATGGTATCACAATCAAAACGGGCTGGCATAAAACAGACCCTACCCCCAGCGGTGCTATGCTTGCTTTCGACCAGCCATGAAGTCCAAATACCCGACCGTAGAAAGGAAGTCTTGTGTGAGAAGTCCCGCCCTGTCACGATGGGGCAACGATACATGCCGGTCATAAAAACAAAGACCCTCAGCAGACCTTTTTCGGATTAACATAGTAAAAAATTAGAAATAGAGGGAAAGCGTCAGTCATGACGGGACCGCAGCGTGTGCTACAATATATAGAGGGGAAACAAAAAAAACTAAGAAGAGAAGGCGCTCCTAAAACCCCCTGAACGGATCGTCCCGCATGTACCACTCGTCTAGGTCGTCGGTGGCCCGGGTGGTGCGGCTTTGATAGCTGTCGCGCTGGCGGCTGCTTCGGCTAGCCCGGCGACGGAGCTCCTTGCTCCGCCGCCGCGTCACCTGCCGGAAGTCGTCCTGCTCGTAGGGCGTCTCGTTGAACGCGAGGGGACTAATGAAGGCCTCCATGCGGACCGTGCCGATGGCGTCAAAAAAGTTATTCATGACGGGCCCGCTCGGCCGGCTCGAGGCCTCCGACGTACGCACTGACGGCGTCGCCCACGTCATGCCGCTCGACCCCGTGACGGCGCTGGCTCCAGCATTGCTGTAGAGATCCGACGACCCGGCGGTCATGACGCTATTGCCCGCCGTGCTGTTCGACGCCGTGTGAGAACCGCCGCTTCCGGCGGGGCCGGAGAAGCCGCGGAACGAAAGGGGAGGCGGGATGTGGCTGCCAGTGTTGCTGCGCTTGCGCCCGTGAACCGCGCCAACCGCGCCTTGGTTTGCCCGTTCAGAGAACCGAGCGATGGCCGGGGGTTCGGCAGCGTCCTTCGACTCCTCCCGGGTATGCGCGGGTATTTTGTAAATCTCCGGCACCGGAGGGGGCCGGAAGCTGGGGATATTGGGCGGAGCACTATCCAAGTGCGACTCCGACGTCACCGGATCCGACTTGATCACCCCTGTCTTGGCCTTGGTGAGGCGGATCGAATCGCGAATCGCTCGCCGTTTGGGCTTCGGTAACTCGTACTGCTCGACTACCGGCTTCGGCTTCGGTGGTTGGTGCGGTACTACCAGAGTGTCCGGTATGGCCTGGTTAGAGTGTGCCAAAAAGGATAGTGATGTTAGCCAGATGTAATGGCGTTCGGCGTTTGCGGCTGTGAATTTGAGCGCCCGCTGTGGTGTCAAGATGAGAATCGACCTGTTGAAAATCTGGGCGGTACCCTTCGGAGGCGGGTTATCATCCTTCACATCTAACACGGATTGGATCACAACTATCCAGAGGTCAGCGGCGGAACTCGATACGCACGGACGATTCTTCACTTACGCTTGCGGCCAGACTTGCCCAACAAGGCGCTTCCCGAAGCCGGCTGCTTGCTGCTCCAGAGAATCGAACGCTCGTAGGGCGCAAGCCAGACCCATCTCTTATGGCGGTCGTTGCTGTTGTCATCGCCGCCCTTGGTATCCGCGACCCCAAAAGACTTGCGCCTTCGCACATATTTAAACATCCATTCACCCACCATGGTCTGAGCAATCGTGTCCACCACAGTGGGTGGCTGAGTCGAGGCAGCCTGCGACGGCGCAGCTGTGTCCGCCGTGTTCGCCGTTGTTGTCGACGGTTGGGACCTGTGACTCCGGTATTTCGGCGTCATATACCCATCCCTCGTGCGCGGCGCTGTGACATCGTTGCTCGGCAACGGGGGAAGCCTGGGGCTTTCGGGCGCTTCAGCAGAGGGGCCGAAGGGCGGTGGAGAGCGGCTGCCACGCCGCCGGTACCTCTGGTTTCGGGGCAGAACCGCTGCCGAGCGCACCTTGCGGATGCTACTAGCGCGGTAGTGGCTCCGGTTCGAGCCCCGCCTCGACCATACATCCGAGCTCCTACTCGGGCTGGTGCGTCCATCGCTCGGAGCACTGGTGCTGACGGGCGGCTGTCTAGAGCTAGCGCGTGTCGGGATTGGGAACGGAGGTTCCTTCGGGTCCGTAAAGCTTGGGCTCCTAGCCCTCTGGTGCGAAGCAATGCCGTTTTGAATCATAACGGCCCGGCGCATAACGCTAGGCTTAGTCCCAAAGACCGAAGGCCGCCCGCCGCGTCTCGAACCCCTCCTGCCGAAAGCCGTATCCCGCATTTCATGCGTCGGGTAGGCCACTGAGTCGTAGGCTTCGCCGTCTTCAGACCCGGGAGAAAAGAAACGACTGCTAGCCTTCGGTGAGAACGCGTTCTCGGACGATGTGACGGTTCCGAACGAGTTTCGCTTGCCCCCACGGTTCGACCCGTTCTTGGGTTTCGGCGCAGAGAGCGCAGTCCGGTATTCCGAATCGCTGAAATCAGCATCCAGGAATTCGTCAACCTCGTCAGAGCTGTTCCCATCGAAGCCGGCGAACAGGCTGCTAATCCGCGGCGGCCGTCGCATGGGGGCGTTTTGACTTGAAAGGGGCCCGTCATCGTTGTTCCCTGGGTAAAGATCGCGGGTCTCTTCTTCCAAGATAGACGAGGCAATCGGAGGCGACGAGGGCATATCGGTCAGGCTTCGTTTGGACGTCAGTCGTCGCGGATTCCGCGGTGGCAAGTTTCCGGGAACTGGTGTGAAATGCCGAGTGCCCTCGATGGCAACCTCTACTACACCAAGCGCAGGCGAAGAGGGCCGAGACGTGATAGCAGACGGGTGGAGGTGTGGCGGGAGCCTGTTCAATCGCTGGTCAACCCGAATCTCTTCTGTCTGCATCGCCGACGACGTTGTAGATACGGTGGTCGCCAGAGATACTTGGCATCCAAAATCCTTAGTGAGTTGTGGAAGGCGCGATTCGCGAGGTGAACTCGGGCGACTGGTTGGGGGAATGATGCTGATGCTAGGAATAAGCATTGGCAGTTCGACGAGCGAGGGATCAAGCACGGGTGCCGCATCTTCGGTCTGGGTGGAAGCAGAAGCCATAGTCGGCGTCTTGAGTCTCGGAGTTGGGGGTGTCTCCTGCAATGGCGTTTTGGGCGTCCTCGGTGGGCTCAATGGCTCCTCGGCTGTTTGAGACGAACCGTTGACCATCAAGTTGTGCATTCCAACCGTCTTGATAGCAAGCGGCTGAGCGACACTCACCCTCTTCCTCCGCTGATTCGCCTCGATCTCGTGGTCAGCGCGAGGGCTGTCGAGACCACAGAGTCTCTCGTATCTTTGCAAGAACGTGTTCGTGGACGGTTCTGGGGTCGACGGCTTTGAGGGAATAATCTTGGGGGATGGGGGCGGTGAGTACTGTATCCCGGTGTCGACGTAGCTGACTTGAGGAGCAGGCGGCACCGATTCGTCGTCCTCCTTGATGATACCGTCCTCGAGCCGCTCCAGCGCAGCAGGGTTGAAGGCTAGCTTGCCGCGAGCCACACTGCCGGGCCTCCTTAAGCTGTCATTGCTCCGGTGTCGTTGGTGGGTTCTAAAAGCAAGGCTGTCTCGGCTGAAATTTCGCATGTGGCCCTTCGATAGGACACTATCCCGGCCGCCGTAGTCACTCTCGTCGTCGTAACCGCCATCGAATCCCAGTTCGTCAGCCAGCGAGTTCCCGTTTGCCTTGAGGATGCTGTTGGCGACCGAGAACCGGATGCTGTTCGTGATGCTCATGCTCCTAACGCTGGCAGCATCATCCTTCACGCTCTCCTCCCCGTCGCTCTCAGCAGCGTTAGCCACCCCATCCTGGCCCTCTGCCTGTGCGGCCTGGAAAGCGGCGACCTCCTCCAAGACGACCTTTAGCCGTGTCTCGGCAACGTGGATCCTCCGCTCCTGCTTGCGCTTCTCCTCCTCCCAATCGTCCTTCTCTTTTGCCCATTGCTCGTGTACTCGCTGTGAGTCTTCTTCTTGGCTCCGCAATTTCTTTTGGGTCGTCTCGAGCCGCTTCCGCGTCTCGGAGGCTGACTCAATCGCCTCGTCGCGCTCCTTCGCCAGTTCACTAAGCGCAGAGGACGTCCCTCCCTCCAGCAAGGACAGTTGCCGCTTCAACGACCTGCTTTCTTTCCCCGTCGTTGATAGCGAAGTCTGCAGAGTCTCGGATTCCTCTCGTACTGTGTGCAGAGACGTCTCAAGGCTCTCAATTATCTTTAGCTTTTCCTCCTGATCTCGCCTGAGTGAGAGGATCTCGGAAACCAAACTGGCATGGAGGGTTGGCGTGAAACGACGTGGGTCCAAAATGCTGATGTTCTCATCGATGGTGACGTCCCTAGAAGACCTCTTGGAACCCCTCTCACTCTTGTCCCCCGGAAGTGGCGGAGGGGAGCGACTTTTGCCCTTCTTTCCAGTAGGCGTAATGGACCTCCCTGACTTTCGTGAGCCGCGCGAAACCGTCCGCGAGAGAGGTCGGCGAGGTGTGTCAATGGGCGTCGGCAGCGGCATCGCCGGCCCGGTCGATTCGTCTTCGGTTTCCCACACGGCCATTGCGAATAAATGTGGCGTGTTAACTTCGTGAACTGACAGAGGTTGCCGTCTCTTGCTTAACCTAACGGAGGGCTCAGATCATTTCCACTGCCGGAGACTGCTACTCCAATTCGTTTCCAGATGAGCGGCGAGTGCGTGTGTTAGTGATATGCCGAGGGCGAGAGGCTGAGCTCAACTGCGATGATCCTTGTTTACCAGCACAGCTTGTCGGACCTTGTTTCAAGGTGAAGCAATATGCAACGGGACGACCCAAGCCCGGAAGCTCAGCCGAACTGTCAATGCTCGAAACAGCCCCCGTAGCACGAAATGCATGCACAACCCAAGGGTGCCCAAACGGTCTGTGACACTGGCCCGAATTGCACTAGTTCACAAGTCGCACGTCGTCGGTGTCGGCGCTGATTTCATGCAATATCCCCATCGGTTTTGATGCCAATCCTAGTCGCAATTGGCCAATCAGCGATGCTGTCACCCGAATATCGTTGAAGCTATAACATGCGTCTTATGAAATAGGGGAACCCGGCCTAAGCCAAGACGGGGGAGATAATATGCGACCTTGGGGTGGAGGGAAAATCGGGGTTCAACGAAGTCGAGAACCAACTCACAAGATGCGGAAACTAGGTATCGCGTCGTCGGTAAGGAAACGGTGGGTTTTTGTAACCACTTGTTTGTTTGCCGTCTAGGATATCGCGTCGGCGGGCTTGGAGTTCCCGGCCTGCCACGAGGTGGAACCGGAAGATGGGACGAACAGCGGTTCGTGGCGATCTCGCCGGGTGGGCTCACAAAGCGCGAAAGCTCGGAGTTACTACAGGATGTCTCAGTCAGTACAATGTTGGTTGGATAGAAACTGAGAAAGATTAAGGCAAGCTTCGCGCTGGTCACTGACATACCTTTGGCTCCGAATCTAGGTAGATAGATAGGTAGATGTAATGGAAGTACCCGAAGGAGGAATGTTCCGGCTGGCGTTTCCTAGAGAGGGACTCGAAGAGAAAATGAAGAAAGCGCGAAGGGAAAGGAAACCGGGGTATCGTATCGCGCAACTTGTCGACTTGAACTTGTCGACTTGAACTCGAAGGAAAAAAGAGCGTGCGGAGCCTGGGAGTTCTCGAAGTCGAGACTCGACCAGACGAAAAGAATGGAAACTCGAGAGGTGGCGTCACGGGCCGCAGGCGAAAAGGTGCGTCCTATGGAAAGCAGCAACAACGCGCCCCGGTGCTCGAAGTCGAGAAAAGAAGGAGAACAATGCCCTCCCCCAAAAATGCGACGCCGGGCCGGAAGTGAGATTGTATTGTACGATACAAGGCCCAAGGAGGTTTGAGCGGATCTGGGCGGCCTGGGTTCTGTATGAGTGCTCCACTTTTCGACACGAGCCACCCGCAAGCTGCAGGAGAGTGGGGAACCTATGTGGGATGCCCACGATGCCCTGTGAACCCTGCCGAAAAGCGAGCAGCGGCTGGCCTGCAGTTCCTCCCCTCTGTGGGGCACGAATCGGGGAACACAGAACCAAAATGCCAAAGCACACTGGACAGGTGCCACTGACTGCCCACACACGAATCTGGAAGCTGCTGGGCGCACATGCACAAAACACCCAGGCCAATGGTTGCCGCATTCGACCGCACCCTGCCGGGCTCCCGCACCTCCACCAACCATCTGCAAAGGAACGCAAAGCGGCTCAAGATTGGTTACACGGCTCTTCGAGGCAGTCCACTGGTTGTCCTGTGCATGTGCGCTTATTCTGGACTTGTTTCAAAATTCCATCCAGCTTTCATACATACACTGGCACAGCATTCTGTAACAACATAGGTAAACAACCAAATCATCCATCATTCGCGCCTCCGGGACGACCCCGACGCGCTGGGTCAAAGGAGTCGATGGCTTGTCGAGGAAGACCGGGGCTCTCCTAGGCGAACGAGAGTTTGCTGCGTGAAACAAAGATTGCGCCGGTCAGTTTGTTAGTTCTCATTACGCCATGAGGTTCGAGAAGCCAAGGATGGAGGGGCTTCCCTGGTACAGCAATTCCCGAAGACTCGACCCCAACCTGGAATTCATTCTGGCGGGAACATCCCCGGAAACACCCTCGGATCTCGTCCAAAGATGGCAACCGATCTTTTCAACCGACGATTTCTCCCCGCTGCTCGCCGCTCCTCTTCCCGTCCCGGCGCAGGTTGCGAGCTCACCACCACATACGAATATCCATCGAACCATCTCCACGCACGCACTGTCGCGCAGACTCACAAAAATGCAACTGGAGTCTGCAACCACCCGCACGCCCAGGCGTCAAGCAAAACGGCCATCCCGCGTTCCAGGGGTCCAGCTTGACGGGTTCCAAAAAGGGATGAGACCCCGGGTGCGGACCAGCCGACTAGCTCGTTTAGGCCGAAGCCTCTTGTGACGACCCGGAGGTAGCGAATGGGAGGTGGCGCCAGGCTGAGTTTAATTTCCTGCTGTGATAGGATGTTGACGATCGCCCGGGCCTCAGGTTCTCCGAAGTGGGCACGTTGGGGGGTGCGACCAGAACACTGCTCCGCAAGACCTTCTCTTCCGTCTCACTTCGAGAGTCTTTTCCAGCTTCCCAAAGGTCCAGCCGGACCCGGTTATTCGATACGGCAGGTTCCGGCGTAACACACAACAGAGAGGCAAGAAGAAAAAGAAGGAAAAAAGAAACTGCGTGCTGTGGCAATGGCCAAACCGTGATTGACGCGCGAGAACGGCGTGGCTGATTTCTCAACGAACCTCCCCCACCCGTCCCCTTTCACCGGAACACCTAACCGAATGGGACCCTGGCATCACCAGCATCCAGCATGCCATGATGTCGACAGGGCCAGCGGAAGGTGAGCCGGAATCGGCAGAAAATAGCCAATTTGGAAGCTCACGATGACTGGGCTCAGAGGACTCACAACTTGACAACCCGTCACCGAGACTGGAACCACCAACCCACACCGTGTCACCGATGCGCAGTAAACGGTCTTCAAAAGGCGCCGAGATTGAGGGGGCTCACGCGAGAGGATCCCAAATTATTTCTACTTGTCTGGACACGGGACGACCCTCGATGCCTCTCGAGGATGCCCTGCTCCGACCCTCGTCTGTCTCTACCGGGGCTGATATCCACTGCCACATGCATCCCGCACCGTAACGTGCGTTAAACCATGCTCTCGATCGAAGCAACGTCGATCTCGTGGTTAAAGTGAGACACGGACCCGTGTCCAGGCCCGGCCTATGCTGTCAGATCTCGTGGTGTTTGTCGCTCAATTCAGAAGCCATCGCCATGCCCGCGTGCGGCCGTCCTCAAACAACCAGAAAAACGACTCGTCACGAGAAAAGAAATAAGCATTTTCCAAACCAGGCTCGGAACCCCAACGCGCCAAGCCGCGGGCAGGCGAGGTCAAGATCCATCCCCGGTCCGGGGAACAGGCGAACGGCGTTGTGGCGCCGGCCGTGTTCCCAAGACCAGACAACTGCGGTCTCTCGCCCGTCGAGCTTATTGGCTCTCTCAACGGCAAACGTTGGAACTTCCATCACAGAAACGAAGGATCGCTTGTCGCTTTCTCGGCCTCTCGTTGGCCAACAAACGCTCCAATTGTGCCGCGATACACGCCGGGTTGAACGCCTTCCTATGCAAGAGAGCCAACAACAGACTCTTGAGAAACCGGTGAGTTTCATCCACGGTTCTCGAGTCTTCGGAGCGAAGAACCAACTGCCTTGGTCTTCTGCAAATTACTTGCGCAGCACGCGCGCGCTCTGTCTTCCATGCAGCTGCAGCGCGACGTGAATATCCCTGACCCTGCTTGCTGCAAGGCGCACGGAGTCTCCGGAATTCAAAACCCCCCTGGCCCTCGAAGCGACCCTGGCGGCAGCTTGCTGAGCACCGTCACGCTGCAAGTGACGCCTGCAGAGATCCTTGAAAACACGGGAGTTGAAGAAATGAAGACGCGCCTCTGCGCCTCTGCACCCAGGGTCTGAAACTCGCTTTCCGATGCTCTGCAGGTGATGGTGATGGTGCCCCGTACTTCAATTGCGGGAAGCTCACAGCTCCAAATTTCTCTCGTCTGGTTTGCTTTGTTTGTTGAGGCTTGGGAGGACTGAAGGGTCGTCGAAAGGGACGAAACTGTCCAAAGCTCAGTCATTTAGTCCAGAGCGTTACTCTGAGTCGATGCGAGAAAAAGGGGCGGTGGTCACCAGCAATGTTGCGCATGCTATGTGAAAACGGGAAGCATCACATGTGGCTCATGTGTGAGATATCACTTACACTGCATGTAAACCGCCCATGGCGGCAACTCGCCTCCGGCTGCAACCCTCCTTCTCAGTCCGATAAACAACGGCTGATCTCAAGCTGCAACAACCTCAACAAGACAGCCGGTTGGCTAATTTTGAGAGCGGGACGCCGGAGTTAATGGAGTGGGAGGTCTGCGTGAAGTGTGCTACCTAAACGACACGTGCATATGAAGGTACACAACACCCCATCCCCTCTCCGACCTTGTTTCTATCAGAAACGCTCCACATGCGGTCTATTTAAACCGTTGCCCCCAGAGCAAGCCACGCGGGAGGCACCTCAACCGAAATGGGGTGTGATATCCGGGGACTCGAACTACTGTGTGACCGGGCCGAAATAAAAACGGGAAGTCAATGATCTCGCTGTATGTGTCGAGGGGTCACCCCTAAGAAGCTCACGTCCCGGCAGAGGTCGACAACCAGGCAACATATCCCAGAGCAGACGGACTACGCGGGCCGAAGCCCACCGCGGAACAGAGGTTGAACTGGTGACCCCCTATCCATTTTCAAAAGCCGGGGTGCCAGCGAGCGTCTGCGGCGTTCCTAATTTATACTCTTTGAAGAGTGGTGGGCTCTTCGTCAGAACCATCGACACCGTTCGGGACGTTGCCGCTGCCTCTCCGCTGAGCGGGTAAGTGGCAGGAACGCGAATATGCCCCATGTCCCTTAGACCTCAATGATGAAGGCGATCACGGACACAAGGAACTCCGTACCAGTGACGACTCGTAGAATCTAGCGTATTCTATTCTTGACAAGCATTAATAGGGCGTTGTAAATAAAAGGTGCGGCGTGAATCAAGAGATACCAGCTTCGAGTAGATCTTTCGATGGCATGGGAACTGATATCTTTGGTTGGTGTGTGCCGACCGAGCCCATGCCATCATTTACTGAATTCCGCATTAGCCGTCATAATAACATGAGACGTCTGACCTCGGCGTCTGTCCCAATTTATGTTTATAAACTGGCGTACTCAGATGGGGACAGCATTGTAGAGATAGATAAATGTAGACAAGCGAGGGGCATACCACCATTAACCCCTTTTCTGTTCTAACATTTTCACCATCACCCACCCGTGCCTTTAAACCCTTTGGCTCCGCAGCGATATTGACCGCGGCTGGCATCACCACTACCCCCGCGCTACCTGTCCCCCTCCAGACCACTTCGTATCAGATGTTTGTAGCGCCGTCTCCAGCATGCCCCAGTGCCCAACCAAAGCAACCGACACACCACCGCGACTTAGCCCAAATCGTCACACCTCACAACCTGCTCCTACCACAACCACTCTAGCCCCCGCCATAGGGTCGTCCCCCCCCCCCCCCCCCCTCCCTCTCCTTACCCACCCAGAGAAACAAGATCATACCATCGTTCAATCACTAGGTACGCATTACCCCAGCGGCTAACCCGGAGGCAGAACTCGGAACCCCAGCCCCAGCATCCTTAACCTTAACCATGAACGAGCACCAAGCCGAGCCCCGAGACGGCGGCCCGGAAAACTCCAAAGTAGCCGCCAACACACCACACCCGTCACCGGCCCCCGAGTGAGTGGCTGGGGAGGGCGGGAACCAGACAGCAGACTCGGTGCTAAGTGGAAGAGGAACTGATATCAGGGAGACCAGTGGTAAGTTAAGGAGGTGGTTGAATCAGTGTTAGTAGTGAGACTATGGAGTGAGTGCGTGACTGGAGGGCGAGGATGACGAAGCCGAGGAGAGTAGACAAATCAAGATTGGATGCCATAGCAATGGGGTAACTAACTGATATCTCATTCTGGGGATACGAATGTGTCAAACCTGTCCAGGTTTATATCGCAAATTTGAGCTAGACTTTTCTGTCTTTAACATCCCAGATTTTTGAGTTTAGTATGAACGTCATCTAGTGGCGGCCATTGTTGTTGTGACGACCCCGAATCTTTCTTTACCGGTTACTACCGCTGCCATATCCGGCCGCAAGACCTCCTCCGTCTCGGTGGCGAAATTCTGAAGGCTGGCTGTCTCGATTTCAGGGTATTGATAGTTGTTCTGCAAGTTCTTGTTCTGCACGGGCAGTAGTGACTTGATGGGAGCGGACTGTGAGAGGGAAGAAGCTCAATGGTTGGAAGAGCCAATAACCTCCGAGTTGGCGGCCCTATTCGGCCATGATGCGTCGGCACCCGTGCCGTTATGGGGTTGGCCGCTCACCTCGAGAGAGCGAATCCTAGGCTGGCTCGTTCGTTTGAGATTAGGGCTGGGATCGATGATGTCGGAGAAATTCCTACTGGTTTCGATAAGCACCACCCAACTCTTCCGAGACTCCCTATCTTCGATTGGGCGTTGCCCGCCCCCCGATGCGTCATTGTATCCGGCTTTGACCGGGCCCCGCTTCTCCGCAGCCCCGGCCGACTACCCGAGGGCGTCGGCGACATGTGATATCAGCGAGTTTGTCACCATACCCGATGACTCACCTGGACGGCAATCGCCAATAGGCCATACTCTTTGCCGCCAACTTACCTGTGTACTTACCAGTGCGTTTCTCCGGACAGTCCAAGATAGCTCTCAAGAGACTCACCCTCCAGGACAGGTCTCGCGAGACGCACACATCCTACCCCCAACACCCACCCCAGGACTCAATCAACAACATAGCCATCCCTCACTCAAACCAACCACAATGTCCTCCCCCCACCCCTTCACACCCCCCATCAAAGCCCTAACCTTCGACATCTTCGGCACCGCCGTCGACTGGCGCACGCCCATCACCACCGCCCTCACCACCGCCGCCACGAACAAGCTCACCTCCCCAGCCTTCGCCACACTCCCCAAAGCAACCCAATCCCGCCTACAGTCCCTCACGCCCCAAGACTGGTCCGCTTTCGCCCAGTCCTGGCGCGACGCCTACAACACCTTCACACATTCCTTCGAGCCCGGCACGACGCCGTGGAAGGACGTGGACACGCTGCACCGGGAGAGCCTGGCCTCGCTGCTGGAGGAGGAGGAGTGGGGGCTGGCGGGGGTGTACGACGACGGGGAGCTGGACGCGCTCAGCCGGAGCTGGCACTTCCTGACGCCGTGGCCCGACGTGGCCGAGGGCGTGCGGCGGCTGAACGCGGGGTTCGCGACGGCGAGCCTGTCGAACGGGAACACGGCGCTGCTGGAGGATCTGAATGAGTACGCGCGGCTGGGGCTAGGCCGGCTGGTTTCGGCGGAGGACTTCAAGGAGTACAAGCCGAGCGGGAAGGTGTATCTGGGTGCGTGTAGGATGTTGGGGCTGGAGCCGTCGCAGGTGGCTATGGTGGCGACGCACTTGACGGATCTAGCGGCGGCGAGGGGGTACGGGATGCGGACGGTGTACGTCGAGCGGCCTGGGGAAGGGGAGTGGAAGGCGGACGAGGAGAGGTACGTGCAGGCGAGGGAGTGGGTTGATGTATGGGTCGCTGAAGGGGAGGGAGGCTTCGAGGAGGTCGCGAAACGGCTCGGGGTGTGAGGGAAGTCTTGTGTGTCCGAGGCCCCCATAACTTACAGGTTTCCTATGTTGACAGCACATTTTTCGACCGAGATAAACACATCTCGGAAGTTGGCGACGGGGTTGGTTTTACAAATCTCTCCCGCTTAGAAGTCGGCGGTCCATCCCATTCCTGGACCGAGAAGCGGGCTCGTGGCCCTGGCTCGGTAGACGGCTGCGTCCGCAACATGGGGTGTGAACTTTGAACCCCATTGGTTGGTGAAGTAACGATTGGCGTTACGCTGGTGAATTTCTTCGGTATCTCTCTTGGTCAAGCTCATGTCCAAGCCTGGACTCGGTGGCTGCTACCCATGCCCATGGGACAGGTATAAAACAACCCGGGTCCTCGACTGAACAATGGGAAAGAGGCTTGCCGCCACGTGCGTTGCTCAGTTCTCACATCTTACCTCGCGGGCCAAGTTCAGACTCGAACTCAAGGCGTCGCGCAAAGAAACGTTGCTTTTGTGTTTTGTGCAATTACCATACCTTGCTCAAGTTAACAGCATGCGCGTCTCGGCAACGCAGAGAACACCCATGACTCGTCACCATCTCGGGTGTCCCTAGACAGCAGGGCCATACGGCGACTTGCTTAGGGGGGACGGCGAGCGCGTCTTGGCCTGAGTTAGAGGCATGCCTGAAGCGGTTGATACTATCAAGATCCGAGCAGCCGAGGCCAAACGCAGCCGTACAACCACCGAAGAACACCGAGTTCGACGAGAAGGGCTCGGGACATGGGGCCGTTCCCCCGTGAGAAGGACGAGAACGCGACGGCGCGGCACTCACAATCAAGCAGGCTTTTGCGGACCTTCAGGCTTCATGCTTGAATCTTGTACGTGTTGCGGCAGGCGAGAGGTCTCGTGCTCCATCTCTGCCAAGTGCGGACCGGACATCGATGCCGAGCAAGCGCGGGGAAAGTGAGCTCTTGCGTCGAGCACCGTGTCTCACCCGTTTCAGCATCGGATGGTTCTTCTCGATCGATCTGAGCCGTTTGCTGCAGTATACACAGGGGCGGCCGCTGCAGTGTACAATACGTGCGAGCACAGCGTCAGCTCGTTGGACTGGAGAGCGTGGTTGTGGTTCACAACATGCGAGTGGAAATCCGGCGGGAAGTGGGTTGACAGAAGACAGCTTGCAAGACCTCATCGATTCGGGGCATTGGCGACTCGCCCCGATTGGGTCAGCACTGGTATCCCGTTTGTATGTACGGGAACGCGGGCTTGTTGCCCCTCAACCCCACCGCGAGCGAGCCATGAGCGCCTACAGGTAACCAGTACCCCGGGTAACCTGGGGTCGTCGAGCTGCGACCTGTGCACGTCTGCCGCATGCACGGGGCACATGTTAAGGTGACGGTTGCGACTGGACACGCAGATTCAAGCCCGCTGGCATTTCAAGACCGAAATGTTGACGAGTCAGATCCGCAGGCTGAGTGTTGCGGGGAGCGTATCTGAACCCGGAGGCTTGGCCAAGAATGGGTGTTGCCCTTTGAGCTCACCTGGACAACGCCGTGCCTTCAACTCGACTCGGCTTGCTGCCGAGGTCCTCGATGTTTCCGACATTGCACTCCGTGTTTGCTCTTGCCCACGACCCTGCAGTTGGCCCGTTAAGGTCATTCTCGAGGCCAGAAGGATTGGCCGCTGCGGGCGGTGGCCATAACTCTCGCCCCAACGGGTCGGCACCGGCATCCGGGCCCGCCGACTCAACCTGGAAGTTGTCAACCGCACGACTGTTTTACCCACAGTCCGGCCCAACTGGATGAGATGTGAGGAGTCGTCTGATGCGCTCCCGAGTTATTAGCCTTCTTGCCTGGTCGGATCACCATCGCGGATTCCGATAAGCCAGAGGCCGCCGAGACGGTGCAATTCTGTTGGCGGTTCTTGCCGTGCGCAACCTGTCAGAAAAAATCCTGGCTTGAAGGTCGAGCGGTCTTGGATATTGAGAGACCGCCTGCGGACGGGAGCGGGCGTCCCGCGCTGGGGTGCATATGGGAGTGACAGCTAATAAACAGGTCAAATTGTGGGGATATGGGGATATCATGAATTTCATCCGGTCCTCGTCTTGTGCTGTCGTGATCGAGGCGCTGAGCGGACCCGACCTCATCCGGTCGCGCCTGAACGGATCGAAATCTGCGATCTCTGGGGGCTTTTTGTGCATCGGCGCACAACAAAAATGGAGCCCTACCTCCTCGACTATTTCGACTCGGAAGGGAGTTCAAGTTGTGTGGTTGGCGACAAGCTGCACCCAGACGGGAAACAGCAGCCGCGGGGAGCTGCGCACAGGGAGTGGCTGATCTTTCTGGCCTGGTCGCAACGGGACCGCTCGCCTTGTGGCAAGTCCCGCTCTCTGCAAACGCCCTTGCTCGGTCGCTCCTGCAGCCAACGGGGGGTGGTTTCTGGCAGTCCTGTCCAGCCCAGGCAGGAGCTCCCCTGGAACGCGGGGGCCATGGATGTACCGAGGTACCTCCGTCCACATCCATCTTCACGCCTCCGCCAGTTGCTTGCTTCCCGTTGCTTTTACCAGCAGATCCCACATCCACGAGACCATGGGATAGGCCGTAGGAGAGGCCATGGGGTGATGCGCAGCGCCGAGTCTGCGAGGAGGTTGTCTTGGTGCAAGCAAGTGTGGCCGGTTTTTGGCGGGGCACGAGACGCCTTGTTCGTCCATCTTTTAGTTACCTCTCCCCCTTTAAAACTCGCTCCAGCCCAGGATGCGGATGTTGTTGCGACCCCAGGCCTTGTCCACCCTTCCCCCTCCTGTCCAAGCTCCCGCCAAAAGCATGAAAAGCTAAGGGCACCTGCCCAGCTCCCGTCCCGAATCAATCGGCTGCCCGTGCGCTCTCGGCTTTCCCTGACAGCTGCTGTGCGGTCCTTTATCCTAGCCAAGTCCAGCCCGCTCTCGCAATCACCCGACACCGTTCCCCGGGTCTGGCCAAGCAATACCCAGTGCAATCCCTACCACCCCAAAAGGCCTCCCTGGTGCTTCGAAAAGACGAGACCACCCATTTGGAATACTTGCTCCACAGCTCTCCATCACCAAAGGCTTGCTGTCCACCGCCAGCCCCAAGCCATCCCTACACAATAAACCACCTAACCCCGGCAGGTTATCGCTGTCCCTCTTTTCCCGCTTGCAGCGAGGATTTCCGCCGACCAGACCACCGACATCTCGCCGCCGCCGAGAATCCCGTCTCATTCCATTCCCACCTCTTCCTCTCACTTCTTACACTTTTCTCCTGTTCGAGTCCTGGTCGACGCGAGGAAAGTCCGTCTTGGTGGTTACCTCTCTTCCTACCGCAGCCGCTGTTCACTTTTTATTTTTATTTTTTATTTTTGGGGTGCTGCACATCTATCTCATCGAGCCCCTCATCGGCTGATCCTAGCTCCCCCTGAGCTCGGTGCCACCTCTTCGCCTTCCCAGTCCCCCCGATAACCGCACAAGCCGCCCCAAACACCGAACGGTGACGCGATCCCTCAGAAACACAGCAAAGATGGCGGGCAAGATGGTACTATACAAATTGGTGGTGCTCGGAGACGGTGGTGTAGGGAAGACGGCCCTCACGATCCAGCTTTGCTTGCAGCATTTCGTCGAAACGGTACGCTCGTCACTGCCTCCCCGCTCACCTTTCTCTCACGCTACTGCGGCCGTTCGGACGAGATCCCCTAGCGCCACGATGCATTTCCATAGACCGTTCGCTAACGTGCCGTCCGATAGTACGACCCGACCATTGAGGATTCGTACCGGAAGCAGGCCGTGATAGACAACCAGGCGTGCATGCTAGAGGTGCTAGACACGGCCGGGCAAGAGGAGTACACAGCGCTACGAGACCAGTGGATCCGCGATGGCGAGGGTTTCGTCTTGGTGTACAGCATCTCGTCGCGGTCGTCTTTCACGCGCATCAAGCGGTTCCACCACCAAATCCAGCGGGTCAAGGAGTCAACAGCGTCTTCGCCCTCATATCCCGGGTCGCCGATCTCGGCTGCCAACCCGTCCGCACCGGTCCCCATCATGCTCGTTGGAAACAAGAGCGACCGCATCGCCGAGCGGGAAGTCTCAACGCAAGAGGGACATGCGCTGGCGCGCGAGCTCGGATGCGAATTTGTCGAGGCTTCGGCCAAAAACTATATCAACGTCGACAAGGCCTTCTACGATGTCGTCAGGATTCTGCGGCGGCAGAGGCAAGCCGCCTCTCAACCGATGTCGCCCACAGGCAGCAGCAAGTACGAAGCATCCAGGAGGACCGACTCGAGCGTCCAGTCGGAAAAGGGCCGGTACCGACGAGAGCGCCGCAGCAGAGGGTGTGTCATATTATGAGCGGTGTCAGTTACCTGTTCTTGCCGCAGCCCTTCCCGCCCGATCACCCCGCCGCCAAAACCGGCCCTGGTCCGGTTCACACATTCATGCTTCTTCTCGTCGCATTTCGGGCTCGAGGGAGGGCCAAACCGGTCATCTCGGACCGATATGCACAGTGGCAATCTCTTGCAGTTTCCAAAACATTCCGCTCGGGTCACCGACAGCCGCCACCCCGGACTCTTCCGCTTTTCTTGATCATACCCACCACCATTTATTTCCTTGGAACCACCAGACACATACCGACTCTCCATCCGGCGAATGGCGCATGAACCAAAAGAGGGCATCATTGGGGCGTAAATATCCATCCAAATCATGGAGAGGGCTGCACTTTTCTTTTCCTTTTTAGTTCTTTTTTATCTCGAAAGAGAGTTTTTGTTTCAGGCCCCGGCGGATCTCGGAATCATGGCGGGAAGGGAATGCCTTCAGGATCGAAGTGGTCCATAGGCCATTCATCTTGGACGCCGAATTAGGGCGCGGAAAGCGCGAGCGAGGTCAAAGGTTAAACCCCCGGCCGGGGTGGGAAGGCGGCCAAGAGAGAGGCAGGCAGCCGATGGGAGGAAAGGGACGAGATGACATTACACTTCGGACGGGGTCTGGCGGCGTTGGTCTGTTACCCCCCATCCCTTACCTGACCTAGCGAGGAAATCTTCCGATCCGATCACCAAAAGGAGGCTGTCGGAAGGTAGACGTGCTTCCACAAGGACGAAATAAAAAAAATCAACCAAAACCCAAAACTCAGTCCCTGCTTTTTCATGACCGTTTTTGTGGTGTGTTTCCTCTTTCTTTTGCAAAGTTTGACCCAGTTAGTCGTGCAACCCGGCAGGCAGCTCGGCGAGCACAGCCGGAGGCTTGACTTCGCAGTAGTGTGCAAGTATTTCTCTGGCTTGGACAACGCATACATCAGGTACAGTGAGGTCGAGGAGGCGAGCTGTTTGTCAAAAAGATTGGATAGGCTGGAGCAGGAGAGGCGCCCCGCAAGATAATCAAGGATGCATGTGTGTGTGGACAAGGGACAAGAGCATGGCGTGCCTGCTTGGGTCGCTGGGTTGTTTTCTTGTGAGGGATTTTGGGTCTTGTTGGTCTGAGAACCGAAAGGACTGCTGGACGCGACCGTTGTCCTGGGTTGAAATTTGACTTCACTGGCAAGGAGGGAAATGGAACGTTGAACTCTGGGCTCAGCCGAAGTCAAATCTCAAAGTTGCAGATTCTTATTTTAGGGGACGGCTACCGTTGCAGAGACCCAAATCAACTCAGAATCTGGATGAACACCCTGCTAGGAGTCCAAACCGTTTTTTCCATCTCCGATCCGATGTATGTAGGTTAGAAAACTGCCCAAGGAGAAGTTTCGTCATGTTTCTTTTCCTCCCTTCCTCGGTTCCTTCCACCTCGCGATCCTCGACTCTCCGCACAGCACACCGAGGCAGTCGCGGACTTTGAGCCTCTGCCCTTTCCCCCCAGGCGAAGTTGACTGAGTGGGGCAACCAGGTTGGGATTTCAGGCCAGAGCCAACCAGTCTTGGCCCGAGCGGGCATGCTGCACCCCACTTGGTGCGAGCTTTGGTGGGGCAGGATCTCCCCCATCCGATTCTTCCCCCACCTGTGGACCCACCCGCCCCGCACACAGAGCAATTTGTCCGGCCCCAACATCCATTGCACTGGCCAAAAAGCGCACAATGCTGTTTTGACTTGCAGGAACTTCGAAAGGAAGCAAGGAGCTTGGGGCTTCTCGCCAAGCGCCCGTTCCCATCTTTCAATTTTTGACATGGTCAACCCGAAAGATGCGAGCGAGAACTTGAGGCGTCCATGCTGCATTTGGGTATGAGACCCGAGCCCCGACAACGCCAGGCATCTGCAAGGTATGTATGTATGTCTCAGATCTCGACGCGCCTTTTGCCGGCAACTTGGGCGTTCCCAGTTTTCGTCACTCCAAAGAGCTGATTGAGTCTCGTTCCGATCTCGATTCCTTTCCCGGCTTTTAGCGTTTTTCGTCTCTCGCCAACGACGCCCTAAATACCTTGCCCTTTTGATTCATCCCCGCCGTCTTTCTTTCGACGACACATGTGGGAAAAGGACTGCATGTGGCATGCTGTGCCTTGTGTGCTGTCCGAGGCGCACAGACAACCTTGGGGAGAAACATCAAAGTCCTACCTTGTATGTCTTCTTTTGGAGGGACGGAAGCCATGTGGAACTTTTCCGCGTCCTTCCGTTCTTTCTCTCGGCCGGGACGGAGGACGCCTGCTTCCGAAATCCCATCGAGATCTGCCAATGAGATATCGAAATCCTCCATGCATCTTTTTCTTTCTCCCCTAACGGCCCCGGAGATAAGTAAGTTCGTGACGCGTCGTCCTTTGGACTGCAGCAACAGCCAGAATCCTGGAGGACGATCCATCAATCACCTTGCGAACAGGTCCTCTCGCTGCAACAGGCCAGTCTGTGCTTCGCAGCTTGCATTCACACCGGTCGGCCGACACGGCATCCTCCCCTCTGGTGTGTGTCGGGCTTCGACAGGGTCGGCTAAAAAGAAACCAAGAGATGTCTTCCGGTGGAAGGCTCGGCAACCCACCGTCCTGTCAAACCCACAACTCGATCCGAGAACGCCCACGGGCCGTCCGGTCTGCGGCACCACAACCCCCCACCGACCCCTGGTCAATCGCGAATGAAAAGCAGATAACTAATGGGAGAACTTTCATTGCGAAAACGGGTCGGCCTGACCAAGTCAAAGGCGAACAATGCGTGCGCCCTCCCTCTGTCAAGCTCAACCTTCAAACTCAAATTCGGCGGGACGGGAAGAAGCTGCTTTTTCCGCCAACGGCCTCTCGGGCGCAAATCCGGCTCCCCCCGCCCTGCAAGAAGCCGTTGTCGTCCCATTTTCTTCTGGCGATGGTTGACTCCCTCACTACCCCAACCCATCCAGGGGCCTCCCAAAACATAACGAGGCCCGGTCTCTCCTGACCCAGCCGCCCCCGGAAAGGCTGAACTGAGAAGCCCGCCCGGGGTCCGGGTTCCGGGGCCCGGATCCCGGACCCCGGATCCCGGACCCAGCCGCATCGCTCCGCACACCGCTCGTCGGGGACCTTCCTCGACCTCGCTACAATAAAAAAAAAACGTGACCAGACCCCCGCGCAACCCCCTTGTCCCGTCGTACCCGGGGACCTGGTCCGGCTCCCTTCCGCGCTTCCTCGCTCAGCAACTCTCTTTCGGAGCGAGTGAGATGATGAAGCGCGACTGCGCCGTCGGGAGCGAGCCGTTCCTCGCTTTCCTACCCCCTTGCCCACTTTCGAACCTCTCCTCCCTCCTTTCCCAGGCCACTGGATTCGGCTGGGCTGGTTGGTTGGCTCGGCTCACCGCCTGGGTCAATGCCGCCTCCCCCCGCTTATTGCCTCTCCTCCCTTTCCCCTTGAGAAGAGGATCTGTAAAAAAAAAATAAAACTAGTTATGATGTTGGGTTTGGCTGATTATGTTGTCTCGGGTGGCTTTGAGGGATGGGACCGAACCGGAATCCAGGCGAGCGAACTGCCGGACGCCACTTGCAGGTTTCGGTATGGATGGGCACGATGGACCGTCCCGGCTGGGCGGTCTGGTGGGTGCCTTTTTTCGCCCGACCGTGGCCGGCATTGACACGTGAGGAAGGTGGTGTTGTTGCATAACTTCAACGTCGGCAGGCCAGCGGCAAGTTGCCCCCCTCTCCCCCTTTTCCCCCCACCCCCACGAAATCACAGGAGTTGTGATAACGAAAGCCAAGAGCCCTTGGTGTTCCTTCGGGCCGTCGCTCGGGGATTTTCGGCGCGGTTTGTCGGAGAGGACCTATCCCATGCCTTTGTGCTGGGTCCGGAGCCCGCTCCTTGAGGAAATTGTTCAAGTCTCGGCAAGGAACAAGTTACCCTGTCTCGGTGCGAGGTTGGGGGCAGTGGCGTGATAGCTACCTTTGCTATCGACAACCTTGTGCCAACCCACCTCCCCCCCACGTGCCCTTCCATTGGCGCGTCTGATAACTCTGTACACAGTAATCTGTACACGAGCTCCGAATCCGAGCGCCCGGATTCCCGTGGGGTTTTGACCGCCGCCGCCGTCACGCTTGTGACGCGCCCTGTCCAAATTGGGATATCCTCTGCCCGAACAAGCGGCCGACAACGCGCCAGGTCGTCACTTTGGGGTTGTTCCTCATCACACGTCCTTCCGAAGCCGGTTAAACCGCCCAGTCCTTGGCCCTCCCCGCGCTTGCCCGCCGGAGGGGGGCGATCTGCGTGTCGTCTTCACCGGAGCTCAGTCCGTCGAGCGGAGGGGGGGTTGAGATGATCTTCGTCCCTTCACCTCAGCCCTGCCCGCCCCGGTCTTGAATGCGACTTGTCTTTTGGGTTCCCGGGAACGGGGGATGTCTCGGCTTTCTTGCGGGAATTGGTTTAGCTTGCGAGGGCAACGGTGGTCGGTTACCAGGGGGCGCTGGTGCTACGGTGTGTTTAAGCTTTGTCCCCTCACGTGTGATGGGACCCCGTTGGGTTCGGGCCGCTGCTTATTGAGCTTAGCTTGTTCGCTTGAGGGGAAGGCTGTTGTTGGAGGGAGGGTTGTTCATGGTCGTGGCCTGGAGATGCACGACCTCACTGGGATACCTCTCTTTCCACCCTCCCGCTCTTGATGAAAACAGGAATGGTTAAGCGGTTGAGATGTCAGCTGTGGGAGGCTAAAGGTTGCGTGGCGCTGGTGGCTGCAGTAGGTTGGCTGACAACAACCTCACCGACCTGCAGCTACTTGTAGCTTGCTGCACCTAACCAATTTCATGACGGGGTGAGGCCGCTAAGTGAGGTGCCGTGACTCGGCTTCGTCTTCCTCGAGTGCGTGACATAAAAGTTGGGGTACTTCCACGGCCCGATGTAATAATGACAAGCACGATCGAGTGGTGAACAGTGTTGTCGAACTCAACGACGGGAGAGTATACCGGCATAGCCCTTCCTGTTGAGTTGCGAGGTCAGAAATGGCCGCTAACTCCAGGCTACGTACTGCTCTTGTAGATGAGAAAGAAGCTCGGTGACACAACATACATACTGCCGGTAACTAGTGCTGATTGAAGCACGGGTATCCATGTAGAGACTCCAAGGGCTTCATCTGAACTCCTCCCCCCGGTCTTAGACTCACGGAGCTAGCTCCGGTGGGAAGCAAGTGGCGAGCTGTCACTGCCCTGCCTTCTACATAGCTCAATCTCAGCCTCATGGAGGGGTTGGCTAGCGCACATGGCTAAGTTGGTATTTGGAATCCACTCGTCGCTGGGTTTCTGAGTGGGTTCCACGAACCTGGGAGCCATCATGTTAGGAACTCCCCTCCACCCCCCCTTCTATCCGCTCCGAGAGTAGGGGTTGATGCTTCCGGGGTTCTTCAAGAAAGAAGCGTTGCTCTAAGCTACTAGATAAACAAACAGTGTTCTTAGTACAAGCTCTATCTAAACTTGACAGCCTCGGTCTTGGTGGAGGTTGTCGAGCAAACGGTTCTGATCTCCTACTGGGATTGAGGATTGAGTTTTACTAGTGCCATGCAACTTCAACCTAAGAGGGGCTCAAGTGCATTAGTTCATCGGCCGTGACCAGACACTAGTGACGCCGCCTGACCGGTTACTCCTTGTATCGGAGGTCCCAAAACGGAGACCAGTTCCGTTAGGGGACCTGTCGGATCTGTGTACTGATATACCCCACTACCATCACCTACAACACCTTGTCAAGCTCTTACCCGAAGTGTGGCGGGGACTGAGTGGAACAGTGGCATAGTCTATGCTTGCTGTTCGTACAGGTCACTCGATCCGATGGCCCGGGAGTAGCCAAGATAGGTACCGTTGACAACGCGGGAGTGTCTCTCAATATTAGGGTCCGAGTATCAGTCCGCAGTGCCAGTCACGCCGTGGTTTGACATACTTTTCTCGGCTCTGTTAGACACGTGAAAGTGCCTGGCTGAACAAGTAACTAGGGGACATGTAACTAAACCTCACTTGTAAACATGCTTCACTCAACTTGGAAGTCATACCGGTAACAGGAACCTGTGATCATAAGGCTCTAGATGACACTATCTTCAAAGGCGCACCGGGATCGATCGGGGTTACCGGATGCCATAGGTAACCTTCCCAAAACGGGGGGGATGGTGTTGGTTATTTACAAATGGTAACATTCACGGGGTTAATGGTAACAATAGAGCTTGACCCAACATCCTTCAGTTCTGTGGGCTGAGTTCTTTGTCACTGTCGTTGGCAGTTAGTATTAACACTACCGCCAGTGTTGGATATTATATATGTCTAAACTTGTTATTGTGCTCCATCGTGTGGCAAGCGGAAAAGTCCAGCTTTATCCGTCCAGAAACTATACTAATCGCCGGGGTTCTTATTATGCAGTAATTCAGACGAGGCTCAACGGAATCTCAATGTTGTATATCGGACGGGTGGCCGATAGACGTTTCTTGCCCCGTTCCTAGCTTATCGAGACATCTTGGACTCTTGACTTAACTGAAAACGTATGTTGAAAGGGGAGATCATTGTGTAAAACCACCTGGCCATGATATCCCAGATTCTTCGATGTAGCTACAGAAGGAGACGTGCCATTAAACATTAAACATGGCATACTACAACGCCGTTTGGTGGCGATGTGGCGAGGGAGGTTGAAACCAGGAATCTAAGTTGTCTCCCCTTCCTAGAGCCCTATGATGTGAGTACGATAAATTATTCCGAGTGTCTCGTCGTACCCGCCCTGTTTAAGACAATGCCAGGGAACTAAGTAGTACCACATCACCCCATTCACCAGATCTAGATAGCTCACAAGGCCTAATCAGTGTCCGGATTGTTCCTTCAGGCACTCACCTGCTAGGAATGCCCTAGGACGGCCACATGTGACTCTCCTTAAATCCGAACCCTCCAAGAGCGAGCCCCAAGACACAGCCCTATCATCCCGCACAAGAGTCATCACGCACCTGAACCCAAACAAGCCCCTCTCTCTCCACAGGAGTCCCCGAGACCTCGAGCTTATACCACGGACGCCTTGCCCGGCACCACAGCAGAGCCTTAAGCACTCACCGCCAGCGCATCCCTCCCGTTCACGAACCCAACCCCATCCGCCCCCATCTCACCAAACAGGTCAGCACCAGCCCACCATGCCTCTCACACCCGCACCGGATCCGCACTCAACCATACACAGCCGCCCCAAAAACACCCGAACCCGCCAATAGATAGAACACATTCAGGATGGGGGACCGAGGACATCGGTATACTGGAAGCCACCCCCCAACCCGCAACCGCAACCGCAACCGTAACCACCCCCCGTGAACCCAAACCCGTGGAACCTAGGTACCTACCCCTACCCCAAGCCCACCCACGCCACACCCACGCGGCGGCAAGGGAGGGCAAGCCACACTACGTACATCGTGCACGAAAACAGCACCTTGACCAACTATCCGTGCCGCAAAGCCGCATAGCCTGTTGTTGGTTGGGTGACAGCTGGACACGCACGCACACACACATACACCGCCCTACCGGGTGTGACAGAGCCCACGCCGCGAGACAGCGTCGGGAAGCAAAGCAGCCGGGCGAGGAGACAGCGCATTAGGGTCCATCACGTAGTAGCAGCAGGAGTAGCAACAGCCGTTACAACCGCGGTGCCGGGCAAGTCACACGTCGATAGGATACCGAAAGATAAAAGTGGTGAGCAGAAAGGAGCGAGAGCCGGGTAGGCAAGCAAGGTCGTCTCGTTCCAATTGGCATCCAATACCGTAGAGGTAATCTGACATGCGCTGTATAGCAGCTTCTTCAGCCCGCCGCCCGCCCGCCCGCCGTGATATCGCATCCCACTGCCAACCAACAAGCCAACTCGCCTCGTCCGCCCCCAGGAGTCTCATCGCAGAGTAACTCCGGTATCTCATTCCGTAACCTGAACCCCTGAACCGTACTAGAGAGACAAAGGAAACAAGCCCGTAACCCTGAACAAGCCGGACAGGTGCCGTTCTAACCAAATCCTGAATAACACGAAGGGTAGTAAATGTATAAAACGTTCGTCGCATCAGATCGCAAAATAACCGCCCATTGCCCCCCCCAAATAACCCAAAACCTAAACCAAAAAAAGGGCCCGCTGGTAGAAGGGAATATATGGCCGCAAAAAGAATATCAACAACAGAAGAATCTAGCATCTATCATGACGTAGCGTGCTCATCGCCAAACGGACTCCTCTCTCGCCCTTTGGGAGGGAGGGTCGAATCTCGTTGCGACGCCCTCCTCGTGGCCTCCTCGATAACAGCGCTCAGCGTGGTGGTGCTGTGGGAGGCGGATTTGGGCGGGTCGGAGAACGGGCTCTGTTCTGTGGCGGGCGAGTCGACGATGAGGGTGGCGGCCGACGAGTCGCGCATGGTGGACCCTGAAGCCGAGGGAGACGCGTCGGAGTCGGGAGATAGTCTCGATGGCTTGTTGGCGCCTACCTTCTTCACACTCCCGACGCGGACGACCATGGCGCGGGCCGGGGTAGCGGTGGCAGTGCTGGCGTTGTTGAGGAAGGTTGAGCCGACGCTGAAGGTGCTGTTCGCGGGGCTCGGGGGCCGCGGCATCAGGTTGTATTTTTCGTAGTCGACAGACGGGACGGGCGGGGTCGAGCTGCCGGTCGAGCCGTTGGAGTGGCCTGACTTCACGCTAACCATGGCCGGCTTCGCCCGCATGCCGGTCTGGGCAGGAGCAACGACAACAGCGCTCTTGCCGTAAATAGTGGACGCCACACTGGACCGCGGGGCGTACGAGGTGCGGGCATAGGAAGTGCGGTCGGAGAAGGCCGACAGCCCTGAGTAGGTGGAATCGCGAAGATCGCCCGGAACAAAGAAGTGCTGATCCTCGGTGCTGGCGGGGGTGCCGGCTTGGGAGACGGCGATGGGGATGGGCGGGACGGGAGGGACGAGGACTGTCGGAGACGCTGTCGCGCGGTTGGTGACGCCCGGGATATAGGCGATCTGGATGATGTTCGAGGCGCGAGTGAGGACGGTCGAGGCGATCGAGTGGGTGGTATGTGTCGAGGCGCGGTGGTCTCGTCGTTGAGCGAACGTCTTCTCTCCCTCCATACGCTGATCCTGCCCGTCGTCCCATGGCTCCATGATGGTCGGTTGCCTCCGCGTCCTCACACAGAACCTCCAAACCAGATACGTGATGATGGCGAGGGCTGCAAGACCGCCTATTACTCCGCCGGCAATTGCGCCGACGTTGGTCGAGCGATCGTCGCCGTCGTTTGGCCTTGTGCTTGGTGAAACAGGGACGCAGGTGGCGCGGGCGCAGCCCTCCTCAAAGCTCATGGGATAGATAAACTCGCATTGCGTTACACCCGGCTCGCATTTCGGACATACGAGCGACTTAGATGTGTCGCACACCACAGCCCGTTTGCTTAGTGTCGCGGACATGGCGGCGGAATGCTCCTCGAAAAAGCCTGGGATTGATAGCGACGACTGTGTTTGTGCTGTGTTGGCTCCGGTGCGGATCCGGGGGAGAGGCGGCGGTTGAAGCCTGGACCATCCACCCGTGCCGATCACAGTCGACGTAATGCTAGAAACGGCAGGGTTCCAAAAAGGCGTAATGTTAAGCGCGGGCGATGAATCGTAGATTGAAGTTCGGTAGGCGTTTGTTATACGAAGAGGAAATCAAAGGGTCGGGATCGTGGGCGTAGTAGGTAGCGTCGTGTAGCAGAGTGTAGCGATGTCTCGAGAATCAGGGGAAGGAATTCAATCAATCCGTGACCGGGAAGCGAGTGACATGAGACTAGCTCGAAAGAATGAAGCAGCTAAGGGATGGTCAAGTCCATGAAACAAAAACTAAAAAAAATCACCAGAACCGCATCGAATCACCCTTCTCGAATGAACCTGAGAGGCGATTGAATTGAGGCCGAGATCGAGGTCGAGGTCGACGTGGACGGCGATAGGTGAACCTTTTTTGCTGGTGAGAGCGGGAAATCCGGAGGAACGTGTCAGCGGGCTGCCGTTCAACTTTGAGAGAAAGGCCGCGGCCTGGGTCTCCGCTTAGCTTCATTTGCGGAAGGGGCCACTTGGGGACGGCAGAGCCACACTGAAGGCAGGCCCCACAACAGTATTGGCGAAACAAGTTGGAGGGCTAAGGTGGCCTCCCATTGGCTCGATCACCGGAGCCTGGCGTTCCTGGAATTCCCTTCGTGGCACGGCTGGGCCCTGGGCTGCCAATTTCCCCTCTTCTTTGCGCTCTCCGGGGAATCCCACCTCGCAATCTGCCAATTGCCATGCGTTGTATTCGACGGCCTCGTGCCATGTTTGGCCTCGTTGAATCGCCCTGCTCAAGGTGATCGCCCTCGAGATTGAAGATATATTGAGGAACATCTTGGTTTCTCACCCGCTCTGCATTATTCAATTCCGGCACTGCGATGGAGGCGAAGGCCGTCGGGGCCCCCAACGGGAAGATGGCGCCGCAGTCAGCTCGCGCGCAGCAACACATCCAGACATGCAGACTCACTTCCTATATATAGGTGTGCTGCAGTTGGCGACTAGTTTCCCGCAGCCCGAGCCTAGTGTGATTCAACCATCCCAAGAGTGAACTCGACGATGACAACTTTGGGCGTTTTGCCCACGTGCTTGCATACCATCAAAAGGGTGCTTGTTTCTCCTGTCGCAATCCCAACTCCTCATCCGATCTGTCCGCAGATCACATCGAGGATCAACAAGGCGCCTGTGCCTGCTTGGCGCTGATGGCCGTTTATTTAGGGCAGCCAGGTTGTGGCGGCGTTTCAAGCTTTCTTCAGGTTCTAGACCTTGTCAGGCACAGTTTTTTTCTGACTGGGTGAGGTGAGATCAGTTTGTGTCCAACCCGCCAGGAAACAGTCAGAATTCAGATACGCCTTCGCATCCAACCAAGACAGCTGTCTCTCTTGATACCGCCCATCGACCATTTGGCTACCAATGACCTCTTGTTTCGACCGTCAACTACTAGGCTTAACGCCGAATGTGTTAATCCGAGACTGAGTGGCGGTAACTCACTTGTCATACCAGGCTGGGCAACGGCCGATATTTCTGCAATTTGGCCGGAGCAGGATAACTATCCTTCCTCTCATAGGCTTTGGAGATCAACAAGAAACCAGAGCAATTTACACGAGTTGCTCTGTCCTAAGTTCCCAAGGTTGACATATAGCTAAGTTTTAGCCTAAACCAACGGAGCCCGTTCATCCCTGACCTGCACTCTGGTTCGAAATTCAGAACGCCTCCTGTGTCGCGGATACAAATGGTTAGCTTGAGTGCCATTGGACAACTGCGATGACGGGCTTCGGGAGGAGCGAGCCTTCAGCCCTGCGGGAAGAAGACACCGTGGGAGCACTGCCGCGTTTGACCCAGCAAGCAGTTGTTCCTCAAGTTAATGTTGCCCAAGACACCGTTGGGAGAGAGGGACCCCGGCGCTGAGTATGGACATACGATCTGATCCTTCATTGCTCGGTCAGCAACAGCAAAACTCCGAGATCCTGAGGCCTGGCGGTGCGTCGTGCGCATCGTCCTTGGCCCACAACCTGGATATTCGACAGATCATGTTCACAAACCGGGAGGCAGATATATATATCCCTGATTTACACAGAGTTCCGGGCGGCGAAGCCAACAACAGCGGCCGAGACTGCGCCGCCCTCGGTCCGCCGGTGTGGCCAGGCAACGGACGGGAGCTCGCACCTATGTAGGTCGGGTGCCCCGGGAAAGGCTGGTCTCGTTCCTGCCGTGTTTGTGGCCACTTGTTTGGCTAAGTCGCACAACAGCCCACGGGTGTCGGACACACGCGACAACAACGGACACTGTGGAATCCGCGAGAACGGTCACACCAATAACTCGTCCACCCAACAAGCGCGATGATGGATGGCGTCAGGCAAACGGCCGGCGCTGGCGGAAGTCAGCTCGGTCCCCCATGTTACCCATAATTCAATTGGCCGAGAAGGAAGAGAACCGCGGAGAGAACGACAACCCCTCCTTTTTCATGCTGGTCGAGCGGCAACAACGCGTTTGCTGAGCCCCACAAACCGCACCAACACACACACACACACACACACATATACACACAACACCAATATGACAAAGCCAAAAGAGTTGCTGACCGGCCGTGTTTTGTTCGCTGTCCGTCGGGACGAATGGCCATGGGAAACGGTCGTGTTGGGTGCGAGGTCTCCACAGTGAGACTGCCAGCCAAAGAGCGAAAGAGACCCTGGTCAACCCGAACGTTGAGTTTAGTTACTATTTTTGTCGTGTTTCCCTTCTCAAGGGAATGCTGGCCGAGACCCGCCCTTTACGCGGCCTGTTACGTCGTCAAGCTCGTAAAAAAAAAACCACCGACTTCTTTCAAGACGGGACGGAGCCAGGGAGGGGGGAGAAAGCACCGTCAACGTTGCATGGTACGCGGAGGGCTCGTATGCATGGCAGGCCGGGCAGAGTAAAAGTAACGCTCTGTCGTTTGTATCGCGAAGATAAATTTCCTGCTTTTTTTTCCTTCGTGTCGCATGTGGCGAAAGGCGGGATGGCACGTCAAATACCGGCGCCGGCTCTTTTGCCGCGCGGGTCGCAACAGCGCGCCATCCTTCGTTGTCTTGCAGTGTTGCAACAGGCGTGGAAGAGGCTAAGACGCATATCAACTAATTACCTCTGTCTGATCACTTTTTTTGGTAGTTCAAGGGAGGTTTCTGACAGGTCTGATGGCGGACATGTCTCCAAGAACCTGATGGAGTCGGTTTGTGGCGGAGACAAAACGAGACGGGCAGGTGTTGTTGTTTCAGGTTTCATAACCTGGAGTTCGAACAAGACCGGGAAAATGCCGTTGTCACTGGTTTTCTTTGTTGAAGCCCATCACCGCCCTAAAATCCCCAGCGGCTCGGGTGCTGGCTGCCTGGGGCAACAGAATGGCGGTCGGGCTTTTAGACCCTAAAAAAGCGAATGGCGATGATCAACCGAATGGGTTGGAGGCGAAACGCACAGTGTCCGTTAGGCGGGTTGGGAGGACCGCATGTGCACGAAAAAGGAGAGACACAGCTCCCCTGAGACAGCGAGGCAAGAGAATGGAGAATGCCCGGCATGAAGAGACCCATCTATCTGTAAGACAACAACATGGAAGGCCTGCAGAGTGCAGAGACACTCGTGTGTTTAAAAGCCGCGACGGGCACACACGGTTAGTTCCATGGCTTGCCCCTTTTGCCCGACGATGGCAATGGAGACAACTGATGAAACCGTGAAACACTCCTGAAAAAGAAGAAATGACGGGAGAGTTGGAGCGGCTGGCAGACGGTGCTTGGCGGTCAGGGGCGGCCGGGACTGGCAGTCTTGGGCTGGGGTGCTTTGGTGCTTGGGGCTTGAATCGGGTGGGTCTGGATCCCGAGCCACTCGCAGTCCAATCCTCGCAGTCGCGGCCATCCCTGGGAGAGCAACAAGGCGGGCAGCGCAGCGCAGTGGGGCCTTTGATCTGAATCCCTGGCGCTCAGCCACAAGCGGCCTGCTTCGCCAACTTCCATCATAATACAGACGGGGGCCTCTCCTGAGCTTTTTGAAACCCAGTTTTTGAGCTGATCTCCTCATCATCGCTTTCTGGAAACATCACCTATCGTCGCTGGCTGGCCATTTCATCGGGAACCGTTGTTTCCTGATTCGGGCCCATCCTCCTGCGACCCTAACTAACGGCGCCCTTCCATACACTGTGCCGCATGACCTTCGTTGGCCTGGAATTGGGTATCAGCACCGAAAAAAAAATACAACACCTGCAATAGGCACCGCTACCTAGCCAGCTGACCCGACTTTTTTCGTGTTCAGCCCCTTCCTGCCTTGCTTCCCACCCGACCGACAAAACACGACCCCGAATCGTGTTGTTTGGTTGTTTGGCGTTTGCAACCACCTCGCGACTTGCTCCGAATCCGTTTGGCGTCGTCACTACTGGCTTGTGGCTGACCGACCATCCCCCTCTCGCTGAAGCGAGCAGCTTGCAAACATGGCATACCACGGCGGCGGCGGCGGCGGCCGGGGAGACGGCTACGAGGGCCACCCGATGCAGGATCTCCCAGCACATAACGGCCAGGTGCGTTGCTTTCCTGACTTGACCCCTTCGATGAGTGGCACTGGAATGGGAATGTGACCATGAAGACCATAATAATTCTAACTGGCGACTTCACAGCACGACGATGAATCGCAGGCCGCACTCCTCAACCAGAACCAGGCGTACGACCAGGACCGCCTGGGCGCCCACACTCCCCCAGTTCGCCCTGTCTCGGCATACAGCCTGACAGAGTCGTACGCTCCGAATGCGCAGACAACACGCATTGGCGTCAGCCCAACCCCTCCCCCCCACGGCGGCAACACAGAGTATGGCGGTGCGCCGGGCTACCCCCAGTCGCAGTTCTCGGCCGACCCGGCCTACCGGATGTCCTCGGTAGATACAGACGAGAGCTGGGTTCGTCGCCAGCAACCCAACGTCGCCCCCACCGGCGGGCTCAAGCGCTATGCCACCAGAAAGGTCAAGCTCGTTCAGGGCTCCGTCCTGAGCATCGACTATCCCGTCCCTAGTGCCATTAGGAATGCCGTGCAGCCGCGGTACCGCGATGAGGAGGGCAACAACGAGGAGTTCTTGAAGATGCGCTACACGGCTGCCACCTGCGACCCCAACGATTTCACCCTTAAGAATGGTTACGACTTGCGTCCCCGCATGTACAACCGGCACACCGAGCTTCTTATCGCCATCACCTACTACAACGAAGACAAGGTCCTGCTATCGAGAACGCTGCACGGTGTCATGCAGAACATCAGGGACATTGTGAACCTGAAGAAGTCGTCCTTCTGGAACCGCGGCGGCCCTGCTTGGCAGAAGATCGTCGTGTGCTTGGTCTTTGACGGTATCGAGAAGGTGGACAAGAACGTGCTGGACGTGCTAGCCACGATCGGTGTGTACCAGGACGGCGTGGTGAAGAAGGACGTCGACGGAAACGAGACGGTCGCGCATATTTTCGAGTACACGACCCAGCTTTCCGTCACGCCAAACCAGCAACTCATCCGCCCCTCGGACGACGGGCCGAACACGCTGCCTCCCGTGCAGTTCATTTTCTGCCTCAAGCAGCAGAACAGCAAAAAGATTAACTCGCATCGCTGGCTGTTCAACGCTTTCGGCCGCATCCTGAACCCTGAAGTCTGCATTCTGCTCGATGCTGGTACCAAGCCGAGCACCAAGTCGCTGCTTGCCCTCTGGGAGGGTTTCTACAACGACAAGGATCTCGGCGGTGCTTGCGGTGAAATCCACGCCATGTTGGGTACGTTACGTTATCCTAAACTCTAAAAGACTATCGCTAATTAAGTACAGGCAAGGGCGGCAAGAAGCTGATCAACCCGCTGGTGGCCGTGCAGAACTTCGAGTACAAGATCTCCAACATTCTGGACAAGCCCCTGGAGAGCGCTTTCGGTTACGTCAGTGTCTTGCCCGGTGCCTTCTCGGCCTACCGTTTCCGAGCCATCATGGGCCGGCCCCTCGAGCAGTACTTCCACGGTGATCACACCCTGTCCAAGATTCTGGGCAAGAAGGGTATCGAGGGTATGAACATTTTCAAGAAGAACATGTTCTTGGCCGAGGATCGTATTCTCTGCTTCGAACTGGTCGCCAAGGCCGGCCAGAAGTGGCATTTGAGCTACATCAAGGCCGCCAAGGGCGAGACAGATGTGCCCGAAGGTGCTGCCGAGTTCATCAGCCAGCGTCGTCGTTGGTTGAACGGTTCCTTCGCCGCCAGTCTGTACTCTCTGATGCACTTCGGGCGTATGTACAAGAGCGGCCACAACATTCTGCGCATGTTCTTCCTGCACATCCAGCTCATCTACAACATTCTCAACGTCATCTTCACTTGGTTTTCGCTCTCTTCGTACTGGCTCACAACGACCGTCATCATGGACCTCGTCGGCACCCCGGTTCCCGCTTCGAATAGTACTTCAGAGCACCACGCCTGGCCCTTTGGCGATTCCGCAACGCCCTTCATCAACGCCGTTCTTCAGTACATCTACCTGGCCTTCGTCATCCTGCAGTTCATCTTGGCCTTGGGTAACCGGCCGAAGGGTTCCAAGTGGACGTACATCACCTCGTACATCGTTTTCGCCATCATCCAGGCCTACATCATCGTTCTCTCGGCGTACCTCGTGGCCCAGGCCTTCGCGATCCCGCTGAGCGAGCAGATCCAACTGGACAGCGCCGAAAACGCGCTCGAATCGCTATTTGGCGGCACGGGTGCGGCCGGTGTCATCTTGCTCGCGCTCGTCACCATCTACGGTCTCTACTTCCTGGCTTCGTTCATGTACCTCGACCCGTGGCACATGTTCCACTCGTTCCCGTACTACATGCTGCTCATGTCTACCTACATCAACATCCTCATGGTGTACGCCTTCAACAACTGGCACGATGTCTCGTGGGGTACCAAGGGGTCCGACAAGAACGAAGCGCTGCCGTCGGCGCAAGTTAGCAAGGGCGAGAAGGACGAGGTGGTCGTGGAGGAAATCGAGAAGCCGCAGGAGGACATCGATCAGATGTTTGAGCAGACGGTCCGCCGCGCTCTCGCCCCCTTCAAGGAGGATGAAGAGGTCGAGGCGAAGGATCTCGAGGACTCGTACAAGTCCTTCAGAACCATGCTCGTCGTCTCCTGGTTGTTCTCGAACTGCTTGCTCGCGGTCGTCATTACCAGTGACAACTTCAACTCGTTCGGCATTGGCGTAAGCACCCCCGGCCCCCGAAGCATACTACTAGATCAACGAATACTAACCTCGTCTCCTAGCAAACCGCCACCGCGCGTACCGCTTGGTTCTTCAAGTTCCTGCTGTTCGCCACCGCCGGCCTCTCGCTCGTCCGCTTCATCGGCTTCCTGTGGTTCCTCGGCAGGACCGGTATCATGTGCTGCTTCGCCCGCCGCTAAAGCGGGGTCGCAACGCAGAGAGAAGAAGCCTCTGCATATCAACCAACAAGCGTCGGGCTTTTGGTTCCTTGCTTTCCCAGCCATCTCGGCAAGCTATCGCGATCTAAAACTTTTCGGCTTTGATCTGAGAAAGCAGGCGAGCGTAAGAAGGAAATTCCCATATGACTTTTTCCATATTGGCAGGCGAATTTCCGAAATTGTCGTTGGGCTGGCTTTGTTTTCCTTGTCCCCCTGTCGTGCTGGTATCGGCTGCTGTGTTGGGATATTGTGCGTGTGAGGACATAAAATTTGGGCATCCACTGGGGGCGTTGTTTTTTCAGCTCGCCTGCCGTTGTTGGCTCGTGAGATGTTGGGGCAAATGGTTGTTTTGGTTTTGGCTGCTTAGAGGATGCCTAGGGTTAGTAATGAGACCGTAATATGGCTGAGATGGGGCCTGAGTGTGATGTGCCGTGGTCGTGTGTGGGTTCCATGAGGTTATTCAAGAGATGAGTTCCTGGGGGCGGCGGTCTGTTAGTTTCCTCAGGGCATCATCCACACCTGTACACAGCAAGGATAGACCCGCCCCTAGGGAAGCTTCAAGCTGAGGATATAATGGATATCAACCTCCCCACACCTGCACGAAACTTGGTGTCGTGGGTCCAGTTACCACCGTCCTGAAACTCGTTCTGGACCACGCTTGACAGATGCACAACTGTTGCTTCGGCCAATAAGAGTGCCTCGTGCTGCTCCTCCCCCAGACCTTGGCACCGCTGCCAGCCGTGGTTCCGGACTTGCCTCGGCTCGGCTTCCGAACTGTTAGTAGCCGGCATCTCAACTCATCTGAGCTCAACTCAAGTCAGCTCAGTTCAAGTCAAGTCAACCACGACACCGGGAGCAAAGTCCACTTGAATCCATACCATTTCAAGCTCAACCTTTACAACAGCATCCAGCCAACCCCACCCTTTCTTTCCCGTCCAATCCCCAAACAACCCTGACAATGGACATCCAATCCCTCTTCTCCGTCAAGGTAACTCAACCCCCCCCTTATCGCCCGCCCATTCACACTACCCCAAACACACACCGAACCCCCCAAGCTAACCCCACCCACCCCACAGGACAAAGTCGTCCTCGTAACCGGCGGCGCCAAAGGCGTCGGCCGCATGATCTCCGAAGCCTTCGTCCGCAACGGCGCGCGCGTGTACATCGCCTCGCGCGACGCCGCCGCCTGCGACACCGCCTGCGCCGAGCTCAACGCCCTCCCCCCCACCACCACCTCTTCACCAAAGGGAAAAGCGATAGCGCTCCCCGCAGACCTCTCCTCGCTCCCGGCATGCGAGCGCCTGGCGGCCGACCTCGCGGCGCGAGAGCCCCGCCTGCACGTGCTGGTCAACAATTCCGGCGCGACGTGGGGCGAGGCCTACGACAGCTACCCGGACGCGGCGTGGGACAAGCTGCTGACGCTGAACGTGCAGCGCGTGTTTGCGCTGACGCGGCTGCTGACGCCGCTTCTCGAGGCCGCGGGGGCAGCCTCCAGGTCTAACCCCGGAGGAGGAGAAGAAGGGGAAGGCGGCGGGGGGGTGGTGCTGGACCCGGGCCGGGTGATCCACATCGGGTCGATCGACGCGCTGCGGGTGCCGCTGCTGCCGACGTTTGCGTACAGCGCGAGCAAGGCGGCGCTGCACCACCTGAGCCGGCACCTGGCCGTGGAGCTGGGCCCGCGCGGCGTGACGAGCAACACGCTGGCGTGCGGGCCCTTTCCGAGCAAGATGATGGCGGCCACGCTACGGAATTTCGGGGATGAGATCAAGGGCGCGAATCCGCTCGGCCGTATTGGCCTGCCCGAGGATGTCGGCGGCGCCTGTCTCTTTCTGGCGAGCCGGGCGGGCGCGTTTGTGAACGGGGCGACGGTGGCGTTGGATGGGGGGGTGTCGTTGATGAGTAAGATCTAGGGGGTGGTGGTGGTCGGTCGGGGTGGATTTGGTTGAAGGGGGAGAGGTGCATGTGTGATGGCAGAGGGGTTTGTTGCTGGTTGTAAAGGAGATGCATGCTTGTCGAAAGCGTGGGTGGTTATGACGCTGTACTATAATTCTGGCGTGTTGCTCATTGACTCCTAACTACGGCTTAATGTTCGGATTAGAGTCCCCCTCAGGGGAAGCCCACCGTTCAGTCTATAACCTGGGTAGAGAAAAAGAGAAAGAAACCAGATATATAACCAAAACATTATCCCGACACCGAACCTTCCGTCCATATCCCTAAACCTTAGAAAAACTCCAAATGCCGCCCGAAAATGCCCCCCTTCCTGGTTTACGCCGGCCCCTTGTGCGCAATGAAATCCAACCTTCCCAGATCGACCCAGCCGAGCCGCCCTGTGCATGCACCTGATGATCCATGTCTAGACCAAGGTATCCAATCGCTCGCCACCCCATCGTTGTTCGTCTTCGCCGCCTTGGTTTGCCCTTCCTGTCGGTGCCGCAGAGCTGCCGTCCTGTTCTATTCCGCTCTTGTGTAGACTCGAAAGAAAAATTCAATGTCGATTGGCTTTCGGGGTATTAAGTACCCGGGTGGTCGAGGCAGGGAATGACGAGGTCGAGAACGAGGCCGCAGCGGATGCCGAAAGACTTTGTTCATTTAAGCCCGACGCTCTCAAAGTCTCGCATCAGCACCGCCATTTGCGCCCGTTTCGCCGCCTCGGCCACGAGGGTGAAGTCTTTCAAGAACACGTCGGTTGACGGTGTTTTGGCGGGTTTCGGTGCCGGCGGCACAATCTTGCTGGTTGGTGACTGCTGAGTGGAAGGCATGGTAGAGCTTGTGGATCGGGTATCCATTCTGGTAGAGACCGGTGGATGAAAGCTGCTGCTGTGTTCTCTCTTAAATCGATGAGAGTGGAGTTGTCGAGCTCGAGCAGACGATAACGACAGGAATCTTTGAACGAGAGGGGAGGAGAGCGAGGGGTTATGACGAAGTCGCAAGGACCAAAGACGCAAGTTGAGAGGACGTAATCCCTTCTGGGATGCCGACTTTTCGGCAAACGCGACGACTCGCCCCGGGCGCTTTGTCTCTCTTGACGGGACGGAAAACAGACCGGCTGCTGTATCACCACCGGCGTAATATCTCCCAAGAGAAGGAAACGGGTGGATAGCAACCCTTCGAACCGCACACTGGAGCGGCGCCTTTTGAATCCCGGGAGGAGGTGCAGCACCAGACCATGCGCAACCGTCCAGATAAAGGTCTGACTCGCCGACTCGAGCGGAGGAGGGTCGATTTCGGGCTCAAGCGGACGCAAACGAACGCAAGCCGGCTGAATAGGGTTGGGGCTCAATATACAACAATTTGGTCCTCGAGCGGGACACTGCAGACGCGAGATGCAAACTTTGGCCGTGCAGACGGCAACCGTCTTCTAACCTAACTGTGTGCCGGTGATGGTGCTGGGTGCGTCCTGCAGAAGGCCCAAACTGGTGAGCGGTGCGGTTACAGTGACGATCGATAAGACGCAATGGCTCGCGACGCGGGCGATGGGTGGGCCACGCAAGGCAAGATAGCGAAGCAATATCGGATGGATGTGGTGTAAAGAGGCCGTTTTCTGTGCTTCTCATCAAATACACTCCCCGGTTTCCCTGGCCAAGGATGCGCGGTGCAGGGGCAAGGCAGTTGAAGCGGGAGGAATGAAGTTGGTTGTAGTTATTGTGTAGTCGACGGGCGAGCGAAGGGGTGAAGGGCAGAACGAGAGGGGAAATCACGGGGGTCATATACAAGTAACAAAGAAAACCCTGAGGCTAGCGGGATGGAGCCAACGGCCTTTTTTCCTTTCACGTTGATCGACTTTCTCGCGCCCGGCGCTTGATCTTTGAGCGTGGAGCAGCAACTGGCGTCATTCGGTCCGCCCCTCCATTGCGCCGAGAGTGTAAGTGACAAAGGAATACTTCGGCCGAGCAGCCGGGAAAAGGACCGAACAACCGATCTGCCGCGGTTTTGGCTGGAGGGCGCCAAACGTTCTGGCCCGTCGAAGTACTGCCGAGTCACTCGAGAGAGGATCAGAGGTGGTGGGGTCGGAAACACTCTCGTGGGCCCTTGACCCCCACGCGAGATAGATGCCGCTTTTTACCAGGGGATTCGCTGGGCTTACACGGCTTGTTGACCGGTGCCTCATTCTTGTGGCTGGTCCGTGGGAACATATTGCAAGCCTGCAGGACCCGGTGGCTAGTGGCAGATCTCATATATCTGTGGTGCTCGGGTGATGGCAGAATAACAGGACTAAGTTGTCCCATATTGTCATAGGGCTTGCAAATCCGGGAACAGCTAATCGCGCCGATGCCGAGGCACGCGCTTTCTTGGTCAAACGCTCAACCCCGAGTAGCCTTTCTCCTCTTCATTAAAACCCGTCGTGTGACCAATTTTGCGAGCTTTCAGGCTGCCGTGCTTCACATGCGATCTCAGGGCAGTCCAACCCGGCAAGTCGATCCTGCTGCCGAGCGGCCTCTCTGTGTATTTCTCCGGCACGGCGGATGAGAACAGCGCGGCCTTCCGGTTCCTGGGTGAGGGCCCGCACCTGCCGTGGAGATCGATCGTAACCAGGTCGGCGGCGCAAGATATCTGCCAAGAAATTCCGTATGACACGGTAGTCCTCGGAGCTTGACCTGCCGTGCCCGTGTCCTGTCCCACGGCAAACCATTTGCTGAGTCTCGTAGCATGGCTCCAACGGTTCTTCTGGAAGCTGGAAGTGTGCTCCGCTGTCGATATGGCCAAGGGTAGGGCTGCGGAGCCTCAGCTCGCCTTATTAGCAGGGCGGCTGCTCCGGGGCATGGAAGGAACGGGCTTCTCGGCCCCTTCGTCCGCCGCCCGGAGGAGGTCCATCTCGGCCGGGATCCAGAGCCCTTGTCGAATGTCACCCATGTCATGCCATCGCATTCGAGGATGGCCATATGCGATCGAGGTCGCAAGAGTGATAAACTGTCCCCAGTCCGTCCGACCAAGGGTCGGATAAGATGGCGACAGACCGACCGGAATATGCGAGATTTAAACGGCCATCGCGACCTGGGAACCCATAACCTCATGCGAGACTGCGACGCACCAAGCATCGCCTGTCCTGACCGAGTGGGCCTGTCAAACCGACCTTCCCCACTGGGTTGGCCAGGGGGCGGATGGTGTTGGTTTCGGCGGAAGCAGTGCGGTACAATCAAGACACAATTCCTCCCGAAGCATTTAGCCGTTTGAAGACCCCGATATCGAGACAATAGCCAACGTGACGGTGGCGAAACGTCTTTTATTCGCTCCTCGGCAACTGGGTTGTTCTTTCGAGTTTGCAGCGGAGAGGGGAGAAGCGGAGAAAATCGAGCAGGTTTCGGGGGTCTTCGGCAATCATCAGCTCATCGCCAAAACCGACGGATCGAGCTTCGCACATGCTGCAGTGCTGAGTGGCAACTTCCCGCGAAGTGTCGTCTCGAGCGAGTCGATGTTGTTTCTGAATGTCAATCAGGAGTCGGAGAAAAGCCAACGTTGCTTTAGTGAACCTGCAGCCCGACTGCCATGCGTCTAACGGTAGGCTAAAGCAATATGAGAGCCTGGTCCTGGCTGTTAAGTCTTGGGTGGCATCGAGCTAAGGCGGGTTGCAGTTGGTGGTTAAACTTTCAATTATTGGTGCGGCTCTGCCGAGGGGCAGCACATATGATGATCAGGCCACTGGAAACTCCAACAAGAAGAAGCCTGGGGAATCTCTTAGTGCAGATGGACAAACTTCCCACCAAGATCTTGCCTTCGGTCCTTCCGGTCCTGAACTCCAGCGCGAAGATGTGACCAAAAAAGGAAAGAGCGCTCGAGCCAGCTCCGGCGGTACATTCCGAGATCTCCGGCGAATCTTGTTCATATGCACAGACGGGAGAAAGGCCCCACCTCGGTCGCTGCAGTGCGTTCTCGGCGCGATCTGCGGAAGTTGCGATTTGAGGTCGATTTGCACCACTACACGCGGCGCAGAGACCGAAGACGACAGAACATTACCTAGGTAGTTACTAGGTACCTAGCTTTGCGGAACGCAACACAACACGGCCCTTCTCTCAAGCAAGCCACCCTCTTAGACCGGCATGCCATCAATATCCTCCGCTGCGCCGAGTTGGCGCAAGATGCAGATCCCTCGACCGCTGCAGCAACTATTCGACCAGTTCCCGTTGCAGACCTACGAACCCAACCATCTACCCGAAAGGTCACATCACCTTACTTCCAATGACCTCCCAACACTATACGTCTTCTCCACCGACTCAGACGCCCGGCTCGGGCTTCCCAGCTTCAATCCGGGCTGTCTGAAGTGGCAGGTACGTCCACCCCCCCTCCCCCCCCTCCCCCTCCTCGTTTATTATTTCCATATACGCTAACACACACGTTTCCCTAGACCCTGCTCCGGCTCGCCAATCTCGATTTCCGCACCCTCCCGTCCACCAACCACGCCTCCCCCACCGGCTCCCTCCCCTTCCTCCTCCCGCCGCGCACCTCACCCACCACCGCCCCGCTCCCGATCCCCGCCAGCAACCTCCTCGCCTACGCCCAGAGACAACAACAACAACAACAACAACAGCCCAAAACCAACTCCACCAGCTCCACCAACCTCGACCCCGACCTGCCCCCGCGCTCCCAAGCCTACCTCTCCCTCGTGAACCTGTCCCTGCGCAACGCCTGGCTCTACGCGCTGTACCTCGACCCGGCCCACACGGCGCTGCTGCAGCGGCTCTACATCGGCCCGTCGTCGTCCTCGCGCGGCGTGCGGGCCGCGCTGCTCTACCAGCTGCGCCGCGCCGCCGCCGAGCAGATCGCCACCGGCGCCGGCGGCAAGATCGTCTCGCTCGCGCCCGTGACGAGTGCTGAGGGGATCGACGAGGACGCCGTGTACCGTCTGGCGGGGGAGGCGCTGGATGCGCTGGCGAGTTTGCTGAGCGAGAGCGGGACGGGGTGGTTTTTTGGGCAGGAGAGGCCGGGTGTGTTTGATGCGGCGCTGTTTAGTTATACGCATTTGATGATGGAGTATATGCCAGGGGAGGGCTCGGGTGGGGAGGGAGCGGGGGCGGCGTTGGGGAGGATGGTGCGAGATGCTGGCGATGGGGAGTTGGCGAGGCATAGGGAGAGGGTGTTGAAAACTGCGTGGCCTGGGTGGGATGGCTACCGGCGGTAGAAGAGAAGCTAGGTGACGTGGCTGAGAATCGTTGTCGCATACGATGGATGTGTCACGCGGTATAGAGATGGATGTATGAGTACCATGATGGAAAATAGATAAAAGATACCCAAGGAAGCAAACAAAACGCATCAACTTTACTCACTATCAGCCACTCGGTCCTCTAGCTTAAATCCCCAAGCCCACCCCTAAATTCCACCTTAACTCAAGAGAAGAATTCCAAGACAAGTGCGCAAGACTAGACGGAAAGCCAAGGGGGTAGGGAAAAGCGAACCAACAGACTTAATAATAACGGTAGACTTTTCCCTTATCCTTCTCTGCCACCGTCTCCGATGCTAACCGGGTGTCCAGAACAATCTAGGTAGACCCGCCTCCGCCATCCTCCCCCTAAGTTGCAGCGTCCCCCGACCTCCTCCCCTCCCACTCAACACATCGCCAGCCGAGCAAACCACAACCCCCTAGATAATAAAAGCACCAATGGAGCAAAGTGATCATACTCTGTTTGTGCTGTATAAAACAACATGAGGGGGGAACGGGGTAAACCCCAAGACAGAGCAAGCATGGAAGGCCGCGGCCGTCAAAGCCAAAAGCCAAAAGCAGCAGCAGCAGCAGCAGCAGCCAGCCAGCTAAGCATACCTGGTACACTAAGTAATAAATCCCAAACTCAAAAGCCGGCCGACCAACCAACCCCCAATAGTCCCCTTAACGTACCTTGACTACCTACCTGCCCTTCCAGCAAAACACCACCACCAACCACCCAATCAACTTTCAAGACAGAAGAAGAGCCAGACCAAAGCCAACCACAGCCGCCCCGACGCCGCATCATGAGTGTAAGTATATACGTACGGAGAGAAAAAAAAACGAAGGAAAACGGCCTCATGCACCACAGTAATCGCAACTGTCCAACCTCCCGCCGTTCCGTAAACCAGTACGGACAGCAACCGCCGGGCCACCGTCGCAACCACCAATACCGGTATCACCAATACCACCACTAAAAAGCAGCAGCGGAACCAGAGCGGCGCATCCAGCCCCCGCAAACCAGCCCAACCCACGCCTCATCCACCTCCAACCACCCCCAATCTAGCACGGCGCCCCACCGCGGACCCATGCACACACCCCTCTAGCAAAAGCCTAGCGCAGTCTCGACGGGGGAATATCTCTGACCACGCTGCCGACGGTGACAAAGGCGCCGTCGCCGCCGTCCTTCCTAAGGCTCTCCAGCAACACGCAAGTCTGGGCGTAAACATTCTCGAGCGCCGCACGCGACGATTTGCCGAGGGACACTGTGAGAGAGAAGCGTCGTTAGCCATACCATACCATACCATACCATACCATAGTAGATAGGGGAAAGACAGCGATGGGAAATGGGGTGGGGCTTACTCAGGATAGCGCTATTCAGCTCCTCGGCCACGGCGACGCGGCCGCTGCCGTCGAGGAGATGGGCCACTTCCTTGACCTTGAGCGGGTTCGGGTAGGCAAACAGCGACGAGATGTCGTCGAGCTGCTTGACCGTTTCCCGGCGGGAGTCGCCCGCGAACTCGGCCTGCAGCTCGACGCCGTACAGCAGCGCCTCCTGCGACAATTTGCTGAGTCCCGCGGCCGGATCGCTGCCGTTGCCGCCGCCCTCTCCTGCTTCCGCCATGGCCATGTCCAGATCACCGTCACCGTTAGTGGCGGTGGCCGCGCCGTTGAACCCGTTGCTGTTGCCCGGCTCAGCCTCCAGCATCTCTTCGTCGTCGTTATCGCCAGACGTTGGCCCCCTGCCGTTGGTGTGGCTGCCTCCGCGCTCCTCGAGCATTATGTTATGTTCGGCCTCCTTGCGGATCATCTCGATGAACTTGCGGCAGCGCAGTCGGAAGTAGACTTGCTCGTTGTCGCGGAGGACAGCTGGGTAGTAGGCGTCTGTGTATTTCATGGCGTGGTCAATGTCGCCCTCGAGCACGGCGCGGCGGATGCGCTGTCGGTTGTGGGCGTCCTCGTCATCGCGGATGCTGATGCCCTTGACGGGTTCCTGCGGGTCTAGCTGGAGAGCCGTCTTTTCGGCGTGCAGTTCCTCGGCAAAGGCGCGCGCTGTCTCGACGTAGCCGTCATGTTGCAGGAACTGGAGGACCTATCGTGGATGTTAGTCTAGGGTGGGCGGGTGAATTCAGTGGACACTTACCAGCTGCTGGATGACGTCTGTCTCCGACAGGCCGGGCACGAGTTTGGACGTGTCAGCGAGGCGTATTTCCTCTTCAATCATTCCTTGTTGCCTCTGTCCGCGAAGAAGACGGGTTAGTATCGACTGATGAACACGGGCCCGCTTCTTTGGTCGCCGCGACAACTCCATGAGTGTTCAAGCGAGGGCGATGAAGCAAAAAAAGAAAAGCGTCAATCGAGAAGATTGGGTTGGGGTAATGACGCTCATGCGGTAGAGCTCAGGCAAGGCAGTGAATGGTAACGGAAGATTGCCCCAGCGCTCGCAAGTTCGGACGGAATTGCCTTGGGAACTGCACCTGCAGTGTCCCTGTGATCGTGCTTTCCCAATACCGAAAATATGCATGAAGGTCGCAAAAAGAGTCTGCGTGGGGGGTGGCTCAGGGGTAAAAGAGGACGTACCTTCATGTAGCCGTCAATATCAAACATAAACGGTCTCTGGCCAAAGTTGGCCATGATGTGGTCCTCCTTCTTCTTGAGGCCGACGATGGGATAGAGCTTTCCCTTGAGATCCTTAAAGCCCATATCCTTGAAAGCAATGGCTGCGTTCTGTCAGCATTTTATTCCGCAGGTTGGAAAAAGCAACAGGTGACGTGACAAAGCAAACACAGAATAGCAGTGGGCTCTGGTAACACGTAACTACCAGGGAGGAAAGGAACAGAGAGTGTATTGGGACAACGTACGTAATTCTCGGCCATTCTTTGTGAACAACGCCTGATTGAGCCGAAAGTTGACCAGACAGCCGACTGTGTCGCCTACGCCGAATACGTCGGCGTACGGTTTCCCTACGTTTTGAGACGCAAACGAGTGGCCGTCATCGCCGTGGTAGCCCCAGGAGTCCGGCTCCCAGCCAGGCGCCCGGGATGTCGAGGTCCCTTTACTCGCGAAACCAATGGCGATCGGTGGAGTCCTGTGCCAGCCAGGCTCAGTCAGTCAACATGTCCCTTTAAAGCAGAGCTAATGCCCCGTCGGATCGTCACCTACTTAATCTTATCGTGCCTGCCATTGAGCACTGTGATTTCAAAGTAATACACCCCGCACGCCGGCGACATGTAGTGGTCCGCCCGGATGGCGCTCGCCTCGTGGTCGCTCGACGCCCTCCCCGTATGCCTGACTTCGTACCCGTCGCCCAGGACCTCCAGCGCCGCTTCCTTATCGTCCTTATTCCATTTCGACGGCAGCGGGCTGGCCGTGTCGTCCTCGTTGGCTGGAAATGGGGGTTTCTCGACAATATCGTACGCCACCCCCCTATGGGCAGTGCCAGTTGCCTTCATCCCGACCGTAGGTAGGTGTGACGAGCTCCCATTAGTCGATAGCCGCGAGCCCAGGGATGATGGAGGCGGCGGTGCCCCGTTGGAGCTGGTGCCCTCGCGCTCTGCAAGAACTCTTGCTCTGTGTTGCTCTTCTAGCTTCTGTAGGTAAATTGTCCCCCGCAGGTATGACGGCGAAAGGAAGCCGGTGGTGCTGACATTGGGGATCGGAGTGGTGGACGGAAAACGGGCATCGTCGGCCCCGGTAGGATCGCTAGCGAGAAGCGGGTCCTTGCCCACGTAGAGGTCGAAGGCGCGGGAGAAGTATGGGAAGGTTGCCCCCAGGCGTGGTGGCCAGAAACCGCCGCCGATACCCTCGTCTGGGTCGTCCCTGGCGGACAGGTCCTCGCCGCCGAGGCCCCCATCGTGTGTGTATGACATGCCGGGCTCGAAGCGGGGGTCGCTGGACTGGCCTTCTTGTTGTTCGGAATCGGGCGAGGGGTTGAGGAGGTGGGAAAAGGCACCCGAGCGGGTGGGACGAGCTAGGGACGAAGGACTCCCGGAAACGACGGAAGCATAGGATGGCCGGCGGCCGCTGAGGGGTGGTAGTCGGCCGGAAGCTAGAGGGTCGATGTTTGACCCGGCGTCATGTTGTTGGTAGGGGTTTGTCATGGTGAGGGGCTATGAGGTGCCCAAAGAGGACAGGAGTGGAGGGGAGGTGCGTGCAGGAGGACGTCACGTCGCAGCCAAGTTAGGTCGGGGCGTTGTCCCGGCGGGAAGCCTCGGCGGGGGCTCTTCGGGTCGCCAGGCCCTCCTGTGGTTCCGAACTCTGCCGTTAAGAGGGGGCGAGTCGCAGGGCTACCGAATAAGGGTATTGACGTGTCCTAGTGCTTTGAGATAAGCGTTGGCTGGGTCAATCTTGAATGGCCCTGGGCAATCTGGCGTCCAAGCTCGGGTCTCGCCTCTGTGTCGCTATGTCATAGATGGGCAAATCGGTACTAGCTCTGCCAACTCTGCACTGAAACGAATATGAAGGGGAAAAATATATTAATCCCCGGAAATGTAAAACTCGAAACCGGTGTCCAATCGGTAAGGAAACCAGAGTAACTTTAGAGTAGCGAAGGTGAGATGGTGTCGATTCCTGCCCGTTGTCGTTCGTTCTCGAGAATCAGTCGCCAAGGTCATGACGGGGAGTCGGAGGTCGTTCGGCCCAGTCAAAATGGAGACCTCGACTTCCGGGGTCTCTTGCCAGCCAGTGGGGTCTTTGGGGGTTCGGGTGGTGCAAGCCAAGCGGGATCATGGGGCCCTAAAACTAAGCTGGGAACGGCCCACGGCGGTCTGTCTGCGTGGCAATCACTTCAAGGCGCCCCAAAGCAATGCATGCATCTTTCCGGCAGTGGAGGAGCTGCCGTGTGTTGAAGAGTCCCACTTCGCCCGCTTTTTGCAGCTGGCGTCGAAGTCACTTCCATCCGTCCCATTGGAGGGCGAGGCAACGGGGAGTGTGGATACCTCAGGCACATCGTCAAGTACGGAAAAAGGAAACTGGAGCAAACGCAATCTCTCTGTGCGATGGCCAAAAACAGGAACGGCCGCAAATGACTGGTGATGCTGCGTGGTTAGGGTGTTGTTGCGTATATTACTGGGCTACCTAGAGCACTGAACCTGAGACAGCTCGCTCCGTGCCAGCGCCGAGGAGAAAAGATACCGACTCACATCTCCCCAATGACACACAGTGACACAGCTACCTAACTCTCCTTGGTCGCTCAGGCTCCTCGACTTCGACGAGTACCGGATACTTTTGTGGCTTCGCCGTGATCAAAGAAACTCTCAAGGCGAAGCAACCATGTGCCTTTTGTCTTTGGTGCGACAATGAAGCGGGCTATGTATGCCATGATAAGAAAGGGGGCAATCATCTTTGAAAAGATACCCCCACAAGTGCCCGGCTGGTCCTAGTACCTGGCAGCCATTGAATGTATCAAAAACATCATCTATTGTGATTGTTGCTGTGAACCTGACCCCGCGTACCTTAATGATGCCCGCAAAACCATGCTAATGTTTGGTGTTGTACATACATGGCCGAGTGAACTCCTAAACTCCATGCCTACTGATGCTCGTGGCAAGCCACGTAGCTATGCCAGTGCTGTTTTCCCATTGCCCACCATACAGCGCCCAAACTCCCTGGTCCCAATGTAGCAAACTCCTCCAAACCCGAGCAGCCGATGTCTAACAAAAAAAAAAGCAGTGATAAAAAAAGACTGGAGACCAAGACCGAAAAGGGTCCATCAGGCAGCGGTAATCGGAACGGGCGCCGGCGAGTTGTCGGCGGCGAAGCTCGGTGTGCCCTGCATCTCCACATCCCCGCCATTGTTGCTCGCCTCGCTCTTGACCTGGCTGTTATCCTCCTTGTTCTCCTTGTTGCTGCTGTCGGACGCAGCCGTAGACCCGCCGGCCGATTCCTCGGGCCGGGGCTTCGGCGGTGCCGTCCAGCGCGGGATCTCCCACACGACTCCGGTAAAGGTCTTTAGGGTGAAGCCGCCCCTGTTCCACTTGCGGCACGGCTTGCCAGACCGGTCCAGAGCTCGCAGGCCGGCGTTGATGGCACCCTGGTTGGCCTTGGGGCCGAGCTTGTGCGCGGCAAGGGAGCCTCGCCCACCTTCGATGGTTCCGTCTTCACTAAGGTCACAGTTAGCATGCCGTAAGGGATAGGGTGGTGCGCGACGGGGAGATGGGGGTGCAATGGCGACTTCGGGGCGGACGAGGCCCGAAGACATGCGGGAAAGGGGGGACAGCGAGCACTTACAGCCTCTGCTTCTTCTTCGGACCGGGCTTTCCTCGGACTTTGGGTTCTCCGTTACCATTCGCAGCAGCGGCTGCACTTCTCTTCACCCCTTTCTTCTTAGGACCCTCGGTCGGCGGCCCCATGGTGGCAGATTGAGCTGCAGGTGTACCGGCCGGAGGCGAGTTGGGTGTGGAATCCGATGCATTCTCCGTGCCCGAGGTGGCCGCTGGAGCAGGTGACTGCTTGACTGGTGTGTCTTCCTTGATGAAATCGGGGTCGATGATGGCCCGCAGCTTCTGGGAGGGCACCTTGAGGGTGACAACTTGGCTTGGCTTAGGGGAGCCTGCACTGGCGACGATCGGGGCAGCCGAGTTGGCCGACTTGCGCCGGTCCTTGGCCGCAGCGGCGTTCTTGCTAGAGGGAGCCATCGCTGCGAGTAAAATCGCGTCGAATACGTCGATGCGGCGGGTAGAGAGGTGGTTTGTGGGTGGCTGGATGGGAAACGACGACGACGGGGACGAGGATGAAGGAGTGGTAGAGGGGGAAAATTTGCTTTGTCACGGTGATGATGCTTTGGCCCAGGCGTGGATGGCTCGGGAAGATGGGCGATCCACTGGCTGGGCGTGCAAGGGGCGCACACAATCAGCTTGGGGTGAGAATCTGCCGTATCGACTTTTGGCGTCGCACTTTTATTTCGCGTCGGCGACAGCGGCTACGGGCTGGTTCGCTGGGGGGCGGCGATGAATGTGGTGATGCGAGCGTGGTGGGCATTCGGTTGGGTTGGGGGAGATGGGAAAGGATCTGGGAAAGGTTGGACCCTCGCAGCCATGGTGAGGCGGCGGGCGGGCCTTCACCTGTTTTGCCTTCATGGTGCCAAAGAATCAGGTCGGGCAGTTGACTTGTGAGGAACCGAGGGGACACTGCGCGCGGAGTCTCCAACAAGGGAGTCTCGTCTTTACTTTTTCTGGGCATCACACCTATATCCCTAACCCTAAGTAACCCCGTACCTTCAGCCGACCCCCCGTGCCAATGACAGCGCGTCTCGTCGCCGGGGCCCTGCAACTGCCCCAAATTACCCTCGCAGGTGATTTTCAACATGATGACCCCGTCCGTTTGCCAGGCCTTTCCTCGTTTGTGGCGGGTTCGACGAGCAATGTCTTCAAATTTGAAATGCCGAACTGAGGAAAAAGACGGAAGACGAAGGAACAACACGGTCGCTAGTGTGCACCCTGCATCGGGCTCTCTGCACCTCACCGTCTCTCCACCTTCCCAGCCCCTTTTCCATCCATCCCTTAGGTAGTTATCACGAGATGAAAGGCCGCAGACTTCATTGCCTGTTTCGTGATGCAGATAGGGCGGTGACAGGCAAACCCAACCTAAGCCTCGAAGAGTGGCGAGTAGCAGGCAGCAATTTGAAATTTGGAGGTAATGAAGGTGGAAAGGACTGTGTCCTCAATACCTCCCAGTCCTCGTAACAAATGTGGCTCCCAATCTGCTGCATCCGTCATCCACTGCGCCTTCCTGACGTTGGGTTTTGACACATCTGCATCGGCACAGACTCGAGAGCCAAACCGCTTCGGGCAATGGGGGCCACTGGATGAAAGAACGAGAAAGAGCGAGGGCTGGGATGCTGGCCACCATTTACGGTGACGGTCGCATCCACATCACCTGCTGAAGTCTCGCGCCGTGCGAACACATCAGTTAGACCTCAGCTGCCGCGGGAACCTCAACCAAACAATTAGGTATCGCTCATTCGTCTTTGTCCACTCAGCCGAAACCCGATGCAGCCGAAAAATCCGTCACATCCATGGATGAGACTGTTGTTGATGATATTCTGAGTTCCACCCTGGTTAACTAATCGACGTCCGGAATGGGATCAAGCATATTATGCCTCCTCGGGGCGACTGGCAGTGCAGCAGTGCAACCCGCCAACTTGTTTCGACATGGTGGGCAACGATCTCGCCCAACACCAGGCCCTCCCTTCGCGCCCGCTTCATCCCGACCCGAATGCAAAGCCAATCAATCATCAGAGAGACACCGTCCAAGCGCTAAATTCGCATGAAGCAGATTCCCGATCTGCGTGGGCATGGGCGCCCGAGATAGCTGGCTTTCCGTGAGCTTCGCAATTGATCAGCATCGCTCCGGTCATCGCCAACGATGCCTGTTTCAGCTTGCAGCCAGAGTTTCTTGAAACCTCCCTGAGATCAACGCCTCACAACGCCGCAGTCGCACGTCACTCCTCCCGTCTCGTCTCCTCCATCCATCCATGCCTCCGTTTCTGAAAGGTTCCAATGCAAGTGCATCGAGCAATGTAAACACCAGGGAGCTCCGGTTTGATTGAACGTCTTCGCCGGAACGATGGCTCATTTGGGGCATTTCACGGGGTCTAGAAAGGGCAACACCTAACTAGAAGTCTAGATCAAGAAAGGCCAAACCACCGGGATGCTGTCTCGGCTTCCTTTTGTTTTAGATCACCCTCCATTCCAAGGCCCGTTCTTATTCTCCGGCGAGGCCCCGTGGAAGCGCTCTCACATTCCTCGCTCTAGATCGCTAGTTATAGCATTTCGAAAGTACCGAATACACGGCGAATGGGCACCCAACGCTTGTCGACGCGTGTCTTGGATCGCGATGAGCCCCATCGCAATGGCAGGCATGGAGATTCCGGTTTCCCGGCGTAAAGGAACAAGTCGAGGGGACGCGTAAATCGCGCCCGCGGGTCTGATTAAGATGGTCGTGATGACGGACTATATATTTACGAGAACAATGGGTTGAAGCAAGAAGGGATATCTTGGTTAGCAGCGCAGTAGACAGCCATTGGCAAGATGAAGCATTTCACCAGCTTGGTTCCCTTCGTCCTCTGTGGCCTCTCCGCCACAATAGGCCACGCAGTTGCCGAGGCACCAACAACACCTACGGTCAGGAGATATCTACCCCTTCTCGACAGAGCCGGGTCCTCAATACTCGATGAAGCCCCTTCTCGCCGAGGCTTGCCCCAGGGCGATGCTGCAGCAACTCTCGAACTCACACCAACCCATCTCGCAGAGTTACTCTCTCAGCTGCAACTTGTCTATGGCCAAATCTCGGCCTTCGCAGCAACTCAGGACACTGGGTTGCTCAACAACCTCTTACGATTGCTGGGTGGCGTTGTCCCTCCTCTCTCCGACGTTCTAGAGACAGTCCGCGCCATCTTGGTTGGTGACAGTGTGACGATCCTGGAACAGCTCGCCGTCGCTCAAGCAATTGGTCAGGGTTTTCAACCGGTCTCGCTCTCCTCTCCTTGCTAACATACCCCCAGGCGTACATGTTGTTACTACGACTTACACCAAGACCGTCACAGTCCATGACGACGGAGCGGCTGCCACGTTGGGTGTGAATATCCAGCTCTCGCAATGCCTTGCACGCTTGACTGCGAGCTCTACGAGTGCTAGTGCCTCTGCCGTCGCCGGCAATCTAGGCCCGTCGGTAGCGATTCCGCTTCCCTCGATTTCGGTACCCAGCTCCTCGACCGGCCTTTCTAAACCTTCTATCGCCGCGTCACGATCCTTGGGACTCCCTTCGATACCAGTGCCATCCGCGGTACTACCCTCAGCGACACCGCCGGCAGTAGAGGTTCCTGGGGCTACGATCAAGGCTTCGGCGTCTTTACCTGGAATCTCGATCAGCTTAGGTCTGCCCTCTGCCTCGTTGCCAGGGCCCTCGCTGCCCGCAGTCACGGGCCCTGCGGTGTCAGCCAGTATCCCTGACCTTTCCGTCGGGGCTTCCGTGTCTTTGCCCGGTGCCTCCATCCGAGGGCCCTTAGACCCCTTCGAAGCATCCGCGAGCTTGGGACTGCCTTCAGCTTCCTTGCCATCAGTTTCGCTCCCAGCGGTGTCTGTACCCGGAGCTCCTCTGCCCTCCGCCTCTCTCCCTTCAGTATCCATTCCCAGCGGCTCCGTGCCTGTCATCTCACTTCCGCCCGTGTCGAACCCCACGATCCCGGTACCCTCAGCGGCACTATCTTCGGTTTCCGTTCAAGGTGGCTCCCTCCCCGAGGTATCTCTTCCGCCAGTCGCCCTACCGTCTCGGTCGAATCCCGTGGTTGCGCTACCCTCCGTCTCTGTGAACTTGCCTTCCGAATCGAGTGCCTCCGTTGCGCCCGTCTCAGTGCCCTGTGCATCGGCCTCCAGAGCCGCCTTACCATCGAAGTCGACTTCCGAGTTGTTATTGCCCAGCTTGCCCATCGCAGGGGGTGTTCTACCGCCGGTTTCGATATCCGTTCCGGAAGTTTCTTCAAGTACGCAGCCAGCACCTACATTACCTCGGGTATCACTACCGGTTGTTCAACCTGCGCCGGTTAGCGAACCACCGGTAGCCACCCCAAAGCCATGTTCGATTGTGTCCGGCGCCTCCATGAGCCTTCCCAACCTCGCAGGTCCCGGAGCCTCTGCGCCCGCATCCATCGCCTCGAGTGCTAGGATCCCCACCATTCCTTCTCAGGGGATGCCCTCGCGATCTGGTGGTCTTCCTGGTTCCTCAACAAGCGCCGTGCCCTCGGTCATATCGGCTGTCGCTGGTGCCACGGCCGGATCGGGCTTGGCTAGTGAACAGCCTGCGGTGAGTGTGGTTACTCCGACAGCAACTGTTGGAGGAGCGCCAGCGCCTGCTGCGTCGGGTTTCGACCCGCGGTCATCTGGAAACGTTGCAGTAAATTTTGGCCTGCCCGGGACGGAAGTTAAGGGTACCCTCTTGGAGACGTGCTCGGACCCCAATGTGGATATCGTGATATTGGGCTTCTTGTCGGAGGTAGCGTACGGCGCGAGCATCTACCCTCGGTTGCAGCTGGTACGTACTCAAGCCTATCTCTGCGCAACCTTCTAACGAGGTACGAACAGAATCCGTGCATGGCCAGCACGCAAAGCTCGCAGATGAAGAAGCTCGCACCCGGCTTGTTTTACTACCCCACGATCGAGGCAGATATCATCCAGTGCCAAACCAAGTACGGCAAAAAGATCTTCCTCGGCATCGGCGGAGAAGGTAACACTCTCCCTCTCGCCTCCGATGAAGACGCGATTACGTTTGCGAACCACGTCTGGGAACTGTTTGGTCCCCTCGGCCACATCGACCCTTCGCTGCGGCCATTCGGCTCAGCGGTGTTGGACGGGTACGATCTGAGTACGTGCCCCCTGGGTTCGACACCACTTCCCAGCCCATATATACCTAACCTGAGGAGCAGACAAACAAGACGAATGCGCCGCCAACTTCGACACCTTCGGCGCCACGCTGCGCTCGCACTTCAGCGCCGACACGGCCAGGGACTACTTCCTGTCCGCCGCGCCCGGCTGCTCCTACCCAGACATCTCGATCCACCCGGGCTACCTCGCCCAGAGCGACTTCGTGTGGCCGCGCTTCTACAACAACTCCCGATGCGAGATCGGCAGCGCCGGCTTCCTGGGCGCCGTCAAGGGATGGTACGTCTCCCTTGCCTTCCTTTTATCTTCCACCACCTCCCTCCCACATTTACACTCGCATAGCCAAGTACTATACTAACTCACCACTCAAGGTCCGCCGCCGTGGCCGAGAACGCCATCCCCTCCCGCGACAGCACCCCCGGCAGAACCCACCTCTACATCGGCCTACCCGCGCGGCAGGACGTGGTTTCAATCCTAGCAGGGCTGCTGGCAACGGCCAAGGAGGCCATACAGCAACAGCAGGAGGAGGGCGGGCTTGGCGGGGTTATGATCGCTGTGCTGGGGAAGGGCGGGGATGGGTTGGGCTTGAGGGGGGTATTGGGGGCGGTTAAGGCGGCTTTGGGGGCGCTTGTTTAGACTGTGTTTTACTTTAGTTTTCTTTTGGGCGGTTTTGCTGTCGTTTGGGGGGTTAGGTAGGTGGGATATGCATTCGTTTCTTGGGAGTATGGGTTGGCGAACACCACACTTTATACTGCGCTTGCATTGAATTGCTACTCACATGTGTGACTCTGCCGAGTGGTAAGTTGTTTACGCAACAGTGATCTGAGAGAGAATGTAAATAAATGGCGAGCAGTAGACTAAAACTCCATCGCCCGTCTCTTCAAGAATGAGCTTTTCAACTTGCCCCGACCAGCTCGTTTGTTGTAGAATTACGTTTATTTATTTCTTCTTCATATGATGGCTAGCTAGCTTCCTGATGCGGGGCCTTGTATGCACGCATGTGACCGATAACCACTCCTCCCAAGACATTCTGATGCCGTGGCTAGCTCTCCTAGCTAAACCATCTACACACAGCCTGCCCACCGATCCCGGGCCCTCTCCACCCCCGGCCCCTTAGCACCAACTCGTTTACTCCGGCATGTGGGTGAAAGGCTTCTCCAGGTGCTCCTGGCAGAAAGGCAGCTTGCCGGCGGTCCAGATCTCGGTGTCCTGTTTTCCCACGCCCTGTTAGCCAAAGTCCCACCCATCTCGAACCAGTAGGACCAAAGGGCGAAAAGCATACCGGCTTCAGGGTCTTCTTGATCTCGGAGTCGAGGGTGCCGCCCTTGAGGGCGATGATGGGGGGCGCGGCGTCCGGGTCGTGGGCGATGGGCGAGCCGCACTCCTCGCAGAACCAGCGCCAAACGGACTGGCCCGAGGAGCCCTTGCCTTCCCACTTCTTGACCGGGCCGTTCACGGTGAGTTTGTCCTTGAGGACGACGCATACGAGGGCTGTTTTGGAGGAGGGGAAAACAACGTTAGCCGGGTGGGGATTGACATTGGAAAGGGAAGGGTAGGGGGGAAGTCCGGAAACAGGGAGGACGAACAGTAGGTCGAGCCAGACTGGCGCTGGCAGTCATCGCAGTGGTCGTAGCCGGTGATGATAGGTGCGTCCATGTCGACCGTGTAGGTGACGGCCTTGCAGAGGCAGTGACCGGAAAGAGGCATGTTGGCTGTTGGTTGACTGGTGTATTTGGAAGGGTGATTGGATTCGATGGTGTCTATTAGGCAAGGCTCGGGATATGTATTTTGAAACTCGGTCTGTGGAAGCGGGAGAGACGGGATGGAGGAGGGGAGCCGGAGTGGTTTAAATACCCGGGATCAAGCTCATGAGGAGGTTCTGGATCACTGCTCATGGGACAAGGGATGCTCGGATGGTCTTAGTCTGCCAGGTAGCTGCTGGGTGGGCAAGTACTTGGAGCAGCATCTCCACGGGAGCAAGGTATAAGGTACCTCACTCCTCACTTGTCACTTGCTCGAACTCTCCGAGGAGAGCCGTGCACAAACGAACCCAAGTCCGCTCTGTAACAAGCGCGGTTGCCGGTGGGGCCAATAGATAAGTTGATGAAGCTTGGGGAGTGGATGACAGGTTAATTCCAGACGTCATCTTCATCACTTCGCTTCCGACAGACATGGAGCGAGAAGCACACCCCATGACGATTGTGGGGTGATTCATTGGTGATGCCCTTGGGATGACATGGGGATGCCAATTAGCTCCTCGCGTTCTTGTGAGTTCGACTGCAGCAACAGTCCGGTCGCTGTCGGCTTTCGGAAGATCAAACCAAGGGCGGACAGCCTATAGGACTCCAGAAATAGAGTTGTAGTGGCTGCAAGAGCTGCACGAAGCTTCGGGCTTGGGAACTCTCGCAATGGGTGAATGTGAGTGATCAGCCCCGCCGCGGGGCAGTTATTTGTCACACAACCCCACAGACCTGCCCCTCCTTCCCCGGTCCGACTCGTTGGACCACGGTCGCTCCTGTCGAGTATTTGGAATTCCCCTGATGCGCCCATGCCTGGATCATCAGGCTGGCGTATACTTCGTTCGAAGGATAGCACGTGAGCACCAACTGCAAGCCCACCTAATATTGGCTTTCCCAACAAATCGGGAGGATTCTGCGGGGCCGAGTCACGAAACTCCGACAAACTCCCCGATCCGATAATCCATGGAGGACGGGGATACTCCGAGTTTCCGCCGCCGAGCCTTCACTTCACCTCAAACCCGGGTGTTTGGTTTCAATATTTGGAATAGAATCAGATATGCACAGGGACATCCATCTGTGACACAAAGCCAGGGCGATCTTCTTTGCACTCCTATTTCCGTCATCACTCACAACACTCCACGTGATAATAATCTCATGGTTCATCTAAACAAAGTAGTATTCATATCTCAAAAAAGTAAGCATACGATATGCCTCACGGGGACACAAACCCGGTTACCACCTGTTTTGTGACCATTGCGACAGCCCACGAGAATAAAACCACAGGACTCACCCGCACCATCAACCAAACCGCTTCCAACAAAGCCACACTCCCAAACGGAATCCTCTCGGCCAAAAGCGCCCTCAAAACATGTCCCTTATACATCCCCCGCTCCCTCTCATCCTCGCACTCCAGAACATACGCATCCATCCCCGACATCCCAAACCCCTTCCCACCACGTAGGTACTGCAAGACCCTGAAGGGGACATCCTCCCCCAGACCCAACACCTCAGGCAGACCCGCCGCGCCCTTCTCCTCAGGAACAAACCACGCCAGCAAATCCGGCCGCGACACCCACACCGTACCACCCTCTCCCCCCTCCCCGACCAACCCCTCAAGCGTCCCAGCATACCCAGCCGCAAAGCGCCCATAAAACGCCGGCGTCAACACCCTCACCTCCACCTCCTCCACCACCGTCAACCCAACCCCAGCCGCCGCCGCAGCAGGCGAGCGCAGCACGCACCCCCCACCACCCCCCTCCGGGACCGGCACCACCCCCGCCGGGACGTAGCGCACCACCAGCGGGCTCGCACAGCGCGCCTCGACAAGCCACGCGAGATAGCGGCGGAAGACGGCCTCGAGGTGGCGCTCGGCGCGCGTCGCGGGCCGGCTGAGCGTGCCGCCGCCGCCGCCGCGCGGTTGTGGGTGTGGGTGTGGGTGTGGGTGTGCCCAGATGGGGAGCTGGTGGCGGAGGGAGAGGGTTGCTGCTTGGGCGAGGATGCGCGGGTAGGTTAGCAGGGGGGTGAGGCACCAGGTTAGGAGGAGGTGGTATTTTTGCGAGGGGGGGAGGGTGTGGGGGTTGAGGGGGGCGGTGGTGGAGGTGAGGGTGGCGATCATTTTGGGTTTGGGGGGGTTTTGTGAGGAGAGGAGGGTGATGGTGGTGGTGAGGGTTGGGGCGTCTTGGGTGGATGGGTTTAGGGGGTCGGAGGCTGACAGGCTGTAGGAGCCGTTGCGCGAGTTGAAGGGGGAGACGTGGAAGTCTTTGGGCCAGGTATTTTTGAAGGTGGGTTGGTGGGTGTTGTGGTCGGGCGAGCAGTCGATCTGGTCTTCTAGACCATGGCCTGCTGTCAGGTAGTACATCCGCCGTTCGCTGAATGTGTTGTTGACCTCTAGGATCATGGCTGCCAGTCGCTGGTCCGCATCGTACAGGTACCAGAAGGACACTGGGTTGAATTGGTAACCCAGGAAGCGGGGAGCGGTGATCAAGTACGCGGACGGGTAGATGGTCGGATTGACGCCCTAGTTGAGTAAGTATTGTCAATCTCCGTTGATTTGGTAGGCAGCGGGACTTACTTGGCTCCAAAGGTATTCGTCCAGCTTCCCCCTTAGACCCAACTCAGACTTGCCACGCTCCAGGTAGTCGCCGGCATCGATGGTGAACCAGCCTTCCCATAAAGAAATAGAGAAGTATGGAAAGACTCCCGGTTCTCTTTTGGCCTTGACCGAGACCAACCCACCCACGCTCCCCTCGAAACCCACGGGGATACCCACCAGGAGGTACGGGTAAGAGAAGGAATGTTTCTTTGGGAATAATCGCGAGTGGGACGTCCAACATGGGAATAGGAGAACTTTCCCCGGTCCATCCCACCGCGGTGCTTTGACTTTTGCCCCCTTAGTCCGCAGCAACTTAAAGAGTAGAAAGGCGAAAGCCGAGGTGCTGATGGCCGTCAGGAGGGTCCCTCGGAGAGACACAAGACCAGGTAAATCAACAAACAATCTCGTTTGCCATATGGCCAAGAAGGAGGCCGCCATAGCCGCATTGATGGGACTCGAGAATATAGTGGAAGAGATGGTCATTAGGATGGTCACCAAGGGGGTCGCCGAGGGAGTGGCCATGGTTTTTATCACTTGGGAGGGGTTTTCTCCGGGAATGAGGGCTTAACGGCGATAGAGTCATTTCGAGTAGAGTCGAGTCCATTATTGGTGATTGCTCCGTACTCTACCTAGCACATGATGTCGAGTCCGGGCTTGATAAAGCGACGGTTCTGTCACGGGTCGACATGTTGCACAGTGGAATCACCGTGTTAGCTGACCAGAAAATACACTTAGAATACTGTGTGTTTTCTGTAGCGATCGCAAAATGGCCGGAATGGCAGTGAATGGGTCTTCGTCCCTTGAATCCTGCACTGCCGGCCCGGCTGATCCCTGTCTAATCCCTGGTCACGCCCTGAATTCCCCCACAGCCCCAATGTGGCGCGCCTTCACACCTTCGCCGCTCGAGTCACTGCCAGTTCGACAGCCGCCCATCAGCTTCCGCCAACGGGGAACCCGCTTGCTTAAATCCCCGCCCAGACCGTCTCACCGCGAGCACAGACTTGAACAACAACGCCTCCAAAGAGAACAACCCAGCCATCGGCCTTGACGTTTCGTTTTTGTTTTTTGCCATCGCCTGCATTATATAAAGGAGGAACCAAGCAACCAAACTTGCTCCATTCCTTTATCTTTTCCATACCCAATCAACCCCGAACCAGCCGAACCCCTCCCCGCCCGGCTTATCTGTCATCGTTCAACAGCCCCAAACCCAAACCCAAACCCACCCCAATCCCATTTACCAACACAACCCTAAAGCCGTCAAGATGTCTGCGTGGGACACCGAGACCGTCAAGATCGGCAAGAACGTCAGCCGCGGCGGTGCCGCCGCGCGCGAGACGGTCGTCCGTGGCCAGTCGGCTCTCAACGCAGCGCGGAGAACGGGCGCGGCCATCACGACCGAGAAGAAGTTTGCCACAGGCAATGCCGTACGTGTCCCCTCCTCCTCCTCCCAAACAGGCGGAGCACAGAACCAGCGAACTAACAAGACCCCCAACCAACAGTCCGGCGGCGTCGAGGGCCAGCGGCTGACCATGGTGGACCGGTCGGACGACATCGTCAAGCCCAAGACGGTCGGGGCGGAGGTGGGCAAGGCGATCCAGAAGGCGCGGGCCGAGTTCGAGCAGGCCAACGGCAACAAGGGCCTGACGCAGAAGGAGCTGGCGACCAAGTGCAACACGACCCCGACCGTCGTCGCCGGCTTCGAGCGCGGCGACGCCACCCCGGACCAGAAGGTGCTCGCCGCCATGGAGCGCGTGCTCAACGTCAAGCTGCGCGGCTCCGACATCGGCAAGCCCAAGTTCGAGCGCAAGGCTAAGAAATAAATCAAAGTTTGTCGATCGGCGACGTTCTCTTCCTTTTTTTATTTCTTTCTTGCATGCAATACCTGGGACTCTCTTTCTTTCCTTGCAATGACTGGGTTGGACGGCTGGGTTCTCAGGTTGGGTTGGGTTCGCGAGGCTGAGGGATAAATCGACGAGTGCCCCTCCCCCTGCGCTGTCGATTGATCCCCAGCCCCTCGGGAAAACACAGCAGCAGCTGTATGATGGATGACGGTCGGGCAGCACAACGAGTGTCTTCGTGGCTGGGATGAATTTAGCGAGGACTGGGCCATCTACTTCACGATGGCGGCGTTTGCACACCACGGGGTCGATGATGGCGGGGAGCGAATAGACACGCCTTTGCGAGGTAGAATAGACCTTTTGTCTTCGTATAACTATGTTGCCCTTATCATGGGTGATTCCGCGTCCCGAGTGAAAACCAAACAGAAAGCCATGCTAGTTATGCTTCTCAACGCCATCAGTCCTGCCATTAATCCTGACATCACCCAACCATCAACGCCATAAAACAGCCAAACAGCCGAGCCCATCCCAGTCCAACCCATTATCCATAGCCAGAATAACCTATACAAAACACCATCCAACACCGCCCATTAACCTTTCTCAATAACAATCACCCCAACAAAACCTTCACGCGTTCCTCCACCTCCGCCTTCGTAGGCTGTAACCCCATCATGCACACAACATTCTCCCTGCCGCCCACCTTGACGACCCTCAACCACTGCGGCGCCACCTCCGCGGCCAACAACCGCACGCACACCATACCGTCCTCCTGGGAGACAGGCGTGCGCATCGAGTCCTTGAGCCTGGTCATGAGCGCCGCCATCGTAAACGACACGCGCACCTGCCCCGACCCCGTGGCCACCGTCGCCTTGCACAGCATGCCAACGACCGCCGACACGTCGGCCGCGCGCTGCAGGGCGCTACGCCGCTGCAGCTCGGCCGCGCTGAGCTCCTTGCCGGGCGACTGGGCAGCCAGTGTCTCCTTGAGGCGGATGCGGTCGAGGAGGGAGAGCTTGGGGGCGTCTCCTCCCTCTGGGGAATTGGTTTGAGAAAGGACGGCGGCCTTGGCGGCTTGGTCTTGTTGCTTCTTCTCGGCGATGCTCTGCTTGAAGGCGTCGAGCGTTGTTTGGGTCTTGGGCGCGAGAATGCTCAAGGCGCACGGCTTGAGCGGTGCCTGGGGGAGCGTGCCGATGAAAATGGTGGCGGGGATGTTGTCGCGGCGGCTCAGCCAGAGGGTGCGCAAGTTGGCTTCGAAATCCATCTTGAGCTTGAGCTCGTGCAGGGGGTTGCGCTCGGCGCCGGGGTAGAACTCGACGCAGATCTTGTCGCGGCCATAATCTGCCAAGAAATAGGGGGCTCTGGGAGTGCTGTCGCTCCTGTTTGGTGTCCAGGAGAGCACGCCGAGGCACCGCTGGATATCCACGAGGCCAACAAGCCGCTTGCCCCAGGCGCGCGTCACATCTGTGTAGAGGGTGGACAGATCGATGGGCGACCCTGTTGTGCTGTGACCTGGCTGCAAGCTGAGCGTCTTGAGGAAGGCTGCGTGCAGATTCAGGAGGTCGAGGAGCTCCTTGGGTAAGTCGAAGTCATTTTGGGGAGCGCGACGGTGAACGGTTGTCTTGCTTCGCTTGTTGATGGGGGGGGATTGTAGGTTGAGACCCTCGAGTAGTTTCTCAGTGTGGCTGGTTTCGTCTGATTCGCGTTGACGTTTGCGGCTTGATGACGAAGTAGGCGCGGCGCGGCTCGGAGTGCTCGGGACGGCCTCGGCCTCGGCAAACCTCACACTCTTCCGCTTCCTTGAGACGGGAGTTGCAGGTGCGACTCGTGGTTCCGAGATGATGGATTCGGGCTCGAACTCGCGCCGGAGCTTCTTGGATGTAGACTCGTCATCGCTATGGTCCTTCCTCTTTCTTGATGTGAGGACGATTTCGATATTGGAGCTGCGCGTTGTGAAGGGTGCGGCAGTGCGTGTTTCTTTCCCAGAGCGCTGCTGCTTTGAGACCTTGATGAAGTTGGTGGCAGGTGTTTTCGAAGTGGTCGAGGCCAGCTTGCCGCGCGGAGTCCGCGTCTTGCGAGTGAGCTCACCAGGCATCGTGCTTGCTGTTTTACAGAATTGTTTGAATTGTGGGTGTGTGGGAAGGTACAATGCACAATGCTTCAGTTGGTGATTTCCGAAATGAAATTGGAGTGCAATAGATGGAAAGCACAAGTGTCGAGGTTGTGGAAGGTGGAAGTGGGTGCTGGGGGACGAAGCGAGGGAGCAGCACTTGAGTTCATTTCCTTGTGGACTTCGACGCGCTACGCGTAAAGTGGGCGCGACGCGACTTTGAGGCCCGCGCTCAGAACGGATCCCCCTTTTCGCGGCCCCCTGCTTCAAGACCCCACCACAACAAATTTCATGCGCAATGACGCGCTAAAAACCGAAGCTTATGAAACTTGAGCAATGGTGGTCATGGCCTCGTCGCACAGCTGCGTCTGCCATTCAATGGCAGTTACCGGGATGCAAGTCGAACTCCTGGCGCTGGTGTCTTTGGCGATGAACTCGGCCATTGGAAACAGGCCCACCACGAAAGACAGGAGGCCGGCTTCTTGATGGCCGGGGCTTCGTCCTCGGTGCCAGAGCGATATCTTCCATGGTAGCAGCCTTGAGAACCCTCGTCGTACACAATCGTGAGCTCCCTGGGTGTTTACCTCCGGAAGAAGCTGAACATGACCACGCCAAGGCATCTCGAGAAACAGGTTGTATCACCAACCCTAACCCCCATATTCCTCATGGTGGGGTCGGTTCGGAACACTGAGGGGCTGCCCTTTGATACTGAGGCACAGGCAGCTTCCAGTTGGCCTTCGAGGTTCCCAAGTTTGGGAGCTTTGTCGTCATCCTCGATCCTGTCCAACTTTCGCCGTATCGTACAATCACTTTCCGTTGATCTCTATTCCCAAACGACTCAACCCGCTTCAATTCCTTCTCTTTCCAACCCAATTCCACGATGACGGACACCGAACTTGCAACTAGAGCTCCCGAGAGCGATGCACAGGAAACCAACACACCCTCCCCCAGCGAATCTCCTGCTGCTGCTGCTGCCCCTCCCGCTCCCGCTCCCGAAAACCCCACGTTGAGCGAGCACTGCACAGCTGATCGCCCAACTCCCACCGGCCAGTCTTCCACGGGGGAGATCACCAAGCTGAACGATGTCGACGTCAGTCCCCCTTGACCCCCACCATTCCCCGTCCATCTTCCCGAACTCAAGAACTAACACCCCTTCGCGCAGGTCTACATCTCCAAGCCCGCCGACTACCCGCATACTCCTTCCCGGCTGCTCCTCCTCCTGACGGGCGGCACCGGCCTGCGCAGCATCAACAACCAGATCCAGGCGGACCGCTTCGCGACGGAGGGGTACGTGGTCGTCATGCCGGACCTGTTCGCGGGCGATCCGGCGCCCAACAGCAGCGCGGCCGCCGAGGTCGCCCTCGAGGCCTCTTCCGGCTCCTTCCTCGACACCTTCAAGATCAAGGCGGTCGAGACGGCCAAGAGCTTCCTGATCGACATGTGGCTGGCGCGCCACACCGAGGAGAAGGTGATGCCGATCCTGGAGCGGGTGCTCGAGGGGGCGCGGGATGAGTTCGCGGACGCGGTCTCGCACGGCGGCGGGGTGTACGCCGTGGGGTACTGCTTTGGGGCGAGGTATATCCTGCTCTTGGCTGCGGAACGGACCAAAAAGGGCCAGGGGCAACAACAAGGGGACGAGGAGGCGAACCGGCCGGCGACTGTCGCGCCGCAGATCAAGGCGGGTGCGCTGGCGCATGCTACGCTGGTGTCGAAAGGTGACTTTGTCGGGTTGAAGTCGCCGCTGAGTGTGGTTTGCGTGGAGAACGACCCGATGTTTCCGGACGAGGTGAGGATCGCGGGGGAGGAGTATATGAGCGAGAACGGGGTCGAACACGAGGTGCAGGTTTACCCCGGGGTGCCGCATGGTGAGTACATACCAGTGCTTTGTTTGGGAGGGCGCCGCTAATGAGAAATAGGTTTCGCCGTTGTGGGGGATTATGACGACGCCAACATCAAGACTGCGCAAGTCACTGCGTTTGATCAAATGCTGAAATGGATCAACGAGCATTAAACGAGCAGGCATGATATCAGGCGTTCCGGTTTAGGGTTCTGTTGGCAGGCGGGTATCATGTTCTGTCTCTCATATCTAGATGTTTCAAGGAATGGTGCAGATGATCTTGCCCATGGTCTTGTTCTCCTCGAGCAGCTGGTGCGCCTTGACAATATCCTCCCACGGCAAGACGGTATCGATCAGCACCTTCAACTCCCCGTTCTCGAACCGGGGCAAATACTCCTCCAACTTGTGCCTCAACCTCCCCTGATACTCCTCGTCCCGGCTCCGCAGGGTGCTTCCCTCGACCCGAGCCCTCTTGTAGAGCAGCTTCCCAATGTTCACATTCTCAGCCACCGCACCGCCCATCAGGCCCAGCATGCAAATCCGCCCATCCCTCGCCACCACATCCAGATTCTTCTGAAAGTAATCCCCGCCCACAAAGTCCACCACCAAATCCACCCCCCTCCCACCAGTCCTCTCCAATATCTCCTTCACCCAATCCCCCTCCTTATAATTCACCACCAAATCCGCCCCCAACTCCCGCTCCACAAACCGACACTTCTCCTCCGTCCCCGCCGTCGCAAAGATCTCACTCGCCCCCGCCAGCCGCGAGAGCTGGATACCCGCAATGGACACCCCGGACGCGCCCGCGTGCCAGAGCACGCTCTTCTTCTTGCCACCACCACCACCACCACTACTCTCAGCGCTCTCCACCCCACCCAGCACAAAATGCAGCGCCTGTGTCGCCGTGATCCACGTCTCGGGAATCCCCGCCGCCGCCTCAAACGACAGGTGCGCCGGCTTGCGCACCAGCATCCCCACCGACACCGCCAGATACTCGGCGTAGGCGCCGCCGTAGGCCAGACCAAAAACCTCGTCGCCGGGGCGGAACCCCGCTCCCCCTACCTCTGTGGAGGTGGAGGTGGTATCGGTATCAAGGGGCGGGGCGCCGAGCGAGGCGATGGTGCCGCTGAACTCGACGCCCAGCGTGGCGGGGGCTTGGGGCGGCACCGGGTAGTGGCCCTCGCGCTGGAGCAGGTCCATGCGGTTGAGGCCGAAGGCGCGGACTTTGATGAGGGCTTGGCCCGGGGCGGGGGTGGGGATCGGGGTGGAGGGGTTGAGGTAGAGGGCGGTGGCTGGGCCGGTGCCGTTTTTGATGTCTGTTTTTTTGGGGGGTGGGTTAGGATTTGGTGGTGGTGGTGGTGGTGGTGTCTGAGGTATGGAGGGGTGGGATGGGGGATGGGGACGACGCACCGACGGCTTTCATGACGGAGGCCATGGTTTTGGTGTTGTTTGGGGTGTTACGCTGTGGAAAGGTGGTTTTGCTGGTTTCAGTAGCAGTAAGAGTGTTCAGGTCACTATGGCTTGCACAGAGTTGAGACGGGCGGAAGAAACTTGGGATGGCGGGGTTCAGATGAATGCGGAGCGGGATGTGATGACGTTATCCGGTCCGGCCGCCGGCCCACCAAAACCCGGAGAACCCGGGGCCCCGTTCTCGGACTCGGCAGATGAAGGGGAAGCGTGGTCTCCGGATCTCACGGGTTATTGTCTCGACGAGGCATTTTCTCTTGAACACAAAGAGTTGTGTAACTATTGCGCCTCAAATCCGTATTCCGTCGGTAGTCGAGCCACTGCCACTTGTTACGAATACTGTCGAAACTCGTGGTTTCCGACCGAGTCAAACGCCAGAGGCAGCCTTGACACCGTACAGATTACTTTGTGGCCAATGCGGTTCTATAACTCGGGGGCTACAAAGTTGTAACTAGTACTCGCCCATACTTCGTCATCTCCAGTCGTCTTCTCGTCTGACTGTGAGTACGGGCCGAGCTCTCACCCACGGTCGTCGGCAGATCCGATCAGATCGCGACATCTCCCAGACTTTGGGAATTGCCCGATTTGGGCTCGGCAATTCGAGGATCTGCTAAGCGATCGGCAGGCCTAGGCCCAGAGAACGAGTGATCTGGTCAAGGGGTGAACAAGCCCGAGATCAAGGTGGCGCGAATCTCGAGCAAACCGCAAATACTCTCTGTCGAGAGATATCACACGGAGGAGGATTCGAGGACAGTTCCTGAGTGGTTTGAGTGATTTCAATGGCTTGCAGATATTGAGCAATAGCTTGCTTGCTCGCAGGAGAGCTATTATTAACCGAGAAGTAATGCGCTGGCACGGGGAGATGAGGATTGAGATCGATACGAGGCATAATACTCCACCGACTCGAGCCAAGGTACGAAAGGCAGACACCGGAGGGTTCTCGTTACCACCGAACACTCCTCGCAATCGTCGGTAGCGGGATGTACCACTGTTTGTTCGTTTGCAAACCAGCCGTCGACCGATGGAATGATTGATGGCGAACCGACGGCAAACAGACGCTCCGTTCGGTTTTGGTCCCTTTTTGGCCATGTGCCGTGTTCACGGGCGCCTGGAAGCCCGGTCTGGGCTATCGTGGAAATGAGCCAAGTTTGGCGCGTGTGTACCTTGCATGCGGAGCAACACAACCGTTGGTGGCCAGGCTCGCCGGTTCGCCAGGGCAAATGCAGGTACGCCGCCAGGGTTGCAATGTTTTCCCTCCGCGCCCTCACAACACCGCGGACCTGGAGCTCTCCAATTCAGTCAGTTCCACGACCTACACTCCCGCCCCTACCTGGCTTCAAATATACCGTGCAACTATGTCTGAGTCAATACATCCCGTATTCGCCTTCTTTTACAAGGAGAAACAGGTGGATTGACCGACTCAGGAGATCCATCAAATGGCGGAGAACACAACGTTGTCTTTGAGATCCGCCGTGATCCCTGCAGCCCCCCGAGCCAGGAAATTATCGGCCCTCTGGGCAGTGAGCAGACCGCTCCTGTTGGCTGACCCCGGCCCACCCTCCTTTTCTCACATCCCTGCAAGAGTTGTGATTTGGCCATTTTCGGATGGAAGCATCAGCAAAATTGGATGCCCGAGCCGGACAGGGGGCGGCAGCCGGCGCACGATAGCCCAGGATGGCACCCTCGCCGGTTGCTGTGTGCTGGTCTGGTCGCTCGCTCTCACTGAGGTCTTAAAAACACCAGTTCCGCTCGCGCATCCTTGCATCCGTTTCCTCTCTTCCTCCTCACCCACACGCTCTCTACGCAACCCTGACTTTTTAGTCAATTACATTCGTTAATCGAAACGCCCTACAAGCCTCGTGCTTCAAGTCTCTACGACCGCCTCCAGCAACGAAAATACTCGTCGAGTACATAATTTAATACCCGAACAAATCAGTCAAAATGAAGTTCGCTACCGTCCTCGCCCTCGCCGCTGGCGCCATGGCTTTCAAGAACGAGACCGTCTCGTACACCACTGAGGTTGTCACTGCCGTCACCACCTTCTGCCCCGGCCCCACCGAGGTCACCTACGGCCAGAGCACCTACACCATCACCGAGGTACGATAGAAATCTTGGGAGCCGAGCCGAGCAGGCGCACGGCGAGTGGAATGGGGTCAATGCGGCTTGAGCAAAGCCTCAATCCCTGAACCACCACCGCTGCGCCGTTCTCAGGCAAAGAGAAAGAAAGCAAAAAAACCAATCGCTAACAATCTCCACCAGGCCACCACGCTCACCATCTCCGACTGCCCCTGCACCATCAAGGTCCCCGTGACCACCATCTCCTCGGTCGTGTGCAACAACTGGTATGCCTGCCCTTCTCTCCCCTCCCCTATTCATAAACCACCAGCTAACCCATCCCGCACCAGCCCCCCCGTCTACCACAACAGCACCTCGGCCCCCGCCGTGCCCACCTCGCACTCGACCGCCATCGGCACCGTCACCAAGCCGGCCCCGACCGTCCCCACCGGCACCGGCTCCGGCACTCCCCCCATCGAGACCGCCGGCGCCGGCAGGGCTGCCGTCCTCTCGGGCGGTGCCCTCGCCGGTGTTCTCGGCCTGGCTGCTTTCGTGCTCTAAGTCCCTTTTTAGGGGTTTGGGGAGGGCTAGCTAGTTCGTGTGATGTCGCAAAGAGTTGATTAGTTTAATTGGCTCGCTGCTTGTGATGGGGAAGAAGGGGACGCCGAGACGGGGTTGGGTTGTTGTGGGTTGTTGATTGATGATTGGAAGGGGGTAGTGTGTTGGATGGTGTGGATGTTGGATTCACGGGATTCTCGCTCCGGTTTGGCGGACGGGGTCCTGTATCAATTTTTCTGCTCTCGGCTTTGGGGTCGCGCTGCGGTTCCTGCTGAAGGCGGATGCTTCTCTGAATTGTGTTCCTCTCTGGCAAATACCGACACTTTTCAACCTCTATTATTTGTCGGGACTCGTTCCCGATGTACATCGACGGCTATTTTCTTTTGTGAAGACGCTTAATGTTTTGTTCTCCGTAGTCGCGAACTTCGGTGATTACTTTGATGCTCTTGCTTGCACGCAGATGTTGTCAACACACATGACCTCGTAAACAACCTGGCTCTGGTTGGTCAATTGTTTCAAACAAATCAACGAGCCTTTTAAGCTTGTTCTCTCCCGCCCGGGAGCCCGGAACGATCCAGAGCTTTCAGCATTCCATAATCTGTTTCGGGGGCACCCGTTCTCTGGGACAGTGAACGGCGAAGCGAGGAACACGCCCACCATCGCATCGGTGCTTTGACTCTCCCATCCGAAAAGGCTTGCCCGGGCTCGATCCTTTACCGCAGAAGTCACCTGTGCCATCGCAAGCCCCGTGTTCTCGTCCATTTATTTTGATATAGCCCGCCCCTGGAATTTCCGATGTGTCTTGAGCTTGAAGTGCCTCCCCCTGAGCGTTCAGAGCAGGAAATGGCCGGAATCCGAGGCACGGGAGACGCCGTCGGAAGCGAGATTGATCAAAAACGGCGTGGCTTCTGGTCAACCTCTCATTTTATCCAGGGCGAGACCGTCTTCGGTGTTTTCCATTTCCCCTCTTCAGAACGTCAATTGGTGCTGATGTCCAGAGGGAAGGTCGCCGTTCCGTAAAACCTGGAATCTAATCGTCTGTTGGGACTTGCCTTGCTCGAGGAGACGAGTGACGTTGAGTGTCTCCACAGCGAAGACCGCTCGCTCCCCAAGCAGCCACTATTTAACTGAATTGAAACAATTGTGTGGTTTCAGCAATCGTGACCTGAAGCCAACCTTCCAATTGAGATCTCTTCCTGTAGGTAACTATATGGCAGGAGCGATTGAAACACCGGCCCGCCGACAAGCAGCTCTATCCCAACCGAGGCAATTGCGATCCACCTTCTCTCCTCGTTTGATAAAACTTCCATCGTTTCTTTCTTTTGTGGTTACACTCCACGAAAAACAGACGGAAGCCAGCGAAACCAAATACAGCTCAGGATGATAAAATTCCATCTTTCCGGGAACCATTCGGGAACACAGCACACGCGGCCAATCGCCCCCATCTCAGCGCCGATCCCCCGGAGCCCAGGCCGAACCCCAGGCTTAAGCCGCCTAACTAACCCCAAAGGTCGGGGTAACGGAACGTTGCGGGGATCGCCGCGGTTGCAATGACAACCCGAGCGAGTGAGCATCCATCCAGGCGATTGGTGATGCTGATGCGGATGTGCCGACGGGGGGGATTATAAAGTTCGGATAGGTAGAGAAACCACAACCAACTTTCGTCCTATGTCCATGTTTGCTTCTTCTCATCTCCCAACTGCAACCACACCGCCATATACCCTCCAAGTAACAGCAACTCTCATCAGACGCGTCGTCTGACCGCCTTAACTCCAATTACACAGGAAAGCCGGCATCCATGGATCACCCACAGGACCAGGCGCATTACCGCTCCCTTAACGACCCTGAGAGTTTCTGGGGCCATCAGGCTGAGCAACTATACTGGCACAAGAAACCCTCATCCGCCCTTCGCCGGACAACCAAAACTCTCAAGACGGGTGATGCTCACGACCACTGGGAATGGTTTCCGGACGGGGAGATATCAACATGCTACAACTGTGTCGACCGTCACGTCCTCGCCGGCCGCGGTGATTTTCCCGCCATCCTCTACGACAGCCCTGTCACCAACACCAAGCAGCGCATTACCTACAACCAACTCCTTGACGAGGTTGAGGTCTTTGCTGGCGTCCTGCGGGAGGAGGGTGTCAAGAAAGGGGATGTCGTGCTTGTCTACAGTAGGCCTCGTCCGCCTCCCATGTTATAAACCCGAGACTGACACACTCAGTGCCCATGATTCCCGCGGCTCTAATCGGAATCCTTGCCATCAACCGCCTCGGTGCTATCCATGCCGTCGTATTCGGAGGATTCGCTGCTGGTGCACTCGCCCAACGCATCGAGGCATCGCGGCCTGTTGCCATCCTCACGGCCTCATGTGGCATCGACGGCAACAAGCCACCCATCCCGTACCGCGACTTCATTGAGGAGGCTGTGCGCATATCGCCGTGGAAACCACCCAAGACTATCATCTGGCAGGTATCCCACATGCTTTGCTCTATTTCACGCGTCTAACCAAAAGCAGGCAGCGCGAGCAGCTCCTTTGGCGCCCTACCCGCAAGTTGGAGGGCGAGAGGAAGTGGCAGCACCTCGTCAAGAGTGCTAGAGCCCGTAATAAGAAGGCCGAGTGTGTGCCCGTCAAATCAACGGACCCTATCTACATCATCTATACCAGCGGCACAACCGGCCTGCCGAAAGGCGTGCTAAGAGAGGCCGGCGGCCACGCTGTTGGCTTGCACCTGTCAATCTCCTACTTGTTTGGCATCCATGGGCCAGGCGATGTGGTAAGCTATGCCCTCAAACCCATTGTATAAAGTACCACTAACACGACTAGATGGGCTGTTTCAGCGACATTGGCTGGGTCGTCTCACACAGCTACACACTCTACGGGCCTCTCCTCACCGGTGCCGCCACGGTTCTATACGAGGGCAAGCCCGTCGGTACCCCCGACGCATCCGCTTTTTGGCGCCTGGTCGAGGAGTACAAAATCAACACCATGTTCACGGCGCCAACCGCCCTGCGTGCCATTCGCAAGGATGATCCAGGAAACTTGCACTTCACGCGCATCGGAGACCGCGGCGGGTTGAGGAGCCTCAAAGCTCTATTCCTCGCCGGTGAAAGATCAGAGCCGGCTATCATCACCATGTATCAGGACTTGCTCAAGAAATACGCGGCCGAGGACGCGAACGTGATCGACAACTGGTGGTCATCAGAGTCCGGCTCGCCAATCTCTGGAATAGCCCTAGTGCCTCACGCTGGCAAGTGTCGGCGGACGGGCATGAAAGAGAAACAGCCGCCCCTGGACATCAAGCCTGGGAGTGCAGGCAAGGCGATGCCCGGGTTCGACGTGAGGTAGGGCTCCCCCCCATTGGCGCATATCTATTAAAGCTCCATACTGATCAACCGCAGGGTTGTCGACGACGAAGGCCACGAAATCAAACGCGGCAAGATGGGCAACATCGTCTTAGCTCTCCCGCTGGCTCCTACTGCCTTCCGTACGCTCTGGGAGGACGAAGAGCGGTTCTACAAGGGATACCTGAAGCGATTTAGTGGTAAATGGATCGATACCGGTGATGCCGGGTGGATCGACGAGAAGGGCTACATCCACATCATGGCACGAACAGGTAAACCCTCCCCCTTACCACATCAACCCGGTGAACCCCCCCCCCACTCACTAAGCCAACTAGACGACATAATCAACGTCGCCGCCCACCGCCTCAGCACCGGCGCCCTCGAGCAGGCCATCACCTCCCACCCGCTCGTAACCGAGGCCTGTGTCGTCGGCATCCCCGACGCCCTCAAGGGCCAGATGCCCTTCGCCTTTGTCGTCACCACCACCTCCCCACCACCCGGCGGCACCCCGCCAGCCGAAGGAGACGACGCCCAGCTCTTCGCCGAGATCCAGAAGCTCGTGCGCTCGCAGGTCGGCCCCATCGCCAGCCTGGGCGGCATGATCCGCGGCAAGGGCATGATCCCCAAGACGCGCTCGGGCAAGACCCTGCGCAGGGTGCTCCGGGAGCTGCTCGAGAATGGCGTGCATGGGGAGTTTGACCGCGAGGTGGCCGTGCCGTCGACTGTTGAGGATGCGGCGGTGGTGGGGGTTGCGCGGGAGGCGGTTAGGGGGTATTTTGGGGGGCTGGGAGGGGGTGGGAGGCATGCGGCTGTTGAGGGGAGGGCGAAGCTTTGATGGGGGGGTTAGGCTTTGAGGGGGGGCTAAAAGTGAAGGGAAGGCGGCGGGGCTTCGAGGGGGTTGGGTTGGGTTCAGACAGTTCAAATGGGGGTTGTGATGTTTCTTGGTTGGAATACGGTTTTGAGTGAGATATATGGATTGGGAGGACTTGAATTTGACATGGGAGCCGGATTTCTACCGTTAAATACGGGACGGCGAACGTGTTCACGGGGACATATGGGATTGTATTCATACTTAGTTTTAACCGTGGGGGAATTCAACCTCAGTATTGCTATTACCCGTCGTTTACCAATGGTTGCGCCCTCGTCTTGCTATGTGAAATGCTAGGTACAACAGGCTTCTAATACTTTGAGGGGTTCGAGGAGGGAAGTGTCCATCCCGCTATTATTATCCTACGTCCCAAGTTCTTTCTTGTCTGATACCGCACTACTCGACTTGTCTAGGGTTGCTATTCAAGAGAGATGTTGACCGCCTATTATCTATTCCTTGTTTTACAGCGAGTCACTCCTCTCTCTACTTAGGCACTGCCATTAGAAAGTAGAAATAACCAACTATTATCGCCCCGTCAAGCTTGTAATCATGGCCTAGTCACTTCATATGATATCTGCAATACCCCCCCGAAGCGGTTGGGTTGGTCGTCTTTCGTGACGGGACTGCTTGCGTTCTGTTTAAAGTGTTATCCTCGGCTGCGATGAGTATGGTGCGTTGTATTGTCGAGGTCGTAATGACCCGGCCCAAGCAATACTAAGGCTTCGATATTGTCAAATTGCACAGCTCGTTACTATACCGCACGCAGTGGCCACGGCTCGATGGTCTCGTGATGTCTATCTCTATAATACGACCTTTACTCGCCCCTAGCCCGGAGTAGAGTGACGAGGTAAGTACTGCGCTGTTGTCCTATGCGGACGTACAGATTATTCACCACGACATTGATTAACACATCCTCTGTCGACTCGCCGGGACAAGCCTCCCCTCCCCTCAGAAAACCACAACACGATGCCGGCTCCTACAAACGCCACCCACCGCGCCCTCGCGCTCTCGGGCAGGCAGCGGTTGCCATCCAACCGTTAGACACAACGCACAACACTACACGACGCCAACCAACGGCCACCAACGCAGCGCAACCCACCCATCAGAAGACCACACACTTAGACCAACCAAGCGCCAGCCAAGCAGATACGTAGCCAGCCAGCCAGTCCCGGCCGCCATGCCGTGCCGATAAAGGAGAGCAAGGCAGGGCAGGCCAGGGCAGGGCAGAATAGGGGGGCGGATCGGACGGCGGACGCTAGATGCTGCTAGGCTGATCTGGGAGGACAAGCACTTCCATCACGAGGCTTGGCGGTGGGTACAAGGTACGACGGTCTACAAGTATTTCCTCGTCTCCATATCCTGTTCGGTGTCGACGCCGTTGTGACACCGGGGGGGTGAGAGGTGGTTTGGTTTGAGATAGAGCCTATGGCGAGAGGAGGGGGCTTGGTGATTGGTGGTTGGGTAGGTAGGGGATGGGGGGGAGCGAGGGTGTCGTCCAGCTGTTGGGGATGGCACAGCACGGTGGACAGCGCCCGGGTGAGACGAGGCGGGAAAAGGGGCGAGGTTGGGAGGAGGAAGCGGCCCCAGGAATAGGGTCTCTCTCTCTCTCGCTGGTGGAGATTGGGGAGGGGAGGAAGCCGGTGGGATGTAACACAGCACAAGCACCGCCTGGACCATCTCGATAGTGCGGGTGCGATGGCGTGCGTGAGACCCGAGGGTCGTGTGCCGACAGGGAGTGGTCGAGCAGCGGGTAGGGAAATTGTCCGACGACGCCCTGCAGAGAAGGATTGCACCGACTCGAACGTTCTGGGTCCGCCTAGGTAACCATGGGCAGGCTCACGACGAACACTGGCGTCTAAGGCCGAGACATGGGCAGCATTGACGAGGCGAACTTGGTCGCGTGAGATGTGCTGTCGAGCAAGGGCAGGGGCGCTGAGCACTTCAGAGGTCACTCCCGGACGATGGACGGCCCCTCCACTGACGATCCAACATGTGTCGACCTCTACGCGGCCGCCCTGCCTGCTGTCGACGTGGGATAATCTAGGGGGCTAAGACCAGGGTTGAATCCCAAAGACTTGCCTACGAGAACACAAAAGCCAAAGTAAACAAACGCCCAACCAACCAGGAATTTGCGAGACGGCGGATCTTGAACTCTGAGAAGCACAAGTCATGCAAGCCATCCCTAGCGCCTGTCTGTCCGACCCCCAATGCAAAATGCAAATGCAAATGCGACGTCGTGATGCAAATACCCGTCAAGCGCCCCGTTTCATCGTGTGACGTAAACCCAACAAGCCTATCCAGACGTTCGCTCCTATGCAAGGCAATATATGCTGCAGTTAAACGTGGCCGTCGCAAACAAGACAGCCCCTTGCGCCGTAGCCTTGTCCCACGTCCTGGCCGCACTCATGACGGTCAAAAGGGGGAAAGATAGGAAAGGCGAGGAGAGGAAGAAAAAAAAGACGTCTAGTGAAGGGGCGGTGTGTCAGCTCCCAGGGGTGTTGACGGCTGGCTGCTGCGTGCTCCCGTCGGCCTTCGAGAAGGCTCCGAGAACACTCTGTTGGCGCCGAGCGGCGATTTTGAGATTGGCGAACCGCGCCTCGGGAAGTCGCCTGCCGGCTTTGATGCTTTCCAGAACCCTGGTTAGGCGTACCATGGTCAGTCAACCAGCTGGTTCTGCACAGTATCCATGCGATCCGAGACATACGGGGTCGCCGAAGAGCACAAAGACGCGGGAGAGGTGAGGGTGGGCGTATCATGCAGACTTACCATTCGACACCGACAAACTTGATGCCGCAGCCGCCAACCCGCCGGATCTCCCTCTCCAGCTTACCGCCCGCCAACCCACCGCCGGCACCTCCGTTCGGGCCGGACGGCTTCCCCAGGATAACGTGGGTAACCTGGCGGCGACCCAGGTGGAGCGACATGCGCGCCCCATGTTCCGAGAGTAGGCGCTTGAGCTTGATGTCGGACACGAGCGGGTGGGTGCTGCCGTTGACGTAGATCACCAGGCCATCGAATATCTTGCGCTCCTGGGTCTGCCTCGTGTTGTCCTCCTCGCCCGCCCCATCCTTGGCTTCGTAGGCTCGGGTTGGTTTCTCCTCGGCCGCCGATTTGGCGTCGGGTTTGTTGTACCTTGCGTCCCCTGGCCTCGTTTCTAGGGATAGGGAAGGGCCGGAGCCGGAGGATGAAGACGAAGGCCGCGATGGGGCCCGCATGGATCCCGGGTTGCGCAGCATGTCAGCAACGCTGCTCATGGCGCGGGCCCGGACCTCCTTCGGTACGAACATGCCCAGGTCGTCGTCAAAATCTTCGGATCCGACGCCGACCATGTCTGAGATGCGCGCTCCGCCCGAGTTACCGCCACGGAACTGGCTGTTCATTTTCAGGTCTCGCGACTCGCGCCATCCCTGTGGTCCGCTGGTTTCGGCACGCTGATGGCCTGTTGATACCGAATTCCATGGGTCGAAGTTGCGACTGTATCGTGGCTTTGCCGGCGGAGGCAGGTTTGGTCTTGGTGGTGGCATCGTCAGAAAATATTACGATTAATGACGGGATACTCTGATAGAAACCGAAATTCCATTTTTGATCAAATTTTGCTCGAGCCACCTGGCAAGACCAACAAAGACCTCGAGTGGAAGGCATGGCAGCCTCAACCAACTCCACCGCACGCGGTTGGAAGGCACGACTCGCGCGTCGCCACGGGGCAACGGTCTCACGTTCATGCTTGGACACAGGCGCGAAGTCACATGAGGGCGAGGCACAGTCCACTTCTGCCTGAATTTGCCCGTCAATCATCCATCAATTCCCGAAAACAACGCATTTCAGAGAACCAACCGTGTTTGCCCAGATGTCCATCCCCCTTTTTCTCCAAGCATGAATGTTTGCTGCGGTTGCTGGGACCGAGCGAGGCAAAGCAGCCTCCGTCATCTCGTATCCAGGGGGCACATATCTCACCACACGACCTAGTTAGGTTTGCGCTCCCGGTGGACGAGAACAAAATCCAAGTAAAGATTCCTTGGTGCGACCGGCAGACGGGTTTCTCCGTGGTGGTAACTTTGGGGTGGCAAGAGCAGTGGTTCTGTGAGACCCTATCAGCGTCACATCGCTGAGGGCATTTTGGGGTCCCCTGCTGGAAGGACTCGACGGCACCCTCCGCTTCCTGTCGCCTGTCAGCAATCAATGAAAAGCGTCAAACTCGACATTCATTGTCACCCTGGATCAGAAGCCTGAGGCCCGAGATCCTAGGGGTTTCCCGTTGGTCTCGAACCACAGGGTTCTTGGGACTGTGCGTTATGATCGACGTCCACATTAACGAGCACTGACACTGCCGGTGTTTCTCATGCCTTGCCGTTTCCCGTTTCCCGTTTCCCTCCATGCATGCCATTGCATGCCATGGAATCCATGCCCCCCCATGGGCCATTAACCCCCCGGCTATAGCAAACCCGAACCAATGTGCCGCTCTCGTGCTTCCAGTGTCGCCTCGGCGGGCGCCTCTGCTCGCTTCGCACGACGTGGCCGGGAGAGAGGTCCTTCGTAATTCTCCCGGTCGTTTCCGCTCGACTGTGGCGTTCAGCTCTGGCGTCTGCGCCGTTGAGGGCGCCCTTGTGGGAAAGAAAGGAAATTGGAAGATGGCAGTCGTCCAACTAACCTCACTTGCAGCACGCCGTGCAGACATGTACGATCCGTGATCTGGGGATGTGGGTATACGAATACCGCCGCGTGCTAAGACATGCAAGGTCGTGGGTTTCTGCGCCGCCGTCTCTGCCACCACTGGCACTGGTGCTGCACCCCGTGCAGACAGCCACAGCGGTTCATGCAAAGCTTGCGCTGCCGTTACGCAGTAGCGCAGAAGATCCGGGAACGACGGTGCCCCTCTCAGACATCCATCCATCCAGACAAGCTCCAGCGCGATCGCTACCCTATTGTTCCCATTGTTCGAGAATGACGACGGACCTGAACCGTTGGCTTTTGTCTATTTTCTATTTCAATTCCTCAATCCCCAATCCATTAATCCCTCGCCCCTCGGTGCGTACTCCGCTAACAACCAACAACACACATCCATTATGTACAACCTCGGTCACTTACCAAGGAGGGAGGTATTCCTCCGAAGGGTCGAGTAAGCAGTCTCCAAGACACAGTCCACAGTCCACAGTCCACAGTCCACAAACAGCACGCAGCGCGGCCGGCCCATCCCTCCCTCCCATCCATCCATCCATCCATCGAGCAGCAGCAGCAACACGCACACACCCGCCCGGCCTGGTCCCTGTCCCCCCGGCCCCCGGCCCATGTCCCTGTTTGCCCCTCTCCCCGCTTTCCCGCCCCTCCTCGCCATCGTGCCATCCCACCCCCGCCTCACAACAAGCCAAACCTGCACAACCAACCCCCCCCCGCTCCTCCTCCTCCTCCTCCTCCGAAAGGCCCGAACCCTTTCATCCCATGTCATTCTGGTTTTTGCTGTTGTACATGCACAGTGCAGCTTTTGGTCTGGGGAGGCAGGAGGAAATCAATTGGGGCTTCAATTCCGGGATGGAGGCAGTCTGTGCTCTCCTGTGTACGTAAATAGCCCACTCGAAGGGGATCCTGGCTCGATGAGCACGGACTGTTTTGAAACAGCACCCAAAAAAGGACGATTTGTTTCCATCTTGCGCAGCGGGGTGTGTGAGGCAACCGGGGGTTCGAGAAAAAAGGGGGAGCAGGTGGCAGCAAGGGGACCTAGCTCCTTGCATAAGCGGAGCGTGCCTCGAGCGAGATGCGCGGGGGTGGTTTCTCAATCGGATGAGACGATAGTGTCTGTGCCGCTGCAACTTTGTTTCTCACAAGGGCAAACCGATGAGGATGGAGGGGGGGTGTGGTGTCGTTGATTGATGAGGGCGCAACTCAAAGGCGGTGTATTCGGTGCTTGCGTGTGTGCTGTGCCCTCCTCCTCTTCGGAGGATAATAATTAAGTGGCCCTCTTTCTCACCGATAAGCTCTGGCGAGTTTCTGTCCGGCCTTCCCTCCCACGCCAGCCATTGGCTTGCTCGTTGTCGTTGGCGAACGGATCGAAGACCAGGGGAGAGAGAGGGAAAAAACAAGGTGTCCCCAATTGCCTGCGCTCCCTCCCCGAGCCGTGTCCACGCTCCCCGGCGTGGGGCGCAGAAAAAGCGAAGCCAGGTTTGGTGGTTGCGCCAGGCCCGTCCGCTTCCTGTCACGCTCCTGCTCGGCCAGGCATTTGACGGTCGGCTACCGGGTTTGATAATATAATAACTATAATACAATCTGTGTCGAGGGCGGCGGCGAGACGAAACATAGCACAGATAGTCCGGACACCGCACCGGCTTTCGCACACGCACACACACACGGGCACACACACACCTGCGAACCATACCTGCCTTGCCTTGCCTTGCGTCCGGTCGTGTCTCCTGCGCGGACTTGAGGGTTACGACTTGCATGCCATGCCATGCCATGCCGCCGCTGTCAAACCCAGGAAAGAAAAGGATGGACACAACACGATGATCCCGGCAGTTTCGCTTTGTGTGTGTGAATTTTCCCCTTTCCGCATTGCTTGAACGTGTTGGCAGACTCCCACCGGATGCCCCGGGGGCCACCCCTCGTTCTGGAAGGGCCCGTGTTTGCCTGTCTGTCCTGTCCGGCTCTGCCCAGATGCCTGCCCGACGGGAATCGATCAGGTCAGCGCGATCTCGGAAGGGTAGGAGATCTGGTCCACAGCTGCACGTCGGGCATGCTGCGCTGCGTGCCCGAGACCCTTCCCAGCAGCGAAACCCCGGGGGAAACGCTTCCATGCAGCGCGACCCTGGCTGGAGTGTTGTGGGTGGCAGGGGTGGTGGTGGTGGGAAAGCGGGGGTGCACTTGGCCACCACCGAAGCCATGCGTGCGTGGTGGTCCGGCCGCGGGCGGAACGAGGGGCGGGTTCGGCTCCCCTTTCTGCTCCCCGGCTTTGTTTCCTGCGCGTCCCATGCAGCAGCATGTATGTATGTATGTATGTATGTAACTATGTATGTAGGTAGGAACGTCCATACATATACATGTACAACGCAGAGCGCTTGTCAGATCTCGCGGGGACCATCTCCACGAGCCCGTTTGCGCGCGCCTGAGACCCATCCAGCCATCTCTTCCCCGCTGCGAGCTTGACATGTGTCCTGGAGGCGAATGTCGGGCAGCCCATCGGCAGAGGCACGATCTCCCGCACTGGATGCCCTCGAGGCGACTGATGCGGCGTCCCGGAGCCGCCCGCGATGGCATGGTGGCAGAGCCGAGTCTCCTCTCAAGCGCCGCCACGACAGGGGACAGTAGCTTGGCAAGCGACTTGGGGTGCCATCAGCCCACGCCACGGCCGTTCACTTTTCGGCCCTCTCTCCACAACAGGGGGGCCTCAACCGCGCCGAAAGGGCCATTCAAACCCCGCCGCGGCAGAGAAGCCGTCCCGGATTGGGGAGGGGGTTGGTTGTTTTGAAAGCCCCCAAAGTCGCCCAGCTGAGAGATTTTTGGCGATTGTTTTGATGAGTTCGCGACCCTCCAGTGAGGATTCGCGATTCGCTTCATTTGGCCTGTTGCGGTTGCGGATGACGGGCCCGGTGAACCATCCGGTAGTTAACTACTGTGGGACATGTTTACAGACATGGCAAAGTTCCATCCAATCGAACCGAGCTACCTTGTAAAAAGTACACCGAAAATGGGGCGGGGATGGATAATCCCGAGAGCGAGGATTTCAGCAAATGCCTCTTTGGGGTGACGAGTTTGCTGAATGATAAGCACTAATTAGGGAGTTAGTGAGGAAATCCAAAAGCGAGACCCATCATCAATCTCAGTCAAACTCCGTTCGAGTCAAGCACAATGTTTCTTTGGACGACTGTTTGAACGTTTGAACACTTTTTGTTGATCGGGACCAGGGCCACGAGGAAATCCATGGTTGGAGCAATGGGAACGGTTAGGGGAGGCCATTTTGGTGCCCTTTCATTGGCAAGAGCCCTTCGAGGCTCGCCAACGGGACCGCGTGTCAAGCGCGACTTTCGGCGGGAGCCAGAGGGCGTTGCTTTAGCGGGCCGAAGAGTAGCGGTGAGAGCGGGGGAGTCGAGCACAGTGCGATGTTGCCGAGGCATTTTTCTTTCGGGAAGTTGTACCCGATGAGAGCGCTCAGGTCGCATGCTTTCTTGAGTGTCAAACTCTCACAGAGGTTGTTGAGATTGATGAATAAGTTCCTGATATTGGTAGGTTCCTGGAGACATCGGACTCGACCGAGGCTTTGAGAGATCCTTTAGCCATTTCGCCCTGCCACAAGCCCCGACGTCGACAACTGGAGTGACCTCGCCAACGGGGGTTGAATGCCGATCGCGGGACCGAGTCAGGAGTGAGGAAGGAACGCCAATATCACTGGAAGAGGCTAAATCGGGCCCGTGGGAAGAACAGAGCTCGGTACAGGGGGTTTTTGGTGTTGAAGCTCATCTTGCTGAGAGCAACTCATCATGAAGCTTCCAAAGTGACCAAGTCGCACTGTGAGTCTGGCGGCTTCTCGCGCCAGCCCCCACACCATCTCCTCCCGGCTGTGCCACCCACCGCCTTCCCCATCCTGGCTGTCATGTAAGGCGGAAAACGGTCCGCGCGTGCAGCTTGTTTGTAGCGAATAGGAACCGCAGGCAGCAGGTGTGCAAAAGGGTTTGCGATGCCCGATGTATGATGTGCATGATCCTGTCGTCCTCCCGAAGGGTTGGGGTAGTGGGCTCGAGAGTGGGGAGCTCCTAAGTAGGGCTGAGAGGCATGAGCGGCGAAAAGGTGCGAACAGTTTCCTGAGAACTGAAGCCCGGAGCGCGCAATACGGGTTCTGTCTTCATCCGAACCCGAGAGGCGTGATGACAGCACATAGCCGGCCCTCGTCGAAGGATGAAAAGATTGGAATGAGGAGAGCGCCAGCCTGGCCCCCTCAGGGTTTCCCGTTGTGGGTGTGGGCTTGAGACGTGGTGAATGCTGATTGGGCGACTGAAGGCGATTCTGGTACCACAACCCACCGGGAACTGGCGCGGAAGTCGAAGCCAGACCCGAAAGGATGGAAGGCTTTGCTATCACGACACCCACATTCTCCGGGCCGGTCGGGTTCAGAGGGAGTCAAGACTCCCCAGACCTGGGCCGGCTAGTTTCTGGTGGGAAGCCTGCGCAGGACTCGATAGTAACTATGCGGGGGAGGTCTTCCCGGGGGCTTTTGCACGAAATTGGCTGGGGAAGATGTCTTGCTCGAGCCGAGAGGGATCTTGACAAGCGTTGTCGACATGTTTCAGCAAGTGGTTGGTCGTGAGCCAGCTTCAACCAGGGCAATGATGCGGAGAGGTCAAGCCGCCGTGCGGGCGAGGTCGCGCACCGTCCGGTGCGCCTTGCCAGAAGCAAGCGGCTGAAACGCAATGAGCACCCCTCTCCCAGCAATCCACAGAGAGCTGCGCCATCAGATAGGGCCGTGATTGGTCGGCCCAACGATTAGAGGTGGACGCACAAGCACCTTACCGCTGTGCATTGGCCCGTCTGCAAGTGTTGTCGAGCCCGGGGAGTCTGGATCGGGGTACCCTGCACGCCGAGACCCAGTGTTTCTGATGGGCCGTTTCTTTTTTTGAAGACGGGTGTCGATCCGAGGTCTCAGCGCTGATTTGGAAGAACGCGGGACACGGATTTTGACATGTTGCTCGAGCCCGAAAGAGAGCGGCTGTGGCCGTTTCGCATGGCGCGGGAAAGCTCTGTAGAGGTGCTTTTTCTGGAGGCGTGTTTGCGATTCTCACAGTGCGGGGGTTGGGGGGCGGGAGAAGGGAAAGATCGTCGTGTGGCTGGACAGGAGATCTCTCTCCTCGGCTGGTCTTGTCTGATATTGGCTGACGGGGTCGTTTTTGACAATTCTGATGGAGAATTGCCCTCACTTCTGCGGCACAGTTGGCTTCTTGTGTCGCTCTGGCCATGCCGGCTCGTCGGGCAAACCAGGTTCCTCGTGGTCCGTTTTCTGCGCCGCAGCTGTTTGCTGGGACGACCGGGCAAGTATCGTGGCGGAAGTCGTCAGCCAGCGTCGGCATATCGTCGTAGAAGTGTCGGGCAGTCCGAGACTGCGGTCTGTTGGCGCGAACCTCCCGATGCTGGGCAGTGCCGGGTCTCTCTTTTCTCTTGATGTGGTTGCCGACCGAGGTGGGCCATGTGGTTTGAGGCTCAAGGCGCCGCATCTCGTTATGCCGGACGCAGAAGCATGGCAGGGCTGCGGCCCGGGGAAACGAACATGGGAGGGCATTGAGCCCAGCGAGACGACACGCCTCGCTCGCTCCCGGCGAGTCCTGCGCCCCTTCAACCACGTTCTCTCTGCAGGTTCTTCACCACCCGGCTCGCTGCCAGCACGGCAGTTGAGGAAGGCACAGCATGAAGACCCGGTGGTTCTGCGTGTCCACGGTACTGCAGTTGGACCCTGGGCTGCGGTGTACCACGGCTCCCTCAAGCACCGTTGGTTTTCCTGGCAGTGCCTGGGCAAGGAGGGGGCGAACACCAACTTGTCGGTCTGAGACAACTCTGGGAATGAGACGAATCGAAAGACGATCCTCCTCAACAGGTCGGTCGACAAGCGCCCGAGCCAGCGAGTTGCCTGGGCGGGCCTGGCCGTCGGCTGACCCTGGCGTGAGCCAGTCCCCGGCAGCCACGACGAACGAAGGTAAGCGAGAGCGTCGCTGCTTACCACGCCACCAAATCCCAAGCTGTGCAAGTGGTGGGTCCGGAAGAAGTCTCTCTTTCGGAGATGATTTCTGGAGATGAAGGGGGATGGGAGTGGTGTTTGGAAGTGTCTGGCTCTCGAGACATTCATCCCCCCTGGTTATGTTGATTCCCGACCAGAATTGGTGGTAATGGCAGATGAGGGAAATCTTACACAGGAGAGTTGATCTGTCCATGTCCATTACACGCAACGGAGCCAGTTGACGTCTTGGCACGGCACTGGCACATGAAAGGCCGAGGTCTGGGAAACAAGGCGAGGACTGAAACGCCGGCTGCCCTGCATCGACAGACTTGCATTGAGTCAATCGGAGATTTCTGCTCCATGTCTTGCAGCCGTTGGGATTTGGGAACCGATCTGGCCCGCGGTGTTTGATGGAAACCAGAGATAGTACCAAGTATGTATTAACCTGATCACCGGAGGGTACGAATACCGCGCCGATTCAACTCTTGGATGGGACCCAGTCGGCGATTCGTTTTTTTCGTACTTTGTAGTATCGGCGTAATTCGGTGAACAAATGGTGCAACCCACCGGTCAAGGAATTATAGGTAACGAGGAAATAACTAAGAAGTGAGAAACCTCGCTGACATCGAATAACATCTCGACCGGGCTTTGGGGCGCAGAGATGAGATGACTTCGCAACTTGCTGTTGTGGGCTGGTTGGCTCAGCTTCGGGAAGAGAACCAACGAGGCAAGCAATTTTCGGAGTTACCTCCTTCCCTCGATCATGACCAGATTTCAGGTTGCCACTGGTGGTCTCAAAAACTCGCAACTGTGTTCAGGGCGTTCAGGGCAGCCACGCACTTCGCGCTAACCTTTTCAGGCACATTCCTCCCGTCTTCTTGCCTTCAATATCAACCCCACTTCTTGCTGCACAGTCCCGGCCTTGAGAACTCGCACTTTATGGAAACTTGAACCCCTACGCACACACCCTCCAAACCGCTCGTGTGGTCTGACACCCCTCCCCTGTCACAACAGCCAAGCCCCAACCTCCGCCGTCTGCTAACCCTTGTTCGCAAACCCTTGCTCGGGCCAGGTTCAAACAGCGCACCACGCCCCCCAGCCCGTCTGAATCTGGTCCCGAACTCGCCGTCTTGGACCGATTGTGTGCCGACACCGCAAGAACACGGGAGAACGCTAATGGAGAGTGAAGTGGAGTGTCGAGTATGTCCGTTGCGTACCTCACAGAACTGTACTGGTACCTTACTTCACTCACTCAGGCACTCAGGCAGAGTGGTTATGTGCAATGGGACTGGGAAGGAAAGGAAGGTCCGGTTGGTGATATTGGCGGATTTTGAGATGCCCAACCAGAACCTGTGTGGGGAAAACGCACACACACGCAAAGGCTGGCATGGGTTGACGGAAACCAAACCAGAGGGCTGTTTGTTGGCCCTTGCTCGCTAACACAGTGCAGAACTGAAAGTCGAGATTGTTCTCGATTGCGACCCTGCCTGCTCTCAGCCAAGGATCCACCCAGACACTCTCCCGTAGTGGGTGCTTTCCGACCCCTTGACTGGCCAAGCTGGCGGCTGGCGAGCAGACAGGGGAGGGGGGGGGGCAACAGCGGCTGCCATGTCACTGCCCACTGTAACTGCCAGGTTCGTGTACATCGCACAGGGCCGGAACGGCAGACCGGGCCTGCGCTCTGTTTTCTCGTTGCTCGCTGATCGTCTCTCGAACCTCCCTCCACCTAAATCAGGCCGCTTCCCTTCATCCTCCTCCTCCTCCTTCCTCCTCACCACCTTGCCGACCTCTCTCCTAATTCCGGATCCGAGGCGGACGACATTGAGAGGCGAGGAAGGTGAGGTTCAAATCATCCCAAGTGCGTGCTTTCCACTCCGTGTATGCCTTGCCCCGCCGTTCTGTTGTTCATCCCATCTTGTCTTTTTTTTGCCCTTCCTTTCCCGGTCCTTTCCCGGGTCTTCCTAGCCAGGGTTTTGCGACCTGCAGCAGGAAGGACGCGCGCGGTTTAACAAATGCAACCGAGTCGCTTCTATCATTGTGCTTAGCATCAGCTAACAAACGACTTGCGTGCAGCTCCCACGGCCCGTCATTTATCGACCAGCATCACCGGATCGCAAGAGAGTGCATCCCACTGCACTACACTTCGCCCCCGCAGACAGGACCTCCGACCGAGAGCGCATTCGTGTCCCCGGCATCCATACTCAAGGGATCAAGACGACTGGACTTGACCCATTTCCCTCGCTGTTAGAATTTCTGTTCCCTACTTCAAACCCACGCCCCCCGCCCCCCCCCCAGCTTGGACGCCCGCCCCGACGGACCATTGTCTCTTTCGCCATTGCACCGTTCGATTGTGCCCTACACCACCACATCAAACAACAAATAGACGCTCGCAGTTTGCGGCAAGAAACCGATAAGCTGGATCCCTCCACTTCTCAGCAGCAACCCCGGGGTTCGACGGACGGATCGTACTATCACCAGGAAGCTCCACGTTCGTTGTATAACGAGAGACTCCCGTCCCTGGCTCTCACGCACGTGACCCAGGCATACTCGTCGAGCACCTCGTCGCCCCGGGTTGGCTCTATATCGTCGGCGTCGAGCTCCAATCTCGGCTCTCAGTCGTCCTTCACCACAGCCGCCTCGACCAACGGACCCAAGACCCCGGGACCGCTCTCCCCCGCGCTCGCGGCATCTTCGATGCCTCCGTCCCACGGCCAGGGCCCTTACGAACATTACCCAGCAATGAACAGTCAGGGAAGCGAGATGTATTACCCTCAGCACATGTCCACCGGTCAGGCACCGCCGCCGCAGACTGTTACATCTCCTTACACCCACCAGCACCCGCACCAGCATCAACATCCGCACCCGCACTCCCAGCCCCCCCTGTTGCAGCCCGGCCCTGGTCAGTATCCTGCTCCCCAGTACGGGAGCCAGTACGGCTACACCAATGGCCTGACGCCTCCTGCGGGACCGCCGGTTTCCAACCCGATGAACGCACCACAGCCTGTCCTGCCGCTTCCGGGCGTCAGCCAACAGGGCATGGGCGCGTCTTCGTACTCGGCTGGGTTCGACACCACTGGCCAGATTCAACCTCCTGGCATGAAGCCTCGCGTTACGGCGACGCTGTGGGAAGACGAGGGTTCGCTTTGTTTCCAAGTTGAAGCTAGGGGCATCTGTGTCGCCCGTAGGGAAGGTACGTTGCCAGGCGTTCCAACCCGGCGTCTCCCGCCCAACTGACAGTGTTTTCTCGCTAGATAATGCTATGATCAACGGGACGAAGCTACTCAACGTGGCGGGCATGACACGCGGCCGACGCGACGGCATTCTTAAGAGTGAGAAGGTTCGCCATGTCGTCAAGATCGGCCCCATGCATCTGAAGGGAGTGTGGTAAGTTGCGCCGCTCTGAACTCCACCCACCCGCCAACTCTTGCTTACCGGACCATCACAGGATCCCGTATGACCGGGCGCTCGATTTTGCAAACAAGGAGAAGATCACGGAGCTCCTCTACCCCCTATTCGTGCACAACATTGGTAGCCTGCTCTGCCCACCGGGCACCGCCGTTGGGAGTCGCACCAACCAGGTGATGGCAGCGGCTGCGCAGAGGAAACAAGATAACATGCGGCCTTCTCAGCCCGCCCCAGGGTTGCCGTCGCTGCAGCAGCACCACCACCCCTTGGCGCTGCCCGGCCCCCACTCCGGGATTCCCCCCCATCATACCGTTGTTCGTCCGTCGTTGGATCGCGCCCATTCGTTCCCCACGCCGCCCGCCAGTGCTTCGACCGTGATGGGGAGCATGGGTGGCTCGGACAACTTCCAGTGGAATCAACAGGGCATGGGCAACGGCCAAGGACCTAACCAGATCTCGATCGACACCAGCCTAAGTCATAGTGCCGCCCGCTCGCTACCTAACACACCGGCAGCCACCCCGCCCGGCTCCTCGATCCAAAGCATGCAGAACTACCCGCCGGCCACCCAGGCGTACGAGAACTCGCGCCATCTGTACCAGGCGCCGTCCGCGCCGGCGTCTTCCACTTACCCACCCCCGAACCCGGCCCCTCAAGGAAGGCCCATGTACCCGATCAACAACTACGTCAAGAGCGAGATGGGCCCCCCGTCAAATCGCGCCGCTGGCCCGAACGGTGAGCACGTCGAGACGAAGCCGGCGAACGGCATCATGCATGCCGGCCAAGCGGAGGCCGGAACGGGAGCCGAGGAGGAAGCAGACCACGAGCATGACGGCGAGTATACTCACGACAGCGGAACGTACGACCCGAGCCGAAGCTCCTACAACTACAACGCCCCCCCCGTCGCCTCATTACAAAACGAGCACTCCCACCTACCGACTGACATGTCAGGCTCCCCGCACCAATCCGGGTCCGGGCGCGCCACGCCCAGGACGGCGCCCGCCCCGCAACCCTACTATGCACCGCAGGGATACAGCACGCCGCCGCGTGTAGGGCAGACGTCGAGCAACCTGTACAGCGTCATCAGCAACGAGCGGGGATCTACCAGCGGCTCGTCGACCAACGATGTCTACGCCAGCCAGGGTGACCTATCAGGCTCGATACAAAACGGGTACCAGACCCAAGCACCAACCCTAAACGGAGTGACCTCGACGAAGAGGCGGCGGGACGATGATGATGACCAGGGTGACTTGAAGCGCCGGAAGCCCGTGCACGACGGTTCCGGTTCGATCCCGTCCCCTACGTACAATACGCAGATGGCACAGCCGGCGACGGCGATCCCATCGCAGAGGCGCAGGTGAAGCGAGACGCTCAGCCCTCGCGAGAGTTGATGCTACTGTTTGGGACTGTGAGCGTGTGCCGCCAAATACCCTTTTTGTATCCGTTTTCGAAACGAGAACCGAGCCTCCCAGCCTTGGTTTTCGGGGATGCTCCTTCGAGCTACGATTCTCTTTGTTCGATGTCCTGATAATGGTTGTATACGGGCTTGATGGATGACGGGTTGCATGGGTTTGGGTCTAATCTAATGAGCACCTCCAAGCCGGGCTCTTTTCCGCTCACTCGGCGGATGACGACCTGTTTTCAATTTCTTCTCTCGCGGCGGAAAGAAAAAGACGCAGCGCCTGCTTACGATCCTAGGCGGCTGTAAATGGTCACGACAGGGACGAACCACGAACGAACAAACCAAACAACAACAAAACCGGGAGTCCTGGCAACCCCCCGCTTCTCTTTTTTTTTTCCGAGGCGGTGGCAGGACGGGCCGGCACGAGCAGACTTCTTTTTCTGTCTTTCTTCCCGTATTCTGCTCGTCTTTTTCCTTGCTGATGACGCTTATGACAAACGACTTTGCTTGACTGCGCGTTAAAAGTTGCGGGTGCAAGGGTGGAAGCGAAGGGCACTGGTCTGGTGCCTGGTGCCTTTTGTTCTCTTGGAGATGTTGTTTTTGTCCTTGGTAACGACTTGATGAAGGGGACTGCTAAAGAAGGGCCTTCCAGCCTGAGATACACAGGGGGTTTGCCGGTGTGGTAGATTTCTTCAACTTCACGCGTTGCCGACCCAGTCGGGATGACGGTTACAGGTGTTCATAGTGTAGTGTTTCGTTGCAGTATTTACGCCCTCGCCCCCCCCGCCTTGCTTCTCAGCGCGCTCTTGCCTCAGATTGAACTGAAGCAGTTCCTTGTCAAACTCACGGTTTTTTGATTTCTTCAAAGAAATGATGATGCATGTCTCATGAAAGCGAGTCTCATTTTGTTGGCTATGATGTTCCTGTTTCAAACACAAGATTGGGAACGATGTGCCAGCTGAATAAATCGAAATATTAATTTAGTATTGGCAATAACTCGTCAGTTATATTGTGGTTTTTGTGAATGAATGCCTTGATGCTCGAAACTCCTGATAGTTTGTGTCAGGGGTTTGAACAGACAAGTCAACGGCGACGACGATGCGCTCCCCTCAACGTGAATAGGGGTAGTCACGTGATGGGTGGTTGCTGGGCCACAACCGTAAACAGCCACAGCCGGTTGCTTTCGCCGTTCATTGGTGGGGAATGCGCGCGATCGCAATAAAAGCAATTTCCCAGAAGGGGAGAAACACCCACTTCGGCACAAACCCACAACTGACACACACTCTGAAGCGCTAGACTCTGATTTGACAAACACGGAATAACGACTCGCGCGATTGATCTGAGACTCGCGCTCCGAGAACAAACGGTCGATCTGGCCAGTGGTTTCTCTTTTTTACACTCGTGCAATCATGGCCGCGCCTTTATCGCCAACCCCGAGCGCGGCGCTGAACTACTCGACGACCCCGGGGAGCCTACGCCACGGATCATTCGACGCCCGGGAACCCGCCGACAACACCGAGAACCGCAATAATAACGATGACGAAGGCGACAGCTCCTCTCCGTTTCTGTCACACATCAGGGATGAAATCACCTCTCCGACCCAGCGCGGTCCCTCACCGCCAAAGGCTCGTCCGGGATCCCGCATAATCTCGGGCAGCGGACTCTCACCGCTCAAGATACTCCAGCAGCACCAGCAGAGCCAGATCGAGGCACAGACCCAAAACCAGTCGTCGTCGCCACAACCCGCCGCCGAAGAAGTATCATCGCCCGCCAAGAGCATGGCCCCGCCGCCGTTACCGCAGAGTCCGCGGAAGTCGGCCCCGATTAAGCGGTTCCCCGTCAAGGTCAGCCAGCCGGGGTCCGCCTCCAGCGAGTCGCCGCGACGGTCCTCGGAGGAGCGGCGCTCCTCGGGCGAGCGCCAGGCGAGCTTGCCGGAAGTACGGGAGGACCGGGAGAATGAGGGGTTGAAGCACGTTATTGATATTTTCGAGGACGATGACCATGCGATGAATGACGGGCCGGATGGCGTCGATCATGACGGCGACCACACCATGTCAATGGGGCACGAGGCCGCGCACGACGAGAGCCGGATTGCCGAAGAGGACCACTCCGCGGCGGATGATACCATGATGAGCACGTTTAGTGCGTTCTCGACCGTGCCAAACCTCACCACATTCGCGAATACGCGCAGCGACAGTCCAACCAAGTTCTCGACCGCGGGTGGGTCGACCCCGAGAGCCAGCGGCAGGCCAGAGGACTCATCGGCGTCGAGGACACCGCGGGGCAACGGGTCATACGACGGCGGCAACACTACCACTAACCTTATGGATTTCACTGATCAGATGCGGTATGGGAACTACGGCGCACAACCAACACCTTCGCGGCGCGGTGGCCAGGTGGCGCCGTCGGCAAGGACGCCCAACGCGGTCGGCACGCCGCAACGCAACAATCTCGTCAACCTGCTCGATTTCGACATTCCCCCGGCACCAACCCCGCGTAGCATCCCCACCATCACCCCCCGCGAGCTGGAGTCGCTCAAGTCCGGCTTCCTCTCCGAGATCAGCAGCCTGAAGGCCTCGCTCAGCGGCAAGGAGGCCGAGGTGCTGTCCCTCAAGACGGCCGTCGGCGACGCCGAGAAGCGGGTAGGCGAGTGCTTGGAGCAGCTGCGCGAGGTGGAGGGCGTGCAGGGCGCGCTCCAGACGGAGAAGGACAGCTGGGAGCGACGCGGGCGCGAGATGGAGACGGTGCTGCGCAAGGTCAGAGAGGAGATCGTCATGAGCCAGCGTGAGCGCGAGGAGCTCGAGTTCAAGCTCGACGAGGCCGAGAAGCGCCGCGAGGCCGCCGAGATGATGGCGCAAGACGCCGAGAGCAAGATGGCGGGCATGCGCGCCGGTAAGGCCAGCGCGGAGGCCGCCGCTGCGGCGGCGGCGTCGGGAGCCGAGAACCGATCCCCCGTTCCCTCGAACAAGGAGGTTGAGATCGCCGTCGAGCGCGTTGCGCGCGAGCTGCACGCGCTCTACAAGAGCAAACACGAGACCAAGGTGGCCGCCCTGAAGAAGAGCTACGAACACCGCTGGGAGAAGCAAGTGCGCAAGCTGCAGGCGCAGGTCGACCAGCTTAACCACGACAACGACGAGCTCCGCCATAGCAACAACACGCACAACCGCGGCGGCATCGACGCGGCGCGGCTGGCCGAGATGGAGGAGGAGCGGCGCTCGGACAAGGCGCGCGACGCCGCGCGCGTGCGGGAGCTTGAGGCCGAGGTGGAGAAGGTCGAGGCCGTACTGAAGACGGTGCAGGCGGACAACGCCGACCTGCGCGTCCTGCTGGAGCGCGAGCGCGTCGAGAAGGGCGAGCTGGTCATGCTCGCCGAGGAGATGATGAGCATGCAGCAGAGCCTTGTCGCGAGCGTGCCCGAGGAGCCCGAACCCGCGCCCGCGCCCACTCCCGCGCCCACACACCACGTGCAGCAGCAACAGCAACACCAGCAGCAGCAGCAACACTACCAACCGCAGCAGCAACAACAACACCACCAACAACAGCAACACTACCAAGCCCCCCCATCGGTAGGCGCGAAGACGCCCAATAGGAGACAGTCGTCCTCGCTCGCCACCGGCGCGCGCACGCCCGGCACCGCAGCGAGCAACGGCTTCCGCATGTCGGCCGGACCCAACGCCCTCCGCGCCTCGGGCCTGCGCGCCCCCGGCGCCATGGGCTTCGGCGGCAACAAGCCCTCGGGCATCAGCGGCCCCGCCGAGAGCCGCATCGGCCGCATGGCGCACGAGCGCACCAAGAGCGCGGCGGTTATGGGTGCGCATGGGTCTGGCGGTAGTGGCATGCCGCGGCCGGGGTCGGGGCAGGGGTTGAGGAGCGGGATTATGAGCTCGATTGAGAAGATGGGGAGTGGTGGTGGTGGTGCGGGTGGTGGGAGTGGTGGGTATGGTGGGGGGTATGGTGGGGGGTATGGGTTGCGGAGGGGGGAGTGAGTGGTCAATGGTAGCTGGGCTGCTGATCATGAGGAGAGAGAAGAAGAAGGCTGTATGAGTTGATGAGTATTGATGAGGGACGGAAATCATGACTGCGCGCGCGTCTGGCTTGTTGCTATTTTTTCTTTCCTCTCCTCTTTTTTGGAGACGACGGTAAAGGGGGAGGGCTGGCGAGCCGGGTCGGCGCTTTCTTCTTGGGTGGGAGCATGTCGCATGTTTAGTTATACCTCTCTCTCACTGTGTATGGTGTGTGTTGTGTTGTTTGGTTTAGGGAGGGCCGATACAATGGCCGTGTGGTGTTCTTGAATTGTTTTACTTGATTTCGTTTTGGCGGGGGGTCAACCTCCGTCCTTTCGTGTTGGGTTGGGCAGTTCTACCATTGTGTTTGATAGGTGGCATGTGGATGGACTACTTGTGTGGAGTTGGGTTGTTCTAGGTTCAGTATTATTCCCCCCTCTATTGTTTGGTTGAAGGGGTGATGGGTGGTTTCAACCGATCGATCAAACGAATCCATAATCGTGTTCAGAAAGGGGTCATCGGTCCAGGCGAAGCAAGTAAACCGGCAGGTTTTCATGTTCACTCAACAAAAGGGCACGGCAGATTGGACATCAGACGGGCCTCAAACCCTTTTATTCTTCTTAGTTTTATTTTCACCCTACTCCAGACCCAACCTCTGATGCAAAAACGGCTTCTTCCCGTCCCCATACGCCCCCGCCACCTGCCCCTGCCCGCGCAGCTTGTACTTGTAGATCATGAGCCCCTCCAGGCCGACGGGCCCGCGCGAGTGGATCTTGTTGGTGCTGATGCCGACCTCGGTGCCGAAGCCGTAGCGCGTGCCGTCGGCGAAGCGCGTCGACGCGTTCCAGTACACGCCCGCCGAGTCGACCGCGGCCATGAACCGCTCCGCCTGCTCCGCCGACGCCGTCAGGATGCAGTCGGTGTGGTGGGACCCGCGCGTGTTGATGTGGGCGATGGCGTCGTCCAGCGACGACACCGTCTTGACGGCTAGCGTCAGCGACAGGAACTCGGTCGCGAAGTCGGCGTCGGTCGCGTCCGCGAGGGTTAGGTTGGGCGTCCCGGCCAGTGCGGCTTTGCTCTGCGCGTCGCAACGCAGCTCGACGCCTTTGGCTGCCAGCGCAGTGGCGACGGTGGGGAGGAGGGTTTGGAGGGCGGTGTCTTGTACGAGGAGGGTCTCAACGCTGTTGCAAGCGGCGGGGTAGCCGGTCTTGGAGTCGAGGATGACCTCGGCGGCCATGGACGGGTCGGCGGACTGTTCGAGGTAGATGGAGCAGAGGCCGTCGGCGTGGCCAAGGACCGGGATGCGAGTGTTGTTTTTGATGTAGCGGACCAGCTCGTTGGAGCCACGCGGGATGACGAGGTCGATGTGGTTGTCGAGGGCGAGCAGCTGGGGGATGACGTCGCGGGTGGTGACAAGCTGGATTGCGCCGTTGGGGACTTGCGACTTCTCAAGGGCGGCCGAAATAACACTCGAGATTGCGACAAAGGACTCGGTTGACTCCTTGCCGCCCTTGAGGATGGCCGCGTTGCCGGACTTGACAGCGAGGGCGGCGATGTTGGCGATTACCTCGGGGCGGGCCTCGAAGATGATGAGGAGCACGCCGATAGGGCAAGTAACTCTCTCAAGTTCAAGGCCGTTGTCAATGCGGGTGCGCAGGGTAACCTTGCCGACGGGGTCTTCTAGGTCGCGAACATCGAGGATGCCCTTGAGCATATCCTCCCACTTGCCCTTCCTGCTCAGGTCGAGGCGGGAGACGAGGCTCTGACTCAGCTTGCCATCAGCTGCGGCCTTCTGAGCCAGCTCAAGATCCCTAGCATTGGCCGCGAGGATGTCATCGCGGGCGGCAGTTAGTCCGGCGTGGATGGCTTCGAGAGCTTCGTTGCGAGCATCGGCCGAGAGAGTAGCGAGCACATGGGATGCCGACTTGGCCGCCTGGGCAGCGTCAGCGGGAGAGGCGTTGGTTAGCGACATGGCTTGGTATGTTTTGCCACCCCCGTATCTCAATGGGTTTCGAAGACTGTTTTTCTTTCTTTTTTGTTGTCGTTGCTAGAGGTGTTAGTCACCGGCGAAGCGAGGTCCGGCCCCGGAGCTAGAGCTGTGATGGTGTTGGTCAATCTGCGCCCTTTCATCGAAAAATAAAGTGGGGTTTGGTTTGCGGGGGTGGGGCAGAGCAAGGGTCCAGCAGCAGCGGCAAGCAATTCGAGACATGGGCTAGGGTTTTCCTTCTTCCTGCTCCAGAACCGCCAACTCCCATGGGTGCCACTATTGGGACAGAGTGCCTGACTAAGGGGACGGAGTAACTAGGCCGAATTAGGCTCGCTAAGCCTGATAAAGTGTGACTAAGACCTAAATCGGCTAGCCTTCACGTGACTGATCGTACCCGTCGCTCGCGACCGACTCAGTCAATCCATCCTCTAAAAACAACCTCTTCGATTGCAACGCGCAACGCGATTCAATTCAACCCGGAATCACAACAAAGTCGGCTTATTAGGGCCGCCCAGTACAGCTCTCGGGTATAGCTAGCCGTTATACTAGCTTCGGAATCGCGGTTGGGATCGTAGTTGGGATCGTGGTTGGGATCTTGCAGCGCGTCTCGCGGGCTGGAGTGAGTCGAGGGTGAGAGTTGAATCGGCGGTGCGAAGAGCGATGGCTTCAGTGTTGGTTGGCGACATGCCTGGGGGGGGGGGAAAGGCTGATGGCGGCCGGCTGAGGGCGATCGCTGCAAAATTGAGGTATACTTAGCCTAATGCGGCCGAGTTACTCCGTCCCCTTAGTGAAGCACTCCGTCCCAATAGTGACTCCCACTCCCATGCACCTTTTCAACTTCAATCCAATTCATATCGGTCGTCCAACTCGCAATTCGCCCAAACCTGACTATTTTTCCAAAGCCAGAACTTTTGTTAACTTGGAATCCCAATTTATTTTCAAGCACCAATGCCCGCTCCATAGAGCAGATGTCCATTTCACTCTGTGACCATCGAGGATTAGCCCTCACTCTGACCATTGACCATGACCACTCATTATGGACCGCCACTGCGACGTCAAATCGGCCTGAGGATGGTGACATCCCGAGTCCAGGTTCGTTATCCGAATCCCATCCGAAGGCGGGAAGGTGAGCAAGCGGGGTGCCGTCCGGACCCAGTTCTGCTGGGGTGAAATGGCTGGGCTTCTCGTTTTCGGTTTTCTCAGTTTCAATGCCGAGGAGCCGAGCCCGTCGAGGAGATAGTTGGAAGAAAATGAGTCTTCCCTTTTCCGTCGTCAACCGCGTGTCTCGTTCGAGCTCCGGTGGCTGTAAGAGAAGCTTGTTTCCCTCCATTGTCCAAATACTGATCCTTGACCGTCTCCACGCAACCCTCGGGCGGCTTCCGTGCTCAGAATGGGCCCGGTCCGGCTCGCCCCCCAGAATTCTCAAGCGGTCCCCGTCTGCATCCGAGGTCCAACCCAGAGGAAGCTTGCCCCGGCCTGCTTATTTCCGAGCTCACTGTAACTACCGTTTTCGCTCCAACAGACCCGAGACCGCGAAGGACCCGGTGTGGTTTTAAGAAGTTTTTTGGGGTTGCCATTTCTGGGTATTTTGTTCCCTTTCCTCCTGATTTTGTATAGAATCAAAAGATGTAATGGCGCTTCGAGTTATCCTCACCCTAAATCTATATATCCTTGGATCCCGCTCAACTTTCACTCAAGCAAGCCATGACGAGTGGCGAAAATATACCAGATGACAAGCCGGTCCGAGCCGAATTAGCTGACGGCCCGGCTTCGCTGTGCCCAGACGGGGAGGACCCCGGAGCGGCGCCGAGACACCGGACCCATGCCGGAGGTAAAGAGCTGCATGTACTTCCGGAGAGCAGTGAGGACGGAATAGATGATGCCATTGAAGAGCAGCAGGGGAATACGGGGGTTTCGGGCCCAGAGAAGACCAGCAGCCGTCCTCAAAGCGAGCGAGAGACGTCATCGTTTGCTGACACTAACACGGTCCCGCGCGCTCAGCGCAGGGGGCTTCTTGCACGCCTAACCGTGATACCAGAAGTCGAGGAGCCATACAAGTACAAGAATAAGACAAAATGGACCATTACCGCCATTGTTGCCTTGGCCGCTGCTGGTGCCCCTATGGGATCTGGTATCTTTCTCCGTGAGTTGACTCCCTTCAACAGACATCCGATGCCGTGGCTGATGCAACACTGTTTAAAGCTGCCCTTCCTGGCATGTCGGTTGATCTGAACGTCTCCGAGACGGTCACCAACTTGACAATATCCTTTTATTTGTTGGCCATGTCCATATTTCCACTGTGGTGGTACGTAGCCTCGATTCCGTATTCCCCTCCCTCCAGTCTCTAATCAGCAATAGGTCCTCATTTTCCGAGACACTCGGGCGCCGGACGATTTACATCGTCTCCTTCTCCCTCTTTCTTGTCTTCTCCATCGTCAGCGCCGTAAGCGTCAACATATCCATGCTTCTCGTCATGCGCATTCTCGGCGGCGGCGCTTCCGCATCTGTTCAAGCCGTGGGCGCCGGCACCATCGCCGACATATGGGAGCCTGCGAACCGAGGCCGGGCCATGGGCATCTTTTACCTCGGTCCACTGGTCGGTCCGCTCTGCGCGCCCATCATCGGCGGCGCCCTAACCCAAGGCTTCGGTTGGCGCGCGACAATGTGGTTCCTTTCCATCTACGGCGGCGTCATGCTGCTGATGCTGCTCTTCTGTCTCCCCGAGACCCTCGCCAGACCATCACCATCACCACCACCACCCGCAACTACAACCACAACCACAACCAGCAACGAACCAACCGACCCCCTCCAGCGCGTCTCAACAACCCAATCCATCAAACACCGCACCGTCAACACCGTCGCCCTCCTCAAGCGCTTCTTCATCGACCCCCTCTTGGTCGTAGTCTACCTCCGCCAACCTCCCGTCTTCATCACCGTCTACTCGGCCTCCATCGCCTTCTTCTCCCTCTTCATCCTCAACATCTCGATCCAATCGACCTTCTCCTCCCCGCCCTACTCCTTCCCGCCCATCCCGCTCGGCGCCTGCTACCTGGCCCCCTCCCTGGGGTACGTGCTCGCGTCGGCCTTCGGCGGCCGCTGGATCGACTACATCATGGCGCGCGAGGCCCGCCGCGCCGAGCGCTACGACGAGCACGGCAAGCTGCTCTACCTGCCCGAGGACAGGGCCAAGGAGAACATGTGGCTGGCCGCGACGCTGTACCCGGCCGCCATGGTCTGGTACGGCTGGACCGCCGAGGAGGGCGTGCACTTCATGGTGCCGAGCCTGGCCAACTTTATGTTTGGCCTCGGGAGCATGCTGGTGCTGGGGGTCACTACCACGATGCTGACCGAGTTTATGCCTCAGCGGAGCAGCAGCGGCATCGCGCTGAACAACTTTGTGCGGAACATCTTCTCGTGCGTCGGGAGTGTTGTTGCGCAGCCGTTGATCCAGGCGATGGGGAATGGGTGGCTGTGTACGATGGTGGGCTTGTTTGCGCTGCTGACGGGGAATGTGGCCGTGTGGGCGCTCAGGAGATACGGTGCAAGGTGGAGGGAGGAGATGGACAGGCAGTTGAATCAGGGGAGGTAAGCGGGGGTGGGTGGAGGGAAGGACATAACTAGTATTTATGTTGGAGCATGGAAGGGAGGGGAGGAGATACCCAAGTGTTGATGTTGGAAACTGCGTACATACAAAATCTGCCGTTCTTGTCTCTGTCACCAGGCTGGCGTGACAACACACCGTATGGGGGTGGTGAGCCCCCCCCCCTCCTCTTACCTCCACCTCATTGTTCCCACCACGTTGCACTCGACTTCGTGGTCCAGCGACGAATGATCTTCCCGTCCGGGAAGCCGGCAAGCTCTGCGATTGGCCGAAGACCGGCATGTTGGCTGACACAAACACCGACCCTCCCGCCCAGGGGTCGCACGGGGGGTGGGGCTATTGCCCGAAGACCCCTTGTCTTATCCCGTTGCGGGTGACTTGCATGAGGAGGAGCCCTGCGTCTTGAAGAGAAGAGATGTTGTTCGCTCAGCAAACAAAATTCGTGGCCGTCGCATTCCTCACGCACCCGAGTGAGCGCTGTCACTACCCGTCCCCCCCGTCTCCTTGACGGCCGCCCGTCTCTGCGTGTCTCTCGTCACCCCTTTGCCGCAGCCGTTTCGTTCAGACTGGTTGTCGCATCGCACACGATGGTTTCTTTTAGCGGGGCTCTTACCGCCGCCGGCTGGCTGCTTGCCGGCGTCGCCGCCACCATGGCGCATGAGCGCTTTGTCGCGGTTGAGACCGGCGCCATCTTGTCGCCGCGACAGTACCGCATGAGTCCGGCACATGCGCTGGATAAACGCCAGGGCGGCTGCAATCCAGGTTCTCATCCATGTTCGTCCTCGATCACCCCCCCCCTCCCCTTTCTCGAAGACAACCCAGCACTGACAGCGCGAACAGGCGACGACATCGGTCCACCAGGTGCGGGCATATGCTGCTCAAACAACCAGTAGTGCGTACCTCTTCCTCCTCCTCCTTATCCTCCTCCTCCCAACCACCCCCCCTCCAACAACCACCACCCAAACCCACCCCTTTTCTAACACCCCATCCAGCTGCATCGTCAACCCCACCGACCCCACCACAGCCGGCTGCTGCCGGATCGGCCTAACGTGCAACTCCCCCTGCGACGAAACCGCCTTCCAATGCGACCACACCACCACCCTCACCACCTCCGGAACCACCACCATCCCCGCCGGCGCCTGCTGCCCGCGCCGCTGCACGGGCACGTCCCAATTCGCCTGCCCCTCTTCCCTCGGCGGCGGCTGCTGCCAGTACGACCAGCGGTGCGCGACGGGCGCCGGCGGGCCGAGCTGCCTGTTCCAGCCGCCGCCGACGACGACGCTCGACCCGAGCTTGATCGCGCCGCCGGGGTGTGAGACGGGCGAGATCACCTGTGCGGAGTCGTTGGGCGGCGGGTGCTGTGATGCCGCGCGCACGTGTACGCTCATTACGGGTCAGCGGTATTGTGCGGAGGATCCGATCACGCCGACGGGGAGCGGGGTGAGTGTGGTGGATGTTGGGGATGGCGGGGGGTTGAGTGCCGGGGCGACGGCGGGGGTGGCGGTGGGCGTGGTGGTGGGGGTTGGGTTGCTGGTTGGCGCGGTGGGGTGGTGGTGGTGTGTGAGGCGGAGGAGGAGGGGGAGGAGGCAAGGGCCGGCTGGGGAGGTGGGGGAGGTGGGGGAGGGTGTTGGGGATGGGGCGAGTAGCGTGCGGCCGAGGCCGGCGGGGGTGGTTGGGCGGGTGGTTGGCGGCAGTGGGACTGGGAGGGAGATGTCGGATGCCACGTCGGATATGATGTCGCGGAGCGGGAGGGGCGGTTTGGCGCAGGATTACTTTGGCCCTGCGCCGGCGGTCGGGCCGTACTCGGACGCTTATAACCATAACGCGTCGCCTGTGACGACGCCCGGGCTGGATCGTGGTGGTGTGCCGCTGCAGCCGCATGAGCCGGGAGATATCGCCGTGCCGGTGGAGATCGACTCGAGGTTGAGGGAGGAGGGGCACACACCGGTTGGGCTGGCCATCACGCCGGACACTAACAGGTCGCGTGATGACAGGTCGCGTGAGAGCGAGGATGCCACGGAGCGGTATGAGCTGTACGGGTCTGAGATAGGGCAGGTATCCCCCACGCTGGGGTCGCCGTATGCCGGCGGGATGCCGAGTCCGAACGAACGGCCGAAGTGAGATGGAATAGTCGTTATGCGCTGAGGATCGACATGGTATACGAAGATAATGATTGTAGCAATATATCAAAACATTTCACCCGATGTCCCGACCGCACCTACAGACTCCCTCCCAAGTCTCATTGGCAATGATAACACGCTCAACTCTAACAACTTAGCTGCGCAGCAATGATGGAATAAAAATCTAAAAACCAACCTCCCAGGAACGCCATGCTTTCTATGCATAAGCAGAACATGACTCCCACCCCAATATGCCAGCAAAGAAACGCCGAACTATGCGACGGCACAGTATGCAAACAGGATCATACCCGCGTTGAGGATCCAGAAAACAAGAATAAGAAAGGATGGTAGAAACCCCGGGCTACCACATTAAACTCCCGCCGACGGAGACGGAAAGTGAAAAAAAAAAGGGGCAAAGCAACGCCGATCGTGAAGGGGAAAGGAAAGGGCAGGAAAACCAGCCAACCCAGTAATCAGGGGAACCTGGCACTCTCGCGCTCAACTGAGCACCCCCCCAAACGGCTTATACGTATCCAGATCCTTCAACAGCTCATCCACCACGCCCGGCAGATAGCGATCCACAAACAGCTTCTTATCCTCCACGGACAGCGTCGCGCCGTCCTCGCCCTCCTGCCCCCGCTCCCTCCCCTCCCCCTCCCTACTACCCCCACCGCTCGCGCTCGCGCTCGCACCAAAGGCGGTGGCCAGCTTGCTAGGGCTCCGCTGCAGCAGGCCCGGGGCGGCGGCGCTGAGCCTCGCGTCGGCGCGCGGGATGGAGGGGGTCTCGGGGGTGAGGTAGAAGTAGAGGAACTCGGTCAGGCGGAACTTGACCTCGCGGCCCGTCTCGCGGCTCTTGAACAGCGACGTGACCGTCAGCAGGCCGTCGAGCTGCTCGAACACGCGCGTGTTCTGCGGCATGTCCAGCAGCGCCACCACGAGCGTGATGATGGTGGCCGACTGGATGGCCGGGCAGTTTATTGGTTCGAGGAGGTCGAGGAGGAGCTGGTGGTGGAGGGGAGGGAGGGGTTAGTTTGGGGGGTGTGAGGTGTGAGTGGGGGTTGAAGCGGGCGGGGGAGGAGTGAAGGAGGGCGTGAGAAGGTGAAGGAGGGGGAGAACATACGTTCATGTGTACGCTCCGCGAAAAGAGGGCTTTGCTGGCTGGGTGGAGGAGAAGTGCGCCTTGGATGAGGTCCAGCGCATTGACGATGAGGAGGTCGTACTGGCCGTCGCCGCCGCGAACGACCAGCCAGTCGAGTGTTGTGAGCAGGCGCTGGGCGATGTTCCATTCGAAGCCCTCCTGGAGTTTGAAGAACTCGCGAAAGGCCGGATCGCCCGAGAGATCGGCGAGCACCTTGCGGGACGGTTGTTCTCGTTCTCGGCCATGGTCGGCGGCATGTTTCCTTGGACTACTCGGGCCGAGGAGGCAGATTTGTGCGAGAAGGCCCTCGACTTGTTTCAGGCCTTTCTTAATCTTGCCGCCGTCGAAAGACGAGAGATTGTCGAAGGCGAGTGATAAGAGCGACTCCATCATGAGAAGTGATTTATGCGATCGGGGGATGAGACTTGTTGCCGCGGCGGATGGTTGCGCGATCTCGTCGCGAATGCGCAAAACAGCCGCCGAGCCCTCGCGACACTGTTGGCCGTGATCGCGATCTTTTCCTGCCCGGCAAGAAAGTTTGGATATGTTGCTCGTCGAATGTCGGGGATAGTACCGTCAAAACAAAAATACGCGGGCGAAGACGTTGAAGCTGTTGGTGGGAAAACGGCGATACGAAAGATGAACCTTGTTGAGATGTGGTGTACAACAATCAAGACGTTACGAACGTTGTATCGGACTCGATCGGCAACCGATTGGGCGTTATCGATGGCGATTAGGACTTTGGTGTCGTAAAGAATGTAAAAAGCACCGAGTCTTTCAGACGAACCTCCCGAGTCGAGGGCTCCATGAATCCAATTTGGCGGGTTTTGGCAATGATAAACTGGGCTGGTGCCACAGCAACGGCGTGAGAACGGCTGGACCCTGCATGATAGCAGGGGATAGGTGGGCTGTTAGCAGGGATCTGCTCAACTGGGGAAGTGGGGTTCCCGTTCATGGGAGCTTTTGAGCTTCTGATTTCTCGGCCCTGCCAATCCGAGATCCGGACCAAACTTGTACAAGCAAGGGACGCGCAGAATCTGGACATTTGAAACTCTCCCTTGGAAATCTCAACGGGATAATGGGCAAGATCAACTTGCCTCGCCATTCGCCCTTTGTGCCATCATCTGAGTATCGAGCTTCAGTGTTCATCTTACCTATTCAAACTTTGAACACCATGGAATTCCAGCGAGGAGTTTGTACGAATTAGTTAACGCCCCTCTCAACATGGAACAACTGACCACTCCTCGAGCGGCGACCTGCAATCAGGGGAAGGCAGTTTTAAAATGCCCGTTGGGCTCCTACCTGGGTCACGGACCCTCGTTCTCGAACAGCCCTTGCTGCGATCCAACTCTTGACCTGTCGCCGTCGTCAATGCGCGAATGCATCAACCAGGAGTCAGTCAAGCGACGAGGGAGCTGCTAAGGTCGTCATTTCTTCTTATTATGCAGGGGTCAAACACGTTGGTTTGCGGGCGTGTCCTCCAGGACCGAGTACAAAAGCTCTCCGGCGTTTCCGTTTTCAAGCTCCGGAGTGATGAGACCGACAGACTCGGCAATGCTCGCGCGACACAACAGTTTCAAGACCCTTGATAAGACGCTCGAATTGTCAGCCAACAAGCACACTTACGTACCTATCGATGTCGGTGTAAGTCAAATTTTATCAGGCTGCGATGTCATGGGGGCAAGGTGAGCCGAGGTCCCCGCACTTGGTTTTCCACCGTTATCCGTGATCCCAATATGGAGGTACCTCTACGCGCGGTGTCTTGCGAGTATCGAGCATCGTCGTAGCTGAAGTGGAATCAGCAACCAACCAGCAGGTGGCGGAAAGAGTGTCCATATACTCTGTATGGTCACTTATTCGAATGTTTCACGGGTGGTCTCGGACTTTCAAAGTCGTACGAGTTCTTGAGAAGAGCAAGAAAAGCTAACTCTTTTTGTTGGTGGTGAAGAGAGGAGCTCGCTACTTGTTACAGAGCATACTGGAGCCTGAACACGCATGTCGTCACCTGCGTCAACCCCCAACGCGAGACCCCACCGCAGACCTGGGTACCTGACCTTCGGAAAGAGACTCGATTGCAACTCTCCGAGTCGGCGACCGATTCCTTCGAGAGCCCACATGCACATGCTACACTTCAGACGGCCACCCATAAAAGAACAGGCTGTCCCAACTGCCATGGCTGATCAAAACCCCCACCCCACCTCCGCAGCGACCGGTTCGATTCCCAACCACAACCAGAACAACAACGCCTTCTTGCAGTCACCCACCGCAATACCGCCACGCACCTCGTCTGCAAACTCGACCTTACCCCCCGCGCTCCGAACTGTACCCGAGGCCGACTGGCTTCCCGGGTCCGCTATCCCAGGCCACAGACGTCAACGAAGTCGTAAAGCCTCGGTCGGCACCACGAGCTTCCCATCTGCCACCATGTCCTCCTCCTCCTCGACCCCTCCCGACCCCAACCGCTTCGCCACCGAAGACTTCTTCCAGAACCGGCGGGCATGGTCGGAAGAGAAAGACAAGGTGCTCACGGGGCCCTTCGACTACCTCAACGGGCACCCCGGGAAGGACTTCCGGTCCTCCCTCGTCAAGGCCTTTGACGCCTGGCTAGAGGTGCCCGCCGAGTCCCTCGAGGTGATCACCAAGGTCATCGGCATGCTGCACACGGCCTCCCTCCTCGTCGATGACGTCGAAGACAACAGCCAGCTGCGCCGGGGCTACCCCGTGGCCCACACCATCTTCGGCATCCCACAGACCATCAACTCGTCCAACTACATCTACTTCTGCGCCCTCCAGGAGCTCCAGAAGCTCAAGAACCCCAAGGCCGTCTCCATCTTCGCCGAGGAGCTGCTCAACCTGCACCGCGGGCAGGGCATGGACCTCTTCTGGCGGGACACGCTGACGTGCCCGACCGAGGACGACTACCTGGAGATGGTCAGCAACAAGACGGGCGGGCTCTTCCGGCTGGGCATCAAGCTGATGCAGGCCGAGTCGCGCAGCCTGGTGGACTGCGTGCCGCTGGTCAACATCGTCGGGCTCGTCTTCCAGATCGCCGACGACTTCCACAACCTCTTCAGCAAGGAGTACACGGCCAACAAGGGCATGTGCGAGGACCTGACCGAGGGCAAGTTCAGCTTCCCCGTCATCCACAGCATCCGCTCCAACATGGGCGACATGCAGCTGCTCAACATCCTGCGCCAAAAGACCGAGAACGAGGAGGTCAAGCGCTACGCCGTCTCCTACATGGAGAGCACCGGCAGTTTTGCCTATACCCGCAAGGTGCTGGACGTGCTGATCGAGCGGGCGAGGCGCATGACGGACGAGGTGGACGACGGGAGGGGGAAGGGCGCGGGGATCCATAAGATATTAGACCGGATGGTCATCAAGGATTAAGTTGACAACAGAAAAAAGGGGGAAGGGGGTTGGGTGTTGGAGGGTGCTCACAGGAATATACCCCATTTTGATCGTTTTGCTTAGTTTCATCAATGCTGGAAGATTTAATACGCCCATCACAATTCAACAAGGTGTACGAGCCCGTTTTACAATTTACAAACCAACAAACCAACAAACCAACTAGGTAACTAGTGTACCGCCCATTCACCCCGACACAGCAACCCCCTTCCGCTTAACCAACCTCACCCACCGCCGCCTCCTCCACTGCCCGCGCCTGCCCATCCCCTCCTCGCCCTCCTCCCAACTAACCCCCGGCGTGCCCGTGCCCGTGCCCGTGCCAGCACCCCTCCCCTGCCCATCCCTCACAACCACCCCATCCTCCCCCTCCCCACCACCACCACTCCCCCCAATACCACCACCCCTTGCAGCATCCCGCTCACTCCACATATCATAAACCCACCTCTCCCCCTCCGTCTCAACCTCCACGCCGGTAATGATGCGCTCCTCCACCCACTCGCGACTCCACAGGTCCAGCGCCCACTTCTTCTCACTCCACACCCAACCCCGAGGCGGCAGCACGTCCTCGAAGAAGCGCGCACCGCGCGGCCGCTCGTTGGCCAGCCGCGCCGCTGATAATGGGTCGTAGGGCGAGGGGGAGAAGAGCCAGGGTTCCCACTCCCCTCTCTGGACTGTTGTTGGTGTTGCTGTTGGTGGTGGGGGTGGTGGGGGGTGGGGTTGGTGTTGGAGCTCGAAGATCTCGACTTCGCGGGTTTCGGGGGAGGTGTCGAGGAGGATGTCTTGGGTTATGAGGGTTTGGAGGGTTTGGGTGGGGTGCGTGAGGAGGGGGTGTTGTTGTTTGGGGGGGTTGGGTTGGGGGGTAGTGGGTTTGGTTGTCGGTTCCTGCTGTTGCTGTTGTTGCTGTTGTAGGGGGTCGGCTGCGGGGGAAGGGGATGGAGGGGGTTCGAGGTATTGGAGTTTTGCTCGCTGTAGTAACCTGGCTACTGTTGGGTGGCTTGACCAGATGGCTGCCCAGCCGCCGACGAGGGCCAGGGCGCGGAGCGGGAGGAGGTGGGCTGCGATGAGCATGAGGAGGCAGCCGGCGAACAAGAGGACGAAGACGGCCGAGGAGAGGGCTTCGTCGGAGAAGTTGGTCTTGGGGACCACTAGCGCGACGATCTTGTCGTGGGCCACGCTGAAGTCTTCCATGACGTTCTGCAGGTCGCCCATGTTGCGGAAGAAGTCGTGTGAGAGCTCCTTGGTCGGCTTGACGGTGCGGGCGGGCGCGAGGGGCGGGCCTCGTGGGGAATAGCTCATGTTCCGGACGCGGTCTGCGTCTGGCGTCGGCGCCGGATGCCGGGCGATGAAGGAGGGCACTAGGATACCGAACAGAGAAATGGCGAGCGGGAGGGCGAACAGGAGGTAGGGGTCTAGACACACAAAGGTGTAGACGGCGAGAAAGGAGAGCGTATGGGTCGGCCGGCGCCAGGACAGCAGGCGGAACGCCCGGGCCTGGAACTTGAAGACAACACCAATGCGGGCGTTGAATCGTCTAAAGTTGGTAGTCATGAGAGGGAGCGAAAAGCCTGGCCGCTTGGCGAAGGGTATATCATCACCGGTGACATCTGGGACCCGGCCATGGCCCTCCTCGGCGGGTATTACTTGGGACACGAGCCTGCGGGCAGTTTTAGCCTAGGCTCAAGTCATAGGTAGTCACGGAGGTTAAGGGGTCGTCACTTTTCCAAAAGCTTGTCCTGGATGTTGGCGGCGCGGAAGATGCCACTGCGCAAACCCCTTCGCTTCTTCGCCGACTCGGGGTCAGCAGTATCGGCGGCGTCGGCGGCGTCAACTGTGTCAAGTTCGTGTTGCCCGTCATCTTCGCGGCTCTCAGATTCCGGAATGGCTGCCTCCTCGATGACATTCAGGAAACTGGTTGCATAGTCCTCCATGGTTTGTGTCGTCTGATCTATCCAACAACCTCCTCATGTCTCCCTTGAATATTCAAGGTTCCCTTTGGAAACCCTCCCTCTGTTTCTACTTCCTCGCGCTGAAACGGCTGAGGCGGCAACAAAACGGCGATTCAGTGTATAAGCGTTTCAAAAATGGATATAAGTCGGCTGTAATTACCGCTCACCATGAAAGAAAAATACAAGAGTGAGATGAAGTTGGTTGTTCAATATGTTGATTCATCACCACCTGCAGTGAGTGATGAATGGATGATGTGACGACAGCGGCAGAGGGCGCAACGGCCAAGCAGGCGCTGTAGCACAGTGTCAGTGTCACATGCCAGCAACGGCGGGGCAGTGACGCCACCCAGTGCGATTTCTGGGCGCGCCTTCGCCTGCATCCTCCTCGACCGCCGAAGAACACCCGCGTCTCTCAGAACCGCCTTCCCGTCCGTGGACTCGTATATATGCGAGAAGCCGCGGGCGGGCAGGAGTTAAATGGGCATTGTTTCCCTCCCCGTTCGCAGGTTCCGCCCGGCCTCTGCTGCTTGTGATTTCGGGTCGTTGCAGCGGCTGAAATTTCCTCTAATTTCTTGCCTTTAACCTTTTTTTTGCTTCTGTCATCTTCATGCGAGGTCTTGGAAGCGAAATTATGGCAACCATTGGCTTGTTGCTGATCCAACTTTGACTGAGACAGACGCCAAATAATTAGTTACAGATTAGTTACGAATACATGAGTCTGTTCTGCTAACAGCCTGCGTTCCTCGATCCCTCGAAGAAAGACGGTAATCTGGATAGCTAACTAGTTCCAGGTTAGATCACTACTCGAGAGAGCCCGCGAATTGCCAGAGAAATGGTAATATTATCGAAGCAGATCCGACCGGAAATAACCAACTAAAGAAATGCGAGATCGGGTTGTCGCATGAAGAAAGGCCAGGCTGCCAGGGTTGGAGAGGCGGATCCCGAAACCATCCATACCTTAATAGGACTCGTTAAGCAAACAAAACACTCAAGGGCCAAGTGATGCCGTGCCTTGCGAGAGCCATCCATTGGCCCTGATGTCCCAATGTCCGGCAGATTTGGTCAGTCCCTCGAATGACAGCTTTGCAAGCTATGGAAAAATTAGTCGGAGTTCATGGTTCCATTGTTCGACTGAGTTATCAGAAGCATGGAAGGAGGGTCCTCGATGTTTGGAAATTGCCCTTGCCAAGCCGTGATGCATCTGCAAACTGGCCCGACCCCGCCAAACAACCGTTGGCCCTGCGTCCCTGCACGCCCAGAGAGCGCTCCTTCCCCGGCCACCTCGATGTGGTGATGTGTTGGCATATTCTTCCAGGGACGCTTTCCGTGCGGTTGGTGACGGGCGGTTCCGGAGCTGGTGCAAATCACCATTCCTATCCGATCTGACACGAGCAATACAACCTAAAGTGTCCAGATTGACTGCCGACCTATGTTTTGCGCAACGTCTAACCAGTTAAACAACAAACACGAATAGATATAGTTACAACGTGCAAGGAGATGGCACTCTGCTGCACGTGGCGGTATTACACAAACTGACAGACGGACCGCCGCACAGAGCTCCTGCCAGCACCAGGGAGGATAACTACCGACTGTTCTGCTTTCGACTCTCCGGGCAGTCTGCAAGTCTTCGTCAGAACAGCACTGCTGTCCTAAAGTTATTGGATCTGGAAGCCGGTCTCCTTTTCTTGACTCCACTTGACAATGGGGCCCCTGAACGCACGCTCCACGCCTGGGTTCTGGGGTCTGCCTGTTGCCCCGTGAAAAATGCGGTTGTTGAGAGTTGCGCCTGTCGCGTACCGTTCAGGTACCGCCTAAGAAGTGCACCACCCTTGACTGCGGACCCAGGGACCCAGGGACCCACCAACCCACCGCCAAAATCATCCTGCAACCCAGCAAGAGACAACCTGGAAGCTGTGTTTCTGTCCCAATTCACGCCTTGCCGGCGACCCGACAACCGACGAGCAACGCGAGACGCCATTCCGGGCTGCACCGCAGCTCTCCCCCCACCCACAAAACAACCTGTGCCTCGACACATTCGATTCCTGCATCGCGCTACCGGAATGAGGTAACCCTCCGATTGCTCTCAGCTCCCTGACCGGACTGAGCCTTTGGACGTGGAACTCCCTTTGGATTTTGGGGTCCGACTCTGCGCCGTGGATCCAGACCGAGACCGACACCGCCGGGCCTCCGCTCCTCCTCCTCCCCGTCGTATCGCTGCCGCCATCCCGGCACGTCGCGCTCATTGAGCCTCGCTGCTCCCTCTGACCGCCATCTCGCGCTGTGCGCTTCCCCTATGAACAGAGAGCGCCTCGTTCCCGCTGGGCCCAGACGGGAAAACCAGTCCCCTCCGAGGTACGCTGCACCCCCCCGTTCCCCAAGGAAGGGCCCAATTCCCCTCTCGCCCATCACCATCATTGTAACCGTTATCGTCATCGTCATCTGATCCGCCCGTCTGGGCGTTACCCGATGTCCTTGTGCAACGAGTTTGCTGACGTTGCTTTTCGTTTTGCAATCCAGGAGGTCTCGCAACGCCAGTCCCACCAAGATCGGCTCTTTCCACCGACCCACAACCGACGCTCCGATGCTCAGCGCCTCGTCCTCTAACAATCACTCCTTGTTCTCGTTTGGCGGCAGAAATGGCCTCCCCGACGGCGTGACCGATCCCGCCAGCTCGTTCGAGTTCCTCCCCTCCGTTAGCTTTGACGATCTGCAAAGCAGCTTGGAGTCGGCCTCGACAGACTTCAAGCTGACCCAATTCCCGTCGCCGACCGGCCAAGGGCCCATCCTGGGGGGCAACGCTCTCGCAGGACACAACATGGTGGAACGTCCCGACATGACGCGGAAGGCCACGAGTAACCATGCTCCCGTGCAACCCGCTATCACGCGTTCGCGAACTGGCTCCATCCTGCGGAGGCCCAGCACCTCGAGCCGCCAGGTGAGCCTGACCTCGGCCGCGCCCCCCAGCAACCCGGGCGTGCCAAATGCCCCAACTGCCCCGGCCGCCATGCGCTCTCGCCGTCAGAACCACTACCCCCCGGTATCCAATGCCAGCATCGCGAAGCCTCCCAGGAAGTCGACCGGAGATGTCGGGCTCGGAGCCGAGTTTGAACCTCGCAAGCGGAGACCCAGCGTGACATCCTTGTCAGATAGGAATGGGCTGGAGCCTCCGACGAGGGCTTCCATTGATAGTGGGGCCCGTCCCACGGGTGAGTTTTTGCGGGCTCAGGCCAGTTCGCGAAGTTCCAAGGCGCGATCTGTGCAGCCCCCCGCACGAGCCAGCCACGCCATGTTGTCCCCAGACACGAACAGTCTGTCGCTAGACCCCAGCCACTTATCGACGTCATTGCCTCGATCGCCGAGGGCCGCCGCCAAAGGCTCGAACCAGGCTGCTTCGAAGCGCATGTCGATGATGCCCGGCACACCTCAACTCCCACATGCTACAGGCCTGGGCGCGAGAACCATTAGCCCTACCGACACGAGGCGGATGAAGCGGCTGTCACTACACCATTCTCAGAGTCCGATCCCCACCCCAGTCTTGCCACACCCGCCGCCGCTATCAGCCGCCGATGTCCGCTCTGCATCTCGCTCTCCCTCCATGCTCCCGCGGAAGATATCGACACCTTGCTCCTCGCGGACGACGCCCGACCCAAATAGGAAGTCTTACAGTTCTGGCCTCTCGGTCGCCTCCAATGCCAGCCTCAGCACGACAGTACGGACATCCACCGCATCGGTCCAACAGCGCAACTCGCAAACTGCTAGCTCGCGGTTGCCCGCGCCGAAACCGCTGGCCACTCACAACTCCTCGAGCCATGACGACGATGAATATGTTCCGCCGGTCCCCGCGATACCCAAGGCATACGAATCACCGAAGGAGGCGTTTACCGACCCCGGCTTTTTTGACAAGCGAAGGTCCAACCTGGCGTTTGACGCCAGCAGCATTCATAGCACCTCGACTGGGAGCATGTCGGCCGCGTTCAACGAAGGGGCGTCGGGCAAGGTGCAGCGCAGGCCCAGCAATCGCAAGTCGGTTCATACTTCCAAGTTGGATATGGAAACAAAAGCGCCGGCGCAGCAGTCCAAGAAGACGTTGCAACCATTAAGACTTCCACCCATCACGCTGGGCCCGCTGAGCACTCCCACCGCGGCCAAAATAGCTGCGCTCCAGGAACAGGGCTCCTCGGAGAGGAACCTCTCGCCGCCACCGTCTAGGCAAATCGTGAAGACCCCGACGACGCCTATGACGGCGTCAAAAGGCGCCTTCTTTTCTAGGTCGAGGCCTCAGGAACGGTCCGACGTTCAGCACCTGCGAAGCAGCACCTCGGTACACCGATCCAGGCGGGAATCACCGCCGGAACCAGAACAGGAACCCGCGAGCTCAACTGATTCTTTCATGGCCGTCAAGAACGGACAGCAGAGATCGGGACCATCCCCCTTCCTCAGTACCTCGCTGCCGAAGGGCGGTCATATGGAAGCGGCGTTCTTGAAGAGGTCCAAAACAGGCGGCGATTTCACCGCGCCACTCGACGCGGCTCCAGATGCCGCAGCCCCGACCCATCAACACGCCAAACCGTCAGGACCCCGGGCGCCGAAGACCACCAAGACGAAGCCACCCAAATCCCCGCCTCCACTTTCCAGTCCAGACGAACCCCAAACCCCTTCTTCCATGAGCTCGCTAAGGAGGAAACTGAGCTTGTCGTGGAAGCGGAGTGCCTCTAAGAACGGCGGCAACCACCCCCAGGGTGAGAAGGGCGAGTCCAAACCCGTCAAGCACGATTCCATGCCACCCCCGCGGATTCCCGCATCTGCGACGATGAACAGTCTCCCCGCCGCCAAACCCCCAAGCCCCACCCCGTCGACCAAGTCGAGCGGGACAGGAGGGTATCTGGAGTCAAGAAGGCGGAAGAGCTCAGCTTCAAGCCTGAACGCCATTGTGGCACAGGAACAGCGCGGACGCGGCGATGGCGGAGCGAAGAAGGAATCGACACTTGGTACTGTTTCTGAGCGCACCGCCATTCCTCATAATTCGTCCGTGGTACAGCGGATTCTGAAGCCTAGGCCGTCGACCGCCGTGCTGCGGCACCACGATGTTTGGACCGGCGATCTCGACAACTACGACCTGATCGCCGAGGAGGAAATGAAGAAGCTCGGGATGCGTCGCAAAGATACGGAACTGGCAGCCCGGACCCTGGATGCGCTCCGCAAGCGTGCCAGTGCCAAAGAGCGTGTTAGCCCTCAGGAAGCGATTCGGATTGCCGTACTCAACATCTACGAGCGGGGCGAGATCGTGGACTACAAGGATGTCTACTTTTGTGGCACGCAAAATGCGGCCAAGGTTGTTGGGGACCCCCAGTCCGACGGTCCTAACTTTGGCTATGATGACGAGCGTGGGGATTACACCATTGTTCCGGGAGATCATCTTTCCTACCGGTACGAAATCATCGACGTCCTCGGGAAGGGAAGCTTCGGGCAGGTGGTTCGCTGCATCGACCACAAGACGGGTGTTCTTGTGGCGGTCAAGATCATCCGGAACAAGAAGCGGTTCCATCAGCAGGCTCTGGTTGAAGTGAACATCCTGCAGAAGCTGAGAGAATGGGTAAGTCCATGGTGGAAGGCGGTATCTTTGTTGATGCAACTAACAATGCATATTAGGACCCCCAAAATAAACACAGCATGGTGAACTTCACGCACAGCTTCTACTTCCGTGGCCACCTGTGCATCTCAACCGAACTCCTGGATATGAATCTTTACGAGTTCATCAAGTCCAATGCCTTCCGGGGCTTCTCGCTCAAGATGATTCGCAGGTTCACAAAGCAGATGCTCAGCTCTCTCAACTTGCTCAAGCAACACAAGGTCATCCACTGTGATCTGAAACCAGAAAACATCCTTTTACGGCATCCTCTACACACGGAGATAAAGGTCATTGATTTCGGCTCGAGCTGCTTCGAAAACGAGAAAGTATATACGTACATCCAGTCCAGATTTTACCGCTCACCCGAAGTTATCCTGGGCATGACTTACGGCATGCCCATCGACATGTGGTCGCTGGGGTGCATCCTGGCTGAACTCTACACGGGTGTGCCCATCTTCCCGGGCGAGAACGAACAGGAGCAGCTGGCATGCATCATGGAAGTCTTCGGCCCGCCAGAAAAGCACCTGATCGAGAAGTCCACCCGCAAGAAGTTGTTCTTCGACAGCATGGGCAAGCCGCGCCTCACCGTCTCATCCAAGGGCCGCCGTCGCCGCCCGTCGTCCAAGACGCTCCAACAGGTCCTCAAATGCGACGACGAAGCCTTCCTCGACTTCATCGCCCGCTGCCTCCGCTGGGACCCAGACCGCCGCATGAAGCCCGAAGAAGCCATCCGCCACGAATTCATCACCGGCCAAAAGACCTCGGTCCCCGTCCCCCGCGCCATCCGCGACTCCTCCCCCAGCAAACGCATCAACAGCCTCAACGCCCCGCGGCCCCTCCCCGAACCCCCCGCCGCCGCAAAAACCACCGCCTCCCTCCGGTCCCGCGACAACGCAGCCGCCGCGGGGGGCGCCTTCAGCGTCCACGGCGGCGGGAAGTCCAACGTCCCGCCCTCCACGGGCACCACCCGCCGCGTGTCGGGCATGAGCGTCTCCTCAGGCGGCGGCGGCGGCGCCAAGCGCACCAGCACCGGCGCGAACGCCGCGTACAATGGCGTCCCGGGCTCGCTGAGCAATAGTAACCTGCCGAGGGCGTCCGCGCGGACGGTCAGCGGCAGCATGGCGACCGGTCTGGGCGCTGGCGGTGCTGGGGTCGCGAAGCAGGACCTTGCTGCTGCTGGGGCGACGGCGGCTATGAGTCGGCGTGCTTAGGTGGGGTGCGGTGGGGCGTTGTTGTTGTGATTGGTGGGTGGGTGGGTGCATGGCATGGCATGGCATGGCTGGTTTGCGGGGAAAGGGGGGGATGTGGTCGGGAGTGGTGGTGGTGGTGGTGGTGTTGGCTGGTGTTTGAAGGATGATGTCCTTGTGGTTGTTTGGTCGATGGGGTTTGGTTTGTTGGGGGTGGGGTACCTTATGAGGCGTACGGAGTCATGTCTACCTGGGAAAAGAGGAAGGGTCGTGTAGACGTGTGTGTTGTGTGTTGTTGGTGTTGTGTATGGGTTTGACGTTTTGACCCCCCCCTTACCTGGCTGGCTGGTTGTTGGTTGGTTGGTTGGGTTGGGTTGGTTCATGGTTGAGACGGACGGACGGACGGATGGATGAACGGATGATGATACCACATTTTTTGTTCAGCCTTCCTTTTTTCTCTCTAGCACCTCTTGCATGGCATTGCGCGTTATACACACTCCTGGTTCTTCTTTTGTCTTGGGCCTGTCCTCCTTGTCTCTTCGATTGCTTGGTTGGATGGGGGGAGGGAGGGAAGGGAGGGAGTCGGAGGCTGGTTTGCTGTTTGCGTCTGTGGCTACCTACTGCGGCTGTCGCGCTCTTATGTTACTAGATATTATGATGCGGTGTCGTACACTGCGCCTACGTTATTACATTACACTATTGGGGTTCTCCCGTATCCACTACGCTGTTCACTTGGCTCCGATCTTGTCGTTCATCTGCGGGTCGTCACTCAATGGGCAGACTTCTCTCTGCCTTCACAAGAGATGAGGGAGGGAGGAGTGAAGTGGGTGAGTAAAGGGCCTTTACGCCACACCAGCGAGAGGGGGCCGGAGGGAATCGGGGGCCGAGACCGAAGGGTCGTTGCCTGCGTCTATTTACTTTCTTGTGTGACCCGACCGGCTTTTTATCCGACAGGCTCTGTAGACGACCTCGAAGCTGCTGTGCCCTAGGTTCCCTTGGCTCGTGATTCCCTCCCTTCCTGCTCTCGTCTCGGGCACGGCGGCTTCCGGAGATAGGGCCGCGGCTAAGGCCGACCGCCGCATTGAGGGATGATGCCCAAGCTTATCTTCTAGTTGTACGTCGTCTCCGGCGGGAGCCGGTCGGTGATATCTCCGCGAGGAGCAGCAAGGCCGACGGCTCAGCGGGTCCTTGCGGAACGGAGGATCCTCGAGGATCAGTCCTTCGCGCCTCTCGCGCCGTCCCGCCCGCATGTATATTGGCGTGCTCCGTCTGGCAGTTGGGGCTCTGGGAATGTAGCGGCGGGTACCGGTACCTGCCTGGGTCGAGAGCGTAGACCGAAGGGTCTATCTAGGTGTGGTGGGACATGGGAGCTGAAAGGGCGTTGTGAGTGCGCCTTACGAAGCAGGTGACTCCCTTTGCCGCACCCCAAGGTTGGCACCAACGAAGGCATCGAAGTTTGTCCTCCATCCATCCTCCTTCTCCCCGCGTTCACCCCCGATTACATCATTTGTCAATATTAACCGCCTTTTTCCGCTATTGGCAGACGTTCGTACGCGTCTCGCCCCCTGGTGAGATCCCCGCCGCAGATTACCCCCCTATCAGTATCATTCCCAGAAACACAGCCGTTTTCTAAAGATGCTAGAGATTCTTTGCTATAGCTTTTGACTGTATACGATTGTGGGATAATGCAAAACGGATAGGTGTCGAATGAAGGGAGACATTGCCAACACCGGACAATATGAGTCTGTCCATTTATACGATCTCCTTGGAAGTATGGAATAATAGACATACGATAGGAGGCCCAAGACTATAGGACAAACCGTCGGTCATATTCGAGCAAGGTGAAGTTCAGACAGCCGTGAGAGGTCATGGAGCCAAACATGACGAAAGAAAAGATTGACCATTGGTAGAGGAATGCGCCCCCGGCGCTAAACTGTAATTTACCAAACCGTTGAGTCACTGATCATGTGTTTCCATCCAGGTGCATATGGTATGATGGGACCTTTATCACAGTGTACGTAAAAGCCTTGCACAACGCCGGGAAGAAGATCATCCGGACGCAAAGATATAGCCTACCATTGATAGACTACCTGGGCAAACATTTTGATGTCGAGACGCCGTAGGGTCTGCAATGAGCGAGGCACAGTCGTAGGTGTCCCGTCGGTTGAACGTAGGAACCGGGAATGTGCGTTCGGTTCCGGGCGGGCTTCCCCCCGTCGCTTGCCCGGTGACGTCTTGAGGGATTCCGGACTGATCCTCCATCCATGGAGTTCGTATTTTTTAGGCGGCACGATAAGGGCTCCCTCATTCTCGTCAATATGAAACGCGGTCGATTCGAACTCGAGAGAGATGGTGAATACAGGAGGGTACCGCGGGGGCAGGGTTTGGGGGCCAACTCAGCCCTATCTCGTCTGGTTTGTCCTTCGTGTTCCACGTCCCGGAGCGCAGACGTTCGTGTCACGAGTTCGGGCGACCCCTGCGAGAAACAATGACATTATATCTGCCGCCCGAGAGTGTGGCGCACAACGGCGCGAACCTGCACGACCCTGCAAATCTCGACCCTACACGACGAAGACTTTTGGTTCTCTTTCGTCCGCAGATCGGAGCAGGAATCCCAATAATGTAGCACAGAGAGCCGAGGCTGGTGATGGGCAACAACCCCGCTGAGTACTAAAAAAAAGGGGGGTATGCACCATCAATGCCTTACCATGACTTGTGACAGGGCGGGAAGAAGACGAAATGTACGAGTTGCGGCGCCCCGACGGTGGCTTGGTGGTTCAGGTGTGTTGTGGTACGCAGCACGGCCCGGGAGGATCCCGCTCAAACCCGGGCTTGATCCGGGCTGCTGGTCGGTGATACTCCGGAGTGTTGCACAGTATATCCAATTTGCTGTGGGATCTGGGGCATCTGTGGTGACACAACACTAGCGACTGCGGGAAAACGGACATGTCTTCGGTGTCGGTTATCCAATTGCCCCAGCCCCGCCTCAAGTTGCTTGCAACCTGGCGCCTGGTCCCCGAATCGCCCGCCAAGACGGCTGAAATAAGAGACCTATGTTGGGGGGATAACTTCAAGGTCTACCTCGCATCCCGGCGGGCACCGAACGAGTTGTGAAAGGTAAGGTAGGACCACCCAAGGCTCATCCTCCACTCGGTGAGGATATGGGCGTGGCTGAGCGTGAGGTCCGGAGAAACATGAAATGAATTGACCTTCAAGGCGGGGGGCCCCGACGACGGATGGAAACCGAAGACGATGGAATTGGCCAGTTTGTTCCGGTTTTTGGCGGGTTCAACGGTTTGCGCAGTCGCGACGTTGACGTGCCTTCTCGGTGTTGCCAGACGAGGCTGCTGCCTAAGTGCTTGCCTAATCTGTGCAATCGACCAAGGCAGGTTCGTCCTGGGCTCGAGTGACTCGTTTTGTCATGTGGTCGTCGTCGATTCCAAACTCAAGATCGAGTTCCACTTTCCGCGCTTCCGAACTCCGAGTCTTGCTTTTCGCTCCGCTCCCGCCGGCGACGCCGTGATTGAGCTCCGGATTCGGGGCCTTTCGATTCGCTGCGATTCCGGTCTGGGGATCAAACCGATGGAGAAGCAACTGGTGACCAGTCACAGTCATACATCACGAGGCTGTGCTGGGAGCTAATACTGCAGAGTTCATTGTCAGGCGAGCCATGGTTGGTCCAACGTCAGAACCGAATGCCGCAAGCTCTGCGGTCGACAACTGGGTTCCGGCCCTGGTCGCTCGAGCGATTGGCTGGCTCCCGAGTCTCCCGCATCAAGCCCGTCCCCACATCGTGGACCGTCCCACCGGGCATCGACAATCGATCAGCTACGCCAGCGGGACCCGAGGAGAAGGATGAATAGGGTTCTCGCAAGATCCGGCCCCCTGATTGACTCGTGCGGAATGCTGCGTGAATATCCGGCGAGGCACATCGCAAGGCTCAACAGCTTCCACCGACGTGGACACGGTCAATATGGGAGGCCATCGATTTTTGACCAAGGGCCGGGTGAACAATTACCGACTTGGCAAATCCATTCACGACAACCTCCTCCGTTCCCGAGGTGTGCCGGATGTCGTCACCGCTCTCGGTGTGCACGGCCGCCCTGTCAGGGAGGGCCGTGACCAGATCGTTCGTCATCGCACCCCGAAGGAACCGAGAAGCTCAACCGTAGAGACCGAATTGCCTCTATTCCCGTTCCATCTAGGGTCCAATTCGACACCCACCACCCAATTCTCTTTTACGCGCACCTTTGAGGCAGCGTGTAGTTATGGGCGACTGCTCGTTAGCCACACACAAGACATGTGGTTGAAGCGGACGCCTGCTTCGAGGCGGGCTGTATGGTATTACAGTACGGTGTACGGTACAATATCATGCCCCATACGCCGATCCCGAGATCGGTAATGTGGTCCCAATCAGACGGTCCAGGGGAGCAGCCACAACGGGCGATCATGGTAACCCTTCCTGCAGCACTGGCCTCCATTGGGCGAGGTACGGTTTTGTCACGACTGCTCAACAAGCCCGACGAGCCGGATCAAGATGATTGCATTGGTTTGAAAACCTCTGCATGAGATACCCGCCAGGGTCGATATGTCGAGGGTCGTCGCGCGTGGATGGCAGTGTGCAGAGTGCAGACCTCCCCGGTTCCAGTTTCAAGGTTTCCGGTGGGGCTCGACACACGGGATGCCGAGAAACCCTGACGAGCCGTACCACCACCCAATGATGGTTCCACCAGCGCCCGAAACGCCGTGCTCTGTTCAAGCCGGCGCCGGGAATCTAACGGGTTTCGTCCGCCGCCGCCTGCTGTCAGCAGAGGCCGCCGTCTCCTCTCACCAGGGACTGTCACCGGCACTGCAACCAAACACGCCCAATTAGACGCGCCTTTTGCTCTTTGTTTCATCTCTTGGCGACCGTTTCGGCCCCGTAGCAGCACGTCACCCAGGGGTCTGGCCGGATCGTGGGCCATCGAACATCCATCAACACCCATCACCAACAACCGTGCGTGCCGAGGAAACAGCGGCCGACCCGCTCGCCGAGACCCGGCACCTTTCTGGGATTGTCTCCCATGGGGGGGCCAGGTTTGTCACGGGGGTGCAGCGCCTTGCCAGCCACACCCCGTGAGATTTGCAAGGGTCGGTGAGAAAAGCCCGCGCCACGTTGCGGGCCGTTTGGTGGTTCAGCAGACAAGGTTCTGAGAACGGTTGAACGTAACGGTCTGTCTGTCACCTTGGGCGGGAAACCGTGCCCCGCAGGAAGGAAGCAGATGGGCGCCGGCAGAACATGGGCAGAGCTGGCGATCATGGGATCTCCGTTTGCTGGACACGGGTTCGGCGAGCCTCACTTACATTGAGAACTGGCGGGGCCGGTCTGCCAAGAACCCCGGCCGGCAGTCCTCTCTCTCCACATCCGGGCGATGGATGGGTCCCCACGGTTGCCTTCCGAAGGCGCCACATCCCTTCCGAACACGAGCCAGCGGGATGATGTTTGATTCCTCGGGGTTGCCCTTCAGTCAGGGCAATTCAATGAACACACCAAACGGCGGCACACAGAGGAGCAAGTAGCAAACCAACGGAGCCAACCCGCCCGGGATCGCGGCTTTCCGGCGGCTTGAGCCGCAGCTGCTCGCATTCCTGCTTAGCGAATTCGACTTGCAGACCGTCTTCGGTCGACGTCGTGTCACTGTCGTACTAAGGTTGTGGCACCCGTGTGCCTGCATCGCAAGTTGACCCGGCGCCGCAGGTGTTGTTCCGACGGGACCCCAATACCTCAGTCCTCGACAGTTTGACGGACGGTTTGACGGACAGTTTTGCGGACAGTTTGGCATTCCGCGCGGCAGCGACACTGTAGGACCGCTGATCCGGCTGCTTGCGAAGACACTTTACCACTTGGTTTCAGGTGCGACACGAGAGACGTGTGCAGACGTTCTTGACGTCAGCGTACCCCCTGTGCCGTTTTCCATTTCTGGACGCAGCCAGACCGTCAGATGGATGCTGGGAGGCACTTGATTCGGCGGTTTCCCGTCTGGGTCGTAACCGCACGGTTAGTCACGCCGCGGCGGGCTGTCGCCGGTTCGCCCTCCAGTGAGAACGCGGCGTTCCGTTTGGGCGGTTTGGGGCATCCACCTCAGGCGCTGCGGCACTCCCACTCGTTAGGCGAGTGCTTGGGGGGCACAACCCTAGGACAATGTGCGCAGCGCAGCGCAGCGAGAACCCCAGGACGTGTCCTCACAGGGGGGTACCCTTGTCGGCTCCTGTGAGGACCTGGTTTTCGCGGCACATCTGCGAAGCCTTGGTGGTCCTCGGTTTCCAACTCCACTTTAGCATCGTAGCGTCGTGCGCACCTGCGAGCAGCAACTTGCAAGGCTGCACCACACCTCAATCGGAACCCGCAGAGCTGCAGCCATGGGAGCTCCCCCCGTTCCTGCTTCCCAGGCGGGCGGCCCACACACCCTCCCACTGCGCCTTTGCATACTTGGTACCGGACCGTGACACCAAAACAGTCGCAAAGTCGAGGACGTACCGTACCGTACCTGTCCCAAGGCCCCCCCCTCGACCTTGTCGTCCCTGCGCCTTCTTTTGGGACTGCATCCTCTGCATTAGCCTGCATGCCGCAGATGATGCCCCAGTCATCAGTCACTCCGGTTTACCTGGAACCCTACTCCATCTGCAGTGAGCGTCCGGCGTCACTGCTGCCTTCACGCCGCAAGGGCTCCCAGCCAGTCCAAGGTACTCGGGAGTCGGATGACACCGCGAGAGCTCTGCCGGCGCCTGGGGCCTATAAGGCTGCCATGGGTCCCTCTCGGTCTGTTGACTGATGAGTCTACATCACAGCCTTCTCGTTGACGGGTGCAGTGCCTGATTACTCATTTTTTCCTGTTTCGTTCTTCCTTGCTTGCCGTTCGCTTTCAACTCCGTTTCTGCGGTCTTGCTCTGCCCCGTTCCAGGTTGCTCCCTCCCAGTGTTGCCTGAGCCGCGTTCAAGGTGCTCATATTTATTATATACTCTCGCTCTCTTGCCCCCCATCTTCCCTACCAGTCATTCACAAACTTGCACATCATCCGATCACACCATCACATCACATCTCGGCCACCTGCTCTGGCCAACACCACCACAAGACTCACATCCCGCCGTCACAACCCGCTGTCACATCCCGCGCGCCTACAGCTAGCCGACATCCAACATCCAACAACATCCAACACACGCACTGCTGCCTCCCTCTCGACAAACCACAGCTCAAACCAGGCAGACACAAGATCCATAAGAGGAGGCGTTCACCATGTGCTACCAGGTAGTCGAGCTCTACTCGGCATGCCGATGCCTCTACTACCAGCACGCCGTTGACCGGTGTGCCGCCTACGGCCGACCCGGCCACGGCATCCAGAGGCGGACGATCCTGGTTGGATACGCCTGCAGCGACCACACATCACACGCCAGCGGATACGACTACGCCTATCCCTCTGAGTACTCGGATTCGGGGTACTACTCGGGGCACTCATCATCCAAGAGCTCGCGGGGCCACTACCGGTGAAGAGTGTTGTCTTCGATGATGGGCTGCTACTCTCGGCATTCGCCGCCGCTGGAACGCTTCAAACTCTGGGCCTGGGTCGGCTACCTCTACTCATTCCGGGTGAGGTCGGCGATGCTTGCCCAGCCCCCTTCCCAGCTCTCATACCTCTTCGTGGGCTACGACCGCTTGCTATCGACATCAACTCCTCCCGCCATCAGCTGACTAGCGGGCACGGTATTCCCGTCGGACACCACTCTCTTCACGAATGCCAAACCAGGATTGGACACGCAGTTATGTCATCGAAGACGGGTACTTGGGTCAATACGAAGACATGGAACCTGGAGGAAAGCGCATGGATACGAGGCACACGACGATGGTTCCCTCGGGAACGGGACGAGTTCGGACACACGACAAACGAATTTTGACGGACCACGGCTTTCCCTATCTTCAAGACGGATTTCAATTTTTTCGGCCTCATGAAAGCATAGCATTGGGATCGGTAACAACATCCGGAACGCGGCATCACCCAATTGTACAACACGACACCTCCCCCATTAGACACCCAACCCCCCCCCCCCCCTGTTGCTGTTTGTTTTATTTCTTTTTTCTCCTGTATTCTCTCTATTTCCTTTCCTTTTCTCTTTTCGCTACAGGTCGGGACGAGACATGCATATGGGCTATGATACCAGGCGTTCCTAAACCGGGGGGGACTCCAGGCAACTGGAAGGGCTGGGGGTTGGTGGTTTTCTTATTCTCATTCTTAGAGTCTGGAGGGTGTTTTTGTTCTGTTTGCAGATTTTCTTTTTATTTGGTCGTTTTTTTTTCACATTTCTACTCATGTCTGGATGTTGGATGTGCACACGTGTGTAACGTTGGATGGATTCACCCCTCATTATGTCTAATTCCTGCTCTGGTAGCAGCGACAACCACGACCACACCTGGTGGAGGAGGACGAGGAGGGGCAGCACATGGTCTGCCCCGGGGAATAGACTTTTGCTTTGGGCCTCATCTTGCTCCCTTGCTAGGCTGGGTCGCCGCGCTCTGGCGGGATTCCGGGGGCGGTCATTCCTGCGAGGGGCCTGTTGAGGCGTGGGGGAGATAGCGGGGCATTTACAGTATAGCGCAAATAGACGCGGAAATACACAACAAGCTACTCGGTTGATGTCAATCTCGCATACCGTGTGTAGGATCCCTCGAAGTCTCGGAAAACATGTCCGAATGCGGTAATCGAAAGTCAAGCCTCGGGCGGTGCATCATCCCTCTTGGCACGGCCACCTTCTCACGCGAGGCTTCATGTTTACACAATACACCGTACTTGGTGTAGTGTACAGAATAACACGATGCGAATAGCTCTTGGCCTGACTACCACTCTGTATTATTTCTAGAAACATCGGAAACGAAGTGAGGTGAGGACAGTGTAACAGGTCGACGGAAAAAGCTGCGATTGGACGAAGCGAGTTGTCGCGATTGGAAGCAAAATGGCCTGGACTCGCTTGTGGCAGCCAATTGGCATTCAAGGTGACATCAAAAACATCCAAAATATCGCATTTCGGGCGACAAGGACAAATGCAGAGCATGTTTCACAAGCCGAAAAGAGCGTGTGTGATGGTGCGTCGGAACCGAAGCCGAATCGAGGGGGGGCCAAAAGCCTCAATTCAGCCTCACGGCCGGTCAGCACTCTAACAGCAGCCTCAGCACCCTCAGCGCAGCCCCTTGCGCCAATCAGGTGCCCTGGGTGCCTGGGGCGATAAAAATAGAGGGGCGAAACCCCGCGTTGGTTGGGGTAACAGGGGAGGTATTTCCATCCAGCAACGGTGCGGGTGTTCAAAGTTCCGGAGATGTCGACTTCGAGATGGAGCTCTTGCACGGATTACATGTTGTGTACTGTAAGTTGTAACACCATATTATCAAATTCCCACCGCATCGTCAACCCGAATGTGAAACCATCACCGCCAGCTATGAATAATCACCGACGGACCTCCCTCCCCGACCCCCCGGGCCTCCCGCAATTCCCGAATACCTAGCCGCCCTGGATCACATCATCATCACCATCATCATCCCAGGGCCACGCTGCTTGGCTCATCCGGCCCCAACGGGCGCTACCGAAGACGCCGCCGCCGTGCGCCCTGCGCCGCGCTTTCTCGGTCTCGACTTCCCATTTTTTTGACATTTCGGACCCGACCAGGTACGGTGGGTGGGCGGTGTCATCTGATCTCCTGACCGTGGCCGCAAGCAACCCTGCCCCTGCCCTCCCTCACCTTACCCTCCCCCTCCCTGTCCGGCTTAGAAATGCGGCCCGGATCAGACGTGGTCCACCGTCCGAGCTTAGAAATAAACACCCGTATGAAGTAATCCGTATACATAGTACTCTCTCTATGTATGGATGTTTTGTAAGGTTTTGTAAGGTATTCGGTGTCTCACAGCGCAATGCATGCACATCACACACACACCCGCACCCACACCCACACCACCCACGCCAACACGCCAACGCCAACACCAACACACACCCAAGCCGCCGGGACCTTGCTATTCTGGTCGCATGCCCACACGCAGGCTTACCGGCCGGTGAGGTATCTCCGAGGGTGCCGTGCGGGCGGGTTTCGGACTGCGAAGGCGCGCTGGGTGGTGGTTGGCTACAGACGTTGCGTCACCGTCCGCGTACGCCTTCCCGATCCCGAGGGGTCTGCCATGTGCGCGGGGGCCATCCAAGGTACCTGCGATGACGACCAAAAATCCGAGGCACCGCGCGGCTCTTTAGGCACCTTTCCCCGTGATGCACAACGCCCTTGGCTTGATCTCCATCGTCTTATTTATTTTTCTTGCCTCAGGTACACACTTTTAATCAATTTTTGTATTCCCGTCACCGAGCCCCGCCGCTCGCGCAAGTGGTGTGTCACCTAACCTAGGTAGGTAACTGCCCGCAACAGCCGCTGCGGCCGGCCAAGCAGCCAGCCGACCCGAGTGCCGCACCACCGCACCACATCACCACATCACCACATCACCACATCACCACATCACCACAGACACGCCGCACTAGGCTGCATGTGTAACCGGAACAGACCTCCGGACATGTACATAGATGCCGGTCATCAAAACAATACTAACTCCCGTCCCCATCAAAACGTCACGTCACGTCACGTCACGCCGGGCGGCTCGGGACGCAGCAGCAGCAGGAACCCAAAGAACTGCTCGACAGTACCTATGTCGGGGGGTCAGGCCCACGTAAGCTCGAGGTCACGCTGGGTTAGCGCCTTGGCCCCCCCCCCCCCCCCCCCTCTTCCTCCTCGTGGAAAGGACCAGGAGTTGGGTGGTGTGTGTGACGCTCGGTAATCGTCGTCATACTATTCTAGAACGCCCCCATCTGCATGGCCTCATGCATGCATGCATGCGTGTGGGTGGTGGTGGTGGTGGTGGTGATGGTGATGATGGTGGTGATGGTACGAGTCGTAGGAGTGGGTGGTGGTATTCGTAGTGGTCACGATCTCACTATGTACAGTACCTTGGTGGATTGGATTGGATCTGTATTGGGCGGTGGCCACGCCATGTAACCCGAGGGATGTACAGTACCTGCCGATCGCGCCGTTGCGTGGACCTGCTGCACGTCTGCTGCGATGATGGATGGGTGTGATGCAGTGAGGTGGGAGGAGAGAGCAGAGAGGGGGGCGGGTCGGGCGCGGCTAGGTACGCGGCATCGCGGCTCTTGAAACATGGGGCGATCGGGAGTGCCGGGCTGGCTTTTTTTTGTTGCATGTCGTTGTTGTTGCATCCGGTGCGGGATTCGGCGAGCCCGCACGTTTGCGCGCCCGCCGCCGCTTGGACGGAGGCAGATCAGATGGGATGCCGTTTTGACGACGGAGGTTGAAATGCGTCGGTGATGTGACATAATCACCCGCACTTTGGGGGGAGATGACTTGTGGCTGTAAGGGTTTTTGTTTCAGAGATAACCACCTATGTAAATACATACTTCGAAAGCTAGATAGAGTTAAGGGTAGTTCGGTACCTTTTTCCCGACTTCCATTGTTGGCAACCTTAGATTATATGAGAAAGTTTAAACGTCAACTTGAACCTAATGCAGCCACCAACCATAAGTGGCAAGACGGAAAGTGCACTGTTCCCTGAAACGCTAACATAAATCTATGCTGGTTGTATTAACTATCGCTGAGTGATAAACCTCAGTCTGGGTGTGGTCTTGTTTCAGAACAATCCCACTCCAAACCCTAACCCTCTATCCGGAACAAAACCCCAGCCTGTGTTCGTGGTGGGGCAGGGTGGACTTGCTGGTCGTTCGACACGACGCGCTTGGACGTGTTAATTGATCACGTAGATGCAAACCCGACCGTCTGATTGTGCTGCTTGGTGATTCGAGTGTAGGCAGCTATGACCTACCTAGGTTGCTGTCCGCCTTCGGTTTTTGCATTTCGCTTGTTACGGTCAGTCTGCAGCTATCTCGAGTAGCAGTCCCTCCTTCTCTCGATCCTCTCTCGATTGCGAACCGCGATTGAACACGGCCAACAAACTACGGAATACTCAATCCATACACTCGCTAGGTACCTTGTTGGTTTTATCTGATGCAAATAACAACAACATCAGACATGGATCCCACACCTCCAACGTCGGGCATCATTGCCCCGTTCCAGCAGGAGGCACCGTCGGATGGCCCCTATGGCGAACTGAAAGCCGAGATCGAGGCCTCGCTCGCCGAAGCTAAAAAGCATGTTGAGGAAGAGCAGTTCTCCCAGGCTCTTCGTACAATTCTCGGGGTAGGTTTCGTTGCGCGCGTTCCCGAATTAAGCTGCTAGACTTGGTCGACTAACCGTGTCATGAACAAGGCCGTGAACAAGTGCCCTTGCGAGCCAGCTGGAGAGGGCAAGTTGCGCCATGCGAAAGACAAGGCGTGTCACATCGCCCAGTGCATGCTAGCTGTGAACAGCGGCGATCCCTTCGCACTTTATCAAGTGGCCAACACCCCTTGTACTTGCGGGTACCGTTGGCTGTCTTGCACCCGCCCTCTCCACGCCGTGGCTCTTGATGCTCTCGCCGACTGTCTCGATAAGGCCGGGCAGTACATTGCCGCTTTTGCCACCGCGCTGGCCACCATCCGCCTAGACCCTGCTTCGGCCGTGGTGAGTCTCGCGAGTACGGGCCGAAGAAGCGCCCTGCCGCTGACGGACTTGCTAACTCGATCCGATAGGGATACTGCCGTGGTGCCAGAATCATCCGGTACCTTCTCAGGTGTACACCTCTCCCTCCCAATTCCGCCAAGGGTCGCGCCGTCGCCGTCGTTCTTAACGAGGCCAGCGGGGCTGTCGGTGCGCCCTCTGCCGTCCTTCTCCGGGGCACACTCGGCCGCTTCGTCCAGAGCGGCCTGCGCATCACGGACCGCTATCGTCGCGGCCCAAAGGACACTTACAATGTGGGCGGCAAAATACCGATTCCCTATGACACACGGAATTGGTCCACTTACAGGTTTTCCCAGGTTGTCTTGCAGCGCATGGCCTACCACCTTAAGTGCGACACCGCCTTGAGGGATCCGGTCAAGGAATTTCCCCGGGAAGTGCTCGGGATGGTCTTCTCCCACCTCAGCACCGCCGATCTCCTGTAAGTATAAGACCATTTCTCCTCGCGTACATGCCTTGCCGTGTCTGACATACTGGAAGCAAATGCCTCCGCGTCAATAAGCAGTGGAACCTGCTTGCCATCCAAGACGACAGTTGGAATGACTTGAGGCTCACACGACCGGGTAGCCCACGCCACCACTTTGCCAACTTTTTGCAACAACATCAGGGGATAAAAAGCCTTGTTATTAGTGATGCCAGTGATTTCCATCTGAAGATGGGACACAGGTTTTCTCAGATCGTGTTCGGTCTGCCTCAATTGGACCGGCTGTGCATCGGCTTTGAATACTCCCCCTCTCGCCCGCTGACGGTTGATTTGGGCGGTTCGAAAAGAACCACTCCACGGACCAAAACCCGCCTCACCCAGCTCTCGTTGGAATCTTTTGACTTGGAGAAGCCCGTGGCCCAGCTTATTACCCTCAACGTGGACACCCTCACGGCCCTGAATCTCGTCAATACTGGGCCCGGTGTGAGCGCCCTTTTTGAGCCATTTTGCCTCCCGAATCTGAAGAAACTGCGGATTACCGGGGGGTCGAGCCCGGCTTTTCACCCCCTTGCCGCTTTCCTCCAAATGGTACAAAGCTATTCCCCCTTTCGCACGATTTGCGTGCCTAATAATACTAATAATCGACCTAGGCACCCGTTGTGATCGCTACGCCCAATCTCGAGCAACTTTACTTGGACGGGTTTCTGGCTGGGTGGCTTCGATCCGCACCTCCTAGCCCCGACTGGGGCCGGTTGTGGCCGTCCCTCCGAAACGTCACCCTGGGTCCCGGTATGCGATGCTTCAGGGACCTGAGATTCAGGTCTTGGAACCCGCGCTTTCTCCCTCCCTTCCCCGCCTCTCTGCAGTCGCTCGAGCTCCTCGGTACCATTCCCGACGTCGCTTACAGCGCCCTATTTACCACCACCTCACCCGCCCCAGCCGCGGACCCCACGGCTCTACTGAACGGCGACCTAATCGACCACCACCTGCCCAACCTCGAGATATTCCGTTGCCTATCCGGCGCCCTCGAGCCCCGCCACCTGGAGCGCCTTCTCAAACCCTCAGTAACCGCCAACAAGCTCAAGGTCCTCGAGCTAACCTCCCCACCCGTCCGCGCCCCGCCTCCCGGCCCAGACGGCATCCAACAACAACCACCCACCCAGTTCCTACCAGCGCGGGACCTAGCCTTCCTCGACCGCTGCGCCCTGCACACGCTCGGCCTGCACGACTTCAACTTCTTCCACGACCCGACCAGCCGCTTCGGCGCCACCGCCGCCTTCGACGGCGACCCCTTCGTCGCCTGGCTCGACGCCTTCCCCGACCTCCACACCCTGGGCCTCTACCCGGGCAACTGGGAGGGCGTGGCCGGTTTCATCACGGCGCTGATCGCCCGCCCGGGCATCAAGGCTATCCACCAGCGCTACTTGAGCGGTGTGACGTGGGATCAGGCGCGGCAGTTGGCGCGGGAGCGTGGGGTGGAGTTGTTTCATACCCAGGGGCATTTGCCGGCGGGGTGGAAGGTTTTTGAGGATTTGGAGGGGTGGGTGTGAGGGGTGGTGTTGAGAGGGAGGGGGTTTAGGGATGGTGGGATGACGATGGGCTTGTTTGTGGGTGGCGGATAGGCCACTCTTTACGACTCAAGAACTCGGCAAGGAGCACTGCGCGATAAACGATGGGAAAGGCTTGAGGACTGGGATCATGGGTTTTGTCAGCAACCACGGCATTGGGGCTGGCACGAGCTTTATTTAATATGGCGTTGGCATTGGGTTTTGATACAGACACGAGCATGGTGGGCGACTAGGAACTCGATGGGAAGACCGGGATACGGTCCGTCTGGATTGAGGGCTTACGAGTCACGACGTGATACCTGGCCCGGGTGCATCTACACCGGGCACAGACATGGAAACGGAGTTTATGGGTTTCTAGGATACAGGTTACTTTGCCCGACACATTGTCGAGAGGCAGAGAAGATAGTGAAAGTATTTAATCACACGCACTCGCCCTACATGCTTGACACCGTTTTCATGCCTGAATATCACCCACCAACTTCAATATACCGCACAGCCCTCAGATGCGCACGTTGCTGCCGGTTCTTATGTTCTATTTTAGGCAAACCCGAGGAAACTCGGCCGACCAGATGTTGGTTGCCTGTGATGCCCAGAAACCTACCTCGGTATGTAGGCACGATCCTTCTCATCGCGCGCTGTGACCCTCCCCGCCATTCAGCCGCTTAACTGTGTATTCCTTCACCACGAACTCCCGTTCCTTGCTTGCTACATCGCATTCCTTTAACGAAGAAACCCTCGAACCCCCGGTTGTGCCATGCCCCATCCAAGAAGCAAAGAAGTATGGCTACGATGCAGGTCAAAGAACATCGCGGGATGGTGGGATCTGGACTATTTTGAAGCATTTTTTGAGCGCCCGTTGCGTTATGCTATGACGAGTGCTAATCCAGGACCGTGGGATAGATACCCAACGACCTGATACATATCCATGAAGAGGCTATCTTAGTGATGAGGGATGTAATAAAACTAAAACCACAAAAGCCAGCCGCAAGGGTAATGATATGCCTCTGCCCTAGTCCCAACCCATACTACTGCGCGAAGTGCTCAAGTATAAATTCAAGCGTGCTTGAAAGCAGAACAAGCAAACCCCCCGTCGCAACCCGATAAAACGCCGTAACTGATGCAAAGCAAGACCGTAAAGCTTCCAAACGGACGAAGACAAGTTCCCAACCCGCCATGCATGCATGCAGTGTGCCGTCTATGTGATGTCTCCATCTAAGTTAACCACCTTCCCCGTGCCATCCTTCTTCTCTTCTCACGCCCCGACAGCAACCCTGTGCGAGTCCTGGCTTAACTCCCTCACCTTTATCCTCAATTCCTCTCTGACCGACTCCTGCCACATCTTCTTCTCGGCCGCTGCCGCCGCCGCCGCAGCCCCAACAGCAGCCTTAGCCTTCTCGGCAATCGCCTTCCAGTTGGCGGGATTGCTGGCTAGTGGCGTCTCCTTCTGCTGGCACTGGCGCATGACACGGTTGGCCTGGCGCATCTTGCACTTCATGTGGTAGCCCGGCTCGTTTGCCTTGCGCCATTCCAGGTAAGCCTCGTACATCTGCTGCTTGACCGGGTCGTGGTCTCGTGGCTTCACCGTCACGGGGAAGTAGGGCCGGTCAAGTTTCCCATCAGAACCGATCGAGGACTGTAGCGGGGCGCCCGGGATAAACGGTGCGCTAAGGGGGAGGCATGGGTTGACTCCTGTTGTCACTCCTGAAGCGTAGCCTGGAACCGAAGCTCCACCTAGTGGTGGGAAAGTGTTGAATCCGTTCATAACCGGCAGGTTCAAAGGTGCAACACTAATCGGCGCGTTGAGCGTTGCTGTAGGCGGGATACTTCCGAGGGCGGCGTTGTGGAATGGAGAGGTTGAAAATGTCGCCGCAGACATTGTAGCACCCAGCCCCATGGGCGTAATGGCCTGACGAAGAAGCGTATTGGCTGGGGGAAAGTTATTCGGGTTTATACCGGTGGCGGACAGAGCAGGTTCAGAGGGGTGCATAACCGGCTGTGGCTTGGGCATCGTAGCCATAGCATGAGTGCCGCTGCCAATGGTCCGGCTTCTTTGAGTAGCTCCTGTGGGAGCCGGGACCTCGGTTTGCTGAGGCCTCTGAGAAGGAACACGTTCTCTTACGGCGGCGAGTGGAGTGTGGTTGGGCATAGCTTCGGGGAAAATGTTAGCGAGCGGTGGGCGGGACAACTTCTTGGGCGACAACCACGGGGTGGCGCTGGTTGGGGCAGCCGACTTGAATTCGGCAGCGGCGGGATTCAATGTCTTGATCTGACTGTCATCAACCGAGGGTTCCTTGGGTTCACCCCGTGAACCAGCCCCTGAGCGGCGGTCAGTTGAACTGCGTTCCGGGATATTTGATGCATAGCCAGAGTCGCTGGAACTTTGTTGTCCTAGAGTCCTCAAGGATTGGAGTCTGGCAAGTAAACGGTGCCCGGCCACCCTGTTCGATCCGTGCTGGGCGCTCCTCTCCGGTGTTTCCACCTTGTCCTTTATCTTCATTGCCACAATCGCAGGATCGATGATGTGACGAGACGGCACTGCCGCGCCATTGGTCTCCCGAGCCGGTGATGAGTGCTCGTGGGTGTTCTGCAGGCGGTTCAGCATTCTCTGGAAGCGAACGTCTTCCTCGGTCGATGGCCTCTTCTCTGCATGGCCGGGTCTAGTCTCGGGAATGTCAAAAACAGAGCCATGCTGCTTTAGCTGAGGCCGTGCCCCTTGCAATTGGCCGTGAGATTCCGAGGAGGATAAACCGGTTGAGTTATGGGCGTCCCGGTTCTCGCTCAGCATCTCTTGGAGCTCCACCAAAATCTCATCAGAGTCCTCTGATGATACCCGTCGGAAAGCTGCCGGGCCGTTAAGGCGCTTCAGCTCACCGAGTGCAAGGCCATGCGGCGGGTTCTGCACGTCGACTGCAGCAACGTCAAAGCAGAAACGGTTGGGCAGTGCAATGCCTTGTCCATTTACGCTCGTGAGTATTGGACAGACCTGCTTCAGGTGTATCTTGACCGCTTCCTTGGTGTCGTCCCCAGACGTCGATGGAGACGACGAAGGGAGCTGCCACACTGGAGCGGAAATAACGCTTTCCCAGGCCGCCTTCTTCTCCCTCGGGTAGCGGTATTGCGGGCCCGAGAATGAGTCCTCTGTTTCCAAATCGAGCCGAATACATATGTCGTCGCTGGTGTCGTAGCTCTGCTTGCTCATTTTGGTGCCCTCGCCCGGAGAAGACACACCGGCTGTTCTCTTCCGCCAGTCATTCGAGTCGATGGCCTGAGTTGTCTTGATCTTCAATCCGCTTTGCCTCAGCCGGGCCGCGCCCTTGATGCTGGAAACACGGTTGACGCACCCGACCATCGTCTCAAACCGGAAGCTACCGTGAGCTGCAACTCTTCGAAGTGCTGAATTTCAAGTGAGACTACAGCCTTGACCTAGTAAGACGTAAAACTTGATGGAGTTAGTTGAAAAGTTCTTGACGCTGAATTTATTATCGGACATGGCTGGTTTCAAACAAGGGATATGCACAAGGGGTTGCCGCAGAGCAACAGAGCTCGGGGGGGATCGTTTGAAGAGAAGTGTCCTAGTGCAATAACTTACCAGGTGTCCCAACTCCGCAGTAGTGGTTGTTTGACTTGGTCTAGGCTCGCCTTCTGCAACTAACTCGCTATCGTGCCTTCGCGTGCTGGCAAACCAGTAGATGATGCGCTTCGTTTGTCACCGTTCTGGGCCGCGAAGTAGGCCCCGAAATGCTGAGATGAGACGGCAATGTATAGAGAAGCTGTGGATTCGTGGACGGGGTCGAAGCGATGGACTAGGTGGTCAGGAAAGTAAGAGGATCGAATGCGTTTGCGGCTTTTCGTTCCAGATGGAATCGCGCCCTCAGTCAATGGCCCTGAAAACAAACGCTTTGGTGCTCTGAGCGAACTCCAAGAAGAAGAAGAGATGCCGTAAAGCTGTGGGGGAGACGATATGCACAGAGTACCCAAAAAGGCTGGCGTTGGTGGACTTGAATTGCACTTCGCTTGGATGGTGGGAGAAGACGGAGGTGCCAGTGGACCACATCGAGAAGGGAGCGATGAAGTCCAGCGAGGGAACTCACTGAGGAGGTGGGAGATTTAGGGCAGTCACCTATTTTAAGCATTGACGGAGCATGTGGAGGAAGGTGCTTGTTGTCGTCATCGATGAGGTATTGACACACGGGCATCATCCATCATCATACTTGCATAAGGTAAGGTTCATGTCCCGCTCTCGTTGCTGTGAGAAATATAAGGCAACGGTCAGGTGAGAGTAAATCCCACCGTTTTGTCGTTTCTTCATCAGTACCTTAATGTTCGTGCCTTCCGGTCAAGACGAGACTTCGGATGTTTGGAAGGTGCTTCCTAGGTAGTCTTGACCGGTTTTGGTCTGCGAGCTTCCTCCAACTCGGGCTCGGTTTATTGATGAAGGCTTTTTCGACGCGGGCAAAATGGTATTATCACCTCTAAGAAATACCAATCTTAGAAGAGGAGCTCGGGTTTCTGTTGGGGAGGGCTAGAGACACGTTTGTGGTATCCAAAAAAGGACCAAACAGACGAAGATGAATGAATATCAGCATGTAGTCCTTGTACAGATTAGTCTGCATTCATACCATCGCCGTCTGAAAGGGACTACACAGTATTTGGTACATAGCGGCCTTCATTCAGAGCTCCATGGTTATTCTGAGTCTTAATTCCCAATGGCATTTTTGAGGAAAACGACGATGTTGAGGTGTCAAGCCACATGGATGGCAAGCTTGGACGGCCAAACTCCCCGACCGAGGGCATATGAATGACGCATGTCCAACCCCGCTCATTCATCCTAAAGATCAGACTTCTTGTATTCCATGAATCTCACATTGTGATTCAATATAGAATCTGCGATCTCAGGGGAATATATTTCCGATATTGTTGGAGGGGAAGGTGGGAGGGTAGCCGGGACTGTCAAGCGTCTAGACATACGCAACTCACACAGTTCGTCAGTAGGGGCCCATGATGTGGACTCAGCTCGACGGTGAAGAAACATTCTCGCCAATAAATATCCAACTAGCTACCAGCCGCTTTACGAAACACCAAAAGATCCAAATAAACACACCGAAGAATATCTTCCTAGGGTTGACGACTAACTCGACTCGTTCTACGCAGTCGCCTGCTGGCCCGTCATGTACGCGGTAAACGATTTCTATATCCCGTTAGTCAGTATGTTGCCACCCCACAGTCTTCAGTGCACGGAGTTACATACCGCATTCCTGGTCTGGATGAAGACGGTCCCCGGGCCAGTGAACTTGCACACCAGACCCTCACCAGACGCCATGCCGGACATGATACCACCCGAAGCGACGCGCTCCAGGACGTACTTGGTGTTCCACGCCACAAGATGGCCGTTATCAACAATGTACTTTTCACCATCCATGAGCTGCACACGGCACCAGTCAGTACATTGCCTCCCACCAGAATAGTAGAGCGAGTGCGTAAAAGACCACAACGGAAAACCAACTCACATCCTTCCGAATGATAGCCCCAAAGCTAGTCAGCCACAACAGCCCGGTACCCGAGATCTTGTACACCCACAGGCCCTCGCCGCTGAACATGGCCTTGCCGAGGCCCTGGCGCTTGTAGTCCTTGATGACGTTCTGCGTGCAGGCGAGGAAGCCGTCGTGGCTGACCGACCACGCCTCCTGCCCGCCCAGCCGCAGGCTGGTGATGTCGCCGAGCATGGGCGGCGCCAGCAGCAGCTCGCCGGGGCCCGTGAAGGTCGAGCTGTTCATGTCGCCGCCCGCGACGAGCTTCTTCATGCTGAACTTCATGTGGCCCTTGAGCACGATGGAGGGGGACATGGCGATCATGGAGCCTGGGCGGGGGTGTTAGAGAGTGGACGAACGGTTGGCAAGCGGGAGGTGATGTTTTATGGTGAAGGTTACGACGTACCTGGCCTGGCTTCCACGGGGCATCCGATGGCCAACTGGATGGTCAGGATGGAGTTGCAGTCGCGATGGCTGATCCGGTAGCTCCCGCCGTTGAACGTGCCGACGTCGTCGACTATCGTCGAGGTAGCGCCGACAAAGTTACCGGCGGCGGGCGCGCCAGTGGGGTCAATCGCTGGGGCCTGTCCCTGCGGTTGCGCCTGTGACTGTGCCTGTGCCTGCTGTAGATGCTGTGTCTTCTCGGCCGGGTATGTCCCTTTGTCATCCTCCTTGGGGTATGACGGAGGGGCAGCAAACTGTTGCTGGCCCTGGGAGCCTTGCGATGCGCTTGAGGCAGTCCGCAGGTGCTGGGGCAACGCGCCGTGCTGCATGGGCGAAGGAGATGCCTGTGGCGGTGCCGCATATTGTTGCTGCGGGGGAGCGGCATATTGCTGTTGAGGAGGCGGGGCGTACTGTTGTTGCTGCTGAGGAGGCGGCGCATAGTGTTGCTGCTGCTGGTATGAAGGTGTCGACGACCCTGGCGGTGGAGTAGGAGCTGCGGCGGCCTGGGGTGGAGGAGGGTAGTTCGTGGCAGCTTGGGTAGTGGCGGGAGGTGAGGGATACGAGAACTGAGTCTGTGTGGGGGGTGCCGACCCGGGAGGAGGCGGGTAGTTATGCTGTCCTATTTCGACGTGATGTTGTCAGTATAATGCTTCAGCAGAGCTTGAACAGCTCCTGGGGGCGCCCGAACTCGAGCTTGACTGTAAACATACCTCCAGCGGAACCGCCAGCTCCGGGGGGTGCTGAGCACACAAGTTAACCTCGACTCCTCTTGCCACTACCCATTCAATTACTCACGGGGATAGTAGTTTGACATGTTGCTGTCTTCTAGGAACTAAGCGTTCAACTGCGTTGGTATTTCCCCGGTGTGCTACGACCTCCGTGGCTGTTAGCAGACCCGATCGGTACCTGGGCAAGGCCAGCGAATCCACACCCCGCACCTACACTGAATAGTACCCCTCGCTAGGAGATTCCTACGATGATGCGATGCGAAGATCGGGATTGGCGTCGGGTGAGACGGCGAGGCAAACTTGGGCAGAGCTCGGGGAAGATGAGCGACTCGAGATTCAGGAGAACAAAGGAGCTTGATGTGCACTCGCAGCACCTTTTTGAGGGATCGGTTCGCGCAAACAGGGGACCGGCATCCCCCTCCCCACGGTCGCATGGAACCAAATCGAGAGCCGACTAGTATGACGACCCAATCAGCAAGCTCCAGTTCCAGCCAGAGACGCGCGCCGAGCTGTTTGACAAGGCGCTTAAAGGATGGAGCGGGAGGGAGCCTCGTCGGCCATTGGCTGTCATGCAGGTGAGCTTCGACTCCTAAAATGGAGACGATTCGAGGTCCTCATTCACGAAGGATGGTGACAGGAATGTTTAGCTACTATTCGACACTGAAAAGGAAGTGGTTCCGGGTTTTGAAGAGAGATAGCATTAACTATGGTATCGTGTAACTAGCGCAGGAGCTACCTAGATTCATCACGCACGGGGAAATACTCTCCCAGCTTGTGGCTGCAAGCAGTGAACTCGAAGGCTGTCGTTGATTTCGACTTTGATGATCGCCCGCTCAAAAGAAATTGCCAGCGAGGTGGGAAACGCTGTTTGACCGTTGGGGAGCCCTCCCTCTCGGTGGCGCCCAGCCCAAGCGCAGTCCGGCCCAAGCGTTTCTCCGATGGCATTCATTGTCCAATGGTGATCGAGAAACCCTTGCCTGCCGGAAGCATTGCATCACCGGTTTTGGCTCCGGGAGCTCGGGAATCGGGACGTCATAAAAAATATTCCAAGCGTAATCGCATCAGCCCACCACGCGACCTTGACCAAGACTAAAACCACCCGGCCGCCTCGCCTCTACCACCGATGGTTATTTTTTACTAGCGAGCGCCTTGTTCAGCGCAGGACAGCGATTCCGCCAGCAGCAAACGAGCCCGATAATCACCGCCTTTTTCTCGCCTCCCAAACCCGCGGGCTCTCGGTGCCTTGCAAAGCGTTAACTCCGGAGGAACCGAATAAAGCACCTCGGGGTGCGCAAGCTTCTTGTCGCCGTGTCATAGGAAAGCCCGGCATCTCCTCTACTTCACCAATTTGCGACCATGCTGCGACCGGCATTCGGGGCGTTCGACGCTCTCCTCGGAGGGAACGCGGCGCGAGGGAACATTACGAGGCACCTTGCTGGAAAGAGCATGGCGATGAGCAGGGCATCGGCGAAAGCCATAGCTACTCCATGGCATCAGAGGGCGCTGATGTCGCAGCTCCGGATGACGAGGACCACGGCCGCTCGGTCGAAGTTTGCGCAGGCTAGGATACCCGTCTTCAAGCCGAAGCGTCCCTTCCATACCACGCGGCCTCGGCGAGCTGGCGCGGCACCGAAGTCTAGTGATGCGGCGCCCGAAGCTTCGCTATCGCTCAGTGCCAGGCTCAAAAAGTTGTCGAGAGAGTATGGCTGGGCTGCGGCTGGGATATACCTCGCTCTCTCCGTGTTGGATTTCCCGTTTTGTTTTTTGCTCGTCCGGACGGTGGGCACCGAGAGGATTGGTGAGATTGCTCGCACCTTCAGATGCCCGTAATGCTGGCTAACGGGTTGCGTTAGCCTATCTCGAGGACATCGTGGTGCGCAATGCCCAAAAAGTCATCCCTGAACGGCTCCAGGCGTGGTGGCGCGAATACCGCCACGCTGCCAAGGAGGCGACGAGGGAACGGACTGGCGAGGTGGGCGAGCTCGATATTATCGGCCACGGCGTCGCAGAGGCCGAGCAGCGGACCAAGCAAGAGGGAGCAAGTGAGTTTATTTCTACCATTTTCTCCCCTACCGTCTGCCATTGACCTATGCTAACTTTTTCCAAGGTCTTGCCACCCAGCTTGCCCTCGCATACGCTATCCACAAGAGCTTCATCTTCATCCGTGTCCCTCTAACGGCTGCCATCACCCCCAAGGTGGTTAAGATACTCAGATCATGGGGCTGGCAAATCGGCAAGAAGGTCAAGCGGTGAACGATCTGAGCCCTTGTGTACAATCTCCCCTTTGTTGTTGCGTGCGAGTAGCGGAAGCCGGTGGCGTTTAGCGGGTGGCAGTTGCATTTACAGATGGATGGAGCATCTCCCCATAGACTGTAACATCACTCTTGTGTATTAGAATTCTGTATTCAGTATCGATAAAGCGAATTAGACGATCTTGGCGTTTCGAGACTGTCTCCCTCCAGTCTCTCCTCCAGGTTAGGTGGTCAGCCGAGCCCCCACAGCGGATTTTCCGGGGCGTTGGTGGTCATGTGGGGCCGGTTCCCCGGGCGCCGGGAGGTACCTGGGGCTTGGGGTGCTTGGTGAGTCTCCTTGATTAATTCGGCCATCCACCAAGCGTTTATATCAACAAACATTTCCCACTTACAGGCTTATACATGCATTATATATAGACCCCACAGTCAATGTTTCAGTTGACACATTCAACGATGAACAGAATGGAAGACGTGAAAAGGCATGTCATTCCTCACAGCCTCTGGTTGCCGCGCGCCAAGCCATTCCTTCCATTCCTTCCATCCCCTCCCGTCGCTTGCATAAAATGTGAACAGCCGAGACACCTGCAAGACGCAGGCTCCCGTCGGTTTTTCGAGGATACCTAGGTTACCTGCCATGTACTTTCGCTGTCTCGGCTGCCGAACAGCCAGCGACGGCTTCAAACACCCCTCCTCTTTCACGTTCGTTCTGATCGAGGGTCTGGGTTGCACATCCTAACAACCTACGGCCGTCATTCAATCTCGGTGCGCCTCCAAGTAGAAGTCCCCGTTGCCCTCACGCAGATCTCCTTCCCACCTTCCTTCGTTCCATGGGACTTCTTCGACGCGACTACACCGGTTGATCTGCAACCTGGGACTACCGTTCCATAATCAGTTCACCATGGCTTCATCAGATCCCGAGAAGCGCGCCATTTTCGCCGATGAGAAAAAAGATGGCCTGGTATCCTCAAACGGGAGAGCCCCAAGGCGCCGCCGCGTGTGGCATTGGTTCGCTATCTGCCTCGCCGCCATCGTCGTTTTCTCAATCGGGGTGACATCCCGTCGGTGCTCCGCCGCGACTTCACTGTTCACAAGCCATGGCGTACCGCAAAACTGTCATGTTCGCCCGCCACCAGCCACGACCCCGCGGACGACGACGGCTACTACTTCGGCTGCAGCACCGGACAGGACCGTCCTCAAAACCTTCGAAGTAGCTCAGCCGGTTTTGATGCCCGGTGGCCCTGCCGAAAGTGACGGCTCAACTCGCCATGGAGAAGACTATTCGCCTGAGTTGTGTACCGTCTTATTGATGCGCCATGATTTTGCTTGGAGTTATAATGCCCCGTTTATTGGTGAGCCTGCCTCGGGTTGTCTGCGCATCTCGACTATTCGGGCCCTAACTTCATCCTGCCACTTTTAGGGGAATACACCCCGCCTAAGTGCGAGTTCAATCGAGTGGTGCTTAACTTTAGCGTTGTGAGCCAGGGCCGGCAGTTTGATAGGCTTGCTATCATGTATCTCGGCGATACTGAAGTCTGTAAGTCTTGTCGCGAAGCCAAGCCCCGTAGGCTGTACTACTCTACTGTGTAGATACCGAGGATCGGAGTCCTTCATGTTGGATACCGACCTCACCATTTCCTAGAGATAGGCTAACAGTTGGAACAATAGGGAGAACATCCACAGCTGAACCCACCGCTCCCCCGGGCATCAGTTGGATCTACCTTAAGGACATGACCCATTACTTGTACTTTTGGAGATCTCCTCAAAAGATCATCTTTGATCTTGGCAACCTAATCGGTTCGTCTGAGTTGCCCTTTTGTGTTGTTAGAAGTCCGAGAGTGCTTACCCGTAATAGACGACAAGTACACGGGCATATTCAATACGACTATGACCGCTATCTTTTACAACGACGACGTTAAAACAGACCAGGCACCGCCAAGTGACTTGATCATCCCGATCTCATCGCGTCAAGGAGCGAACGATTCGATCAGCCGGTTCATATTGCCGGCCGAGAAGGCGACAAATACGATCAGCCTCCCGCGGAACATTCGCCGTGCCGTTTTCTCCGTCTCAGCCAACGGCCAGGCAAGCGAGGAATTTTGGTGGAGTAACGTCCTGCAGACCGACGTCTACACCTTCAACGACACGGCGGGCCAGCTTCCGGGTCTCAGTCCTTTCCGCGAAGTTCAGGTGTTCATCGACGGAGCACTCGCCGGGGTTCAATGGCCCTTCCCGGTCATTTTTACCGGCGGAGTCGTTCCCTCGCTACACCGGCCCATCGTAGGCATCCATGCGTTTGACCTGCGCGAGCACGAGATAGACATTACCCCCTTCCTAGGTCTGCTCTGCGACGGCCATGAGCACACCTTCACCATCCGCGTAGCCGGCCTCGACAATACTGGTGGCCCCGACAGCACCACGGCCTCGCTCACCTACGCCGTCAACGAAAGCTGGTACGTAACCGGCAAGCTCTTCCTCTGGCTCGACCCAGACCCGTCCTCCATCACGCGCGGTGAAATCCCCGTCATGAGCCACCCCCTCCCCACCATCGAGGTCACCCGCTCCGTTACAACCTCCACCACCAACGGCACCACGCACAACGAGACCCTCGCCTACACCACCTCCGTCCACCGCGCCCTGCGCATCACCACAGGCTCGACCACATGGACGCAGAACCTGCGATACACCAACAACGGCCACATCACCGCCGCCGGCTTCAGCCAAGCCAACGACGTCCTCGTCACGGGCACCGACACCCTGCGCACCGCGGCCGAGCCCCACTACTACGGCGCCCACTACGAGTATCCCGTCTTCTGCAACTCGTCGTACGCCGTCTCGCCCCAGGGGAACCTGTCCATCCGGGCGCACCTCGGCCAGGGGAAAACGACCGCCGTGACGGGCGCGAGCGTGTTTCCGACCGGGCAGGAGGCGTTTGCCGGGTTTACTGGCCGGGGTTTGGTCACTCACCTGCAGACGAGAAAGGAGGGCACGGCCGAGTTTCGGCAGAGCGGGGATGGGACGGTCAGTAGCGGGTGGGGGGACGCGTGGCAGGTGTTTTGGTTGGGGGTTGACGGGGATCCTGACGGGGAGACGTTGTATTCTAGGCGGGTGCAGGCTGTGAATGGGACTTTGGTGGAGGATGTGAGGAGGATGGAGGGGAGGGAGTTGGGGAGTGGCCCTCGGAAGAGCGGGGAATGGGTTCTGGATGCTGCGGCGACGGAGTATGCTTAGGTAGGTAGTGTGTAAGGTAAGTTTCAAGAGAATGTGTGGTTTTGGCCGAGGGCTTACAAACTCAACTGTTGTGCTCTGTCTGAGCGTAGTAACCAGGGCACCTAATGTATTGTGCAAGCGTCGCAAAAGGGCTATCCATCGGCACATGGCTTTTTGTGTAGGTAGGTAGGTCGTCATAGATTTGGTGTCCAACCAAAACCTTACCTGTCACGTTCTGGCCAAAAATGCCGTACTCCAAAAGAAAAGGGAAAAAAAAAGAAAAAAGAAAAGAAAGAAGATAGAGCTAGGCAAAAGGTAGATTAAATGAAAGAAATATCGAGAAACCCAAACTGAATAAAAGCAATCGAGCAAAAGAAAAGTAAATTGAGCAAATGAAGCTTCTTTTGGCTACCGGAGAGCTTTCGTCTCGTTCCTACAATCGTGGTTTAGTCGACGTCTGCCCTCGGACCACGGCTTTGTTTGCCTCTGGGGTGCCTGCTGTCGCAAAGTAATTGCTAACAGCAAGGAACCGATTTCATCAGGTGACAGTTTCGATCCCGCTCCATATGCCCATCAGGAAAATCGGCTTCTCGGCTGTTATATCAGGTTGCTCGTGACCAAGTCACCGAACTCATACATGACATTGCCACAGATGACTCGTTCGTTCCGTAGTCTGCCGTCAAGCATCTACGTCAACTATTTGTCTAACACGCGCTCATCTACAAGTTCACGATCAGATCCGCACATGGGTAGGTCGTTAGTAATGGCCGGTCAAAGTCGTACCGTAGAGCTTGGCTGCCTCTATTTATGTCTGCGGAACCGCCAACATAACACACTCTGTTTCGCATTTTTCGGACTGTTGGCTCCAAGAAGGCGGTTGGTAACTTTGGAAACGGTGTTTCACAGCACCAAGCGCCGCACGGCAGTCAGTCATGCACGATCGTTGCCGGGCCAAGCATGGGGCCACAAGGCCACAAGCCGTCCCTGTGGGTGGGTGGGTCAACAAATCGTTTGGAGACCAGGTTCTTGCAAATCAACGATTGGTCTAACCTTGTTTAGGGCCTGCAGCGGGCGATCAGAACAAACTTGGCATCTGCCACCCTGATCCCCTGCCAACCGCCCAGACAACAATCGCTGTCTTGTGGATGGCCGGCAATCGTTCTGGAGCCCAAAATCGAAACATCAGCCAAGGTTCGTTGGGTCAGAAGCTACGGCACTGCAGCAGGCCGAGTTGGGTCTGCACCACCTAAGTGGTCTGATTTCAGCGGTTGCACAAAGAAAACGGCACGTTGGCCAATAGGGCCCTGCGGATGAAAAAGAAGCTTGGGAGACCGGGGCCCACAACTTCCGTCATAGCCCCACCTTTGTTCTTTCCCGAGTGTGCATCTGGATGGTTCCCAAGATGCTCCCTCCCTTGTCAACCGGAGGTTCTGGGTCCTGCTACGGTTGTAAAAACACACCATTGTATACGGCGGCAGAGCAGTAAAAGCCAGCAAGCCCCCCGCCATACACCTGTGACGTCTTCCCCTGTTCAACTTGACACTCCACAAAAGAAGCAACTCGCACTTACATCATCACCACACTACCTGGGTAACAGATCATAGCCTACTTCTGCTTTCCTCTCCAACACAGTTTCAGCAGCTGCAAAGATCAACAAGTTTCCGTAAACCGCATATCCAAAAGAACCTCGCCTCAGCGCAACTTTCTGCGTGAGAGACCCCCGCCATCTTGACAACCTTCTCCTGCTCTCCCCACTCAGCCGCCCAAAACCGCCGCCATGGAAAGGATACAGCTCATCCTCCGAGCGATCCAGCTCCTCTTCATCATCATCCTCACGGGCCTAATCGGCAACATCATCGCCAGCAACGAGCACGCCGCATCATCCGCCACAGCGGCCATCAACTTCTCCATGTTCGTCGTGGTCCTCTCCTGGCTCGCCGCGCTGCTCGGACTCGCCACCGGCCTGGTCGAGCGGATCGCGCTGCCCGTGCTCGTCCACCTGGGCGCGGACGCGCTCGCGACGCTCTTCACCTTCATCGGCGCGGTGGTGCTGGCGGCCAAGCTGAAGGTGGTCAACTGCGGCGGCGACGACACGCGCGGGCAGCCGGGCGACTGGATCGCCTACGGCAGCGGCGACGACCACAAGCGCTGCCGCGAGGTCCAGGCCGGCACCGTCTTCATGTGGTTCCTCTTTGCTACTTTTGCCGCCGCCCTCGTGCTGAGCTTCCTCGGCTTCCGCCGCGGCGGTGGGAGCATCCGGTCTGGGCCGACCATGTCGCAGGTTAGGGTATGAGGCAAGGCGCGGTTTGGGCTTCTGGAAAAGGGTGGGAGGCTGGGATGGGTATGTACGGGGGTTTGGTTACGGATATGGATTTGGTTTTGGGACGGCATGGATAATAATTGGTACGGGTACGGGTACGGGTTGATCCCTAGGATGTGTATGACGGGTTATGAAGGTTATGGTTAATTACGGACGGGATACGAAGTACGGGCACCTTTTATTATAATGGGGTATATGACTGGGAGGGTTTGTCTTGGCCTGTGTTACGGATAAGGACTGAAGATGGGCTTTTGTGGAATTGGTATATCCCGTCAAGGTAGTCGACTGTCTGTCTTGTTTTTAGCTTGTTTTCCCGACAGAGTACAACGCAAGAACTAAGACCAATTTTTATCCAAGCAACTCGATACCCAGCAGACGGGTGATGTATCCGCAAGGGAATCAAATGCTTACATATATCATACCCAGGTCCGTAACGCCGTGGCAATATGTACCGCCCCTACAAGCCAGGTTCTAACCGATATGTACTCATGAATTTTCCCAACCGGTGAATCCCCCTAGTCATAATGACGCCGCAGCCTCGGCGGCACCGGCGGCATTGAAGGCCTTTTTGTTCGTCCACCGGATCTCGACGTTGTGCATCCATTCCATGTACCTCGCCCAACCTGCGGGAGACGTAGAACATATCAGTAAACAGCCAGTTTCCGCAACCCATGCCAAGCAAGCACCGGGAGAGGGGAGGGATTGGGAAGACCTACTCCAGTACGCAAACTTCCGCCCAAGAAACTTCCCCGCGAAAGGCATGACGATCATGGTCAGCAGGAGCTGCAGCTGTTCCAGGCTGGTCTCCCACTCCCGCTGGGCGTCCGACAAGTCGGACTCCGAGTCGAGGATGCTGGTGGAGAGGGAGGAGAGCGAGTCCACATCGTCGTCCGCCCCGGGAGAGGAGGTCCGCGAGACGTCGGGCAGGACAAAGGAGGATGTCGCGGACGAGCTCATTATGTCTGAGGAGGAGAGGTCCGACATGGTGGGGGGAGGAGGAGATGGCGCTGCGGTAGTTCGGGGTCGGATTGGCGGTCGGCAACTCGAGGAATTAAATCGGGGTAGGGTGGAGACGACGGTTTAATCGGGAGCCGGCATCGACTTCTGTCGGGAATGGGAGCTGCCGGAGTTCTGGTCGGAGCCCCTTTGCTGACGGACGGCCGAGCCAAGTTTCAACAAAGTTGTTGTTTGCTTGCTTTGAACGGAGCAGTTCCTCCACCGAGTCCGGCGGCCGGTGTGCGATGCGAGTCGGCACTGTGGCTGTAGTGGGGGAGCTGACAGCAGCTGCCGGGTGGCTTGTGAGTGGCCCGTGTTGCAGGATCCCCCGCTTGTCAGGTGATCGTGGGACTGAGTCACAGTGAAAGGAAGGCCAACGTCATGTGGATGAAGGCTCCCACTTGGTCGGACGACAACAACTTCGTTTAAACACGAGGAAAATACCGCTGTTACAAGCACCAGAGGGTGAAAGAGAGGGTGCCAAGACCTACCGGCTATCAAATCCACAACAGAGTGCCGAATACCGATCAATATACAACCAGCTTGCATAGGAAGAAGAGGCCGGTGGAGTGAGCGACAAGAGAAGCACAAGGGTGGCCAAAGATGACCACTGAAGTAAGTTTTATTTGGTAACCCTCAGTTTTCCCCTCCTCCAAACGACCAACTTCTTTCTGTGACACCACTACCTACGTACCTCACCCCCAAATTTTCAACACATCGTTCCGGGGCATTCCCTCTTTTCTCTTTTACGGGTTTCGCACTTTCAACGCAGCCGATTTCCCAGGGAACTGTCCTCGAAGCGCAATTGTCGGTCTTAACGCACACGGGAATTTTGAACCCAATCTGGAAATCCCGGCACTGACTCACTCCGACAGGAACCTACGATCCAAAGGCGGGCGTCGCGCAAGTCGGTTGCATTTACGGAAGAGAAACTAGTAGTGGACGCCGACGGCAGCGTGACCATGATCGCGACACCAAACGACGACACCAAAGACACAGCCATGTCGCACACACCCCGTACGCCGCCTCTTTCCGCCGCACTGGGGGCGTTTACTGATGCCTCTTCAGCACCCGCCGACGCCGCTGCCCCGGCTGCCGACGCCAACCCGGATGGCCTCGACCTCTCGCTCATGAAGAAGAAGAAGAAGAAGGTCAAGAAGGACGACGACGAGGGGGCCGATAGCGGTGCTGTTGCCGGCGACGAGGAGGCGATCGACCTGTCGATGAAGAAGAAGAAGAAGAAGAAGGCGCCTAAGGAGGAGGACGAGTTTGCCAAGAAGCTCGAGGCGCTGAACCTCGAGGGTGGCGAGGGCGCCGAGGCCCCCGCCGACGAGGGTGTGCAGGACGGCGATATGGACAAGGGTACCGGTATCTGGGGGCACAACGAGTCGCGGACTATTAACTACGACCCGCTACTCTCCCGCTTCTTCGCCCTGCTGGCGCAGAAGAATCCCGACCACGCTTCGACCGGCACCCGCTCTTACAAGATCCCGCCGCCGCAGTGTCTCCGCGAAGGAAACAAGAAGACCATCTTCGCGAACCTGCCGGAGATCTGCAAGCGCATGAAGAGAGCGGACGAGCACGTCACCGCCTACCTCTTCGCCGAATTGGGTACTAGCGGCAGTGTGGATGGCAGCAGGCGGCTGGTCATCAAGGGCAGGTTCCAACAGAAGCAGATTGAGAACGTCCTGCGCACGTACATTATAGGTATGCCAACCATATCCACCACCACTATCTTGCCATGATGCTAACCAGGACCCAGAATATGTGACGTGCAAGACATGCCGGTCCCCTAACACGGAACTGTCCAAAGGCGAGAACCGTCTTTAGTATGTACCCCTCGCCCATATTACCCGGTGATTATTGTCTAACTCGGATCAGCTTCATTACCTGCAACTCTTGCGGCTCTCGTCGTTCCGTCCAGGCTATCAAGACTGGTTTCTCTGCCCAGGTCGGAAAGAGAAGGAAGATGAAGGTCTAAAGTTCTCTGCCTTGGTGCCTTCCTCCCTTTCGGCGTTTCTTTTTCGGTTCCTTCGGTTCCTGTCTGCTCCATCTAGAAGGGGGTCAGGTTCCACAGCACTGTTAGGGTCATTTCTGCCTTTCTTAGCTCTCGGTGGCAGGCCCTGGGACACGATCGAATGACGATGTGACGACGGGCTCATTTGGGATTGGGAGGTGGGGAACCGGTTATCAGGCATGCTGCAGAAGGGACGGACATGGGTTCATCGGCGGCATGGTGAGCATCTGGACGCGGAAAAAGGAGGACAAGCGGTGTTTCTCGGAAGCCGACGACCTGACAAGGTGAAGACAGGCTACGGTTTGTAGTTGCTGCGTTCTGGCAAGGTTGTACCGTCGGACCAGATTGACAGTCAGCGAAAAGGGTGTATACACAGCGGTTACGGATTCTTATGGTGCTGTTTGACTTATTGCTCGCGATTTGTCTGCCAAAACCCGTGAACCAAAGTGGGGTGCTCCTTAAGCTCCATTCCGATTGTAGATCGACTCATTGGATATCTGTATCCCCCTCACCTGACTCCCTCAGGTACCCAATTCCCTTCCACAACTTCACAAACACCACAACCCCCTCACTAACCACGCAACAAAACAACACACCAACACCAACCCCCCAAAAAGACGAACAGAGAAAAAAGAAAAGAAACCCAAAAATGACAATCCGCAAAACCCCCACTGGCACCCTCACCCTCCCCCCGGCCGGCTTACCCTCCCGCAACCCCTCCACCCCCTACTGGTTGCGGGACCCCTCGCCCACGCTCCTCGGCCACCGCGGCACGCCTGACCTACCCGAAACCGCCGACGTTGTGATTGTGGGCAGCGGTATCACGGGGGCGTTCGCTGCGCGGTTTTTGAAGGAGGGCGGTGCGGGTGCGGGTGCGGGTGGTGAGGGGAGTGGTGGTGGGGGGAGTGTGGTTATGTTGGAGGCGAGGGAGGCTTGTTCGGGTGCTACTGGGCGGGTGAGTCGTTGTTCTCTTTAGGTTTCTTTTGTCTCTTTTTGACCGTGTTGGGTCTGTGTTTGGACTGGGGTTGGGTTGTTTGGTTGGGACAGGGTCGGGTGTGTGTTGGTTGGCTGATGGATCGTGATGTGACAGAATGGAGGGCACTGCCAGCCGTTGGTGTACGGTTCGGTGCCGGCTGTGGCGGAGTTTGAGTTGGAGGTGTTTGAGTTTCTGGAGAGGTTTGTGAGGGAAGAGCAGGTGGATTGTGATTGGTATGTTGTTTTATTTCCCCCGGTAACTATCTTTGTTGTCGAGGCTGTGATGATGTTGTTGTTACAAGGCAATATGCTGACCGCAACAGGGCGAGCCTCACCGGCGTACACGCCTTCCTTTCCAAGGACATGTTTGAGCTCGCGGCAGCCGACGCACAGAAACTGCAACAAACCCATCCCGAACTTGCCGCCCAACTCGAGGTAATCCGCCCCTTGGACTCATCCTCCACTACAGAGGAGAAGCAAACCCTCGCCTCCCTCCGCGTCCCGTCCGCCGAGGGCGTGGTCATCCAGAAGAAAGCCGCCTCTCTTTGGCCCTACAAGCTCGTCGCCGCCATCCTCGAGCGCCTCATCACCAGCCACCCGGCCCCAAGCTTCAACCTCCAAACCAACACCCCCGTCACCTCCCTTTCCCGCGCCGAATCCGCCCCCGGCTGGACCCTCACCACCCCCCGCGGCAAGATCACCGCCCGCCAGGTGCTGCTCGCCACAAACGGCTACACCTCACACCTCCTGCCCGCCTTCTCCGACCTGATCGTACCCGTGCGCGGGCAGATCGGCGCCCTCCTACCCCCTCAACACCAACCAGCGGAGCAGCCCAACCCATCCCCCCACCCACCCGCAAAACCCGCAAAACTAACGCACTCGTACGCCTTCGCCGCCGGCCCGGACCCTACCACCGCCGCCGCGCTCGCCGCGCCCCGCGACGACTATCTCGTCCAGCGGCCGCTCCCGACGGGCGAGCTGATCTACGGCGGCGGGCGGCGGCTGGCGCGCGGTCTCGGCGTCGGCGAGTGGCGCGATGACGAGGTCGAGGCGGATGTGGCGCGCTATCTGAGGCGGGAGCTGTGTCCGCCGTTGGATCTCACGCCGGATCTGGGTGTGGATGTGGGTGGGGATGGGGATGGGCAGGGGGGTGGGGAGACGGTAGGGGGGGAAGGTGGGGAGGAGTTGGAGGCGTCGTTTGAGTGGACCGGCGTGATGGGCTATAGTAGGGACCATCATGCCTGGGTCGGGGCGGTGCCCGAGAGTCTGGGCGGCGGAGGGCCCGAGGGGGGACTGTGGGTTTGTGCTGGGTATACGGGGCATGGGATGCCGGCTGCGGCGCTGTCTGCGCGGGAGGTGGTGAGGCAGATGACGGCGGGCGTGGAAGGGGCGGTGCGGGAGGGTCAGGTGAGGTTTCCTAAGGAGTTTGTGCTGGATGAGGAGAGGGTGGTGACGGCGAGGGGACTGCCTCATTTGACGCAGGGCTGGGAGGCTACGAACCTTGCGACGCTGATGGGGTGATCCAAACCCGCACAATGGTGGGAAGGGGGTGTGAAAGCGGAGCTGAGTTTGGGGGCTGTGGATTCTATCGTGTGGGTGTTGGGCGTGTTCAGGCTCGATCAGGCTGGTAAGGACCCGACTGCCATGGCACATCTGGCTCAGCAGACCAATACGTACATGGATATGGCTATCGAGGCATATTTACGCACTAGTAGTTCCACAGATAGGGTTCCAAGAGCTCTACCTACACTACTACGTGTAGAGAAATCGAACAGCATTCAAGTATTATTGAATGCTAGGACTCCTTTTGGGGCACCCTTCGCCCATACTAGCCACATGTCAAAACGGAGGTCACGACGACGTGTGTTGTATAGGCGATAAAGGTGTTATAAACGTCTGCTTTCCACTGGAGATGAAAGCTGTTCGGTGTCCGGATGGTACAAGTAATTCTGATGAAGACTGGCCAGTCGGTGTTGCCGGCTACCTTTGAATAGGAAGTTGTTATGGCACCGGAACTCCAGGAGTAAGGAACGGAGAGCATTTGTAAATTTATCCTCTCAAAGTCACTCCCCTTACCTGGATCGCTGTCGCCTTCTTCCTCTCCTGGCCAGCTCCCAACCGGGCGGACAGCATCCAGCGACTGGCTCAGGAGAACCCGAAAGTGATCGGGCCGGCGCCGAGCAGAGATCATGATTGAACAACGTCAGGGGTTTGAACGTGCCTAATTGAGGCGTGTTGGTGTTTCAACAACTTGGGTGCTTGCATCCTTGACGAGCTAAATCCTTCCATGCACCCTCATCCTCCGTCGTCCCTCTAACACCAAATCACCTCAGCCTCCGTCCTAATATTTCGATCCCCTTTTGCCTCTCGGGCACTCTGTCGCGATTCCCTGCTAGCGGGTTGTACAGTGGTCTCGTTTGTCTCCGCAAGAGAGGTCGAGTAATCGTTCGGGATGGAACGAATTGGGTTTACCTTGCTCCCTTCCCCAAGGAGCATGGAGAAAAGGGGCATTTCGGCTGAGAATTGTCGATAGTTAGGCAACAATAAAAACACGGCACAACCCTCATTGACCAAAGGGAGCTGAGTGATGGCACGTCAAGAAGCAATCCTGCCGGGGACATGGCAAACATCCTCCATCTCAACCGGCGGCGGAGACAGACATAGGTAGCTCTGCCCGAGAGCCGAGGCAAATAGTTTACGCTCCAAAGGGTATTTGGGAACGGCGGTATCCCTTTGGAGCCGGACTCCTTCACTCCTGTGTCGGAATAGCGGTGTTGACGACCACAGCGCAACCATCTAGGGTCGGGACTCAACCATCATGCTCCCGAAAGAACCCCCGAGTCCCTCCTAAATTGCAGAAATGACAATAAGAATGGCATAAAGGGTCGAAGTCCGTCTTACCTCAGAAGCTAAAGCCGTAAGCAGGCAATTTGGTCCATTCGCCCCCCTTGGCTCGTCGCTTTGACTCAGCCAGCACAAACGAAATCCTGTGAGAACAAATGGACTCGGTTCATGGCCGACCTGTTGGAGCTCCCTGCGGCTCCTTGCCCCGCTCGCCGTTCCCGATCCGACATCCGGGACCGAAGGATTGGCGGTTGCCTGAGGGCAAGTGCAAGTGCCGCCGCAGGCAGCAGAATATCGTGTCATATAACACTCCTGGGTCTGATTCTTACGGAAGCCAGACCCCGATTATCGTCACTCAAATTCCGACGACAAACCGATACCGCCAATGAACAGCTTGAGGAAACCGATGGGGAAGGAAAGTGGTGGGGAAAAAAAGAGGTGGAAAGAAATGGTTGAGTGCAGAAGGATTCTGGATATTGCAGGGCAGGAACGGGTCGGTCAGCACCTACCACCACGGACACTACGGCAGCGGCTCTCGGATCCGATCAGTGGGGGCATTCCCGCTAAACAGCCGCTCCAGCCGCTGTAACACACTATCCGGCAGCGGTAGCTTCGGGTCGCACATGCCGGACGATGACCGACCTCCAACGACTGCAGGTGGAATCTCGCAACAACCGACGACAACGACCCAGGCACGCACCAAACACGGCGACCGCACAAATTCACATTTGACTTCACACGACTTCCAATTATCTAGGGAGAGACGATAATAATACTGATTCTTTTTTTATTGTCGGCTTCGCAACATGGCACCCATCACCGACGACGAATGGGCCGACCTCGTCGCTCACGAGCTTCCCAAGACATCGGACTCGGTCATTCAGAATTATCTCGAGAGTCGCCGCGCCTTGATGGCCCAGGAACAGAAACACCGGAGTGGTACTATGATCTCTTGCTTGGTTATATCACCGCCCCGTCCGGCTCATAATTCCTAACCACCACAGGATAGACTATTCCTTCCGACAAGCTCTCTCGCCCATTGCGAAGAGGGCATGTGAGATAGTATCGAGGATCCGCCATGAAGAGACACGGCCTTCGGCCCCCCCACCATCCCAGGAGATGCCTACATCGTGGCAAATAATCAGGCGGATGCCAAAGGGTGCACTGCTCCGCGCGCATTGCCACTCCCTTGTCGACATACCTCATCTCATCGACGTTGCCCTGAACACGCCGGGCATATGCATTTCATGCCCCGACGGTAACCTCGCCACCCAACATGCCAGGAAAGAAGGGCGTCTCCGTATCCAGTTCAGGGCCAAGGCGGACTCCGAGGACGGTTCACTCTGGGGTGACGGCTACGCGCCCAACACCTATATCGCACTTTCCAAGGCCGCGGACGATTATCCCGAAGGAGGCAGGCAGGGATTTGCGGAGTGGTTGAAGGGGAGGCGTATTAACTCTACGCAGGACTCTAATCTCCGGGCGGATCGGGGAACATCGTTGGCCTGCTCAGAGGTCATGAGCGGCATGATCTACTATGAGCCTATTTGGCGGGCATTCCTCCAACGGCTCATGGCCAACCTCGTTGAGGACGGCGTATACTGGCTTGAGCTTCGGTGAGCCCATGATCCTGCCGGGCCTGCGAGATGGGCCTGGCCAATATGTCATTTCCCCTTTCACCGTCGACTCACGCCGACGCTCGGTGGCCAAAGGGGAAGGAGGCCAGGACGACCAGGCCGCTAACACCAAGGAAACAGACTCACATTCCCATTCGGCTATTACCGCGAAGGATCGGAGGACCCGGACCCGGATCACGACCATATGTTCCAAGCAATTGGGGAAGAGGTGGCTAGATTTCAGGCCACCGACTCTGGCCGGCGATTCTGGGGACTCCGTGTCATGTGGTCGACCTCGCGCCGCCATGATCCACGGTCGATCATCGAGGACGCCGATAACTGTATATCAACGAAGCTTCTGTGGCCGCAATTGGTGGCCGGGTACGACCTCGCCGGCCCCGAGCATCTTGGCCGGCCGCTCGCGGACCTGCTTCCCGAACTGTTCTGGTTCCGAAAGCAATGTGCCCTCGAAGACGTGCAGATCCCCTTTTTCCTGGCCGCGGGCGGATCGCTCAATGACGACAACGCCACCGCGGAGCGCAACCTCTTCGATGCCCTGCTCCTCGGAACGCGACGAATCGGACACGCCATGACTCTGCACAAACATCCACGCCTAGTCGAGGCCATCAAGGACAAACGGATACTCGTGGAAACACCCGTGGTGTCTAGGCATGGACCGCACGCGGCGTCAACAGGCAGCGGGATGCCCCACTCTCTCCCAATTTTGTTGGCGCAAGGCGTGCCCTGCGCCCTCTGCGAGGATGATGTCGGAATTCCATCACGGCAGGGGCGGCATGGCGGCTCCCCGGCAACCAACATTTTCTGGGGTGCATTCCAAGCCTGTGACAGCACCGACCTCGCCACCTTAGGATCACTAGCCGAGAATAGCGTGCGTTGGTCCGCCTTCGAGGATCAGGACGCGGAAATGTGGTACGTTTAGCTTCCTCTTTTGTCCTTCTACCTGAGCTCGTTGGGCGAGTACCGTGAGAGGATATTCGGCTGCCTAACGATATTGCTACACTGCCCACTCTCTCTACCATAGACCCCGCGTCGGAGCGCGTCAATGAGGTAGGCTGACATTTTTCCGTCTTCGAGGGCGCGCGACGTCCGCGCGGCAAGCGTGGGGGCCGGAACGAAAGCAGCTCGCTTACAGCAATGGGTCGTCGAATGGGAGCGTTTCTGTTTATGGGTCGTTACAGAATACAGCGACACGCACGGCGACGGCGAAGACGGTGATGCCGACAAGCCGTTGACTCACCAGCCACCTTTGAGCCGAAGTTTCACTTGAGCGGCTTTGGTGGTGTGGGTGCAGACGCCGCCGGGAGAAGGCGCGGGCCCGGGTCCGTGGTTGAGCTTCCGACCTCCCTCGCTCTGGTAGGCTTGGCTCGGGGCGATGCAAGTGAGACGACTGAAACATGGTGTCGCTGTGGCTTCGGACCTCTTCGACTCCTCGGCGCGGCATCGCGATGATGAGATGTTTCACATTACGGCGCAGCGTTGTATTGGGGGCCAGGACGCGGCTATTCATTTTTTGCCTTCGCCCCTGGCAGATTTTTGCCTTTGTTTCTCGATTTCCAGCAGACGACAGCTGCTGTCTGTCGGAATATGCGTCGAAATCTGTTTCTACCCGATTTCCAACACCGAGAAAGTGTCGGGTTCGACGCCACGCATCAGTCCCCTGTAATATTTTGACAAAGGATTGCGGTCGAGGATTCCTGGCCGAGTAATGGGCCGGGAACAGAACGGCGAACACACCCAGCTTCGCTGTCCTTTCAACCTCTCAAATCCATCTTGAATCCGTCCAATTCCCTGTATATGTTCGATGCCGTGCTCCAGCACCAATCGCAACACCGACAAGGGTTGAATCCCACGACGCTAAGGAGCGCGCCGGCGCTGCAAAGCCACAAGGCGCTTGTTTCAACCTTTGACGACAACACATCAAACCCCGGAAAGCCGCCTCGCGCTCAGCCTTGTTCTCCGCGCCTGGAAATCGAGATTAGGGTTAAGGCAAACCACGAACCCCCTGTCTTCGCCGAATCCTTCCTCCCCAAAGAAAGGGCGACAACCAACCCCAACAGCGAACTCATCTGATCCCAGCCCTATCGGGAACCCCCGTCGTCCCCGTGCTCCCCGTGCTCCCCGAGCCCCCGGACCTGGGCATGCATCGATTCCTTCCTTCCTGTATGTAACGCTGGACATGTATGTATGTACGTATGTATGTCTCATGTGTAATACATGTACACCCGCCGTTACACCACACACCACACCGCACCGCACCGCACCCCAGCGCCGCACACGTTGCCCCGGCAGGAATGTGCCCACACGTGTCCCTTACGTGTCGGGTTACACGACTGAACGCTGGAAAAGGGTTGTCAATCAACGACTCCGATTTGTCATACGACTATGTATAGACATTTATTCAGACCAACTACCGTCTTTGGACAACCTGCAGACTGCAGACGGCATTTTTAGTAATGTAAGCGACCCCGAAGGGGAAATCGGGAAGGGCAGATCGAACCAAACCGGACTATTGGGGTGGGTGGTGCAACTTTTGGAAGCCAACGACGACAGACACATCAGAAGGATCTGGTACAACCATGGTAACTGCCTCTGCCCGTTCGCTTGGTACGTAACCGGGGAAAGAAATTACGGGGCCGCCGGCACGATGGGCTGCTGCACGTTCAGGGAAGCTAACCGCCAGGAATCGCTGCCCCGGGAAAAGCTTGTCGACCCGGGCCGGGGGACTGGGTCAATTTTAAAATCACATGATCGAATGCGAGAAGCACCCCGGACGCTGTTGCTGCAGGGTGAAGGGGGGGTTGATGGAGGGAGGCAGTTGGGGCTTGGGGGGGACTGCAGGAGAAGATTACGTATTTTTGTGTATTGGATGTTGTAATTGTGCATATGTGCGGTTGTACATACATACATACATCGCTCCCTCGTTATCTCTCTGCCTTAAAGGCCCGAACCGGCAAGATTACGCAACGACAGGTGGTACAGAGTAACATAACAGCCTTGGAGCGTGTTGAGGTGGCTTGACGGAACAAGGCAACAGTGTTCGGAACTGCGAATACACCCGACGGACGGACTTAAGCTGCTAAACAATGAGAAAGCCGGCGTAAGCTCCGGGTAAGCTAGAAAGGGCATTCGTATTGTTCGGGTTCGGCTGGACTCGAAGGAGTGCAGTGCCTGTGACTTGCAAGGTGCGTGGGCCTCTGAGGGAAGGCCCGCGTGCCCCGTAGAGTCATGAATGTGTGTTACTGCGGCAGGTTTCAGGAAATCTTTTTTTGGTTCAAGAAAATAGGATTGGTTTGCCCAAGAAGACATCTATCTATCGTCATAGCTCAAATCGTACATGGTAAAAGAAACAATGACAAAGGACAAAAAACAAAAACAGTAAACGTGGTAACAGAAAAACAGGGGTATGGTAAGCATATCAAATCCGGCAAGTACACGGCACAGTTGTGCCTCAGGTCGTTTCGCATGATAACAGATAACATACGGAAAAAAAAAGGAGAAAAGGGAAAACCTGGGGCGTGCTAGATGTTGGCCGCCCAGACGTTATCGAGCCACCCCCTAAACGTTAGGGGCTGCACCTGGGTAGCCTCGTTGAGGTTGGCTTGCCGAACCTGATATCGCCCGTTGGCTGTCTGGAGGAGCCTCTGGAAATAGTACCACTGCGCCCAGTCGCCGCTTTGCTGGCATGCCTCGGCCTGGGTTTCCACTTCCTGGTAATGGCGGGTGACAAGACTGATAGGCACTGTATCATTGTTAGTTTGAAGACCAAGACAAGGGAGAGAGAGAAGGAGAGGGACTGACCTCCAAGGGCGTTGGAGCATGTCTCTACCAGCTCCTGAGCCGTCACGGAATCTCCTCTCATCCTAAACTCCTTGGGCCAATTGTCGAGGCCCAGTTCAAGGGCGGCCGTGATAAACTGGGCGACGTCGTACACCGAGGTCATGGATATCCGGACAGGCCTGCCGCTTGAGTTCCCCAAGATAATCTCCGCCCTCGCTTCCTGGAGGTTGACCAGATAGTCGTCCGGGCCCTGTATGCCGCTTCCCGCGCCGATTCCGTACGTCTGCAATCCGCCAGGACCGAAACGTTCCATAAAGATGCCGCAAGAGAAGACGGTATAGCGCAACCGATGAGACTTGGATTGTGACCAGCCCTCTAAAAGCTGTAGGGCTGACTGCGAGCCGCGGTCGAGGGGGTCGTTTGCCGGCCGGTGGCTGAGATCACCCTCGAATTCGGACGGGACAAAGACCCTCACGCGAGCCCGCCGGGCAGCGTCGATGAGGTTGAGCTGCTCGTTACCGGCGATGGTGGAGATGACCAGGTCCACACCCTGGAGGGTATACCGGAGGTTCTCGACATCGTCGTAGTCGACGATGGCTACTTGGCATCCGGGACAGCATTCCTCGAGTTCGGGGTGCGGCTGTGGCATAGTGAGCAATGTGATACTTCGTGATACAATAGGAACGGGGGAGACTGACGTTGCGGGAGAGGACCAGAAGAGCATGCGCGGTCTGGCTGACCTGCTGGGCCAGGATCTGGGCAAAGCCGCCGGCACCGGCAATGGCGATTCTCATCATGGCAGGCTGGCTGGACCTTTGCTTCATGGTGAAGACAGAGAGTGAGGGCGGTGGTGATGTGAGAGTCGAGGGTGTTGAGGGGGTCGAGGGTGGTGCTTCTTAAAGGCCGGCGGTGGTTGCGATGTGCTCTGAGACGGTTGAGGACGGTAGGGAGTCACAAAGCAGCTCTTATATATCAGAGGACTTCTCTCTATGAAGGCGATGATCTCATGGTATTATGGCACAGCAGGGCCATCCATAGAAGCCACGGGTTAGGGGCGCAGGCTCGAGGGCTACTATCAAGCCCAAGGCAACCAGGGGACAAGACGATGAGGAGGTATGTGGTGAACGATTGGCACAAGAACGCAAGCAAGGATGTTGAACATGCTTGGACCAAGTGCCCAGGCCATCTCGATCCTGAGGCGTGTGTGTGCCAAGGAAAGGTACTTGGGTGAGGCGGAAGCTTCCTTCGGGCGGCACAGGGGCGTGTGAGTCGAACGGCTAACTATACCACGTCAAACGACTGCGGGTTGTTCCTCGCCAGCATGTACTTGGTACCAATACCGATCTCGGCAGCCAGTATGCAGACCCCGAACGTGTGCCGCATGGTGGTACCCGCAGGCCATGGCGCCGGGTTCCTGTGTAGAATCCCAGGTTACCTGCATTCATACCACCAGGTACGTACCTTTAGGAGGACGGCCGGTGGAACGGTGTACGGTGGGGAAAAGGAAGGTCCAGCAGGCATCGGCCGGGGCCCTTTAGAACGGTACCCTGTCACGAGCAAGCTGCTGCCGATGGACGAAAGTGGCATGTTACTGTCACGCCTAACGCCCACGGCCCGAAATCGAGGGGGAAGAACCATCTCATGACTCTGATTCGGCCGTCTGATCATGGCAGTGACCCCCTCAGGCCGTTGAGAGAGTGGAACGAACCAGGCTCCCACTATGTGGGTCGAATTCGCCCAAGTTTGAGGGTGTGAAGGCCGTTCGAGTAATTTGGGGGCTTTTCTGGACGGGGGTCGGGAGATAGCCGAGAAAGCGGAATTCCACCCCTCTGGACGGGGTTGGAACAACCAACTCTCACTAACTAAGGTAGGTGGATTCTCCCGCGACCGAAGGCGGCTACCACCTCCCGACGGTACAGTACAACTGTACATAGTTACAACATGTGGCCGACGAGAGCGGTCTCAGGAACCGGGCTTCGCCGGCGGCGAGCGTGGCAAAGCGGCACTTCAGACGGGCGGGGGCAACGTGCCAGCATCCTCAAACACGACTTCGCCCGGTTTCGAGATGGTGAAGAAAACAAAGAAGAAAAGAAAAGAAAACGGCGCCGAATTGTACGTTTCAGAGAGGCCGGCTATGGGACAGAAATGTCTCGGTTGGGCGCCCAAATTTAGCGCTCTGCGGAAACTCGGGGAGATGGGGCTGCGCCGAGTTCTGGCCCGCTCCGGCAGGGTTGTTTGTTCGGGTGGAAAGATGGGTAGGGACCGGCAGCTGGGGGGGTTGACGGGGGGTTGGACGCAGGTATCATCGGACGATTCGATGAACCTGTAGGTACTTGGGTTCGGTATTGACCAAGAGTGTTGACAGGCACAGTGGGCGAAATAATCTGAAATTTGGAATCTCGGTTGTTTACTCGCGCGGCCACGAAATTGTGGAAGAGTCGGCAAGAGAGCCTGAGAATAAAACGTGAACATTGGCCAATTGCAACACCGCACAAACCCCGTATGCAAGCAAACCTTCCAGGGGTGCTTGATCGGATGCCAAGCATCGTCAACTCCCCTTATTCGGGAAGGCACGAGACCGGGTGACTGCCCGCGGCGGCGGGAGGGCGGAGATGCCCAACTCTTGCCTCTGAGCTTCGGTCGCTTCAGTGTGACGGCAGCCGGGCGACTGTCAATAGCTCGAGAACAACTCCGCCATACCATACCAATGCAGTTAACGCCTATGGAGATGTTACAACCTACGTTAGGCTAATTGGGGGCCATTTTCCGCCCGCGCTTGTGCACCTGACGGCGGCAAAGTGTTGCCGAGGGAGGCTTGGAAGCTCGCAAATCCCCGGCTCGTAGGATTATGATGGCTCAACAAGCAGGCGGCTCAATGGCGTGGGGCCCAATTCCCGCCATTCAGTGCCTCCGTCCATTTGCCCTTTAGGTTCCTTGACAGGCCGAATCTCAGGTGCCAAGTACGAACACTTCTCTGAAACTGAAGTCGGATTGCGGAGTTGCAAAGCCCACCCAGATGAAAGATTTGGTAATCGGACCCGCTGCGGGAAGGAACAAGTCTCCACATCATGCAAGATACTCCCCGCAGGCTGTGTGGCTCGTGCAGTGCTTGCAGATGGAGCTTGTCCCGACGAGGAGTGACTCGCAGGGATCATGCGACCCTGTTCTTCATCTCCACAATTTCCCCCTGACCCCCAATCTTCATCCGGGCTTGTTCTGACAAACCACCGTCTCGACTTTGTACCTACTCGGTAGAGATTACACAGTAAGAAAACAAGCACTCATCGAAATCATCCTCGTTGCCCCTACCTGCCAGATTATACAAACAGTACGGGGAAATAGAGTCATCAGATGTAAAAAGTAGGTCTTGGCTCGTTCACGAGCAACCATGTCGGCGATCCTAACAAACCGTGGGGGCGGCCAGTGCTGAGGGCCCGCCTCGGAAACCAACCTCTCGTGGCCAGTCATTTTTTCAACGACATGCCGGGTTACTCACACGAGATTTCTCGCCGTACTATCTATGCCACAACATGGTGTACGCCACAGTGGCTCCTTCGAGCACCTTCGCCTCATGATAGGGCTGAACTGTTCGAGGCCCCCGATGGCTACCACCTAGCTGCCGGAATTCACCACGCCGTCGCTACGGCACGGAGGTGCTGCGGTCGATATGCAGGAAGTCTGTTGCCATAGTGAGATATCAGCCCTGCATATGGTTTCAGGATCAAGCGTTGGCTCTCGATCGAGGTACCCCTCGCTCAACGGTTCGGCGATCTAATTTGAGTTACATTCCCCTGACAAGACGCCGTAGAAGCCACGTTTCCGACATAGATGGCGTTTTATGCTTCTAACTCGCCGCACCTAGATCCAGATCCAGACATATATCGCGACGCATAGTTATCCCGGATCCGAGGCAGAATAACGCCTTCCATCGGCCGCCACGGCCGCGCATCACAGTTTGCCCAACAGACAACACCTACATCACGATCGATCATTGGTACTCCGGCAAGATGTCCCGCATTCTGCTGCCTAGCTACTCTAACCAGCCCAACCAGCCCAAAATGCGTAGCCTCTCAGAGCCTTGGAATCCCCTTCCAATCTCCGGGGGGGTATCATCATCTCACACGAAATCCTTCCTGCGCCATGTCCCAACTCACAACAGCCAAAGAAAGTAAACAAAGAACCGCCGCCCACATCCGCGAAGCGCCACCACCACCCCCTCTCTCAACTCGAAACAATCACGACCGGTCGCGCGCCTCAGCCTGCTTCTGGATGTCGAGCTCGGCCCCGCGCTGCTGCGTCTTGCCGGCGTCGTGCTGGGCCTGGTACTGATCCTGCTTGGAGCGGTCGCCAGTCAGGCCCGCCACAGCGCCGCCGACAGCACCCGACACGCGGTCGCCCACGCCCGACGTGAAGTCGTTGATCTGCCCGCGCGCTTCCTGCTCCTGCCCGGACCGGTTCTGCTCGCGCCCGGCCTGCTTGAGGCTCTGTAGCACACACGGGCGGTGGTTAGTAATCGGTATTCGTGTAAGTGGGTTGGGTTGGGTTGTGCGTGGGACACGTACCTCGTTGCCGACGACGCCGCCGAGGAACTCCTTGGCGGACCCGGCCGTCTGGTTCCACGACCCGGCCGAGCGGTCGGGGTCGTCCCTGGCCACGCCGGACGAGGAGACGGTGCCGCCCGGCACCTTGACCGCGGCGTGCGAGGCGTCGTGCTCGGCCTCGGCCTTTTGCTGCTTGACCTTGCCCTGGGCCTGTTGTTGCCGTGAGGGTTAGCGATGTTGCTAACAATGCCATGCTGGTATGTGGTGCTTACCTCGTCGCCGGTGCTGCCAAAGAGGCCGCCCGCGGCGTTCTGCACCGCGCCGGTGGCGGAGTCGACGTAGGACTTGAGGGTAGAGTTGTTGTTGTTGGCAGACATGGTGATGGTTGGTGGTTGATGGCCGAGATGTAAGTGAATGGTTTTGTTTTAGTGTTGCTTGGTGATGAGGTGTTGTTGTTACTATTGTTTGATGATATGAGATGGATTGAGAATCTAGAAGTAAAGAGACTCTCTTATATCTTCAACTTCCAGCAATTGAATCCACTATAGTCCACATTTGATGCCCGGTTGTTGTCGGATGTGATGTTGGAGTTCGTGATGCATCAGAGTGATGATGTCATAGCTGGGTCCCTGAGGCGATGACGTCATGTCAGACCCCTGCGCAGCTCATCGCCGCATCTCGCATTATGGGACGAACTTTGACATGTGCACACATCATCGCCCTTCATAGGGTCAATTTCAAAGTAGGGTCCTCTATGCAAATGGAGCTTTTCAGCTGTGATGGCCTGAGAATGCATGCAATCTACCAAAATCCTACTTTTCTAAAGTGTTTTACTAGAATTTCCCACATGAAGCAAACTGAATGCATCGCAATCCGCCGAGGGCCGGTTGCTGCTTCCCCAGTCACTTACTCACTTGTGACTCGAAGTTCAATTTTGATTTCGAGTCAGAAGAAGGTGCGATTAAGATTAAGTTGTTTCTGATCGAGACAGAACCAATCAACCACTGCATTTCATAGTGCAAAACATGTAAAAAGGCAGATTTGAGCTACAGCATCTAATTCGGAATGCCCTCAAAAAGGCCTCCTACTTCCCTCAACGGATGGATCGGAAAACCAGTCAGTCAATGCGAGCATCGGGCTTTGAGACTCGCCAATTTACGAGCCCCGGATACTTTCATACAGGGGACACAGTGTTTTGCTCCCAGGTGCAAGACTGCGCCTCCCTAACCCCTCAACGTCGCGTTGAGGGCATTCACAGCCACGATTCTCCAGAACACTCAGGCCCTGCATCCCTGGGCGACTCCACCTCCAATGCAATGCAAGGCGACCTCAATCCACGGACTTTTCTTCTAGCAAATGGGAGTCAACGGAGCCATCGCCATGGATGTTTCCTCCCTGAAAAAGGAGGGAAAAACAATTGAAGGGGAGGGAGGGTACCAATCCCTGAGGTTGGGGACGGACACGGCTTGCCATTGAGACCCCCCCCCCCCCCCCCCCCCCCCCCCCGGCCCCCCGTCCACCACACAACCAGAAGAAGAAAAGAAGCCATGCACATGCACATCTACACTAATAGTTAGTGACTTGAATGCAGGGAGGGATATTCTGGAGGCTGGAGTTGTCAGCTTCCGCTTGGACCGGTCAGAAAGTCACGCCCATGGAGAGGCCTCCCGGCTAAACCGACACCTCCATGCCTCCAGAAAGAGCTCCATACATAGAATAGAGCCTCACCCAAGCCCAAAGGATGTCTTAGCGGTGTGACAGTCCATCGGTCACACAGGGCACGAGCTATTTGAGGGTATTTTCGCGAGGCCGTCGTCGAGGACGACATGGATGGGGTCGGGCCCTAAACGGTTTCGAGCCGTTTGCACCCCGAGGTGCCGTGTTGTCACCCCGGACCATAGACCCATGGACCATGGCCATGACATGTCGGCGTGGCTGACTCGCGGCGTCTCTGGATATCTCACACTTGTACCGGTGACCTGCCGGCCAGGTGCGATGGATCGTGGTCTCATTCTCTTGGGTCGGCCAACAAAATACATGATATGATACAGATTGCTTGCTTGGTTGCTTGGTTGCGCCAGGCCTAGCCGAAGGTCATTGCTCGCCTTTGTGATATGTACTCTCAAATACCCGCCCGATTCACCAATCCCCCGAACTCCTTGAAATCCCAAACTAGTGCTGAGTCCACTCAATCGTGTTGAGGTCGACACCCTCCTGCACAAGCTCCCACAGGGGGCTGAGCTCGCGGAGGAACCCGACGCGCTCCTTGACCGCCTTCAGGACGTAGTCGATCTCGGCTTCCGTCGTGAACCGGCCGATGCCAAACCGAATGCTGGAGTGGGCATTCTCGTCACTGTTGCCGAGCGCCCGCAGAACATAGCTTGGCTCGAGCGACGCTGACGTGCATGCACTGCCCGAGGACAACGCAATGTCCTTGAGCGCCATGAGGAGGGACTCGCCCTCGACGTAGGCAAACGACACGTTCACGCAGCCGGGGTAGAAGTGGTCGGGGTCGCCGTTCTGGTTGGTGTGCTCCATGGACAAAAGGCCGTTGAGGAGTCGGTCCGAGAGGAACTTGACTCTCTTGTGGTCATACTGGTCACTGTTAGTAACCGATTCAGGTAGAGATGAAATGGGCAACGTACCTGAATCTCCTCGGCCGCAATGCGGCACGCCTCTCCGAACCCGACAACGAGAGCAGGGGCAAGCGTGCCGCTGCGCAGACCGCGCTCCTGTCCACCACCGCTGATGATGGGCTCCAGTCTGACCCTCGGGCGACGGCGGACGTAGCACGCGCCTATCCCCTTGGGGCCGTAGATCTTGTGCGACGAGATGGACATGAGGTCTACGTTCATGGCGTTGACGTCGAGCGGGATCTTGCCAACGGCCTGGGCCGCATCGGTATGGAAGAACACCTTGTTCTCCCGGCAAATCTTTCCGATCTCGGCCATCGGCTGGATGACGCCGATCTCGTTGTTCACTGCCATGATACTAACAAGCGCTGTCTCGGGGCGGATCGCAGCCTTGAGCTTGTCGAGGTCGACGAGTCCGTTATTGTTGACGGGCAGGTAGGTGACCTCGAAGCCTTCGTCCTGCAGGTTTCGACAGCTGTCAAGCACGCACTTGTGCTCTGTCTGAGTGGTGATGATGTGCTTCTTCTTCCCCGACCGGCCAAAGAACCTGGCCACGCCCTTGATGCTCATGTTGTTGCTCTCGGTGGCGCCGCTGGTGAAGATGATTTCTTTGGGATCCGCGCCAATCAAGTTCGCGATATATTCTCTGGCTTGCTCCACGGCATGCTCACTCTCCCAGCCATATGCGTGTGTCCTCGAGTGGGGGTTACCGAACACGCCGGTGTAGTATGGGAGCATGGCATCTAGCACGCGCGGGTCTAACGGTGTTGTGGCCTGCATGTCGAGATAGATGGGCCGTTGGCCCTCGTCCAGCTTGACGGCCTGCTTGAGGACATCTGGTCTCGGATATTAGCGCTATCCGGCTCAGTTTGCGCGCAACAATGTCTTACCAGCCATCGGGCTGACGTGCGTCGTTGACCCATTTTGGGTCTCGAGTGTAGCTCCCGCCTTCTCCAGCTCAGCTCTATCTAACCGGATAGCCGTGTCTACCTGGACCTGCGCATGGTCGGGCTTGCTCTGGGTCACATAGCACCTCTGGCAGGTACTGCGTGCCGCAGCGGTCGTCGGCCGCGATAGGACCGGAACGCCGCGTCGCGTTGCGGCCTGAACGGATGATCTCGACGCCAGACGAGACGCCTGCCGGAGGACCGATGGTGCGATGTTGGCCATGATAACGGGGATCCGTGGTGATGGCGATGCCCGGGAGAAAAAGTTCAGGGCTCTGAATGCGGGATGAACGGAGCTATCGGTTTTGTGGCGGGTCCCCACTGCGGGATGAGTGGGATGGGCTTGGCATCAGAGAAGTTCGCCATGTTAACTCTAATTGGCTCCATTGGGCTGTGCACCCACTATTTACCGATCCGGGGCACAAATCGCCGGATTTTGTCTGCTTGTCAGCCCAAGAAACTGGAATGAGTGAATGACGAACTTGACAGGAGCGGTCAGTTTGCGACTGGGGTTGCCGGGGCTTGGAGTGCTTATTTTGTATCTACATATCTTACCAACGCGCCCGAGTCAGCAGCATCAAGCAACACTCTCATTCAATTTCGCACAGCTCTCTCTAATAACCACCTCGCTCTCGGCCGAACGTGGTGCTTCATTGCGCTCGGCATTCAACTCCCGAACCGGACGACTTCATTGGCAGCATTCCAGCCTTGGCAGAGGGACAGAATCGGTTTTTGGGCGGCCGGCAGCGCCACCCTCCATCAGCCAAGGAAAACTGAAGCCCGGCTCCGCCCCGAGAACATCGTCATCGCCCCGAACGGCGTCAGGCGCAATTCTCGAGAGAAGGTCCCCCTAAAAACTCCCCGCAAAGGCCCCGACGCCGACCATTATTTTACAACATTCAAATACAAACCGACGGCCGCTTTCCCGCTGAATAGCAATATTGCCACCGATATAAACGAATAATACGCAAAGAATGAGTTTTAAGGGTCTGCAGAAGGGGTTGGCTCGCGTAAGTTTTGTTGCTGCCCCGCAATGAAGCTTGACTTGCTTCCAGCTCAACCCGTCTCCTCTCTTCAACCCAGCAACATGAATGGATCTCTTCAGAAAGAAAACTAACCTCGGACACGACGACGACGACAGGCGCCCCAACAATTCAAGGTGAAATTCAACATTGGCGAGCACACCAAGGATGCCGTCTACATCGACTCGGAACGGCGGTTCGACGAGCTCGAGAGCGAGACGAAGCGGCTGCACGATGAGAGCCGAAAGTACTTCGACGCCATCAACGGCATGCTCGCGCACCAGATCGCCTTCTCCCAGGCCATGACCGAGATCTACAAGCCGATTAGCGGCCGGGTGTCGGATCCGGACTCGCTCGTGGTGCACGGCAACCCCGAGGGCATCCGGGCGTGCGAGGAGTACGAGGCCGTGGTCAAGGACCTGCAGGAGACGCTGGCGCCAGAGCTCGAGATGATCGAGAGCCGGGTGATCCGGCCGGCCGACGAGCTGCTCGACGTCATCAAGGTGATCCGCAAAACGGCCCTCAAGCGCGAGCACAAGAAGCTCGACTACGACCGCCGCCGGGCCACGCTCAAGAAGCTGCAGGACAAGAAGGACAAGACGGCCAAGGACGAGAAGGCGACGTGGAAGGCCGAGAACGAGGTGGAGCAGTCGACCCAGGAATTCAACTACTTCAACGACCTGCTCAAGGACGAGCTGCCCAAGCTGTTCGCTCTCGAGCGCGAGTTCATCCAGCCGCTGTTCCAGTCCTTCTACTACATGCAGCTCAACATCTTCTACACCCTCCACGAGCGCATGCAGCGGGTAGATATCGGCTACTTCGACCTGACGCTCGACGTGGAGGAGGCCTTCCTCAAGAAGCGCGGCGACGTGCAGGAGCGCGCCGAGGCCCTCTCCATCGTCAAGTTCAAGACCAGCGGCCAGAAGCGCCCGCCCAAGTACGGCCCCAAGCCGCGCCCGGCCGCCCTCGAAGGGGGCTCCAACACCGCCGGCTTGCTCACCGCAGGGCCGTCCCACCCCTCCCCGACCCCGGAACTCGAACCCACAAACCCCTCCACCGGTGCCGCCGCCATCCCCCTCCCCCCACCAGCCTCCACCTCCCCAGCGCCCTCCAAATCCCCGGTACCCGCCGCCCTCCGCCCGACCTGGCAACCCCGCCAATCCGAAGTCACCGACCACCCACCGCCACCCTATTCCCCCGGCCTGCCGGGCGCCAACAGCAACAACGGCCCCGTATCCCCCGCACTAGCGGCCGCCGCGGCCGCCAAGTCCAAGCCGCCCCCGCCCAAGCCCAAGCCCAGCCGGCTGTCGGCGACGCCCAAGGTCGAGACGGTCACGGCGCTGTACGACTACGCGGCGCAGGCGGAGGGGGATCTGAGCTTTCGGGCTGGGGATGTCATTGAGGTGGTGGCGAGGACGCAGAATGGGAATGAGTGGTGGACGGGGCGGGTGGAGGGGAGGGAGGGGCAGTTTCCGGGTGGGTTTTTCTTTTTTTCGTTTTTTTTTTCTTCTTTTCTCCCCCCCTTTTGTTTTGTGGGGTGGCTGGATGATTGAATGATTGAGTGATGGACTGATTGACTGACTGGGTGGATAGGGAATTACGTGCAGTTGAATCCGTAGCGCCGATACCTCCGAGCGGAAGAGACGGGGGATGTGGCGGGGGCCTCGATACCGTTGAAGACGTGGCAGGGTGCAGTGAGGGGGTGATTTCTTCAACACCGCACACGTGGGATGAGCGCCTCGTCGTGGGTGTGAATTCAGTGGTCGGGGCATGGGGAAAGGGGGGTTGGATTGTGAGTAATGGGAGGCGATGCTGGGGGGATGGCATGGCATTGCGTCGCGTGTTTTATCTGTGACGTAACTGACTCAAGAGAGCCGCTGGACGCTGGCTGGTGATGGCGTTGCTGTGTGCTTTTTGTGTGCGCGTGTGTGTTATGCGTTATATTTGGGGATTTGTCGTTGCTGCTCGTGTGGGATGGGGACAACAGCAGAGTACGCGCAGCATCAGTACCTTCGTTATACCACTGGCGTTTACTATGGAGGTTCTAGACAAACCCGTGGGGGTTGGGGAGTTGGTAGAGAGGCAATTTTGAGAAGTTGGCAAATTGTACTTGGGAGCCGCATGGCGTGCTGGACATACTTGTTCAAGCTTTGTTCCGGGGGGGGGGGGGGCGGGGGGGGGGCTGTGTCAAGTCTTTCTCACCCTTGGTCCTGATGGGGGTTGGTTGCTGAGCTTGTTTCACGCGTTATATTATCTACAGCCAATACCCAGTTCGGCTCACCGAAGATAGCCATTTGACAGGTTGGGGGATATGGAGGAAGTGAGATGTTGTTGGTTGGCTCGCTTTCACACACGTGGGACTCGCAACGCAACCCGCTCGATTCTCTCATCATAACTCCCACGGAGTCCGTGTTTCTTGTTAGCGGGTTGGCCGGGTTATCAAATGCCCCCACGCCGTGTTTGACAGCGTGAGCATGTGGATCGCCGATTAGTTGTTGGTTGGTAGAAGCAAGAGCGGGATATGTTCGTTCCAAGGGGAAAGAAGCACATATGGTCTGTGGTGTACCGCGAGCTCCGTGACACTGAACCATGGAACTTTGGAGTGTGGAGGAGGGATTCGGGCCATGAGGGCATCGTCGTTTTTGGCCTTTCCGTTCTCCGCGTTCTATGTTTATACGGACAAAGACGAAATATCAGAGTATCGCCAAGATTGGCCTATAATCCAGGAGTATCATTTCTCCGGTCTGACTCAGGTGGGAAGTCCGAGGGAAATATGCCTTGTCATGCAAATGTTCCCGCAAGGCTTCCTGAGATTTACAGTCCCAAAAGACGTGGTGTAACACTGCTGGGCTTGCCGAAAGCTGCCGGACACGCACATGTTTGTGGAACAGGAGCTCGGAAAATGAGCTGGCTACCACCCAGGATCCATCCACGGAAAAGTGAGTGTGTATCACTGCTCATATTGGGTTACACATACCATGTATATAGCATGCGTTCTGTAACAAGGTCCTTCCCATGGATCATGGTTTATGTATGTATGTAGGTTGTTTCTCAAAATAGCATATTTACGACTCCGAGCCCCTTTCCCATACCAGCCGGGCAAAGCGGACCCCGGAAAAAGGAGACGGGGGAGAGGGGTAAGTAAAGTGAGGCTGTCGCGGGAGGAAGCGCTTGTCACGCGGCTCGATAGATTACTTATGCAACACTGGATCAAAGCCTCGTCACGCAATTCACGCAATTGCTCTCTTGGGAAAGTCCGACGCCCTCTGTATGTATTCCGATTGTCCAGACGTACATACCTGGAGACCTCTCGGGGCTGTTTGCCCCGAGGAAGAAAGCACCTAAACTCCGATTGTTCCCCCCCCCCCCCCAATTCTTTTCCCTCCTTTTATTTTCCCCTCTTTGCTCTTTTCCTCTTTTCTCCTTCTGCATGTTGGGCCATTCGATGCTACCAAACCGCCCCCAGCCCAACGTGCTGCTTCTGTAACCGCGTCTGCCCGTGACACCAAACCCCATCGGATGAGCTGCATGAGATCTCCCTTGGGGCTCTCCTGGACCCAATAGGGAGTTACTTCCCCCCTCCGTCCGAGCCCAGCGCGAAGTTGAATCGGCCAGTCCCGCAGCGGGGGAAATCCCGCGGCTCAACGGCAGAAGTGGAACCCCTTGGAGATGTCACGGTACATTGCACGCTGAGACTTCCTCCAAGACACACGTCTGGGCTGAGTTGCCCCGCTCGGGTGTGTGTTTCCATCATTACTAGTGCCCGCCACGCTTTCCCCTTCCCCTCCCATGGATGCCTTGGCCACCGGGCGGGGCATGGGGCTGTGAGCCCAGCTTCCTGGCCTGTCGATGCCCAAATCGCCCGGGTATGGGGCCGTGCCAGCGAGGTGGATGGAGGGGTCCCACGAGACAAAGACCAGCGCCTTGCGGCCTTCGCCCATGGGGCCAGTGGCGTAGACAATGGAGCGGTCGTCCCAGCTGCCGTGAGGGTTCCCGATGTATTCCGGCGGGTTGAGGATCTCGTACAGCTTGGCGAGGGCGGGGTCGTTGACGGCGGGGTCCTGCTTGGGCGGCCAGAAGAGGCCGGCGTCGCTTCTGTAGATGCTGTCGATCTGTCGCAGGAGTGTTTCGTGGTCCTGCTCTCCTTCGGGGGCTTCCGGGAGGCTCAGCTGGGCGAGCTCGCCCGGCGTCCATGGACGGCGCGTGCCCCCCCGGAAGCGTAGTTGTTGATCTTGCGGATCGAATGTGCTAGAATCATCCACTAGATCGATGGAGGTCTGGCATCCTGGGTGGTAGGAGCGTACGGGGCACTTGGTGAGCGTAATATCCTGGGCGGAGCTGTCGTCCTCCGGATGGACCATGTGAGGGTCTCGCGGCCACCTCTTGGGGCCGGCTCCCTGCTGACGCTTAGTCGCGGAGATGTCCGACCCGATATCCTCCTCGGCCGCGTCAAAGTTGATTGCAGTGGTATAGTATGTGCGCCTCCCTATGATCCGGCCGTTCAGCCACTCCTTCCGAGATTCGACAGCCTTGAGCTGGCCAGTGGCCTCGTCCTTGAGGAGACGGAGGAAAGTCCATCTATCGTCCAGGGGGCCCTCGGTATGATCTCTCCGCCAAATATCGGGGGTAGAGTCTAGCTCCTCGATATGATCAAAACCATGTTGTTCGAGGGGAAATCTGAGGCAATAGTAATAAGAGACCCAGTCCACCTCCTCAACATCTAAGCTCCGGAGGTTCGACAAGACGTAAAAGTGGTCATCAAAGATTTCGAAACAGACAGTCGAGCCGAGGTCGGTCCCAATCACATCAAGGCCGAGATGGTCGGGCAGCCATATACGGGTTGTGAGGTTGAAACATCTGATCTCCCATAGCTCGTTGCCCTGCTCGTCTGGCTCGGAAATAATGCCATAGTACAGGAAGCGGTCGTCGTTCCGGACGAAAAGCTTAGAGATGGACTCTAGGTGAGAAACGCCGATGATCTGGCCAGCTAAAGGGTTAAAGACGACAAGATAGTGTTTGAAACTGGACTGGCCGTGGCCACGAAAGGAGTAGACCATCGAAATAATGTCGTGTGAATAGTACAGCAGCTTTAGCTTGTATTTGTGGCGTGCGTGCGTCTCTGGGATGGCTTTCCGGGCAAGATCGAGGGGGTTGACCACCATCTCGGTGTCGGCAGAGCCGTGCAGGTCCAGAATGCGCAGCTCACCGTCGACAAAGTAGCAGAGCACGCCATTCTCGTAAATCCACTGCTGCGCGAAAGCGACCATGACAGCGGCATATGGAGATACCGAGGCGATGGCATCCCGGCGCTTGATCAAGCGCCTCAGACCCGCGGCATGATGGCCCGAATCTTGAGCATCGCGGGCCTCGGCGCTCTCCGGAGCTCTAGACTAAAAGGAATATCAGCGATGACATTACTAGACACAGCCGACTTTGCGGATGCTGGAGCGGGCTTACCTGAAGTATTTGTTTTGTCATTTTGGATTCCTCAACCAGGAAGCGAAAGCGTCTGCACGAGTAGCTGAGGCTTCGGATGTCGCTAAGATCGAGATCGTAGACCACGAAGGCCACTAGCTCGTACGGCAGCTGTAGCAGAGACATGGCGCCCGGCGGAAGGGGGGCACGGAGGGATCGGTTGCCACTTGGAGATTGGAGGCCTCGGCTACCATTGGGGTAATCCCGTTGGTATGGCGGTGGCTGTGAACCTACGTAGATCCGAGTTAGGTCGAAGGTTGAGTATCGAGGTAGAGGTCAAGAACCGAACGAACCTCGCCGTTGCTTGTTATTTTTATTTTGAAAAGGTCGGACACGGAATCACGAACTTAGCGGAACGTTTCCGGCGCACCAATGCACTTCGGGAGGTGACGGGGGTAAGGGAGTCGGTCCCCCGTCAAGTTATACCTGAACAGTCGTCCGGCCGGAGAGGCAAGGCTCCGGGGGGGCCCGGGCAGAGCCGCAGGACCCATTCATTGATCCATGATCCCCGTCATGATCCAAGACCGGAAGACCCGACTGGCATGTGGCCGGGGAGGTGCTGGCACGACACAAAGAACCGGGTCGGATTGGCGTCATTACTACCAGATACATACCTTACCACCTTACCTACCTTCGTGGCTTCTCTCAATCCTCAATCTGGATGAATGGTTTGGCATACCTAAGAGGTAGGTGCCTTTGGGGGCTGTCAAAGACAGGGCGAAGAGGGTTGCGGTTGCCATCTTCCTGGGGAGTAACGAAAAGGGAAACACGGTGTGGCACTAGCGCGGCCACTAACGGGGGTCACCGTCTACGGAGGCATTTAGTTGCTGAACATAGTTACATGCAAACACGGCTTCGATCGTCATGCGGCTCTGCTGGGACGCATGATCCCGGGCCCCGGCGGACGAAGATCAGCGACAGTGTAAAGAGACCTCGACCTCTGGATGTTGGTGGGTGTGGGTGTGGGCGGCAGGGACTAGGGGGCAGGGAGCAGGGGCCGCTGTGTATGTACACGACAGGTACTGTGCAAGAATCCATGGAATGCTCTAGAGCGGGCTCGAGTAACCTGTGTAGGTAGCCTGATACATATGTCGCTCAAAAAACACTCCCTTTTCTGCATTTTTGCCCCTCATGTCTCGGGAATATCTGAATGGGAGTTAGGTATATGATATATGGTTTTAGAGACAAGCAGAGCCATGTGCAACCATCCACCATCTTTATCAAATGGACGTCCTCCAAAAAACCGAACTTCCCCATGTCCAGGGTAGGTACATACATCCGCTGTACCTGGGAAGAGTTAGTGGGGGTAAATTAATCCTTGGCTTTCAATCTTGTTCACCCGGGCCCGCACTTGAGCCCCATTTCACTGAGGGGTTGCTTTCGGCCCCGACTCCGCGTTGTATCGGACTCAGACCCTCCCCGCTCGCTCGGTGAACGTCCGTCCTTCCACCCTGCTTCCATTTTTTTGCCAGTTCATCACAAGGCTCGGATCCCTCCTTCCCCTCTCCCTCTTCTGGGGTACTCGCATCCGAACCTGGTCCCGTGCTCACCTTCTTTCTTTCACCTTAAGTTTATTCGAATTTGCGTACTCAGCCGCTGACGAGTAACAAAGACGCACTCAGTCATCCGTCATCTACTTGATTCATCACCTGACACCCAATATTTCGCCGAGACGCCGGGAAGAGCCGCACCACCAAGTAGTAACCAAAATACTAAGGCGGTTAGCTGGCCAATTTGGATTGTGCGGTCCACAAAACCAATTAGGAAATTCGGTGTCAAAAACATGCAACATACCGACTCCCCCATCCGCCTCAGCTGCCTCAAGACCTTGGCGGTTACAAGATGATCACCTAAACTTCATTACCCCCATACCCATATCTGCCGTACCAGTATTGTCGTGGGAGCAGCGAGATGAGCCATAAACCCACCGAATCGCGTCCGTTCAAATCGACGCTAACCAACTGCCAGGAATTGAAACACCCAAGCTTATCTGGCGCCTTGGGAACCTGTGCGGTTGGTCACGCCTCGCCGGGGTCTGCGCCAGTTACGCATCTGTGGCAAGGAAGAGCCATGCTCGGCCCTGCTTCGTGTCTCTCTCACCTTCGGCGTCGTGGCACAACAAGGAATTGTCTGCGAGGCTCCGAGTCCCTCCCCCATGCACGGGGGAACGGACTCACATCGCCGTACATGATCTTGCGAAGTTGGCCATGTCTCCGCAGAGATCAACGATTTCCGGATCCTCCATCTCGCTGCTTGAAGTGCCACGTCCGGTCCGCGCTGGCCGGATTTGACTTCCGGCACTTCCGCCTGACCACCATCGGCCTGACGTAGTGTATAGTTAGTTCGTGGTTTTACTGCGCGGACAAAGCGTAGACGGCCTCCCGCCGGCCTTGTCCCAGCCTGAAACCTTTTAGACTGTGCTAAGTGACCAAGCCTATAGCTGGGGCGTGGATGAGACTCGTGAGCTAGCCCAACGATTCAGCCCCCGAGAGCCCGAAACAGATGTAAAACCCTCAATTCCCATTTCGCCGGCTGGTCACGGGAATTGCTGGTGGCTTAGGTATCCTGGAGGTGGCTCGTCAGCGGCCTGTCTCACCCAGGAATCTGCTCCCTAAGCCGAATGATTACAAAGAGGCCCGAGTAGATTTGTTTGTACCCCTTATAACCCCTATTGGCGGCCCCGTTTCCCAAGCAACGGGAGGGAATCATGTGTCGTTTGGGGTCTTTCTATCTGATGGTTGAACAAAGGGGTCCTTACTCAGCGTCACGCAGTTCATCACGGCACATTGACTGAGTTTGTGTATAGATCCGCACATGTTCCCTTTGGTGTCTGGGGAGTGCTGCAATGATTAGTCAGGCCCCTTTGGAATTGAGGTTCCTTGTTCTGGGGCAGACGGAAACCGGAACAGAAAAATGAACACTGCTTACCCCACAACACTTCACTGAAAGGGATCGAGTCACGCACCGCCCTGTATAAACCGTTTTATTTGCGATTGATGAGACTTCGTCTTCTTCCCTACATTTTAGACTCCTAATTTGTAACTAAACAAACATGTCGCATCAATCGCACGAAGAACCCCTTTCTGGGGAAGGGGAGGAGGAAGTTGACCTCTACGCCCCCTTTACCAGCGACACCATCCTCGAGGTCCGCACAGGCAAGATGAAGCTCATGCCCGGTCTGACAGTGAAGTCAGCCATTGACAAGTCACTGCACAACGAGCCGGTGCGCGTGACCGAGCTCGGCCTCGTGGGCGACGAGCATGACCCGACGTTCCACGGCGGCATAGACAAAGCCATCCACGGATGTAAGTTAACCCCCCTGCCGTCACAACGCATATATATACATATGCGTACCACCCCCAAGTCGTGTAGTGTAATACTAACCCTCCAATAGACTGCTCCACACACTACGCAAGCTGGCGCGCCGAGCACCCCTCAGCAGCCGCGGCTTTCCAACCAGGCGGCTTCGGCGAGAACCTCGTCACGCGCCACCTCAACGAGCGCAACCTCTGCATCGGCGACATCGTCTCCATCACCCGGCCCAACTCCAACCCCACCCTCAACCCCAAACCCGATACCACCACCCTCACCCCCCTTGGTGGTGACGATGATGAACCCCCCGTCCTCCTGCAAGTCAGCCTCCCCCGCCAACCGTGCTTCAAGCTCAACCACCGCTTCCAGCTCAAGAACTTCGCCCCGCAGACCTGGCGCACGAGCCGCACGGGGTGGTACTTCCGTGTCCTCCAAACAGGCCACATCTGCGCCGGCGACACCATCAGTCTGGTCGCGCGCCCGCACCCGCGCTGGACCGTCGAGCGCGTGCAGGAGTTCTTGCATCGCGATACGGCGGATGGGGGGGCTAATGAGGAGCTGGCGGCGGTGGAGGAGTTGGGGGGGGAGTGTAGGGATGTGTTTTGGGGGAGGGTGGTTAGGGCGAGGGCGAGGGTGAGGAGGGAGGCGAGCGGGGGTGGGAAGGGGAGGGGGGAGAAGTGGAGGGGGTTTCGGGTGGTGGAGAGGACGAGGGAGACGGGGAGGGTGGTGGGGTTGGTGCTGGAGGCGAGGGAGCCGTTGCGTGAGGAGGAGGAGGAGGTGGGGTTGAAGCCGGGGGCGCATGTGAGGGTGCGGTTGGGGAATGGGCTGGTGCGTGCGTATTCGGTGGTCGGGGGGGATCGGAATCGGTTTCAGTTGGGCGTGGCGCTGGATGAGAAGAGTCGCGGTGGGTCGAGCTATCTGCATGAGATGGCCGTGGTTGGGCATGAGGTGGAGGTTGGGGCCTTTACGGGTGCGGTACCCCTCGCCAGTGCCGCGAGTCACCATGTGTTTGTGGCGGGGGGTGTGGGTATCACGGCGTTTCTGGCGCTGATCGAGCGCTACGCGAGCATCAACCTCAGTGTGAAGCTGCACTATGCGGTGCGTTCGGCCGAGGAGGTGCCGTTCCGCGAGCGTCTGGCCAAGCTGGGCGATCGTGTGGTGATCTACGACAAGGCTGCGGGCCAGCGGCTTGATATTCGCCGCATTCTCGAGGACATGCCGTGGAACTCGCAGCTGTACTTTTGCGGGCCGAAACGACTCATGGACGAGGCCTCCAAGGAAACCAAGGCACGCGGCATTGCGGAGGGGGAGGTGCACTTTGAAGCCTTTGAGGCGGACGTCTCGGGTGACCCGTTCGAGGCCGTCGTGGCCAATAAAGGGGGCAAGACTATCAAAGTGGGCGAGGAAGAGACCCTCCTCGAGTGCCTCCAGAAGGAGTTTGGCGACATCGACTCGAGCTGCTGCGTTGGCAACTGCGGCACTTGCCGCGTGAGCCTCAAGGGAGGCCGCGTAGACCACCGGGGCACTGCACTCATGGAAGAGGAGAAGGCCACGTCTATGCTGGCGTGCGTGAGTCGTGGAATCGGATCTATCACTATTGAGATCTGAGTTGGCAGGTGGCCGTTACAGCGCGCCGTGAGGGATTTGCATGAGCTTGTCCCGATGACCGACCGGTTGCATCCCGCATTTCTTCGTTAGCCGCTCCCAGCCGATGCTCCATAGTGGTTGGGCTGGGCCTGGGGCATTGGGCAGCTTATTAGCCTCGTTAAACCGGACCCCAAGGCCGAGCACTGCCCTGTTGATGATGGCTTGGGTCAGGAAGCTGCAGTTTATGGTTCCGCAACCCGGCCTGGTATCAGCATATTCGATATGATGCTGCCGACGCGTCAGTCCATTGCCTAACGTAATACGGCAGCACCCATCCCACGCTCGGCGCCCAGTTGGACTGTCACCTCTTGTCCGTCACGTAACCCATCTTGGCAATGAGTGGTGCGATGTGTGATTTCCGGAGCGTACCGCCAATAATAGAGGGAGCATCGTCCCCAATAGCACCGAGTGTTCCATCCCACCGTGTCATTTGTGACAAAGTGCAAACAGGCTAATCGGGAGGAGCCAGCTATCTCAGCTCCTATGTACACTTGCCTCACTTGGAAAGCACCCTGGCGAGTGGGGGAGCTGGAGTCATCACATCTATGATGAAGGTGAAGCCAGGTTCGTGGTAGGATTTCACTTACATGCCAGACAGAGGTCGAGAGGCTCAACGGGAAGGATGCACACTGTCGATGATCTGTAGGACGTAGCCTATCGGACCTTGGTCCGTTGCAAGGGCGGCTGCAGGACTTGCCCTGTTCGCAAGAGGAACAGCAAGGCTTGGTGGTCCAGACCAACGCTGAGCGTCCCTGCATTGGGACCGTCGTGCCGCCCTCGACGTGCGGGGGAGGAGAAGGCTGGAGGACCGTCCTGCAACTCCAACTTTATGGACCTCGTGTTCGGGCACCCGCTGGGCAACCTGTCGCTTTGGTTGGGCCTGACACAATCCGAGAGCCTTGTGTCACACACGGCACGACTCGCGGCTTTGCTTGGCGATCGCTTTGTGGTACGTGATGGAGTTGTCGGGTAACAGGCGATAGTTCAATAAATAACCCAGTAGATAGATCGTACGTCACCTGTAGCGGCATACGTAAATACATCGCTTTACGAGTGATGGGCAACCTTGACAGCCTAGCCGGCATCACATACGATTTGCGTGCAGCCAATGTACATACATGGCAGCTTGAGACTGGGCACAATGGCTAGACGAAGTGCAAGGGGAATCGTTACTTGGCCGGGAAAGATTGGACAGGTGCGAAGATATGGAAGGTTTACTGTGTACATTCAGTGATTGTCTTTTCATCTCGTGGTTGAGGAGGATGGAAACCGGAAGGTATTCCCAATTCCCTCCCAACTTATTAAGTACTCGTGATTGTGGGATCATCCGACTTCCATGGTCGTAAAAACTGCGAGCTCTCCGATAGGATCTATGTTTCATGACGAACAACGCATGTAGGATAATGAGTATTGGAAGTGGTCCTGGTGTTGAATTCGGTCTTGCTCTCGGCTGTGCTCGGCGAGCCAGGAAGCGAGGTGGCAGGCCCCCGGGTGCTATCTGGCAAGCCGCCAATCGTAGCCCCCGATAAGCCCGGGCAGCTGCAGGTGGGCCCGAATTTTCTTGACAAGGAGAGCAGCAGCGATTGAATTTCAGTTTCTGGTAGAAGTCAAGTTCACAACCACCAGTTGTCAAAATGGCTTCCGGTCCCGCAACGATTGGGGATTTCTCCATACTCCCAGTATCAATCGCGCCATTACCATCATTCCCTAAAAATGTCGTCCACTACCTTTACGTACGGCGCAACGCGCCCAAGATCCCGACCGCGACCGACGCTCGCAGCCTCTTCCTCACCAATGTACCCGTCGACAGCACCGAAGCCCACCTCCGCGCGCTCTTCACGTCGCTAGTAGGCGCGGGTCGGTTTGAGAGTGCCACGTTCGAAGACGAGCGCAAAGACGCGCATTCGCTGGCCCAATCCCCAATCGACGCTGCGCAACCAGCCCATGCCGCCCGCCTGCTACAAGCCCATGGCAAGAAGCGCAAGCGCGAGGATGAGGAGGCTCAGAGGGCACAGGAAGAGGCCGCGGCCCGTCTGCCGAGCACATGGACCCGGCCACTACGGAGGAGTGGCAGCACAGCGGTGGTGCTGCTCGCCGACGAGAAGAGCGTGGCGCAGGTGTTCAAGGCGATCGCCAAGGTGCACAGGAAGAAAAAGTACCCTACCTGGGGCGGCGACGACTTACCAGAAGGCCGCGTTCCGCCGCTGGGCTCGATCTGGCTCAAGACACACAACCGGCTTTCCTACGCAGACAAGGAGGAGCTGCAGGCGTCGGTTGACGCCTTCTCGGCGCTCTTTGCCCGGCGCGAGCAGGAGGCTGCCGAAATCGCCAAGAGGCTACGGAACGAGCCGGACGAGGACGGTTTTGTCACGGTTACGAGGGGCGGCAGGGCCGCACCAGCCAGCCGGAACGAGGCAGAGGAGGCCAAGCGCAAGATGCTGGAGAGGGCGGAGAAGAAGAAGGAGGAGCTCACAAACTTCTACCGATTCCAGCTGCGGGAGCGGAAGAAGGAGGAGCAAGCCGAGCTTCTCAAGAAGTTCGACGACGATCGGAAGAAGCTGGAGGCGATGCGCGTGAAGAGGGGGAAGTTTGTCCCCGAAACGTGAGCATGCAAGGGGGGGATGCCAAGGAAAAGAAACTGCACCAATGCGCCCATGTTTGGGTTGCAGTCAAAACAAACGGTGTGGGACGGGGTGCAAAGACTCCAACAAGATACCTGCCGGCTTGGGAATCCCAATTGGGTTGTCAGGCCCAGGCACAACATCAAGAACGGTAAGTGCTTTCCTTTTTCGTTCTTCTCACCTCCGCTTCCCACACTATGATGACGCACGCGGGGCCATCAGACCATCCCTCTCGGCGCTCGGGGGGTTTCCTCCCTTGTGACGAAGGTTGACAGGGTGACAAACACCGCGATGCCAATAATCTTCTCAAACTCTCTGATGTGTGCTTTTTTCTTCTCTCCGACGCAACCTTGATTTACAAGCAAGCTGGAGGTATCATCGACTAACGTTTGATGTTCAATTTTAGACAAGGCAGTGACGTTTTGCTGAAGAGCGAGCGACGGAAGATCGCGAGGACGGGGGTCGGATGGGCAGTGATGGAGTTGACTCGGCTGACCAAGTGGGCCGTTCCCGGTCAGAGGGGACTCATCGTGCACGGCACGGAAGCAAGGTCGTCGATAGACTGCATTCCCGTCTCCGCGGGACCAATCCGAGTCGAATGTTTGTCTCCAAATATGGATCTGCACCGAGAATGTGCAGGCTTTTTTCTTTCCTAACATGGTACGAGGTTGTTTGGCTTGTCGAGGGTGCCTGCAAGGAAGGGGCTTGAAGAGGCGGGAGGGTTAGGGCTGATGCGGGCATCCCCAAGCCGACCCCCCAAGCAGTTTGCTGCAGAAATTGCAGATCCCATGCCAATTACGGATCCCGCTGCCGCGGCAACGCCCCGCCAAATAAACAGCGCCCGACGGGGAGCTCGAGATTGCCAAACGGTGTTGCATTGTGAGCCCGAGCTCGTGGTTGCACCGAGAATCCCGGAATGACATCTTGCACATTTGCCATTTCGGCTTGATTTGGTCTGATTTTTCTTAACCGACACGGAACAGGGTCTTTCCCACCTGCATCTTGTGCTGCCCCTGCCAATAACTATCAATCATTGTCAAACCGCGCGATCCAGCATTGATTGCTGTTTGGTGCTTGTCAGAACAAGAGAAAAAACTCGAAACGAAAGGATACCCATGAAGACCAAGCGTCGGCCGCGATGATCGAGTCCGAGAACTTGCGTACGGCGTCGCTGTACATCAACAACCAGCTGTTGTCCCGTGGCCTACTCCGCGATGGCAATGGCATCGATTTCGCCCAACCGGGCGACACCGATACCGAGGTGGCCGAGACCATGAGCCGTATCATGGCCGTGGTGAACGATCTCATTCTGCGGCGAGATGTGAGCATCCCCTTCCCCATCCATTACCCGGATGCCCCCAATTCCGTCACTAACCATCCCCTGCAGCGCGATGCCGAACACCGCGAGTCCCTCTCGGCCACCCTGCGGACCCTCCGTGCCGAGTCCTTACGACAGGCCAACGATATTCAGCGTTTACAAGAGAAATACTCTGACGCGCAACGTAAAGTTGGCCTGAGCGAGGCCGCCGAGACTGCCCTCCGCGCAAATCTCAAGACCTCCGAGGCAACCGTTCACCGCCTAAAAGAGGAGGCTGCCCGCACAAAAACACTCGTGGCCCAGACAAGGGCATCCTGTGCGAACGAAGTTCGGAAGCGGGACCGTCAGATCGAGGGCCTCAAGAAAGCCGTCACAGAAGCGGGCAGGGCGAGAGGCGCCGGGCGAAGCACTGGTATCACATCCATCAATGTGGTCGGCGAGACCGGATTAGAAGCCGAACACGGTGGACCGACCTTCGATGAGGATGATGAGCAGAACCACGACCTCCGCACGGAGACCAACGCGTTCCTGGCCGAGCTGGCGAAGGGTCTCAGCGAGGAGAATGAAGGTCTGCTCCAATTGGTGAGGAAGACAACGGAGCACTTGAAGGAGATGAGCGGTTGGGACGTCGCCAACGGGAATCCGATGGAGAATGGAGACGGCCATGCCATGGTCCTCGCTGCCCACCCCGCCGACATGTCCCTCGAAGTCGATGCGGTGCTCGACCACCTACGCACGATCCTAACGAACCCGTCGTTTGTCCCTATTGAGGAGGTCGTGGTACGCGAGGACGAGATCCATAGGCTGCGCGACGGATGGGAGAAGATGGAGACACGTTGGAAGGAGGCCGTCCACCTCATCGACGGCTGGCGCAAGAGGATGCAAGCGAGCGGTCGGGCCGTGAACGTGGAAGAGCTGAAGATGGGACTGCGGCTTAGCCCGGTGAAGGTGCGCAACGTCGAGGAGACATCCCACGGATATGCCCTCCGTCTAGCCGCTGTCCTCGAGGACGAGGAAGTGGACACTTCTCAACTCCAAGACGATGAGGGTTCGTTGGACTTGGCCCTGCGCCCGGAAGCCGACGACGATGACAGTGATACCTCCAGCATCTTCGACCACAACGTCGGCGTTGATGATTTCGACGTGGAAGAGCCGAACGTGGAGATCCTCCAACAATCGGTTATGCTGCCCTCACCGCCACTCCCATTACCGCCGCAGCTCACCCCGCTGCGTGATTCCTACACGGCCGCAAACAGAGGCGACCGCCCACACAACAGAAAGCCCCCGAAGGGCTTCCCGACTATCTCGGAAGGAACAAACCGGGACTTCGTCGAGGACGAACCACCTCTCCCCCCGCCTCATGCGGAGAATCCGCAGCAGTCGCCGCACAAAAAGCCAATCCTGTCGCTGCGTACAGTACCGCCGGAGGAGGCTGCCAAGGTTGAGCTGCCGCCCTCCGCTCACGTTTCGACGCCAGACAATTCGCTCGGCAGCCTGCCGTTCAACAAGGCTGCGGATGAACGCACGTCTAAAAACTCGGCAGCTTCCGCAAGGGCCCAAGCACGTCCGGCGCCCACTACGAAGAGGAGGGAGTCTCCGAGGAAGAATGATCCCGCAAAGAAGGAGACTACGAGAAGGGAGGCTATCAGGAAGGAAACCGTTCGGAAAGAAGCGACGAAGAAAGAGGCCATGAAAAGGAAGGAGACTGAAGAGGTGAAGCCCACGACCAAGCCGCCGCCGAAGTCCCGGTCGACCCGACCCCCTATTACCAGAGGAAGGTCCGAAAGTCGGCCAGACGACAAGACGGCCCATCTCGCAAAGCCACAGCGGGCCACCTCGGCAACTTCGGCGACCTCGGTCAGATCTGCTGGCACTACTAAGAGCGCCAACAGGAGCGCTAACAAGAGCGCAAACGCCGAACCTTCCATGCCCCCTCCTCCGCCACCCCACGGAGCTGTGCCGTCCCCAGCGCCATCACCAAGCCGCTCCCCAAAACGCGTCAACTCTCGCCTACCACTGCCCCGACCCGGCTGCAACAACAACAATGTCCTTCCCGCCCCGCAACAGTCGCCCCTCAACATGGCCGCCATCACCGCCAAGCTGGCCGCCTCGGAGCGAGACGCCGACGCAGCTCGCGTACGAGCAAAGCTCAAGGCGGCCCGCCTCGGAAAGGGCGTCAGCCTCCCGCCACCCGGCACAGCCTCCACCGCGAGCACCACGCCCACCGAGCCGGAACCCGAGCGCAACACGGGCGCGCTGAGCACCCGCTCCGAAACGGACAGCGCTGCGGGCACCGCATCCACGTCTGCCTCCACCTCGGACGGCGCGCCCAGCTCCACGACCACTACCCGTGACGAGGACGCTGACGAGCTGGGCTTCTCGCCGCCCCGCAAGGCCCAACAGCCGCCACCGCAGCCGCTACCGCAGCAGCAGCAGCAGAAACAGAAGAACAGTGGCGGTGGGGAGGCGGACCTGGGGAGATCGCCCGTGCGCAAGAGGGAGAGGAGGACGAGCAAGGCTGCGTCGCGCAGGCGGAGTACCCTCGATTCTCGGGAATTGGATGCCCTGATCCAGGGGGGGAACGTCACTGTGGAGAGGTAGACTGGCCTTGTGGTGAAGGATCCTACCCTTTTTTGGTTTTTGGATTTGTTTTTCCTCTTTTTGTTTCGGGGTTTGGAGAGGCGGGGGGGTGCCGGGGATGGGGGGCGGAGGTGTTGTTTTGCTCAAAGGGCATGAGGGGGAGAGAGCCTTGGGAGAGGGGCTGTTGTGTTGATTGATACCGAGGAAAGGAGGAGGGAATTGAATGGAGAACGTGGAATGGGCGAGCAAGACGGGTGGATGAAACGGATCGTTGTCGGCGGCCATGGAGACTGGAGCGAGGTTGGATTGGGGGTGTAGGCGGGCTGTCATGAGTTATGATGTTGCATTTTTGGGTTTCAAGTTCAAGTTTGTCTTCTCTCTTTCTGTTTTGTTTTTTCTTTTGCTGATCCCCATTCTTGTTCATTGCATACGTCTATGGACGGGTTTTCTGGTTGCTTGCTTTGCTTGTTTGATCCTGCTGATCTGCCTTGGGGCATGCAATTTGGAAATGGGCATCGTCGTTTGGTCATTCTGTCTTATCTCTGCTGGGCTGCATTCCGTCGCGGTGGGCTTGTTATCTTGATTCGAATGGGCATTGCTAGGTCGTTGGGCTCTTTGTTGATATAATTAGTCGGATACCAATGGGAACTTTGACATGCTGCTCCGACTCCTGAATTCTTTGGGCACCCTTGTGGTGCTCTGCCTTCCGTTGTTAACGCGGGGGCATTCAACCAGACCGGTTGATGTGCTGTTCTCCTCCCCCCATGCCACGTCGTTGTCTCTCGTCCCGTTTCCCGGGTGAGGTTTTGACTAGGATTCCCCTCCTCCGATGGTCTGGACGAGCGGTGAGCCTTTTGTCTGTACGTAAATGTGACCCTACAAAGCTTCGAGAATCCGAGGCGTTGGCAGGGTTACTCGGAACGTCACAGCACGTTCTGAAAAAGACGGTGAAGAATGCCATGTTGGTCTTCCTCTCTCGGATATTTCCACATCTACGGAGTAGCTCCGGCTGCTCCGTTTCCAAACCCCGAACGCAACCCCCACCCATCCCATCCCACGCACAACACCCCCCCACACCCAAAACCTTAAACCTCGTTAAACCTTAAACCTAAACCCATTCGCGGCCCCCTCCCCAGGCACCGCATTGATCGCCCCCTCGACCCAGATGCCCGCGTCCAGCTTCTTGTTCAGGCGCACCAGGACGGCGCGCATGACGGTGGCGGCGCAGACGGCGATGAAGGCGGTCACGCAGTTGACGATCATGGCGACCGTGTAGTGCGGGTCGGCGCTCTTGGGGTACAGGTACGACGCGTAGATGCTGCTGCAGTTGCTGACGGCGTTGATGAAGGCCAGCGCGGCGGCCCGCTTGGCCGGGGGGCGCGGCATCGTGTTGCTGATCCAGGCGAGCGCGACCACGAAGCCCGAGTAGACGGATGGGACCTGTGCACAGTGTCGAGGTTAGTGTGGTGGATGGATGGATGGGGGAGAGAAGTGCGGGTGGGGGGAAGGGTGAAGGGGACCAGGGGGGCGGGCTGACCATTAGCATCATGCTCAGGTACCGCGGGGCAATGTGCGTGGTGGTGGCGGCGATGATGTAGGCGATCACGGCGACCCACATGGGGATGGTGATGTGCCAGTACCGCTCGCCCGTCTTGTCGGCGTGGGTGGCGTTGAGGTAGGTGACGATAACGGCGAGCACGTAGGGTGGGGCGGTCAGGAGGAGCGAAATGACCTTGTCGTCGCTGCTCTCGCTATCGAGGGCGCCTTGTTGGATCGTGTTGACGACCGTCGGGAAGAAGTTGGTGACTGTCCCACTGGCGACGATGCAGAAGAGGAGGACCAGCTTGGGTACGGTTAGTTACGGTGCTGCTAGGAAGGATACACCCCGGTCGGGCACGCGCTTACCAGGATATAAGTCTTGACATCGACGAAGACTAGCTTCGCGCCCTGCCAGAAGGTCTGCTCCTCGCTGTTGACCCAGTCGTCCTCGCCGATATCCTCCTGGAGGCGCCTAGAACCGTATCAGCTCCCTCATTCATGTGTAGCGCGGACGCATCGGCAACATACCAGATGGCCAACGTCCTCTCCTCGTCAGTTAGCCACGTTGTGGTCCGCGGAAAGTTGGGTAGGACAAAGTAGCAGCCAAACGCCACGACGACGGTGGCGGCACCCTCGATGATGAACAGCCATTGCCACGCGCCCAGCCCGCGCGTTCCATCCATGCCCCATGTCACACCCGCCGAGATGAGGCCAGAAAAGGCGCCAGAGATCAGAGCCCCCGAGTACAAGACGGCAGTACGGAAGCCGAGTTCTTTACGGGTATACCAACACGAGAGGTAGTAGAGGCAACCGGGGCTGCAAAATTATGGTTTGATTAGAACCGTCGCTCGGTTTGGGACAGGGGGCTGGCCGGCTTACAAGTAGGCAGCTTCAACCACACCTAGGAAGAAACGGTTGGCTAGCAGACCGGCCGCATTTGTGCATACAGCTGTCAGTGCGGAGATGATACCCCAGACGACCATCTAGTCGAGCTCATTGTTAGGGGCACGGAACAAAAATGCACGGGGATATCGAGCCGGAGACGTACGCAGGCGGGCAGGTAAATGGCCGGCTTGCCAAACTTGTTGAGGAAGAGGTTGGATGGGATTTGCATCAAAAGGTAACTTAAGAAGTTGTTAGCTGCCGGTACCCAAGAAGTGTCTTAGAGCTGTGTTACCCAACGAAAAGAATGCTGACTGCTGTTTGGAACTCGGTAGATGTCAGATTCAGGTCACGCTCTAGCCCAGCAAGCCGAGCAGCAGCAATGTTGTTCCTAAGGATACCACAGTCAGGCTACGCGCATGCTTTTCAGTCCGTCGAGAGTTCGGAACTTACCGGTCAATGTAGTTCATGATGTACATGATAATAATCGCCGGCAAGAGTCGAATGTCGATCTTCCTTTTCAGCTTCTTTTCCAGGTGCTCCCTTTCCTCGGGGGACAAGTTCCTGATGAACTCAGGGGGCTGCATCCTCGCTGGCCTGGAGTCCTCTACGTTAGCCGTCCCAATCTTCTCGTCCGTGCTCCCCGCCTCATCGCCCCGTATCTTGGTGTCAGCTGGGGAATCGGCCATGTTGACGGTATTCGGCGGTCCTCGCAAGTCTCGCTGATGAGATGTTCGAGGGCAAGCGGAGACGAGAGGAGAGAAAAGCCTGCGGCGCTGGAGAGAACCAAGAGAGGGGGTTCGTTCTTGATATCAAGCAGCCGCTGTTGGATGGTTGCACCCGAGCCCGATGTAGTATAACGTTATTCTTCGCCCGAGACCGAGTGGTAGGGCGGCACAACACGTCGCCAGATCTGGCGCGACAGCCCACCACTTTTATGAAGTCCTATCACCGAGGTCGTGGCAACCCGGCACGTCATCCACCACATGGCGACGAACCCTAAACAGGAGCTCGCACCGTCGGGATTGGATTCCGGCTGTTTGGCTCATCCGGGCGCCAGGAACCTTCCGACGATGGCAACATCTTGACAGCAACTGCTAGGGTTTCTTTAAGCGGCAAGTTGCTTCGAGTCCCCAACAACCCGGGTTCTGGTGGTTCCCATCGCAGCATCGACAGCAAGATTCACACCCTTCGTTCCGTCATTGGCCCCGGTTGAATAACCCCGGCACCTTGTTCCGGGGTACCCAGGGTGGGACGGGACCTTTGCCGTGCGGGGTGTTACAGGCAATGGACGATCACTGAAGGAACGGAACAGGGAAAGGGCCGAATCAAAGTGACCGAGCTTGAGAATGGGCGGTCTCAAATCCGAGCGAGTGTGTCTCCATGGGGAAAAGAAGGGGGAAGGTCGAGTCTTGCATCCTATCACGTTGTGGATGGCATCACGAAGGGAACAAGACTTGCCGCCAAGTCCGCCATTTGCTTGTTCTGGAGGCGGCTTGCTTGGCAACCAGCCATCCGTTGGCTCGCCCAAAGCTTGGTATGCTTGTCTTCTTGCGTTCTCATTCGGGCGGAAGAAGTGAGATCCTCCTGCGGACAAGGGCCTCGTCGCTTGGCCTCGGGCCGGAGCCCCCCAGCGTGCTGACTCCTGTCCAATGTTGAAAGGATGGGTCGGCTGATGCATCACGGACGGAACCATGGCCGAGATAGCCTTGTCTCGGGAACAACCTCGGCAGCACGCCTCATTCCTAGCTTGGGCAAGGCTGCGCACCTGTCATGGTGCGGCTGGGCCCAACCCCATTGCATGCCACCAAAGTGGGTGTGGTATTGTCGTTGTTGATATTCCTCTCCGGTCTCTCATTAAAATTCTTACAAGTCGTCAAGTAGTTATCGCCCTGGCCCCCATCGCTCATCTCATGCCGAAATACAATACAATACGCCCGCTGGCCGCCATCCAAGAAATCCATGGATAGCCCAAGAATTCATACACATCGCTGTCCCGTCACCTTGGTACAGTTTTGAATCGTGATCGCATCAATGCGTAACCGTCCTCACGGCCTGGAGGATCACCCCAAACATGAGGCCTCTCGCGACCTCCTCGATTTGAAGACAGTCGAACAGGCGCCCGAGCGCTTCCGACGTGGCGGCCTGGCCCATGACGCCCGTGAGCGCGGCGGGCACACCACTCTCAATCAGGAGTTTCCTAGCCTTGATCCGAAGGTTTTCCTTTTCCTCGGCCGTCATCTCCGCCGGCCATGCTGCCCGCTCCTGTTCCGTGGGGAGGGTATTTTCCCGGAGCTTCTTGAGGTGCGCTGCGATGCCGCTATCCGAAGTGTTGCCTTCGAGAACCGAGGTCTGGATGAGCGATTGGATGGAGAGGAGGGACGGGTTGCCAGGCCGCAAAAGGAATGATTTGGCCGCCGCGAGAAGAGTGCGGCGGATATTCCAGGCGGACGAGAGCGTGTACAGCTCGTTGATGACAGCGAAAAGGAGCTCAACCGCCACACGGGTCTCTTGTTCCGACATTTTCGAGTGTTGTTTCACGCCTTGCAGCGGAGGACCGTTCAGCCGCTGTTGAGTGTTGAGAGTGGGCATGGTCAAGGAGCGCGCATGATGTATGTCCTGAGGGCGCGCATGCGACGGGCTGACGGGGGATTCGTAATCGTCGCTAATCATATCAGGCGGCGGAGGCAGCCGGAACCCCTCGAAGCTGAGACTGGATGGCGACCGAGCTGGTGGCGCTCGGCTCGCCGCACGGCTCGATGCCCGACTATATTCAAGGCTGTTCCTCGCCGAGGCCCGGGAAAGTCGCTGGTACTCGGGTTCCGCATCGCCTTGCGAGTTGTAGCTCGGGCGTCGGTCCATCGACGGCATTCTACCGGGCTGTAGCGCGGCGGCTGAGGAACGTTGGCTATCCATGCTGTCCCTTGTCTTCCGCATTCCGCTTAGTGAGACACTGCTGTCCGCACGGGGCAGGGTTGATGATATCGACAAGCGACTAGCTGCTGTCACATCTTGCAGGGCCGACGGTGTCGGCGATGGAACAGGAGGCGCCGGCTTTCGTTGCCCCAGGCCGATATTCCCCAGCACTCCTGTGACCCCCCCAACTACCGCCTTCGAGCCTTCCAGAGGGGCACTTGCCAGCACGTCAAACACATTTTTCCCTAGTTTCTCGAACGCTTGGAACCCCGTTTTGGGAGCGTTGGGAATGTGTCCGTGATCTCTTTCAAGGAACTTCTTCAGCCCCTCACTCTCAGCCAGACTCTGATACCCACAAGCATCCCGGAGATAGCGTTCCAGTTCGCTGCGCAATGACGTCCGGGTGTGTCCCTTCCAAGACGGCAGCACGCTGTGTTTCTCCGTAAAGCCAGTTGCGCCAGAGATGGTCGCAATCCGCCTTAGCACCTCGTGAAGGCCCTCAAAGTCGTTGTACTTCCTGATAATCATCCATCCGGGGTAGATTGTCGTCGCCGGTTCGATCTGGACGAGGTAATCCCATGATGGTTTCGTTCTGATCCTACCATCACCCGGCTCGTCCAACACGGTGATCGTTGCATTGTGCAATGTCAACGGGGGCGGCTTGCGAGGCCCACTCGTCTCGGCTTCTATTTCGTCCCGACCAGGCGGGACGATCTGATCAAAACTTGTGAACCTCGCCCCATCGTTCGTTGGCGGAGACGATTCTTGGCTCGAAGAGGGAGAGGGTGTAACCCCGGAAAGCGGTGTGGCGGGCGTATGAATGACTTCGTTCTTGCCGGACGAGCCATCGCTACTCGTCCTCTTGGAGGCACCTGCAGAGATGTCCAACCGTTGGGGAAGATTTGGTTTTTCAGCCAAGCCCGTTTGGATGTCTAGCTCGTCCGCATTGCGTTTGAGTGCATCGGCCAGTCTTTCAGAAGCCTTTTCTGTGACCGTAGTGTTTTCCGAAATTGTGGCCGGCTGTCCCTGTTGGTCGGTGAGGGCACCTTCTTTGGCAATCATTTGGTTCAAGCGCTTCATCTCTTCCATTGCCAACTCCATCTCTTCCTCGGCCTTGCTCAACTTCTTTTTATGGACAGATTCTTTCCTCCGCCCCTTTTCATGTTCGAGCGAGTTCCTATTCCCTCGGGCGAGGCCGACATTGCCCACATTGCCGTCCAGGTCGGCAAACGCCGCGTCTGTGCCGGGTCCCGTTTGCATCCCGACGTCGATAGCTTGACTCAGGTCGGGTTCGCCGGACTCCAGCAAGTAGACAATCCATTGATTGATCCACTCGGGCTTAGAACAAGACTGGAGTGTCATTTCTAGAACAACACCTGCCAAAATTTCTCTCAAAAAGACTCGAGCTGGGTCACACTCGTAGCTCGGACGGTCAAGAAATCCCAGCATGTCTTCAGCAGCCATGCGGAACTTGTGCGCTTGTTGTTTCTGATCCAGCAGCGTGGATAAATTGCACTCGGGGTGTGAGGCAAGGTAATTGTAGACGGCGTCTGCAGCAGACACTTTGGAATCGGGCGGGAGCTCGGAAAAGGCGTTGGATAGCTCGGACATGAAGACGACAAGGATGGAAGAGGAATTCGTCAGGAAGTCGAGGAAGGCGTCTGCGGGGCGCTTCCGGCTTAGGCGGTTGGAGACCGATGTGAGAAACACGGTGAGTGTCTTACGGCAGGCCAACGGGAAAAACTTGTCTGAAGGTACAATGGGCGAGTACCACCACTTAACGTAGTTATCGACGACGGCGTCAACCAATTCGTTCAAGGCTTCGCGCGTCTCGGGTTGCAGGTCGTCGAACGAGCGCACCAACGCGCTCTCTGCATCGTCGGCGGCTTGTTCCTCGGGGGCCCCATCCTCTGAGCCCTTTCTCGCCGCTAAAAGTCGTGTCAAAACATCCATGCCTCTCTCCCCCTTGACGGCCCGAACCACGTCGGGATTGCGCTGCTCCCATTGTATGAAGGTCACGATCCCGCCGAATGCGCCGATCAAGACGAGACCTAACCTGCCGAGTACAAGATATGTGGTTGCGGCTAGGCCCACGGCAACGCCGCCGAGAGTTCCGGGTGTGGCTGTGGCTAGGAAGCCGAAGGCTTTCGATGTCAAACCCTCCTCGTCGTTTGCGTTTGGGGGGTTGGGCGGTCGAGGGGACTCGGTCCCTACAGCAGTGCCGGATACCGCCTTGTCTTTTTCGTCCATTTTATCACGGATAGCGCACGGCGTTGGCGCATCCTCTTGTTTCATCGAGCCGGGGTAGGTTTCCGGGGAAGCATCGATCCGGACAGGAGGGAGGTTGAATTGTCGGCGTGGAGAACGGAAAGTAGGAGAGGCTGATGCTGCTGACGTTGGCAGGACTTGGCAGCAGGAGCACGATTTGTTGTTACGAAGGCCCGTCGCAACAATGCTTTGTTTGTTCAAGTAGCGGTCAGCCAAGAGTAAAAGGAAAGACGAAGCGGACAAGACGAAGGAAGGCTGAAGTGCAGGATATCTGAAGCTAAATGAGGAATTGTTTTGCGGATGATTTTTTCGAGCTTCCTTCCTGTCAACAACCCTGGTGGACTTCATTTCATCAGGGGCCCCATTCCCCAACACTTCAAAGGTCCGGCCTGCCTTGGCATGCATCCTGTGGGCAAAGAAAGCCGGACTTCAAGTGTAGACCTCGACCAAATTTCGACCGTAGGAATGGGATGGAGGCCATTCTGGAACCCAAAGAAACTATGGATACTAGATTTACTTTATTATACTAGATATCATTTATCCGTATTTGTTTTTCTCGATCGTTTTCATTTAATCTACAATTTATTTGGTTTCTTATCTGCTTTCGAGTTCGGCCTTTTTTGGCCAGACGCTGTGGCAGGCCAAGAGTTCCTTCCTCCCATCGTCAAACGTAGCGCGTCTCCACCGCAAGGTCCGAACCGAGAAGCCAAGCATTTTCGTTTAATTAAGAGAGTGGGCTGAATTCGCGCCTGCCTTCACGTGCGAACGCGCCGCGGGAGTGAGCTCCTTTCTCACGTCACGGCGCGACCCCTCACCGACGAGGTGCGATTCCGCGGGTGGAAATAATCCCCGGAATGTGCAAACTCGGCAACGAAACACAACCACACTGAATACGGCCAACCGCATTACCCGTCATGGCCTACCATAAGAAACGGCAGATCGCCGCCGAGAGTGACGCGGAGCAGCCTGTCGTCAAAAAATCAAAGAGCGAGAAGAAGGCCAAAAAGGATCTCACGCAAGGCTCAGACGCGGAGGGAAATCCGTACTGGGAGGTCGGGCTTCCCGTACCACCTCAAATGGTTTTCGAGATGAGGATTGCTAAAATCTCACTAGATCGGCAACAACAGGCGTGTCGGACCCTCCCAGTTCAAGGGCGCCACCCTAGTTAATATCCGAGAGTTTTACACCACACCCGATGGCGAGCTGAAGCCGGGAAAAAAGGTAGCTTTTTTGCTCTATTCTAGCGTATGTCCACGGGCACTAACAACTCGTAGGGCATCTCCCTTTCCTTGGACCAGTACAACGCTCTCCTCAAGGCTATCCCAGAGCTCAATGAAAAACTCCGCTCTGAAGGTCATGAGGTAGGCAACATGCCGGCGGTTGGGGCTAGCGGTGCTCTGGTGAAGGCAGAGAAGCCCGCAAAGTCCAAGAAGTCGAGAAAAGCAAACATTGATGTCACGAGTGAGGAGGAGGAGGGCAGCGAGGAAGACGATTGAATTGTGTTTTGTACAGCCGACTTTTGCTTTTATTGGGGCGTTCATTTCGGAGTTTGTTTTGCTGGTAGCAAACGGGGGCGTTGGTCTGACATAGCTTTTGCCATGAGTTAATGTGATCGTTCTGTCAATCTACATCTTTGAAACCAGATGAAAGAAATTCGGGATGCTAATTTACGGAAGTTGGATCTTAAGCACGGAGCAACGCAGGGTGTGGAGTGACAGCAGCACCATACACCGGCTATGAGTAGGGTATTTATTCTTTCGTATACATTACAATATGTACAACAACCTCGAACCCTTGGCAACGGCCTAATTGTAGCCATGGATGTACCGTACAGATTCCACTTGAGGAGACAAACGCTGCCTTTTTACCAGAGCTCGCCCCCTTCTTTTACACCTTCTCTTCCTCCCGAAGCCTGGCTATTAGTTTCTCCTGTAGAAAGGGGCTGAGTCCGAGGCTGGGGAGTAACAAGATAGATTAGTCAAAGGGAACGAGAAAACAAAAAGGAAGGGAGGGGCGCGACTCACATTCCCTGGTTTGTCACAACTCGGTACGTGCCGCTGGGCTGATAGTTGCCGACGATCTCGCCCTTGCCATCCACCTCCACGCTGCCGAGTATGTCCTCCGGCCTTGACAAGCCAAGTCAGCAACACCCCAACAGATTTGCTTCCCGCTAGGTTGACCTACCAAGCAATCCTCCCAAAATCAGGCGGGTTCCGAGAGTCGCTCAGATGCACCCACCCACCCACTCCCGCCCCGCCCGCACCACCCTCGGCACTCGCACCGCCAGCACCGGTGCCTGATCCCCGTTGGTTCCGTGCCTGTATGAAATTAAACCCGCCCGGCGACGCGAGCGCCTGCGCTTGGCTCTTTAGCCCCGGGTCGTCGGCCGCATGTTTGGCAAGGACGTCGTCGAGGATGGAGAGGAAGCGCGGGTTCCCCTGGAACGATTTAGGGGTCGGTGGGAGGGCAGTCGTGGTGCCAATTGCGAGTGACGGGTTTGGAGGTGTGGTGTCGAGGTAAGAAAGGAGGTGACTGTTGGGTTGCTGAGGGTTTGGGAAGACTTTCTGAAGTGGGATTAGTTCTTGACCTTGTGAAGATGGTTTTGATGCTGATGGACACTGACAATATTGGCATTGGAGGTTAATGTTGATACGCGCCTCAGCCTCGAAAGGCGAAGCTTCTGCGGCGTGAATAAACGGGTGGCCAACATCTTGCTCGATTGGCGCGTGGATAAATAAGGTAGGTAGCTTGAAGCTGGTGTTTGTTCGATGCGGTCATGGTTCGAGCTTCTGAAGCTTCAATTGAGCTCCACTTGCCTGCCGGGAACGCACAGACTCAGCAAGACCCTGGTTTGCGTCCCGTCTTCCACCCCTGTCTTGCCCCGCCAAACGCGGGAAGTCGACGCGCCGTTGCAAGCCCATTAACGCGGTCCTGCACACCTCGAACCCAAAACCACCAGCAACACCAATCCCACTAAATCCAATACAAACAACGTCACGATGATGGTCATACAGAGTCCAAAGAAGAGCCCGCGGAAAAATCAACCAAAAAGTCCCGAAAAGGGGTCCAAGCGAGCCAAACCACCCCCACCGCCGTTTTTCGCGCCCAAGAATGCCGCCCCCTCGAGCGCGATCCCGTCTTCGTCTCCCGCCTTTGCGACACCAGCGCACCCGTTAAGGCCGTTTCAACCTCCCGCTCCCGCCAAAGCAGCTGTCCTCCCCATTATACTACCCCCTGCCACCCTCCGACCTCTTGCTTTCCGCACATTTACCAAAAAGCATGGCCTAACGCTGACGTCCTCGGCGCTCCAAGAACTCGCTACCTTCATCGGGAGACACTGCGGCTCGGGATGGAGGGAAGAAGGCTTGGCGGAGAAAGTCCTAGAGGAGGTGGCTCGGACGTGGAAGAACTGCAATGGGGGGGTCATTGTGGAAGGAGCCAGCCCTGAGCTGAAGGACATGCTGAAGACTCTAGAAGGGAACATGAGCGGCGGCAAGATAATGAGTGGACCACGGGGGTTGAGCCGACAAAACAGCTTGATGCTAGAGCCGACCGAAAACCCGGACCATTCCAAGACGCGGCTCGGGCTGAGACCAACAGCAACGCTTACACGGGACGACAGCCAGGCCAGCTTTGGCATGTCGGGCATCGGTTTTGACGAGGAGCCAGATGACGAAGGGCTGCAGGATGTCAGGAGATGGCTGAAGGTTATCGGTGCTTTTGAGCAACCCCGGTACGCGTACAACGTCGCCAAGAAGCATTTCGAGAAGTATGAACTTTCCCTCTCCTGGGGTGGACGCTCCGCTAACGACGGACAAGAGTTGGTTCCAAACCATCCCTCCTACCACCGGCCTCCCACAAAACCGACGCTTTCCGAAATAGGTACAACGTCGTCCACCAACGCCTTCTCCGTAACGAATCGTTTCAGACGTCGGCAGTAACGAGCGCCAGGACAACTGGTCTGCGTCGAAGCGCATCCACAACAATGCAATCGCACAAGATAACCCCGATAGCGAACCTCCTTGGTCGGCATGGCACGAATCACATGCTGCTTGGAATGCTCGTCATGTTACCCACGGGCAACCTGGCCATTAGTGACTTGACCGGAACCATCACTCTCGATTTGTCTCACGCAGTCGCCATCCCGGAGGACTCAGCTTGGTTCACCCCTGGCATGGTCGTTCTAATCGACGGTGTTTACGAAGAAGAGGAGGAGTCTATAGGCAAGGGACTAAGCGGGAGCAGCGGCGTGGGAGGCACCATCGGGGGGCGCTTTCAGGGGTTCTTTATCGGACAACCACCATGCGAGAAGCGGCGAGCGACGCTGGGAGTTAGTGGGTTGGATGGGGGTCCGGACCACACAATCGGTGGCGGTTTTGGGTGGATCGACTTTCTCGGTGTGGGCAGTGAGCGGGCCGTGGGGTCTCGCATGCGAAAGATGGAGCAGAGATTGCTGCGGCAACCAGCGCTGGCCGATCCAGACAGCCCCGGACGAGGGCGTGTAGTGATCGTGGGCGAGCTGAACCTCGACGTGCCACGCAGCCTGCAGGCGCTGAAGAAGATCCTCTCCCTCTACGCCACCGATCCGGAAGGATCAACACCCATGACATTCGTCCTCGCCGGTAACTTCACTACCCACGCCGTCATGGCGCGTGGCGGGAGCGGTGGGAGCATAGAGTACAAAGAGTTCTTTGACGCCCTAGCCTCGACGCTGGCCGACTTCCCCACGCTCTTGTCCACGGCAACCTTCATCTTCGTCCCGGGCGATAATGACGGGTGGGCGTCCGCATTTTCAGGGGGTTCTGCCGTCCCACTTCCCCGAAACTCCGTCCCAGAGCTGTTCACCTCACGGATCAAGCGGGTTTTCACCACGGCCAACGCCGATGCGGGGCTCTCTCCCGCCGAAGGAAAGGGTGGCGAAGCCATCTGGACCACCAATCCCAGCCGCCTCTCTCTGTTTGGACCAAACCACGAAATAGTCCTCTTCCGCGACGACATATCCGCTCGCCTCCGCCGCTCCTCAGTCCGCCTCAAAGGCAAAAACCCCACAGCAGCCGATGCCTCCTCGCAACCCACCCAAACCGAAGACACCACCATGTCCGGCGCCAACCCCGCCCCCTCCTCCCCACTAGCGCCGGGCCTGGAAGCGATGGACCTCGACGACGGCACCCCCCAACCGCAGCAGCCCCAACCGCAGCAGCCCCAACCGGGCAACGCCGACGACGAGGCCGCCGCCGCCACCATCCCGTACGACACGGTGATCGCGCGCAAGCTGGTCAAGACGCTGCTCGACCAGGGCTACCTCGCGCCGTTCCGGCAGAGCGCGCGGCCCGTGCACTGGGACTACACCACGGCCATGTACCTGTACCCGCTGCCGACGGCGCTGGTGCTGGTGGACACGACGGCGCCGCCCTTCTGCGTCACCTACGAGGGCTGCCACGTCATGAACCCGGGAAGCGTCCTCGTCGGCGGCCGCAGGGGCGTGGCCAGGTGGGTGGAGTACGCGGTGGGGGGTGCTGCTAGGGGTGGGAGGGTGAGGGAGTGTACCTTTTGAGTGGGGGGATTGGTGGGTGATGTGGTGTTGTGGTGTTGTTGCGGTTGATGGGATGGAGAGGTATCATGACATGTGATGAATACAACGTTGCTCAGGCACTCGAATCAACGTAATATCCAAACCCAGGGAATTTCAAGCAGCGTTTAATGATCCTGACCTTTCCATGTAGGTACATACAGGGTAGGGTGTATACAGGGTGCAGCTGCAAGCCCTCTCGTATTTGAAGGGTGCTGTGCGAGGTAAGACGGGTCTCAGCAGGTTCAGTGCTTTTGGGTCTTGGACACGGCAGCACTGCAATGCTTGATGCTCGTCCCCGTTCAAGTTTCCGAATACACGCGTCTGAAGTCACGAGAGTCGTGTTCAGATGAACTCCCTACCTAACCTTGACCACGCTGCGACCAACCTCGGTACAAATACGCCAGCTGGCATCGGGTGCGAGGCGCGCTCCGGGCCGCTCTTGGGATTGCCCCCACCCCGCCACAAGGTTAGGGGACTTTGTGTGCCCCCACCCTACCCCCCCACTTCCATCCCAACTTCAACGTCCCGAATTGTCAACAACCTCCCAAGCCATTCCGTCCATCCCCGGGAGAAGAAGAAAAAGAAAAGGGGGGAAGCGGTTATTTTCAGAGCACAATTGTCCAAGAGAAGTGTCGTTCTGTTATCTTGACAGACGGACCATTGGTAGCCGACGAAGAGCATCTGACGGTTGGCCTTGACCACCAAGTTGGTTCCATTGTCATGTTCTCTTCGTGGTCTTATTATATTTTACAGCATGTCAACGACTCTCAATATACATCGTTATGGGTAATCCCTCTACCTACAGAAAGTGCGCAAGAGTTACGATTAACAATGTTATAGCTTGAGCTTAGCTTCGCATATGGTTCAAACATTACCGTCGCCTGTTATTCTCTTCCATCACGCCTTGCTCACCGATTAGGCATTGACTTAGTCCCTCCTGATATCTAGGCATCTAGTTGGTGCTCGAAGCCTGCTCGAGATTGGCTAGATGTTACCGAGGGTGGCGAACCCTCAGGCTAGTCTCCTCGGCCCTGGATTGGAAAAGGGAACCGGTGACGGTTGGCAGCCATGGCGACAGCCCTCGGCAAAGGCTTGACATGTCCGTGGGTTCGCACGGGGCTCCCCGTGTACGCAATCAGAAGCCGCACACTGGCTGATTCTCCAGAGGCCAAGGATGGCGTCTTCCGCTTCTTAAGGGCAGCCTTTGAGGCGTTTTTGCCACTTCTGCTATCTCCTCACGCGTCGCTTTTGCGTCTGCACCTTCAATAACCACCCTCACTTCATAACCGCGTCGCCTTCGCTTGGTCCGCCAGTTCTGGAACATGTTCGTACCGGTTGCTAAGTTGCTAGCATGCCTGTTCCTGGCGAGTCTCGTCAACGCAGGAACCGTCAACTACGACTGGAACGTGAGTTGGGTATGGGCAAGCCCCGATGGCTTCGGAAGATCCGTTGTTGGGATTAACAACGGATGGCCATGCCCCCCGATCGAGGCCACGGTGGGCGACACCGTCGTCGTCAACCTGAACAACAAGCTCAACAACCAGACTACTGGGCTGCATTTTCACGGCATCAGCCAGGTTCCGACTCCCAACATGGACGGTCCTAGTGGTGTGACGCAGTGCGCGATACCGCCAAATTCTTCCGTCAAGTATCAGTTCACTGTTGATGCCCCGGGCACATATTGGTGTAAGTACACCCGTCACGAGTAACTTTGGTTGGTGCTAACACGCAGGGCGAAGACCACTCCCATAACATGGGGCAGTATCCCGATGGCTTGCGCGGTTCTCTCATCGTGAAGGACCCCAACGACCCCTACCAAGGGAGGTACGACGAGGAGCACGTACTGGCCGTTTCAGACTGGTAAGTGGGCATCGACCCAACTCCCAGAACTCAAGGCTCATTGTCGACAGGTACCACAACGATAGCATCACCGTGGTGCAGGACATGCTCTCCCCTTCCAATACTCGATTTCTCCCGCCGATGCCCGATAACATTACTGTCAACGAGGGCCGGGGCTTGCACATTAACCTCACACAGGGAAAGACGTATCGCATCCGCATGATCAACTACGCCGCCTTCGGCGCCGTAATGGTCCAGTTCGATCCGCACACCATGAAAGTCATCATGAACGACGGAGCATATATCAAGGAAGAAGATGCCCGCCAGCTGCGCCTGGCGCCTGCTCAGCGGTACGACGTTCTTGTCTCGGCCACCGACAGCGATAGCGGGAACTACCCCTTCCTGGTGTCGCTCGACGTCAACCGGGACTGGACCAGCGCGACTGAAAAGAAGACCTGGGCCCATAACTACACGGGCTACCTTGTCATGGACGCCTCACAGCCACTGAACACGACCTCTGTCGTAAATGAGTGGAAACCCGTCGACGACGCCCACTTCAAGCCCTACGACGGAGCGGCGGCCTATGGCTCGTACGACAAACTGATGAAGCTCGACTTCAACTTCTGCCTTGACCAGAACGGGTACCATCGATCGTGTGTTAATAACCTCACCTACATTGGCCAGAAGGTACCGACGCTCTACAGCGCCGCCACGACGGGCGACCAAAACACGAATCCGGCCATCTACGGGCAAGTCAATCCCTTCATCGCCAACTACAATGACACCGTGCAGATCGTGGTTAACAACATCGACGCTACCTCCCATCCTTTCCATCTACACGGACACCACTTCCAGGTGCTGGAACGGGGGGCGAGCGGGGTGGGCAAGTGGCCGGGGAAGAACGAGACGTACGCGGCCAACCCGCCGATGCGCGACACAGTCGTCGTCATGCCCAAATCGTACGCCGTGCTGCGCTTCCGCGCCACCAATCCGGGCGTTTGGCTGTTCCACTGCCACATTGAATGGCACGTCGAGATGGGCCTGACGGCCACCATCATCGCGGCCCCTGAGCGCCTGCGCAACATGACATTCCCCGACGACCACATCGCAGCTTGTAAGAAGATTGGCACCCCGTACCAGGGTAACGCTGCCGGAAACACTCAGAATGCGACGAATACCACCGGCTTCATCACCGTGCCGCCGACTTCTTATGATGGGTAAGTGCTTTCATTGTTTGGGGGCGGGTTCGTGAATATGTTCACCGTTATATTGACTTGATATATAGTGCGTCATACTCAACAGAAGAGTAATCTGGGCGGACAAAAGAATGCGGGGGAAGGGTCAACAGGGAAGGAAAGAGAGACAAATTGTACTTGTTAGCAGAGACTAGGTAATGAACAAAGTCTGTCGGTGATTCCTTTCTTTTCTTTTATAAGTTATCCACTCCCACAGCCTACAGATCCCGCCGCCCACCTCTTTAGGCATCCTCCTGCTGCTCATCCCATGCACAGCAACACCGCTCTACTTTCTCCGCCCACACAGTGCCATGTCAGCCAATCCATGATGCCATGTCATGTACATGGGCTCGGACCGGGCGCTGAGACGTGTCCCGCAGCTCACACCCGAAGTCCTGTTACACGGCGGCAGCCTGCCCAAAAAGAACATGGAAGACAAGCGTCTCAGCTCGTGGAGCCCGTCCGATGCTTCTTCCGGGCCGACGCGGGGGGCCAGGCCGCAGCCGGCCACACAAAACCATATTGTGATACGGCACGAGAGAGGCCGCGGTTCCTCCGGATATTGGCCGTGTATCCACACATTTGGGCCTCGTTGGTGCACGTTCATCACCATCACATGGTGCCATGGCTGTTTATGGGACCGTATCTAGGTAGATAACTGCACGGGGCGGTGGGGAAACCACTGTTGCCGTCAGAGTCACTGGCGGTCTTCATTCGGGCATCTACACAGGTGCATCCCGTGGGGCGCAGAGGGCCCGTTGGCCTCAGGAAGTCAGCAGTTGGGTACAATGACAGCACATACAAGTCTCTCGGAAGCGCGGTCGTATTTACTGCTGATTATCAGCTGGTTTCCTCGCTCGAATACCGTGACTTAAAGGGGGGTTGCTGAGTTGTTGCTGGACACTGTAAGCAAACGCGAGCCTGCTTCTGTCCCCCAGGACCGGAAGTGTGACCGGATGCGAAAGTGGCACCATATGGACCGGCTACGAGCACCCGTCTTTGGCAACCCCGAGTAGGTTATGGCACACTTGCCTATTCAGGGATCATGAATCGCCGTATTTATCAGCCACCCGTCATGCATGACAAGTCCGGCATGGGGATTGAACCGGAGATTCTGGTTTCGTGCCGGTGAATCATCACGCCGAACCTAAACAAAGGAAAATACGTCTCAGGTAGCTGTTTCACCACATCGGCTGGCCTCGACCGAGCCTAGAACAGAGCACCTGCCGAGCCACCAGATCTGCTTCGACGCGACGTTGAGCTTTCTGAAAGGTTACCAAACTGAAACTTGGTGTTGATGACAACTGATATATCCCGGGGCTCCCCACGCAAGTAAGCAGAGAAGGAGGTTACCCAGTGAGATGTGTTCGTCCGCCGTCCGCAGTCCGCCTTCCGTCGCCTCCATGGCGAAACCTTGCAGCTTTGGCCAAACCACACTCAGCCAGGATGCCGAGAAGCCGAAAATAGTTCGTGTTAAATTTTGCCAAGACCGTGATTGCCGCATGTTCTTCAATCGCGTGACGGGTCGGACAATCGGGGGTCCGGCGGTGGTTGTGGTGATGGTAATCGTACCTAAGGGGAAGGTTTGCCCGAGCCAACCACTTTTGGTTGACGCCGGACAGCATGCCGTGAGCCTGTTCGAGACATAGATCATGTACATACCTCTCAATGGATGAAGGGGGGGTTGGATATCACCGATTAGAGGTTGAGGTGCGAGTGAGATGGGTGGTGAGTGATCCGTTGTTTTGCAAACGAGGATGGCAAGCACGCCGGGTTCTCGAAGTAATACCGCAAATTTGGTCAAATGGAAGATTCGTCGGTGAATTCACTGGAATAGAGCCGGCCCTCGGTTTGGTATTTCGCATACCTAATCTGGTGTCCCAGTCAACGAGCTTGGGTATGGCTTCCTTTTTCTTTTCTTTTTCACCGTTGTTAGTTGTTATTTTACGGTGCTCATCTTCTCAGACCAGGAGTGAACTTTCCAGGTTTCGATTCGTGCCTTCCATTAACTCTGCTTGGGTATCGAACCACCTGAGGTGCCCGCTTTTCCTCCATGTGTAAGGTTGTGCCGAGCCATCTACTCTGCAAGTCCCATCTCTCTCATGGATGTCCATACCTCAGATTCCAAGTGATCCGTGGTTGGCAGCTGCGCACCCTGTCTGGTCTGTATCGGGCAGCGACTAGCCCCGGGCCATTCCACAATGTGTTCACACACTCGACACGTCGAGTAGTCTACCTCTACCGAGACGCTGTGTTGCAGACGACCCGCAGATGACAACAGGAAGATCTGGTACTGCGTATGGGCATCATATGAAACTGGCGTTGTCTTAGTTCACCTTATCTGTCGTTCGGTGATTTTGAGGAGGTATAGGGCAGGTTGGATGCTCTGAGTGAGACACTCGGACTGGATAGAAACATGGAATGTGGCCAAAGAACTGAAATCCAACCCGGATTCCATCGTCGTTTCCCGGCAGGCGCAGGCGAGTTAACCCCCACCCACCACTCACCACCCCGCTCCCCAACCTTCTAACGGGCCCAAACTAGGTAGGTACGAAGGTAGGTACCCAGAAAGGGAAGCCTTGGCGCATGAACGACCAACCAAGCACCTTTCACGCCGATGAGGCTCTCCCGTTCCCACCGAAAACTATTGGTTGGCAGCGACGACATGCCACTTCTCCCCCTCCAACCGCCTTCACCGCGTTTTGCATGGAAGTACAAAATATCGACCCTGAGAATCCCGACGGCAGCACGCCCAACGAGTCGAAAACAAACAATTGGCAGGCAACCACCTCTACCACATCCGCAACCCACCCCCCACCATGAATTTTTGTGGTGCAATCGCTCACCTGGGCCGTGGTGCGGGAGTCCGTGCTGGAGGGAGGGGAGGATGGGGGAGTCCGTCCCGCCGGCCGATGCTTCCCCTACGAGCCGGCGGATTTACGCTAGAGGTGTAAAATGGTTTGCGACAGGTGGTTTCTGTCCCATCGGACAGACAATCCATTCAGGGACGAGGCGCAGTATGCCAACGAGCAGATCCTCAGCACTGGCAGCAGGTACCTGACCCTGAACTGAGACCGAGAACAGGAACGCGCGACTGCAAACGCGCTGCAGGAATACCGTGACGCTCTCGTTCCTCACCCAATCCAGCCAACCGGTCTGTTCAACCGGCCCATGCAACAACGCTTCCGGTTTCTTTTCTCGGATTATCACATGGCGCCTACTCCATCGAGTCGTCGCTACACAACATGGAACTTCTATCCGGAGCTCCTTCCCGCCGTTTCGATGTCGATACCTGCGGCCAGGTACCTACCACTTGGGGTGGTACCGCCTCTTTCTCGTGGGCCCGGGGACAAAAAGGCAAGTCCATAGGGCTATCAAATGTCGCTTCAGACGCCGGGGGATGTCATGGCCGGTAAAATGCGTGCGGTGATTCCATCCATGCTTCTTCCGTCGACGTGGTCCCATTAGACTACGATCTGCCATCCCCAACCTCTTGTCCGAGCTTTACATTACTTTGTTACTTGAATGCATGCTATAAGACACTTTCTTTGCCCTGCGTTGCTTCGATATCTTGTTCGAGTTTCTTTCTTTAGTTTGTAGCTCTCTATCAACAGCCACAAACCCGCCATCCCGTGAAGCAGCACGGCGTCCTTGGCCTTCCTAACCCACGTCAACATGGAGGCCAACCTCGACGAGAGCTGGGCCGAGCGGCCGGCATTCCTCCTGTTTGGGGATCAGTCACTCGACAGCCATAGCTTTCTCGCTCAGTTCTACCGCCAGTCCAAGCACGGCGAGCTGGCAAGGGTCTTCTTACAGCAAGCAAACCACGCTCTGGTGGGAGCCGTCGAGAAGCTACCTACTTTGGAGCGAGCAACTCTACCCGAATTTCGAAACCTGCGGCAGCTCAACGAACGATACCACAACGCGCCCCTGAAACATGCGGGTATTGACGCGGCGCTGCTGACAATATCGCAACTTGCGCACTACCTCGAGTGAGTCTACGCCAGGCACGCTTGCCAACTTCCCAGCCCCCTTCCTAGTTTTCCGGGCTTGTTTCGGGCCGCCTCCTCTGACTATGACAATGTAGCCACGCCGAGAAGCACTGCGGCGATATCACACAGCCTCGTAACACCCATCTCATCGGGCTCTGCTCGGGACTCTGGGCTGCATCCGCTATCTCGATAGCGCCCTCGTTGCCCGACCTCGTCCATGTCGGCGTCCAAACGGTTCTCTTGGCTTTCAAGACAGGCTCCTACGTCCACGCCGTTGCGCAACGACTAAACCCGGCTTCTGAACGAACCGAAAACTGGACCTACATCTTCTCAGCGTTGAGCGTTGAAGACGCCACCGAAAAATTGGACATTTTCCATGTTGCCTCCGTGAGTTACCCGCCGCCTGCCCTGCTTCGCTGAGTCGAGTAACTGACACGCCGTTTTAACAGAACCTTCCTCCTGCTAGCCGTGCGTATATTAGCGCGGTATCCGACAATAGTCTCGCAGTGTCTGGCCCACCCAGCACGCTAGATGCCATAGTCAACAATGGGATCCTCACGGCCGACCCAACCGCTGTCCCTGTCCATGGCCCCTATCACGCGCCACATCTGCATTCCGCAGCCGATATCGAGAGGATTCTAGAGCTTGACAGACCAGAGGTGGAAGACGCCTTGTACAAGACACAGCCGCGATCACCAGTCATGGACTGCTCAGCTGGCATTTGGTTCTCCGTCTCGGACACGAAATCGCTCCTGACAACGGTCGCCTCTACCCTCTTGAACAAAGGGTTGATGTTTAGCAAGGTCCTCGCTGGCTGCATTGAGACTGCTCGCGAATTCCAGAGCGATAAGTGCCTCATACTCCCCGTTGGCCCGACTCAAAATGCAACTACGCTTCAGAGACGCCTCCAACAAGAGGTCGGACTGGAGGTCACTATCCGCATGCCGCCCCCTATCGCGCCGGAGGCCACAGCGTCCAGGATTGGGAATCACGGCTCGAGCGGGAAGCCTAAGCTTGCCATTGTCGGCATGGCCGGGCGGTTCCCTGACGCTGCCAGCCACGAAGCGCTCTGGAAACTGCTCGAAAGTGGCCTTGCTGTCCACCGCGAGGTCCCACCGGATCGTTTCAACGTCAAGACACATGTTGACCCCTCCGGCAAGGGCAAGAATATGAGCCATACTCCATACGGTTGCTGGATTAAGGATCCGGGCCTGTTTGACCACCGCGTCTTCAACATGTCGCCGCGCGAGGCCCGCAACACAGACCCGATGCAGCGGATGGCCCTGACCACCGCATACGAGGCCTTGGAAATGTCAGGCTACGTCCCCAACAGGACGCCATCCACAAGACTCGATCGGATCGGCACCTTCTATGGCCAGACCTCGGACGATTGGCGCGAGATCAACGCCGCCCAGGACGTGGACACGTACTTCATCACGGGCGGCGTTCGCGCCTTTGGACCTGGCCGCATCAATTATCACTTTGGCTTCAGCGGGCCGAGTCTCAACATCGACACCGCTTGCTCCTCCAGCGCCGCCGCCATGCAGGTGGCATGCTCAGCACTCTGGGCCCGCGACTGCGACACGGCCATTGTCGGCGGCCTCTCGTGCATGACCAACCCGGACATCTTCGCCGGGCTCAGTAAAGGCCAGTTCCTGTCAAAGAAGGGACCATGCGCCACCTTCGACAACGGTGCCGATGGGTACTGCCGTGGTGACGGATGTGCATCGGTCATCGTCAAGCGTCTGGATGACGCCCTAGCCGACCAAGACAGGGTTCTCGCCGTCATCCTCGGCACCGCGACCAACCACTCGGCGGATGCCATCTCCATCACGCATCCCCACGGTCCGACGCAGTCTATTCTGTCTACAGCCATCCTTGACGACGCTGGTGTCGATCCCCATGACGTCGACTATGTCGAGATGCACGGCACCGGTACGCAAGCTGGAGACGGCACCGAGATGAAGTCGGTCACCGACGTTTTCGCACCCGCGAATCGCCCCAGACCCGAAGACAGGCCGCTTTTTCTAGGAGCCGTCAAAGCAAACGTGGGGCACGGCGAAGCCGCCTCCGGAGTCACCGCCCTCATCAAGGTACTCTTGATGCTCGAGAAGAATACCATCCCGCCCCATGTAGGGATCCAGAAGAATGGCGGGGAGATCAACAAGACGTTTCCCAAGGATTTTGCCGCGCGAAACGTCAACATCGCATTCCAGCCCGTCCCATTTACAAGGAGGGATGGAAAGCCCAGGCGCGTCTTCGTCAATAACTTCAGCGCAGCCGGTGGTAACACTGGCCTCCTGGTCGAGGACCCCCCGAACGTTTTGCCTGCAAATCCGGATCCTCGTACCCACCACGTCATCACTCTGTCGGGGCGGGTTTGGGAGTCCGTGAAGGGGAATGCCGAACGCCTCCTCGAGTGGATGGAGCGGCACCGCGACACACCGCTCTCGCACATTTCCTACAGCACAACAGCAAGGAAGTCTCACCACGTCTGCCGTATGACTGTGACAGGCAAGGAAATTGGGGATCTACGGACGGCCCTTAGAGAACGCCTCATGGAGCTGGACCTGACCCAAACTATCCCGGTCTCCCATCAGCCCAGTGTGGTGATGATGTTCACCGGACAAGGGTCACAATACGCCGCGATGGGGAAGGAGCTCTACAACCATCACGCAGTGTTTCGCGAGAGCATCGACGGCTTCGTCGACCTGGCCCGCTTACAAGGCTTTCCGTCCTTCCTCCCCCTCATCGACGGCACCGACCAAAACGTGTCCGAGATGTCACCTATTGTGCTGCAACTTGGTCTGGCATGCTTCCAGATGGCCCTCGCCCGCCTGTGGGGGGCGTGGGGAGTCAAACCTGCTGCCGTCGTGGGTCATAGCCTAGGAGAGTATGCCGCTCTCGAAGTAGCCGGCGTGCTCTCCGCCAGCGATGTCATCTACCTCGTCGGCTCTCGTGCCAAGTTGCTGGTCGAAAAGTGCACAGCTGGCAGCCATGGCATGATCGCCGTTCAGGCTCCGGTGAAGACCGTCCTGGAGCTGATGGGCACCGAAGCTGGCGGCCTCAACATTGCCTGCATCAACAGCCCCCGCGAGACCGTCGTCAGCGGTGACTCGGAAAAGTCAAAGGAGATGGCCGCGCATATGTCCGCCCAAGGTTACAAGTCCCATCACCTGCAGGTGCCCTTCGCTTTCCACTCCCCCCAGGTGGAAGTCATTTTGGATGATTTTGAGAAGCTCGCACAGGGCGTTAGCTACAAAGCCCCAAAGATCCCTATCATCTCCACCGTCCACGGAGACGTCATTGAGAGCAAGTCGATCGACGCCGGGTACCTGCGCAAGCACGCGCGAGACACGGTCCACTTTCTCGATGGCCTTATCGAAGCCCAGAAGTCGGGCACTATCGATGACAAGACTGTTTGGCTCGAGATCGGCCCTCACCCGGTTCTTTCGAACATGGTCAAGGCTACGTTCGGCGCCAGCACGGTGGCCGTCCCCACACTGCGCCGTAGCGAGCCGTGTTACAAGACGGTGACGAGCACCCTCGCCACCCTGCACAACGCGCACCTCAAGATCAACTTTAACGAGTACCACCGCGACTTCTCCGACTCAGTGCGTCTCCTGAACCTGCCGACGTATTCTTTCCACGACAAGAACTACTGGATCCAGTACACGGGCGATTGGTGTCTCACGAAGCACGACTTATCGGTCGCTGCGGCGGAACAGAAGCCTGCAACGCCCTGGGTCGCCACGACGACAGTACACAAGCTCCACAGGGAAAGTGTCGAGGGCGGCATAGCGACCGTTGAGACTGAGTCCGATCTCTACCAAGAGGAGCTTCGGAATGTGGTTTGTGGTCACCAAGTCAACGGGGCCCCTCTGTGCCCGTCGTCACTGTACGGCGACATGGCCATGACCGTGTGCGACTATGCCTACAAGCTGCTGCGGCCCCAGTCGAAGGGTATCGGCTGTAACGTTGCGGATATGCAGGTCTTCAAGCCGCTCATTTTCGACGACAAGGCCGGAAGTCACATCTTGCGGTTGACGGTGAGGGCTAATGCCGAGGCTGGCGAAGCCGACTTGATCTTCCACACGGCCCAGGGTGGCAAGAAGCTCGAGCATGCCCATTGCAAAGTCTACTACGGCAATCACGACGACTGGCAGGACGAGTTCGACCGGGCCGCCTACCTCATCAAGTCCCGTGTTGACTTCCTCATGGAGGCGGAGAAACGTGGTGCTGCCTCCAAGATTGGACGCGGCTTGGCGTACAAGCTCTTCTCCGCCTTGGTCGACTACGGCGACCGCTACCGGGGCATGGAAGAGGTTATCCTTGACAGCGCTACTTGTGAAGCGACAGCCAAGATCCGCTTCCAGACAACAGACCAGGACGGCACCTTCTACTTCAGCCCCTATCATATCGACAGCGCCTGCCATATTTCGGGCTTCATCATCAACGGCACCGATGCTGTGGATTCGCGCGAACGAGTCTTTATTTCCCACGGCTGGGGCTCCATGAGATTCACCGAGATTCCAAATGCAAACAAGGAGTACCGCAGCTACATCCGCATGCAGCCGGTCAAGGGCACGGAGATGATGGCCGGCGATGCCTACGTCTTCGATGGCGACAAGGTCATCGGCATGACGGGCCGTATCAAGTTCCAAGCCATCAAACGCCACACTCTCAACATGATGCTTCCTCCGCGGGGCCCCCAGACGGCCTCGCGCACAGCTCCCTCGCCGATCAAAGCAGCACCCCAAAAGAAGAAGAGGAAGGAGACGGTGAACCCCTCTAACATAGACAAGGTGAACCAGAGGCTGAAGTCTGTGACGGCCGCAGTCATGGATATCCTTGTCAGAGAAATCGGCTGCAGCCACGGCGAGCTCGCTGACGACGCCGCCTTTGAGAACCTCGGTGCCGATTCCCTAATGGCTCTACAAGTCTCTTCGAAGATACGCGAAGAGTTGGAATTGGATATTGAAGCCCAAGCCTGGCTCGACCACCCCACCGTCGGCGCTTTCAAAACGTACCTAGCAAACTTTGAGAGACCAGGTCGCAATGAAAGGGTGTCCTCTCGTGACTCGGCAAGAACGACAGACGACGAATCTCGCGAGGTGGAATCTGACTCGTACGTCACGACACCGCCCGAAGATAGTGCTCCGCATTCCGTTAAGGGTGATGCACCGGACGAGGCGGGGCCCCGCGATTCTGCACAGAACCAGGAGCTTCGAACCATCATCCGTGAGTCCATTGCCACGGAGGCGGGCGTGGACGTGCGAGAAGTTGTTAGCGCGCCCGATTGGCCGAGTCTCGGGGTCGACTCCCTCTTAGGTCTAGGAATCAGCAGCCGGATCCGTGAGTTAGCCGGCATAGAGGTTCCGAACGACCTCTTCCTTGAGCACGCAACGCTTCAAGACGTGGAGCGCGTCTTGGGCGTCACCACCGCCCCCAAGAAACGTGCCATCCGCGAGCGGCAGCGCACCAAGGAAAAGCCCAAGGCAACCTCCGCGACGGCCCCCGTAGGGGAGCATCCTCGGATCGCCTTGGAGGAACCCGCCCCTCCGAAACCGCCGAGACCCACCAGCATTGTCGACGACTTTCCCCACCGCACAGCCAACTCGGTCCTCATGTCTGGGACTTCCAGCGACAAAACGAAGCAGCTTTTTATGATCCCGGACGGCAGCGGGTCTGCCACATCGTACACCGAGATCGCTGCAGTTGGCGGTGGGTGGTCTGTCTGGGGTCTCTTCTCGCCCTTCATGAGAACGCCGGACGAGTATCATTGTGGTGTCTACGGCATGGCTACCAAGTTTATCGACGAGATGAAGCACCGCCAACCCGAGGGCCCGTACTCGCTTGCGGGCTGGAGTGCCGGAGGTGTCATTGCATTCGAGATAGTCTACCAATTGGTCACGGCCGGGGAAGAGGTTGCGAACCTGATCATCATCGACGCCCCTTGCCCCGTCACTATCGAACCGCTTCCGCAAGGGCTCCACGCATGGTTCGCATCCATTGGTCTGCTCGGCGAGGGTAACGACAAGAAGATCCCCGAGTGGCTGCTTCCCCACTTCTCCGCCTCCATCACGGCTCTCAGCACCTACGATGCCAGACCGATCCCCAAAGAGAAGTGCCCCAGGGTGATGGCTATTTGGTGCGAGGATGGAGTGTGCCATCTACCCACGGATCCCAGGCCGGAGCCGTATCCGAAAGGCCATGCCCTTTTCTTGCTCGACAACCGCACCGACTTTGGGCCAAACAGGTGGGAGGAGTACCTGGACATAAACCGGATGCAATTCAGGCACATGCCAGGCAACCATTTCTCCATGATTCATGGCAACTTGGTATGTTGTGCTCCCCCCACCCCCTTAATCTACCCTAACATCCCTCTACTTGAAACGAACAAATGCTAACTCGACGACACAGGCCAAAATACTTCAAGGGTTTTTACAGGAGGCCGTTCTGGGTTAAGGCCGCAGGTGGCCGTTTCAATTCACTCCCCCCAAAGCAGAGCCGACAATTCGGAACCCATCACGGCGTGTTTGTTTTTTATTGTTGTATTTTCATTTGGCGTACATGCATACTTGATAGTGCTCACCGGCATCATTAGAGATGATTTGGTGCTGGCTTTGGTTGGGCATGGTGGTGGCGCCATGCCAGCGATTTCGCTTACTCCATTTCAATGTTTAATAGCGATGATTGCGTTTACTTCTGCTTTTCCACTTGTCGTCGTGTCTTGTTCGTCTTACCGTCGTTGTCTACTTTGCCTCCCCTTGCTTAGACATTCATCTGTTCGGCTCACTTGGGCCATCCACACACCCATATCCATGGGGGATCGGAGGGGGAACAAGAAGACTCTAGCGCAAGGTCTCTCTTTTTACAGGGCTCCTGCCACATTCAACATTTTGGTTTTTCGATCCTCAGACTTCTCGATATAAAATAACAAGATTGCTTTCTTGAACATAAACACTTCCCCTTGGCCATCAAGCCGTCCCATGCCTGTGGTTCCCTACACCTAACGCCCACCGTGTCTGTTATGGCTATGTCGAAGGATGAAGCGAGCCAAACTCAATGCAAAACATCTTCAAAATTTATCTGGGGCTCTCGACGCATTCCCGGTCCGGCCGTTCTGTTCTCTCCTGTCACCTCGTGACCATCCTTCTCCGGACTTGGCCTCTCCTTTAAAAGCCGAACAACAAACAACAACATGTCCCCGCACCTTTAGCAGATGTAGGCGGAGTAATGACTGCCAAACTCACCTTAAACCGTTCCTGCCTTCATCCTACTTCCAGCTCCCGTTGGTCCCATTAGCCAGCGTTAGGGCCCCGATGTTGCAGCTGAACATTCCAAACACATCTGGCAAAAGGGACTAATAGTCCAATTGTGTTTGTCTTCGACTTGTTGTCCCGTTCTGTATCGGCTAACTCCTTTTGGTTTCCTCCCTGACAGTTGGGTCCAGTACCTAAATTTATACATGGCTCCGGCGGCGGCATTGAGACTCCTGGCGCAACCCTCCCCGCATGCTTGGCAAAGTCGGCATGCGTTCCTGGTGCAGGAGCTCATCGAGCTTGACTATGTGGGTGCCGCCCGAGAGACTGTTTTACTGGGACGTCCTGGGGTGTAAAGCTGCGAGTCGCATGCTTTTCGAGTCCCTAGGTAGTTGCGGTCGGTGATGTCTGTTGCTTGCAGGTGGTTTCCCGGTTTGCAATATCCTTCCGTTGCGGTTTGTTTTGAGTTTGATTGATTGGCCAGCTGCCCTGTCCTCGTCCCAATCAGGCAGGAAGCGGTTACAGGGGCCCTGGTGGAGTTAAGTGGTGAACCACCTGCACAGGAGGAAGGAAGCACCAGAGTTAAACTTGATTATTAGATCTAATTTTTCATAGAGATATTGTCAGTCTCGGAAATGACACAGAAACTTATGGGAATCATCCCCGCGATTCAAACTCTCACCGAAAAAGTTGGCTATGAAAGTTTTCGGCCCATTTATGCGGCTCACAAAATCATGTTTAGGACCGGGCATCTGGGTGTGCGACTCACCAACCAACAAGCCAGGCAAACCCCCTTTAAGTTCATTTATCTTAGCTACCTATTCAACAATGACGGTCAAAATAACACTGCCTGGCTGATCTGTTACATGGTAGGTACCTATGTAAAAGGTCCATCGCCAGACCAGACGGAAAGAAGCCGCGGCGTGGGGGTCACTCGAACAAGCCATAGATGGAAGTCCTCAGGTAGTAGGTAGGTAGGCAGCTACTCAGCAATCTCTGTCAGCAGCAGATTGGGTTGAGAGAATCTTAATCTTTACTAGGCAGGTACTCCCACCAGCCGATCTTGTTCCGACACCCCTCACTCACATAGGATCCCAAAGTTGGGTGAGACAGTCACTCGTTGCTTGGCCCTATTCTCTTGGCCTCGAGAGCGCAAGACAATCCGTGATGATTTGCTGTTTTGCGTTACTGCCGCCCGTTGGTGCCCTGAGTCTGAAAGAATGTCTCGGGACCGAGCGACAGACTCATGTTCAGCTGATCACCAACAGCATATGCCTTTCCAATCACCAACCATTCATCATCCCCGTGGCAAGGCACGAGTACGAATAACGTGGTGTCTTTCACATCACATTCCTGAAGCCACCGTCTCCTTAATGACAGCTAACCACTCCCATCACCGAGTCCCGGGGATGTATGCAGTGGTGCATGCAGTTCGCTCGCTAGCCAGCCCTGTCCTCCGCAAACTACATACATATATGCACCCTTTGCATGCCAGAGAGGCGTCTGTTGTTGGCTTCTGCCGTTGGGCTTTTGCAGCATGCCCCTTCCCCCACTCACCCTCGGGGATCGCCAATGCATAAGACCGCCGGCGGGAGACGGTTCATGGGTCCCCGACCGACCGATGTGACGCTGAGGGTTCACTCAGCGCGCTCGGCAGGGAACGGCAGAGACGCGGGTCGGCGCTGTTCTAGGTAATGATCGACAAGCTTCGGCCATCAAGCCCCGCCCAATTGGGAGCCTGGTGGTTGGGGGCCTGGGTTCTGCAGGCGCGTCAGATAGGGATAGGCCTGGGAACAATGAGATCAGGAAATCATACATGGGCTGCTCGTGGAGGATGTGCGGATAGAAGCGGGTTTGGTTGGCATCGTGGGGGGGGGGATGCCCCGTTCGAGCTGAGGTTGCCGTCTACCGCCGGCGTGAATGGCCAGGCATGAGGGGGAGAAGTTGGTCTGGCTGGTGGTTCCGCCGTAGCCTGCCCGACTAGTGTCGGGCATATGCTCCCCTGAGGGAGGTGTGCCACCGGGACGGGGGCGCGACCGTTTTCCTGCCCTCTACCCGTCATGTCGCTGCCGGTATGGGTCTCCCCAAGGAGGCAGTTGGTTATTGTTGGCCTCGGGCTGCCGAGGGCACCGTGGGATTAGGACCTGAAACGTAAAGCGTCCCAGGGCGCCGTGGGATAAGGGGGGGGGGGGGGGTCATCCAGCAGCGGCGCCGGGGCTTTTGGTTGGTGGTGGGTAACACTCGCCTTCGGGATAGCGTGGATTGCTGCGTTGTGGGTTGTCAATTCAACTGTGTATCGCGGGAGCCTGGCGATCTTTATTCTTGGCGGCGCGGGTAGGGGCCATGATCTGGGCGTTAGCCGTTAAACGGAAGGAGATACCCGAGGTGTGCTTCCGCCAGAATCCGACGCTCGGTGTGCAATCCACATAATTTGGTCCGGGCCCGACCCCGGCCCCGCTCCATGCCGGAGGACCGGGGGGTGTGGGGCCGTTATGGGGGACCGGCTCGGCTCCGGCTGACCTTTCGATTGGGCTTTCGGGGCAACTCGGTTCGGGATAAGCTGGATTGGTTGGTATTGTAAAGACGCTCTTGTTTTGAATCGTTCAAGCATCAAATGTATCAATCACTGTCGCTCTGGACACTCCAAGATCCATGTCCCATCGCTGACATGTCACGTATCACTCTCGGGATCCGGGTCGGCGACCAATCTAGAAGCTACGATGATTTTCCGAAGTGAGTGGTTTCACGGGTCGTATGTATGTACAGGGTTGTTGGAAAACTCCTGAGCTAGCCGCCTGTCAAGTTCACCTTCCGTCCTCTCCCTAGTGGGTAGTGCAGAGATATGCATCTTGACGGCAGGCTTTCAACTTGTGATGTTGGACCTCGCCTACAGATGCGTTTGCTTGGCTCATAACGTGCAGTGCCCCTGGTAGACATTGACGATCATGAGCTCGTCCGACGCGACCCGCGAGCCGTCCCTTGCAATGATCTCGACATGGATCCGGGGTGGATGTGGTGTATCCTACGGTGTGGCTCATTGAGGACGTCATCCGCGGGATTCGGGGTTTCCAGTCGTCAGCAAGGCACACCTCGGCCAAGCTTCGGGGTGATTATACCGACAGAAGTCAAGTACAACCGCACCATGTCCCAGCTCCAGGCATCCTGATAGCATCCCACCTTCCCATGTTGAGTTTCGTAGTTCTTGCGGTCATACAATCCACAATATGCCGCTGCCCGTCTTACGGGTAGCAGCGTGCATACGCGTCCATGACGCACATCGGGGAATACATAGCCTACCTACTACAGTTTCACAGAGACATAAAGGCTACACTAGCTGATGGACCCTTGCTCTGGCCCAGTGCAACTTACCCCATGAGAAGGAAGCTGAAGTTGCTGCGGTGAACCCTGGTGAAACATGGTTGGAGAGTACTACCTCTTTCCGGTCGTACGATTCCTAGGAGGTGCTTGTTCTCCGGCCTTTGGTGTATCCCCATAGTTGGAGGATCCTAGCAGAGTGGCATTCGTTATTAACGAGCCGGATAGTGGTTGTTCCATTTGCCGGACTGTAGCCAGCATGGTGACGTCGAGAAGCCGCACGTGAAGGAAAACCACACCGTTACATTTTAAACACCATCCCCTGGGCCGCGGACGGCGCATTCAACTATGCTTTTGCGGTCGCCTCCCCCGAATAACCTTGGGTCGTCAAACGCGGGCTCGTCCCTCATCATACTAGCAGGTTTAATCAACGAGGTGATTCCCCCCTGGACAATGGGGCGAGAAGATACGGTACTTCCACGTCCAAGTTTTGCCGGCCCGGCCATCCCGCCTCCATCTAAACATGCAAGGCGTGGGATGGCACAGCGTCGGAGACTAGAACCGTAGAAACGGTTGTTTTAATCTAGTATTGTAACTGGGCGAGTTCAATCACAGCTGAATGCGGCCGAACTAATTCACTTCTACCGCCGGTTACCTCCCATGCACGGGACTTTGATATTGCAAAAGCATATCAAGACTAAGAAGGCACCGGCACTGTGATGCCGCTGAGGAGCGGTTTTGAATTTTGCCTCGACTAGCGATGTTTCAATATTGGATGTCGGAACAGCTTGGCGATGCGGGCCATCTCCTTAATACGACACCAGTCAAACCGGCCTAGCGGTTCACCCCTGACTACTTCGTATACAGTATTGTCCCCAAAAGGCACGCGTTGTGCTTCTATAGAATTCAAAAATTAGCCTTTGTTTTGGTTTCCATCGCGGGCGAAACTACTACCTTTATCGGCCTGTACAGAAAAGATGTGGCGTCGCAATTCTCACACGTTATCCTGGTGAAGTGATGACCTGATGTTGGTATTCCTCAATATCGCGAACCAGCTGGGATACCACGGCAGTGGGGGGTCTTGCCACGTGCAATCTTGGAGCCGCAAGCTGTAATGCCGCCAGGGATCGCATCTTGGTTGGTCGAGGTACAACACGGTGCCTGAGTAAGGTGACTTGAGTTCAATGTCAGCATCCAACATCTTGCCCTTACGGCCATAAACCAGGCGACTGCATTGAACGTGGAAAATTGGTAGCGAATGACTCGGTTAATATGTCACGAAATCCCCACGGATGTCCGCTAATGAGCTTCAAGGGGGGCGTCGCCGTGTCCCGCGTGCCGTACCATTCGATGAGAGGAGAAGCCAGATCTCGGGGCCTCGACAAGGGGCATTCATTGCTGAAAGAGACATGACAAAGACGGCTGACGCAAATAGCGTACACACCAAAACAATCGAACCATGATGATTTTTCTGAACGAAGACCGGAACGAACGAAAGACTCCACCAGGCGATTAGCCCGTCCAAACAGTTCAACAGTTGCCGAAAGAGTGAATGGAACCCTGAGCGCAAAGGTGAGAGTGTTGGTTGTTATAGGCGTCGTGGCATACTCAAATAAAGACAATGTCGGGTTAGTGAGTTAGTGACTGCAAGACCAAGCTTTGCCGAAAGTGCCGTCCGATCTTGTTGACTCGAGATGCCTACTGTATGTACTGTGTAGAGACAAACTTTGAAGTTGCGCTGCTTTCCCAAATTTGACTTGTTCGCGCCCCTGTACGGCCCCCTGTTTGCTCGAGGAATTGGGTTAGCGCCGGCGGGGTTTAGGGCTGAGTGACCCCAGCACCGGAGTGGCTTGGGTGGAATTGTTTTCAACGACCTCCATTCGTCCTGCATCTCCAAACATCACGCGGCACCTCAACATGGCCGATGCAACGCCCGGGAGATTTTGGGGGCCTGGTTGTGAAGACGTCCCCTTTGCTTGTTATTGCCTACCTCTGGCGACGAGACTACCAACCTCGGGTCATTGATCCGACTCGGGAACAAGAAAAACGCGATTACTGAGCTCGTTCAGGCGGTGCTCCGGCGATCTGTAGGCGAGAAGTCGGGACTGGGTCTGCCACACCTATCACGGCACTGAAGTCTCGTCACGCCTTGATATGGTGTCTTCGACCAGGAGAGGCATTGCAACGAAGCGATGCAGATCTGTACGGAGTATCCAAGCGATCTGCAATGGGCAGCAGGGGGCTTCTAACCAGGTGTGCGGTCCCACCTGTTCGCCGATCCCTCGCCGACTTCCCTGTCTGTCAACGCGCGACGAGTTCGGGTGCTGCCTCGTAGCGAACAACAAAGGACACCTTCAACCGATCTCTGGGCTTCGCCGATATTGCCATGGCACCAACAATCGCCCCCCGCAACTCGGTTCGGCGCACGAGGGCCGACTTTAGCCTGTTATGCATTCCCGACATGGGCCATCGCGACGCCTGCAGCAGCACAACTAATTCCCGGGCTCTCGGTCGACTCGTCTCTGTTGTGCCCCGTCGCGCCGTACCCTGACACCCTGCGAAATTGTCCCGATCTCGTCATGCCGCAGCCTCCCTTTCTGCTTTCTCTCCCCAGGTCCCGGCCTGGGCGCGGGTCTGGACAAACCCCAGACGAACCCCAGCCGTCGCGGAACCCTGTCCTTCCAGCAGGTTCCAGCGGGCTTTGAGCGACGGGAGCACCGAGCGGCCGCGGTATGACCCAACTCTTCGCCACACCTCAATAGGGGGAGCCAAGAAGCTAATGTGACTTCTCCGTGGCCAAAAGAACACATCTCCCGCCCAACCAGCTGTCCCTGTGCAACCGGTTGAGGTGTTTCGTGTGTTGCGAGTGGAGGCACTGGCGTGGCCTCCCTTGGTTACCGACGTTCGACGCCGTCTCCAAGTTACGGCGTCATTGCGTCACGCGTCTCTGCTACAACAGTCGCTCTTCCGTGATTCGAGGTTCGTCTGAGGAACTCGATTCGTCAGATAGGGGAAACGCAGAGGAGAATTGGCTGCGACCTTGACTTAGCATGCCGCAGCTAGCTTGGAAGATATTCCCAGGGATGTTGGGATCACAGACGGGCCACTGACAGGTGGTCACACTACACCACCCGTCAAAGACACCAAGTTACATCAGGGAATCAAGCGAAGAACGAATGCCGCCGCCCGAGGCAAGCCGATCGGATGCCAACCCCACCATTACGGTGTCCTAGACATACTACAGCAGTACCCTGAATCGACTCCGCGTTATTCTGCGCCGTTGCAAGGCGTCTGGCGCCCACCCGACGCAGGTGACAACCCAAGCGGACATCCTGATCAAGGTCATTCTTAGTGGATCTCCGTTTCGTGCTATTTTCTACCCGGGTGCCCCACAAAGTCGGGTCGCTACAATCGCCATGCCTGGCTTCGGAGGGACGAATTTCGAACCCGTGGCGGCTCCCAACGCTAAAGGACCGAAACCGTCCCGTGTCTTCGTCTCGACAACGGGCTACAACGGGTCATTGTTGGCAGCGCAGACGCTAGGGAACTAGCTCGACTACCACAAACAGGCATGCCCCGTTGTAGTATCTCTGGCTAATATCGCGCTGGCGGCCCTGATATTGACAACCAGTCCCTGCTCGCCCATCTACATGAGCACCGCCCTGACCGGGTTTTGGGGGCTGAAAGAGCACCGCAGAGCGTATCATCCCGCTCCCTCCGTTCCACACCTCTCAGGTCAGGCACGGAGCGGTGGCATCCCAGGCTGCTGCTACTGTAACGCTGGAAATCTTCCGAAGAGAGCTGTCCCGCTCGCTTCTGGGCCATTCGGGGCTCCCCTCCAGAACCTCGCTCGTTATCCTCATTGGACGGGCATCAAATAACGGGAAAGCTTGGCACTGCGGGCCGTCACCCCACACTTTATGTACACCCCCCGCGTCCCCCCGGGGGGGTGGACAAAGAACGATGCCAAGCCGGCGACGATGGACCCTTGGATGAGCTTATTCCAAGCACTCCATCCCGGCATCCTGCGCCCGTCGGCTTCGAGACGGCGGCCGTTCATGCCCATGTCTTGAAAGTTCCCGGGTCAACGGCACGGCGCACACACAAATCTGGTATCGCCTCCCCTGGGTAAAAACCGCGTATTGCCATCTCGACCCGTGCCAAAGATCCCTGGTTCCACACATCACATGCTACAAGATGGGAGCAAGACGTGATTCGAGAGAAAGTTTCCGAGCCACCCACACCGACATACCCTCCCTCGGTCCCGTCTACCGAGAGGGGCTTCCCTTTCCAACGACCGTGGCACCACCCAAGAGAGAGAGAGGCGGAGAGAGAGAGAGAGAGCCTCCATTCAAAGGAAGCAGGGGGGGTTGAGGGTGGGTGAGACGGGGCGGAGCTCCGGGGGGAAAGGGGAAGAGGGTGGGAACTCCTCTCAGTGCTCGCTCGCTCACAACTCGCCATGTCTCATGCCCGTCATCACGGGACTTGCTGGCGCTTACAAGACAAGTGACTGACTGACCGCCTGTCTGCCTCTCTGATTTGACCGAGCTGCTGTGTTGTTGAATTGACTTATCGTCGTGGTCTCAACTGCCAGGTGACTGGAACGGCCTCTCATATTGCGCCATTGTGTGTGCATGGTCACTTGCCGAACTCCAAGACATCCATGGTCAGAAAGGCGTGGACTGGTGTGATGGATCGAAGACTGTGTGATGTGAGACACCTCGAGTGTTTCAATCTGGCCCGGTTTCGGTTGTTGTTGCATGCCGTTCGTAGACTCTCTGTTTCTCATGTGTGATTATGTGTGACGAAACCACTTGCTAGGCCGAGGAGAAGCTCTTGACTGTCTCAGAAACACAACATAATCCATAACGTGAATCGGAAAGTGGCGGTAAGTGCCAGATGGTTGTCGTAGTTTCGGACCTAAATCCACTATGGTATTAAGACAAACCCCATTATTATCTTCAAGCAAATGATATCGCGCCCACCCGAGCGGGGAGTGTTGTGATCAGTACCACTCAACCCTACCAACCCCAAACGCCAACACCCGCTCTTGATACTAAGCCGCCGTGTAGACCTGGGCGTTTGAAAAGAACAGAAACCGAGAAAAACAGTGGCTCTGGACATCTCGGCGCTAGCAAGGAGACCCCCCCAAGACATTCAGATTCCAGTTATCCCCCAGAGAAATCAGCTTCCGTTTGATCCCATCCCCGATGCGCGAGCCGTAGCAGGTCTCAATGTTCCTGACAGCACACCCCAGAATGCCAGTGGGGTCGGTCACGGCAACCGGAGCTCCTCTCGGAGGCACCAACACGGGCACACCCTCACCGCTCCACATGTAGTTGATGATGGCGGGATCCTCGAGGGTCAGTTGATCAATCATGACTGGGCTAGAGTCTTGCACCCCGATATTGCCATGCTTATTGGCTTGGATATCGGGATCGACCCTTGAGATGCTGTCCGCCCACAGGATCAGCATGGCTCGGTACATGGCGGCTGACCACCAGACTGGTCGGCGGTCCCTAGGCATGGTGCGCAACAGCCGGATAACCTGCCCGCAGTGGATTATGGCCTTTTGGCGCTGGAAAATGCACTTCGCGTGGCGCATTGATAACTCCCAGTGCAGCCCACCGAACCCCTCACGGCGAGCCAAACGCTCAATTTCGGGGAAGTCGGTGATAGCGTTGAGGTAGACGAGATGGTAAAGAATTAAGTTGCACCGGGTAACGGGACAGGCCGGGTTCTCTTTGCTGTGGCTCGTGGTAATGTCGTACCACCGCTGCAGCAAGACCTGCATCTCATCCAGCCGGTGGAGCATTGAGCCTCTGTTTACCGAGCACCCGTTGGCGTGTGGTGTACCGAATGCCGTGGAAAAGCATAAAACCATCTGGCGAAAATGATGGATCATGGCCTGTAGCGGGTGTAAGATCAACCTCAGTTGCTGTGGAGAGACACCAGGTTGCCGCCCCAAGAGGTTGTCTTGAAGGAAATCCTGAAAGAGCTCGTAGAGAGATGGAGCAGCCGACGTAGTGCTGAGAAGCTGTGGGTTAACATTGGCCGTGCAATCATGCAGCGACTGCATTGCCGTAAACCATTCATCTGAGTTGGTCGACATCCACAGCACCTCGGGCGCGGGCAGTGGGCACTGGAGTTCTGTGATGGCAAACAGGGGGGCCGTATCGTGAAATAGACCAAGCTCTTGGTCAAGCATAACGTAGTTGTAGACCAATCTACAATGACATGTAAGCCTGTGGCATAATGCTGGGAGTCAACGGGGCGATGGGTGCGGCATACCTGTTCCGGGTCTCACGCTGAACCCAGGAGCGCCATTGGAACTCGATGTTTACGGCATCCCCAAACTCCGGCATGGCCAGAGTTTCCGGTTCCAGCATACCAGCGTGCTTGAGCATCTTGGAAAGCAAACAATCAGTATCGGCACATATCACGGCGCGCTCCTGTATTCATTACTCACCGACATGTACATTCCCCGTTGCCCCATGGCAATGTCCATGAGCCACTTGTCCCCGCTCCAGGAGCCGAGAACGATAAACAGTAGCGCACAGCGAAGTGCGGTGGGGTCAGCCGAGAGTTCGACGTCCTTCTCAACGATGTCGAAGAGCGAAATGCGGCAGGTCTCGGCTAGCCCCGCGGAGAGATGGCGGGCCTCAGGGATTGGCATAGTAGCTGCGCCCTGGGCGATCATGAGGAGCACAAGTAGCGTCGATGCCTGGTTGTTCTGCAACATCTCATTCGGGTCCACGCAACCCGCAGCCACCAACGGGTAGTAGACCGATAAGCTGCGGACATAGCTGCGCAAGAAGTACTCGAGGATCTTGGAGGGCGGGAGAACGATGAAGTTGCAATCTCCGGCGCGGGAATATCCCTGTTTCGAGTATCCAGCATGGCCTCCACGATGGATATCCAGAGCCTTGTGAAGAAAGCTCTGCGTAATGGCGAGCATCTTGTCTCGTGTTCGAGAACTTAGAGGTACGACCGACGCCAAGTCAGGCACATCCCAGTCCAACTGTTCCATGTGCTTTTCCAGCGCGCCCCATGTCCCTTCCTGCTTCGACTTTTGCTCCAGGCACTCGAGATGCACAATCGCCGTACGCGGGCAGTTTCCGGTAAAGGCGGGGGGGTTGCACCGCGCGAAGTTCCACGCCCCTTCGGCAACGAGCACCACCTCGAACTCGGGGATTGGGTTGTCAACCGGGGCCGCCATCGCAAAGTCCGAGGCCTTCAAGCCGGTCTCGTAATCGACGGACATCATGTCGGTTCCTGGCGTGTTGGAAGTCCTAGAAGATGACACCATAACCTCCGGGGGAGATGGGATCCCGCTGAAGGCGGAAACGCCAGGTATTGACATGTCTCGTGGCCTACCGAGTGGAGGGGTACAGTGGTAGCTGTCAAGGTCCATGTGTATCTCGGGCCAAGAGATAAAGTCCTGGTATGCAGCCTCTGGAATTGCGAAGTCATTGCTCATAGGCATGAAGTCGTCCAAGCCACTGTCCACCCTTGTGTGAGGTGACGGGAAACCCCCAAGGTGAAGCTGAGGATGATGCAACGGCGAGGCCTCGGAGGGGGGGCCCTCATCCCGAGTGCCCAGGACAGCGACAATTACGGAGGGGGATCCGTTACCCTCTGCCTTTACACCGGTCTGGCTGGCATCCCTAAGCGCAGGGTTGGCGGCCCCTGGCGGGTGTGCTCGCTGGTCCGACTCAGCGAGTGGGTTTTGAAATGTGGCGCTTGCTTGCGCTGTCGCCTGCGCTGCGCGCATAGCGGCCTTGGATGATCGCCTCGCGAACCGGGCCTCGCATACCAGGTTCTTTTCGCTACATCTCGTACACGGGACTTTCTTGTCGCAGCCTGTCTTTGCGCTTGCGCAGTTTTGACACGCAATGGGTGTCCGCCCAGCGGCTGGTGGCAGTCCTCCCGGCAAGGTTCCCATGGGGTCTTTGTGTTCGTGGTATGTGGAAAAGTGCCTTTGGAGCAGGTCTCTGTTGGAGAGGCACATTAGACTCACCGCCCTACCCCTTTTCACGGCTTGGGTAGGTAGTTGGAAGGGCACGTTGTACTTGCCGTCGGGAAAAGCCCAGCCGACACACGCTGCAGCAGTGTGGCTTGACGTTGGTATCTGGGTTGGCGTAAAGCGTCAGTACGAGTGCACGAATTCATAAACACTTGGTTGCTCACGAGTCGGTAAGTGTCGCTCCAGGTGCTCCTTGCGGGAGAACCCCTTCCCGCAGTAGGTACAGTAGACTCTTTCGGCCGCCTTCTGCTTGCTTGGTTCAAGGTCTGGCGTTTTGGAGGCTGGCATCTCGGACGAGCCCGAGAAGATGAGCCGAATGTGATGGTGCCGTTGACGGTGTGTAGAGGCCGTGGGCCGGGACGGGACCAACCTAGTGGCACGCCGTAGTTGGGCCAGTGCTGGCTCGGTCTGAGAACGGTTTTCGACGATGACTACCGTTCGAGATAAGTAAGACTGTGTTGAGCAACAGAAAAGAAGGATGTGAGAGGGATGTTCAAGATAGCGAGGAAGGTCGATCAGGGAGTGGAGAAGCTCGGTAGTGGGAGCTGGCGCAGTGCTGGGGGGCAGAACAAAGATTTCATCCGAGACGGGGGGTCAGGACGAGAGTTGCCGGATGGGGTTCTCTTCTCAATATCGGAAATGGTGACAAGACATCTCTCGCCTGCGAGTGTTCGCAAGTGTTCAGACGGAGGCGGAGCTGCGGCAAGCTGAGCTCACAGGAGGCGGTCCAATCGACAAGGGGGTGGTGACATGGGCTATGGGTGGAGCAGGGGACCAGGATCTGGCGTGCGTATGTATCTGTAGAGAGAGGTGGGCATGGTCTGTGTGAAAGAACTGGGCGTAGTGGTGGTTATTGTTGTGGTACGTACCCGCAGTGTAAGACAGCGAAGAAGCAAAGTCTGGCCAACCAAGTCGTCAACAGTGTTCAGCCGCCGTCTAAAAGAGGCGCCGTGGTCAAGGCACGTTTCTCACGTTGCTACATACCTGCCTTAGCTCCGAACAGTCCTTTCGGGTCAGTGATGCCGGAGCGGGTGCGAGGATGGAAACAGGCGCGGAGTCCAGAGCCGGGACGTCAAGTGCTGTAAGCTGGCGGCCACGAGCTTTAGCGGAATTGGGGCCCAACAGGACAAGAAGGGAGCGAAGAAAGTCGGTTCGGGAAGTCGGTTCCTAAAGAAGCCAAGAAGGTGCGCCTTTTGATGCACCAGCCGGCCGGGCGATGTGATATGTGACTGGACCTGACCTCCCGAGAAGGAGCCGGCGTCTTCTTTCCGCTATGTCGTATAGCGGCTGCCAGAGCATCCAAAGAAAAACCACAAGTCTGCTTTAGATAACCGTGATTTACTGCAATGCCCACTAGAACCGGGTGAGAAACAGTAGGTGGTTTTGAGTTTGTTTTAGAGCAGCCCTGGGTGCGGGGGCAAGACAGTTCCAAGGTCTGGCGAGGTGAATGCGGAAGGTCGAGACGCAGAACTGAGCTCGAACCAGCGGTATGTGCAACACGCAGAGAGCAACCAACTCATCAAGCAACTGAGACCTGCCAGCATGGCAGCATAGCACGCGTTGACGATCCCATGTGGGCGTATGCAAGAGCACCCTTAAGATCCGAACGGAACAGCAAGCTGATTCACGGCCGCAGAAGCATGGGTTTTCTCTTCCAGGTAGGTGCCATGAACCACTTACCCTTGTTCCAGGCTCGAAGACGGGACCAATGATAGGGAAACGGATGTCGTATGGAGACCGCCCTTTCCCAGTCATGGCCCTCAGGTGCGAGACGGCAGGCACGGTACCTTAACGGACCGCTTGGAAATCGCGTGCATTCAGCTCCATGAGAAGGAGCTGCAATGACTGTAACATCGAGCTCAGGAGAGCGGGGCGTAAGGGCGGGGGTGCAGGAGAGAACCTGCACCGTGGAACCGGGAACGACGATACGGGTCTGAATGTACCTCGGTGCGACGACAGGTCCCGCATGCCTCTTTAGAGCATCATCGGCCGCCGCCGACAACGATACATTCAATCTACTAGTAGTTAGGTACGCCTGTCACCGGGAATGTGTCAACTGTGTTTTCTGTCCATAATAATTTTGCGAGTGTATTCTCTCTCACCTCTTCACGCCCGCGTCGCTCACGTTCATGATGCAGCGGCCATCGTCTGTTGGGATAAATTTCGCGCCGGTACGAGGCGTCAGGTCAACCACGGTACATCAATGCGGGCAAAATCAGGCACTGCGGAAAACCCGCCCTTGGCCGCCTCGGGCACGTTGGCGTCAAGCCGAGTCGAATGAGGTAGGGCCAGGCCTACCTCGGTATGCAAGGCTCGATCTTGTATGTACCAGAAAAAAGAGGTTGAAACAATGGAACCTAGGTATTGGGAAGATTGGCGATCAGCCCGAATGATCGGCTTTCTGATACGGCCACGCCTTCCCTACCTAGACGGTGCCTGCCTGCGTGGCTCCGTGCCTGCAGTGCGGGCGGGTCAACCACCGGCAAGTGCCACCCCTCATTCCTCTCTCCCGTCCCGCGGCTTTCAGAGTTCCTGTTCCGTAACGCCAAGGTAGGCAGGTAGGAAAGTACCACCCAAGATGGGCGGCTTGCTTGGGCCCCCCATCTCCCCCCGTCAAACTGTAAACACGGGACAGCCCTTTTGCCGGGACTCCCGTCCTTTGCAACGCTGTGCTCGTGAGAGGACGGCCCGTCATTGCCACGCGCTCAAACTGCTGCTGCCCTTATCTCCTTCGGGCCCATTCCCTTTCGGGTTGCCGTTAGTTTGGTCTTCGTTTCGGCTGGAAACACCAAAACTGCGCATTATGGTGACAGACTCCATACCTACTTTCATCGACATCGGCAAGCCGCTTGATGTCATCATTTAGGTACCTTGGGTAGGGAGGGCACGAGTACTCTCGTGTTCTCGTGTTTTCGTGCTTGTTGTCAATAAGAAAGTGAAAGAAAATAGAGCACGGGCATCTTCGATTGCGGTCAGGAAAAGAGCGGCGGTCTTCAGGCCGCAACCTTCCCCGGATTGACACCGGGATGGGGACTTTCGGACTGGGGTATCCTAACCATATCAAATCTAGGCGTCGGTCTCAATTCCTCTCTCCCGGGAACTCCAGAAAACGTTATCGGGATCCAACCTGGGTCTCATAAAGCATGGCGGGGAAGATGCGCTAATGTTGGCATCCGAGTTCGCGGGAGCTTATTGCGGCTAACTCATTCCGGGGACCTGGGAATGAATTGTCACCCTTTCTGATATCGCTGCTGCTACTATGACGGCCATTACTAGGAGTCGCTCGCATTGCGCGATACGGTTAAATGGGAGTACCAAATAGGCAGTCCTAGAAAACGAAGTTGTTATGAAGAGGCGATTGGGTCACGATTGCTACATGGACCCCCACGATTGGGGTGCCTACACCTGAAAACGCACTATTGGGCGGGTATGTAGGTAGGACGCCCAGAAAGATTTCATTTCTGAACATGTGAACAGGGCTGCAGAAGAAGGCTCAGAATACCAAGTCGGGATCTCCATGGCAAACCATACACATTTTGCCAGTTGCACAAGACTTGAAAAAAAAAAAAGAAGGGAAACAATGCCAACTGGTGCTGGGGAGGAGTTGGCACACAATCTAGAAGGTGGACGCCGTCCCGTGTGCAGTCCCGCTTCCGGCTTCGTCTCCGTAGCCACGGGAACTCCAGAGGTCGTCGGCCAGTCCTGGCAATAACGAGCAAATTGCGGAACAACTAAAAATAAGCCCGCTGTTTGCTTCCTCAGTGCTGACTACTGCTGTGTATCCGGGGGAGACGGCTGGTTCTCGGGCGCGGCATCGATAGGCTGAATCGCATTATTCTCTGGGCTTGTGGGACCCATCGGTGAAAACGCTGCAAGTAATCAGCAAGCCGAGAACCACCGGGCGTCGGGCTGGACTCAAAGAGCAGGAGCTGAGGTAGATGCAATCGGGTGACGCCCACAGACTGACCGGTTCCTGCACATCCAGATCCCATCTTGTCGTTGGCCGAGGACTCGTGATCGCCGGCCAATTGGGGCACGGAACGAGTACCCTGTCTTTCCAGATACGGATGCCGTGCCCGGTCCCGGGGCTCCACCACACTCGCCGAAACGGCCGGGTGGGCTCCGCGATGAAGCGACTGGATGAACAGCGACTCGCATTGCATGGGGTTGGGTTTACTTCGGGGTCGTTGATGGATTCGTGCTTGACCGAGCCAGTTGCTGAGAAATCAGCACCGCCTTGGTAACAGCAATCATGCCGACGGGATTCTGATGGCCCGAGGCAATGTCAGGGTGGTGTAAGTGGTGTAATCCCAACATTTCTTGCCGCGTAAGAACAACTTTACCTCCTAGGCTGATCGTTATGTTCCCTCGCCGGTCTTGGGCCGTAGATGCCAATTGGGAACGTCGTGCATCCCGACGGCGGTTTATGTCTGAGATTCGAGGGAGTTTTAAGGTGATCTCAAGACAGCATTGTCCCCTGTCTCAGATAATTCCGAACAACGGTGTGCGATTGAGACTCGAGTCCTGTGGGCTTCGAGGCGGTTTTCATTGTGACTGGCAGTTAAGGTCGGTTTATGGCGGGTTTCTGGTCAACTGCCGCGCCCGCTCTGCACCCTCTCTGCACGAGATCACCAAGATCGAAGTTGCTTTCCCGCCACGGTTTCACAACCGCGACTCGGAGTCGGAAGCCGCAAAAAAGTAAAACAAAAAACAAAAAAAAACGGCTGCTTGCTGACCTTGGATGAGGATACACATACA